CTTCCTTCACTTTTCCTTCCACTAAGATTTCGCCCTAACAGCAGAGGATTTTATTCTTCGATCCACATCCCGACCATGCAGCGGTCCGACCCAGTTAACGTTGAAGGAAGGTACTGTACATGTACGAAAGCCTACGAATTCGACGAGAATTCTCGTTCTATCGAATCATCCATGTATCATAAATGCGGCCGCTCCGAGAGACAATCAATAATAGTCGAAAACCGGTCCCGGCGGGTTCAAGATCTCGAAAATGGAGCGAAGTGAGCACTGATATCCGGACGGTCTTAGGACTATTTCTTTTTTTTCATTCCAGTCTCCGGCGCACGGGGCCAGAGGGGAGGGAATAGTGCAAAATCCTCCGTGCATACCGATCCAACTATTCATGATCGATCATTTCCCGTCCAGTGCTCCTTTTCTCCGTGCGTGTTGGCCCTCTCTATCGGTGATTCGGTGGGTTTCTCCTTGAACCGTGTCTCTCTTTCAACCTACGATTCCATTTTCTTTAATCTAGAATATGGACTTGGATAAATTGCCATGATTGGACTATGCTAGAAAGGGGTAAGGTCCATCACCCCGGAGCAGAAGGAAAAACCTCCAGGTAAAGTTTGGATTTCCCTGCAGCTACCCTTTCCAACGACGCAAGTCGATCTTCGAATGTCCACCCAAAACAGACCAGAGAACAAAAGTCAAAAAACGCAAAGAATGAATCGTGGAATCCCAGCCGAGACCCGATTCAGTGATCCCAAAGTTCCCCACTAGGTACCGTTGCAGGATTCCAGGAACCTCTTCCCCGATGCCCCGGGGCCAACGCTAGTGACCCTCGGCAGCAAGCAACCCGCCTTGGCTGCCGTCCCATCGTCCCGACAACTTTGAAAACTCCATTCTGGCCTTCCGGGTTAGGTATCCGTAGGAAGAGGTAGTGCAATCCTGAGATCGCGAGACGGTCAACAATTTCGAGTCGGTGAAGGGTCGACCAGGTTCTGGTCTCTCCGACGGTGATGTTGAGTCCTTGACCGCTTCGATTTTTCGAGCCCATTTTAACACATGGCATTGAGGATTGGGAATTTTGGGCACCCTGCTTCCGTATCCACTGATTTAGGGCTATGGATTCTGGATAATGGAATCCGAATCCGAAGCCGAATTACGAGTTATCATCTTACACCGTAGGATTCTTTGTGATAATTTTTCATTTTTGTTTTGGTTCCCACCTCGTCAAAGAAGCAGGATAGAACGAAAGAATCCACAATTGATCGATTGCGGATACTGTCTTTAGTCGGTTTTCTCTCTTATCATTTTTTCCTTCCCGCTTTCTTTTTTTTCTTTTTTTTTTTTTTTTTTTTTTTTTTTCCTTTTCATTTGTTTCATTGTGGGACAAAATTTCGGTCTTTCGTGTCCAATATTGAATCGTGACGAGGCTTGTGCGTGGCTTTCGCTAAAGCGATTTCAAACCTAAGCGCTTGTGGATGTTTTATTTGTTTGTCTTCTTGGTCTCGTATGTACTGTATTGATCTCGCGTACCTAGGTGTAGTTAGTCCTCCATTATAGTTGTACTGTAGATAGAGAGTGTGAAACAGACTCGATAGTTAATGCATCACATAACTATTTACACTGAAACTGGCAGCAGCACGAACCATGGAATCTACCCGTCCCGGCTCCCAATGAACGGTGAACTTGATACACTTCCATCCAGTCCGGATGCGTTCGTTCCATGGTTCAGTCCCGCCTGTCAGTCAGAACTCATGTTTGTTTGTTTGCTACTCCGTACTGCAGGTGGTTTGTTGGATGTTTATTTTTGGTGTTGTGTTGTGTTACCGTAGGTGTTGGATTTGTTTTGTTTCTTGGTTCGTTTCTACACTGTATACTACTAGGTGTTTACTGTAGGTTTATATGTTTTACGCTGGATAGAGGTGTGTCTATACATTTTGTGTGGAGTATACCGATAGCAATATATTATTATTGATAGACTTGAATCTCAATCTCTCCATTGTCCCCGCTATCAACTTATCAGAACTGATCGTGAATATAGATAAAAGATAGGACTGTACTCCGTACCTACTGTAGTGTTCAAATAGCTAGACTATGGTATAACTAAACCCTGACACTATCTATTAATAACCCAGTCCAAATGACAACCACATACATAACCATCCCGGAACGCAATCGACCAGAAACAATCTCAACCGGAAGACACGGAGTACCGTAAGTAACTACAGAGTAGGACCCTGAGAAGAATACGTAGGTATGACTGACAAGAAAAGAAAAAAAAAAGCAACGACGATTGCGAATAAAGACAAAGCAAACAGCGTCCCGAGAGGACTCTACTCTACTACAGCACATCCATGGATATATATACTCCGTACTACAGTATGCATGAGGAGTACACGCCGGGCCCAGTTGCACTGCAATTCCCATCTAGATTCCGGAATCTAGCGATCAATTCGGGCGTACAGACTACAGAGCACAACATACCCTACCCTACCCTAGTCTACCTATCTATCCATCCAGAGGGTTCCGATCAGAGGATCCCGTATCCGTAGAATTGAATACTGACAGATACTTCCCTGACACTGCATACCCAACCAGTTGGTTAAGGAATCGGACCGCGAATCAAGATGGTTCCTCCGTTGTCTTCTGCAATGGACTCCGTACTTAGGGAATAGACAGAGTACCTATGTCCTGGTCGAGAAACCTTCTCGAAGGATGAAAAGAAAACTAGTCCGAACCTGCGACGTCCGCGCAAGTGAACCGTCCCAAGCTGTGAACCAACCGTTGTTTTCTCTACCAGGCCGGAGGGCCACGGAAGGGAATTTAGAAATCAGAAATCAGAAAAAGAAAAGGCACGGCAGACGGATCGAATTTAGAAAAAAAAAAAAAAAGAAACACACGAAAAACCGGAGCCTAGAAGGTCTAGAAAACCTAAAATCTTAGAGAAGGGGGAAACAAAAAGGGGCAGCTGGAAAGTGAAAACCGGAGATGAGCGTTTCTGACTTCAGCCGTCCGTTCAGGATTTCAGCGTTGCCCAAAGCGAACCAGATAAAAAAGGGGGAGGGGCAGGCTGCAGTCTTTTTTTCGTATGTTCCAGACTTCCATTTCTTACTTTACTATAGTTAGACAGAGACGATGTTAAGTTGACTAGAGAGAAATATTCAGTTCTTCCTTCCAAGAGACTCGTCGCTTTCTGTCTCGTCCTACCCACAAAGACGGGATGGGAGGATCGTCCCTTGGGACCACCCGAGGGGCTGGTCCGATTTGTTTCTCTTTCTTCTTCCTTTCCGAGAGAGGGATGAGGTATCGTTTTCCTCGCCGGTCGTCATTCCTATTATTAATTTATCGTCTTGGGAGATGTCTGCGAATTGTCCATTGAGAGTCGCTCATGGCACCGCCCTTGTCCTGGTTGGATTTCCTTGTTTGATGGTTCTCTCTCAGACTTGGAAATCAGACTGCAGTGGATTGGCTGTTTCCCCTTGAACTGACTACCTCGTACTGTAAATATCCCCCTTTAATGAGACAGCGACAGACATACTACTGTGTACACTGCAGATTTACAGTAGTTACTCCGTACTTGCAGAGGGATGAACTATCAGTATGAGTTATTGCGATAAGCATGCAATTGTAGACAGCATCTGTGAGGGGCTCCGCTCCCCCTCTCTCTTGCACTTGTTTAATTTTAAATCACTTTAGTCAACTTATGCTGGTTCATTATCTTATATAATCTCTCCTTACTGATTGCCCCTCTCGTGGATGGAGGGGTGTCGGGTCTATTCAATTATTATCGATTATCGCATGCTGGGTAATCCCGATGTAAGGAGCTGGGGTCACTTGCCTGTTCCTGGTCGCATTGGAGGGGGGGAGGGGGGGGGGTTGTTCACCGTGTTCTTTCGATTTGCTGTTTGGAGGGGTGAACGTACAATTCCTGTCTTTGAGTAACTGGTTGGTGTTGAATTGACTATGGCTGTTCTGTATGTTGTCGTAGTTGAGATATTTGGTAGGGTATGGGATCTTGTATATGTCCTTGTCTTTTTTTTGTGGTTTCTGCTTTCTGCAATAGATGCTAGTTAATAGGAAGATGCTATGTTTCTTCCACTTTCGTTTGGTTGCAAAGTTGCAGGCAGGATATGCTTGGTCTTTGTTCCTCGCGAATGGCTACACTGAGTATGGTTCAAGTACCCCAATATCAACCGACTCGGGGATAGAGATGTTACTAGCTTTCGTTTAACCGACCTGCTCACGACTGTTAGACAAGCTCTCCACGTTGAGGACTCTAAGAGCCTGCTAGAGAGATAGGGAGACATATTTGTGCGATATTTCCTGACGGGACTGGTCTGCCCAGCTTAAGAGATGGCCATGTACTCGACAAGATAGCCTTGTGATAAAACTAAGTGATCGGTTGAGTACTATCAAATCTCTCAATGACCTGTTTATTTCATTACTCGTGCCAATGACAGTTGAATAATTCATCTCAGTGACCGTCGAGTCATTTAAGATGTATAGTTATATAGTATAGTAGCAGGATGCGTGCCCTTCCGACTAGCCCTAAATCACCCCCCATCAGTAGACCTTTCCATCGATTATTCCAGCAGCATCGTGAACTGCAATTCCATCTAACTCTATATAATCAATGGCCCAAGAGAAAATATCATCTAAAACCTTATCTAAGCTACTGGCCTCTCAAGCCCGAGTATGACTGAGAATGTTAAGCTGTTCGGGCCTTCGGGGTTGAAAACAATCCCGAATCGCCTCCCGATGACAAATTTCGCTCGTTCCATGGAACGCGACAATTTCAACCAACGTTCGATCTATGCAGAATCATCTATAACCCTGGGTATGATCACCGTTATCTAAGCTTGACGATGGGTATAAGAAAGACGGGGCCCCATTCCCTGAGGGTGTCAAAGTCTCATCGCAAAGTGAAAGACAAATTGATAATTTAATCATTACTGTCTCATCGTCCTGCCTAACTCAAATCGATACCTATTTTCCCGCGCACGAACAACACAGTGATGGATTCCATCCTCGTCACCGGAGCCACAGGCAAACAGGGCGGCTCGGTGGTGCGAGACCTCCTTCGTCGAAATGCACCCTTCAATATCCTCGCGGTGACGCGGAACGCAAAGTCCTCGTCTGCGCTGCAGCTCGCGCAGAAATCTCCTAATATCACGCTCATCGAAGGGAACCTTGATGACCCGGCGGGGATTTTCAAGGCCGTGAAGGCGCAAACATCGACTCCGGTCTGGGGTGTGTTTAGTGTTCAGGTGAGACATATCTTCCATTTCGCTCTTTCTGTTGATATCACCACGAGCATAGAAGAAGACAGACTAATCCGGATAGACCGCCAATCCCAAAAACGACGACGAGCGCCGCCAAGGCATCGCATTAATCGACGAGTCCATCAAGCAAGGCGTCAAGTTCTTCGTCTACAGCTCCGTCGACCGCGGAGGCGAAAAGCGATCCTTCGACAATCCCACCCGAGTCCCGCATTTCATCTACAAGCACGAGATCGAGCAGCATCTGCTCAAGCGGTCGAAAGAAGCCAACGTCAACATGGCCTGGACCATCCTCCGCCCCGTCGCCTTCTTCGAGAACTTCACCCCGGACTACTTCGGCAAGGTGTTCACGACGGCGTGGCAGATGGAGCTGAAGGGGAAGGCGTTGCAGCTGGTCGCGACGAGCGATATCGGGTTCTTTGCTGGCGAGGCGTTCGTGCGGCCGGATGAGTTCGAGGGCAAGGCGCTGTCGTTGGCTGGCGATGAGTTGACGTTTGAGCAGATGGCGGCCGCGTTTGAGCGCTTGACCGGTAGGAGGGTGCCCACGACGTTTCGGCTGCCTGTGTGGGCGATGATGGCCGCTGTGAAAGAGTTGGGGTATATGTTTAAATGGTTCCATGATGAAGGGTATGGGGCGGATCTTGCGGAGATGAGGAGGATGAATCCTGGTTTGAAGGACTTTGGGAAGTGGTTGGTGGAGGAGAGCCAGTTTGAGACTTCTCAGAGTTCTTGATCTGAATATGTGTTTAGTTTCGGCGTTATGGGTCAGGATTCTGTTTGATGTGTATGTAATAATGATTTTTGCTGTGAGCCCGTTCTCCAGTATAATATAGAAGACCCTTCCTTGTATGAACATCAAGAAAAGCCGGATATGGAGCAACCTTCGAAATTGTATTCTCCAGCCCATACTGATGCGGGAACCTGGTTTGTGAAGCCTTTCAACCATCAGCTTCCTGGACACGAAGCTGGCTTCGAATATGATTCTGTCGACTTCGTAGACCGCGTCACTCGACAGCTCCCCTTTGTCTCCTTGAAAATTTTGCCCGCTCCATTAGCCGCGACACAGGCTCCTCCATCTGGGAGTTAGTTTGCTGAGTCTCCTGCCATTCGTCATAGACCCCTTTCACCAAATCCCACGCATGATCTGTTTCCGGCGAGATAGGTCGAGAACAGAGCTGAGAGAGGATCAAAGCCACAGCATGTTCTTGTTTGTAGCTTTTGCAGAGCCATGCCCACGGTGCCGACATTTCATTGTTCTGCAGCAGACTGGCAAACTTCAAGATCTCCACGGCTAGGTTGAAGATTGCGTCATCTGTGGCGGTGGACTCTTTATCTGCCGCTGTCTTAGAAAGACGATGGACCAGCGATGCTTTGGATAGGGTGAGACGAAAGATCACGGCGGTTACCCACTGGATCGGGATCTTTAGGTCAAACTTTTGTAGATACCGTTCCTCAAGACTGGCTGCTAAGTTGGACAGGGGATTTTGTTCATCTGCCAAGGATGACTGATGGCCGTCCGAACCAAAAGATAGGCTGGTCCAAGACAGATGGGCCATGATCTCGCACTGTATGATGCATAATGTAATATCAGTAAACCCAGCTCGAGGAGAGGGCAATTCGGTCATATCAGACGAAAGGTCATCGCTGTCAATATTCAGTGGAGGTCTCGTGTCGAACATCTCCGGTTGAATCTGGGTGTCAGTCCCCTGGTCTTCGGAGCACAGGATATCCAGAATGCAGATGTAGGACCAAAGCCGACGCCGCGTTTCGATATCAAACGGACTCAGTCCGAGTTTCTGACCGTCGCGATGGATTCCCTGTCGTTGCGCCACGCGTACTACTATTGTTGCTTCCACCCATATCTGCTTGGAATCGCATACGCAGCGCAGACATAGTAGATATAGAACGGCAGCCTGCAGAACCCGGACGTCGTCGGAACTGACTAGGTCGGCCTTTTCCAAAGATCGCACTACGGCAAGTCGGAACTCGCGCAGGCAGACATCACGCTCTTCACCGACGACTGACCAGCAATGCGCTGGATCCATACTCACCACTGCTGCGAAGAAGACCGTTTGAACCAGCGCGGCTGATTCTGGGTCCAGCTCAACATCGGGCGTAGCACAAGCTTCACCAATGACGGACTCGATCGAGGGGGAGTGCAAAACCGTGATCATAGGGGCAACGTTCGATTTGTACACCTGCCACAGCGTCTTCATCTGCTGGGGTTGAAGCGAATCAACGCGCCCAGCGTCGACGCCCAACTCCGATTCCGGCCCAGGATGCTCCCTGTCCCAAGAATGGCCATACAGCTCTTGTAGTCCAGGAATCTAGACTTGTTTCAACGATCCATCATCCTACACGACAAGATAACTTACCTACCGTATCTCTTAAAACAACAGACGCTTCATCTCCTACATAGCGACTTCTCGTCTCATCCTGAACCACCAACATCCCACGCAGCCGTTTAGCCTCGACATGCGGCGGTGGTGGTTGTCGCCGATCGACTTCATCGGCCGATCGTGATCGCAACGCAGGTCGCTTCCCGCCGGCCTGTAGCCTCTCCACTTCCTCTTCGAGCTGCTGTAGCCGAGTACGTAGCGCCGCAATTGGCGGCCGGTTCAGCTTCCGTGGTGCGCGTTTGTTCCCTGGATGGATGCACTCGGCATTGGCTTGGAGGCATTGAGCGCAGGGGTGTTTTCGATCGCAGCGCACTTTTCGGCGATTGCATCGGATACAGCTGCGTTTGGGTAGGTCGGATCCTTCAGATTGGGGTGGCATCCTGGTTTTCTGGGACGTTTGATTGGTTGGTGATATTTAAATTGGAATCCTTGTACAGGTTCAAAGTATGTTGACGTCAAAGTCTTTTTCTTCGCCTCGAGACACGATTAGTCAGATTTTGACCAGCATCACCCATAAGACTTTAACTCAATAACTATTTCTTCTATCATTTCTTTTTCTTATTGGAATGATATGCGAGCGCAATGTATCAACGTCGATCGCTATTGGGCTTTGATCTAATGTTGTGAAGTTTGTAATTGGTTCATTAATCTACGCATACTTCTGCTTGCGCCTTAGAAACATTCTTGAACTACATACATTTATCTCTTGACAGCCAGAGGTGATCCAATACCTAAAAAGGAACGGAAAACTGATAAAGCCTAATGGATCTTTCATCGTCATATTCCCGATTGCTCATTCCCAGAGAGCTAATCTAGCCTGACCTATTATGTGATGGAGCTAACTGATTCGCTGTAAAGAAGGATTCCGGTGTATCTTCCCTGTCCAACCCTTGTGCTATGTTGTCCAAAGAGCGAAGAGAGCATTATGAATATATATTGGTCGTCTTTTCGGGAGAAAGAGACCGAGCTCGAATGTTATGCAAGCGTTCCTTCTGCAGAGACAGAGTTGAAGACAGCCAGGAGACAGATCTTGAAGATTCACACATTTTGTCTCGATTGATACCACTGCAACCAGGAATGAGCACGAGTCAGAGTTCAGTTAGCTAGATGTGTCAATGTATGATCGTATAGCTCAGCCGTTGTAACATGGCGCCTTCATCATTTGTGATTCACCCTGTGTAGGTACGGATGACTCTGTAGAGATTGAATAGTATACTATATAACTATTCAAGAGAGGTCGTAGACAGATCTTATTTTGCATCTCTGGCCACTGACACTCGAAGATACTTACTACAAGAGAACCAGAGGGGCGGTCAATACAAACAGTCCATTTACATGAGCCCTTCAGCTTCAATCTTAGAGTGAGCAGAAAAGCAGGCCAAGTCGTAGTGGAGGCATCATTTTAGAATGATCGAGATCCGGGAGGTCACCTACTCAGTAACAAGTCCTGTACTCCACACACGGCACGACACCTACGCCATGTTCCAGGGACAAACCAGACAAGAAAACAAGCAGGTTGGTTCCAGGGGATGCCAGAAACCCCAGGAAACACCGTTCAGGTTGACGTCAGTGCGAAACTGGGAGAACCGGCATCGTATAATATCCGTCAACACTCTACATGTAACGCACTCCACCGTAATAATCAATATTTGGGGCTAGATTTCTTGTCGAAGCCCTTTCTACTACTAAGCGGAAGCCTCTAACGGCCGGCTTTGACAGTCTAGCAGCACCCGAACTTTATTTAGAAAGACCGGCGTCTTTTTCTGTCCGCGACTGCCGAGGTTTGGAGACTTTGCTTTCTGTCGTCTGTATAATTATAGTAATGTCAGTTAGTTAATAATATGGAAGACTTAAACCCGACATTCGTCCGTTGCCTCCGTTCGGATGGTGAAGCGGATTCAGGGCATCGCATGGCCCGTGACCCACTGTCATCCCCGAGTCCGCCTCGCTGGCATGGAGGTCTCAGGTGGAAACGGCCGTTTCATGACGGATTAGAAATACCCGGGGGAAAGGGAGGTGTCAGTCAGTGTCACTGTCAGGGTCAGTTTATTTGTTTGTACTGTATGTACGGAGTACCGAGTAGGCAGATAAGTTGTGAAGGTGTAAACATGTACTCCCTACTCCGGACTTGTCACTGGGCGGGCTGTCAGCCACCGCAGGGCGCATCCAAGGTTCAGGTGGCGGACAAAGAAACTCGCCCCGCGGATGCCTAGAGAGCAACTCCTAGTATGTACTGTACTGTACTTTTGCGCCAGTCCTGACTCGATTTGGCGTCTGCGAATCCCGGAGGAGATCGAGCATGTCCGCGCACCTGACAGGTGACAGGTACGGTGAAGCTCTCTACGGCGTGCCGATAGCTCATCTGCACGGTGGTGTGACTTGCGTCGGGATGTGACGTGACAGGCTTAAGTAGGGAAGAGAGAATGTATCAACTGACGGGAAATGAAGGAGGGAAACTTGGTCGAGTTGTTTGTTTGGGCCCTTTGGGGGCATCTCGCCGGGATGTTTGACTACACCGTACACGACTTGATTGTACGACCAAAGATTGAAACTGAAAGAAAAAGAACTAAAAATCATTCAAGAGGGAATGAAAAAAAAAAAGAAAAGAAAAAGAAAATTCGGCAGGACTAGTCGACGATCTAGCGAATTTAGAGCAGCACAAACAAGGTCAGTAATTAAAAGTCCAGTCTCGTAACCCCTGATCTACTCCGTACCGAGGAACAAGCAATGGAAATATGAATTTACTGTGTATGAAATAATACGGACTTATTTCCATTTATATGCTCTAATTTCCCATGTAAATTGCCGGGACTGTACCCCTTCCATTCCCATCGAGTGTTGTACTTGTTCTCCAGATAGAAGCCGGCGACAGGGGAGAGCAGACGATTTCCAACCGGTAGGGTCCGATCCCCTCCAAGAGGCACAGCCTTATGACGCCTCGGGTGCCTTCATGCGACCCGCCGCCCTCGAGATTCGGTGCGACGCCGACGTCGTTCAATCGCCCTTTGTGATTAATCCTCCGGGTGGGCGGGTGCGTGTCGCGGTCAATCATCGTAGGTGCGCGCTCAGACGGGCCAGAGCAACGGGGGATCCTTCCTGCATGCAACATTTGCAGACTGACGTCCGGACGGAAGTGTCTGATGGGTTCCGCGATAGTTTATATACCGACTGATTGGACCTGTTCTGCTCCGGGATTGCTTCTTTAGGTAGTTTGCTGCATTGTGCAGATGCCTTAGGTGCTGTAGATATTGGACGTATGTCATGGTGTCCATAGTACCAACGGTCGTTCGAGAGAGTCCAGACTTCTAGACCATTGTCCATTCGATTGTCTCCCAATTTGGTTTACCGGTTGACGCGAGTCATCGTCCCGTTCTCCACGGCGAGAATGGGGGAATCTGGGATATGGGATAGGACCCATCTGAGGATGAAATGTAATGAAACGGCGTTGCAGCGGGAGACTTATCCGCCGGAACGGATACGGAGTTGCGTACTGACTGTAGGATAGACTGCTCGCGAAGTGGTGCTACCCAGAGTCGAGGCGAGAATAAATACTCCGTAGGGGATTGCAATAGAGACTGACTGCTCATTCAGTTACTACGGTACAAAAATTGCTAGTCACTGCTGGTGCATACATCTAGTCAATCAACAGACTACTTCGGTGTTCAGTATGAGTGATGTACATGTGTAGTTACATGGATATTGACATACTGAAACCTGAGAACTGAACCCACAGCCGGACCCGAGACGGTCCTCTGCCCACTGTGCCCAGAGACATAGCAAGTTAGCAAGCTATGGAAGAGACCATCCAAACCCCAAAGAAAGAGCCCCATTTAGGCTCGAACGCACGGGACTTTTTGTATCTTTGGGACGGCGGGACTTCGTGGGTCTTCCGTATTTGGGTATTGAGGATGTATTCCGGACGCAGGTATAAGTACACTATTATTATGTGTCACCTCACTGATAACCAAGTAGTGGCAACCAAATAACTAAACGAAAAAAAGAATAATCAAGATTTGAAGACAGCAAATTAAGAAAAGAAAAGGAAAGCAAAAATCGCCCTCAACCCCCAAAGAAGAGGATGTCAGCTCTCCTCAGCTGTCCCTCTGAAGAGTACTAAGAAAGGCTGCCAAGACTCCCGTGGATACCGTATGGTCACACCTCGTAATGCCCACCGAACAATTCCACCTCCCCTAAAATCTCCCGGTTCTGCTCTCAATCGGCTCCCTCTTCTTTCTTTCTCTCTTCTCACCGGTTCTCTGCTTATCCCTCTTCCTTGCTCTCTCTCTGTTGTCTACACTGACTGACTCCCTCCTGACTCCCTCCTGACTCCCTCCCTTCTCTCTCTCCCCCCCGAGTGAAGTTGAAATTCACCGAGCGGCGTTGACGGTCTCCACCGCCAGGGGTCATTGCCACCAGCTGTCTGGTCCTGCCACCCAAACCAAAGCAACCCGTGCAGCGCGCACCCACCACCCATTCTTGCCCGCAGGTGAATCTGCAACCCACCGCCCTCTCGCCGTCCGTCTCTCTCTCTCTCTCCTTCCACGGCTGTTTGCCCGTCTAGTCATGACCAACGCCTCTCGTTGAGCTCGTCCAGCCATTAGCCGCGGGGGGGACGTAGCGTGCCGACTTTTTACTTTTTTTTTTCCCTTTTCTAATTTGAATTTGGATCCTGAAATATCTTGGAGATTATCTTCTTTTATACCCTAGTCATCTCCTCCCTCCCTTCTTTCCTTGATCTTGCGTGGGGGACTGATCTATCCATTCCTATATATAACTTCCCCCCCCCATTTCTCTCTCTTAACCTACCAGTTCTTGTGATACCCCTCCGATGTTCGAGACCCGTGTGGCAGAGCCATTGGCTGTCGACACTAGATCTGCGTTGGAGACCAAATCCCAGACTTTCGCGACCGCCTTCGAGTGCACCGAGGAGCAGGCTTCCACCCCCACGACTGCCCCTCGGAGTCGCAGTCGTGGCAGCAGCATCTCCTTCCGGAAAAGAGACCTCGCCGCCGATCAGTCGCCGCAGCGACAACTATCCGCCATGAATTTATCCGCCGGGGGTCGTTACACCCCCAGCCCCGAACCGGCCCCCGCCCTGTTCGTGCGAGCCATGTACGATTACGATGCCGACGACCATACGAGTCTGAGTTTTCGCCGAGGCGACATTATTCAGGTGCTCAACCAGCTCGAAACCGGTTGGTGGGACGGTGTGATTAACAACAACGTTCGGGGCTGGTTCCCCAGCAACTACTGCGTCGTGATTACGGACCCTAGTGAGCTGGAGGAGGAACAAGAAGTGCACGGTCGCGAGGATGGGGACATCAGCGCCGAGTCGGGCGTCGGAGAAGAATACGAGGAGGAGCATGACGACGACGACGATGTGGACTCCGCCGGCAACCCGCGCGATTCTCAACCTGTCCTGCCCATCGAAGGCACCGGTCCCGTGAAGGAGCAGGAGGAGGCCGCGTTCTGGATTCCGCAGGCGACGCCCGACGGCCGCTTGTTCTATTTCAACACGCTCACCGGATACAGCACCATGGAGCTCCCGTTCGAGAATCCCGCGACAAACGAGACCGGCCCCTACGAACGCAACAATTTCTACGTGCCCGACCAAACTCGACCTCCGCCGGAATTGATGGCCCGTGGCTTCGAGCGGGATGAAGACGACTATGACGGTTCGGCATCGGAAGCGGAGGGCGAGTCTTTGATGTTGGCCTCCCACGACTCCATGTCTCGGAGACGGCAATCATTCATCGACGGAGTATCTCCCGCAACCTCTATGGACTCGTTGCACCCTCCCTCGGCTACCAAATCGATCAGCGAAGGAAAAAGCTCGCATCGCAACCTCCACCAGTCGTACGGTGCGGCTGCCACCGCGGCCAGCAGCACGGCCTCGCTCGCCGATAACTTCCATCGACCGTCGGTCTCGTCGGAAGCTCCGTCGCATTTTGTCGACGACGGCGCCCTGGCTCCTTTGACCTGGCCTACGCTCATCGACAACATGCGAAACGCCGTGGACCTCTATCGCCAGGCACTCATGAACGGCGACCGCTCAGAATATGTGAGGCGCGCCGAGGACATCTCCGATCATTTGCGCATGCTGCTGGCTGCGGGCTCCGATACGACCGACAACCATTCGGGAAACCCGTCGATCATCTCCACCAACAAGGCCCTGTATCCCCACTTCAGGGATATGATGTCTAAGTTTTCTAAATTGGTGTTGTCCTCGCATATCGCCGCGGCTGATTGGCCCGGCCCGGATTCCGTGAACAAGTGCCTGCAAGAAGCCGATGGTGTCATGCATGGAGTTTACGGGTACGTCGACATTGCGAGACAGCAACGCGGTGAGTCGATCCGGCGGATCGTCCCCGGTTTCGTCGTCGGCAGTTTCTCCGGCGGCTGCTGGCAGAACAATGGCGTGAGCCTTAACGAGTCTGGCCCCACGTCGTTCTTGGACCAGGATCCGGGCGATTCTCGAATGGAGCCCTCCGTCCCTCTTGATGCCGCTCTGTTAGACCACATCGATATCCTGCGGAGGTCCTTCGTCGGCAGCATTCGGCGTCTCGAGGAGCGCTTGACCCTGAACCAAAAGAAGATTGTCACGGTGACCGAGCATGGTGTGATCGGCGAAGCCGTCTCGGCCGCGGCGATTAAAGTAGTGGAACAGTTCCGCCCGTGGGTGTCGGCCGTCGAATCCATCAATCTGGCACCCCTGGGCACCAGCTATCAGAATCCCCAGTTGGTGGATTTCAGTCTCCAGAAGCAGAGAGTCTACGATGCGATCGCTGACTTCGTGCTGAGCTGCCAAGCGGTTTCAGCGCCGCTGGGCGACGAATGGGCGGAGTTGCGGGGCGATTCGCTCGACGACCGGTTGAATGCGGTGCGCGGCGTGGCCCGACAACTCGAGAACTACGTTTCCCAAATTGGATTCTCGCTCTCACTTCTTCTCGAGCAGGTCCCTGAGCCCACTTCGGTTCTCCGGAGCGACAGCCGCCTGGGCGGGGAACAAGAGAACTTCAACGGCACGCACAGCCGCGGGGAGTCGCAGACTAAGATTGCCAATGAATCCATTGGCATTCCCTCTTCTTATCCCGCCGAGAAGGCTTCGGACAAGGTGCGACGTAACATGGACAAAGCCCAACGGTTCTTTGGACAGGCACCGCCCGCTGCAATCACTCGCGAGCCCCCGATCCGGGAACCTGTTCGTGAGCCCGAAGAAACGCCCTGGTTCCTGAAGATGACCCACGAAGGGGAGGTCTTCTACGACACCAAGAACGACATTCCCACCTTGAAGTGTGGCACTCTGTCTGGCCTGGTCGAGCACCTAACACGTCACGACAAGCTCGATGCTTCTTTCAACAACACTTTCCTCCTCACCTACCGTTCCTTCACTAGCGCCTCCGAATTGTTTGAAATGCTCACCCAGCGATTCAATATCCAACCTCCCTTCGGCTTGACTCCGGATGAAATGCAGATGTGGATTGACCGGAAGCAGAAGCCTATTCGATTCCGTGTTGTCAACATCCTGAAGAGTTGGTTCGAGAATTTCTGGATGGAACCCAATGACGATGCGCACATGCAGCTTCTCGAGCGGGTTCACGCCTTCACCAGAGACTCAATCGCCACCACGAAAACTCCCGGATCCCCGCAGCTTCTGACAGTCATTGAGCAGCGCTTGCGAGGTCAAGATACCACCGCCAAGCGACTTGTCCCAACCCAAGCGGTTGCTGCGCCAACCCCCATTGTCCCCAAGAACATGAAGAAACTGAAGTTCTTGGATATCGATGCCACCGAGTTTGCTCGACAGCTGACAATCATCGAATCGCGCCTGTACTCTAAGATCCGACCAACTGAATGCCTGAACAAGACGTGGCAGAAGAAGGTCGGACCTGACGAGCCGGAGCCTGCGAGCAACGTCAAGGCTCTGATCCTTCATTCGAACCAGCTGACAAACTGGGTTGCGGAAATGATCCTGAACCAATCCGATGTCAAGAAACGTGTCGTTGTTATCAAACACTTCGTCAACGTGGCAGATGTAAGGAATACCCTTCGTCTATAATCGCAGATCGAACAGTTGCTGACTAAAATCATAGAAATGCCGCGCTCTCAACAACTACTCTACGCTGACATCCATCATCTCTGCGCTGGGAACGGCGCCTATTCACCGACTTGGCCGAACATGGGCACAAGTCAGTGGCCGGACATCGACAGTCCTGGAGCAGATGCGCCGACTCATGGCGAGTACCAAGAACTTCGGCGAGTACCGTGAGACTCTGCATCTTGCGAACCCGCCTTGCATTCCCTTCTTTGGTATGAAGCTATCAACAGCGTTGATTCCCAATCCCCCCCCCCCCCCCCTTTGACAGTGACTCGTTGCTAAATCGTTCGTCCCTGTAGGCGTCTACTTGACGGACTTGACCTTCATCGAGGACGGAATCCCATCCCTCACGCCATCGGAGCTGATCAATTTCAACAAACGCGCCAAAACCGCCGAAGTGATTCGAGACATTCAGCAATACCAGAACGTCCCGTATCTGCTCACGCCGGTTCACGAATTACAGGACTACATTCTTAGTAACTTACAAGCTGCAGGCGACGTACATGACATGTACGATCGCAGCTTGGAGGTGGAGCCTAGAGAGCGGGAGGACGAAAAGATTGCGAGGTATGCTGCCGGTAGTAGAGAAACGAACGGCTTGTCTTTTGCAGGCTTTGTTCTGTCATCTCGATGATTCCCTTGACCCTCCTTATTTCCACCACCTCTTTTCTAGCGTTCCACTGTTGTCCCCCAAACCCTTTCGGCGGCCCCCATTTCCCTGCCCCTTACTTGGCGATACCCCAATTTGTTCAGAAACATTGAGTGATCTACAAGAGGAGTTTCTTCTTCTGTTTTTCTTGCTTTTCTTTCTTGTTCTTTCTTTTTTGATTGACCGGGGACTAACGAGATCTACCTTTTGTCACGTAGACTGCTCTCCGAATCAGGCTTCCTGTAAATGGCCCGAACGAGTGTCTCAGCATCTGGTCCGGCATGATCCCTGCGTGTGGTGCAGTCACTACGCGCGCGCCGAACTTACCGCCATTTCGCTCTCCCGGCAAACCGAAGGAGTTGACTTTCCAGCCTGGCAGCAGCCTATCACCGGTGTTTGAAGGGGCGACGGTCAAGACGCACTGTCTGAGCGGTCGCTTGCTTTGTTTTTTTCTTTTTTTTTTTCTTTTTTTTTTTTCTTCCTCCCAATTTTTGGCAATGGCCTGTCCACCAGCTGTCCGGGCAGTTCTAAATCTGACAAACGTGGCGTGCTCTTTGCGCCCGAGATCGACCAAAGACACCATAATATGGCAGCTCAGACTGGTTGGTGGATCTTCGGGGGAATCACCTGTTTGGTGAATTTCTCGTTTTCCTGCACGGAGTACTAGGGTATTCTTCTTCCCTGCGAGGATTGAGCGTCCCGAGGACCACTTTAATTCCAAGATCCAGGCTCTCCTTCGTCTGGCGTTGATCCCGATGAATGGTCAGGCCATATGCGCTCCGACCCACAGACGGGAAGAAGAAAAACAAGAAAATCCATGAAAAAAGAAAAAGAAAAGAAAAAAGGGCGACAGCAAAAAGGTCAGGCGGCTGAGCCTTCGATAAGCCCCGACATTAGCGCCATTGCATGTGATGAACTCCCTCATCCTCATCCTTTCCCACCACGTCGATCCTTTGAAACCCCGTCTCTCCGACCACACTCATTTACTTCATATTTCTCCTTTCCTGACCAACTTCAACATCCGACTTACTCTCGTCATCGACCCTTCTCCTTTGTTCTCATCCCTAACCTCGACGGTCTTTCAATTTCCTTGGATCTACTACTCCCCTACCTGTGTTTATCTAACGCCCTATACAACCCTACATACATGACCGACCAACGCCTCTGATATATCCTTATGGCTTGGTTGGTCGTTCTTGTATAAAAGATTCTCGTTCGTGTTGCAGTCCCTTCCTTTTATTAGGTTAGGGCTTTTTTCGAGATTGTTGATCTCGCTCATGAATGGATAATGACATGTCATGATACAGACTTGTTCCTTTTTTATTCTTCTTTTCTAGCATTGGGTTGTGTATCTTTTTTGCCTTCTGCAATGCATTCTTCTGTCTATCTTCTCTTCTGTCCTTCTGATATTCACTTCGCTGTACCTACTCCTTGTATTACAAGAGGTATATAACTTTTAGTCTTAGTCATATCCATGGAAATCCATCCTTTATTGAGAGGGCTTGTTCCATTTGTTTCCATTATAAATCTCCTATTTCGTATGTTTTGTTGAAGTTCAATGTCTCCCAGACATAAGAAGCAAAATGTTTTTAGTATTGAGATTCACCAAGCGCCAACAACACCGTAAGATGTAAGATAAAAGGACAGAAAAGAAACCATCAGTCATAACAGTCGTCCGCAATGTATTTTTCATTCTCATCTAGATGCCAGTCATGTTTGCCCTGCAGATTCTCTCTCCGAGCGGCCCTTCTCGCCAATATCCTGGAAGAGCTTCATCTTGATCTCCGCCGCCAGGAGTCCCTTCACTTCCTCCGAGACAATCCGCTGCCCATCCCGCACCACCTTCTCCAGCTGCTGATCCTTGGCCGTGCTGGGCCCTCCACCCCGCGACGCACCGCTCTCGATGCCCCGCGCCGCCTTCCGCACCTTCTGGCTCAAATCCATCATCTGCTTGCTGCCGTAGTCGCGGGTCGTGAACAGAGGACTCTGACTGAGCGTCGCCACCCAGTACTTATTCCACAGAAGCGACAGGATCTCGGTATCCAGCGAGCTCTTAAAGTGCGACACCTCCAACGCATAGTAATGAGACGCATGGGCGCCAAAATCCTCCGCCTTATTCAACGGCACGGTCTGGTACCCATCTTCATCCTCCTGCTGCTCCTTCGGCGGGGTATAATCCTTCGGAAACGTCCGAAACGCCCCGATATCGACCTTCCCTGCCGAAATGGTCCGCTCGGGGTCAATCACCACCGCCACGAACGGCCCTCCCAGCTGCTGCATGTCCTGCGTCGTCACGTCGATGCCCGACAACCAGCACCCGTACCCAGGGTGGCTGTGATACCAACCCACCGCGTTCTCCATGCGCCCGGCATCCCTGCACGCCTGGAGATACGACACCATGTACTCGTTCGCCTCGTCTTGGGCGTTGACGCGCGTCTCCGTCCCCTCGACCGGCAGGCGGAAGGCGTCCGTCACCACGAACGTGTTGGGCAGGATGTACCCCTGCATGAGGCCCATGACTTCGAGGCTTCCGCCGGACCGCGCGTGCATGACCATCTTGAGCAACGCGACGGCGGAGATCCGTATCGATTTGAAGTAGTGCGGGTCTTTGGACCAGGGCCGTTCCGCGCTCAGCGCTTTGTGGGTTTCTTCATCGTATTGGTATAGGGCGTCGCGTTGGGGGTCGATTAGGCTGATGGTGTTTTCGAGCTCTGTGGGATGGGGATTGGAGTGCGAGTTAGTTATGGTATGGGAGGTGAGGTGACTGGAGGTGGGGTTGTAACGAACCCCATGACCGCTGGGCAGTCTCCATGATGATGGGTTTTGGAGGTTGTTGACCAGGGATGTGGTGTGATGGTAGACCGGGTATAGCAGAGTTTCGAAAAGCTGGTCTGATAGAGATCGAGGGAATAGATAAGACAGAAGGAAGCTGATGCAGTCACTGCTAATCTATCGGAACTGCGGAGCCAACGTGGAGAAGGCGGTGAGGCAAATGAAACGCGGGCAGAGCCGGGCGGTGGAGGACTGAGTCAGCAGTTGCCCGAGTAACGCGGCGCCATCAACAGCAGCCGCAATCCAGATTCATTGCGGCTGCGTCTCACCAGAGTCGATATTATTGTTCCCCCTCTTTTTCTCCTTCTCTCGCCCTCTCTCCCTCTTCTTTTCTCTCCACGGAGTCTCCCTTTCCACTTTTCCCTTTCTTGCCCTTGCATATTACTGCATTGGCCGCTCGACACATATATTGTGCGGGTCTCTCCCAGCCGCCCCCCCCAGTCTTGCTCGCAGATGACATTTTCGCCCGGCTCGGTTGTATGCTGTTGATTGCAGATTCGCCTTGCAATCATCTGCGTGTTTTGGTTTTTCTCGCAGCTGTCAATCTCGAGGCGCGCTGTCGCCAATCATTGCATGACGGGCAAATTGTCTGAGAAATACTTTTTCTAATTTTCGGGAATACATAATAAGCGCGATTTGTCTCCCTGTTGGTGGGCTATTGGATACGCAATGGCGGTCGACACTAGTTATTTGACCACGCAGGTCAACAATATTGTGGCCCAGTTGCATGGCATATTTGATGAGATCGGAGTCCCGAATCATGAGCGTGAGACTCGTGAGGCAGAGGTTTGTTTTTTCTCTTTTCCGGCAATGGCTTTGTTTATTTCCGGTTTCTGGGTGAGAGCTAACCAACTTGCAGCTTTTCAGTGCTTTGTCGGATACGTTGAATGGTCACCTTAAGATGGTGGATGAGTAAGTAGATATCGGATTTAACGCAATGGCGATCTATTGTTCAGGTGCTGATACTCCACGCAGTGAGAAAAATGAAATGACCGAAGAAGCGGAGCGGTTGATCACCGCGATTCGACAGATGGAGGAGTCCTTGGTAGATGAAAAGGCTAATGGACAATATAAACTGGACGGCAATGATCTAAAAATCACTTACCCCCTTAATCGCTGTCTCAATTTCCTTCGCGAGAAGCATGACGCTATGAAGAAACTCCACCACGAGCGCTTTGAACAGGTTAAGAGTATGTTACTTCCCGCCCAACCCCTACTCCGGCGCAGATAAATTTGATGGCTGACAACAAGCAGAACTGATCGAGGCATTTGTATCATACTCTTCTCATCTCGAACCCAACTATGTCACTATCGAACTCCCCCCTACAGCGCCTGGCTCGACAATCCCACCCAGCTTTGATCTCTCTCCATCTTTTGTCGCGGCCCTGGATAATGAATTCTCGCAAGTTTACGAAGAATACCACCGACGTCTTGAATTTGTTCAAGTAACGTGCGAAGAAATAATTAAGTTGTGGGCTGAACTCGGAACCCCGCAGGTGCAGACCGATTCCAATATTGTGAAATACTATCGCGAGTCTCCCGAGCAGCTAGGTCTTCATGAATCCGACCTGGCTAGCATGAGAGCGAAGCGCGAGAAGCTTCTCGAAGAAAAGCGAGGCCGTGAGCGCAAGCTGAAAGATCTCCGGTTGGCGGTCGAAAGTCTGTGGGAGCGGTTTGGAGTGGAGGAGGGCGACCGAAAAGCCTTCCTGTCGGCAAACCGCGGTTGCGGACTGCGAACAATCAACGAATTCGAGGAAGAACTGGGGCGTCTGAACGAGCTTAAGCGACAGAACCTCCATCTCTTCGTTGAGGACGCCAGATGCAGGCTGCAGGAACTCTGGGACAGCCTCTATTATTCGGAGGAGGAGATGCTGGACTTTGCCCCGGCATTTTCCGATGTCTGCAGTGACGCGCTGCTTGAGGCGCATGAAGCGGAAATCACCCGGCTGCAGGCTCTGAAGGAACAGCGAGCTCCCACATTACAACTCATTGAGAGGCACCGCAGTCTTCTGTCGGAGCGTGATGCTTTGGCTGCGTCTAGCCAGGACGCGTCTCGTCTGATGGGACGTGGTGTCAAGGGAGAGCGACGTGACCCTGGAAAGCTCTTGAGAGAAGAGAAGATGAGAAAGAGGATCGCCAAGGAGCTGCCCAAGGTGGAGGCGGATCTTAGGAAAGAACTAGAAATGTGGGAGGATGAATTCGGCAGACCCTTCCTCGTTCACGGCGAGCGATATCTCGACGAGCTGACTCCTGTGATCGCGAAACCACCGCCCCGATCGAAGACTCCCTCTGCGCCACCAAGCAGCGTGAGAGGCGGAGGAGGTAGCTTGAGGTCGCAGCCACCCTCTCGCCCTGGCAGTGTGATGAGAGGTCCGCCGCCCCCTCGCTCTGCAACTAAGACGCCTACCGGAGCGGCGAAGTATAACACCGTTGGTCCCTCCAGAGCTCCTTCTAGAGCTGGAGCCAAGTCACCATCGAAGATCCCTGCCCGCGTGCCCTTGGGCAACATGCCTCATGGGAACAATTCCCCTGATCGTCGTGCCGGTACGCCCGGTCCCTACTCGACCAGCACGATACATGGCAAGATGCAGAGCTCTCGCGCTCCGCCTCCCAGAATGCGCGCATTGACGGGAGGTGAAGGTCGCGAGGAGAGAGCAAGCTATCTGTTTGATCCCCCACGATGCGCCAGCGCTCTCTCAAACTCCTTTGTCCGACCCGTCAGCCCGGAGGATGTTTACGATGATCGCAACCAACGCTCCTTCATGAGTTCCTCGATCTTCTCCCAGCGATCTGCGGGATTCTCTCAGTCGTCGCATTCGTCAGCCTCGTCGGTGTCCCTCAATTCCATTCAAAACTTCCCACGACCGAATCCGTATCTGCAGCACGCACCCCCTCCCCCGGCGCCCCGGCAGGTGTCCGACTGCTCCACAATAAACACCGCCCACTCAGGGTCGGAGAATTGGGAGACGTTCGATGATGGGTCCGGTTCCGAAGCAGATGCTAGTGATATATATTATGCGAAGCTTCGTGCCGCTCAAGGCAAGCGTGTCGCGCCGGATGAACAGTCGACTATCTCCCTGGCGGGGAAGAAGACCAAAGGCATCCGGAGCGTCAGTCCGGACGTGCCGCCTGCCAACATGAACAGCCGTTTCGTGCGAGGCAGCGATGCCGAATGGACCGATGACATGGAGGCCTATTAACCTCACATATTCATGTGAAACAGAAACCCCTCTCGTTTGTTGATTCCCTCTCTTTTTCTTTCTCTTTAATTTCCCTTTATGAATGCTTGGTATAACCTCAGGCGCTTCTGGGAGGACGTGATTACGAGACCCACTCGATATGAGCGAAAATGCCTTGAACGAGGCCGGTTGACTTCTTTGTATTATGCTTTCCTTTTCTGTTCATACGGTTTAATAATTTGTCCGTGGCTCTCTTTTCTGCAACGGAGTGGACATTGGATCTTTCTACTCTTCTCTTTTGTGATGGATTGGCCCGGTTGGTTTTGTTTTTGTGTGTACCAAGTCGCATAGCATGCTTTTTATTTTGTGTTTCTCTTTTGTTTTGATATCCGCGGCAGCGCACCTGTTTTGATTCTTGATTTTGTTTTTATTTTTGACCCTTCGGTTGATAGGAATGGATGATTTTATTACTTTATTTATCTCTTTGTTTGGCTCGTTTCGCTCTTTGGTTGGGTGGTACTTGGTTTGATAGTAAGGAAGATGAGGACTATAAATCTGTAAAGACAAAAGATCAGGGCTACGTATGTTCTTCGTCAGCAAAACTGCCGCGTACACTAGACTAGTTGCACATGTGAATGATAAAACAAGTTGTATAATGCAGACTTACTCTGTCCCCTTCCTTTGAATCTTTCTTAAGTAGGAAGTGAGTAGGTTAGATAGGTTGAATAAGTTAATATACAGATTGAGATCAAACCAATGAACAGATAGGATAGGACAGATTCCATCCTATACATACATACATACATATACATAGATATCAAGATGATCACAGTGAACCCAACGACCCCATCCACGACCTATCCCCCTCCTGCATCGGCTTCCCCTTAACCTTCTTCTTAGGTCCGGTCAAACCCCCCGTCAACTCCCTCGCCTCCTGCAATCTTCGGAGCGTTTCATCCCGGCCCAAGATCGTCATCGTCTCGGGGATGCCCGGGCCAGGGGCGGACGCGGATAGTGCCCAGCGGAGGTAATGGTAGAGTTCCTTCTTGAAGGCCTTGTCTGCTGCGATACGCGCCTTGCGGTGCTCTTCTTCTGGGATCTCGGTGGACGGTGGAGGGGACTCGGGATCGGTGGGCAGGGCGCCGTCGTAGGAGGTGATGTTGAAGCGGTGGGATTCGATGGTCCAGTGGGATGGGGGGACCAGGCTGAGGGCTGCGGCGGCGGTGTGGAGGGCGGAGATGGGGATGGGGTTGGTTGTGGTTTGGCTGTTGGAGTTGGTGGTGGGTGTGTATGCGGGTCTGTCGAGGGTGGTGGTGAAGAAGGTGGCGTTGCGGTCGACGAATTCGGTGGCGTTGGTGTAGGATTTGGCGTCGGCTTGGAGGAGAGGCGTGATGTATTCGGAGAGAGGGCGGGATTGGAGGATTGGTGAGCTGCGATTGGGTTTGTTAAAGGTGTTCTGAGAGTGAACTGTGCCTCTCTTTCGGAGGTAGTGTGTACGTACAGTTGGGCGGCTGGGTAGGTGTCTTCGACGACTTTGGTCACCTTAGACACCATTTCTTCGAATTGAGGCCCGCCAGTTGCGGCAAATCGCTGAGCGTGGGCCTTTTGCAGGAACCACAGTTTCTCAAAGGCAACGACGGTGTTGCCGCGGGTGATTTTGAGGTTGAACTGGTTGACGTTAGTATTGCTGATATACTCGAGTACAGTATTGGGACATACGATTTGTTCCAACTCTTCCAAGTTAAAGACATCTGACTTATTGGTGTGAGACCATCCCAGGAGAGCGGCAAAGTTCACCAGCGTCGTGGCGAAAATGCCCTGCTTGTCCTGAAAATAAGTCAAATCGATATCGGCATTGCGCTTGCTGAGCTTCTGGCCGGACTTGTCCACGAGAAGGGGCACATGGCCGAACCGAGGCGGCGTCCACTTGAAAGCGTTGTATAGCGCGACGTGCAGGGGTGTCGAGGGCATCCATTCCTATTCTCAATGGTGAGCAGTTGATTGCGATTGGCGTGCCTCTCTGGCGACACTCACGGTTCCCCGAATGACGTGGGTGATCTTCATGCAATGGTCGTCGACCACATTGGCCAGATGATAGGTCGGGTGGCCGTCCGATTTGAGCAGAATGGGGTCATCGTACACCCTCTCGATCAGGTCCAGCTTGTTGGGCGAGCGATTTTGCCCTGTCTTGCCGTATACCAAATCGTCGAACATCGGGTATCCTTCCACCCTCAGACGGACCACATGCGTCTCTCCGTTGGCTGCGCGTTCTTCGGATTCCTCGGCGGAGATGTCGGCGCATTTCCTGTCGTAGCCTGGAGGCAGTCCGGCTTCGCTGCGATGTCTCGCGAAAGCGTCCAGTCGATCGGCGGAGCAGAAGCATCGGTAGGCGTGGCCGTTGCTGATGAGATCGTGTGTGTGGGTACGGTAGATGGAAGTTCGCTCGGACTGAAAGTAAAGGAATTCAGGTCAGAATGATGAACACAAGCTTGAATCCAAGAAGTGTAGTGTCTCACCTGGCGATAGGGACCGTAAGGACCTCCAATTGTAGGGCCTGCCAACCAGAAGCGTCGCGTTAGTAAGTCGCCGCCGGTGGAGGTTGGAGTCGGAATTGCGATCGCGCATTGCTAACCTTCATCCCAGTGCAATCCAGCCCACTCGAGGTCTTCGTACAGTCTCTGTTCGGCGCCGGGAATCGTCCGTTTCTGCAGGGCGTGTCGGTCAGCACTTTGTCCGTTGCGTCATGAAGTTGATCGTCCGCGAACCTGATCCGTGTCCTCGATTCGCAACAGAAATTGACCTCCGGTCCGCTTGGCCAGAAGGTAATTGAACAAGGCTGTCCGCAGAGAGCCCAAATGCAGGTAACCGGTGGGCGAGGGCGCAAACCGAGTCCTAGCGGGCGACTCGGGGAGATTGGACTTCTTGGAGCCGCGCTGAGCTGCTGCGGCCCTGGATGTCGCGACCGAGAAATAACGGGCACTGCTGCTGCATTGAGTGCAGATCCACGGCCGACGGACTAAAAGACCCGGATGTCTCATTGTGAAGGGGGGTTGGAAGCGACTGTCGAGGATGGTGCAGGAGGAAGGAAAGAGAAGCAATCGGAGGATCTGCGGCGAGAAGCTCCGACCAGAAAAATAAAAAAGGCGGACTGAATTTTCCCCGACTTTTGGCATTTCCTTAACCCGCATCTTCTCTTCCTTACATCCTCGAGCTTACTTTGGGGTATATTGCTTGGTGCTATAGACGTCCTTCATATTCTCTTTTTGTTTTTAAATCTTGCATCTGAGAACATCTCACAGCCCTCAGTATGTTGGCTCCTCTCATATGGAACGAAAGTCCGGACAAGCTAACGTGCACGCCGATCTAGTGTCGAAAGCCGAAGTCAACCTCTATGGTATGCTCACCTCCTGTGATTTTTCTTGACTCTGTTCGAGATTATTTCTTGCGTCTATTTCACCGCGGTTATGCGATCATCTGAAGTTGGAGACAACAGCTAACCTGCGCGAACAACAGAGGTCCTAGAAATCACCAGCGACGCTTCCAGAGAAGAGATCCGAAAGGCTTATCGCAAGGTACGACACGCATCTACGCGACTTACTTGAGTCACAGTGAGGATGGAACTAAACACATCACCGCCAGGCCGCGCTTGCCAGTCACCCCGACAAGGTTCCCGAAGAAGAACGCGAAGAAGCCGAAGTCAGGTTCAAGTCCGTCCAGGAAGCCTACGATATCCTTTACGATGATGACAAGCGACACCTCTACGACACGCACGGCATGGGCGCCTTCAATGGTTCCGGCGAGCCAGGAATGGGCGCTGCTCCGGATCTAGATGACCTTCTGGCGCAGATGTTCGGTATGGGCGGTATGGGGGGAATGGGAGGTATGGGAGGTATGGGTGGCATGCCCGGCGGCATGCCCGGAGGCCAGTCGCGGAGGAGCCCCAACGAAGAGCAGAAGTACGAGGTGCGCTTGGAGGATCTCTACAAGGGCCGCACGGTCAAATTTGCCAGCACGAAGAACGTGATCTGCGGGCTGTGCAATGGTAAAGGTGGCAAGGAGAAGGCGAAGGCGAAGAAATGTTCTACTTGTGACGGTGAAGGTACGAACACCCCAGAGAAAAGCTCACACTCGAGTCGCGGCGGAACTGACGAACCTTTTGTCTTCTAGGTTACAAGCAGATCTTGACCCAGATGGGCCAGTTCCTCACCCCCAAGACGGTGGCTTGCTCCACCTGTAACGGACAGGGTCAATTCTTCAGCCCCAAGGACAAGTGCAAGAAGTGCAAGGGTCAGAAGACGACGGAGGCCAGGAAGATGCTGGAGATTTACATTCCTCCCGGAGCGAGGTGAGTTGAGAGTTAATGCTGGTTTACGGGTCTCTGTCCAAGTCGCTAACGACATGATTTAGGGAGGGAGATAAAATCGTTCTGGAGGGTGAAGCGGACCAAGTTCCGGGCAAGGAACCGGGAGACATTGTATTCCACATCGTGGAAGAAGAGCATGCTACATTCCGCAGGGCCGGTGCTGACCTGACGGCCGAAATCGACGTCACTCTGGCCGAGGCGCTAGCCGGCTTCTCGCGCGTGGTCATCAAGCACCTGGACGGACGTGGAATCGAGCTCAAGCACCCGCAGAAACCCGGTCAGGTCCTCTCGCCCGGTCAGGTCCTGAAGATCGCCGGCGAGGGTATGCCCATCAAGCGCAGCGACGCCCGCGGTGACCTGTACCTGGTGGTCAACATCAAGTTCCCGGATGAGAAGTGGCAGCCTAGCCCGGCCGTGCTGGAGAAGCTCAAGGAGATGCTGCCCAAGCCGGATCCTCTCATCACGGCGGACACGGTGGACGAGGTCCAGTACGATCCCAAGGGCAACCTAGATAACTTCGGAGCCAACGACCCTCAGGGCGGCAGTGCCTGGGAAGACGAGGAGGACGAGGGCGAGACGGCGCAGTGCGCGGCCCAGTAGATACGGATTGAATTGGTTTATCGTTTCACCTTTTATACCTCTCGTGCTTTGGGTTACATAGGGTTCTGGCATTGGGGGGCGTTATGTCATTGTTATAATTGAGAGACATTTTTTTCTGTGAATAGTAATACGGGTCGACCCTCTCCTCTTGAGCCTGATGACAAGTACCTGCTATATGATATGACATGAAGTGAGATGAGAACTGGGCAACGTGGGAGAGTGGGATGTTCCCAACTTCCTGTAGAAGAACCCCCATGTCTCCATAGTTTAGCGTGGGGTTTCCCGCTCTTCTCCATTCTTTCCCTCTTCAACCAACGAGTCTTCTTTCCAAAGTCCTGGACGCGCCTTCACCATGGCCCTCCCTTCCTCTTCTTCTCATCATCCCGATTCTTACTTAAAGCCTGCTCTGCCTCGTCTGTCGGCTCTCCCTTGTCGGACATCCTCCGTACCGTCGGCTTTTCTTTTCCGGCTTTCTTTGCGTCCCATATAATTTCTACCCAATTCCCGGCCGCTATTCTAGTCAGAGCTTATCGCGCGCCTTTTATCTTGCTTTATTAATCATCGATATCCTACTCCGAAGAAGCCATACTTCCATATCTTTCCCGAGTGCGAACTAGCCGATGAAAATCTCGTCGCTCGCGTGTTCCCTTCGTCCCACCACAGAGATTCCCGACGGACCCAAACTTAGTAGAAGAACGTGGGGAAGAACGCCCCGAATCTGAATCATGCCGTGTGAACCCCAGAAATCGTGCGAAGGCTGTTCCTGCGACGCGGGGACTAGTCGGCCCCCGGTGAACATCGAGGACTGCGAATCCGAGCTACTGGCGCTTCGAAAGCGCACCGCTGAGCTCGAAAAGGCCTTGAAAACCGCCAAAGATGGCTCCTCCGGTCCCCGCGCCGCCCGGAAGGGGCGCAAACTGCGCTCGTCCAATTGGTTTACTTGCGAAAGTAATCCCGCCATGATGGCCCTGTACATCGAGCGGTATCTCAACTACGGCATCACTCGGGAGGAGTTGATGGCCGGCAAGCCGATTATAGGTATCGCGCAGTCCGGATCGGACTTGTCGCCGTGCAATCGTCATCACCTGGAGCTGGTGAAGCGGGTTCGGGAAGGTATCCGAATGGCGGGCGGCATTGCCTTTGAGTTCCCAACGCATCCCATCCAGGAGAGTAGTAGGAGGCCTACCGCCTGTATCGATCGCAATCTGTCCTACCTGGGTCTGGTGGAGGTGCTCTATGGATATCCCTTGGATGGCGTGGTTCTGCTGACCGGTTGCGACAAAACCACTCCCGCCGCGTTGATGGCTGCTGCCACGGTGGTATGTGCTTGCGAAAAAGTTTCCCGGTTGGGTTGGTGGTATGCTGACGAGATTTCAGAATATCCCTGCCATATGTCTGAACGTGGGTCCTATGCTCAATGGGTATGTGAAGAATGAGCTTGCAGGATCGGGGATGGTAGTCTGGAAGGGCCGAGAGATGTATGCTGCCGGGGAGATCAACCAAGAGGAGTTCATTGACTACGTGTCTAGAGGGTATGAGGAAATCCCCAATTTTGAGAGACTTATCTGACAACTTGTCAAAGGGCCCCCTCCGTGGGACATTGCAACACCATGGGAACGGCATCGACCATGAATGCGCTAGCAGAGGCACTAGGCATGGCCCTGCCAGGCTCGGCGGCCATCCCTGCTCCTTACAGAGAACGCGGCCAGTGTGCTTATGAAACCGGCCTGCAGATCGTTGAGATGGTGCACGCGGATCGCAAACCGAGCGACATCATGACTCGCGCGGCTTTTGAGAACGTCATCACCACCAATACGGCTATTGGGGGAAGCACGAATGCCCCCATCCACATCAACGCCATTGCCAAGCATATTGGGGTGGACGTCTCTCTGGATGACTGGGACCAGCTCGGATTTCACATTCCGCTTCTTCTCAACATGCAACCGGCTGGAGAGCTATTAGGAGAGGAGTATTTCCGGGCCGGTGGTTTACCAGCCATCATGGCGGAGTTGCTGGACGCCGGGAAACTGAACCCTGACGCATTGACCTGCAATGGCCACACGATAGCAGAAAACGTCCGAGGAAAGCATACCTGGGATCGCCGGATGATTCGCGCATATAATAAACCCCTTCTGGAGGATGCAGGCTTTCTGCACCTCCAAGGGACTTTGTTCAATTCCGCCATCATGAAAACCTGTGTGATTTCCGAGCAATTCCGACAAAAGTTCTTGGAAAACCCCGACGATCCGATGGCGTTCGAAGGCGTCGTCGTCGTGTTTGACGGACCAGAGGATTACCATCATCGTCTCGAAGACCCGTCCACGCCCATCGACGACCGCAGCATCTTGGTGATGCGCGGTGCTGGTCCGTTGGGATACCCCGGAGCCGCAGAGGTGGTGAACATGCACCCGCCCGGACGTCTCCTACGGGAGGGGGTCAAGTCCCTCCCGTGCATTGGAGACGGTCGACAGTCGGGCACGTCCGGATCTCCGTCGATTTTAAACGCCAGCCCGGAAGCCGCGGCGGGAGGCAACTTGGGGCTTCTGCGTGACGGCGACAAACTCCGAGTTGATCTCAACCGACGTCGTGTCGACATCTTGGTTCCCGCCGAGGAGATCGAGAAGCGACGTTTAGCGCTCGAAGCTACCGGTGGGTACGCTGCTCCGGAGAGTCACACCCCATGGCAGGAGCTGTTCCGGAGGGAGACGACGCAACTGAGCGAGGGAATGGTGCTGCGGGATGCAGTCAAGTTCCAACGCCTGGCGCAGAAGTATGACGAGCCCAGGCACAACCATTAAGATATCACTTGGGGATGTGAGGTTTGATCTTGGTATATTTCGAGTACATATTTTTCGCTATTAGCACTTTTTGAATTTTATTTGGATTCAAAAATATCGATCGTATCTCCTCTTGGACTTAAGCTCATAGTAACTCGGAAGAGAGACAGAGTTCCGTTGGATCACGGAATAAAGACGTCAGAGAGCTCATAATGACTGGCATCTTTTCCCGCACCTTCATCGCCCTTCTAACACTACCCCTCCTTGATTATCTCGGCCCATCTGGTTAATCTATCACTCGAACACACTACTGGCATCACCGTGACCAATTTCCCCAGCTCGAATATCGGCTTGGCTAGTTTGGACACCATGTTGGATACCTTTCTCGATCCCATTCTCGATCCCATTTTAGATCCTTTGCGTCCCATCTTGGAACCCATTTTGGATCCCAGCTCGGTAGCGGTATATCCCACGCTGGAATGGTACTGGCCAGTGGGCATAGTTGGAGGAGTCTTACTTGTGATGCTTCTAATACTATTTACGGTGATATGCTGTGTATGTTCCGTCTGTCCTTTTTATTTTCTTCTGCTTCCCTTGGCTGAGACGCTGTGTAATCCATGCTTACATATAACTGATATTGAAATTACATGTTGATAGAATACCCATCGGAAACCCTCATCAAAGAAGGAACCTCGCGCGTGCGAATCAGAAGGTATGGCCTGGCTTCGTTGTACCTCTATTCCCTGCCTCGGAGTCACTTGTCTGTTTTTCTGTTCTTGACCGGGTAGGGCAAAAGCTGATCCTTTAAATTGGATTACAGTGGAACTCGAAATTGTGGATGCAACTAGTGCTGGTGATGATGTTGATATTGGCGATATTGTCGATATCAACAAAGATAAGAAGACACCTGTAGAAATGGTCTGATGGACTCGTTGGAGTTGAGTGAGGAAAGTTCGAATAGGACCACTGTTTGCGTTGCGTTGCGTTGCGTGTCTTTGCTTCGCTTTGGGGACTAAGCTGGAGGGCTCGAATCATGCGGTCCTTGATCTCGAAGAAAGAATAAAACGTCTTCTCTACTTGCGTTGTCTTTAGTTGAGGATAACCGAGATGAGACACATTCTACAATCTGGTCTACCTTATCACACATCATCATGTGTTTGTTAAGTTAAGCCAGGATTCAACCATTGTCATCCACTACAAAGCAAACGAAGAACCACAACCGTACCCCTATTTCTCCTGGCAATCAGGCTGTGTAGAGTATTGAAGTTCAATTTCAAGTGGAGCCAGCAAAATCAAGCAAATACCCATCTTTCGCATCCACCCAACGTATAGCATGATAGCATTGGATGAAGCAATTCCAATACGAACCATCAGCCCTACGTGACATCATCTGGCGAAGACTCAGCCACGCGTGAGATCGCCCTCGTATTTCCCAGTTTTGCCGTATTGGGAAATGCGTCTATTTAACGTGGTGTGGTTGGATTGGCGGTCTGGTGCCTGATTGCTTGCTTCGGGTGCAGCGGTCAGTGGCCGAGTACGAGGATGCCGAATTGGATTTGTCGGATTGGGGCTTTGCTGGTCGTTCGTCAAGCTTTTATCCTGGGGAGTCGGAGTATATGTAGAGTGAGCTTTCGCTCCTGCTTTCCCCTTTCTTTCGCGAGTGTTTTTCTATGATTAAGTCTAATTGAGTGTGTTTGTGACTGGTCTATTATTGATCTTCATGTATTTCTTTTCCTCTCTTGTTCTCGCGGCTGCTACCGCGTCGGCGGTGGTGGTCAACGTGCCGCCGACTTGTCGGTGTCTGCCATCTCAGCCGTGCTGGCCCTCTGATCAGACATGGCAGGCCCTGAATGAATCCGTCTCGGGCCGTCTCATCACGGTCCGACCAGTTGGCTGGCCATGTCACGATCCTACGCTGGACTCCGCCCTATGTGATGAGCGGAAGGCACTCAGCACCAATTCCTCCTGGCGTCGAGAACAGCCTGGCGCACTGCAGTACCAGAACTGGGAGGCCCTGCCGTCGGCGAACGAGAGTTGTTCCTTGCAGACTCCGAGCTCGGTGCCGTGTGGTCAGGGAAGAGTACCTGTGTATTCTGTTGTCGCGGAGACAGTCGAGGATATACAACAAGCGGTGCGATTTGCACGAGACCAGAACTTGCGTCTGATGGTCAAGAACACGGGCCATGATTTTCTAGGCCGGTCGGGAGCGCCGCATTCTCTGCAGATTGCAACTTTCAAGATGCGCGGGATTTCGTTTAGCGATGACTTTGTGCCTAAAGGGGCCCCAGGGGGTCACGGTCTCGGATCGACAGTGACGGCTGAAGCGGGTGCCATTCTAGACGAGATCTACCCGGCCGTGAAGGAAGAGGGCAAGGTGGCAGTGCTCGGAGCGGCGCATACAGTCGGTGCTGCTGGGGGGTATATTCAGGGAGGTGGACATTCGCCTATTGGGTCCTGGAAAGGCATGGCATCTGACAATGCGGTGGAATTCGAGGTGGTCACTGCAGATGTAAGCATCTACTCCCCATTCCGTGTTTGACAGCTCGTGAACGTGGATTGACACATCAGCATCAGGGCAATCTGGTCACGGCCAACCAGTATCAACACCAAGAACTGTTCTGGGCTTTGCGTGGCGGTGGTGGAGGAACGTTTGGAGTCGTTACCAAAGTCACTTTGCGGACCTTTGACGAGGTGCCCACGGTGGCTGTGAATGTGACCATTTCCATGCCTTGGAGTCCGAACTCCAGCTACTGGCAGGCCCTGGCGGTATTTAGCTCACGTATCCCGACTATCAATGACGAGAATTGCGCAGGATATTTCTTCCTGCTACCGAAGCTTCCCTGGGAGAATTACACCATCTCCGTGCTCCAGATGGATACTTTGTGCATGGATCAATCGGCTGACAAAGTTGACAAGCTCTTTGACTCTGTCCTCGCGCCCATCCGCGCTCTGTCTGATGTTACAGTCGCCTATAACTCGACCTTGTACCCTACCACCAACATGGCTCTAGATGGTACGCTCAGGCTGGGGAGTAACTACGATCGGACCGGTGGTCCATCCATCATGGGCTCCCGTCTGATCTCCCGTGACTTGCTCCAGTCATCCAACGGAGGACGTGATGTTGCTCGGACGATTTCTCAACTGCAGACGAGCGGTGGAGAAATGATTCTAGCCCACTTCGTGGCTGGAGGACAGGTCACTAGAAATGCGGACGTGGAGAGCGGATTGAACCCGATCTGGAGAAAGGCGGCCTTGAATGTGATTTGGACACGCTCCTGGCTTTCTGGCGCCTCGGCCGGCGAGATTCACGCCGTGGAAGAACAAGTCATCCGGGAGGTTGACAAGTTCAGATCTCTCGAGCCAGACATGGGGGCGTACCTCAACGAGGCAAATCCCAACGAAGTGGATTTCCAAAAGTCTTTCTGGGGAGAGAACTATGCGCGATTGTATGACATCAAGCAGAAGGTAGACGCTCGGGGGTTGTTTATTGCCCGCAAAGGAGTCGGAAGTGAAGATTGGGATGACCAAGGTCTCTGCCGACGAGCAGTTTGATCAACCGTTGTCATCGGATATTAGATTGTAGCAGGTGTAGAAATCAAGGCTTAGCAATGCCCAGTACCCAGACTGTTAGTTCTTTCATTCAGAGTTCAGTAAAGGGAGAAGTAGGGCAGCTGAAACATATTGATAATGAATCTGCATGTGTCTCAGAAAGGGAAGCCTACCAACTCGGTCTATGATTCTATGACCAAGTCTGACTTAGCTTAGGCAATTAACGGACATCAAAGTGTACGGTTGACGACATACGACCGTGCATGAGCCACATTTTCAGCGGTGGCTCAGACTGAACTACTCCGTAGCGCGCAACGGAGGTACGCGATTCTTACTATAAGCAGTATAGGGTTAGATGACTTGTGGCTGAGGCTAGCGTTCTCTGGTTTCTCAGTAGATTAGAGAGAGCCCTCGAAGGTCATGGAATAAGCTGCAGGTGTCATAGACCCATCTTCAGAATCTCAAGACACCATCACACCACGTCGCCGTACGGACCTGAGGCTATGTTCTCCGCTTATTTGGCGTAACGGTCGCTGAGTCAGGGCTCCAATTACAAAGAGTCGACCTGCTGACCTCACTAAGCTTTACGACGCTGCGAATTGGATTCTGGATATTTGGGATGTACGTGGTTGTCAGGTAGACGCAGCTCGAGGATTGTGTGCCAAGGCCGTTCCTGGGCCAATTTCCAGGATGCCCTAAACTCGGAACTATGCTTAGCGGCTCCTCTGCTTATGATATTGGATTATTGATTTGAATGTGGCCGTAAGATGATCGGCAAGTCACCAGGATGGCGATAACAAGAGTTCTGGCGATTCGTGTGCCAAGAGGCCAAGTCGGATTCCTTCAGGTTGCCAGAGATGATGAATTCCCAACCAATTCTATAGTCGATAGCATGCACATGGTTGTCAGCATTGGACTCCAGCAAGGATGCAAGTGATAGTCAAAGGAACAAGTCAGTAACTTCCAGCCAAGACGGGCGTTATCGGTCTCGACTTGAGAATTACGGAATCAACGCAGACGATCAGGACTGCCAAGGGGATTGAGTCATCGGGTGGGTGGTGACTGGCTTAGCAAGGTTTCGTAAAGGCTGAGAGAAGTGGATAATTTTGGAAAGTCGAGAGGGAAGCTGAGACTGACGAGTGAGGGATGCAAAACACAGAGAAAAAAAAGTCTTCCGGTGGATCACGGGAAGGCCCCACTCCGCGTAGGGTCTGGGCCGGCCCCGTGATTTTCTACTTTCCATCTGCAATTTTTTCGCGCTTCTTCCCGGCTTCTGCTTCAGACCGCCTCAGGAAGGTCTCCTTTCAAGGCAGCCATCTATTTCTTTTCTTTTTCTCTTTTTCCTTCCTCACTACCCACCCCTGTCCATATAAACCCATCTATCATGTTTTCCATTTCCTCTCTCGCCCAGTCAGAAGCTCGATTCCCGCCATGCGCACCTGACGAACAATAACAAGCAGTCTTGTTTCTCGTCCTCTGTGTGTGTGCGCTGTGCGCTGTGCGCCGTGCGCCGTCGGTCGCTGCACCTCTCCTGATCTTTTCCCCTGAATCCATCTGATTTTCCTGGATTGGTGCCGTTTGGATATCAGCCGATTCGTTCCGTCCGCCGCTCAAGACCCGACGTGGTGTTATCAGCCTCGAACCTGTCGCAATCGGTCGTCTTCAAGAGATTCTGTGTTACCCACCACAAGTCTAAATCGACCGTCCACACCTGTTCCATCCTCATATACGGAGCTCTCTACTTGCACACCGCATTCTTGCACCGACGCGTCCTTGATACCGCAGAAACAACTAAGCAGTGCCGTTTAAAATCGTTCCAACGAATCCAATCCTCCCCCGAAGACATTCAAACACACCCTCCGCGGTGATTGATTGTCTCGCAATTCTCCTTGTATATTTTTTCAGGTCATACTTGTTTACACTTTGTCAAGATGGCTGTCGACCTATAATTTATCCTCGTCCCTCGTCTCGTCTCGTCTCTTCTCGCATCGCATCGCCTCCTCCATCTTCACGCATCTACGTTACCTTTTCTTGATCAGCAATTAAGCGAGTTTATCCTTCCTGTTTTTCGCGTCCCGGCTATCATGGCGCCCAACCTCTTCCTCTGCCTGCGCATGGCCTTCTGTCCTGTGTACTGGTTTCAGCGCGGAGAGCGCATTCAGGGTTCCATCCACAAGGAGGAACACTGGGAATCCCCCATTCCTGGAATCTACAAGTACATTCCCGGCCGCGGATGGCACCTGATCTGCAAAGATGGCAACGAACACGATGAGAAAGTTCCGGTGCCTCTAGTTTACTGTCGCATCCTTCACCGCCACATCTTCGAAACAGAGATGGAAGATCGGTGCCAGTGGCACACTGTCCACGACGGTGCTGAGCCCGAAAAGTTCATGTTCTTCCGCTTGGACGATGGCAACACCTGGGTGACCGGATGGGACTCCAAGGGCAAGTTTATCCCTGGTCCCTACCAGAAATGGTACCTTGACTCGGAAACGAACACCATGCGTCACATTCTGTTCCCCGAGAGCGCCAACGTTTCTCGCTGCAGCGTCCTGGCGGACAAGTTGGCTTGAACGCCGACTTCTGGCTTACTCCGATTACCACGGAGGCGGTCTTCTGTACGATGGACAGATCGCATATCGACCTTCCCGGGACATAGATGGTTTTGATTCCACAGCTGGTGTCTCTGGATTCTCAACCAAACAAAAAGTGATTTTAAAAAAGTGATTCTTATGATTCTGGAGCAATTTCCCTTATTACCCCTGAGCGTACTAGCGAATGCTTGTCCGCGTTTCCTACCAATGTTTTTCTTTTGTTTTTCTGTCTTGTATTCAAAGCCCTGTTTGGACTTGGCGATGGCGCTGGACTTTAGACCCGGGATAGAGTTATGATTCTTTTTACCTCTTTCATATGATACCAATGTTGCGATCCACCCAAAAAGTTTGAAACAAAAAATTTTAATACGAATCTATTTCATAACTCATTCAAGTGAATCAGGTAGCAGAGAAATAGACTGTATGGTCTCACCGAGCCACGGACACCTCGTATGCCCGACGCACATCTCGGACAGGTCAGAAATGCACGCTGCAGAGGTCGTGCATCCGCTGCAAGTCCTGCCTCCGACGGTATCTGTGATGTAGCTGCATATCGCATATCGCATCTGCACCTCCGAACCGGTCTGAGGGATCGACAAAGCCACACGAAAGTTTGATGTCCGAAGAATCAGAAAAACCTTATCATGTCCAATTAGAAGGCCTGGGCCACCCTCCTTGACAAAATTCAGATTGTATAGACAGCTGGAAGGCAGGGTGACAGCAAACCGTCAATCCATTCCACTTGTTTATGTGTATTGTCTACCGATGTCACCAGGACACCGATCGCTACCCAAAACCTAATCATGAATCTTCCCCTTTGGCTGTCCGATCTCGGGCAAGACTCCCCTAGTCCTGTGGCTTCAGCCATGCAGCACCACATCCATGTCACAACTTCGCGGCCGCCGCGCCCGTCGTCCCCTTCAGCAACTTCTCCAGCTCCCGTCGCGTCCTCTCCTCCATCCCCGCGCTGGTCGGTCTCATCGTCTCCCTTGCGACAAACACATGCGTGTACCCACCCACCACTTTCACGGCGTCCTCGCCCTCCTTGAACACCCCGACTTCGTAGGTGACGCTCGACGACCCGAGTTTTGCGACGCGTAGGCCCAGATCCAACACGTCGGGGAAGGAGACTGAGGCGAAGTAGTCGCAGTAGGAGTTTACCATGATGGCGACTTGGTTTGAGATGGGCGATGCGTTGCTGTCTTTGTTGTTGTTGTTGTTCATGGAGAAGGGGTCCATTCCGCAGTTGGTGATTAGGTAGGTGTTGACGATGGAGTCGAAGAGCTGGGCATATACGGTGTTGTTGAGATGTGCGTACATGTCGTTGTCAAACCTGGGATTAAGGATTAGCTGGTTCTGTTTGGGTATAGACGGAATGATCGTAGTAGAAGATAAGGGAGTGGAGCGGCGCGGAGCTCGTGCACTAGGTGTGTGTACCATCTTGTTCGGTAGGTCTGGTGGAAGACATACTCGCCGCGAGTGCGACGCTTCTTTGCCTCGATCTCTGGGGAAGGCATGGTGATATGTATGAAGTTACGGATGTGAGGAGGAGGGGAGTTGTGAAGCCAAAAGTATGAGGATGAACCATCAGCCGAGGTTCGTCGATGCCGAAGCCGCCTTTCCTAAAGAGGTTTAGTGGGGGATTTCCCCGACTTTCAGATGATTTCGACTTTCCCCTTCCCTCGATCTTTCTTTCTTTCACTCTTTCGCACTTTATCGATATGAGATCGAAAAGTCTATTCAGCATCTCATTCATGTGAAATAATACATTTGAGCCATGATTTCTGTACACATCCCAGTACATCCGATATCGGCTCTGACCGGTCAACAGTATGACATCTTGGCGTCATCTTAGCCTATTCGCAGGGCTGAGCCTGAACAATAAATGTGCCGTATTACTTCGCGATTCAGATTCTGAATCGAGTTGAGAATTTATACCATGGCTTCTGGCCTTTCTAGCTTTTTGGATCCATAATTACATCATATATACCAAAATGGAAGTGGTGGCCGCTCTCGGTGCCTGGGCCTTGGGCAAGTTCAACACCTCTTTGCCATGGATCAACGATTCCATTGCCCACCATCCAGCTCGCATAAGCGTGGATCTGGGCCCGAAGCTTTCAAATGGCGCACAAATTTTCTTTCCCAGTACCCCAGGATTCGAAGCGGCTACGGCCCGGAATTCGCAGTATAGCGTCCCCAATGTCACGGTGGTCGTGCAAGTCGCGCAGGAAGAAGATGTGGCTGAAACGGTGGGTTTTCAGCGAGAACTCTTGTGTGAGTAACTCTGACAGACGGAAAGGTCAGGTATGCCAATGCCAATGACATCCCCTTTTTGGCTGTGAACAGTGGCCACGGCGCCCTGGCTAGCTTGGGAGGTGTACAGCATGGTATCGAGATCTGGCTGGACAAGCTGGACTCGATTTCCATCGCCGATGATGGTAGCACGGCTACCTTTGGAGGAGGCGTGAAATCAGGAATGGTCATTGATACGCTGTGGGAAGTCGGGAAGCAGACCGGTATGTCATCGCTGAAATCTTGATCTAAGATGTTGAATTGACTGTGCCTAGTAACGGGTAGCTGCGAATGTGTTAGCCTCCTGGGACCGGGACTAGGTGGTGGCCATGGCTTCTTACAGGGCAGATATGGCCTCGTTTCAGACCAGTTTGTCTCGATGCGAGTGGTGACTGCCGATGGCATTATTCGCACCGTCTCGTCCTCTGGTCCACATGCGGATCTGTGGTGGGCTATGCAAGGTGCTGGCCACAATTTCGGGATCGTGACTTCTGTCACCTCTAAAATTCACGATGTGTCTTATGAGGGACTGTGGTCGTATGAAAGCTATGTCTTCACCCATGACAAGGTTGAGAATCTCTATGATCGTATCAATCGATACTCTATCGACGGCGTCCAGCTGATAGATCTCATCAACTACTCGTTCTTCTTTCGCAGTCCAGATATGGATCCGGAGAATGTAAGGTTGCGCTTCTCTATAAATCATTGATCTTGCTGACAGACTCAACCGCAGCCCGTCATCGCCCTCTTCCTTTTCCAGCAGGGCAAATCTGCCGTTGAGTCCGTATATACAAAGCCATTGAGAGATCTCGATCCTATTGTGGTCAGCTCCGGATCAGGAACATACAAAGAGATACCATCATGGGCATCCACTTCCAGAGACTCCCCTGCTTGCCAAAAGGCCAAGATTAGCAGTGTTTGCTTCCCGCTCAATCTCCGGTCCTACGATACCCAAGCGCAACGAGCAGCATTCGATGCTTTTGCCGCGGGAACATCCGATGGTTCAGAGTTTAACAATTCCGTCTTACTATTCGAAGGGTACTCCGCGCAAGGCGTGCAGTCCGTGCCCTCTGAGTCCACGGCCTACCCTCACAGAGAGCATCCGTTGCTCGTCTCGCCGCTTATTGTGTACTCTGATCCGGCGCTTGATGACAAGGCGCGGGAATTTGGAGAGAGTTTGCGAGAGATCTTTTTCCGAGCGACGGGTCAGAAGGAACTGCATGCGTATATCAACTATGCGTCAGGGCACGAGAATCCGGGGGATTGGTATGGGCATGAATCGTGGAGATTGGAGAGGCTGCGAGTGTTGAAGGCAAAGTACGATCCTCAAGGGAAGTTCCGATTTTACGGACCTATTGCTTAGATTTAGGTGAATTGGACTAGTCCAGCCAAGTCCCTCGGGATATATTTCCGTCCGATGAGGGAAATTTGGATTATCACGGAATGAAGACGTCAGAAAACCATGGTGACGAGACTATGACTGTCATATCTTTATTTTCTCTTCCCTTCTTTTCCGTCTCCTTTTCTGCACCTTCGTCATCTTTATTACACCTACCCCTGGTCATATCATCCCATCTGGTTTATCTACCACAATATCGAAAGCACTGCTATCTTGACTGCCAGCTCGACCGCAGCCCCTGGAATAATGGGCGACTTCAAAGAAGGCGTAGACTCCGGCCTATGGTTCGTGGCGCATGTCATCGTGCCGGTGGTCACAATTGTTGGAGTACTACTTGGAATGGTAATTCTGGTGATGATTATGGCCATCTGTATAAGGAAATTAAGCGTTCGGGCCTCCTTACCCTTTATCTCCCCCTTTTCTTCTCTTATGTCTCTTGGCCAAGGCGCTGTATGATCCATGCTTGATACTTATACTTTACTTGTGCTGAAATGTCATATTGATAGGCGCGGCTGAGCTCTTCATCAACCTCACAAGAAATAAATCTTGGCGTCTGGGGTGATCTTCATTCTCAGTCGACGCCCTCACCAGGTGAAAATGATCGCTTCTTGCAGGCGCTTGAAATCGAAGGTACTTGGCACTTGTATTCGCTGCCCTGAAGTGGCTTGTCTAATTGTTTTTGACGGGGTGTGATAGATGCTGAATTAATCGTTTGACTGACAGCCGATAAGACGGTGGGAATTGTGGTGGTTATGGCATTTATCTTTGGGGCGATGGTTTTCAGGACGATATGGGTCTTATTGAAAATATCATGAAACAGTGGGCTTGATGGGTTGGGTTGCTTTGAGGCCTCGAATCAACAGGTTGATTCTATTTACAAGATAGAAAAGAACGTATGTTGTCAAAATATATAGTGCTAGACTGCGACAAGAGTAGTATTCTACCCGTTATCTGCGATAAGATCCCCCGCAGCCCGAAATTTTCCCCCCTCGAAATATTTTCGTCTCTCTCCCTTCCCACAACATCAAATATCAGACCTCCTCCCAAGCCCACCATTCAACCTCCATCCCCAACCTTTCTGCGCCTCCGAGTCCTTACGCAACTGCTGCGACAAGGCAAGGCTCCTATCCCTGCACCCCGCAGCATGGTCGACCCGACCGCGCAGCCTCCTGTCGAGGCAGCAGCACCGCCCAAAGGCGAAGAGGAACAAACCACGGCGACCTCAACGATCACCACGACGAGCTCCACGACCTCGAGCAAAAAGAACTGGCCGGCTCCGTATTACTACGAGAACGGGCTGAGACGCGTCAAACCGTATCATTTCACCTATAATACTTTCTGCAAGGAACGGTGGCGCAATCGCGAGTTGGTCGATATCTTCATTTCTGAGTTCAGGGATCGCCCGCCGGAGTATTATGTGCGTTTCCCTCCTTTTCTACCGTACCGTGAACTACGGAGCTACCTCTAGTGTCGTGTATACGATGAGATGAGAACTAACCAATCGCAGAGACAAGCGCTCATCGACGGAAAAGTAACCGTCGACAAGAAAGCCGTGGGCCCGCACCACATCGTTAAGAACGGCGAAGTGATCTCGCACACGCTGCATCGCCATGAACCCCCCGTCACGGCCAACGAGATCGGCGTCGTCCACGAAGATGACGACCTCTTGGTCATTGACAAGCCGGCCGGCGTCCCCGTGCACGCCGCCGGTCGGTACTACTATAACTCGATCATCGAAATCCTGCGCCACCAGCATAACATCGACTGGACGCCGAGGCCGTGTAACCGGCTCGATCGCCTGACATCGGGGGTCATGTTTATCGGGAAGAATCCGAAGGGCGCGGAGAAGATGGCGGGGAAACTGAAGCAGCGCACAGTGCAGAAGGAGTACGTCGCGCGCGTGAAGGGGAGGTTCCCTGACGGAGTGGTTATCTGCGACCAGCCCATTATGTCGGTTAGTCCGAAGGTCGGGTTGAATCGTGTCAGAGCCACGGGGAAGGAGGCGACTACGAAGTTCCGTCGGTTGGCGTATTATCCGCCGCCCACGGAGGGCCAGCTGGCGGGGCCGAGGCCGGCCTCGCGCGATGGGGACGACAGTCGACCCGCGACGCCGCCGCCGATGCTCTCGAATGAGACGGAGGGCTACAGCATCGTGCACTGTCTGCCGCTGACGGGTCGCACGCATCAGATCCGCGTGCACCTGCAGTTCCTGGGCCACCCGATCACGAACGATCCGATCTACTCGAACCGGCGCGTGTTCGGGCCGGAGCTGGGCAAGATGGAGGAGGGCGGGGAGCGTGACGACGAGATCATCGAGCGGCTGAATACCATGGGCAAGACCGAGACGCCGGACACGGTGAGCTACAAGACGCATTTCACCGCCGCGCCGATGGTCCCGCCGGGCACCGATTCCTCCGTGGTCGAGCAGATCATGTCCAAGGAGCACGAAGACGCCGTGGCCCGGTATCATCAGCGCAAGGGGGAGATGCTGTCCGGCGAGACCTGCGACGTCTGCGGCACTGAACTGTATACCGATCCCGGTCTGCACGATCTGGGTATCTTCCTGCATGCCGTGGCCTACTCGGATAACGAGGGCGAGTGGAAATATCGTAGCAAGATGCCGCAGTGGGGACTGCCGCCGGCTGGATTGGATGGGCCTCGCGAGGTTCCCGACTGGATCCCTGTGCCGCCGGAGGAAGAGGAGGTGATCGGGCATGGTACGATTCCCGAGGGATTGGACGGTGAAGAACCCAACGTACCGGCTCTGGTGAGAGGTGTGGGCTTGGTGGACATTTCGTCGGCGAGGCAGCAGCAGCAGCAGCCGGCGGAGCAGGGTGTTTAATCAGACAAAGAGCAAAAAATCGACAGTGATTGTAGGGGGATGTGATGAGGATAGATTTTAAAAATGATCGATACCTGCATATAGAATATGACATGGCATAATGCATGACTGGACACATGGCAGATAATCTCTACACATGAGACATGAGACATCACCAACATTTACACATCGATAAAGTGGGGGAGAGCAAAAGCCATCTACGATCCACCATACCCCCGATAGAAGAAACTAGATAGATAGCAAAGCGATCAAGCTCATGCACATGCACATAATCTGAAATTCGTTTCGTTACGTTTTAAACCTTGACCCGCAATTCTTTTTTTGCACTTCATCGCCACGAGAATTTGATTCAATTCACGACCATACAAGTAGAAACCGCAAAGGTCGATCGACACACGACACCACGTTTAAGAACAGAGATCCCCATCGTGTTAGTTTTAAGATGTCCGTTCCGCCCAAGGATATATGAAACTGGTTATTTTTTGGAATTCTTGATGATTGAAAAGGTTTTCCAGTAATAAAAATTAATTCATTTAAGCCTCGGTGGTGACACGGCCACGAGGGTTGGTGACCTTGACGCCGAGCTCCTTGGCCTTCTGGATGATGTCGACACGCTTGCGGGAAGAGACGGCGTGGCCGATCCTGTGAGATAATGTTAGCCTCGTTGCGAAGGACTAGGTTGAGCGGTTTCTGTGGACAGGGAGACGTACTCAGCAGCGTAGGTGCGGTTGTGCATGAGCAGCAGCTCAACGTCCTTGGGGTTCTGGACGAGGAAGGCCTTGTGACCCGAGGGCATCATGTGGCGGGTCTTCTTGTTGCTGCCGTATCCGATCTATCGATAGAACTGGGATTAGTATTCGGTCGTTTTTATAGATCAGGATTGCGCGGAATCCCGCAAGGGCGAAAACGTACCGAGGGCATGGGGATGTTGCTCTTGAAACGTCTACGGACGCGGTTGTCGATACCCTTGGGCTTGCGCCACGACTCACCGACACGCATGAAGCGGTCGGACTGGTGGCGCCAGAAGCGCTTGGTGCCTGTAAAGTACCAAGTCAGTTTGGAGATTCTCGATCGAACATGATTGTGTTTGTCTCGTGGTAGGTGGTCGGTTTGATGGTTGAGATGGGTCGTCGGAAAATTTCTTCTGAATCGTTCCAGATCATCGCAATCCAGATATCGCTCAGCAAGTCAATGTCAGAGTAGATAAAAAGTGTTTTCACTTCGGTTTCACGTTCGAGGTTCTTTTTTTCATCGGTGACGAAATGATGGGTTCCAAATTCGAGTATTGCAAAAGTCTTTCCTCCGCTCGATCAATTCGCTCGTAAATCAATTTCTTCCGGCTTGTTCTCTTCTTTCGTATTGACAAACGCTTGCTGAGGATATATGGACTGCATTGAACTGAAACTGGGCTGGACTGAAGGTTCTGACAAAAGGGCAGGATGTATTTCAGGATGGCAAGGCAACATACGCTTCTTGACGATGGGGACATGCTTCTTTGCGAGGACCATCTGGACGAAATGATAATTAGTATACGGCGCGACGAGGCAGAATAATCGTATCGTCCGGGAAATAACTCACCTTGTCGGTGTCGTAGGGTCCGTGACTGGCGCTCAGAGTTGTCGTGACGGTTCGAATTCGATCTCAAAACTGTTCGCTGAGGTTTGGCCGAGTCGGCGCTAGTGCCTCGCTAAGCGAGTCCCGTTTAGAGCGACTTAGGGCTCGATCGGCCAACCCTGCCAAGTCTGCGATGGGGGATTATGTCATCTTCGTTGCTGAAGCTTCTTACTAATTCGATCTCATGCATTGTTCTAGTTCCCTTCTTCTATCGAGTACGCAGAGATAGCAGCTACCTAAGGACTGGTCTTTATTTGCAATTGCAATCGCTTCTTCTCTCCATCCTCTGAACTGCTCGTGAACATCCCTTCCATCACTTCCAGATCAGCCAGCGCTTCTTCCGGTCGCAATGCCGCCGCAATGCCGGTGCCTCCGACAATGCTCGCCCCGAACTCGCCGATCTCCTTGTTGACGCAGCGACCCTCGAAGGGCACCTCATACCCAGTTCCGTTGACCGTCACTCGATCCCCGTTCAGTGTCACGACACCCCCGTCGCAAGTGAATTCAAACGTGGAATCAGTCAACGTCGAACCATACGAGATCGACACCACGCCTGTCGCGCCCGACCTAGTTTTCACGACCGCGTCTACCGTGTCCACAGGAGCAAGATGTTGTTGCTGCAGACACGACTGCGCAGATACCGTGGCGAGAGCGTCAGTCGACCCGAGAATCAGCCGCAAGCCGGCCACCATGTGAACACCGCCATCGAGGACGAAACCGCCCTGATACGCGGGCGTTTGGCGCCATTCCGTTTCTGCAGAGGATCAGCTGAGCGGGCACCCTTCAAACACGCGTGAGACAGTCCGGCGAAAAGAACCTACTGTAGTACTTGGAGTCCGTCTTGATCAAATTGCGCACGTTGACGCGGAAGTTCTTGACTCCGCCCAGCTTGCGCACTTCCTCGGCGGCGCGGACATATTTGCTCACGTAGCGGAAGTTCTCGGCCACGGCCCACAGCACCTTCGTGTGGTCGACGTTGGCCTCGTACCAGGCGATCAGGTCCTGCGCCGTGGCCAGGTCTTTGGCAATTGGCTTTTCGGAGAGGACATGCTTTCCTGCTGCTAGCGCCTGGCGGATGAATTCGGGCTGGACAAGAATCGGCAGACTATCGCGAAGGCCTCGTAGATTAGCTCATTGTTCGGTATCCCGTATGCTTCTCCGACGCGAAACGTACGCGATAATCACTGCGGCAATATCCTCGCGCGACAGCAAGTCGGCGTAGCTTTTGCCAGGGCCGGAATCCTCCGAGTACAGGTCGACCCCGGAGACGCCGGCGGCGAGGTTCTGCGCCGAATTAAGAGATCGCGAATAAATGGCCTTGAGGTCGAACTCTTTGGCCGCTTGCACACCGGGCTAGCACGTTGTTAGGCCCCACCGGAAGAGACAATGGTGTGGATTGTAGGGCAATGATGCCATACCAAATGTTCCTCCCGCGCGAAAATCCCTGCCGTTTGGTCAGTGGAATTGACTTCTTCGGATCTTCGATGATCGCATACCACTTCCGATAATAGCAACGCCGACCGACATAATGATCTGAGGTTGGATGGATGAAAATATGGTGATAATCAAGGCAAGTATATGTATGAGCCCAAGTTTTCGCAAGGATTACTGAATCAATGGGTCTCGTCGGCGGATGTGTGGATCGAGAAGCCCGTCCGGGTTCCCCGTATCAAATATAACAAAATCCATCCTGAGCCCGGTGGGTCAAGCATTAAATTAGCTCCAGACCCCGTTGGCGGGGTTGAAGAGGCGATCCCAAAGCCGCTGAAACCCCCAATGGAATGCGAGTTGAAGAAAGGACATGGTGGTAAATCTCTTGCATGTACAGATGAATTATAGCCTGCAATCAAAATATAGCCAATATAGATGCTGTAGACAAATATGAACAACGCCCAGTAGGCCGCAGAGACCAATACTGATCAAGAACACTGAAACAATTTCAACCAACGCCATGCCAAAATGCTGTTCGTAATCTTCATGGGCAATGACCCCAATCCATCAGGTCATGTCTCATGTCAAATCCAAAATTATATAGAAGATGCGTGGATGCCACCAACACAAGGGTATAAATAACCAAATGACAATGACGACCAGTATCCAAAATCAAACAGAACGATATGGGGTAGTATGTGAAAAGAAATGCCAAAAAGCAATAGAATCAAGAAGAAAAAAGAAAGAAGAGGAAGGAAACAGGCTGTCGAAGGTTGGCTACCCGACTAAAGCCCGAATGCGTTCGACTCTTTCCATTGCCTTTTCAAGGCGCTCGAGGCGGTTGCGTTTCTCAACGTCTCGTCGTTCCAGCATCGCGACTCGCTCTTCCAATTTCGCCCGTGCTCTCCGTTCTTGGGCGACCATCTCGTTGGCCTGGCTGAATAGCTGTGCCGTCAACTCTTCCAGTTCAGTATTGGCCTGCGTGAGCTGCGATTCCGCTTCCCGACGTAAGGTCTGCTCCCGGTTCAAAGCATTCTGCCATTGGATCCTTTCGTGGTCCGGAGGCTGCGGCGGCGAGGGCGGAGTCGGAGCGACAGGCTGCGCGGGCGCTTGCGGGGGCGTTGCCGGCGCGGCACTCGGGCGACGATAATGTAGGAGCGAGGTCAGGGTCGAGAGACGGCCGCCTTGTTGGGTCTGCGAGTGAGACGACTGAGGCGGCGACAACGACCGATCGACTTCATTGGATTTGGCGGACGACAGGGACGATATGGAGGAACCGTTGCGGGAGTTGTGGACGGCGGCCTGAGCGCGGAGACGACGGACTTGTTCTTCGTACTCGGCGAGCTTTTCAGCTGGAAGGGTCATGGGGGCCAGATCAGCATATGCAGGGTTAAACCCGGCGTCATCGCCAACGGAGGAAAAGCGTGGTTCAATCCTTACCCATATGTGCCGCCTGGACATTCAAGCATTCGATATGGCCCTCCAATTCATGGACTTTCTTCTGGGCATTGGCTGGGAGGGGTTGCGACGGAATGGCCTCCTGGCCACAGGTTGGGCAGTTCTTCCCCGAAACTAAGGCCGTCGCATCGGTGAAGGTGGGAAGCATTCCGACCAGCGTGGTAGACGTTAGAGCGGTGGTCGTGGTCGTAGTCGACATTATTCGTAAGGCATGGAGAAGTGGGAAGAGGGATAATCGAAGAGGGAATCCACGAGAGGAAGAAGTTGTCTGAGGAAATGAAAGGGTGTCACCGCGATGGATCCGTGTCGCGGAAAAGCCCGAGCTGGAAGAAGTCCGGGGCGGGATGAGCGCTTAAATAAGGAATTGGGTAGCGGCAAACAAAGAATTGACAGGACGCGAGGGGAAAGAAAGAATCAGGTTCCCAGCCAGTATGAAAGAGAAGAGCAAGGAAAAAGAAAAAAAGAAGGCGAAGTTCAGATGGAGAAGGAAAAGAGAAAGGAAAGTCGGTGGAATTGATTGATTACTGTACCGTATTGGGTATTGTTGACGGCCTGAACTCTCAGGTGGGAAAGAGGAATTTAAGGCCACCAACTATTTTCTCTTTAACTCTCTACTCTCTACTCTCTGCACTCTACACTCTACACTCTACCTTAGATACAGGCTACGCGCTGGATGGTGTGCCCTGGGCAAAGCCTGATCGCCCTTCCATCCCCGGATCTCACTCGCACACGTGTGGATCGCCCTGCGCCACTCGTGTGAGCTCATGACTCGTCACTTTTCAGCCCTGGTTTAAATCGATTTGTCTCAAACTAGAGGCTTGTTCTCAACCACATTAATCTATGTGTTTGCATTGATACCTACCTATACTGCTGAATCTAGTTTGTACTACAGAAACAAAATATGGTCACATATCCAGCCATCAAATCGCATTACACTGCATAACTCCCTTGCAACTGTCTGCCCAACCTCCATGCACTGTACCTACATACATACAACTCCAGTCGCTAGGGAAACCCCCAGCCCTCGGTACAATGGAGTTCTCTATGGCAATATGCATGGTTACTTTCCATCCCTTGCGCGGAGATAGGGAAGTTACGCTGTTACTCAGGTACGGTCCGTTGGTGTTATCCCTTGCGTTGCAATGATCTCCATGGTCCGATGATATCATGAGAAGGGCCTGGTATCAACCTCGAAAAGTCGCTTGACTTCACTTATATGATTCCCCGCTACCAACATGGAAGAAGAATTTCTCTCGGTGGATCACAAGCACATCCGAAACTTATGATCAAATAACGTCACTTCAGCCTGCGTCATGCGACGGAAGAGGCTGCGTCTGTGGAACACGGAGTTTGTTTCACCACGGACGTTTTACTCAGCTAGTTGTCCAGGCTATTTGAAAGTTGAGTGTCAAACAATAAGCTCGCTTCGGCCAGTGAGGCTCATGAAGGGCTTGATAAGCGCCTGCTATCTACTACACAATAGCTGTTGTGCCAGACTCGACTCGCGGTCATATCAGCCTTTGCTCTACGTTGACCAGCAGACTAGCTCTCACCCATCAAATACTGAAAAAGATTCACTTGTTCTACACGCTAGATATGACTTCTTCAACATTCAATCTTGGATCAATTGCGCTCCAAACGAGTGACAAACGGAAACGTTACTTCATCAGCATATATCATCACACATTATCCAGAGACAAGCCCCCTTTCGCATCGCCGCCATCCCATTTCCATCATAGCATAACATTTGACCAAACTAGACATTGCCCACCAACACCAAAGCTTGCAAAATCCTCCGATCCGTGAGAGAGATAACCATAGCCATTGCTCCACTCATGATACCAAACGCGCACGTCATAGTCGACCACCCGCTGACATCCATGAGCAGACCAGCAACCAGAGGCCCCAGCACCTGGCCTCCAAACCAAGCGACGTTGAACAGGCCGGATGCCTGCGCCATCGCGCCCTGCTTCCCTAAGATCCCAGGGTGCGCTTTATCCTCGCCTTCGACCGAATGGTCGACTTCTGTCATAGGGCGACCATTTGCATGGTTGTGGCGACGCCGGCGATGAATAGGAAGATGTAGAGGATTTGGTCGTGGGTCGTGTTTTCGGTGATAAGGCGGAGGAGTAGAAAGACTGGGCAGCTGAGGGAGAAACCTAGGAGGCAATGAGTCGAGGACCGCAGCACCTGTGTTTGGTTTTGTGAGTATTGACATGACATTATGTTATGAGTATAGGGTTGGGGAAGAGCAATGTACCGACTTGAGGCGAAGAGGATGGGGCGATTAAGGGCAGAAAACAGAAGCCTATCAAGTCCGGTTCCCTTTTGAATGTTCTCATGACGTATATGACGTACAATGGAAGAACCTGGATAGGAAGAGTGAAACATTCGAGACTTGACACCCCTAATAAGAGTATGTGGTAAGTATATAGTACTCTAGGTTTTATATTTAGTCTGAGTAAAGTTAGAGTATTAGAAAACTTAAATTTAGTATGTAAAGCCTACTCCGGGCTCTATAATACTATATTTAAGCAGCCGCTGCGCCTACAGCTTCAACTTCCCTACTCGCTCTAATAATATTTTTGGAAAGTAGTTCTCCGCGGGCCGGAGAGTCGGTTGGCAGAGAAATATGCCCACAGTTTCATGGTAGTTGTTCCTATTAGAACACACAAAGCCTTCATTAGCCTTACTGCTCTCTACTCTAATCCACTGAGGAAGAGATCTGATAAGAAGTGACTTAGATATACTGGGTCGTATGTACTCCGTCGCCATAATACAGATTTCCCAGGAAGATACATACGACTCCGGGCTTGAACTCAGCTAGAAGAATCTCTTTATGTGTCAACACTATAACGTATCTAATCATCACTAGTAGATTCTTGTTATGCGGATGATAATCACTTTGATATTAGTGTCAGCAACTATCAATATAGAATAAAACTACAAAAAGAACACAAAGAGAGTACACTTATCATCTCGATAAAAACCTGCTGCCTCCCTCCAGGATTAACCCGAAACCTAACTACCAACGTAAGAATTCAATTTTAAAGACCGTTTCTTACCTATTGCCTCTTTGGAAGACATACTAAAACAAGGTCAGCGCGGTCGCCACGGCAATATATAATAGATAAAAGGCTAGCTTAATATAAACGTCTAAAAAATCGAGTAGCCTCGTCGTGCGCTACGTGATAACCGGAAAAAAGGTTTTTTAATCAAGAATATCAGCGTCGAAGTACGGTTTTAGATCTGTTTAGATCTGAGCGGCTAGATCCCAGGAGATAATATTGCCGCCGTCGCGAGTGATGATTGGGATGAGGGCTTTGGGAGTGGTGCAGGAGTGCGTGTTTTGTTCTCGAGTGTGTCTGGTTATTGATGATGGCGGTGTATAGAGTAGAATGATGGAGTCGGGTAGGAGGTGTCGCTTACATCTATTTATATACTATAGTCCTACCCGACAGACGGTTCTTTCTTATACCCCTGTCATTCGTCGTCATTCAAGCTAACCCTGGTATCCATTTCCCCATGACTGGCTCCGATAGCCAGCCAGCCAACTAACTAACTTATATTGTACTATGCACACATTCGGCGAGTCAAAAGAGAACCCAACCGGCCCAGCACCTCCACTAACACGATACGCCCATCTAAACCCAAACCAGCAGATCGAGAGAGAAAGCGAGCAACAACGTCCACCTCCTCTATTATTGCGGGTTTCTTGCCCGACAGGAGATGCAGGACACGCTAAGCCGGATCCGGCAGGATAAGAGAGAAACCATAATCGTCGGGTTCTCTTTGTTCAAGGCAGCATCTGGTTATGGTGGTATGGGAAAATAGATCTAAACAAAGCCTGCCAGGAAACAGACACATTAAATACACCTTTCTCGATGGGCAAAAAAAGATACGGCCCGAGCCGCGGATCGAACGCGGGACCTCTCGCAGATATGCTTGGGTTGGAACCCCTGGAGTTGTTGTTAGTAAAGGAAAATTTGGATGGTATATGGTTGTGGAGACATACTAAGCGAGAATCATACCACTAGACCACCCGGGCGGTTGATGAGGCGAATTTTCAGATTTGAGATATAGAAAGACGTGCACGGTCCATCAGAATATTTGGTATGATCCGTGTCAGACAAATCGTATTTAGAATCCAACCGCACTGCAGGACAGGACTCTGATTCTGGCGGTTCAGTGCAGGTAGATATCTTCAACTAGTAGTTCTTCGAAGTCATTTGTATAGGTATAGATAGCGTCGAATGCATGGCAGCTCTATACTCAGGTCTGACTAACATCATGCATGCCTACTACGCGTATATAGTAGGTAAGAAAATGTCTAGTTGCCTCTACATGAGATCTATATCTCCTTTAAAACCAGGATAAATACAGTTTGCATATCAATTCTATATGGTCTCTACCGCAGGTGGGAAACGTAGGCTACCTCTGGTGCAGCAGCCGAAGAGACCAGCGACGACAAAATCGGCTTTCTAGTAGGTAGGTCCAAAGCTGCCCGCTAGTTCGCATGCAAATGGGCTCGGAAATCGTTTATTTCTTTTCTCATGAGCGGGACGAAGATACGAATAGCCCCAGAGTTTCCCGACAGAGAGGCAGAGAACCGCAGCGGCTACAGAGACTCATGCCTCATAGCCCGTTAGTATACGAGATGCAGAAACAGTGGGAATGAATCAAGTCAACCAATAATTGTGCAGAATATAGAGGGAAGTACAAATACTTGAGACAGCCGCCTGGGATATCGGTCCTGGTTCACAAGCTTTTTGCACTGTCTCATAAATCCAAAAATCTTATATTAATTTTATCCATTGCCCGGGTGGTCTAGTGGTATGATTCTCGCTTAGTATGTCTCCACAACCATATACCATCCAAATTTTCCTTTACTAACAGCATCTCCAGGGGTTCCAACCCAAGCATATCTGCGAGAGGTCCCGCGTTCGATCCGCGGCTCGGGCCATATCTTTTTATTTTTGTTTTTTTGTCATTGGGTGGTGGCGGATCTTGGTCATTATCTACTCCGAAGAAGCCTGTGGTGTGCGTGCGTGTGTGGATACCGGATTGGGACGTGGAGAGGGCAAATAATCCCAGGTAGTTAGTGATGAATGCCGTGGACTCGATCACCCAGCGTCAAAAACAACATTTTCTTATCGAGAGCGTAATCCGATACATATATGACCAACTAGTTTTTGCTATTAATCGGGATCTTCCAAATCCTCTCAAGAAGTGTGAGGGTCTTCTTCATACGTGAAGGTTGTGTTTTTCGGGGGCTTTGTTGATCTATACGTACGGGCCCACAGCTCAATAAGTGACTTGATTAGGGTAGTCGGTAATCAGAACGATAAAACACTATAGGCAAATAAGACAGCCTGTTAGTGTTTTAAACGCTCTACGGAGTGCATGCTGTCTGCCTTGGCTTCGGTGTCCATTCGCTTGGTATCGAGCCCAGGGTCTAATATCTCTAGATATGGTTCCTGGAAAGAGATTAAACCATAAACCAGCAGTGAAACAACCAGAATAGGGACAAGACACCCAACTCCCTACCTCTCCGACGCCCTACCACCGTCGTATCATTAACTTCTCCCACTTCCCAATACTCATCTCGGAGTAGTTCTTGTCCCACGGACAAGCTTTCGCGGTAGGGTAGTCTAGAGTCTCTGCTACATTACCGCGACACACAACAAGGTACTGGATACGAGAGAGAAGGGAAGTCATACAATGTCAGATTTGCCTATGACCACTCTTCATGGTTTCAGGCTGTAGGTGTAACCGTAAGAGCATAGCATTCGTATATGTCTAGACTCGCGAGGGCTTATCATAGGTCGAGTCCCTATAAAATTTGACCAATTAACAACCATTCAACAGGGCACACAACCCAGGGTGCAACAGACCCTTGATACTATGACACCCCTGAACAATTACATCTGTGCGTAGAACGGGATTCTTGATTGGCAGCATTGAGGTAACCTTGATGGGTAGGCCTTTGTCGCAATGCAAATCACCAAGCGCGTAATGGATGCTTATGATGTCAGAATCTGAAAGTTGGCCTTATCAACCGCCCGGGTGGTCTAGTGGTATGATTCTCGCTTAGTATGTCTCCATATCATCCGCATTTAAATTTACACTTTACTAACAACAACTCCAGGGGTTACACCCAAGCACAATTGCGAGAGGTCCCGCGTTCGATCCGCGGCTCGGGCCGTATCTTTTTTACTTTTTATTTTCTTATACAGTTCTAGATAGAAATCAAGTTTCTCTCACTTCTAGTCCTGCAAAAAAAGAAAAGGGAAAGAAGGGGACCGGGTACAGGTCAAGTCATCAGTAGAGAGGCATTGTTGTAACACCTGTAACCAGGCACAGGCTCTGACCTGCTACCCCCTCCCAATTGCAAGTATAAAACCTGATTCGTGTTTCGTCAGGGCCCTGACAGGTACTTTGTATACACCCAATACAGCGCCGCTCCTCAAACAAATGAAATGCATTGCAGTCTCCTCGACCTTTATCTAGTCCCTCTCTCCCCCTTTTCAGGTTCGCATCCTGTCTAGTATACAGACTCCAGCCGCGGCCAACACGCCTCCTCCAGGCTGGTGATAGTAAGTCATATTGCCCTAGCCCGACCAAATTCATATGCCGGTATAGAAAATCGAGATCAAGTGCCTGGTCTATATGTGGGGTCATGCAGTACACGGCTGGAAACCAAGCCAATAATCAATGCATTAGGTTGATTTGTATTATGGGAGAGGTGTGTGCCTCTTGGTTGATAGACAGATAGGACTTGCAGCGCCTTTTGTGACAAGATTAACAAAAAAAGAATACAAAAAGAGTACGGCCCGAGCCGCGGATCGAACGCGGGACCTCTCGCAGATATGCTTGGGTTGTGACCCCTGAAGATGTTGTTAGTTAATTGGTATAGGATTATAATTGTGGTAGTGGATACATACTAAGCGAGAATCATACCACTAGACCACCCGGGCGGTGAATAAAATGATAGAAGGATTAAGTGTTACAGTAGTCAAGCATTCTGCCTCGATGGAAGGCCCAAATGAATCGATCTCAACTAGGAGTGATTGATTAAGCCGGGGATCCCACTGTCTCTTTGCTTCCTTGCAGATAGTCCTTCATCAATACAAATAGATCTAGCAATTCAACTGGCCCTCTTGCCTACGTATGAACGCTCCACACCAGGTGACCAAGTGTATACGGTCGAGAGTATATTCACCACGCCAACTGCGAGCCTGACGGTTGCCTAGTCAGTCGCTTGGCTACTTACCTACTGAGTCGAGATACTCAAGAATTCTGTATGGGACTACGAATGAGTGGCTCGGGCCTTCGATGGTAATCAATTCATTGATCATGCAAATATTTGTTTCCCGGAGGATCTGATACCTTCCTGACCCTACAGGACTTCTGTTCCCAAGAAACAACTGATCGTCTGTCATCGACATGATTCTTTGGATGGAGCCCAAAGCTTGTACCAACTGCGGGCTGATGCAAGAGGGCCATACGAGGAAGAACTGCCCGCAGATTGCATGCTTTCGCTGCCACGAGCGCGGCCATATAGGTGCTGACTGCCCGAACACCGAGTGCAGCTACTGCCGCAGAATGGGACACTGCAAAGCCAAGTGCCCCGACATCGAGCGCAAGAATCGTGGCCAGCAAGGCTCTATAACAGATAAACGCCCCTCCCTTCCCTCCTCGTTGGCAAATCCTGGGGCGAAGGCTACCGACACAGCTTCCTCCCCACCTACAACCCTTCGTGCATCTATGCCACCTTCAAGACGCGTGGAGGCTCCCCCAACCAAGTTCGACCCCGAGGCCACCCTTCCTCCTTCGAGTACCCAGGAACCTCCAATGGTCAGTTATAGAGTGGTCTAGAGGTGGCGTATATGAACTAACTCACAAGCAGAATTCCTGGGAAGTAGTCCCAAATGTTGTCTTCCCGAACCTTCACCGTGCAATTTGTCAGTTAGCTTCTCGTCTAGCCATCGACCCCGATGTCTATCTACAACAGCTCCCATACCACTCTATGATCACAGGTCATGGTGGTCCACAGAGGGTCGCCGAGATGTTGCTGGAATGGATAGATCCTCATATTAGGGCGCTTGAGGGCAGAGTTCTCCGGGCCGAAGAGTATGCTTTACGCTCCTAGTTTCAACATTACAATTCCTGACATTTCCAAAGGCTTCTTAGTCTCCAGGCGCGTCAGAACAATCTCTGGAGTCCAAATGGAGGCTACGTGGACATCGTCACCGACTTGAGAAACAACGAATACTGGCGTGCCTACCCGGGTCAGTCTAAGGATCCAGCAGGTCGAATTAAAACCCACAATCCGGCAATCCTGCGCGGATCCAGAAGCACACTACACCATCATGTCATTGCTCAGGGACAAGGGTACCGAGCGGCGAACTGCTCAAGCTCTGACAGCTATCTACCATCTCTCGAGCCGTGGCTCTCAATGTGCTAGAAATGACGATGTGTCGCGCTTTCCAGTCACTCCCGGGGAACACTATAGAGGCTTATTATGGGCCAAATGAGGACGGAAGACCTCCCTCCAATCTTGGTTTGAATATAGTTCCCCCGGTCCTCCAAGGACTGTCCCTTGGACCATCAGTACGAAAGTCCTTCTCCCTTGGCTTGGAAGAGTCCCCGGATTCCGACATTTCCGGATGGCCCCAATTTCGTTATGAGTACGGGGAAAAGGCCGAAAGGTCTAATATCAACTTCCAGCAGCCGCTACTTCGATCCTCAGAGTTCAATGTCCGTTTTCAAGACGCAGTTAAGTGTCTCCAGCTAAGCAAGCCCTTTTGTGCCAACGAGTCCCTGCCACACAAGGTATTGACCGACCTTGAGCTTTCCAACCGGCTGAAAGATGACGAACTGTCTAATCTGGGCTGCAAACACAGTTCTTCCGCTCAACCCACAACAGCGAGATTGGGCCACTTATTCGGTTTAACCAATCTATTCTTCAACACAGTGGATTGAGGGTGGTTCTTATGTGCGGGCGCGCAGTGCAGAGTCTTGTCTTACCGATAGGGTGTGAGGAGACACGCCTTCGGCTAGAAGCTGGGGAGCTTCCTATGTTTCTGGACATCGAAGGCGCGGCCATTAAACGGGTCTATATCCTGATCCCTAACCCAGTCGATGCATTTCTACTCCGAGAATGGCGCAAGACTCACAGAATATCAGAGGCGCTTCATTTCGCATCAGTGGCTGATTGTCGTTGCGACTCGTAGACCTGGCCTCCTGACTGCCATCATTTCCAGAGAATGAGCGCTTCGATGGGCCAAGCCCCATTTCAATATCATCCAAAGCATCTGACTGTCTGCGGACTAGTTCATAGACTAAATTGTCTCAAAACTCCAGCGGTGGAAACAGCGTCGATACAGTCAAGTCCGAAATATTTGTAGAAGCTCAAGCTCAGACTTATTGAGTAGACATCAGCATAGACTCAGGCTCAGTGATCAGATCGGTGAGACTTTGTCAGGAATGACTAACGACAAGTCTGCAATTTGTCGGGCGCATTCTGAGCTGCCTTTCCCAAGATATGCCCCAAAACGCAAATTTTAGTTAGCGCTTCGAAAAGCTCGCAGCGTACTAGTAAATGTAGAATTATCTACGCTTTGCCAGAGAGATCTGAAATTACTCTTAGAAGATCCGAATGACTAGAAATATCTCGATCAAAGTAAGGTTTTGCATCGGCGTTGCTGTTCTGAAAATAACGAGCACAGACTCAGAGTCCACTATGCGATCGTAGAAGTTCGGGTTGTTTGTGGTACTGTAGGTTTCCAGCTTTTACAGAATCCCTGGCCATGAACGCATAGAATGACTTCTTACACTCTAGCCTTCTTCTCCGGGATGGACGTCCACATCCACCAAATTCCAAATGTTGTCGACGTGAGCGGAACAGCGAAAGCCCAGTAGACCCAAAATTCCCCGACTTGATTATTTTCGGAATGCCAATCAAGAAGTGGAATAGAAAATAATGTGGCAAGAAATGTTCCTGGCAGAGAAAACATAGTAACCAGCGCAAGTGACTTTAGTGACAAGGAGTCTTGCCGAGTTGCACTTGCAATATCCAAATTTGTTGTCGCTTGATCCTGTGCTATCATGTTCGAGACCTGTGTAAGGAGGAGACTTAGGTGAATAAATCAATATGGGCGGGGGGTGGTTGGTAGGCATCTATTACATACCGACTGTAGTTGGATATCTGCACGATGCATGAAGAATTGGGCATCCGCTTCCTGCAATATAGTTCGCTTCTTGAGTACTTGAGTATACTCCTCTGCCAAGCTGACAACATCTATATTTGATGCTCGAAGAGATGTGATGCGGGGCTCCTTTCCATCAACACCAACGAGATGCAAATTCTCCTCAACAACATCACATAGCTCAAATAGGACTTTTGTCCTTCGGTAGAGATTTGCAATTCTGGTTTTCGCCCCCGCAGTCATAGCCGACAGACTAACATAGTCTCCCTCAGCAGGAGCTTCATTCCTACTAGTCCAAGAATGGAATTTCGTTCGAACCTCCACTCGCCTCACGTTTTCCTTGGTGACTTTGTGATCTTGGTCAATTAGTCCGCTCAAGCTAAAACCGAAAATCAGGGCAGGCAGCATGGGATGGCCTGCAATACCAGCTAGTGATTGTACAAGATTCTGAAGCTCAGGTATTTGACTCGATCCAGCAAAGTATATACCCTGTGCCAGACCACTGAGGACATTGTATGACCATGCCGTCGCGACTTTTGGATGATTGCAAACTGAGTAGCTGAACAGGGATTTGGTATTTGAAAAGCGTGTTGAACCAGCGAAGCAGGTCCAGCCCCAATTATATGCGAGCTCTATGTGGAAATGCCTCAAGAGTGCATCAAGAATCGTATGTGAGATGTGTTGAACCTTTTCCATGTGTTGAAATTCAATCCACACCAGTCTTAGCAACATTGTGGATTCTCCATTGATACCGTTTTCTAGGGTTCGGTTGAGCCATGCATCCAAATCTCCGTCACATCAATTGCATCTGTGCCTAGTAATTCGCATGAATCCCATACTCGGTAATGATTGTTAACAAATTCATAAAGAGAGCTCATAGCGTCAAAAGGGTGGGCTTTGGCAACTTGTTCTTTGGTGAGTGATTTAGGATCCAGCTTTCATCTGCACTTTAAAGGGGACGACTCGCTGGACTTCGGCAGAGCCACCCCCACCTTGGCATTATGTACCTTACTGGGGAAATAGGATGAGGCAAAGTCGGGCATTTCAAGTTTGATGACAGGTTCTTGGCGATGGGTTTTAGGTTGAAGAGATTTGGAGGAAGACAATATTAAAGCACAGTTGTAATGACCAGATCAGATATGAATTAGTTTCCCCTCCAGCTCCCTCGCCTATGGTGTAATTAATCACCTTTTCTTTCAATCAGGCGAAAGGGACCTTGTGGATGTACGGGACTAGTGTTTGAGGCAACATTTCACACCTTGTCAGAGCACAGCCATGTTGCCTCGTTATCTGTCGCAGATGCTCAACGGCTACCATTCGGCCGGGATCCAGAAGGTGGTCTTCTAGCCAGACGGTCTGCTAACCGTCGGCATCCGTCCCTACGCTGGTGATAATGGTTGTGTCTTAACAAAGGCCATCCGAGATTACATGGATGAACAGAAAGGGATCCGGAACCCGTTAACGCTCGAAACTCTTCACCCAATGACCCGTCTCTGGCTTGCACGTAGAGGGTTTGCGAAAGATGAAGACATCTCTCTCTTGCAAGAGAAAGGAGGTGGAAGTCTTAGTAACTCGATCCTTGTCTGGTTGCATGTGGCTCCACGTCATTTTCAGAGCGCCCAAACAACGTCCTTTATGAGCTCATTTCGCAGAACAGAGAAGCGCCATGCACCAGAGTTCAAGATTTCTCAAGCACACCTTGAAGCCGTTCGGGAACTCTGTGACCAATTTAACAAAAAGCCCCACGTTGATTCTGGTCATCCTAGTGGTGATTTGATCCGAGGTGTCCGATCCAGGGAGGAGGGATTGGATAATGATGTGGGGGAAGCTCAAGTCCTTGAAAGAGAAGACCTGGAGACTTCTGGAGTCTGTTTGGACACCCAAGGAACCTTCACACTTGCCTCTGAGGCCCCAGTCGTTCCGTGGGGAAAGAAAAAGCCCCGTGCTGGTGCTGAAGATCGAAGCTTCACCATAGGAGACCAAACTCGAGAGCAACTCTTACAAAGCCGCAAATATCTCGGCAGCTGGAAGAAAGCCCTGGGGATCTTTTCTGTGACAATCCACTCATGCATCGAGCTTCTTCTTCGTCTCAATGAGCGTCCAACGGAACTCACTGTTAAAGCTGAGGTCAAGCCACTGGGCCAGCGACATCCACAGGCATGGGCCCAGGAAACGCTCGCGACAGATCCTGGGTCACGGTTGGCTTTCTACGTCACGTACACAAGGAAGGCCGTGGAAACATCGTCCTATGTGACTTCGAATCTAGTCAGAGATCTCTATAAGGCCAACTCATTTGTCCACTGAATGGAAGGGGAAGGTGTTGCAGACATTATCAAAAGGCCAAGGCAATTTGTTGTTGTGAGCTCATTGACCAAGACCCTTCCTCAGGGAGATCTTTCTACACAGACGATCACATTACTTTGACCCCTGCCCAAGAATTCGACCCACGTAAAAAGTGGAAAATGGATGCATCATAAATCAGTGCTCACACTTCTTGTCAGCAGGAGAGCGATGCGTGTGGCACGACTCGATCTGTAACTCGGGAAAGGACTGGACCTATCTTAGAGGGACTGAAATATAATCACAACGATTTGGACATGTTCTCCTGAGGCCCGGGTCATTCTAATATGTTGATAACCTAGGTAGCTTAGCAAAGTCAAGGTCTGTGGGTAATAAATTTAAGTGTCTCTTCAACTAGACTCTTCCTAGCTTACTTGGGTAATCTATTGTTCGTAACTGGAAGTCAAGAGATTTTATAGTTTAAATCTTAGTAGAATATACAAACCATTGATTTTCAAGGAAAGAAGAATGTGGTAGAGGAACTTAGAGGGAGGGAAAACAATGCCTCCTCGTCCAGCTCAATGGCATTAGAACTCTTCATGGTCTTGGAACGGACAACCTCGCTGTTATTTTCTCCAGATCATCTGCACTGCCGCCGTCTGAGAAGTCGGCCTTTTAAGTCAAGCACTCATTCGTTTTCACGGTAGCGTGATATTTCTTAGCAGGTAGCCACACTTGCTACTGTAGCACTATATTCATTCGTTGCCCCATCAACCGCCCGGGTGGTCTAGTGGTATGATTCTCGCTTAGTATGTCTCCATTATCTATCATCCGCATTCACATTTACAATTTACTAACAACAACTCCAGGGGTTCCAACCCAAGCATATCTGCGAGAGGTCCCGCGTTCGATCCGCGGCTCGGGCCTATTTTTTTTCCCGGGCAATGTTAATTTAATCTGTACGGTATTGTAGGAATTTGAGGTGCCCGGGGGTAGGCTACCGAAGTGGAAGAAAATGAATGAATTATTGAAGTTGCTTGAATGCTAACTAGGGGATAGAAAGGCCCTTTATATATACAGTATCACGTGGTCTTCATGGCCGATTTCATGGCAAATACCGCTTATTTTCATGGAACCTTCCGCTTTATATAAAGGCTTTCGGAACTTGCCTTTAGCGAGGGTTTGGCTCGAAGCATCTGATTCTTCTACAGATATTAGCTTGTTGTTATAGCACAATTATGAGATGTTGTCTCATCAACCGCCCGGGTGGTCTAGTGGTATGATTCTCGCTTAGTATGTCTCCATATCATCCGCATTTGAATTTACACTTTACTAACAACAACTCCAGGGGTTCCAACCCAAGCATATCTGCGAGAGGTCCCGCGTTCGATCCGCGGCTCGGGCCTGTTTTTTTTTCGGGCACTGTGCAAATCGGTTCGCCATTCGAGGAAACCTATCTACTAGTCACATGATTGGCCATCGTCAGGTGATCTTCACCATCATCGTGAAGCATAAAAATATGAGCAGGAGAAAAGCCTAGCGACCTAACTGACCACCCTTGCCATAGAAGTTTGTGGAGTATGAGTTATCCTCGACGCAGCAACTTGCTACTATAACGACGGAATAGGCGGGCAGAAATGCAAAGGAGCCAGATCGGTATACATATTGTCTACCGTACAACAGGATGTTCTTCCATTATGAAGCTGGTCTTCTCACTATAAATTTACAGCATGTTTGTTCCTGATCATCAACTCCCACCGCTCATGGCGCAACCCGGTGCCGCCAAGTCGTCCAACCCGTCATTCCTCCGCAGTAACTAACCTCAGCAGCATTAGCATCCCGTCGACCAGGTAAAGGTCATTGTCACCGACAAGTTCGGCTGTAGTCTCCTGACCAGCCCGTATGAAGGACTCGACGATGTGCCCTTGATGCGGAATTATAACATCTTACGGCAGAAATCCAGCTCCTAGAGAGTGTTGATCAAGGCCTTCGTTGTTACTGCATGGAGTTTCCCCCCGATCGACGGTCTCTTCGCAATCATAAGTCATATCGTCATAGCTACCTAGATACCACCAGTCTAGCAGATCAGACGGTGTGCTTGTCGCTTAATTAGGTGGTGTGTTCCCTTGGTCGCGGTGGTTCCTGTTTGATAATCTAGGCTACCGAGTTGATTGTGTGGGATTTGCAGAACGAATTTGTGTCCAATTCGTATAGTGCTTGGAGAGGAGGAGGCATCGTATAGCACTGGTCTGTGTGGATATAGTTTGTTTGCAATGTTCATGTCTCCTGTCGGCTGTCAAAGCGATGTAGTCTCTCCTATCAATGTCAAACAATATTTTTCTTATCTATCCAATTTACTTTTGTCGAATCGTACGGCCGTTCTCCACGTAGAACCACTACCTATCTGACGCTTTCATTTTATCCATCCACGGAGTACTACATCCTCCTCGATATATCGGATCCCACACGCAACATCAACAAACATCACTGGCTAGATTATAAGAGCAAAAATCATTGTACACACCAAAATACTACATACATACAAAGAAAGGCTTCCATCTGACAGGGGATCCGTTTATATTTACCACTGTCAATAGTTGAACCAACAAGAGATACAAGGAAACAGGTGAACTAAGTACGGTCTTCTAAATTCAGGACTACCTGCGATTTTCCATTCTTTTCTCATATCTTTGACATTACCTCTTCACGCGTCGCCGAGTCGTAATCTTATTCGCATGACTGTCTCGTCAACAAGGAAGGGACATGACTCCGTTAGAAGAACACGAAAAAGAGGACTCCACACACGCCATTCCCCAATCCCAAACAAGATGGGGGAATCATTCGACAAGGAAATAGAAAAAACAAGGCCAAGTCCCGATAAACAAGGAATCCATCGTTGGTCGTTCCCTCCATATCGGCCGTAATGGTCATGGGTGTATCACCGTCCGTCCACATACAAGGGAATCAAGCAGCTCGCATCGAAGGAAAACAAAGGGCGAAAAACAATCGAGTAACAAACTTTTCGACGTGCCGACAATGGTAGTAATGACAGGGCGTGAGTCAAGGGGAATCGTTGCCCGACGAAAGAGATCGTGAACCAAAGGAAGAGTCGGAGAAGAGAGAAGCGACGATTGCAGCTTTGGTAAAAAAGACAAACAGCCATCGGAGATAACCAAAACAACAAATCGGAAAAGAAAAGAATGGTCAAGGAAAAAGAAAAGAAATGAGAAAAAGAAGAAAATAGATAATCATATCAGCTTAAACAAGGGCGACTGATCGAGTACTAGGATCTTGTCATTATAACATGACTCCAATAAATCCCGAATACATCCCATCATGTGCATGCCTTAAACAACACACTCCCTCCGCAAACTGCACGCGGCATTTTTTTGAGAAGTGATAGCTGAATTTTAGGGGTATCCATAGATCAATTAAGATCGGGGTCCACGACGGTTGTTGCGCTGCCTCGAGGGTCCCACCGTGTTCCAGCCCTCGTCATCCGCAGCCTCGGCGGGCTGGGCAGGGCTCCTCCAGCTACCATTCGTCTTGCCCGCGGCCTCTTTCGATGCTGCGTCCGAAGCAGCGGCCTCTTCCTTCTTGTCCTGATCGGCGGCCATGCCGCCCTCATCCTCGCCGGCCCGCCGGAGGATCTCGAAGTTGGTACCACCCTGAGGCGTCTCGGCCGTGCCCTTACCGTTGGGATCGGCTTCGGTCTTCGCTTGCTCCTTAGCCTGTCGCTGCTTCTCGGCCTTCTCGGTCTTCGCCTTCTCGTCGGCCTCCTTCTTCTGGCGCAGGGCTAATTGGCGACGCTCCTCAACTTGCCTCTCGCGGGCGGCAGTGTCGGTTGGTCGCGCACCACCGAACGGGCTGGCCTTGGATTCAGTGGCGGGGGCAGGGGTGGAGACGGCGTCGGTGACGGTGCGTTTTTGCAGGTTCAACCGGGGACGGGTGGCGGGGGCGGCAGCGGCGGGAACGGGGGAGGTGGGAGCGGCGGCAGGAGAAGTCGGGTTGCTAGGCTCCTTGGCAGGAGGGGCCTGGTCGGGTCGCATCTTGGATCTCCAGGAGTTGTCCAGCTCGGCCGCAGTCGGGGCGCGTTCCTGGAATTCGCGTCGCGGAGGCCGAGAGCCATCCTGGGAACGTCCTTCGCCCCAAGCAGGCGAGCTTCTTCTGAAGCTGGATCCCTCGGCAGCTGCCGGGCGACCCTCTCTGACCGGTCCACTTGTCGGAGAAAGAGGACCCTTGCGCTCCCAGTTGCCGAAGTCACGGAACTTGCCGTCCGACTCGAAGTTGCGACGTCTATCACCTCCACGCTCGCTGCCGGCATCAGAAACGTTGTCGAGGCCGCGGCCGAAGGCGGAACGGTCGGGCACACGACGCTGAGGGGCATCAGGAAGGGGTCCTCTGCGAGTCCAGTCGAACTCCTTGACATCCCGCTCCTTGGCTATTGGGACGGTCAGTTTTGGGGGCCAATCAACCGTTTCCGAACAGTAAAACATGGGTCACTTACGAGGCTCGGCAATGCTAATTCTGATCGCTCGTCCTTGGAGGGTGGTGCCAGAAAAGTCGAGAGCCTTCTTCAGACCATCGACGGTTTCAAACTCAACGTATCCGAAGCCCTTGGGACTGTGGGTCAACTTGTCCTCCACGATGCGGACATTCGTCACGCCGCAGTCGACAAAGAGATCAGAGATGTCCGCCGAGGTTGCGTCGAAAGACAGGTTTCCGACGTGAACGGTATAGGGAGGCTCCGTAGGAAGAGGAAGGGGTTCCCTCACGGCGAAACCGCGGTCTTTTACTCCAGCGTCAGAAAAACATCTAAATATGATGGGCGCAAAAGGAGCGAGTTCCCATACCGTTGAAGCTACCTCCAAAACCACTACCTCCAAAGCCAGAAGCAGGAGGACCACGGCGCTCACCACCGAAGCTAGATTGCGAGGGAGGAACTGTTGAACGTTTAGACCATGGCCATTTGCGGACGAAAACCGGGAAAGGGTGGAAGTCACGGGGAGTGTGGGTGGTTTACGCACCGGCTAAAAGGCATTCGGGTCAGCACAAGACCATCAACCTTGAGAGGGTAGAGGGTTATTACTTACCAGGCATAGGCATGTCATCCATCTCATCGGCCCACGAGCCCAAGTCTGTTTCTCTTTAGTCCAGATCGCCCCCGCGGGGAAGTCACGAAAACCTACTCTCATCAGCCAAGAAGGTGCTGATAGACATCTTCTGGGCTTTCTGCTTTGCGGGCGCTGCAATACGAACGAGTTAGCAACCATCTTCAACGAAGCGAATGGCATCGATGGGATATCGAGATGGGTCTAGACATCCCCGGGGTGCAGAGGAGGGGTTGGAACGAACCCATGATTGCGGTTGATGGAAATCCAGAAACGCGCCAAGGGAACCTGTGCGCGTCTCACGCAGATAAAAAAGAGAGTTAAAGAAAAGATGGAGAGACTTCCGAAAAGGAAGAGGCGATTTAGAAAATGACGTTTGGTTGTTTGATCCAAGTGATGTGCGATGGGGGTTGCAGGAAAGCTCCGCAGTGAAAGAGCAGAGGGGGGAAAGTAAGTTAATCCGTGAGGATAATTTTTAGTGATGACGCTAGAAAAGTCAGCCTCTAAAAAGTGTTGGTGCGGTCTTTCGGTCTGCGCCTCGACCCAATTCCGAGGGCTTTTTCCCCCGTCTTTTTTCTTTTCCTTTTTCTTTTGTTTCTTAGAAGTTTTAATGCGCGCAAGATATTTTTTTGGAGTGAAATAAATATTTTTGAGGTTTATTTGTTATTATTTTTTTTATGATCTTTTAAACCATAATTAAAAATAGAAGGTTCTTTTTATCTTAAAAAAAAGGCAGTAAAAACAGGCGAGATTCGCCTGGTTAGTCGGGTACAGTAAGAAACCCTTTCGGTTGGAATGTAACTGAATCCGTCCACCACTCCTTGCTCTTCCTACCACTTAGATAACTAACTTCTCTGCATTCCCACATTCCTGGGGCCATGTCTGACTGCAGCCATGGGAGAGTCTCAGGCACCGATCGATCCGTCATGAATGCAACTCGCGTTTGCCCACTTGTCGAATGCAAACCTTGACGGGCAATCAATGGTTCCTCCGTATTCCACTTGTATTGTTCTTTCTTGACTTGGCACCACCAGCCCTCGCCAATTTGAAGAACCAGCCCAATCTTGTAAGGTCCGGACATTGGTTTTTCTCTGTAGGCAGTATTAGGGATCTATGATATTCACTTATCCATGTAGAGAGAAACGACAAGCACGAATGTGTCGTGGTGATTTTACAGGGCGTCTTGCCACCAGTGATTATATAATATATCACGTGTGCAGTCACGTGTATCTTGACCGTCGCCCGACCTATCGAACATGAGTGCTTCTCATACTGTCGACGTTGATTGCAGGGCATGCTGAGTGGTTTGTGGTTTGCAAGATGAGCGGGAAACCTACCCAGCCGCCGGGCTTGGAGTCCAATGCATTGCTGTCTGCAGTCAAAGTGGGCGCTCTGAGTGGTTAGTATCAGCCCTGATTCTATATTTTTATGTTTCTCCAGCAGTTGGTGGCCCTTCGCCGAGGACCACCGGGCCAGAACAATTTCCGCATAGAGAATCATAACGACAGAAAAACCACCTCTACCGTATAAAAAATACTGATATACAACACAGGCTCCGCAGGACTCGTCTATGGAGGCATTGCAGGCGTTATTCGGTCTCATCATCCGGTGATCCATTCCATTTCATGTGGTATCCACTGGACTGCTTGTGGAACCTCTTTCTGGTGTCAGCACCCCCTCTCTTCTTGCACTCAGTGTTGCAAAAGATACTGACGACCTCTTCCAGGGCTCAGAAATGGCATCTTGGACCTTCACTTCCAAGGCGACGCGACGCCGAGACAGCGTGCTTATGTCAGCGCCCTTTCTGGCGGCATCGCGGGCGGTGCGGTCACGAGACTAATGGGTATGTTCGTGGTGATGTCCTTGAGAATCCCCTATTGAAGGTGGACGAGGTCGATGATCGTGATGTTTAGCTGACGCGTGTCGATAAAAGGAGGTCGACTTATTCCAGGGGCTGTGATTTTTTCCATGCTAGGCTACGTCGGGCAAAGCTCGTACAATGCGATCGACACATGGCAGATGGAGCATGCAAATAACCCGTCGAAGCCAATCATCCAACGCATAGCCGACTCTAAATGGATCCCTTTGAGGTCTCTTTCCGACGACGACTATCGCGGGATGCTCAGCGAAAAATTGCTGAGTATCGAGGCAGAAATCAGCCTTATCGACGACAAGATTGAAGAACTTGAGAAATCCAAAGCCGATTCTGGATTAGCACCGATGCCGGCCGAGCCTACGGAGCGATGATCGTATAGATCGAGTGCTCAGCGAGGAACTATTTACAGACTGATGCCCCCGATCGCTTTGGAACCATTTTCGACATGTCGGGTTGACTATTTACAAGTAGATGCAGGTGATTGGCCAGAGTGCAGGCTGTCCTCCACCCGGTCGGTTTGAGAGTTATCCATTTGAAACCGGCATCTGAAGCATGGAGGGCATTCGCCATTGGGTTTGCGTCGTTGTGGAAATGACATTGGCATCTATGCGTCCCCCTGAGTGACTTGGACCCTTGGGGATGGATGGATCAATTTATCCGTCGCTGAAAACGAGTGGCGAGGATTTCTGTAAATGTGGATATGTAGAATTTGAGGAACAATGTGTACATACGTGTATGATAGAGAACATGGTGATTTACTGGTGCCTACAGGATCTCTATTGTTGAAGGATAATGTCATTGCCAAGGGAAGGGGTCAAGGAATCCTGTACGTTGTAACACCCCGTCGGTCTACACAGTTCACACCGATGGGAATATCCTGTGGTGAAGAATAAATTCTGGAATTTAATAACACAAAAATAGTGAAGATAACTAGAACTAAACGAAAAATGACTCCCACATCAGGAGAAACCGGAGAAATTCAATACCTTAAGCCCCAGTTATTTCTAAGCAATGCCGAGACAGCCGGTTCGGCCAGAATGCCCCGGAGGAGGAGCAAAGTGGGTGGCTTTCCGCTTCCAGTTCTGCCCGCTTGTCTGTCCGTCTGTCTTGTCTGTCCGTCTTTCCGCTGACATGCTGGATAGATCTATGGTTCGGCCGCCCCGGGACACTCCGTTCTATCCTCTGTCTTCGCTTACTCACTCTTCTTCTCTCGTCGCCCAGTCTTCTTCTCGTCGCTGAAAAAGCATGACTGATGTGCGATCTGTACGAGTATTTTGCGACGCTTCTCCAGCTGCTGTGAAGTTGCTGGTCCTGAATTGAGACCTGTCCTTCGCCGCATCCCCGAGCTCTTTGGATAAGACTTCGATCCCTTCGGGGTCTGGTCTGCAAGAGGTGGATTATCGAGACTCGGCAACCGACAAGTCCTTCTCACAAGACTTTACCCCTAGGAAATACGCCACGGATCGGAGACTCTCGATGGTTTCGGTTTTGACCTCTGCCCGCCCTGTTCAACGGATCGGTAACCCTGATCGCGAGCCACGATGACGCTTTTCAACCCGACCACCGTCCTCGTCGGTTTCCTCCTCCTCTACCTCTCCTCGTTCCTGATCTTCGCCATCGTCCGCATCGCGACCGGAATCTCCATACAACGGATCGGATATCTCTCCCTCCGCCGCATTGCGTACGCTCCCAAGGAAGGCGTGTTGATCGAGCTTCGGGGCCTGGGCCTGTCGTTACACCCCCCTTCTTTTGCTCAACCGACATGGCTGAGCCTCCGATTGACCGATTTGAAGGTGACGCTGGACCCCTCGGTACTAGGGAAAAACCAAGGAAATGCGAAGAAAGCCGACGTGTCGGAACCCCAAAGCTCGGAGGAGCTCGGTAGCTCGCAAGAGGGCGAGGAGGACTCCTCTCTTCCTCATCGGAGTAAGACATGGAAGACCTTAACGGGACTAAAGGAACACGTGAAACGACTCCATCGCAAAATACACTGGTTGAAGTTGGTGGACATTGTGGCTGTCAACACTACAGTCAATTTTCTCGAGGCTGGTCAAATCCAGGTGGGATCTCTGTCCCTGGCAGTGGATACGAGGCGCAAGATGGTGGACAGAGGAAAGGTGTTTCGGCGCAAGAAGGACGAGTCCGGCGAGCAACATCCCGCCGAGTGGATTATGACGGTGCAAAATGTCCTGCTTTCTGTTGACGGCAGAGAACCCACGGAATTACTGGATAATCTCGGAGTGAATATACACGGGCTCCTTCACAAGGATATGGAGGGCTTAAGGGATGCCTCTATTGCTGTCAAAATCGGGAGAATGCATATTCCGTACGACGACCTGACGACACTCATGCAACGGATTAAGAAATTCCGACAGTCTTTGAAAGAACCCTCGGACGACGACCTGGAAGATGAGGTGACCTTTGCGGATATTGTGGAGGAGTTAGATCGGCCTGGAAGTCGCGACGATACGATTGTTCAGACAGTCGCAGATTCAAAGGAGTTCGCCAGTTCTCTCCTTCGCGGAATTCAAGAAATCCAGATAGCTTTGAGTTTCTTCCGACTGTCTCGAGCCATCCAACCGTCTTCGGCAAAGCAGAATTCCGTGTACTTGAACGTCGTGTCTCATGAACTGGGGGTCGATCTCCATCGCATGGACCAGAAAAGCCCGGCCCATCGCATGTACTTTCAGCGCAACGACGTTGCCCACCAAGCTCTTCTTGCCGCCATATCCTTTTCAGTTAGCCTGGATGACAGCTCGGGCGAAACAGACAATATTCTCTACATCCCAATGGCGACTACCACTATCAAGACTACGCTTCCTTCGAAAACAATCAGCTCATACGATGAACGGAATCCGGAGGACCGAAACACTAACATCCTGTTTGCGAACTTAGTGGTCACTTCTCCTTCGCTTGATCTGGAGCCAAGACACGTCTCTCGCCTGTTGGGATTGGCTCAGGACAGGGCTTCCACTTCTCGTGGAAAGAAGAGAAACAACCATAGGCTGATCTCCCGACTGCTACCGAAAGCGAGCATCAAGCTTTCTGTGCATGAGCCTGTGATTCGATTTGTCCTTCCGATCTCTGATGATACATCCGCCAAACCCGAGGATGATTACAACCTCCTCATCTCCTCCATCTCCTCCATCTCACTTGATATTGAATCCTCTCATTCCACCGAAGGCGGCGTACATTATTCACTTTCGTCCGTCTATCGGGTCGCGTCTCATCAGTTGTATTACCAGACACCCTCCGGGGTCAAGCATAATTTACTAACCACGGAGAACCTGGAAATGAAGGTGCATTTGAGTGCCTCTCCCGAGGTGCGAGTGATTGCCTCAGGAAGCCTGAACACGTGCTCCGCCCACATGGTGAACGGTGACGTGAATCGTGGGATTCAACAGGTTATCGAGCAGTTCCAGGCCCAGGTTCGGCCGAAGAAAAGAATGTCTATGTCGCTTGAGGAGAAAAAGCCTAGTATTCTTAGAAGGATTCCTTCTTGGCTGCTCCGCCTCCAGTTCGAAGCAACTGGCTTGAGCTTAGAAATTGCTGGCGTTGATGCTAGCGTGTCTGAGGCGTCTCGTGGCGTGTCTTTACAACTCCAGTCATGGACCGCAGATTATAAGGCTCAAAAGACCGTGTCTAATAATATTAGCTTCGCCCGGCGGCGTACCCCAAGCCATTCTACCATTGGCGACGAGTCTCCATTCAGGTTCCCGCCGACATCTCCACCCCGCCAGACGCAACACGGTGCTGCTGACGGAAGACGGTTGGCGCTGCACATACGAGGCTTTGAAGGCTTTGTCATAGAGTCAGAAGACTACCTGGAAGCCGAGCCGTTTATCTCTTTGCCCAGATTTGAAGTGGCCCTGAGCACGCTGAGCGATCGCCTTGGGCCTATATTTAACATTAATTCCGTCCTGAAAGGTGTTTACCTTCAGTATTCTCTCTATCGTTTATACTGCCTTGGGGTTGCTGTTTCTGTCCTCCAGAAGGCTTTCGTGCGGCAGTCGCCTGAATCGTCCAGCCAGACAGCATCTTCATGGGAAGCAATGGGCCCTGCACCCACATCTCCACCCCGCAAAACTGCACAGCGAAGTGAGCTGGTCACGGTCGATGCGAGAGCCACCGTCATCCAAATAAAAACTTCCATGCCAGCGGATCCTCCGATGCTATTACAAATATATGGGTTGTCCGCTGGTTCCCATAGACTCTCTGCCCCCTTTGTAAGAGCTCATCTGGTCCGTCTGCATGCAGAGGCGCCCAAGTTGAAGGGTGTCTGGGCACGGATCATTAGCATGAACAATTTCAGACTTGACCTCCGGACATTGAAACTGAAGCAGGCTGCCGGTTTGATCGAGGAGAAGTCTATCGATGTCTGGGCCGATTTCATTCGCATCGGCGTGCCACATCATATGGTCATGCATCGCATATTCGATAATGTCATCAACACATCAAAGGCGCTCAAACAACTCCACTACCGCTTTAAAAACAATTGCTCAGATTTTCCTTCGGAAAGAGATCCGGAGGAGCCAAAGAAAGTACCAAGGGTCACTGTGCGCAGCAAAGCATTGCTTTTCGAATTGGAAGACGACGCCTTTGAATGGAAGTTAGGCTGTATATACCGGACGGGTCTCCTCGAGCAACGTCAGCGCCTGGCTCGCCAAGAAGCCTTCGAGCTGAAAGTGCAAAAGATTAAGGAATCTGGGCAGCGACGTGGCTCTTCCAGATTACGAACCAGATCTAGCCACCGAACACTTCGCAGTGAACGTGCAAGCCAAGACACCAGACGAAGCAAAAGTGCCGACCCGAAGCCACGGGCCGACGATAGCCCTGGCGGCAAACGCGGACGAGGCAAAAAGTTTCGATACGACACCGAGGGTGCAGCTTGCCTTTCTTCCGAGTCTAAAATCTCCACAGACAATGCTTGGTATCGTCTGCAAGAACATCATGCGCGGAGCTGGAAAAAGAAAATCGATGCTACCCTGCGGTTCCAAGGCACATCTATCAAGGAGGTGAGGAACCTTTTCTCCGGGGCTGATGAGCCTCCCGAAGATGTCGAGGAGACTGAGACGGTGCTTTCCATCCCGAACCGACCTGCCCTACTGGCAGCTTTGATAAGCGACATCAATCTTACTATAGACAAGCCGTTCTTTCCGCTGGAGGAATACCCCGAATTTCTCCACAGGATTGGCAAGGGTATACCTTTGTCGACGCAATATGCACTTCTCGTTCCGATGAGCTTTCAGCTGGAGATGGGAGAAGCTCGTGTCAATTTGCGAGATTATCCATTGGACTTGCTGCACATTCCGGCATTGCGACCTGGCCAATCTCCAAGGCTACCAAGTTGGTCACTTCGAACAAACTTCGTCATCGCCGAAGAGTACCGTGATCAAACGTCAGCCAGACAAGTTCAAGTTGAGCTTGTTCCTTCTACCGAACTTCCAGACGGGTCTACCAGCCCCGCGTTCTTGATCGATGTCTGGCGATCCGTGAGTCCAGTAAAGACTTATTCTGATCCTACCATCCAGATCAACACTAGTCTCCCAACAAGCATTTCATGGGGCATGTCCTATCAGCCAGTGGTTCAGGACATGATGAAGATCATAGAAGGATTTACCAAACCAGAGATCGATCCCTCCGATAGGGTAGGATTCTGGGATAAGATCAGACTGAGTTTCCATTCTCGGATCAGAGTCGTTTGGAAGGAAGACGGTGATGTCCATCTACGGCTCAAAGGGTCTCGTGACCCGTACGTGGTTACAGGCTTCGGTGCTGGTTTCGTAATGTGCTGGCGCAAGGATGTCAAATGGGACATTCATACCAGCGACGACCCAATGGAGTTTATGAGCGTCACCAGTGGGGAGTATGTGATGGCCATTCCAGACTACAGCCATGAAGCACGATACATGGCCGAAGTCACGGCGCAGGATCTGGAAAGCTCGTCTTCGTCAAGCGACTTGAAGAATGCGGCCCACTTCAAAAAAGTAGTCATGAAGCTTTCTGGCGACGTGAAATGGGTGGCCGGTCTCGTCTTCGAACGAAATGTAGACGAGGGCAAAAGATCGTTTGAGTTCAGACCGCACTATGATATTGTGCTTCGGAATCCTATCCATGTCGATCCTTCCCAACGAGAGGTATGCTGCAGCGTCGAAATTCCTAAACGCAGTCTTGTGTGGCTAATCCGATTGCAAAACAGGACTATGATGCCTACAAAGGTTTTCGAAGCAACCATATCCACTTGTCCGTTGCTGTTGTTGCCCCAGAAAGTAGAAACTGGAGTGTCGACCACGTTCAGCCTTCCACGAGCTACAATACCGTCCATCTCACACCGCGATTTTTCACGCACTTCTTCAACTGGTGGTCGCTCTTTTCCGGCGTCATGTCGCTGCCTGTGCGTCAAGGTCCTCTTTGGCCTGGTATCACGAAAACTAGCAAAAAGTTCAATCGCCATCTTGCCACTGTCAAATACAAGTTACTCTTTGCTCCCCTCTTTGTGGCACATATTTACAAACACAAGGACCGTGAAGACTATGCCGAAGATGTTGTCACCGCTACCGGCATTAAAGTTCGCTTGGATAGTCTGAAGCTGGATGTCCATCAGCGTCGCGAACAGATCAAAACCCAGGCCAAGGGACGTCTGAGGCAAACCCAGGCCAGCGCGATGCGGATTAACCAAGCCCAGTTGGACCTACAGGCCGCAGACTTCAGAGCCGTCTCTGCAAGCATCGAAGGAACTAATCTCGATGACATAGAGAACAACAAGGACGACATCATCTCCTCATTCCAGCAGCCTGTGGCGTCTGTTGACCTGTCAAGGTTCACCATTCCAGACCAAAACCTCGATTGGATTGACATGGATGACTTTGTGGAATTGGATTGGATTCTCCCTCAAGAGTCGAACCCTCGAACGCAGATTTTGCCCTTGGCATTCACACCGCGGTTCACCTACTTCCGCCAAACGGATCATGGCAACTTGAGCCCGGATGAATCGGGATATAGCACGTTTGGAAACGAGCCCACCCACGAATGTGTCATGTCCGAGAACAACGACCCTCGACGAGTGCAAATGGAACTTATCAGAGACCGTCTTGCTACCGTCGAGGCACAGATCCGGGAGTGTGACCGAACAATCGGTGACCAAGAGCTCCGAATGGCCATGGAAGTTGAGCATGACCCGGATTTGAGGGCGCAGCATAATGATTACATTAGACAAGCCGAGACCTTAACAAGGAGGCGAGGCTTCCTCTCTGGCGGACTACAACGTCTTGAACGGCAGCTTGCCCGGGACGAGAGGTCGCCCACGGAGAAGAATCCGGAGATGATTGCAAGCGATACCGCTTCCAGACTCGGCAGGGACTCTGATTCAACCAACGATGGCAGAGATGTTGACCTTGACGGCCTCTATTCGTCTCCCAACGATGAATTTGCTAGCGACTTCAACAACCGGTTTATGATCCACAATACGCAGCTCAAGTGGAACAATTCCCTCAGAAATATTATCCTTCGTTATAGTCACCAGGTCAGCCAGCGACGTGGGTTTGTTTATTACATGTCACGACGAGCTGTCAAGTTTATCCTGGACATAGTCGATGAGCAGAGCAAAAACAAGCACAGACACTCCAAGCTGTCGCAAAGCGCGTCAAGGCGACCTTCTGATGCTCGGGGCTTAGTGGACTCGGAAGATGACGATAGTGTGGAAGATCGCATCGAGCAGCTGCTAAGCGATGCAAAGCGGTTTGTGAATGCGGAAGAGGAGGACCAGTCGGACCAGCAAGGCCAGACTAAGCCCATGTCAGATGGCTCCAGCGACAACATATCGCCAGAATTTACGCCGCAAAACAGTTACCACCTGCGACTCATTGCACCTCAGATCCAGCTTCAGAGCGAGAAAAACCACAAATCCGTGCTGCTCGTTGCAGCTAAGGGCATGCAGCTCAAGGTTGTATCGATCATGGACAAAGAGCGTGTATCTGATGACATCAGCGGTCTGGTACAGCGTCGCTTCTCCCTCGACATGGACGGGGCCCAGTTCTTTGTTGCAACCCAGAAGAACTTGATGACACATCTGCAGTTCTATGCTGGCAACAAATACGGCAACTCTCCTGGATCGGCCTGGCCACCTTGGCTGACCCTCGAGGCTATGTTTGACTTCGAGCTTAACCCGTTTGGCTTCTCGAGAATTATACAAAAGACCTCGGCCAGCTTACGCTACGATAAGTACAACAACCTCCGCCTCAAGTATAACGAGGAGGTGGCCAAGGGACAGCGTCAGTCGGGCCAGCAGAACGTTCCAGATGGACAGGAAACGAGAATGGACCAGATCAGCGTGGATTTCCCCCACTTCCGTGCTATTTGTGACTCAGCCGAGTACTATTCGATGTACATCATCGTTTTGGATCTACTCCTCTACAGTGAACCCTTGGAGAAGGTACGGAATGAGCGTCTCGAGAGGATCATGCTTAGTTCCGACTTTAGCGATCTCCGTGGTGCACCCGAAATGGTCTTCAAGCTGCAGTCGCGTATCAGACAGTTGGAGGAGATCAAGGAGCATTTCCAAATCCACGCGAAGTATCTGGATAAAAAGGGCTGGGAAGACCGTCTGGTCCTGGAGAACGATCTGACCCAGTGTGAAGATGAGCTATTCTTCCTAATGAAAGCCATCACAACGTCTCAGCGCAAGATCGAGCCGACAATGTCTGGAGCGACTGGTATCCTACGCTGGAACATCTCGGCAAGCGAAGTTGTGTGGCATCTCATGAAGGACGAGTCGGAGCCGCTGGTCGAGTTCCAGCTTAGGAATGCCGAATATGACCGTACCGACAACAGCGATGGTTCGAACCACAATCTGGTGGCAGTTGAACGACTGTATGGTTTGAACCTCCTTCCAGATGCCATATACCCGCAGATCATTGTGCCATATCTCGACCAGACCAAGCACATGGATGTCCCAGATGATCACATGATCAAAGTCAGTTGGCATATGCTTGAGGCTGTTGCAGGTATTCCGGTTCTGGATGACTTCGAGGTCTCACTATTTCCTCTCAAGATTCAATTGGAACATGAACTCGGCCAAAAGGTGTTTGAGTACATATTCCCCAATGTGGGCTCAACTGCATTCGAAAATGGCGGCTTCTCGCCCTTCATGATCAAGAACATGAAGCCGGTAGACAACTCCGATTCGGAGGATGATGAAGATACGAGCTCAACTTCACCCCCGACAGCACACGGGAGCAGTGATCCTTCGGTCGAAGACCTGCAGTTCTCCAAGGGACCCGGCGCTATCGAACTCCGACTACACCCGACCCTGTCGCTAGCTGAGGAGGCCAGGCCTCGAACACAGCGCTCCCATCATCTGAAGGGCCTGGCCATGACGCCTATAAACAAGGAACTTCCTCGACCCAGCTCATCCCGCCAGCTCGCGCGCCCGGCAACTAGTGTTGGTGCTTTGACAAAGAAGAGATCGGTTGACAGCATGCGCGTATTGTCGCGGCAACCTACAGAGAAGACCCTTGTGAACGGCTCAAACACCAACCTTAATGAAGACAAGGGCAAGAAGTTCAGTCTGGCCAAGAGGAGCGGGAAATCCAAAGAGACTACCGATGATCTAACGCAGATGATGTCACGTGCATCGAATTACATGACTTTGGCTCATATCAAAGTTCATGACGTGGTGCTTTGCTTGAGCTACAAGGGTAAAGGCGATCACAACCTGGAAGATCTTCACGACTTCGTTTTCCGTTTGCCGGTTCTGGAGTATCGGAACAAGACCTGGTCGAATTTGGATCTTGCCTTAAGGTTGAAGAAAGATGTGATCAAAGCCCTCATCTCTCATGCACCCGCCATTCTTGGGAATAAGTTCTCGCATCACCGGCCCAACAAACAGCAGCAGAAACGATACCGTGAGCTTGCGAGTTCAACCCAGATTCTGCAAAATTCAGATACCGCCACGCTGTCGGACAAGAGCCATAGCCTCGCAAGCCAGGACTCGAACAGCGAATACTCCGAGTCACGCTCACAGAGATCTGTCCAGTCGGGTACTTCTCCGCTTGTGCGATCCAACTCTTTGGGATCCAGCACCCTTAGTACGCCCGATCCGGGTCTATTAGCATCCGATGCTCGCTCTGCGAGTGAAGTAGATGTGGATGCCCGCTGGGAGGTACGTATCCGTCAACTCTATCAATGTGTCTGAAAATCATCGTTAACGCATTATTTCTAGCAATCTCGCCGAATAGTGAACCCTCCCAACCGGCCCATGACATCGGGTACTACCATTGCCCGCTCCCAGACCAAACGATGGGACGGGCCTGATGAGAGGTAAGATACCCTGCGGCCGTTTGTCCCTTGGAATGTCGACTGATTGTTCTAGTCATAAAATGACGATTCGTAACTTCGGTCGCAAGTTGATGCCGTCTCGAAAAAACGGGTAATTTCATAAGCGACAGCCCGGATCGCTATTATCAACCATCCTCCTTCTGCATTAATTCATGAATCCTGAACTTCCCTTGCCATCTTTTCAGCATCGCGAGTTAGCATTTTCCCGCTCCGAGATACCCAGATGCAGTGGGTGTATATAGGCGTCTTTTCTTTTTCTCTTTACATTTCTCTTTTTTTTATATATAACTTCTTCATCTAATCGGTTGACTGATCTTTCCCTCTACTTTTATTTCCATCATATTTTCTTGTTTTTGGGATCTTTTTCTGGCATTTGGCAAATCACCTACTTAATTCTTCGTTTCTATATTGTATTTCTTCATGACGACGGGTTCGTCTACTTTGTTTTTGTTTTGGAATAGGTCTTCGATGGAACATCCTCCCGCCCAAAACCTGTGTGCATTCATCCCACGTGTTGTTTCTTTCTTACATCTTCCATGGGATCAACCATGATATGACCCAGACATCAAGCAGAAAATCAGACCGGTCCAAGGCGTGAGAGGACGGTGCAAGTGATATGAGTGTCTTTGATTGCCTATATGGGGCTACAGTGTACGAAAGTGAGGCAGGGAGTGGACTTGCACAACATAACAAAACATTTGGGTATATATGATTGGAAATAGGCATATAGAATAATTAGACGGTGCAATTGGATAGAGAGGGTATTTGTTACTTACATGCCCTAGTTATTGCTTTTAATCATTGTTTTGTGATTTGCATTAGCTTTGGAGTAAACTGGAGTAATTTGGTTTGGGTTGCATACACTATTTAGGGCTGTAGATCGTGTTGGACTTATGGGCTTCACTTATTATTGGCTTTTCTTTGAGTTTACTAGTTAGATGAGTACGCACCTGGGTCGTTTTGAGGGTATTAAGTACTGAGACTCTGTATACCCTCGTTTGTAGTCTATATCAATCAATGTACATTGAAGATACCAAAAGAAAGCAAAGAGTAAGTAATTATTTCTTATATATCCAGAACGCCCAATCTGATCTTCCCACTAATATGTACATTTTCCAAATCAAAAATCCTGTCCCAAAAAACCCCTATCGCTACCAACCCATTCTCTATATTAAAAGAAAGCCCCCTTTTGAAAATACCATCTAATATAATATAAGATAAGGTATCATTATCCAAAGCTCCTCTTCTGCGTCGGCTCAAACGGCGTCTGCGTCTGCATCTCATACTCGATAAGCACGTCGTCCGTACGACGAATATGCAACGGCCCAGGTCCACCCCCACCTCCACCAGTAACAGTAGAATCAAAATCCCCCCTTTCCTCCCGCAAAATACTCTCCCGACTCTCGACGTTCGTCGTGAGCGTGATATCCTGCTTATGCAGCGCGCGACGCGAGCGTCGGCTGTTGTGGTGGTTGCTTTGGCTGCTAGGCTCGTTGCCTTGTTGGCTGCTTTGTTGGTAGTATTTGTGGCGCGAGTTGCTTTTGCCGTTGGAGGTGAGTTTGCGTTTGCCGAGGATGAGCTCGAGGAGGGGTTGTAGGGTGGGAATGCAGGAGGCGATGACGACGACGTTGGCTTCGACGCTGTTTTTGTTTTGTGTTAAACGGTTGGGTCGTTATGGTGTGGTGGGAGGGTGAGGGAGATGGATGGGATGGGTTGGGTGGGATACGTACTTGGTCCAGATGACGAGGGGGACGGTTCCATCTGTATGGGTTTATTTGGAGGTTAGAATTGGGGTTAAGATCCTGGATGCGGTTTGCCGGAGGGAAAGCAGGGAGACGCACATGTGGGATCCTCTTTATCTGCGAGACCTTTGATTTGAGCACATTTGACGATGGCAGTGGCCGCTGCACTAGAAGAGCTGTCAGTCAGTGTCATAATCCCGCGAGTTCCAGAGTTGGTAGAGTTGGCACGTACACGGCGCCCAAACCCATCGCTGCGCTTAGTGCGAGCTTCTTGCGAAAAGACATTTGCAGTTTAAACAACACCGTGCTCGGGTAGATGGCGAGATAGAGATCGACGAATGCGGATACAGCTACGGACAGTAAGTATTAACATGAACTTGTACTCTGATAGCTCCCTAGCAATCATAAAATGAGCACTCACCTCCGTTGAAAGTAGCATAGTGAATCAGGACCCAGATATCGCGACATGTCGCCTTCCCGTTCATGACCAAACTGATCTTCCACAGTGCTTGTGGAGGGTCACACATGGTAATGTAGATGATAATGTTGACGATGGCGACTGCGCAAATGAAGCTCGCCATGCCCCAGGTAATAATGCGATGGATTAGGCTCGGATTGAGGAGACGATTCAGTAAAGCCGCCACGCCAAGTTTGGGTAGTGCAAAGGACAGAATGCCGAAGATAAAGGATACGCTGTTGTAGAAGAGTCCTTTTTCGGCTTCTGCGATGTCCAAATTCGCTGTATGCTCTCCATAACCATACGCTACAGAGGCCGTGGCGGTTCCCACAAATATCAACCCTAAAACCTATACCCGAAAAGCCGAATTGAGTCGGTGGACCAACAGGATTGAGAATGCTGAAAAGTTGAGATGTATACTGACCATCGAAGCTGCAATCAGCCAGTCATCCAAGCCAAGAACCCGCAGCACCTTCTGTCGTATGAAGAGCCGAGCGACGACAATGAACGTGGTGACTCCCGTAAGCGCCCACATCACGGCCATCATCTGGGCACCCTTCCCTCCCCCTTGCTTTCTGCCATTTGAGGTAGATTCCGCCATTGCGGGAAGTGGAATATGTGAGTAAACCGACAAGAACAATTGTAAAATTTGCAAGGACCGTATGATGAGCCGTTCAGACACCACCTGGTGCCCCGATGCTCCCGTCCCTTCGAAAAGCAACCGGAACCCGCGCTTTCACTTCAACTTGCTTGTTCGCGACCCAGTAGGCCCATATAATAAAATGGATAGGGAAGGACAGAAGTGAAGAAGAACAGGGACTAAGATATCGATCGTGCCGATGAACAGCTGCAGGGTTTTGCGTTATCCCCATCAAGCAAATGCCTCAGCGGACTCCGTAGTCCGTACGGAGTAAGAATAAAACTGTTTCGAAAGGAACAGGGCCATTGGGGCCAAGTGAGCTGAGAAGCAGGGGTGCACGATGCGGTGCTGTCCGAAAATTGGAAATGCCCCAGGATCAAGCTAAAGGAAACACCCCTGTCAGGAAAAAGACGCCGTTGCTTGTATTGCATGAGTAGTGTTGGGTTCCGGACGGCAGCCCGCGCAATTAACCCTCTCTATAAAGTGGATCAGCCGGAATTTAATTACTATAGGATGGAATAGTTCATGGCGTTGGCCAAGGCCAACGAGGCGCCATTTAAGGCCGAGTTGCATTCTAACAATTTGGGTGGCGGCACGGGGATTCGCAACATGAAGCAAAACTATACCAACAATGGTAAGGTTGGGGTCTTCGAAACTTGGGGACGCGCCATATAATGACCTCGTCGTCTGAGTGAATGACTCGTGGAATCCATCGTTCCCCTGCCACAGGTGTACGGTGTACGTACGGTGCACTCTCGTGCTGTGTAGATCCGATTGCCCAATTTTCCAGCCCCCAGCGCCGAGAACAGCAATTATTTCTCCGAATAAATGCTTCCTAAACAAGTAAAAAGTTTCAATTGGCGTAGACTCCGATGTAACATCACCCAGGGTATATGAGAGACTAGCATGGCGTGCTGCATTAGGCCCAAGTCCAAAAGATAGAGGTGATAATAAGTGGAGCACAGCAAAGAGTACAGGGTTGATATTTTTCACTCAAATGAACTGGCTTGCTTCCCCCTGTCATGCATGTGCAAATTTTGTGAGGTGTCAACTGTCAATCACACTCTCCCCCCGCCTCATAACAGTTGTTCGTTGATTATTCCAAATCCTCCGGAGTCACAATGGCCGAACACAACGGGACCGAAACAAATGGCACCAAAACAAATGGTATCGGATCTCACACCGTCCTTGATGGTCGGATTGCCATTTCTCCTAATGCACCACAGGATGTTCCCCGTCTCCTGAAGGAAGTCAACGCCCTCAGTCAAGATCTCAACAAGGGAAACCAGGAGGCCCGACTGAAGCTGATAGATGCGGCTCAGTCCGTTGTCCGAGCTTTGGAGACTCCACGGGAGACCCTGCTTCGCTATTGCTGGGCAAACTCGACCGCTTTCGCGGCTATCGAGACATGCATTGACCTGGGGATTTTCCCCATCTTAGCACAGAGCGACCGATCGAGATCGGTGACAGAGCTTGCAAAAGCGACTGGTGCAGAGCCAGAGTTACTAGGTTAGTTCATTCCTTATCTGCAGTAAGTCAAACACGTGTACCTCGGGCTCACGCAGGTGCAGGGCGTCTCCTGAAACACCTCGGTGCCATGGGCGTGGTCGTGGAGACCGGGTTTGATGAGTACCGTCGCAATGGATTCTCAACCGCATTGGCGATGCCTCGTTATAGTGATGCAATTCCGTGCATGTAAGTGACCAGAGCGTCCCTGACCGCCGAACTTTCTCTTTCGAAATGAACATCCTGACGAGGACCGACTCCTGGTAGAAACGGCTGTACTATTCCCTCCATCTATGCACTCCCAGGATGGCTGAAAAACAACAACTACACCAGCCCGAACGAGGGCAAGAACTCCCCCTTCTCACTGGGATTCAAGACCGACCTGCACTTCTTCGAGTTCCTTAGTGCCAATCCCGAGTATCCCCATCTGGCCGGCCAGTTCAACAACCTCATGTCCGCATACCACCAGGGAAGACCTAGCTGGATGGATGTGGGATTTTACCCGGTACAAGATAACCTGATTCAGGGCGCACGGACGGGGACCGACGAGGTGTTCCTGGTGGATGTCGGTGGAAACAAAGGCCACGATATTGAGGAGTTCAAAACCAAGTGGCCGGAGGTGCCCGGTCGATTGATCCTGCAGGATCAACCCCATGTTCTAGCTGAGATCAAGTCTCTGAATCTGGCCATCGAGGTCACGCCCCATGACTTTTTCAAGGAGCAGCCCGTCAAAGGTACGAATCTATCCCTTTTCTTACCCTTTCCCTTGGCTGTTTTGTTCCCCTTTTTGTGGCGTAGCTTCTTCAAGCTGATTCGAATACTGACTCGAATACTGACTCGTACTCTTACTGCGTCTAGGTGCGCGAACCTACTTCCTGCACTCCATCCTACACGACTGGAACGACGAGACTTGCCAGAAGATTTTGCGTCGATTGGCGGATGCCATGACTCCCGGATACAGCAAGCTGCTGATCAACGAGAACGTGATTCCCGATACTGGGGCTCACTGGCAAGCTACCTCCCTGGACATCATCATGATGGTGGATCTGGCAGCAAAGGAGCGTACCGAGCACCAGTGGTACGAACTGATCGAGCCGACGGGCCTGAAGATTGTGAAGATCTGGTCGGCGCAGGCTAGTGCCGAGAGTCTGATTGAGTGCGAGTTAGCTTGAGTGAATAGTCCATACACCGATAGATCAGGTGACATCAGCTGTAAATAACAAGAACACCAATCCTTTTTGCTGTTAATTTATTTTCGGTGTCATTTCCCAACCAATGGTCGTACTTTTGCCAGTCCATGTTTTCTGTTACCCAATATTGGTAGGGAAGAGAAGGAAGAAGCGGAGAACGTTGGATTTAGCCGCCCGTTAGCTTGGCTCGGTTTGTCCTGTTTGGGGTTCCGATCCTCGCGGGTGCGGCAAGTGGGACGTGCCGAGACCTGCCGGCTGCCGCGCATCCTCGGCCTCGAAGGCACAGCTTCTTGGCAATTGCTCGTATATTAACCGTTACATTTACACTAACCTAAGGCAATATAGCGGGATGAAACAACTCTCGATAGTGGCCAGCTATGGATGCCTGCACTCCCAGGCATCAACCAGGATGTCGATCTGTTTGTCCGCATCGTGAGCAAGGCACGACATGTTATCCATGCGCTCCGATCTCGTCCGATGCAGTAATGCCAAGTGCGATGGGTGAATTCGCGATCAAGGGATCGTTTCATACTCCATCCTTCATCGGATCCACTTTTAACAGGAAATTGTGGGTTGTTATACGGACTTAACGATACAGCGTAAACAACCACACCAGCCCAGCGATCTAATTCTGAGGCGCACGAGTGGCTGGATACAACTATCGTTGTCAAATTTGGGGGCTTCTTTCGCTTATATATCTATCTGCTATGGATCAGCGGCTTCATGACGTCTCGCAATAGTGACATATTCAACTAGTCAGTCATCCACATCGTGGGATACATTTCCTTTGGCTTTGGCTGTATCTTTGGGTCTTATGCACTATGCAAGGAATCCTTAGCAATTACCTTTAGAGCAACGTTCAAATACGACCCTCAAAGCTGACATGGCGCTGTATTCTCATGCTTGATGTATGTGAGTGTATTGTGCAAATCCTGTCGACATCACCTCAACCTCTCTATTACCTTCTCGCACAAGCGTTGTATCTGCCTCCAACGCCCCAGTATCATATCTAGCCGTTCAGTTTCTTTCTTCGATTCCGCAGCTTTCGAATCAGCAGCAACTGCCTTCCTCTTCATGTTCTCAATAATCTCGATTGTTGCTATACTTTCCTTCCGGTACGTATCGACCCATTCACGGATCACCGCCGCAGTCGTTTGCCGATTCACGCTTCGATCGGATTGTCCGAGAACGTATTTCCGCCAGTCCCGGAGAGACATGTACTTCAAACATGCGGCGAGTTGGGTAGAGGTGCTGGGGCCCTCTTCCAAAACCTCGTAATTGCTGGTTGTCAAGCATGAGATGATTGTCTCTAACGGTGAAGGGTTAGGTATACGCACCCGAAATATTCGCGGAGCGCAAGCTCCTTTTTCTGTGGCAGCGACAGCTCAGGGAATATAATGTCGTCTAGGTATATCGAGTCTGACTCGTTTCGGTCGAGATAAAAGCCATCTAGCGCTTTGTTAGTAGGGCGTGATACCAAGGCACAGGTAACTGACATTCAACTAGTAAGAAGTCGTTCGAGTGTGCCCCGTAGCTCATGAAGATCTCTTCTCCTTTTTCTATATCACCAAATTAGCAGTCACATCATGATCGAACAGTATCAGTTCCCACTTACTGTATTTTTTCGTCGCCGTGAACGTATACCTCGAGCCATCGAAATTGACACCGCAAGCCTACAATTCCTCTATGAGCCCAGACCCATAATACTCACAAGAAAAGGAACTCACCGCATCGTCCTCATGGTTGAAATAATCCGCAAACGGAACCAACGCTATCGCATCGTTCCAATCCTCCGGCTCGCCCTTCCCGGGCGACGTATAATAGAAGCTGCGCGAGTTGATAATAAACCAGTTCCACGCGAAAGACTCCCACTTCGTATCCGGAAACACAGCGGTAACGTGCTCCCACGAGTCTTTGAGCCGTTTCTCCTGCTGCGCCAGCAACTGCTGATACCTCGTCTCATAGTCCACATTGACTGGGGTTTTCGAGAACGAGTTCCATGACCCCGAGATTGACGGGGGCAGAATACTAGGCTCGGATGAGGAACTGCTTGCTGTCCCTGAGCCTGAGCTGTTCAGTCGTCGGAGGTGCTCGGGCCAAAGCACCGGCATGGTATCTTCGAATTCCTGCAAGCTGGGCCATGTGCGTCGCCAGGCATCTAGCGGCTTCAGCAGCTCGGCGTCACCGTGCGTGAGATACGCGGACATGATCGCCTGGATGGATGCGTTCTCGGGAAACCGATCCACAAACCACGAGGGGATCGAGTCAATGGTTACCATTAATGCGAGGGGCACGGAAAGAATGACTTCATCCTCCTTGGGCGTATAGATATCATGTCAACCAATGGCCATCTTGGGTACCGAAGATGAGGTAGGCACCACTAGACTATAGTTCACCAGGGGACTCCCTAGAGACTAGAACTAGGAGCTAGAAGCATGCTAACTCACTTGTAGTGTTCTGGTAGCCACCATGCCTAATCGGCGGCCGGGAAACCGAGCTGGCGCGATGCCGTTGATCTGGACGCCGTTGGACGCAGCCCATTGTGTGAAAACCAGGTGTTCATCACCCGGCGAGTCCATTTTGTGCTGCTCGAGGAAAGCAAAAGTTGTTTGCAGGGAAGTTTGGAAGAAGAAGTTCCATTCGTTCTGGATGTTTTTGCCAGCTTCTTTGTCCAATCATACATCGCGCCCTGTCTGGCTTATGTAATCCGTCTGTTCTCCAGAAAAAAAAAAGATGAGGGGGAATCCAACAGTCGACGCAAACAATTAACGTCGAGACAATCTCGCACCCCACCTGTCGACAATGTCCCCCGATCCTGCCACGGACGCGCCTGTCGCGAGCAATGTCCCCGCCGACGCCAACATCGACCATGCGGCTTCCATTAGATACTGGAACAGCGTGCCGGCCACGTCCAACGCCATGCTGGCCATGCTCGGCAATTACCCCTGGTACTCGCGCATCGATCTCCGAGGATCGAAGACGTTTCTGAGCAAGGTGCGACGAATGATCCCGTCGTGTCCGACGGACGGGAAGCTCGCGCAGGCCGTGGACTGCGGCGCCGGCGTCGGACGCGTGACGGAAGGATTCCTCAGCCACGTCTGCGGGGTGGTCGATGCGGTGGAGCCCGTCGCGAAGTTCACGCAGGTCATGCAAGACGGATCGCTGAAGAGGGACGGGGTGGTCGGGGACATCTATACCATGGGCATTGAGAGCTGGAATCCGGATAAGAAATACGACCTGATCTGGACGCAGTTCTGCGTGGGCCATTTGACGGATGAGCAGCTGCGGGAGTACTTCGTGCGGTGCTGTGCGGCCCTCACCGAGACGGGGCTCATCGTGGTCAAGGAGAATATGTCGACGGATCCGCAGGGCGAGGATATGTATGACGATGAGGATAGCAGCGTGACGCGGACGGACGAGAAATTTAGGAAAATCTTCGCCGAGGCCGGCATGAATCTGATCACGTCGGAGCTGCAGTTGGGATTCCCGAAGAACTTCAAGCTTTTGCCTGTTCGGTTCTATGCTTTGCGACCTAAAACCTGAGCACGTTTGCATCCTCCGAGACGCTTCTAGACGGCCACTCTTCCTCTTGTGCAAAGGACCGAGACTCTATACGCAATTGAAATATGCGGAGTGGAGGTGTACATTGAAGGACCCCGGCCATTCAAACAAGAAGTCATCATTTATCGTCCATTGTAGGGTGACCCCTGCGTCAAGTCATTCCAGTGTCGCAGGTATCGGCCGGCTCTTCTCGTGCCAGCAATGCGACAAGCCAGGCGCGCCGCGCTTTGGTCGGCTTCGTCCGCCCAACCTCGGGTCTTGTGGCTATACAGTTCGACTGTAAATATGAGATGGGATGGGAATGTTGCCGCGGCGCTGAGTTAACTCCAAATATCATATTGTACGACTTCCAACACGACTTGCTCAAAAATTCGTATGCTAGTTCTGTATTATACATTCTAACAAAAAAAGAAATCCAACACCAGGGTATCTAGATACAACATAGAGTACATCATATACGGACCATATCGTCATTATTTTTTGGGACCAATCTGGCACGCTGCCTAAGTGGTCAAAGGGAATTGGCTGAAGAACATTGCTGCCTTCATCTGTAAGGTTTCTCATTAGAGAAGTGTCGAAGGCGAGATCTTGTGGTTGTTGCCAAGGATATGGGAGTTTGACAAAATACCATGTCCGAGGAATTCGAAGTCCGAGCTGCTGGTATCAAACATTGGATTGACCATCAGAGGGCGTAGGGGGTGAGGATGTCTTCTCTGGATTTCGAACCCAAGGCAAGAAACTCGACACATGAACCGACTCCAGTCGAGTTCGGGCGGACGGTTCCCCGACCTCATCCACATATGATGGAACGCCTCCCTGGCCTCTGTGCTCCTGCCAGGCCTTCTTTTCGCGACGAAGATCGCTCTGGACCCACGGGATAGTGATTAACGTCCAAACACCGGCCCAGACTAAAGGCAACGTCCACCCCAACTGTGTAAGATTCATCCGTTAGCATGCAGTGGCGGCATGTTGCTAATCCCTTCACAAAGGAAATTCTTTCGATACTTACAGTGAACGCGACGTTTTGAGGTACGGTGAAGATAATGGCGGTGAAGGCGGCGGCGAAGATGATGGACCCTCCGGCCCAGAAACAGTTCATTTGGAAGAGCATCCGACGGAAGTAAGGACTGGATAGATACCGAGTTCGAAGTGCATAGCGATAGATCTGACCTCCACCACCGTCAACAGCGACGACATCTTCGATGAGAACGTATAATGCTGTAGGCATGACGGAGCCCTTGGGTGTCGAGGAAATCCGGAATGGGGCTTTGAAACCGCAAACGCGCAGGATATCAAGGGCGAGGTAGACGGCACCAAAGTAGAACATGACGGAGGGGAGAACCATAGCGACGAGTCGGACTGTAAAGATTCGGATTGTTAGAGCCAAAACTATAGATCGGCATGCCGAAGTTCTTACCGTATGGTTCCTCGACCACTGTTCCCCTAAATGGGTGTTAGTTAGGAAGGGTGGGATGATGCGGTGGCGAGACTCACGTAATTAGTTCCACGGCCAGGATCAACCAAACAATGGTGAAGTTGATGTGGAAAAAATCGAGCTTTGTCGGTATGTTAGCCTTCTATCCATCTCGGTCTGACATAAGACTAGTTGTGTAGCCTACCCATGATTTCTTTGCGTTCAACGGTCGGGTTTTGGAATCTTTGCGGAACAAATTGTAGAGTCGGAAAAAGTATTCGAATACCGATATTCCTCCCAGCGTGATAGTGACGATGGTAAATACTGTGAAGAAAACCAGTCTTAGTAACGGCTCACTTCTAGAGCATCCACGAGATCGGCAAACATACCCATGTTATGCGACAGGTCTGTTCCATACCAAAGTCCCCAAAATAACGCGACCGGTTGAGCAGCGAGATCGAGAACAAACAAAGACCAAAAAATGGCAATCGACTTCTTTCGAGTGCGAAGCGAGTAAGGCAGGGGAGGCGGCTCCGAAGGCACGGGGTTGGCCCTTCCTTCCTCCATCTGGTCGGCCATGAAGTTCGCGGAATGGTGAGGGATGGGACAGGATGTGATATACTAGGGGAAGGAGGTCATATGGACAGGCCCATGGCGTGGTTTGAAGGCGGCAAAGTCTGGACCTTTCAACATCAAAGAGCTGCAGAAAAAGGCAAAAACTGCTGGCCGGAAACGACGGCAATCCTTCTGCTTTGAGTTTGTCGTTTCCTTCTTGGACGATCACGGGCCTGGGTGCCTGACGTAACCGCGGTGATGTCATCGGGGCGTAGCCTTGATTCCCTGGTTGCTGCCAATCCGGTTCTCCATAACAGTACGGAGTAGCTACCGTTTAGGTTTAACACGGAGTACATGATCTTCAAGGTCGCGAGAGTTAGAATCTTCCTAATTATCAATTGCACATTGAATCTCCCGAATATATACTCCGTACAATGCTTCCCGCAGGCTTTCCGATACTCGATCCCTACGACACCAACAACCACATCAAAAATCTTCTGGTTATGTCGGGACAATAGATGATTTCGATGATGCATTTGTTAGCTCACCATTATACGCCAAATTGACCCCGGATTTCTTGAAGTTGGCCCCTTCAAGATTATTGAATAAGTACTATGAAACTAGCCTCCGGTGAAAGCCATCGAGCGGAGAATGACGAAACAGTGTCTCTTTCGAGATACCCAAATGCCGGAAAGAGTAAGATCTGTAGGGGCTGTACAGAAGACCCGTTTTAGTCCGCTTGAGCATAGGCCACAAGATGGCCGAAGATACAGTAACAATATGGATGCGTCGATGCTGACGATATCCATCTTGGCTGACAGAGGTGTCATCAATAAATCACCCACCCAGTGGCTGAAGCATTGATCCAATTAGCAACTGAATAGTGTACATGGATATACCTGCACATTATCGTCGGGACCGTCGCGAATTGGCGAATACGAGCGACTATGGACATACGATAAGTCGCCACGTATATCATGCAGACGAAACTGAACACCAAGCATGTGAAAATGGTGTGACTGTCTCTGCCAATGTTATGTCTGCTATTCAAGATATGTGCCTAGCTGACGGAAAGGGTCTCACCTATCTGTAATATTTATGGCCACAAGACTACTATACAGAGCCAGTTCAAACATCAAATGGTGAACCTATGTACTGTATATAACTAGGAGTGAATTAGGGATCTATCTATACTTCGTTGATTCCAATTCGTTTCAACAGTAGTTAATCTGAATGTTTGACTATAGGTACTTGAGGAATAGTCTTCTGATAACATAGAATGCTGGTGCAACCAAGATGATATCTTCTTATCTTATCAGAGCTTATCGGGCTTATCGCCATGCCGGAAAATGCCATGATTACGTAAGGGAACCCCTCACGTGCTGGCGCCACCCCTCGAGAATCTTCACGGCGCAGGTTCGAATCGCGCCCGTTCCTTTGCACGACCCTCATCCCGCCCGTTGTCCAGGCAATGAATTGAAGTCTTTCCCGAGTGGGAAAATTTTCGCCCTGTATTGCCCAGGAGTTCTGGCCCAGCCATGGAGGCACAATGGCCCCTAGCTTACGAGATTTGATTGATTTCCTGTTGGCGGAGATTGCGCTCTGCGGTGATCAAGGTCAGTCTTTTGCATCCCTGCATCCTGCATCCCCGATTTTTAGCGCTATCAGATGGCGCCGAAGTTTCACTCGGTCCGCCCGCGCAAGTCATTCTATATCACATTTTGTTTCCTGAACTCCTCGCAACATTTCCGATGTGATAGCGCTTGTGCACAAAACTGACATTTCGCAGGCGCTACTCCGGCAGACATCTTGAAGTCTATTAACACATTTTACGCCAAGGCGGCGCAAGATGCATCTAATCGCAATCATAGCGTCGATCGGCGGTTTCAGGAGAAGGTGTGGTCCTGGCTGACGAGAAACCCCGAAGTCTCCGTCGGCACAGATAGAGAGGGAAATCACCTGACTCTGGACGAGGCGGAGGGTCGTGGACAAATCAACCAGGAGACCGAAGCAGCATCTCCATCATCTCGCGATGTGGTTCGAGTTTTTGTTTCTGAAGAAAGAACTTGGCTTGCGATCACTGGCCATGAGCGAGACGACTCCAGGGTCTTTTCGACCGAGTTTGCCCTCTTGTCCATCATCGCATCACACAGAGAGAAAGGTATCGTTCAGACGGACCTCGTCAGACTCAGTGGCCAAGACAAGCGGTCGGTCCCCAAGCGGACGGACGTGCTCCACCAAAAAGGCTACATTGATAAACGTGCCATCCAGATCAAATCCGTGCGGACGAGTTTATGTACTTTGCGGAAGTTCGTGACCACCGATGTGTCGCCACTAGACGCTGATGCTGCAGGCCAGCAATCGAACGGACTACCACATGGGCAAGTGATGGACTACAAGGAATTTGTCGAAAAACTTTTCGAGATTCTTGGGGAGTACAAAATTGTCGGTCGTAATGACTTGAAGAACCTTCTTGGCTTCACCGACCGCTGGCGATGGAGAATTCTCTCGCGCGCGCTGCGCAAGTGTGAGCGCCTAGGTGTTCTCAAGCGAGTCAAGGCCCTGACGCAATATGCCGATACCTTCAACAAATACCATCCTTGTGTCCTGCTTATACGTCAACCCACGAAGCGAGAATTTGAAATGTTGAATGAGTTTAGTTTGAACTTCACGACGGATTTGGGACATGAGGGCAATGTAGAGCTGGACGAGGATATCGACATGAATGATGAAGGGCTGGAGTCCTCGTCGTTTAATGAACCCCAGGCATTGGGTATGGTCAAGAGAGAAGAGGATATGGAGGAAGCTGGCAGAATGGTCCCTACTTGGACGCCAGATCGCAACATTCATAATCAGATCTTTGAGGCGGTTGACAAGGCAGGAACGCCGGGAATTACCAACATTGTGAGTTGACTGAGAATCACGAATAGGATGCGGCCTTGAACTTACGTGAAACCATGCAGGACATCATCAGAACGTGCTTTGGAGGCTTCTTTCGCCGACCACTGGAAAATGCGCTGGGCCGCCTCGTCGCATGCTGGCAGCTGTCCCAACCACTACACCTACGCCATCTGGCTGTCGTACGAGACACGGCCCTTCGCCGGACCATAACTCACTATATCCACTACACCGCGACCAATTTCCGTAAGCTTGTCGATGCGGAAGAGTCAACGTGGGAGGCCGTCGAATACAGGCCCAAAAGCACAAAAGGGTCCACCCTCCGGGTACCGCCAGTCGATGCATCACCAGAACTTGATGAGTTTGGCTTCTCGATTGACATTCCCCGGAAGGAATTGTTCAGACACGGAAATGCTACTCTCATGGAATGCATGTTCAGCGCTAAACCCTCCGACTATAGCTGCACGTCCACTGACCTCAAGGCGATGCAAATAGAGGGCGATACGTATGGTAAGTGCCGGATCAATCACAAATTCCATGCTGAAAACATTCGCTAACACGCCATATCTTTCTAAAGCAATTCACTATGGACAGAAGTATTTCGAAGTGTCGCACCCAGACAAATTGCTTACACCGAAGAAGCCGCGAGCTAAACGCCGCAACCCTGATGTAGAGATGGAAGATGGTTCAGCAAAGGTGGTTTCAGTTAATCGGGGCGCCGGAAAGAAAAGGGAAGATGCCAGCCGTTTCATCGGCATGTCTGAAAAGGAGAAACTTGAAGCACTTGGCTTGGATGAGACATGGACCGAATACAGCGTGTTGCTCATAGAGCGGTCTCAACCGGGTGTATATGTCACGCCTCGTGGACGGCGAAGACCCGCTGGAAAGCGACAGGGTCGTCCGAGAATCAGTCGTCTTGCCGTTTTCAGATCTCCGAAAATGGGATCATTCCCATGGTTTGTCAAAGAGAAGAAGGATGAAGAAGAGTATGAAGATGAAGATGAAGATGCCGCAGAGACCCGCCAATCTTCGCGAGGCGAAAGCATCGATTCAGCATCTGGAACAACACCGGCGGTCGTGCCCGAGGAACAGCCACCTGCGCATGTCGACGAGCCGACAGAAACACCAAGCAGAGGAACTAGAGCAAATCTGCGGCGCCGTGCTTCGTTCAACGAGGATCCAGAATCAGGACCCGGCAGATCTCACAAGCATCGGCGTCTCAACGGGACTACTGTAGTCTCTCCTACTCTCAATGCGAATTCCAACCAATTGGCTGAGAAGCGGGCCGAGCATGAAGAGCAAGATGAAAGCACGCCGGCGAGACGATCGAAGCGGCGAAGAGTAGAGTCTCCCGCACGCGACACACCCACGGCACCTGTTGATAAGGTGTACAGGTCGGAAGAGAGTACCGGTAGGACACCATCGAAAAAAACAAATCAGGTCAAAGAGTCCCGCAAGTCGCCTCCTGCTATCGACGACCAGCCACAAGAATCCAATGGGACGGCCATTGCTGACGATAAAGCAAGCGGGAATGCCGTCGGTACTGTCTCCACAAACGGCGCTCAGCCAGAGACCCCCACGGCATATGTCCGTTCCCATCAATCCCCTGCTACAGAGAAAAAGCCTACCATCTCGCAAGCCGCGGAAGAGTTGCCGCTCAAGAAAATGCCCGAGAGAGGCGGATCAGTTAATATGCTGCGCAGGAAGATCATCCTGGATATCTTACAGCAGGCTGGAGGGGCATTTCCAGGGGGCTCTGAGCTGTGGTATCCATTTACCCTTGCGTGGAGTAAATTGAGATACAATGGGAAGCCTGATCTCAGAACTATCAGGAGCACAGTCAAACACATGATCGACGCTGGTAAATTACGCCAACATACTTTTAGTGGCAGAGACAGCAAAGGGATCATGGTGACAAAATCCATAATCAGCAAAACGGACTTGCAACCAGAAGCCCCTATCATAAAAGATTTGCAGAGGAAAATGTTGGCCGCAGATCCCCGACGACCCTACATCCCAGAGAGTGTCGAATTCGACCGGGAAATGTCCAAGAGCGGTCGAAGATCTACGCAGAGCAATGAGCCTGGATTGTCTCGTGGCGCTCCTATTGAGGAGGGGATTACAGTACAGCTGCATCAGAAACCCGGATTTGTCTTGGCTGCAGAAAGGAGGAAAGGTCTGAATATCGAGCGACGACTGTTTGAAAGACTGGCGGCTGGAACGGACCTTATGCGAAAACCGCCGCGACTGATGAAAATCAGTCGCCGTTCAACCGAAGACTCCCTGCAGAGCCTTACATCTATTACCAGACCAGAGAAGGCTAAACTCGATGGCGATGCTGCGGCACTTCGCCAGCGACGACGTCGAACCGCGACATCCTCTCATGCACCACTGCTACCGGGTGGTTCGATTCCCCGTCGCAAAATGGCGGGTCGTCTCAGCATCCCCTTATCCGCCATGGGCCCCTACGCCATGGTGATGAATCCAAAGCAGACCTACCATGCAAAGTCTGGGACCTATGCTACTCATGCCGGGCTTATTTCTTTGCAGATTCCCAAGAACTGGGATACCCAGCCTGAACAGCCTGAAGTAAGGGACGAAAATGAGCATGAATCCGGAAAAGAGTCGGAATCGGAATCTGAAATCGAACTCGATCAAGGACCTACCCTGCCCAAGTCTCTTGATGATTTATTCAACATGACACGGCGCCGCATTATGGATTATTCTGAAATGGATGACCCTCGGTCGAGAAGGTTCTTCCTCGACAATAGGGTCATTCTGAAATGGGAGCTGCAAAACGAAGACCTGCTCCGGAATCAATCTACCGAGGACCTGCAGTACATCAACCAAACCGTGACAAATCTTTTCAGTGCACCAATCCAGGGCAATATACGATTTGACAATGACGAGCCTAAACCTCCAGCTCGGCCGCCACCGGAACCGAAAACGACTAGACGAGCAGCGCGTCGCCTGCTACCCGCTGAACCTGCCATGTCGCCTCCCAATAGTCAGGAGAGGGATCTGCCTCGGAATTATCAGCGGCGCAAATATGAACATGTGCCACAGCCACAGAACCGACGCTTGAATAAGTTATTGCAGGGCGAAGTCACTGCTTCGGCAGCCTCTGCACTCCATTCACCGTCTCCATCCCGAGCGATTCGTCGGAATCGGGTTGCCAATCAATTGCCTGAGGCGCTGGTGCAGAAGATCATGACCGCAATGGTCGTAATTCGCACACTGGCCAGTGGCTCTGATGCTCGGCTCATTGACTGGAATCTTTTGTCATATTGCTTTCCAGACCAGGACCCAGTCTACATCCAGGACCGAGCAAAGGTGATCCTCAACCGGATGCGACTTCCGATAGCTAAGATGCAGAATGATTTCCAGGAGCTCTACCTGGATGCGTACGAGCACGGCCGGGTTCCCCCAATCAACTACGATGACCTTGTGAACTATGACTGGGAATGGATCGTTGACTGGGCGACCGAACAGCTGGAAGTGCCCCGGCCGGAAAAGCTCCCGTATCTTCCCGCAACGCGCAAACAATTCGACAGTTTGTTCGAGATCCGGGAAGAGGCTCCCCCTTCGTTGGACGACATCTACCAGACCAATAACTCCGTTACCGTCCAGCGGCGGCGCACGCTCTTCGCCGGAATATCTTTTGCGATCCCCGTGGCTAACAAGCCAGCCAAGATGACCGTTCGACAGGCCGAGCTTGCTCGTCTCGACGTGGCTAAAACATGGGTTCGCGCCAATGTCATCACCCCTGACGAGGCGTACAACTCCGCAACTGCACGACAAATTCTCAGCCGGCTGGGCGAGAAACTCGTCGACCAGGCCTTACAGTCGCTCATCACGGAACGGGTGCTCTGCACCGGCAACAAGGGCCGAGTCGTTCCGGGTCGCAACTACGATGTCACCGAGCTCTTTTTGCACTCCCTTGGACGCAAACGCGCCATCGAGGCGACTGAAACGAGACGTGCCGCCCATTTCAAGACCGAGATTCTGGACCCGGCGCTTCGAAAGCAAGGCGTATTTGACGTCTCTTACAGCGCTGAAGACGGTGATATCCTCGCACTGATCAACCTCTACGTTACAGGCAGAGTTATGCTGCAGCCTCGAGACCCGCCCCGCGACAAATACGGTCTTACTGATGGCGGATATCTGACCCGGCTGATCGATAAGCAGAAGCTGCGGTTCCCCATCGAAGTCCGTCCGGTCAAGGGCAAGTACATATTCGGGGATCCGATCGAGGAAGCTAGGTCCAACATACCAGCACCTAAGCTGCCCGCGACTAACTTCGACGCGCCGGACCCCGTGTTCGAGAAGATTCCTCTGTGGCATGACATTCATGGGAAATTCGTCGATAAGCTGTGGGAGTTGGCGCTGGCGGCCGTGGTGGGATGTGTTGCCACCCGACCTGGGATAAATGCGTCCGGCATCGCTAGCATGATGAGGCCGAGTTTAGGAGCTTGGGAGATTGAACTGATGCTGGAGTGGACGTGTGAGGTAGGAGTCATGCGTCGACGTGGCGATGGGTGGTTTGTCCAGGAGTGGTGGTGGATGTTGGTTCGTTAGGGATTTCTTTTATACTCTTGTATGTATTCATTGCCCCTTTTCAGGAAATTTCAAACAAGTTTCTACGTCTGTTAGGTGGTAGAAGGGAAAAGATCCTTAGTAATATAGGCTTCATGGGAAAGTGCAACTCCATTTCTTGGATGTATTCGAAATATGTTTGATGGATTCATGACGCTCAGTAGGCGACAAGTTAGGATATGATGAACACTATGACATATAGGATAATTAACACCACGTCCGCTACGGAGACGTCAACCACGGATCTGTTAGGAGTTCACGAGCGCTCTGCCTCTCCTCTGGATCCCATTGCAGCATTTTTCTAACAAACCGCAGGAACATCTTCTTGTTATCACCCACCAGATACTCTTCCGAGACTTCTAATGAGTTATCTGGAATTTCGACAGAAGATATCCATTGACCTGCTATCAAATCAGCACGAGAATCCATACAACGACCGGCTAAACCCGGATATACCTGAGGAATCCCAGTATTTGGAGCCATGGGGAGAGTTGCGAAGAAAGCTACAAGGCGGAGGACCCAGCATCGCTACCATCTCAGCGAGAAGATGTGCATCCGAATGCCTGCCATCCGGGCCTCTACCGTCGAATAGATGGTGGTCTTCAAAAAGGTCCCATATCTTTCATCTGGTCAATGAAACGAGCGATAAAGGACCCAATGTGGCACTCCACTTACCAACACACCAGCGTTCCATATATCGACTTTGGATGTCCAATTCAATCCAAGAATGACCTCTGGCGCACGGTAAATGTCCGGCTGGATCAATCCCTCATAGACTTCCCCTAAACGAGCTTCTCCGAAGTCTGAAAGTAGTGGCATTCCGAAGCCGTTCCATCCTTTCTTACGATGGAACGGCCGTGATGGATAAACAGTGTAGTCACCGTCAACCTTTAGTGGGGTTGGATCATTCGCCTGGTTGGCGACCCATTCATGATAAACCGAATCATGTTTAGCGCTGATGATAATGTTCTTGGCTTGTATATCTAGAACCTCCTATTAGCCTATCATACAGCAGACCCTTGAAGAGGTACAAACCAGTATGTACTACTCGTGCTTCGGAGTGTAGATAATCAAGAGCCAGCAATAACTGCTGCAGTGCTCCCTTGAGCATATCCTCCGGAAGACTCGTAGGGTCCAAGGTTGCTTGGAAATGCAACAGACTGGTCAATAGCGGCTCGTGGACAATACACTGATGTGTGCATCTGGGCCCAGTAAGCTCGAAAGTGTCGACCATTTTGCGCACGAGGCTGCTTCCGGGATGATCTGATTTGATTTGTGAGAGGTGCTCTAGGACTCGCACTTCTTGGTTTTGCTTAGAGCTCGCGATGTAGATCTTGAGTGCGATGTAGCGGTGTTGTCTAGTAGAGCTTAGTATTGTTTACCAGTCTCCCAAGGAAGAGAGAGGTATAAGTACTGCAGATCATGGCAGAACCACACTGTTGAATTTGCTCCAAAGCCTAGTTTGTTGAGGACTTGGTATCTAGAATGGAAGACATCACCGAGTTTGACTGGATAGTAAAGGCGTCGACTATAGGCAGGCATTCGCTCTTCCTCGAACTTTGTGGATAAATCAGGGACAGGAATCGTAGAGAAGGTGGATATCCTTAGTAGTGGTGGTCGGCGAAGGAATCGGCCAGACCGAAAAAAGGGGTTCATGGCTGAGTAGGTATCTATCTGTGATGCGGAGGATGTCGTAGTTCCTGTAATAACATTCACAGATGTATTGTCTAAGGGAATGGGAGATTAATGTAGGTTGCTAAGCCAGTCCGGGATGAAGATGGGGGACGGTGAACCGGCGTAGTTGAAGTTGTAAGGCGTAGGTTATGCTTACCTGCAGTTCCAGGGCGATTGTTTCTGTACGTTGACCCCGCAACGCGAAATTATCTATCTCTATCATATTTATTTGGCAACCAATTTTATATTGAAATGCAACCACATTGCTATTTTTATTCGAACAGCCAGTAGCCAGGTTGACCTTTCTGTGAGATTCTGAAATCGTGGGGTTTTCACTGGATTTTTGGTCGCTGGTCCCGTGATTGTAGGAGCCCTACGTTCTATAGCATGGATTAGAAGCTGATTTTGCCCATGTTCTTACAATGAGTATATATTTCACCAAAGCCACCCTTATAGTGTCAACGAATTATTATCTCCTTTGTCATGAGCTCTTCATGTAGTCTAATTACAATTCTGTAAGTGGTTCGGAATATCCAGTGGACCAGTCGTTCAGGTTAAAGTACATGGCTGGGTAGCAGAGTTAGCAATGGTTCTAGGACCTCAATCAGAGAAAAGAATGACACGCACCCAGTGCATAGAACATATATGAATCTATAAATGAGGCAGAAAGGCATTAGCTAGACTTCATATATCATGAGGACTAGAAAACAAAGGCGACTGATCTACTCACCTGCATTAAGCATAGCCTTTTCCGGGGACGACGATGCAATCTGGGTAATGCAGAACCATCCATATCCGCCCACAATTTTCCCATCCTTGAGACGACATGGCTGGTCAACTGTTTTTTGTCAGCTACGTCTTCTCGGCCTCTGATGGAAAAAACTCACCTGTTGGCGGGCTGCCGAAGATCTGAGAAACATGGGTCAACTCATGCAGTAGGGCCGCACTGAGAAAGTGCCCGGGGAAATCATCGAGCTTCTTCTCCTGAGATGAATATTCCTGTTTGCGAAGGAGGGGCAGCTTGATGTCGGCGTTCCACTGGTCAAGCCAATAGTCCATAAAGTCCTGGCAGAGCGTCAGGATACTCTGAGCGGTTCCATGAATTTTATCATTGACCCAGGCATAATGGGTGTGACCGGCATCACGACATTGCCCATTAGCCTCCGTAAAGTCAATCCAGCCTTTGTCAGGCCATTGCGCCGCCTGGTCAGGGTGCCTGTTGTCAAAGTACCAGTGAGGTTCTATGTAGGGGAGTTATTAACTCGTTGTGGCAAAAGAGCCAATGGAAACTAGCAGAGAACCTACCAGGGAAAGATTGACCATTCTTGTCAACCTTGCTGAGCCAGTTGTCGTTGCACCGGATCTCGACGTTGGAGATGTAGCCACTGGTGGAGGCCCGGGTTCGCATGGTGCTATAATTCTCTTAAGAGGGGACAATGTCAATTAAGTCTTGAAAGCATCAAGAGCGGGTATACTCACCAAGGACCTTCTCGACGCGGCCTTTGCCGTCCTTGCTTTTGCTATCCTCCGGGCCCCAGAAGAACTCGCCGTAGATAGACTTAAACGTATTGAAAGTTGATCGCAAGACCTCATTTGCATCATCTTCCAAGAACTTCATTGTCGGCTGGCCCTCGAGAAAGTTGTAAAGGTCTTGAGTCCTTTGAATTACCACGTCCAGCTAAAGCACCAATTCATTAGCATGAAGGGGACCGGGTGTTCACTCTTGATGCATTCTCACTATTTCCGACACTTCTTGCAAGTGGTCCCAGACGAAGTGCCCAGGATAATAATCACACTCAATATTCATCTGAGAAAGACGCTTTTCCAAGGAGTGCGATGTGGAATTGGTCGGGTGGGCTGTGACTGCATTGCTACTCCAGGCCAGGGCCATCAGTAGGCCCTTGGCCAGGTGAGACCACCGCATCGTTGGATATAAATGAAGTCGAGAAGGAAGAAAACGGAATGAATCAAACACGAGCACGACTCGTGAGAGAAAGAGAGGATATTGCCCAGGGCACCTGGTTAAACAAAATTCCACAAAGCGAGGACGGTCAAGCAAGGGACGTGGTTCAGCTCATATACTAGTACTTTATTCTCAACGGAGTTTTCGCAAAAGAAAATAGGAGAAGATATTGGGATTTCGGCCGGATCTGACTTGGTTCCCAAATAGTATCAATGTCCGTTGTCCGTCAAATTTCCTACTAGCTCGTGATTAGGAATCAGCTAACCGGACGGAGAAGGCGAAAAACTCTTCATTAACGAGATCGTAACCGGGCTAGCTTGCTATACTATTGATATGTCAGGTCCGGTTCGGCCCATGATACAAAATGGCCCCCAAGAGGGTCTCGATGGCAAATGTCCGGATCACTTGGATATCGTGTGCATGTACCTGATTTCCCTGGATTTTCCAGCCCCAGGGTCCGTGCATTAGATTAGAACCGTTCAGATAGCGGAATTTGTCTGATATTCAGGAACGGGTGATGTCCGAGCCCTAGTCCGTATGGTTGGTGTTTGCCCTGCGTTATCCATATAGGGTTAAGTAGTGTCTCGGAGATCGGGAACTGAATGGTCAAGACAAGCTAGATCGGTTCTGGCAGGTGTACTCCGGAGTAGAATTACTGCAATGGAATGCCCTTGGAGTTCCAGGGCGTGGCGGCGGGTCTGCTAAATGCACTAGTGTGCTTAGTTGGAGATGACCGAGGATCATGGATGTCCTGAAGAAAACTCTGCTTGGCATGGCAACTCTAACATACTGATTATTGAACAGAGAATCTTGTTTGTAGGACATTGAAATATGAAAGTTCCACAATTGTACATTGTATATCGTTCTCTAACCCTCATGATGACAGATCTTTCCGGATATATCGGATGCCTGTAGTTTGGTCCCTGAGGATCCACTCTTATAGTACTCGGCGATAGTGGTACACTACGGAGTAAGGTCTAGCCGAGGCTGCGTTCCTGGGAGCTAGTTTAGACCATGCTGGTAAATTGAGGATTCAAGGGCCGGTGGTGGGTTCTTTTTCAACGCCTGCTAAGCCAACTAGCTAGTTCTAGGTTCTCTTGTTTTTGGCATGGACTCCAACTAGTACAGGCATCGGCAATCATTATACGGAGTTAATACCTACAAGAGACATGGTTCACGAATTAGTGCCATCATGCCATGGTATTCCACGAGGGGGCGAAAATTCTAAACCATGAATTGGGCCAAAAGGAGTATACTCGGTACCGGACATTCTCATATATATAAGTCTCCCGTGGAAAAGAACTCCCTCCCTTCCAGTGTCTCCAGACAATTACATAGACACATTCGGTGTCATTATCTGCATAATGAGGGTACTGGGCTTGTTGGCCACAGGGGCCCTATTGCTGGGCCGTTATCAGGTCGAGGCAAGAGCAGTCTTTGCTCACTTTATGGTATTGCCCCAAATACCGTGAACTTCATTCATAGTGCTAATTTGATTGTAGGTAACCAACACCGCCAACTGGACTTCGTCGCAATGGGAGTCCGACATCTCTGCAGCCAAAGCTGCTCACATCGATGCTTTTGCACTGAACATGGCCGTGGGTGATGCAGCAAATACCAAGGCCCTTCCTATGGCCTTTTCAGCTGCTGACTCTCTTGGATTCAAACTCTTCTTTTCCTTCGATTATGCCGGCAATGGCCCGTGGTCTGAAGCCACGGTCATCTCTATGATCAAAGAATACTCCGCCCATTCCTCCTACTACCAACATGATGGAAAGCCCTTCGTCTCCACGTTTGAAGGCCCTGCTAATGCTGATGACTGGACCAAGATCAAGTCGGAGACCGGCTGCTTCTTCATTCCCGATTGGTCGTCTGTTGGAGCCAAGGCAGCCGTTGAGCTAGGCACTGCCGATGGCCTTTTCAACTGGGCTGCATGGCCCTGGGGTGACTGGGATATGAATACCTATACCGATGCATCTTACTTGGACTATCTCGACGGCAAGCCTTACATGATGCCTGCATCTCCGTGGTTCTACACCAACCTCCCCGGTTACGACAAGAACTGGCTATGGAGAAGTGACCACTTGTGGTACGATCGCTGGCAGGAGATCATGTCGCTCAAACCCCTTCCTGACTTTGTGCAAATCATCTCCTGGAACGACTATGGCGAGTCCCATTATATTGGTCCCATCCATGAAAACAGTATGGCTGCATTTGATATCGGCAGGGCCCCTTACAATTACGTTCTTGATATGCCTCATGATGGCTGGCGTGCCTTCCTTCCATATGTCATCGACACATACAAGAACGGCATTGCCACCGTCACGCACGAGGGATTGCAAGTCTGGTATCGCAAGGCTCCTGCAGCAGCATGCAGCAGCGGTGGAACTTCTGCCAACACGGCCAGCCAGCTTCAACTCGAATACACACCGGCACAAGTCTTGCAGGATAAGGTGTTCTTCTCTGCTCTTCTCACCGTGTCGGCCGAGGTGTCTGTCACTGTCGGTGGTGCTACAGTGCCTGCTACGTGGATCAAGACCCCCGAAAATGGCATTGGGATTCACCATGGCGAGGCCTCCTTCAGCGGCCATTCTGGTGAGGTTGTTGTGACTATCCACCGTGGTGGAAGTGTGATTACAAAGGTCACCGGCACCAGTATCTCCGATTCCTGCACCGACGGCATTCAGAATTACAACGCGTGGGTGGGAAGTGCTTCCAGTTCTGCCGCCGTCTCAGCGTCCCCGGGACTCAAGCTTGATGATGCGGTCTGCGTCAATGGTACCGGCGTGAACAACTTTGTCGGATTGTGTGAATTTGCCTGCCAATATGGATACTGCCCCTATTCCGCGTGTACCTGTGAGTCTCTGGGTGCTGAAAGGAAGAAGCCCAAGGCCACTGGTGTTCAAGGATATCCGATTGCAGGAGAGGACGCTACATACAGCGGCCTGTGCAGTTTCACCTGCAACTATGGCTACTGTCCTCCGGAGGCTTGTGGTACCGAGAAGGTGGAACTGACTGTGCCCACTGTGTCTGACTTTGCTTCCCCGGCATGTGTCGCGGGTACTGGGGATGGAGATCTGGCAGGACTGTGCTCGTATGCCTGCAATTTTGGTTACTGTCCCATCAGCTCCTGCACCTGTACCGCAACGGGCGCTTTAAATGTACCCAAATCGCCTAAGGCTGGACTGAGTGGTAAGGGCGCTTCAGGCAAGGATCCCTTGGTGTACGACGGACTCTGCAACTTTGCCTGTAGCCGCGGCGACTATTGCCCCGATCCCTGCGTCTCGAAGGAGAGCAGCAATGATGATGGCGACAGTGGAAGCAGCGGCGATGGCAGCCATGGCGGCGGCTCTGGTGATGTTGTCTATCTTCCACCCTCGTTCTGGACCGACGATGATCACGATGCCCTCTGCGAGCCTCCTTGCACTCTGATCCTTCCTGGTTATCCGGTGTCTCCTACGCAAACCGTGACCTGGGGCCCTGTCACCGTCCCACTGATCTCCCAAGGCGACGATAACGATGTCACCACGACGTCTACCGTCATCACGCCCAAGCCCTTCCCTCTCGGTTACATTCCCTTCTCTCCGGTCTATGTCCCTGCCGATGCAGAGAACATGACCCTCTACCCTACCCAGGCGATCATGCCCCCTCCCATCGGTATCATCCTTCCCCCCGGTGTTGAAATAATGCCCACCGACTCTTCCTTCACTTGGACTACCGGTCCCTCGCCGAGCATCACTGCCGGACCCGGTGCGACTTCCACGTCCACGACCAACGGCGTGGTCATCGTGACATTTCACTCGAGTTCACACAGCACCGACGTTCAGCCCACTCCAACCGGAAAGATCATCCAGCCCAAACCCCCAGTCCCCAAGGTCACCGTCAAACCAGGCAAACCCAGCAATTCCGGGGGGTGCGGCCCACTCAGCACCAAGCCTGGTTGTGGTATCAACTTCTGTGCCATACTAGGAATTTGCCCAGGATCCTCTGGCGGAAGCTCAGGCGGCGGTAGCAGTCCCGGAAAGGGCAACGATGATGATGACGACGAGCCCAAATCGTGCTCCACCACCCAGACGGCCTCGATCTGCACAGAGGTCATTAGCAGCTACACGCCCGCCGGTCAAGCCACCCTGACGACGACCACCGAGACCTACTGCATCAACACCGCCGGCTGCTCACCCACCGGATCCACGGAGACCATCACCAAGACGACCTCCGAAGAGGTCCACCCGATGACCGTGACCGCCGTCGATGCCTTCGCCACACCGGAACCAGACTCCGTGCTCAAGTCCATCGCCAGCAGCATCAAAAGCGCGCAGAAATCCTATTTCGCCACCGAATGGGCCACCAAGTCAACCACCAGCGACAGCCGTCCCGCCCCCACCAGCGGGTCCAATCCTGGCGAGATCGAAATCACCTACTACAAAGACGGCAGCAAGAGCTCCGGTGAATGGGACGTGTGGGATATTTCCTCGTCTCCCCTGCCCGAGGGTATCTATATTGGATGCCCGGAGGTGACGAGGGTCGCGCCCGTTGCTGTGATTTCAGACGGTGCAATTAATGGGATGAAGGACGGGATGTCGTTCACGGTGTTCGGTTCCAAGTGTACGTATAAGGATACGTCGGGGGGCTATGCTCTTACAGGCAAGAAGATGGGAGAGCTACATTGTGATAAGTATCGGAGTGCTAGTTGCACACGCAACAGTGGGGGAGGGACATGCGCGAAGGGAAATCAAGTCTGGTCTCCCTTGGTGATATGTGAGTGGTAGAAAACTGATGGGTTGTATATAGTAGTAATTCTCGTTATATTAACATCTCACTGAATTTCTGCGTAGAATTGTAAGGCAACAAATGAGCTGTTCAGTACGGAGTATACTCGCACGTGATGCTATACTTCCTGGAGGACAAGTGCCTTGCTGCCTAACCATTCAGGCATCTTCAGGCACCCGCGGCACCCACGCTACTCCGTAAGTGGACCTTTTGACCAACTTAACCAAGGCCCCACCGCAGCCCCGGACGTACTTATACTCAATCGTAGGCCTTCTTGATTCCCATCATTTTCCTTCTTCTCCAAACATGTCTTTACCCACCTTCCCACCCGAATTAATCCAATGCATCACCGACTACCTCTTCCCATCTATACAAGATGTGAATTCTCTAGCCAGAACATCGAAACTCCTACACCGAACCACTAACCCCATACTATACCACCACCACCTCGTTCATCAAGGTAGCGCGATCCTAATATGGGCCGCCAAATACGGCAAATCAGACCCCTGCAGGCGTTTCCTGCACGAAGGCGCCAATCCCAACATCCAAGATCCGACGCACGGCAGAACGCCGCTTTCATGGGCCGCCGAATTCGGTTACAAAGATGTCGTTGAGGTTCTTCTCTCGTCTGACGAGGTTGATCCGAATGCGCCCGACATGAATGCGCGCACTCCGCTCTTCTGGGCCGCAGGGAATACGAGACAATCTCTTTCTAAGATGTGGAGTCCGTATTGGTTCAGTCCCACAGTGGATGTCTTTCAGTCGTCAAAGCCGGAGGATTACCTCGCTATCGTGAAGATGTTGCTCTCTCACAAAGACACCCAGCCGGATTGCCCGAACGAGCACGGGGTGACACCCCTTACCGTTGCCGTCGCGGAGGGCGCAGAAGGTGTAGTCGAGGAGCTACTTCGCACGGGGAAGGTAGATGTCAACTCGAAGGACGAGTTCGGGCAAACGCCGCTCATGGCCGCGGCCAGAATCGGACACACTGGGATTGTCAAGCAACTGCTGGCTATTGATGGCGTGGACTTGGACGCCAGATCTGAGAGCGGAGATAGTCCGCTGATGAGCGCCGCGCGGCACGGGCATGCGGAGATCGTGCAATTGCTGCTTGACAGTCCTGCCGTGGACCCGGACCAGCAGCCTAGTTTTGGAGACCGGCCTCTGTTAATAGCCGTGGCGGAAGGGCACGCGGATGTCGTGGAGGTGCTTCTTGCTAGCGGGAAGGTTGATCCAAACTTGCCGAATAGACGGGGCGTCACGGCGATTGTGAGGGCGGCGCAACGAAACCGGGCGCAAATTATGCGCATACTGCTTGACAAGGGGGTCGAGCCGGATGAGAGGGACAGGGAGGGGAACACGCCACTTGAAATCGCTTCTGAGAGGGGGCATATCGAGGTAGTTAGGCTTTTGCTTTCGACGGGTCGGGTGCAGCTTTTCGAGTTGACGAACCGCAAAAGGGCGCCTTTTTGGGCAATGTCGCAGTTGAAAGCGAATGTTATTGAGGCGTTGGAGGATTATAGGAGGCGTCAAGGTGGCCCCCAGTTGGAGTCTTAAGGTTACATGGATGTTACTATGTTTATACACTGGATTGATAGTTCTTTGGACATCAGAAATTGAACTCTTTCGTTTTTCAAAACATCGTTTTCGCTTGTTGGTGGTGGCATATTTAGTTTATTAGACTTGGGAGCAACCTATAACAAGTTTCTAGTACACACAATGAAAGCAAATTTCATTTGCAGCCAGAAAATAAAACATATTACTATTTTCAAGCCTTATATACTAATAAGTTTCAACTTATCCATTCTCTAACCCATCCCTCTAGCACCGGCGACAAAGTCTCCCTCAGGAAGGGACAAAGCTGTCTATTTACGCGCAAGTCTTGGCCGACTGCCACCTCAACCATTCAAACATCTACCGAATCAATCGATCGACCTATCATGACCTGGCATCGGACGTACTTTTGCAGTATCCAATTGTAAACCAATCAGGACCAGGTCACATACTCTAGTCTCATGCGTGATGAAATGTGCAGTCAGGGATTGTCAGGCTGAGACGCAGGAGGAGAATCTCGCAAAATCGCGCAGAGACCTGAAGCTCTAATTCTGATTCTGTAGGATCCTACGGAATGCTACCGTTTCTGAAAGGGACCCGTGCTAACGTCTCTTCCGAGTCATTTGGGTTCTTGGACTAAGATAGCTTGTTCAACATGCTGGCCAAGCTACGTGCAAAGCTCTGCTGCTCTTCAGCCGATGGCAATGCCGACGAGGCTGAGCCCGCCATCTTCCATGCGAACCCCTCCATAAACGAGGAACGACTCGAGCCGAAAAGCAATACGCCGTTTGATGTTTTCAACACGCCTTCAACCCATGGTGTCGCGGAGCCGAAAGATCTCTGGAAAGTCGCCTTTGACGGGCTGGATCCAACACGCAAATTCTGGTTCTCGAACGAACAGCCCCCGGCAGAGGAAATCCAGAAGGTGATCAGCGAGACGGAAAAGAGATACGAGGAGTATCAAACCGGGGGCCTGTTAATAAGACGACCCGATGGAAAGGAGATCAAAGTCCGCGAGATCACTCAGAAGATCCTCGCGTCGGCGTTGACTGCGCAAGAAGTCGTGAAAACGATTGTGAGCTTCGACCAAAGTGGCTATGGTGGGTTCACATCCATCTCTGCATCATGCACCGCTGCATAGTGAGATAGAGATGCTGACACTCTAACGAAAGCGTCCAGCGCCTGGGCGATAGTCTCGCTGGGAATCTCGGTACTCGCAGCCCCAAGGGAACCCATCCCCCACTATATCGCTCCCTATTTGACCATCATTGACAGCGAGTGCCGATACAAAGGTTGTGCTAGCGACCAGCAGTTGGAGGATGCTCTGGTGGATATTTATACAGCAATACTGGAATATGCAGCGGAGGTGAGGAGGAGGAATGCTGAAAGTATTGTCGGTAAGGCCAAAGACTCCCCAAATGGAATGAATGCACGAGAAGCCTGACCCACGCTTTCAGCCCGCGTAGGGAACACGCTTATTCCTCTTACCGAACAGCCACTGCAGCAGCTTCGAGAAGCTATAGAGTCGAAAGCCAACGTGGCTGAAAAATGGGCGAGCCTAACGGACCGGTCGTGTGAGTTGATGCTCTACTTCATATCCTTTTCGTCAAATTGCTTACGCATGGCAGACCTGAAAAAACAGGCCGCAGACATTCTCACAACTCTCGATACAAACACTAAAGAAGTCCAAAGGGTATATTTGAGTAGGCCTTCCACCCGCCAGGGTATCTAACCCGGGATCATTTACTCATAGGTGGAAGCAGGTTTCGAGGATAAGCAAAACTTTGAATGGTTATCTCAGTCAGACTACTCAAAGGCCCAGACACGCCCAGGGATACCGAGCTAAAGGAACAGGAGACTGGCTGTTGGAGCTAGAGGACTATAAACATTGGAAGTCTTACCCAGGGAAAATCTTTTGGCTGCGTGGCGTTGGTAAGTGTCTATCGGCTATGTTGGTGATTCCAGGGACGGCGCTGACTGCTCCACAAGCGGGCTGCGGAAAATCAGTCATATGGTATGAAGGCACCGCGAGAACCTCCGACATAACTCTAAGCTAATCACATGTAGCTCGACAATTATTGAGGATATCAGTCAGATCTGCCGTGACGATCCCCGAAAGCGATGCGTCTACTGGTACTTCCAATTCAACGTGCGCGAATCACAGGCCGTCGAGAACATGCTCAGGTGCATCATTCGACAGCTCTATGAAGTTCCATTCAATGATCATATAAAAAAGATGTGCGAGGAGCATCGTGTTAAGGGAAGTCAGCCAAGCCATGGGATGCTGTTAGAAGTCCTCGACAACGTCATATCTGCATATCAAGGGGACATATTCTTGATCCTAGATGCATTGGACGAATGTCCGTGGTCACCCGAGCACCAGGAACGAGGCTCCTTGCTTAGAATGCTTGGCGACTGGCAGGAAAGGCACAGCAAGAAATTACACATTCTTGTGACAAGTCGGCCAGAACCAGGTATCATGCAACAGTTCACGGAAAGTATAACGTTGGACCTCGAGGAGAGATTGGAGGATGACGTTGCGGCTTTTGTCCAGCTCGAAGTCGCAGGGATAGACGAGAGAATTGCTGATCACGAGATGAAAGGATGTATCGTTGACGAATTACTCCAAGTCGAAAAGAGGCATGGCAAGCCCTGTTCGCTCCAGGAAGAAGGCTTTTAATGACACATGCTATTGTACACCGACGCTTTCGCTCGGCGGACCTTCAAATCAAGCGTCTGAAAGCCTGCCACACTAGATCTGACATCTTGGAAGCCCTGAAGACCATACCAAAATCGTTGCAGGAGTTCTACCAACTTGTGATGGAGGGGATTGCACCTTCCGAACGAAGGTTTGCTCGGTCAATTCTGCTGTGGCTCAGCTTCTGCGTTCGGCCTCTTACCTTGGAAGAGGTTGCAGCAGCAGCAGGCCTGCCAGTCCCAGAGCATGTTATCAGAATCTGCACAACTTCCTTCGTGAACTTTTGGCAATCAGATGGTCAGGTCAAACTGGCCCATTTCTCAGTGAAAGAATTTCTTGTCACCAACGCACACGAGGGCCATTGGTACCAGCTCTCCGCCTTGAGCAGTCATAGAGCTCTAGCCGAGGACACGCTGAGACTGCTCTTACAGAAGACCGAGGAAGTATCGGAAGATGATGTGTGCAAGGAAGCATTACTGCATTATGCTGCGTGCAACTGGCACGAACACTTCAAAGCATCAACCTGCTTTCCTCAAAACCCAGGACCTCAGACGATTGTTGATGAGCTTTTCTGTCATCCAACCATCTACCGTAACTGGCGCTGCCTATTGACTTGCTTTAGGGAGCTGTACGTGCGACCAGCCCCTATCTGCACTGCATCCGAGCTGGGCCTCATACAAACAGTGAATGAGTTACTCAAACTAGGGATCGAGGGGCTTGGGCCTGTACTTGAGTCAATCAACGCAGTATATATTGCTGCCCAGGCGGGGCATCTTGATGTTTTGGATTTACTGCTGAAGAGAGTTGCTATCTCTATTGATACGGCTGAGCGCACATTTGAAATAGTGCGACGCCATGGCCTTAGAACCAAGACACTTGAAGATATGGTGAAGAACCTTTCAGATTCTGGGGTTCTATACGCCGGAACCGGGGGCCAAGACGTTCGCATTGATGAGCGAATTGTTATAGCCGCGGTAAAGAACAAAGCTTGCGGTTTGGAGCTTATGACCATTCTCCTGGATCAATATGAAGCGAGAGGCATTGCGATTGTGCCCGTGACTGAGCAAGTGTTGGCAAGCACTCTCAAGAACAAGGAATCTGGGTGTGGTATTCTTCAGCTACTTCTCGAAAGACGCGGTGGAGATGTCCGGATCTATCCTGGAATCAAGGAGTTGTTAGCGTGCCCGATGTTCATAAGTTCCAGCACTCTAAGTCTCCTACTTGAAGCACGGCATGAAGAGATTTCCTTAGATGAGCGTTTTCTTGAGAGCTTTGCAGAAGATGCCACCGGTCCACAGATGGAAGCTATTTTGAGGACATTAGGCGACGATTTCTTAGTGACCGAGCGTGTTCTGGAAGCAGAAGCCCACAATACGAATGGTGGTGGTGCTATGCATCAAATTATTCGACGACAAGAGCATGGCCTTCAGGTGAGTGAGCGTCGTCTTTGCTCAGTGGCAAAAGATTGTTTTAATTCGGTCGAGATCCTGGGCACTCTCCTGGATGAGTGCGGGCCAGACTTTCCAGTGGGCGAAAATGTTATGCTCGCAGTCGTGCAACATTGGGACGCGCACAGGATGCTTAATATGCTCTTGTACAGGCAGCAAGCTGGATTCAATGTCAGTCAAATGATACTACTCCAAGCAGCTCGCAACCCTCATGTCCGAGATGTCCTCGAGATACTGATGAACAATGGCGGCCTGAAAGTTCCACTGACAGAAGAAATAGTACGCGCTGCTTTGACCAGTGATAAAGCAATGTCTTATCTCTTGGATCTGGAAGAAGGACATATCCGAACTGTTCCCATCACGGATGAAATGCTATTAGATGCAGTACACTCGCTAAGCGCTGATACATTACACACCATATTTCGCAAAAGACCGAATATTCAAGTGACCGATGGTATGTTTGTTGGTGCAAGTCGTGACCTATCCAAGCTATCACTACTGCTACAGCAATCGTACAGTCAACTGCCAGTCGAGCAAATGATCCAAGATTTGGGCACAAGACCTCACGGCAATCCAGTAGATGTAATTAAGTTCATCTTGGATCAAAAACTCCTGGAAATCGATGAACGAGTCTTGGAAATATTTGCCAACAACCTTGACGCTCTGGAATTTCTTCTCGAGAGGAAGCCCCTGGTACCCATCACAGAGCAAACTGTTATTCGATCAGCTACCGGTGTAGGGACATGGCCCTTGCTACTGGACAAACGAATTCAAGCGCTCCCGATATCAACAGAAGTGATGATCGCCGTGGTCAGGGCATATGATCCAGGGGCTAGCTATTTGCAACGTTTCCTCGCGCATTTCGGCTTGGCAGTACCAATAACAGAGAGGGTCTTGTTAGCTGCTACGCAAAACCTGGCGGCCTTACAACTACTGTTTCAGGCACAAGGACCCAATACACCGCGATTCTTATCTGAAGAGCTGGTCTTTCTCGCGACCTACCATGGATTTCCAGCAATGTCATGGCTCCTTCAGGAGTGTGGCTCGGCAGTACCACTAACAGAAAGAGTGCTAGTTGCTGCCACTGCACAGAGCCTGACTGGGGTACTGTACCTCATCCGAGAACAGTTTATAGATATCAATCTGCAGCAAATATGGAAAGGAATATGGAACCCTGGATTGCGATTTCTTTGATACCCTCCAGGACAATATGGAACCTTGGGATTCGGCGTCGCTTGTTAGGATGAGGGCCGCCAGACACATTCTCGAGTATACCAAAGATGTTGATGTCTCGGAGAAACTATTTGAACAGGCATCATCTGCCCGTGGCAAAGACGAAGACAGCGCTTTTGCTGATCTAATTAAGATCTGCGTCGATAACAAACTACCTGTTCGAGTGACGGATCGCATGATGATGCTAGTGTCGGACAGATGCAGTACTGAAGACATCCAGTATATTTGCTGGCCCCCTAGAAGACATGAGGGCATGGAAACCCCAAGCGACGATGCCCTTACCCGAAGTATGTTCCGGGATTACCGCGCAAGGGCCCGCTATCATCCCACAGAATCCCAATACAGACATGCAGGGGACCTTGAGAAGATGCTTCTGGTCGTTTATCACTGAAGGTGACGAGCCTTGGAACGTTAAGAGCTAATATCCTGGCCCAAATACATCCTCCCAGGAGCGAAGATTAGTAGGCAGCTTTATTTCTCTTCGCATCTCTTGGGTTGGGGGGTTTCTTAAGTAGTTATAGTCAGGAACAACCTTTGTGGTTTTGTCCAAACTAGGCGCCTCAAACCCACTTTCACAAATTTTCTCACCCCCTATCAATCCGCCACTTCACCGAGCCTGGAGTCTCATGGTTGTCACAATTCAGGAGCCCGAGCCAACGAGGTTGAGCATGGGTGTATCTGTGCCGGATGATCTGGCTGGGAGTGCATTCCAGTCTGGAGCGGTTCGTAGAGAGTGGAACCAATGTGAACGTGGTGAGTGAGTTTAACATGAATAGGTCGTAGGAGGAAAGGATTGCATCTTCTGGAGTATCTCTTCATCTGGCTGATAGATATGGATCTGAGTATTTTGCAATTAGCAGGGGGCGGATGGGAGGTTTTTATGTTAATGGTTAGTTATTTTGGTAAGGAATATCAGTGACAGTAGAATGTACTGTAAGAACGGTTCATCAATTCATTAATTCCCCCCAGGTTGCTTCCAACAACCTAGAGATAACATACAAGAAGTAAGATAACAACCCCAACGCCAAACAGAAACATATGATGGATATGCCCAATTCAGAACACGATATTAATCATCGGTACCTGCAACTCGTCGCAGGATCATAAACACCAGCGCAATTAGAACCCCGATGATCGCGCGGTCCAGCCAGGGACCATCCTGCGATACAGTTCGATGGGTTGATTGGGAGACGGGAGGGATGATAGCGGGTTGTGTTGTTCTTGTTGGCGTGGGTGTTGTCGTTGTCGGGGATGTAGTAGGCTGTGATGCTGCTGGTGCTGAAGTCGACGTGGACGTAGATGCAGGAACATCTGCAGACAATGGTTGCTGTTCCTGCAGTGGCTGCTGCTGCTGCTGCTGCTGCTGCTTGGTCTCGGCAGATGAGCCCGCATCTGCTCGAAAACCCACAGCCTCATCCGCTTGGGAGAGCGAGACCTGCTCTGACAGACCCCCCTTCTCTTCCTTGTCATTCGAATCGTCCAGTTTATCCTCAACCACCTTCTCCCCCTCCACCTTCCCCTCCCCATCCCCAACATCATCACCATCATCAACCACAACCCCCTTCTCCTTACACTCCCCCCTCCACTCCCCCAAAATCGCCTCATTACTCCTCCCACAAACCTCACAACACCACCCCCCACTCCGTCCCGCATACTCCCGCCTCACCTCCTCCGGCACATCCAACCCCCCCAACTGCCCCTTCGCATCCCCATCCATAAAACTCCTTATCGCAATCAACGCCGTCCTGATCCCCCACGCAGGCTGCCACGACTCCTCATGATGACCCGAGATACTAAGACAGATCTCGCGGTTGACTTCGAAGCGGCCCGTGGGCGTGAGGAAGCGGAACGAAGGTGGCCGCAGCGGGTAGGTCGGCGGGAGGACGATTCGGCCGTGATAGATCCCTCCCGAGTACGGCGATGGGGAGGGCGGGCCGGCTAGCGTGAAGTGCCAGTCGTAGAGGTTGTCTTGGACCGGGGCGGCGTGGAAATATGGGGATGGGGAGGTGGAGAGCTCGGTGGCTTCTTTTAGGAGGCGTTTGTGGGAGGGGGGCATTTTCTCTCTCTCTCTCTCTCTCCCTCTCTCTCTCTTTGCCTCGATATCTTTGTTTTGTTTTTATGGGGCGGTACGAGTTGATTATTTGTGGGTTTTGTATGTGGTGTTGCTTTGTGTTGTCCTTTCGTGTTTTGAGGTTCGGTGGTCTGAATGTGATGTGATGATGTCAGGGTAAAGTGTCGATCTTGATGCGAGGGATGCGGGGGATGCGAATGCGATAGGCAAGTAGTTGCTGTTCTCTGCTGGATCAGAGGATATACCAGACAGGGAGGTTCATGCGACAAATGATTCCCATTGATACAGTGGACAAGCGACGCAGAAAGCAATGCCGGCTGGAGATGGAGGATGAAAGATGGAGAATGGATTGGCCAGTTGGCCGGAAGGAAGGCGGCGCCGTTGGTGCCTTGGCAATCAGGCACCGTTGGAATGCCGGTTCAAGATACTTGATTAACTCTCATTTGAGCACGAATTAAATCACAATGACTTGAAATTTATAGGGTTATATTCACAAGCATAATCCCGCTTCATACCATGCGCCGAGCTAGACGCCTATATCACTCTCACCAGTTATAATCGAACACAGAAATGCCAATATAACCTTACATATGCAACATGCACGACAAACAATTACATAAATATACTCCGTACGGCATCATCATCTACCATGACTCAATCCCAGTCTCGCCACTCATCAGACTGCGACTGGCCTTTAGCACTACGGCTGCGGTCGCCATTGCGATATGGACTCGCACCATCTGGCTTCGAAAGAAAATCGGCCTCTTCCACATCCTCGTAATCGCTGTCCCCCGGTCGAGGCCGCGGGGACATCGGTGCTAACGTCTTCATCGAGACTCCGGTATCCGGCCGGTTCGACTCCTGGTAGTAGGCGTTCGGCGGGTGGGAGGTATGTGTGGGGATGCCCCATGCCTGGCTGTTATGCATGTGGCGCTGGTAAAGGTCACGCTGGTATTCCCGTTGGGCCGCATCTTGCTCCTCCCTGCGCTCCCGGATATGCTCGCGAGCTTGCATAAACTTGGGGCTCGGCTCCCAGTGCCATCCGTCTCCCGTGGTAGTCGAGACGGGAAGGCACCAGAAAAGGGGCCGGGAACCGAACAAATGCGCCAAGTTGCGGCGCCAGCCCAGGTCAAATGCGTTGGGCAGTTTCTCATTGTCCTGCTCATGCAGGTACTGTTGGTATCTGTCGTTCTCGCGTTCCCGTTCCATTTCCGCATACGATCGCGAAAGCGCCTGCTGGGCTGGTGTCATGCCCGGCTGTCGAGGTGGTGTCTGTAGCGGAGTCACCTGCTCCTCGCCCTCTTCGGGCCGGGTCACACCGGGAATGGCGTTGGCGTGAGCGTCTAATATTTGGTTGCCGTAATCCTGAAGGCGATGGCCGAGGCTGTGAGGGTCGTCGCTGCCGTCGCCTCGCGACCCATGGTGAAATCGGTGGCGATCCAGCGCTTTTCGCAACGGGGAGACATAGCGCGTCTTCTCCAAGCATTCGATGGTCGTTAAGTTACGCACGGCAAGAGTGATGTGCCAGATGGTGAACCCCGACAGAACCAGGCCAATAATCCCGCCTAAGATGGCCAGCAAAATGACATTCACCGGCAAGATCGTATCCATATACTGGGTGTTATTGAACACCTCGGTCCAGATCCACAGAGACGCCACGAGGAAACCCACCCAGCAGAAGATCGACGTGTAGATCAAAAACAGAAGAAACGCTTTATAGTTGTAGAGTCCGACGCAAGTGGCCAACCACGGACAGTGGTGGTCCATCTTCAGCACGCATCGCTTGCAGGTGGAGCAGTGATGGGTCCGGTCCGGCTTGGGAGACTGACACTTCTTGCAAAACCGAGTCCCGCCCGTCGAATTCACCGTGTAGGCCGTATATTCGGGGAGTTCGGTGATAGGGAGAGCGCTATATTCGTGGCGACCATTTCGGGATCCAGACGGCGAACCGGGGTCGGTGAAGACGGCAACGGTATATGAGGCGTTTAAACAGATGTAGAGGACGACACCGATGATCGAACTCGGCAGACCTGTTATTCCAGAAGTGGTCAGCTGTCAAGATGCCAAAACTGCCTACCTAGCGCTGCACCTACCGATCCACGGGTTTTGTGACGGCCTCAAGCCGATACTAGCCTCAACGTAAACCGCCCACGTTGTGAGACCGTAGACAAATGCTAGTGGGAAAAACGAGGCTGCCGCACAGCAGTAGCGTTCGCATCGGAGAGCCCAGGCCCGCGGCCGGCGTTTCGACCAGGACGGAGATGACGGCGGGGAAGTGGCTAGAGTTGCCATTGTCATTTAGCGATCTTTAGGGATTTGAGGCCACTTCACGGCGAAAGGGCAATATCCACGATGGATGGAATAGAGCCCTAGATCATTGCGACATGAAGCTGCCCCGGGCGACTCGGAAGGGTGATGAAGTGAAGATGAAGGACTCGGCGGACAGATCGTCAAGAGGCTGGAAAGGTGACAAAATGATGAGACTGGGACGTAGAGTCGAGCAAACAGGCCGAGTCCTGGGATTAAGAGGAACGGGAGAATGAGCGAGACGAGAGAGAATGAGGGAATCGTCGAAGCAGATCGTCATCGGATCGCCGTCCTTGAGATTAATTGCCGTAATTACCTACACCGCCACCGTCCGGTTATATTTAGTACTGCCGCGTGGCTGTGCACCTTAATTATGCCATTGCATAAAAAGGCATAAAAAGTAGTAGATCCAGCAAGTACTCGGCTACATCAAATGGTTATTGACTAATGCAACATGGCTGTGAAGTGTTAAAGATACAGAAAATGTTCATCAATAGATGGCTAAATCATCGACTATCTCAAAACAAACAAAAAAGACCCAAGCTAGTTATGGTTCGTGGTCGTCACATTCTTTATCTCATAGGGTTTCATGCCCTGCTCACACCAGTTGTTGACCGGCTGCAGAAGAACAACGTTAGCGTTTGACATTTGTATATGGAAACAAGCACCAACTTACCAAGCAACTCAGCCGGTGGCACCACGAGCAGTTCGACGAGTGGTACTTGTAAAAGTCCACAATCAAGAGAATGAATCCGATGAGAACGGCGACCAAGGCGCCTGCGCGAACAAACCACCAGGCCCACCACAAAGGCTTTCGGCCCTTGAAGAAACCCAGAGGGCCAGAAGGCTCCGAGGAGCCACCCTTCTTGCTCTTGAAGAAGTTGGCAAAACTGGGACCGGCGGTGGTAACCTTGTTGTCCGGCTCCGGTCCCGAGCCAGCACCTCCGCTCATGGCGACGTAGGGGTTCCGAGCGAGTCCGATACGTTCCCGGAGCGCGTTTGGAGAACGCATGATGCACAGTCCGAGAGCCAGTCCCATGATAAAACCTCCAATGTGGGAAAAGTTATCCAGTCCGGGTAACAGACCCAGGACAAACGAAATGCCCACACCAAGGATCATGATAATAAACTCTACCCACGGAGATTGTCGCTCATTCCAGGTGTAAAGCAGGTCCAGGACGAAGAGTGCAAGGATACCGAAGAGAGCTCCCGAGCAACCACAAGCGCTCATGAAGGGTGCCGAGTAGTTGCCGCCCAGCACGAATCCCCAAATACCGCTAGCAATATAGACGAGACCGTATCGCCACCATCCGATCATTCTCTCCATGTCCACGCCCATGGTCATTTGCACGAGCAGGTTGAAGCCGATGTGCACAAATCCGCTGTGAAGAAACATGGGGATAATGAATCGGTACCACTGGTTGGGAGCGGGGTTGTCGTCGAGCGATCCATGCGGCGTCGGGTTTGGAACTCCGTTAAAGCTGCACAGTTCAGATAGGGTGCAATCCAGCTCGTTAGTCGTGGTGTTGGGGCACGGCATCTTGAATTGTTCATTCGCGTTCTGCACCTTATCCACGTTCTTCATACACGGTGTGTACCGGGAGCCCATGCTGATTTGAAGATAGGCCGACGGTCCGATCATCGGGTTGATTTGAGGTTTGGTTTGAATTGGCGACCCCGTTAATTGCGCTGCGCAAGCACGTTAGTGTCATCATCCAAGAATACCGTTATTTTTTTTCCACCTACCGCTCTTGACCAACTCAACGATAAACACCACAATCATCACCACCGTAAGCGTATATGTCACCCAAGGAATCTTCTTCTTAAAGAAACCCTTCTTCTTGCGTCCTCCTCGAGGAGCTGGCGGTTCGATCATCTCGGGCGGGGGGTAGTGTGTCGGTTGTTGCATCCAATCTCCCGGCGGAGGAGCATTGGGGTATTGATTCTGCGATTTCAATGGGATATTCTCCGCATATTGATCGTGATCGTTTGATCGGCCACCGGCCACGTACGGTCCCTGGTCCGAGCCTAGCGATTGTTGACTATGACGGAGGTCGTACGGATCGGCGCCGTTCGGGGAGACGTAGGGATTAGCACTGGGATCGGGATAACTGGGAGCTGGAGACCGGCGATTGACCGAATCTGTAGGAGGGAAGGCCTGGTCGTATGTGGGCGGGTGATTGCCGTAGCCAGTGTCGTAGTAACCGTGTGCTGCCATCTTGAATGGACGGCGAGGTCGTGAAAAGGAGGTAACAGGGGGGGAGGAGGAAGAGGGTGAGTGAGAGAGAGACGGAACTGGGGGCGGTTTTGTATCGTCAAGACTGCGCCAAGCGAAAGGGGAAAATGAAAGGTCTTGTTTCGGTGTGGGGGTTTGACACAAGGCGGGTTGACGACTCCGTTCAAACGAGCGATGATCCGATCGAGCCTTATATGCGCGGCACGGCCACGTTTGTTGAGACTTGAGACACTGATGAGGCTGACGCAGAGGAGCTCCCTGGACGGGTGGACACGAGGGAAAACACGACGGAGGGGAGGATGCCGACTAATTATCCGAAATGACAGTGGTGACACCCGAGAGGACTTCCACAAAAGAATGCAAGGAGTTTCAGCGGGAGAAAAAAGAGTGGAAAGAAAGAAAAGAAAGAGATTGTTGGCGGTGACGGCGAGGAAGTTCGTTAGGCAGGCGTTTTTGCGGGTGGGAACTATTTTTGGGTGCCGATCCTCGTCGTCAGCTTTATTGCATTGTGGCTGGTGCCGGTTCTTGGTTCTTATTTATTTACTTTACTTCTTCTTGGACTGCGCCCACTTGGACTTGTCACTCTTTTTATTCTCTCTTCTGGACTTCTTTCAAATCCGACTGCCTCTTCCTACTGGCTCGACACTTTTATGTGGCTGCCTGTTGGGAGGGAAACGCAACGCACCCACGCAATCGCTCCGAAGATTTCAACATTAAGCATTAGTGAACGTGGGCTATCCAGGATCCAGTATCCATCGCCTTCTCCATTCCCCATCGCCCTAAGCCACACACGGCGTAAGTCCGCCCTATACATCGGAACCGCAGGCACCGTTGGGTGGACACAATAACACTCGATAAAAAAAATATTGGAAAATGCCAGAAAAATTAAACCAACAAAAGAGAAGAAAGAGAAGAAAGGAAATAACATTAAACCGGTCTGTGCCAATCTCTGCCCAATGCATAAAATTATATAGTCAGAAAGGTAATAATAATAATGGGGCAAAGGATCATCTCTGACCCAAACACCAAGTCTTCATCCCGGCTGGAGCACTCGGGCTTTTCATAGGTACATTATACGTCGCTCAATCCTGTCAGTACCCGTGCTCACATTAATCCAAGTGTCTCTTTTGTCCCATTCAAGTCATTATAGTTGGAGAGGTAAGTTGTCTTCCGAGAAAGTGCAAAACCAAGAACGCCGCGTGCCAACTCCGAGTGAAAGTGCAAAATTAGTCTGCGCGCAGAAGTCAGAATCAGGCACTGCGCATGGAAAGAGAGCATAAAGATTCGGGGTAAAGACTCACCTACCCCCCAGCAAAGGTCATTGAATTCCCTCGGGAATTTTGGAGGCGTGATATTAACCAAGAAAAACAATACGCAAAATCGAATCCGTGGGTCGGAGGATATATGTCATGCGTCGCATTGCTCACGATAGCGCATGCTCCGTCGGAAATGGAGCGGACATGGAGCTAACGTGAGTGTCGAGGATACCCAAGGCTGCGCCCATTTCGGCACTGCTATGTCCCGTCAAGAGCCATACCAGACGACTCAGCTTCTGGTACAGCAGGGAGGGGAAGTAGAGGAGCAAAGCCCAGAAGAGAAGAGAAAAGACGACCATGACGAAAGTGTTGGCTACGAGCTTCTCGCCCGGCGTCATCACGTATAGTCCGAAGGTCACCTCGTAGCGATAGTACTCTAGACGAACCCGATCGAAGCATCGCTGGAGAATGTTTCGACGAGAGTTTTTGGTCGCCAGATGGCTCCCCGAGGTGTTGGCGGAGGACATGGTGGAGGAGTATTTCGTGATCAGCTCGTCGACCGCTGCCGGAGCATGAGACGAGATGTGCGTCGAGGTCGACGAGGTGTAGAAGGATTGCAATTCGGTGGCCATCGTTACGAGCAAACAGATATTAGGTAAGTGGCGCGTGTGTTTATAATGCGCGGTCGAGGCTTCCACGTTGCGAGCTATGATCTCCCTTGAAACTTTCCGGAAGGAAACGCGCGACTGTAGGTAGGGGTCTGTTTGGTGGTTTGGCGGTCTTTACTAATCGCCGTAGAAATAAGGGTTGAGGGTCGTGGGATCTTCTATAGATCCCGTAGATCTTGAGTTTGAATGGGGAGCGAGCTCACGCGAAGCTCTCTCTGTGTGGCGCGGTCCACCAATCGAGGGAAACAAGGAGTGACACGGCGGGAGACCGGGGGGAAGTCGCGCACGAGGAAGAGTACAACACAAGAAGCACGAGAGATACAAAAAAGAGAAGAAATTGGGGAAAGGGCTAAATTATTAGGAGCTGACACCGGACCAGCACAAGTATAAGAAGGGAGAGTCAGCGTGTATTTATGAGAATCCCACCCCGAGACGTAGAACAAAGAGAGAGCAGAGAAGAGGCAGAGGAGAAGAGGAAGAACAAGAAGAAGAAGCGAAAGCCCAAGAAGAAAAGGATCGCCCGGTAAGGCGCGGATAGCCAGACATTGGCACTTTGGCTGCCCGGATTTCCAGGCCAAGACTTTTTGGGTTTCCTTGGACGGATTGGGTCGAGTTGCACTGGCCATTTACCGTACGGAACACGGTTATTTTGACTTGGTACTCGACAGACACGAGGCATTTCAAGGCACCGTACCAGACGTTACATACACCGTTCCATCCTGGTCGGTTCATCGGCAACTCCCGCGATTTTTTTATTATTTTTTTTTTCTTCTCGGGTGGAGTTCGGCCTGAGGTTCTACTTCCAAGTTGTAAGTTGAAACTTGCAACTCTGTCAGGCATGACACAGCCCTCCCTTGTTCATCCAATTCAGACGATTCACCATCCATCATCCTCCCTTGCGATGGTGGAGGTTTCCCCAGATTCCACTGATGTTCATTTCCCTTGCGATGTGCTCTTCACGGGGAACTCATAAGAAATTAGTCGGTCGGCACGAATCATGCGCCATGATCGTCACAATCTCCCGGCTCAGAAATTAACTAATTTAATTTATTCACCCTTCAGTTTTATGCATTCAAGGGCCAAGCGATTGCCGGACGATATTTCCGTCGTCAACGACGTCATCGGGGAAGTCTAGCCCGGTGCCGTGGTGGCCTGGTGGCCTGGTGGCCTGGTGGCCTGGTGGCCTGGGGCGTCATTCCCCGGGACGGAGAATTGAGGATTGCCAAGGACTATGAGCCTACAGACCATCCTGAGTATTTACTTCTCCCCTCTCTTATTGTTGCATGATAGTACTTCCTCAATCCCCCATGTCTCACTTACAACCCTCTCCAGGCCATCTCTCCCTCTTCCTCCCTCCTCTGCCCATGTCGTACTGCGCTCCACCCGATCGGGCGGTGATGTCATGGCGCCCGTGCCTCTCCCCCTCGGCCGTCTTCGCTGACGCAGCTTTTCAACCCACATCCACCTTTTCCCTCCCTCCCTCTCAACGAGGCACCATCCCACCGTCTCCTGCGCTTCGTGCATCGGCCCGTCTCTAATCCACCATGGCTACCGTTGAAGACGATGAAAATCCCCTCATCAAGGCCCTTCCACCGGCCACCGACTATCTGACCTACCTCACCCTGTTGGAATACCAATTAACCCCGGCCCGCCTACCCACCCTTCACAAGCTCCTGCAAGATGAGACCCTGACGACCAACATCGGCTGGGACCTGGTCCAGTTGCTTTTACCCATGTTGCCACAGTCCCAGGAATGTCTCCAGGATATCGCTCGATTGGGAAACCCCCGGGAGGTGATTCTACGCGTGTCCGAAGCGCTGCTGCAGTTGCAACCGGAGGAGGAGACCGAGAGCGAGCAGGATGTTGACACGCCGGGATCCACCGAGGGGATAGAATCCAGGATGGATAAGGTGACAGTAGACGGCCAGAGCCGGACCAAGGATGCGACCGGCGGTCTTCCGAAGCATATTCTGCAGTACAATTCTCTCGTATCAATGCTCGCGGTGCTGCATTCGCGTATCCAGACCAAGTCCCCCAGTCGCTTTCTCGCCACTTCGCTGCAAGCCGCACTGGAGGCTTACACCTTAATGCCCACCAACGAAACCACGATTGCCCTGCTAGAACTGTTCAGAGATGTGTCGCCTTCCAAGAGACCTGCACCACCCCCGCGAGCACCGAGCGACTCAAGCGTGTTACGGGTCGCGGAGGCGTCCGCGCCAGACCCGGAGGCGGAGGTCCAATCGCCTAGTCCCAATACTCACAACGAGAAGATGCTCGTCAAAAAGTATCTTCAGTTCGGTCTGGTTGAGCTTCTCAAGTCATATCTGCTGAGCTTTTCAAGTCCGTCAGACCCCGGCATGTCCTGGACCATCAGATTGCAAGAAAAGCTTCACCCCGAAGCGTGCCTTCCCGGCCGACCGTCACAAATCGAAGTGTACGCCGACAACAAGCAACTCAGAGAGAGGGATATGATCATGGCGAAGATCGTGGTATGTACTATCTATTCCTATGCGAGATTCGCGTCCGCTAACGTCACAGGCCTTGTCCCGCGATTTTGGCATTGATGAGGGACAGCTGCTCGGCATTGTCTACCAGGCGCCGGAGGATGTGCCGCCTCCGCTAGACTTCGAGGACCCGCCCCGACAGGTGGACGAAATTCCACTCGAACGGCACGGATCGCTGCTCTTGCTAGCAGCCCGATCGGCTACGGCCGAGTTGTTTTCGACGGGACAGGTCGTCCCTCTTCCCGTCTTCCCGGATCTGGCGCGTGTGTTTCAGAATTTCGTAGGCGGATACAACACCCCGGATGATGTCGCCTTCGGCCAGCCGCAGGTTCTACTCGATTCTCTTCTTACCTTGACCGTGCTCTCCATGCAACATGAAATCGGACAGCCATCCACCACCAAGGAGTTCAGGGAGTTCATTCTCGCCTTGACGGCATGCACCACGCGCCAAAACTACGGTACCGTTCGACGGATCCCTGGAGACATCGTGCACAGCCACCCATCTCATCTCCTCCGGTTCAAGATCATCCGGTGCATCTTGGAAGAACATCATTTCCTAGCTGTCAAGGACGATGCGATCGGATGGCTGAAGCAGGAGATCCTCAAGGCTGCTAGCCAACCTGAGCCCAACATTTTCCTGAACCCACACTACTTCTCCGTCCTATTCCCATTGTTATTCAACTCGTCTAGCCTTCTACTCAACGTCTCGACCGATCTCGTGGCCTCCTGGATCAAATTCTCGCAGACCCTGACCCCCGCCATCCACGCCGCCGTCAACCTCTACTACGTGCTAGTTTCCTCGCCGCAGCTGCGCGCCCAGCTCCAGCTTGAGAAATCCTACATATATTTCCGCGACCAGTTCCTCGACCCCCTGCGGTCCCTTATCCGTGCGTTCGAAAGCGACCTGCCCAAGAACGGCGGCGACGGTCGCATCCAGAACTCCGTTGGCGAGGAGGTGTGTCAGCTCGGCATGGCCCGGTCGGTGGCTGTCGTCTCTCACGCGCTGAGCAAATTAGAGGACGTGGTCAGCGAGGTGTTCATCGGTGCCGATGCCGACTTCCAAGAACCTTCGACGGAGGATATCGCGCGGGTGGATCGCATTCGCAAGGAGACGGAGCCTTAAGTTTCCAGTGTGTTCGTCCGTAGTATGTGTAACTAAAATGATAACGATGTAGATACATACGATTTACGAGTTGCGATTATGACTATGAAATTTGTGACTTTAACTGACCGTTAAAGTACTGGTAGTTGTATGAAGTCTTGCGTGGAAGTTCTAGGTCGAATGCCTGAGGCTGCAATCTGCCAAGCATTTCGCCGGCTCATAGTTATGTGGCATGCGACAAGACTTCTTCATCAACCATGTTCAGGAATATCTTGATTGAAATAAAGCGCATCATTAAGATCCCTGTCAATGATTCATGTCCATTCTACATCGCAACAGACCTACTATTCACAATTGAAGTTACGAACTCACTTAAAAAGCTACGCAAGAAGCCGAGAGAGAAAAGATATATACCAAAAGCAAGGTTCGGTTCCATTGGCCAGTAAGTAAAGTAACAAGCAAGCACCTATCTCATCCATAAAAAGAACAAAAGGAAAAGAAAAAAAAGACAAAGTTGAAATACACGACCAACAAAATATGAGTTCCTCATCCAACCAAGACCTAGGGAATTTCAAGACCACCGCTGTTTTTCTTTTTTTTTTTCCCGTTCCGTTTCTTATTGTCAGGAATTCAAAAGAGAGTCGAATGTCGAACGAGATAGTAATGGACACCTTTTCTTGTCTTCTTCTTCTCTCCCTCTTTCAGCGATCCAAGGTTCGGTCCTTCTCTTCCATTGTGTTGTTCTCGACCAGAGGAGGAAGGGAACAGCAGGCAGGAAAAGAATGAAGGAAAAGAGGATGGAAAGAGGGACTGGATTATGACATAGATAGATTTGTAGGGAAACAACCCAACTCCTCCATCTATATCAAATCCGGTTTTTTTTTTTTTTTTTTTTTTTCTTTTGAGGATTTTCAAGACATTTTTTGATTTCATAAAGCCAAAGATCAAAAGAGAGATTGAAGAAACGGTGCAAGTGCAAAGCCCAACCCGGTTTTTATTCTTTATAAAAAAAAGAAAAAAAGCAGGAGAACGGAGGCACGATGATATGAGGAAGGCGGATTGTAAGGTTCAAACAGGGGGAAGAGTACTGAGCGCCGATTATTGAACGATTCATTGGTCATGTTGGTGGTCTTGTCATTGGTTTGATATTTAGCGACTTGGTCGGTGGTGAGTTAACGCGAGGAACTCTTTCGGCGGTTTGCCTGGGGCTTTTTACATGATGATGCAGCCACCACCAGCGGAAGCTATATTCAGAGATCTAGTTAGTATATGTTCATGTTTGGAGGGTACGTTGGGGATGGATCAAGAGAGAACTTTGAGAGGTAGGAAAGAAGACATACCCTTAACGGCAGCAGCGTTCTGAGCAACTTGGGAGGGAGACATTTTGAATTGGGTTGGGATTGCAAAGATGCAAAGAAAAACTTGTAATAGAATGATAGACTTTGATCTGATGATCGTGATGAAGAAAAAAGGATCGATTCGGCGGGTTTCAGAGACGCTTTTATATCTTTGTCGACGCCAGTCTGGACCAGCCAGATCTGGGGTATACCGGATTCGCTTTGTGGATTGGTCTTTCTGTCGTTTTTTCTGATTCCGGAATGCTATCTTGAATGGAAAGCCTCGTGATTCAAGGACTGGAAAGAGGGCGAGAAGAATGGTACTCAATGCGATAGGTCGTTAAGTTGGGTATCTTCCATGGCGTTCGCTGTCGAAAGCCATCGAAGGTAAAGAGATAAAGAAGACAAGAAACGTGAAAGCTAAGTCTGGTAACATCCTCAGCGGTGGTCCTATCAATGGAAGTGGCGAGCATTCATCTCTTGATATTGTTCTTGGTGGTGGACCAATGACGGCCATTCTGCGGCGCGATTCAATGGGGACGCATTCATTATGGTTGAGCCTTCTCTTGTTCTACATTGGCTTCTTCTAGAAGACCTGAAGAAAGAATGATTTGTCTATGAAGAACTCTTTGGCTTGTAGTCCCGTGGTTGCGGTGAGATGAAGCCTGCAGAGAAGTCAGTTCCTGGTGGCGCTGCACACGGGGAATTGGTTGAGCCACGAGGGAGCAGGGATAAGCAATTGTCATGGGAACCCAGCAAATTCGAACAAATGCCACTCATTTCTGAGTGAGAACGTCGTACGAGATGTGCGGTGGTAGGTCGAGATGTTGTTGTAGTGGATTGTTCGAGAGAACAATATCAACCGCCACGAAGACTTGGCATCCACCCGATCAGGTGACAGGCTCCAAAGAAGTGCCAAAAATCCAAGAAATTCATTCACAATATCAGACTATGCCGAAAAGGTACAATATGCTAGATATATGAAAGACAATATCAGGTATAGATGGGCTCCGTCAAGTCGTTAAGCGTCAATCCCTCCTTCGCAACGTCCTCCTCGACCAAGAACATCAGCGGCATCTCCACCAAAGTGCCCTTGACCTGGCTGAGCAATTCCTTCACCTGCTTCACACCCTCAGGACCAGGGGGGAAGTCGTCGCGCACAACATGGCCATACTGGTAGCGAGAGGGAGGGGAGTCCTTCTCCTCACCGTATGCCTGCTTGTCAGCATTGTTGAAGTAATATCCATAAAACTCCTTGTACGTCGCCCAGTCGCGCACGTTGTCGTCGGGCACGGAGTGGAACACCTTGCGGAAGGCCTCGGTGTTGGTTCGCGCGCGCGTGTTCCAGAGGCTCTGAAGAGTATCCGCCAGAGGGTCAGCCACGAGCTGGCTCTCCGCAGCCTCGAAGTCGAACTGGTTGGGGACACCAATGGGCTCGAAGTTGGCATCAGGCTTCTGGTAGTCCTGTGGTGGGAGAAGGCCAAGGTGCTTGCGGAAAAGCTGTCGACGCAGCGAGCTCGCGAAGCGACTGGCGGTGAAGGGTTTGCCATTCATGGTAGACTGCACCGGGGTGTAGTCCTCAACAATAATGGCGATCTCGGAGTCATGGTCTCCCAGCTGGGATCGGTCGTTCAGGTTGGCCGATCCGCAGACCGCCACACGGTCGTCAGCAATCATGACCTGTACTTGTTAGTCTTACTGTGCTGCAATGATACGGGATTATGCATACCTTCGAGTGAACGTAGAGTTCTTCAGTCACAAAAGCGTCAATCTCCGCCTCAGCCGGACCGTCCCATGGCACGTTGCGTAGGTCGGGGCCGTGGAGCATATAACACTCGCTGACACTGTCCCACCGACCAGAGCCGGATTTGGCAACACCAACATCGCGAGCAGCCTGCTGGTACTGCTGGAATGGAGCACTGGTGTCAAATGCAGCCCGAGGAGCCCCAGGACCGTAACCGCCTTGACCAGCAACAGTAACATCATGCTGCTTACGAGCGTCCTCGTAGTTGACGCCGCTGCGCTGCTCAGCCTGGGCCAAGGGGCCGCTGAGGTTGATCCGGTCGTAGTTGCGCAGATTATAGAATCGGATGTAGTCCATGGGGTTGTGGCCCTCCTGAGCAATCAGTTCCATGATACTGTTTCCTCCGCGGTTGATCGAGTTGTACTGGAACTCCATAATGGCCCGCGTTCCGAGGGTAGAGTCGTCGCTCAGGTCACCGGCAAAACAGGGCACAGACGGGATGACCACAATAACCTTGTACTTCTGACCAGATTTGGCTGCACGCAGAATACGCTCGACGATGGCAGCGCCGATCTTGTTCTGGACAGGCTTCTGGGAGTCACCAGTGGCAGTGATGAAGAACTGGTTCTCGATGTAGACGAAATGCTCACTGTTGCGGATAATCGCAGCGTAGGCATCAGCGATGGAGTGCTCGGTGGGGGTGCCGTTGCTCCACTTGGAGCAACTGCGGACAATCTGGCAGCACATGTTGCCTCGGGGCTGGGTGTTAGGTCCAGCAAAGGAGGAACCGAAGCGATCTTGATATTGGTGGATCTGACCGGCGAGCTGTCCACGCAGAACATTTCCATACTGAGTTATCTCCTCGCGGAAGCGTTGAGGTGCAAAGCCGCGTTCGTGGTCTCCATGACCCCTAGTGCCTTCATAGTAATCATGCACGCCTCGAGTTTGGGTGGGCAGCTCCTGCGCTCCGTGCGGAGGGGGCGCGTAGTAAGATGACTGGCTTTGGCTTGGCGACTGAGCCTGGACCTGAGTCTGCGATTGTCCAGCCTGAGAAGGAGGAGGCGGGAAATAAGGCGTTTGTGATTGACTCTGAGATGTAGTTTGCGTCTGCGATTGACCCTGGCTAGGCGGTGGTCCCGGAGGCGGCGGCGGGAAGGAGTCTCCAGTGTAAGTGTAGGGTGGAGGAGCGCCTGGAGAGGGCGATTGTGCGGGGGATGGCTGGTAGCTGGATGAATTTGGCTTGCTTGACATCGGAGGGGCCGGGGGGACCATGGAAAGTCCTCCTCCAGGCTGCGGTGATACGGACTGCTGAATTCCCGTTTGCTGAGCGCTGGGCTGGTTTTGAGCTGGCCGTTGCTGCTGGTACTGCGGCTGAGTCGGCTGCTGCTGCTGCTGCTGCGGCGGCGGTTGTTGCTGTTGGTGCTGCTGCTGCTGTCCCTGTTGCTGAGCACTGTGAGGACGCTGAGAGGTCGACGAGCTCGGGCGACCGTACAAGGCTAGGCGAGAGTATCTGGAATCCTTGCGGATCTCGTACTTCGAATCATAGATGAAGTTCCAGCGCTCCACGAAGTGACGACGCAGATCCTCGACGACGTGGCCATGCAAGCTAACAGACACATCGGACCAGCCCATGCGAGAAGCGTTCTTCCGATCCAGCTGGTTCTTTTCCCAGTTCGGAACATCCTGGAAATCCAGAACGCGAGCGTTATTGTAGTCCTGACCGGGGAATACAATTTCGTTCAAGTTCTCGGGGTGCACGTCGGTAAGCGCATGTTGGTTGGTATCCCACCGTCCAAAGCACATATCGAGGCCACCCATGAATGCGGTCCGGCCGTCAATCAAACAGAGTTTCTCATGGTGAGCCCAGTAGAGGATGACATCCTCGTTCATGCCGTAGATGCCTTTGAGCGTGTCGCCGGACATCTTGACGAGATTCTTGGCATCCAAGGAAAAGTTTTGGAGTGACTCTGTGATGGAGGCAGTCAATTCCTGCTTGTCAGGCAGGTGATCGGGATGGCGGAAGACGGCGATATTGGGGTGAAGATCTTGAAGATGATGCTTTGTGTGGGCAGAGGATACTGTTTTCTCAAGTCAGTAAAGCCCATCATTTATGGGGTATCTGAAAGACAGCAGTCACGTACGAGTCAATGCCTGAGTGACCTCCTTGTAGACGATAATGTTCACCCGCACGCCACGCTGCGCAGCAGCCTGCAGCATCCGATCCAGCCGGTACTGCTCATTCTTGGCTGGGGGACGTCTCAGATACAGTTCTGGCGACAGCCACCCTAAAGAAATATGTCAGTATCGGATGAAGACGGCATTCCCCACGCCCCGTCGGAACTTACAATCCAAAATCCAAATCGACTCCCGAGCGCTTTCCAGCGCCTTGGACACCGCCCAGAAATAGGAGCAGCCGTCCACATACCACTTGACGTCATTGCCCTGTCGGTCCGGCGCAAAGCTACCGAATCTGTGTTGAGCTTGCGGCTTGCCATGGCCATACTCCGCATAAGCCTGCGGGTCCAGTGCATTTCCCAGACGCTGGGCAACGTCGTTACCGAGGCCCGCCACGGTCCCCTGCAGCTTACCCAGCAATCCATGAACCTTATCCTGTTTCCCCTGCTTACCGGGTCTTCCCTGGTACTGCGGATCCTGGTATTCCGGGTTTTGGTAGTTCGGGTTCGGGCCGGACTGCGCGAAGTTCTGCGCAGCGCCCTGCTGAGGCGGATAGTTCTGCGACTGGCCGTAGTTCTGGGGCTGGTAGCTCTGCGACTGGGGCTGCGACTGCGACGGCGGTTGGGAACCCTGAGACTAGCTCGTCGTTAGTTTCGGAAATCCAGATGGGTCTAGTAGTCTACGACTCCATAGAATAGTCGGTGTAGGGACGGGACGGTAGAACCATTGATGGAGCAACTTACACCGTAAGATCCCTGACCGGCATTCTGACCTTGCGGCGCGTGTTCTCCCTGCGGCCGAGAGTGATGGCTCTTGTATGTTTCCTTCAGCATTTTGAAGGTATCACCGACGAAACCTCTCGCGCTGTCACCTCCTCCGCCTCGACTTGACTCCTTGCCGTAGTAATTGCCATAGGCGAGTGGGTCTTCACGGTTCGACATGGCGGTTAGAGTCGGTAGGATGCGATACGGGGTATACGGGGGAGGGATGTGCAGGTAAAAAGAAAGAAGATCATGCAGGACCAAGGGTGGTGTCCTGAAAAATAGTCTGAAGGAAAAGAGAAGAGAAGAGGGATGGAAATAGAAATAGAAAGAGGAAGAGAAACGAGCCACGAGGGGAAACGAGACGATGAGGCTGACGGGTCCGAAGTGCCCCGCCAGGCGCCATTTTTAGGCTGCCGTCATTTGGGGCGGTGGCTGAGCAGCGACACCCGATTCCGCGGATTTATGGGTCTTTCTTCGTGAATTCATTCCTTAATTTGCTCGTGGGGATATTTAACGGACTTATCGTGAACTTTTACACAGTAGAGCGGGATTTGTTGACAAGGAAGTATGCCCCTCCCATCGTTACCGTGGAAATCCTCCGCTGCTCCTATAAATAGTCTATCATCTATTCTCTTATCACATCTTCGCTCGCTGTCGATGATCGCTCCTCCCATGCGCCATCTTCGCATGACTCCCCGCAAAGGTATTCGTCGCCACGGATGCAGCGGTACTCAGGTCCAAAGCCAAGGCAAAACAAGCAATGAAGCCGGCGAACTGCTCCTTCAGGCCTGGTCCGGCACACTGAATGATCTGTAAACCCTCCTGTTGCGTGTCATAACATGTCCCGCCGCCGATCACTCCCACCGGAAGCGACGGGAAGTACAGACTCAGCCGGAGATCGCGAGACGCTTGATCGTATTCCATCGTGAGCTGACTCCAGGACGCATCCGTGACACAGGCGGCGTCCTGGCCGGTCGCGATGAAGATGGCGGCGAGCACGTTGGCCACGTCGATGTTATGACCGTGTTGACCGTTGCGAAAGTTGCCTTCCTGTCCAATGCGCATGATCTGATGAAGCCTTTCCGTGGAGCATTTGAATACGCTTCGACAGACGGCGTCAGACAGCTTGCCCCAGGCGATGACTTCGACGCCCCGCGACGTCGTGACATGGCCCCACGAGGCCTTCTTCTCCGATGACATTTGGCCCTCCTCGCAGAAATCCCGAATCTGGAACTCCGACGCAAAGGTCGACTTCATCAGCCACGCGCAGGCGGTCTCAGTGGCAAAGGAGACCATGTTCTGGCCCGCCGCGTCTCCGCAGACATACCGGAAGACGACGTGAGTCCACGATCCGATAACATGGGGAACAATGCCTCGAAACTGCACATAGCGACTCGTCGACTCTGCCACCTTGGCTATGTCGCTCTCGAAATCGCGGATACGTTGTGAGAACAAACATGCCTCGCGCGGGCTATCGAATTGGAAGGCCGGTGCGCGCGACATGCCCTGACTCAAGACATGAAATTCAGCGCCACCGCACATGTTGAATGCCTTGCACCCTCGACAACAACTGGCAATCATCGCTGCCTCGGTGGTTGCCATCGGAGCGCACACATCCTTTTCATCTCCTTCCGGCGTGCGAATGTGCAGGGGTCCCGCAAGACCGAGGGGTACACGCGTGAAACCGATAAAGTTCTCAATCTGAATCGCTTCGGGGTCCTTGTCATGATTGGTAATGTGTTCAATTCCGCTTATGTGGGGTTGAAACTTGGCCGCGCTGCGCTGAGATGGAGGTGCCATTATGGGGACCGAACACAGAGAAGATGGCTCAACTGAATAGCAGATTGGTCGCATCTGATGCGGCTTTATATGGGAATTTGCGGAAGTTTCTAGAACCATGGTGAAGCCTGGCTTTAACGAGGGCATTCCTGTTTTTCCAACCCCGAATTCAAACTAGGATGGCTTGTGTCACCCTGGTTCACGTCCCGTGGCCTGGTTGAAAGTTACTGTGGTCTTACTATTTACATCTAATTCAGTGGTTCCTGCATTGAATTTATCAAAGAATGGTAGTAAGCTGTCTTTCTAAGCCAATGACATTGAGATGCTTGTCCCTAAGTTGGAGACATATTTCTAACTGTCAATGCCAGTAACATCCACCAATTGAGCCATTAAATCCTGGCTAGACTCACGCATGGCTCAACCCTTGAGGAAAGTCGAATATTGTGTTAGGGTCCGCCGCCGATTTCAGCGTCTTCAAGCGTCCAAGCGCCTCTCCATAGTACTCCTGCCCAAAGTCCTCCAAATACGGATCGATATAGTTCTGATACGAGTGCCATTCGCTGGCTGGCCGAGCCTGTTTGATAGCATCTGTAATAGCGGTAATCTTGGCAACCGCATCGAGGCGAGTAGAGTCACTAAATCCAGGGAAATAGGCCGAATATATCTGCACTAAGAAAAGGCTCTGACGATGAATATACGCCATGTCGCCGGTGGAGGTTGGGCCGTTCGTCTTCGACCCGGGTCCAAGCAGGTCGAAGGACACATCGTTCTCCGTCTTCTTGATACCCCGAGCGACGCGAAGTGCATCGAAGACAAGACCCGTCTGCTTCTGCGTATAGTCGGGGCTTCCGTTATCGACAAGCGACTGTGCGTAATACGGGAGATAATCATCTGATGCATCGAGAGGACCCATCAGGTCTGTTAGGGCGGCAACCCAGCTGGAAAACTCGTTGACCTTGGACTCTGAGGTTTTCGGCTTGATGCCCTTCGCTGCAAGCTTATTGAGGAGCTTGTTAATGACCGATTGGTACGCGGACTTCTTCCCAAGATATTGGCCTTGCAGTTGGCAGGCGCTGTCTTCGTTGGAATCTCGGCCCATCAACAACACCTCGACTCCGAGGTCGAGAGGAAGACCGTTGGGATCGGTAGCGGGCAGCTTTCCCATGGCTTGGACTTCTAGTAGGACTTGGGTGCAGTCTGCCTCCGGGCCGAAATGGAGTTCGTAATTCACGGTGGCAGTGGGAGCTTTCTCTAGTGCAAAGGTGAATGCAGTAACGACGCCAAAGTTGTTGGATCCTGCGCCTCGGAGAGCCCACCATAGCTCCGCGTCGGTCCCTGTAGAGCTGGAGCTGAGTCGCTTGATGTTGCCATTCACATCTACAAACTGCAAGGATACAACTAGACACGTAGGAGTCAGTCACCGACGGTTCGGTCTGAATTGAAGCCGAGGAATGTGATCGACTTACTCCTGTCCACCAACCAACCCCATTTCCGCGAAGCATATCCCCATCCACCACCAAGAGAATGTCCTGCCACGCCCACCGTCGGACAAGTGCCGTGCGGTAGAGCGTACCCCTTCTGCCCGATAGCCTTTGCCAACGGACCCAAAGTCTGACCAAACTGCACCGTCACCTCCTTCTTGGTCTCGTCGATCGAAATGCCTTTCATCTTACTCGGATTGATAACCACCTGGCCGACGAAACTGTACGCAGCATAGCTATGTCCACCACCACGGGGGCTCAGTTTCGTGCTTCCTTTCTCGGCTGCCACGCATCGCACTATCGCTGCGACCTGCTCGGCCGAAGAGGGAATCACAATGACCTCGGGGTGAGCCTGGTAGTTGGTATTCTGTGGTTTAGCCAGAGCATTGTACCTGCTGTCGCTGGGGTAGACGACATCGGCACCGGTGGTTTTCAAGCAAGTTTGAAGCGAGGTAGGGAGAAGCGCATCTGTCGCAGGTAGAGCAGAGACACTCGAGAGATGAAGGGTTACAAAGCCCAAGGCCAGAAGCCGAAGTGAGATTATCATGTTGGGTCGGTGTCGATGCTAGAATAAACAAGCTTCTGGACCTAGAGATCCGATTTATACGTCTTGTTCGAGTGAGGGGATTTATGCACCTACCAGGAACAAGTGATGACTGACGTGGTCTCACCCTTGGCAGGAATGAGCGGGATGATTTGCAATGCAACTATCGCGGAGCTTTTTTCTGGAGATGAGGTTCATCGGATGCCCCCTTGTCGCCCAATCGTACTCTAACAGGTTGTTGCGCATCCAATTATACGGGCGATTTTTATTGATTTCCAGTAGACACCTCCTCCGCTCGCCCGGGTAACTCGCAGTCGAACAAAAGAGCACAAGTGTAACAATTCTCATTCCATCGCGAAAAAGCACCCGAATTAGAGTGTAGCTTGCACAGCGTCTGAGACATGCACTCGGGAGGCGCCCAGGATGCAGGTGGGATACGAGATGGAGTCGTATTCCTTACATAATTGAGTGATAAATCATTGTGAACTGATAAGAACCTGGGTATACTGGGAATGTCAGGCCATTGGTCTTGAAAGACATAAGATCTGAGGGGTGGCACTGTAGTGCGTTTGGCCCAGTCACTATAATGCTGCAGATGTGATTCGACTAAAGTCGTTAGAAAGATGCGTCGTAGGTGCTGTCTGTTCTCCAGAGCCCAGATCGAATGGAACAATATATGTTAATACCATAAATGGAGTAAATAGTAGAAAGAAATCACAGCGACTGATTGAATGAAGATGGAATAGCTCGAATCAGATAATAATTCAGCGCTAGCTAACGAGCTAGACGTACTAATCTGTAGATCGCGAACCTTGAATGGGAACACTAAGTCAACTTCACGAAGAAATATGTTCTGGAATGAACTCGGAATGAGTTCAGACGAATTTCAAGGGCAAAGAGGACCGGGCTCACTTTGATCCTTGTTCAGTGGAGGTTCTCAAAATATCAGAGTGTCTTATTGGCCCTCGCGTATTAGTTGTGACGATGATGCCCTTGGGGGCCAATTTGCATCTCCTGCTTGCGTCACGTTGAGGGGAAGAACAGGCACCAGCAAGACGACTTCACTGCTTTCAATCTTAACAATAACCCAATTTCAAAGTCGATACTAGCTCGCATAGCTTCTTTGAATGGCATACTTTCTTACCACTTGTGTTGATATTGTGTCAATATATCGGAAAGAACAGGTTGGTGATCGTCAGTAATACAACCACTGCAGTAAAGATCTGCGAAGGGGGCCTTTTCGCTCACACTGTCCACATCAGAGCGTTGAAGGCCAAGATGTGCCCCTGAGTGCTCGCGCCTGGCGTGTCTGAGCTTTGCAATATGACCAGAGATCAGTCAGTCCACATCTCAACGAGGTTTGATAGCCTGGAAGATTCGCAGACAAACCTGTTGTCTCACACCACCGGTCCGGTTGAGAATCTAGAGACAGACCTTGCAAAGTATCCGACCGCACATCAAAGAGAGAAGGAACAGCCATCGGTCAATTCTTCCCAAACAAATGTCACATTGAAAGACTCAAAAGAAATTGCCCCAAGAACAAAGCATCGACTGTGGTCAGCGTTCCGAGAGAGATGGCACAATGTGAGATATCCGACAACCTCAAGAAAAGAAAACATCCCCAGCGATGGAGATGAATGGACCAAAGGGGTAGCATTCGCTATAGGATGGGCTGCTCTGGTCCTGTTGGTCAACATCATTCTTATGATCATCGCACTCGCCATGGGCTACTCGGGCTCCTCATCCAGCAATGATCGATCGACAGTTTCGACAGCGATTTATGATGGAAAGTGTTCAGTCGCCGGTGGTTGGGCTTCTGGGCTCCATGCCTTGATCAACGCCCTGAGCACAGGCCTGCTAGCCGCGAGTAATTATGCGATGCAAACTCTCAGTGCTCCGTCGCGCGAGGATGTGGATGCTGCTCATTCCAAAAAAAGATGGCTGGATATTGGGACCTTCAGCTACAGGAACATCCTTGCCATGGACCACAGGCGCAAAGGTATCTGGTTGGTGCTTTTGCTGACCTCGGTACCTGTTCATTTGATGTTTGTTCTCCCCGGGGATTAAAAGCTACCCGCACTAACCTACTGTTTCAGGTATAACTCGGTCGTTTTCTCCTCGATGGGGACGAACCTGTACGGAGTGGTCTTGATCCCAGATGATCTGGGCAAGCATGAGATGCTGTCTAATGGGAACAATTATACCGCAGAAAAAATCTACAAAGAAATTGGCTACAGTGCGCAGGATCTGCAAGCTGAAATATTCAACGGTACAATGAAGAACCTGACTCTGGAAGAGTGCGTGGATGCATACGCAGTCGAATACAACACCCATCGCACGACCGTGGTATTGGTCGCAGATCGAGAACATTTTAACAACTACTCAAGTCTTGAGGCTTTTTATGGGTTGTCTAGCCAGGACTACTACGCTTATAATTCCCATCGGTATTCTTGGATGTGTGCGCAAGAACGTCCGACGAACTGCACCAAGGAAGATGTCATGGACCTAATACATCGTGGAAGGTGGTCTGTCTGGGCTGAGTACTGGGCGTATCGAGATTGGAAGTTTTATAATCCTATCCATGGTGGGATGAACCAGAGTTTCTCATGCGATTACGACCTGCTTGATCATTTTGTTGACGAGAAAAGCACGTCTTTGAGAGCCGATATCGGAACCCTTTGCAACTACGTCTCAGCATACAATCCGGACAAAGATCAGCTGGAGCAGTATTTGAAGTCTCCATCTCACTGGAAGTATAGTTCCTGGGCATCGCAACTCTCATTTCAATGGCAGAACTATACAGACACTGCGACGAGTTTCGACAATCCGGTGTATACGTCAGCGCTTGAAATCCCTATATCCCACTGCATGAGCAAGGAGAGCGAGGAAAAGTGCCAGTTATTGTTCAACCTGCCGATAGGTCTTGTGGTTATCATGTGCAATACCATCAAACTGGCTGGCATTTGTCTGGCGGCAAATACTAAGCGGAAGAGGATTTTCTTGACAGTCGGCGACGCAATATCCTCCTTTTTGTCAACGCCGGATCCAACGACCAAGCATATATGTTTTCAGCGTGCTCCTGGATCTGAATGGGAAGATGGAGGAGGGGCTTGTGAAAAAGAGCCGTATATAAAAAGGGTTTTTGGCTGGAGGTCTCGAAGGCAGCACGATCATCATCGCACGGTTCCTGAGCGTTATACTGCTGTGAACTCTCTATATACATCCGGAGATACCGATTATGGTGCCAAACCCAGGAGCCTCCCAAGTCCGAGGAGATGGTACCAGGCAGTCAGCCTGAAATGCTGGATCCTACTCCTTTTCATGTGCGTTCCTTCTGCCCCTAGTCGCTACATCGTTAACTCTAACATGCTCCCACAGCATCATGTCTTCTTTCATTACAGCTGTAGTCCTATTTCATATTGGAAGTGGCCAACGCTACCCAAACAAGGTCACACTGCAAACCTCCTGGGAAACAGGCTTCGGCAAGCCCAGTTCCGTCGCCATGATCGGCCAAGCCGCGCAAAGCGTCATGGAAGTAGTCCTTCTCAGCAATATGCCCCAGCTGATGCTCTCCATTCTATACTTTCTCAGCAACGGGATCTTGATAAATATGGTTGTTGCAGCCGAATACAACGACTACGCTATCCATCGAAACACCCTCCGAGTATCCTGGCCGAAAGGCCAACAACGATCCACTCGTTACCTCAGCCTACCTTATCGGTATAGGGTGCCATTTGTGGTTTTCGCAGTCGCGTTGCATTGGCTCATGTCTCAGAGTTTGTTCTTCATACAAGTTCGACTGTTCGATATTGATGGACAAGTTATCGAGCGCTGGAGTACGACTCGGTGTGGGTATTCGCTGGTGGCGATTCTTACTACTTTGATTGTTGGAGCAATTGCCACTCTTTCTTTGCTAGGGCTGGGTCTGCGAAAATATAAGTCGAATATGCCGCTTCCCATCTATAGTAGTGTGGAAATCAGTGCTGCTTGTCATCCCCCGCCGGATGATCCAGATGCGGCCCTGAAGCCCGTGATGTGGGGTGCACCAATAGGCGGTCGATCTGGTGGGAATACAGTGGAGGCAAGATCGGCATATCATACATTTACTTCAAGAGAGATTCTAACGTAAATCATTCATATGGAAAAAACTCATTACAATGGAGCCAGTTTCACAACCGCATGTATTCGAGAGGACACAGTGAACCACGCCGAGTAGGTTCGATTTGCGCATGCGATAATCCACATTTGAATGGAAAGATACAACCCCAGATAAGAGTTGCACCATTTGCATTAACTCAAACCTTGCCCTAAGGAGTCATAATATTCGTCAAGGTCCGTGCCATCTCCCTCTTTAAAGGTATCCGGTGCTGTCACGAACAGCTCAACGTACGCCATACTCGTGCCGTATCCATTATACGGGACACCATCTAAGTCTGCCTTACATTTGGTGACATTTGGTGGCACTATTGATACCGACGGCTCGAACATGTGACGTCGGGGAAGCAACGCATGATGCTGGCTCCGCGAGAGATCGCGACAGCCACGTTCCGCGATTTTAGACTCCAGATCATTCAGATATTTGGGATTGTGGCTTTCACGGGCAGCACACATTAGGTTAGAATCTGGATCCACGTCAAGCAGATCCCAGACATCTTCGTAATCGGTCAGTATGCAGGCCATGGCAATTGCTGGTTTCATGGAAGGTGCTCGTCTCGCAAGCTCGCGGCAGGTGGCTCGCCTCGGCATACTGGGATACCAAATAACATATGGAAGGCTGACGGTGTCTGGCGTAATGCGCGACAGATCATTGTTCATGATATAGCGAGCATTTATGGCCATGCTGACATTGTAGCTTGAGTCAGGCTGAGTGGACCACCATTTCGCGAATAAAGTGTTGTGATATATTCCCCGAACGATGCATTCTTGCTCACTGTAGACAGATGCCGGACGTCGTAAGCGACTATAACGATCAATGTCACCATAGTAAGCTGCCATTAAGATTAGAAGGTCTTTGTTCATTGTGGGCAGATCCACCGGAAGTGGTGTGTACAGCAAAGGCGTGACGTCTTCTGTGACTCGCGGGGGTTTTGTGCTCAGCTCGTCAACGCGATCATCCTCTGCTATATCAAAATAGGAGGTCCTTCGAAAGGGGCCATAGCTTCCCTTTGACTCGGGCTTCCGAAACTTGGTTTTGATGTCTAGATATGATCGAACCGCGGTGTCTCCATTCAAATGCCCCACTATTGGTTGTGAGTACACGGTGCGGGAGTAGTCATCCATGGCGTTGTATCGAATACTCGCCCTCATGATGTCCTCATATATCGGCCATTGCTGGTTGTCCCGGGCTTCCTCCGCTATGTGGCTTTCGGGTAGCAGACCAAGATCCTTGAACAGATTATAGTAGCCCGCAACGGCACAGGCCCGCCCGACTTGATATTTCATTCCGGGATAGCGTGAAGCGAGTCGTCGGTATGTGTCTTCAGTCGCCTGCTCGGGGTACCAGATACAGTAGGGGAAGTCTTCTGGGTTCTCCATGTCCGGAATGTCGTTGCTCATGATCCTTCGTGCGTTCAGGGCGCGAGTAAAGAGAGGCAATGTTCCATGTAGCTCAGTAGCAAACCCGGGGTGGTATCTGATTCCACGAACGACGCACAGTCTGGTAGTGGTGAAGCCTAGTCCTCGAGGGAGCTGCTGGCCACGGATAGCCAAGAGACATTCTTCTTCGCTGCAATACTCCTTCCTCAACCTCTTCCACGAGAAGGGTAGAACTCGATCGGGCATAATGTAAAGAAGAAATGAAGTATCTTGGGAATGAGGAAGAGGAAGGTAGAGATTCTGAATGCAGGAGGCAGAGATGGAGCGAAGGTGAGGTCGTATTTATATTTGTTCAGTCGCTACCGTACTAGCCCCATTTCGGAAACGGCAGCCTGGCCGGGTTACACCAGTCACGTTGCTATCTACTAGGAAGGTACCTAAGTACCTACCAGGTATTATGTATATCATGCTTTCCTCTCCAACAACAAAGTGCTATCCTCCACCTTACTATGATTTACATGAACCAAGTCGGTTCAACGCTTCTCCCATGGCAACGATGTTGTCCCAATGAATATTGTTGTCGATCTCGCGAAACTTTCTCACTATTCCGTCCACGTCTACCTTTGGATGCTTTTCACTTGTAGCGCTGATATCAATAAACAGATATTCACGGTCTCCTCTAAACATCTTCTTCTTCGTCTCCGCTTCAATCTCGTACTTCTTTTTGAGTTCTTTTCGCAGCGCATCCGAAAACAGCGCATCACGCAGAAAGTACGAGCGGCGGAGTGCAGAGCGAGCATAGTGCAACCTTTCGGGGCTGGTTTCTGAGATCTTTTCTCGATTTCTTTTGAGGAAAGATGATATCTGCAGTACAGCGTAGTTATATTAGATGAGATACTTTGACGAGAAGGTCTGTAGAGGAAATTGTAATGGTCACCTCCTGTATCAATGTCGGTACGTTGCCCGGACTCTCTGCAACGCCGGGAAATATGTTCCCCAAGATATACTCACCCTTATAGCCATATTCGTAGAGAATTTGGGCCATTTCATCTACGTGATAGTCGCTCACATCTCTTGGGATTTGTCGTGGCTGGTTCTTGGATTTGTCGATAAAGTTCATGAACTGATTGAAGACACCTCCTCGCTCGTAGACCTTTGGCACAATTCTTTCCTATAGTCGTGGCCTTGCCCCCGTGAAGTGCAATGTCAATCTCATATGCATGCCAGTACAGAACCCTTTCATAGGCACCAGGCTCACCAAAAGACCATGCCAATGACACGGCGTAAGCCAAGAGAGTAAGAATAAAAAATTGCATGACGAAGTATCGCGAATAGCAAAAGGTCAATCACGACTCAGGAATGAGGAACAATAGAACGGATGAGACAGCCTGTGTTGGATGAAATTTCACTTGGACTTTGGAAGTGTGTTATATATAATGGCCATTGATTCAATGCTACCCAAGTGAAGAGTTACTCCCTTCAAACCTTGAACCTAGGTAGGGGGGAAGCTACGACCTGAAGATAACCCCAAGCTATGACGAAGCCCCCCTCTTCTCCAGTGTAACTAATAATCTTGCCCTTTTCTTTCTTTACTACCTTACTAGACACAATGTTGTTACACACATCCCGTCGACTCCTGGGCTTTCACGCCTCTGGTACAACCGCCGAACCCATATTCACTCCCTATCACATGGCATGCCGTCACAGAATGCTAGTATCTGTATTGAGTGGTGTGGTTGAATAAGAGTGCGGGTAGTTTCACATTTCCTGCGTGGTTCCGCAATTTCGTCGTACAATGGACAACGGGAAGGAAGATCACACGCTTAGTTACACTTTCTCTGAACCTTCTGACAGCCTTTTCCAGCAACAAGAAAGCTGGTCAGGTTACTGTACGTTGATATTGTGCTCAGGAAAAGACCAAGGAATTGGGAAACCAACTGTCGCAATTCCGCCAACTCTCGTTTTCTGCTTCCGCAGAAGGCGTCGCCTATTGAAAACTGTAGTCTCCGTACCAGATGATCGTTCAAATATGCGATCAAGACTATGCCCAACCAGCCCAGCATCAAACAGCTATTAGTCTAGCTCCGTTCAATTCTAATGCAATTGTCCCCCAACTATGTTATCTCCTACGGTATGACGTGGAGTCGATTGAGTTGCCACACAGTCTGGGACCTGTGTAATCGAGAGGATTCGTCTGTATAACGCAAATTATGTCACTGTCTGCTCCCTAAGATCCCTCCTTGTGAGGACTAGGACGACTGAAACTCTATGTGACCGAACAGGTATTACAGGAACCTTCTAGGTACGACCTTCTCTTGTGTAGCCTCGTAAATGTTGCACCAGACTACCATGTCCACCTTATGCTAGCTGCCAAACCTGCCCGAATACAGTGAAACCAAATATCAGCTGGAGTAAGCAATATTCATCCATGTGGTTTGTTTCAACTTTGCTATTTGCTAAGACACCAGCTCCAGAGCTGCATCCGTACCGTGAGGCGCTTACTATGGTTGAATTGCCAACCGTAATTATTAGATATAGACAAGATAAAGCGATAGCTACCGCGACTAACTAAATGCGGAGCCGTAGGGAGGAAATCCCTTTCGCTACCATCGATTCTGCACTGGTGGGCTTAAAGTCAAAGAGACTGGATACTGTGCCCTAGTCATCCTCGGCAAGCGCGATCCGAAAAAAAAAAGAAATCGACTGTCATGAGCCAAAGGACATTTGGGATTCACCAGGCGGAATCAACCCACCTGTTACAAAGTAGCATCCAGTATCCTATTAGTTACATCATTGCGTTACTGGATGCTTGGGTTTCATTTCCCTCGATGTAAAGAAGAGCTTGCTCAGGTGAGGTTGGACATAGGTGAGGTAGACCAGGGTTTACTGCTTGCCACAGCAATCCATATCTATGTCATAAGAGAGCGTTTATCGCAGGTCTTCGAGTAGTTAATACACGCAGTTGCCCTTCAGGAGCGTATTAATTCACGTCGATCATCCTTTGGGGTTTGCAATCAGTTCTCCCATTGTTCCAACCATTAACATTTATCTCTTGATTTCTGTTCCTACAGTCACTGCTGCTAGAGCAGGTTTTTCGATTCATTGTTCCTCCTTTGTTCTCAAATTGGCCCTATTTCTCTGATATCCTTTTGATCTATCATTTATTTTCTCTGTTTCTTTCGTTTGTGTGCACCTCGCGCGATCTATTCCTTCCCAACAGTTCAGAAAGAACGCTTGTCAAGGCAAAATGCAGTTAAAATATCTCTTTTTCATGGCCGGAACCACCTACTCCGCCGCCAATTCTGACATCTTGTCTTTCTTGAAATCTTGTCCAGGGCCATGTGGTGGCTCAGACAATCCTTCATCGAATTGGACCACATACAGCAACGTGCATAGCCTTGCTACTTGCAACAAGACCATGCTTCTTGACTTCGCGATCCATACTCCTCTGGAAAGCCCCGAAGTAACTACCAAGCTCTACGCCTGTAATCCAGAGCCAATCAATACCGAAAATGACAACCAGTCCACGCCTAAGCACTGCCCGGCAACAAACACAACAGAGGCTGTGCTGCAACTCGCATGGTCTGGTTCCTACAGCAATGGAAGCCTCCCTGGCACTCTGGATACTCTGGAGCAGGTTCGAAAGCACCTCTCCGACAGCCAAACCTGTGATACGAAGATAGTGTTTGGTTACTCACAGGACATTGCAGTGGGTGTATAGGTTGGCAGCAAAATCGATCACGTGCAAGTGGCGGAATCTCAGGCCAAAGAATTCATCAACCACCTGCGGAAAATTGGGGTTCCAAAACGGACGGTGCTTCAGTATTGTGGAACTGATGAATGCCACACCTTCGGAATTGTTGCAGACACAACAGGCGACCTTGCCGCCGTGCAGGGGGTAGTCAGTGGTTGGGACAACGCACAATGCACCACTGACTATGAGAGTTGGGATGAGTGGCCATCCGCCCAGCTCAATGTCTCAGAGATTACGACGGCGCAAGAGACGAGCGGCTCTGTCCATTTCCTTCGACATCTTCTCCCACGAGCCACGTGTAAGTATATCAGAGTGAAAGCCGGGGACTCCTGCTCTTCACTGGCTAGAATGTGCGGGATTAGCGGCGATAAGTTCATGGAGTACAACAAGGCATACAAGAACCTGTGTTCAACCTTAGCAGCCCGCCAAATAGTCTGCTGTTCCAAAGGTGACCTACCCGATCTCAGACCAAAGCCCGGGCCGGATGGCTCTTGTGCAGCGTACAATGTTGTTGGTCAAGATACTTGTGCGAAGATTGCTGCCGAATACTCACTAAGCGTGAGCGATCTGGAGGACTTCAACAAGGGCACATGGGGCTGGGCAGGCTGCAATAATCTGATGTTAGGAACTAAAATGTGCCTGAGCAAAGGATCACCGCCATTGCCTGGCGAGATTTCCAATGCGGTCTGCGGTCCTCAAGTGCCTGGAACTAAAAGTCCTGGCAAAGATCAAAAGCTGGCAGATCTCAACCCTTGCAAACTGAACGCTTGCTGCAACATTTGGGGCCAATGTGACGTTACGGCTGAGTTTTGCACGAAGTCGGATTCTAGCACGGGGGCTCCTGGTACAGCAGCACCGGGAACGAATGGATGCATTTCAAATTGCGGAACCGATATATTGAACACCAAACCCCGTACTGGATTCAACATTGTCGCTTATTTCGAAGCCTGGAACGAGAATCGGCCTTGTATGACGATGAGTGTTGAACGCATTGACACTACAAAATACACCCATATCCACTTTGCATTCGCAGGTATTATTCACGACTACCACGTCAATGTCTCGGCAGTCCAGGACAAGTTTGATATATTTGTAGGTATGAAGGACGTCAAGCGGAGTTCTGTCCTTCGGCGGATGGGCCTTTTCTACTGAGATGGACACATTCGCTATTTTTCGCGAAGGAGTCACAGACGCCAATCGCCAAGTCTTCGCAGACAATGTTGTCAATTTCATCCAGGAGCACAACCTGGATGGTGTTGACTTTGACTGGGAATATCCCGGCGCCCCGGACATTCCTGGCATTCCTCCTGGCGATAAGAATGACGGCGCCAACTATGTCAAATTTATCAAGATAGTCCGCAAGGCTTTGCCTACAGGCAAAACTCTGTCAATCGCAGCTCCTGCATCCTACTGGTATCTCCTAGGTTTCCACCCCATCGAAGACTTTGAGCCCCTTCTAGACTACATGATTTTCATGACTTACGACTTGCATGGGCAATGGGACTACGGCAACAAGTGGGCATCTTCAGGCTGCCCCAACGGAGATTGTTTGCGAAGCCACGTCAACTACACCGAGACCCTCACGGCCATGAGCATGATCACGAAAGCGGGCATGCCCACGAACAAACTGGTCATGGGCGTTACTCGCTACGGCCGCTCGTTCAAAATGACCAAACCTGGATGTACTGGCCCGATGTGCACATTTGTGGGTCCGGAGTCAGCCGCGGCAAAGGGCCGCTGCACCGGAACTGCTGGGTACATTGCAGATGCAGAAATGAGTGAGATCATCCAGGAAAACCCGACAGCTAAGAAGTGGTTTGACGACGAGTCGCGGTCCGATATTCTCGTCTACAACGAGACGGAGTGGGTGGCCTACATGAGTGAGAACACCTGGGGTAACCGCGCCCTCCTGTATGGTGCCCTCAACTTTGCAGGAGTGACTGGGCCGTGGATTTGCAGTCTATGTACTCTGTACCTAATGCCGGCCCGTTCCCAACATGCGACGGGAAGTATGAGACCATCGACGCCATTTTGAAGGAGATCAGCAGGATTCCGGTATATTGCGTGAACCCATACGCAATAGCAATCCTGAGTGAGGAATTCAAGTCCTCGTTGGAGAAGTATCACGGCCTTATGAGAGATGGATACAACAAGAAGTTTGATACGTACGCGAATTATACGAAAAATGCGATCTTTTACCAAATCGATGATTACATGACCAGCCGAGCAAACGACAATTGGACCTGCAAAAACCAATCCTATGTGCATTGCTGCCCTGACTGTGGTTCCGGCGGATGTCCTGATGGCTGTGATAACTCTTGCGGCAAAGGCGAGTCCGGCAATCGAAACGAGACGGTGTCATGCCCAAACAAGGTCCCCGAGATCACACTGGGCAACAAGGCTGATACTATCTACTGGACCCTCAATGATAAGGACGGATTCGAAAGACTTATCGCTGATACGTATGGCATCGATCCGCAATGGCTTGAGTATGGAAATCGTCGAGTCAGCCCGGGCGTGGGATGCGGCACGGGCGAAGACCTGAGTTGCGGAAAGTGGTGGATTGGGTATCCCCGGAGAAAACATGATATCACTATTCCCAATCCGAAAGACATCATCAGATCGGCATTGACCAATCTTACGGACTTTGAGAAGATGCTGTCGTCGGCCGCAACAGACGCCATGGCGATGCTCTATACGGGAGAAACCAGCGATGTGCTCACGGCCTCGGAGCTCCCGGTCTACATGACAGAGTTCGCTATCAAGTCGATGGAAAAAGTCGTGGATGCAGCAAAAAGGGTCGAGCGCGACGAACAGAAGCAGGCTATTCTTGGCTTCGTCATGGCCTTTCTGCTGCTCGTCCCGGCCCTCGGCGAGGCCGCCGGTTCCTTCGGTCTCACGACAGTGGGTCGCATTCTTATGATGACTGGTGCAGCAGGAGATGCCGCGTTGGGTGTGTATGGGGTCGTGGAAGACCCCAAGAGTGCAGTTATTTCCCTTTTCACTGCCCTCATCGACCTCAAGGGCGAGGCGGGCTTTGAGAAAGCCGCAGGGATCAGGCGTGGCATGTCCTCGAAGGAAAGCGCAGCCTTGGGCTCTTTATTCCAAGAAAAGAGTAAAAGTCTGCAAGCAGTTCAGCGGGACTGTATTTGATCCCATTATTGGAACTGGATACATTTGCCTTCTTCATTTGGTCTTGGATTACATTGCATGTGTGTCTAAATTGTAGCATCGGTGGTTTGCAGTCTGATGTACCGGAAGAATCAATCTTGTTTTGGGGTACCAGTCGTCTTTCGTAGAGTCGATAAATACGATATTGGCAACGCGTTGTGCATTTTCGATACATATCTGGATGTTGGTGGTATACAGTTTTGAGTGTTGCCTAAGGTCTAGCACCAAAAGGCACTGCATTAGGTGAGAATCAGGACCAAGGTTGAGCAAACTCACAACATTGCCTGACCATCTTACGCAGCTCGTCTTAATTGAAAGGTTAACGGGGACTTCCACCCCAGGGCTTGAAACATTCATTGTTCCACACGGTATATTAATTTCAATCAAGAGTATAATGGAACATTCCCCGCATTGAGTCTCCTGATTTCCTGTCTGTGTTCGAATATAATAATGCATCTTCGCGCCCTCTGCGTGAATGTTCATCCCCTTGCTCTATCTCCACAGCTCCGGACCAGCGCCTCGTTTGACCTAAAAGCCCACTGGTATACGGCCTTTTTGACACACAACTAGGATAGTTACTGACACAGCGCTAATGATCCAGACCAATCATCATGGCTCCAAGGAGAAGACTTGAAAGAAGGAAGTTCTTCGAGATTCTCGACAACTACTACCCCCTGGGAACAATCGAGGAGCCTTACCACGTCAAATATTCCAAGCCCAGTAGCATGAGTGAGAGGTTCCTCAAAAGGGACCTGGAGATCCGCAATTACCTGAAATGTGGGCCGGGGAAGATGTTCATCATTCTGCCTATGGATCTCTATTTCGACCATCGGATGGGTTTGCTTAACACGAGGCACTTTGACCCCCAAATGCCGGGATCGAGCCTCGTTGTTGTCAGGACCAGAGAAGTCATTGATCTTAACCCTGATTTGATCGATGGGGTGGACCAGAGGGAAACTGACCAGGTAGTCCAGACATTGAACGAGATGTTTGGAACCCAAGTATTTCGAGATCCTGAGGCAATGTTCGTGGTCTTGCCCCGCTACGCAGCTGGTAATGAAGGCGTGGCTATTGAAGGCGAGTCCGAGCGGCATCCCAGGGCCGGTGCGACGGTGTTGACGAGATATTGGGTGACAGAACGCCTTGTCGATAAACCGCGAATCAGTAGTCATTCTTTCTTTGAAGACTTTTTTAAAGAGGGCGACAATATCGATTGATCGATATCCTTGCTCGTTGGTGATAAATTATCTTATTATGTTTTCGCTCGAGAAATGGCAAAGATACGAGCCTGTTGTTTAGTTGAAATCACCAGGATGTCGGATGACTGATTCATTCGAAATTGTGACCTTGAGATTTGAAAATGATCTCCTACAGTTCTATTTACTTAATTTTATTTCGGTTTCTACCGCAAGATCAGATTGTTTGTAGTTTGTAAAATCAGTAGGATATGTCAACCACAATTTCGAGCTAGAATGACATCGTAAACTCCAGTCCCTTATAGGCGCAACATACTGCTTTCATGACTAAGACGATAAGTACCATTGAGTTCTGTACCTCTCACCGATAGCCAATGTTTATTCCATTCCTAGGATATCTCTCTCGAAACGGCCGTCAGCATGTAGTTGGCTTGACTCAATAATAAGATACCAGATATGGCCCTCGAAAACCTGGTAGCTCGAGTAAGTAACTGTCATTCCTGGTGCTGAGCAGAGTAACTTCCATTGGTGCTCTTGACTCCGACTGCTGTCTCCAGTACTATGTGTTGGTGCTTAAGTGCCTGACGCAATCTGCCTAGCATTCTTTTTCGCCCTTTTCCAAGATATACTAATTTAACAATTGCTCTAGGCCCGGCACTGGACCATGCTTGATGGGTGCTTTCTTATCCACTTCTAAGGAACGAAAAGAGACCTAAATTTGCAAGAACTAGATGGAATGTAAGATTTGTTCTTCGTAGAGTAGGGGTTTTCTCGCCGAAAACAAAATATATACTTTGAAAGATTTCTCATTACATTTGTAGGAACAACGAGAAGCCTTCTTTTCCTACTCTGCTATGTGATAACTGGGCAACACAATAAAGGGACAACGCAAAGTAAGATAGCGAAACTGTGCAAAACTAGTGGAAGAAACGCGACATCTGTAAACCCTTCAAATCCCCCGAGTTTGGCCCAGCCGCGATGATCGGAACGTTTCGCTTCCGGCTGGCGCGATGGCTAATCCGAGTTCTATAATCGGTCGCAGACGAGATTCTCTATCGAAACTGCAACCACCCTACAGCTTCAGCTCCACCGCAAGATGACACCTCGTACAGAGGTGAAGTACGAGTTTGGCGGACCGTGAGTTTCCAGAGAAAAATCCGTTGTTTACCTATTCAATACCCGGATAACTAACCGATCCTCAGCCTAGGTGCATCGGCCATCACCTTCGGCCTGCCCGTTCTTCTTTATTTCTTTGCTTTCGTCTGCAATGACGTGTCGGGCTGCCCTGCGCCCTCTCTCCTGAGCCCTCAGACACTCAGCTGGGCCAAACTGACGGCGGAGATCGGCTGGCCCGCAGGCGGCCTGAGGCATCTTGGCAGTTGGGAAGCGACCGGTGTCGTGTTGAGCTATTATCTCTTCAGTCTGCTTCTGTGGAGGATCTTGCCCGCGCAGACCACGCATGGCACGAAACTGGTTCACCATGGACGTCCGTTAGAATATCGGTTTAACGGTAAGCACCGTTGCAGTGCCGAGTTTCATCCCTCGACTAACGGTAGCCAAGCATTTTCATCTACCCTCGTCCATCTAGCCATCTGTGCCGTAGGGACTTATTTTCAAGGCGCCGATTTCGTCGTCTGGACCTATATATCCGAAAACTACGTGAAAATCTTGACTGCCAACATACTGATCGCCTATGCCCTTGCGATCTTTGTTTATGTGCGGAGCTTCAGTGTGAACACCCACTACCCGAATGACGATATGCGGGAACTGGCTGCCGGAGGCCAGACGGGGAATTTCATGTACGATTTCTACATTGGCCGCGAGTTGAACCCGCGCGTCACTCTACCTGTCTTCGGGGAGATCGATCTCAAGACCTGGTGTGAGATGCGCCCGGGATTGACCGGCTGGATCCTGCTGAATCTGGCATTCGTTGCGAAGCAGTATCGGACGTACGGATATCTGTCCGACAGCATCGTTTTCACGGCTTGTGTTCAGGCCTTCTACGTGCTGGATGGCCAATACATGGAATCAGGCATTCTGACGATGATCGACATCACGACGGATGGGTTCGGGTTCATGCTTTCGTTCGGCGACGCCCCGTGGGTGCCTTTCTTGTATTCCACGCAATGTCGCTATCTGTCTGTTCACCCTGTCCATCTCGGCTGGACTGGAATTGGTGCAGTGATTTCCGTGTTCTCTCTCGGACTGTATCTCTTCCGGGCAGCGAACTCTCAGAAGAACACATTCCGCAAGAATCCAGGTCACCCCAAGGTCAAGGACCTCTCGTACATCCAGACCAAGCGCGGAACCAGACTGCTCACTGCTGGCTGGTGGGGAATGTCGCGCCATATCAATTACTTCGGAGACTGGCTCCAGGCGTTGCCGTTTAGTCTGCCTACCGGACTGGCTGGTTATGCGATTCTTCCTGCAGGAAGCGCGACGGCCGCGTCTCATGTCTTTCGAATGCTAGATGGAAGAGAAGTTGTGAGCGATCAGGCTGGGGGTTGGGGTGTCTTCTTCACCTACTTTTATGTCTTGTACTTTGCGACTTTGCTGATCCATCGCGAGAGACGAGACGATGCGATGTGTTTGGAGAAATATGGTTTTGACTGGGAGAAATACAGGAAACTTGTTAAGTGGAGGATTGTTCCGTGGGTTTACTAGATGCGCTTTGGTCATTCTTCGCAGATCTGAGAAATACTCTTATCTTGGCATGGGAGGGTATAGTGGTTGGATTCAAACAAGCATCTAACATACAAAATTATCTACTTGGAGCAGTTCCTTTTCTGCGATCCAATTGTTAGACATGACACGGACCCTGAGTCAGAGATGCAAAGATATTTCCAGAATAGGTCTTCCTATAGCAATGGCTCATTCCCGGGCTGTCAGAGATATTCGGAGCCAGGGCATACCCGTGAAACCCCAAGAGCATAAGCTGACACTCTAGACTCCAACGGCCCCTTACTTCCTACCAATGGCACCAACGCCAATCTAGCATGCCCAACAAATGTTGGGGAGATGCCATTGTGATGAGCCACCCCCTTTAACACTATGCGGATCTTTGAACTCAGCCTCGTCGTCAGACGAGCACTTATGAACTAAACACGCTATAAATACCTTGAATGGCCCAACCGGTGACCTTTTTTCATCAACCTTGGAGGAATCAAACACGCAAGATGGCAACAAATTCGGGCTCTTGTCTCTGCGGAGCTATTAAATATCAAATTATCGGTGACCCAGAGAGACTCTACATATGCCACTGTGACGGCTGTCAAAAGGTAACAGGCTCGGCGTTTATGTCAAATGGATGGTTTCAAACAGACGTATGTCCTTGTTTCCGCATAGCTAAGTGTATACTCTAACGAAGGGCTAGCAACTGCAAATAACCCAAGGTCAAGAGTCCATGAGAATCTACGAAGACAAATCTACTTCCTCGGGTCACATTTTGAAACGGTCGTTCTGCGGTACCTGTGGGTCAAGTCTTTTCACGCAGAGTGCCATGCCAGAGATGGCCCAGTTTATAGCCGTTGCGAGCGGGACTATGGATAACCGGGCGAGCTTGCACCCCAGTATAGAGGCTTGGACTCGAATTCGACGTCCCTGGCTTTCGCCTGTTGAGGGAGCTGAGCAGAGGGAGATGCATTGAGAGTATCTGGCATGGGGGGTAATTCATCGATCCGCCAAATATCACTCAAATTGGAAATGATAGATATGTCACCTTGAGCTGTATGGTATCAGGCAACACCATTTCGGGACCCTTTCCCCTCACTAAACTAGCGGATAAATCATACAGCCCCATCTCAAGAAGCTCGCTGAATGGAATGACGTGTTCGGCTAATGCATGCGCTCCATAACAGCATTTCTGGGCGGCGCTAACGCCTTATACTAGTAAATCGATGGGGAGCAGCCAAGATGTTAGTCTTCTGGGCACAAGGAGGTTTGTCTCAGTCTACCCAGGCTGATCCTGAATTGTTAATGACATAGGCGCTCTAGGGAGGCGATAAATAAGTTCCGCAACGCCCATGGTTTCTGACCTTTCATATCTCATGCCACCACAATGTCAGACAAACCGAATGATCTACCAATCTGCTCCATCGTTGGAGTGACCGTTAATCTCCTCTCCGCTAGTGCGTTCATAGCTCTTCCGTTGGTTAAAATCACCGCTAATCTCTTTCAGATACCGATCCATTTGATGTCCGCGGAACGCTCGACAGAAGCAAGAAGTATCCATTGGTAGCTGCAGATCAAGAAGAAGGCACTTCAGTCCAACCACCAGGATCGAGCGACAGCTACTGGTTACCATCCAACTTTCGCAAGACTGACATCGGAGCCCAAAGTGCGGAGGGCGATCTGATTGTCGCCACAGGCTCGGAGCTCGCCAGTGACTTGGAGACAAACCCCAGTCTGAGCATCAGCCACGCCGGCGTTTCGGTCGAGGACTCAGAGGGATTTCGCTACTCGACGTCGTTGAAGAACAATAGCCTTTACGGACTATACAGCTCCGACCAAAAGGTTTACTCCGTCGGGTTGAAACCTGGTAACGATGTTTACAACTTTGTGTCTGAAGAATACGTCAATGCCGTGAACGCACTCCCAGATTGGGTGGAAGAGATCGACAAAGCGAGTGACGAAGCTTCCCTGACTGAGGCATCGGATACAGTCAAGAAGTATCAGGCATTTTTCACCCACTACGGATCGCATGTCGTTGAGGAGTGTCTCTTGGGCAGTCGCTATCAGGTGCTAGTTGAGAGCGCCGAGACCAGCATCGAAGCGAAAGATGATTTCCTGCGTCTCTTCAAGGATGAGTACAGGAGCATCTTTGATACCACTGCTGGTCCCAATGTTGCAAGCTCGCCTGAATTCAACGAGTACTTACGCCAGCGACGCTCCCAGTGCAAGATTTTGGGCGGAGATATAGGGACCGCAAATGCCCTCGCACATAGCCCAACCAACTCTGAAAAGTTCCAGGACTGGATGTTGACTCGCACGGTTGAGTCGCCCCATGCTCTAATTCATATCAAGACAGCCAGCGTCAGCTCTTTCTTGGAGAGGAGTGAGAATGAAGAGCACCAAGAGGCGGCTGCTAAACTCAAGCCGGCTATGCAATACCTTAGCGGTATTCACATCCTCAAGGGAACATTGTCGACGCTATTCTTGACATCCCCCGGCTGGATTGAGCTCTCTGTAACCCCGTTGCCTGGTGTGACAGTCCGTGTGGTTGATAAGCCGTCCGTGGTAATCACACAGGTATCCCCAGCGTCGGTCAAGGTACAGCCAGTAGTGAAGGAATCATACATCGAAGTCGGAGTCATTATCACAGCACCAGATGAGCAAGTGGATGTCTCCTTCAGCACGTCCGCACCCGGAGCCCTTGGTGCACTCAACACCCTCAGCCTCACCCAATATGGCCCCGAGAAGTATCGGACCGCAATTAGAGGGGTCGCCACTGCTGATGAAGCATTCTCGGTTTCGGTTCCGAGCTTGAGATCGACCGGGCGTTTCGGAGGCACGGGAACACTGAAGGGAACATTGGAAGTCGAGGCAAGAGAGTATGCTGTCTTCCATATGGCGTTGCAAAAGGGGGCGCCTGGAGTTTCTGCGAAATTGTTGCCTACTGTCGAACGCAAGGAGGTTGAATAGATGGATACGTCACGCTAGAAATAAATTGTTCTCAACAACTGTCTTTTGTACGTATTTTTGCTGGTATTTTCAATGTAGCCATTGGAAGTAGCGAGGCGGAAAGATATTGTGTTATCTTCTCTTCATGAGACTACCACCAGTGCATTGGTGAAGTCAGTCTAAAACCTACACTATCATCTAAGGGCTGTTCTCTTGGACCAGAAATGGCACAGAGCTCTCCATCATCTTCTCCCTCGTCTCCGTCGACTCTCTCTCTGGTTTTGATTGTGCGATAATGCCCGCACCGGCCTGCACCCATTGACGTCGATCATCCTGAAACAAAGTGCGAAGGATTAGAGCGGCCTCGAACTCGTCGCCATCGAGCATCAAAACAGCACCAGAATACAGCTCCCGCCTGTCGGGCTCCAATGGCTCAATAGCTTCGAGCGCGGGCTGTTTCGGAATTTCCGATGCAGTGATCGATGGGAATAGAACGTCAAATGCATCCCACGCATCTGTCTTCTCGGATAGTTGACCCGCAACGTGGGAGCCTAAATGCTGGACGCTCCCACGAAGTCGAACGGACATCAGATCCTCGACCACTACCATCTCCGCTGGACATAGTCAATAAAGCTCGTCCAGTGCCTCTTTAAAATATGTTCGGTGATCTCCTTCGGATCACTCCTTAGATCTTGTCGAAGTGCATTGATGTCTTCCTCTGTGCTCTTGCCCGACCTAGTACCAGCGAGAGGCTCCGTAATCACTTTCCCCTGATGTACTGACATGACGAGTTCCGGACTGAATCCCGTCGCCTGAAGGCCGCCACAGCGGAGAGAAAAGCCCCTTGCCGGATCGTTCGCGGGGCGACCATGCAGTAAGGCCGCCGGCATATCGATCTTCTCCTGAAGCTGTATCTTCTGAGAGGGAATGAACTTGGCATATTGGCCCTGCGAGATCTCCTTCTGCACCTGCTTGACTCTCGTCGTGTATTCTCCAGCAGTATCGTCTGTGCTAATGAGCTGAGCCGGACTCGATGCCACCACACTAGCATTGTCATTGATGACACGACAGAGATCTGGAGGCCCTGGATATCCGGCCCCGATAAGCTTATTCTATCATGACGCAATATTATCTCGGTACGCGGTACCATCGGACTCAACATGGGCCACTGTATAGGTCGTCAGGAGATGCCACGCGTGTGGGCGGCATAATTGAAGCCCGCGATACCAAAGGTCTTATGACCGGGCCTTCCGTGCTTGGATAGGAAGTCCCTCGCCACGTCCGTTATGGGGCCGTGGATAATGTGCTCTTCCTTCCTGGATCCACGGGAAGTTGTCGCCTTCAGCCCGTTGGGGCTGACTACCAGGGAGGATTGATTTCCAAAACCCATGTACCAGCATCCATGCTTATCATATACATAGTGGTCTTGGTGTTTGCTCTTCGTGAGCAGTTCTGTGACTCGTTCGAGGACATCGGGGCGTCCTGGGAGGGAAATGGAATTGTGGTAGACTGTCATGATGCGGGTGGTTGGTAAAGTAGGGTTGAGTAGCATAGAACATATGGTGAGGATAGATAGATAGAGGATATTTGATTTCTAATCACTGCGCTTTGCCAGCAGCTGGTATGATATTTATAATGACTTGTGTGTTCTTGGTTGGGGAATCCATGTTAAAACTTCTAGGACGCCACCGAAGCGTCAGACTATGCAGAAGCCAAGACGATTTATGATTCACGATTGATCAGCATTGTCCCGAATCGTGGGTGGCGTTCGGAGGTAGTGACTTCCATGTTCTGGAAGTTACGGTAAAAGAGTTTCTTGATATCATAATGCGTGTCTGCTGGATAGCCTAAATGTGACATGGGGACTTTTGCCACATGCTTTTAGTGTCCACGCCACCGCTTATTATTGATTCTATTCGAACTCGGAATTGCTGGCTATATATTCTGATTGGCTAGAGAATTTGCAATAACATTGAATGGCATATGTAGGAAATATGAATCAGAAGTCCACTGGCTGAGAGCAGTGGCTCTCGAATTCGTGAAGAATTTCCAAAAGTCCACATGCCACATCCCGTAACCACATTGACAAGAGAATCTGAAATCCCGTGACAATGGAAGAACCCTAAAGAGTACTGCCACTTTCAATCAGATGTGCAATCCCTTTGTTCGACGCTGTGGAAAGGTATCCACAGAATTCCAGCAGGCAGGCAATAACCACGTAGGCACGGGGCATAATCACGGCCCTCTCGGATTTCGATCTGACGTGTTGAAATATCGATAGAGGTAGATCCTCGAGATGAAGTTAGGTATCACGTCACCGCCAACTCGCTGGTAATTGATATTATGCGTTCAGTTCTCCGCAAAGTCTACGGTACTCGGATACATTTCCGGATTATACAAGAGGAATTGTGCTGCGCCAGATACTACCATATAAAGAAGGTTCTTAGTAGAATCTCTGGGGTATACGAATATTTATCGAAGGGATGTTGAGAGTCTCTGAATTGGTTGCACTTTGATTAACTAGCCAGCTTGCTGAATATATGCTTAACACATGTTCTAGCTGTGAATAATTGTGCAAAGAAGAGATATAAAGTAATATTCAAGAGAGAAAGGATGATGCTTTCTGCTTCCAGGGCTAACCGACACAGCTTCAAGGAAAAGGAAAGTCATAAACATCAGGAATAGCAGTACAAGAGACGCCTGGCAAACAGCCCTAAACCAAAGATGCGAGGTTTCAGTTGAGAGCTCCTCCCGCTAGAACGTACAATTAAAAGAAGGCCAAGATATTTTCCAAGTAACGATGAGCGATCAAAAGAACCAAAGCATCAGCAATGAATGCCTCGCGACAGTTCAGTATCCGGTGATGCTTGCATACCAAGCGATGCCAATCGTCATGTAGCACGGGAAATCGTGATGCAAGTCTCTGGCCGTAAGTCGTTTTCTTGTCCGTAATGTCGAAGAACTCTCGCTGTACAGCTGGACCCCGAGACATAATACCCACGGGCTCACGGGAGTGATATTCGTATGCCACAATATTGGCTTTATCGTAGTTGGGCATCGAGCGAACATCGATGTCGCTTTCAACCGCGACAAACAATACTATGTGGTAGTCACCCAGGTGGAAGGGGAACAACCCATTCTCAAGCAAATGGATTCCATAATTAATGCGTTGTATAGCGCCAACTTTTCCCTCGTAGGATTCCTCAGAATGAATGGGCTGCTCACCCACGCCGGTATCGGGGACGGAGTAATGGAATTGTTTTGTGGTGACCTTCCGGCCATTCATCAAATGCTTGATCTGATCAGTAATCAAGCTATATACCGGCCTGGTCTTGAGGTCCTTCAATGTAGGATAACAAAACAGGACCCGCAGAGCCTCGTTGGGGTCGTAATGGGGTCGATCGAATAGGTTTCTTTCCTTTTCTCCAATTATCTCACACGCTCGGACGTTAAAAAGCGACGGGCCAGAGGAAAAGATGTCGGCTTCGTACAACTTATAACCATCCGGACTTGTCAGTAGAACATCTCCAAAGCCCTTCATGATGAAGAATCGTGCAAAGAGTAGTATGAGACAAGGTAGCTAGTTTGAAGCTATGTCTGTTTGTAGTTATTTGAGAAGAGAGTGGGGTGACTTTGGGGAAAACAAGATTGGGCAGGGATCGGGGGATGATTATATATGTATCTGTGTGAATTGATCCGCGCGTCCACATTGCTTGGTGGCTCTTGGTAGTGGAACCATGATAGTGGAGCTACGTCGTTGGTGCAAATTTCCAGTACTCCCTATGCTGATCAAAGGGGAGATCCCCTGATGGTTTACCTCATTGGTATCTGACCTGCAATATCTCAGGCATGTTCCTGTCTACATCCCGTGGGGAAGAACCATCGACCGCTCCGATATTTTTATTATGGATTGTTTGTGCTCAGTATGGAAATATCCTTTTTCTCACTTGTCGACGATGTAAAAATCGGGTTGAATCCCGGTAAGAGCCAGTATCAGCGGTAACTGATGGAATGTTGGGAAAGAATTGCTAGCAAAATATGATATGAAAGGATTGAATAAGTCAGAAAATGGGCATGACTCATGCTGATAAACGACAACAATAACCATTCTATGTCCTACTCACCTGCTTTGACTTTCGCTCGATCCGGTCATATCAAGACCCCGAAGCCGAAAGCCCGCAACATAAGAGTGTAGCAGGCATGTAGAGATCTCCGAGAAACTAAGCCTGATAGGGTGTCTTTGTTCATCAGTCAGATTCTCTTGCCCTTGTATCGTGGGGGCAATGTGCACTGCACTATCTGGGAGTCCCGATTACGGTCAACGTTCACACCTTTGTTGTCGGTGGCGAAGACTACCAGGAAGCAATTGAGAAGCTCAAACATTTAGGCTTCACGCAGTCTATGGCCAATGACACTCGGAATGGCAACAGGTGCCGCTATCGCACGTCCTTCCGACCCCCTTCGGATGTAGGATTCAGCAAGGACAGGGTTGTATTAGTCTCGAATTGCTTCACGCACTTGCCAATGGGCGTCTTTCACTTTGCTGAAATCTTGTGGACTCAGGGTGCTGATTCCCAGGAGTATGATGTGTACGGGAGCCTCCTTTGAAGCGCTATTACTCAAAAGCCTTGTCAAAGCAATCCTCACTGAAAACGATGAGGCCGTCAATTCGCCTTGGGAGTCTCTTGATCTCCTATTGGATATCAATGATCAAGGAACATCTTCAATTCAACAATGATATTCTTGATACTTGCACGGATGAGCGGGCAGTAGCATGGTATAAGACGCACTATGCTCAGATACATGAGGCACCCATGGTCGGAATCATCTTCTCCATTCCAAGGGCCCGAAGATCCGGAAAACAATTAAGAAGTCTTGATGGGTCTATCTGTGGTAGCTCTGCTACTCTTGGGCCAGTTGCGGCACGTAAAATTGCTATATGGGGTCAGTTAAAGTTAAAATTATTTTCCATTGTTTGATGCTTGTAGTCTGTAGATCCATCTACAAACGTAGGTAGTGTAGGTAGGATAAAAAGTAATTCTGCAATCGTTATATCAAGATGGATAGCATCTTCCTGGTTTGACGTGTTACTTCCGTCTAACAATAATTCTTTGATTCGCTGTTTTTATGGGCTTGACCTATATCGTTAAAGAAGGCCATTGGCGATATCCCTGGAGCTTAAGGTTTAGTGAGTGTCTGAGGCTCCAAGGTGATCGGCCAGTGGGGGCGGGGAGGCTCGGCCCTGCCCGCCGTTATATTAATAGGCTGCTATTTCCGGATTCCCTGCCACTGTAAATGTAGGGTGCGGGTGTACTTTCTCTTATTTTTATTCTATCGTCTACATTCTTTTTTTAAATTCTGTACGTTAGTCTGTCTTTCAATATGACCTAGCACATAGGCATTTATCACATGGTTCACTCCAGTTATATAAAATATTTGATACAATTGCACTATAGAGAATTTTGTCTCTATGATTAGGTGGTAAGGAAGAACAAGACTATCATTAACCTTCCCCTGGCTGATACTATGTCTTGAGTATGCTTTCTGGGATAATATAGAGATCTTATATAAGCTCATGCATGAGAATTAATTTAGATTTATCGCCAGTACCCTATCCGGGTTCATAGGGACTGGGCTACGCCAAGTTTTCGTGGGCCATTCGTCAAAACTACTGGGTAACCTTGCGCTTTCCAAGAAATTCCTTTCCCATCGAACCTAGCAAATTTTGCAGCTGAACAACCAAGCATCGTCAAGTCACAGGAGGTGGCTATGAAAGTTGTTAGAGTCAACCGAGATTGGTATATGAGGCGAGAGATGGGACCTAGTCCCTGAATGATGGGATAGCTGGGGGGCGGCGCAAATAGGGTGGACCTTCGACCAGATTCCACCGACTTGCATGGATATAATTATATCTAGTGCCCAATCAACAGGGGCATGTCGAATCTAAAGGTGGGATGCCAAGGACAGAGTATGTAACTCTGACTAATACAAAGCCTCAACATCAGAGCAAGACTAATCATTGCTTGTCAGGCATCACTCTTCTCTTGCAGTATCAACAGAAGCTCTTCTTAATAACTTGACGTTATCCCTTCCAAATGCGAGAGAGTAAAAGATAACAATGACCTTTTCGAGCCCAGCTTCGCAACCGCACTTGCAGATATTCAACCATCTTCGAACATCTCGGAATGAAAACTCGACGTTTCCCAGATTCCCTTTGCTGCCGCCAGAAATCCGCAGTGAGATATGGTGTCACGCGTTGAAGCAAGAGCGTCTGATTAAGATTTATTTCCAGAGAGATCATCATTTCACGCCAGTGCGACCCAAACCAGATGGCGAGACACCGCGGTATCAGCTTATGGTTGATGGACGGAAAGCCCTGAGTAAGTTGCTAAGGGTAAATCAAGAATCACGACAGACTGCGGTGCGGTTTTACCGGGTAAAAATCCCATGTAAGCTCAGCCTTAATCCAGAGGATGAGTACGTCTACGAGGCGATTGGACATCCGGTAGAAGCAAAACCGGGGGTTTTATACTTCAATCCAGAATACGATTTCCTAGAGATTGCATCCGAGCAATGGAGAGGGGACGATCTATTTGACCTGGCATATCACCTGAAAGCGACCTACGATCCCTTGCATATCGGGCTACTTAATCTAGCTATTGGTGGGGGGAATAGTCTGTCAACGACCGACCTTGAGCAAATCGATCCTGTGGATGTCAATGCTCAGATTCAGCAAGTCTTTAGAGAGACCCTTGCGCAGCTACGAGAAGTCTTTTTCATCATCAGAACGAGAGCAGGGCGTCGTATCTTGGGATTGGCAAGCGGTATCCCAGTGGCCGATTCCCAAAAATGCATCTTTAATCGATCGTTGCCTATTGCCACAGTGACACCACGATTTGAGCGCTTACAACGCGACCCTCGCTCGATTTCAAAAGACCTGAAACAAACGCATATCGGATGTGGACCGATGCGAATGGCTTTTTACTGGCAATGCCTGTTAGACAGATGGGGTGTTTCTGGCCCCCAGATAACTTACCAGTTTATCCTGGCCTTCGAACCACCTTTTCTGAGCCACGAGATCAAGGACAGCGATAGTGCCAGTCAATGGCTGCAAATGGAAGAGGACGATTGGACTGGGAAATGGAGGCTCGATGACGAGGTCAAGAATGGATACTGGGCCAAACGCAGCAAGAGCTATGGCGGTGGCATTTACTATGACATGGTGGGCGCCTTGGAGGGGGAGAATAAATCAGAGGATTTGGAAAACGCTGTAAAGCCCGTGTTTGGCTTTTGGATCTTTCCACTCCCGCTATTCGGGAAGATTCCATCTTCTAAGAAGGAGTGCTACGAGGTGGACGGTAAACAGACTTTGGATCTGTCTGATAATTGCCCTGGCCTCGGCATCTCATTGTTTTAGCCTGTATTACGATTGAGAAGAAATTATTGCTCAATCTCAACATTCAATAGCTAACCATACTTCATGTTGTAAAGTAACTGGCAAGATTTGGTTTTCCAGGACCATTAGGCGTGCCTTATCTACTTGTATGGTGTTGTACTCCAGGGAATGATAACTGTGGTTGTTCACTTCTATACACCTGCGGGTTCGTATACCAGATGAACCTCAGATGATATTCACTCCGTCATACAAACCATGATGTAAACAATTTTGATAAAAGAACACGAAAGGAATGTCATATATCTTCAAAGACCCCCTTATAGAATTCTTCTAACCACGTTATCAACCGCGCGACCAAAGTAAGCGACATTGCTGTCGTTCAACTCAGCCACACTGATTCTGCCGGTCTCCGCCATACAAACGTTACAGCTCATTGCGGGATGAGGAGCTTTCAGTGTGCACGAGACGCTGCTGCATATTGAGGAAGCCAAACAGGCGGGTGCTAATTATGAGATGGTATTGGCACTGGCATATTGGGTGCCCTTAATGTCGCTGACGGGCTTAAGTTCCTTCTTCAGTGAGGTGGGTTAGAATTTCCGATCTATTGCGTGTTAGTAGCTAACATATATCTATCTGACAGGTGGCAGATGCTTCGCCCCTGCCAGTGCTGATCTACAACTACCCTGACGTTACTGGCGGGTTAAACATCACCTTGGACACGATCATCGAGATGGGGAAAAAGCATAAGAACATCGTACGAGTCAAACTGACCTGCGGAGATGTCGGCAAACTACATCGCATCCAACCTTCATTCCCACCGGGAGAGTTTGCCGGCCTTGACGACGAGTCGGACTTCCTCCTCCTAGTTCTGGTTATTGGCACTCATGGAGCTATTACGTGTGACCTGTGGTCCTTGCAAAGATCGCTGGACAATTCAACAAGGGTGAACTTGCTGAGGCGCAAAGGCTTCAAGCGAAGCTCAGTCATGCGGATGACGCACTCATGGGGATCGGGGCGGTGGGAGTCAAGGCAACGATGGCGCATTATCTTGCATTTGGAAGCGGGCGTGGTCGGAGACCTTTAGGCAGTGCTTCTTATTTGGAGTATCCTGAGAACCCGCAGAGGCCGATTGACGAGATGACTGCTATAGAAAAACAGCTTTCCTCATCTTAGCTCTGATAGTCTAATCTTTCGAATTCGACTTTGTTTCTGCAGATAGGGTGAACGTTGCTAAGAAAGTCTGACATTACTGGAATTCAAGCACCCCACAAAACAGGGACTGTGAAGTCCGACGGCATTCCGAGACCTTTACCTGGCTACTTGCGACATCAAGGACATAGATTGGGTCGTCCAGAGCAATCATGAAGCACAAGTGAATGCATCCGGTGAAACTTTGGACGTGATCGATGGAACGAAGATTCTGTGATAGAGGCTGCAATGGCCTCAGTGTAACGGGTTGAGTGACGGCTGCTGGTATCACGTATCATGACTCGCAGTGCCCCTATGCATCTGCTGCTTTGACAGCAGTGGTTACCCAAGGGAATAAGAGGAGCAGTATGAATAAAGAAAGGAACTGAGGAATATTTACTATGTTCGTACTTTGTAGAGGTTTTCTGGTTGAGCATCATAAACCGCAGAAAGTCGGTCCGAGGGAATACGTTAACGGGCGTCATCGAGGGTACTCGAGTGAATGAGCTAAAGTCAGTATTTTCCCCCTCCCAATTCCTTCCTTCACGCGCAATTCATCAGACTACAAAACTCACATGAGATATCTACACAATGGGAGTCGTCAGCGGGCCGTACGCAATAACGTATTGCCTCCCGAGAGGCCATGAGAGCTGCAACTTCATACCTCTCGACATCTTCAAGAACCAGGCAATTCAAGTTCTCCAAATTTTGGAAACGTGAATTGATATGGGCTTTCAGGAGACAAAGCACCCGTTAGGGAACGGGCCTTCTAAAAGCAACGTAGAGAAGCTTCGACGGCTATCTGTTTCCAATCAAGAGAGAAGACGTTTCTATATACAGTTCTATAATCAACCTCTTTCGACGTAAAAACAGAACTGACCCCCGTTTTCTGGCATATATAGTCATTTGAGGCTGTACAGAATTCCTCGCCTCTCCGTGTAGTGTGTTATCTGATCCAAGCAGACTAGCTGCACACGGTCAACATGTCCCTATCTTCGGCTATCAGGAGCCCATTGCCAGTTGTAAATTCTGCTTTTACAATAGAAGGATAGTGCTCCGGTCCTCTGGATTATGGTGTCAGATTGAGGAGTATTGGGTTGTTAGTTCTGTGGAATGAATTTGGGCTCCTTCCAATTGAGTAGGCCGAGTCCTCTTGCTTATTTTCCCTTCTTATTCCCCCCTCTTCCTTCCTATCTTGCACGCCCTAGAAATTTCCTTCTAATTTGCTGTATGCATGCTGAATGTAGAGGCAGACTCCACACAAGGCATTGGTGCCTTGTGTGGAGACCCAAGTACACATTGCGTCGTTATGTATCGACTGATGGGGGTAGTGTGAGACAAGGCATCGAATCGGGACCTTTCTATACTTGGCATAGGACATACGACAGTGTACATGCTCCATAATGACTCCGACGGATATTGTAAGAAAAGGCATCGAGGTGAACTGGCAACGAGGTTAGGCATTCCTACAAGGCTGGCATAAAGAGCCATGTCATCTCTACATGCCGGTAGAGTTTGGTGCAAGAATACATTCGAATACCCCGCATCTAGACCAGACTGGAGACCAGTTACTGAGCTACGATGATGGGATGTAGATGAAGGCCTAATTTATTAAGCGCTATAGCCAGCAAAAAAAAAAGATTTCAAATAACTCCACGTATGTTGATCATATTCCCCGTCGCTTCGATACTTTGTCTACAGCTGTAGGGTCTCTGGATGATCTTTTACGTCAGACTCATATCTAGAAGAGCAACCCACATATAACAATCTCTGGGCAGCTCATGAGGGCAAAGGTGAAATAGAGCTAGTCAATAAAAATTACATTGACATTTGTTATCTTAACGCTCAGTCCACTGTCGCTGTGCCTCTTACAAAGCCAAGTAATGGCTTCTCCCCCCAAGTTCGTTAACAGTGAAAGGTCTGACAAAAGCTATGCATACCAGAAAACAGACTGTCTAGAGAATGATGCCGTATAAGTTGCTCTTGCTGGGAGATTCGCGTCGGATACAAAGTCCGACAATGGCTTTCAGGCCAATAGGCTGGGCAGCCTCACATTCCATGCCACTAACAGTGGGGTTGGCGCACGGCAATGGCTCCGAGCGGCCCGTAGATACTTGCCCGAGACCCGCCCATGCATGGGTCCGCAGAAACCTACGGAGTACACTGTGTACACTCCGTGGTCTGCATATTACAAAACGCTAGGTACCAATTGGCATTAAGGGGGAACTAGTTTTTGATACCGTAGGAAATGTAGAAGTATTATTTAACTCTAAATGTAAACAGTCGGTCACACGCCTATACATTCTAGATTGCTACACCATGGTTTCTCATGGCTATACCTTGAGGCTTAACTGCGGGCTGACTTGAATAGAAGAAATCGGAATAGGAAATAGTTAGGAACTATTGATAATAGCAGCCGGGCATAAATTAATCACCCGTAGTCATTATCCAGTGATTCGAATACTGCATAAATGCCGGTATTTAATTATCGCAGCATCTCGGAGACTTTGCAATATGCAGGCCACGGATGTATAGCTGCTTTCCCCGGTGGCATAATCCCATTTCCACAAGTAGTATCTTATGTATGTCGCTTAGTAGAGAAACCCCGCATGGTAAATCTCCAACTCCTCGCATACTTCTCCACGGTTGATCCAATGGCTGTCGGCGAGCAAGAATGTAACACAGTGGCAGCAGGTTGCTGATCACCTGCGAGAGGCTGTATGCCACGACGCAAGAGGTCATAGTCGTGCATAGCTCGTACCCACGCATGCCCTTGATGGTGTGCTTGACTCGATCGGCGTGGATGGAAATTTCTGTCTGCGTGCCAATAATATAGGCCATATACCGGAAGAGTGCCACGTAATCAATTAATTCGTCCCGGCAGGGGTAGATGCCAAGGTTGGGCAGCTGAAGCCACATGTGGTTGCAGGAGAAAGTTGGAATGGATTGGATAGAATCAATGGAGTTGACCAGAAACCTATACTTGGAGGTACCGAAGTAGCGAGGACGAGTACAGTCGTTTTGGAGGACGCGTTGGCGGACAGACTAGTGAAAGAACTGCTCAATGGTATGAAGAATTACGTTCTCAGTCTTTCCTTCTCTGGAAGACATAAATATAGCCATGGATGTCTGCTTTGTCCATCATATTCACTCCAATCAGTCGACCAAGCACCTAAAGTCTTGCCCATTGTTTTTGCGTTTCCAGACTACTCTTCCATCTCAATCAATCAAAAAGGCAGCTTCAGCTTATACCCATTTCTTTGAGTTTTTAGACAACACTGCCATTCTACTATGGCATACATCTCCATAGCCATAGTTGGGGCCGGTCCGCGTGGAACAAGCTGCTTAGAACGTCTCTGCGCCTCTGCGGAAACAATTCTTGAAGCAGGTGGAAAGCTTACTATCCACATCATTGACCCATACCCACCTGGCCCGGGCAAGGTATGGCGAACCGATCAGCCACCACGGCTTTTAATGAACACGATCGCCTCCCAGGTCAGTCTATTCACAGATGAAACCGTCAAATGCGAAGGACCCATCCGCCCCGGTCCAACCTTGCATGAGTGGGCAGCGGGAGAGTGTTGGCTCAATTGGGGTCCAAATGACTACCCTACTCGATTCGCGAATGGCCGTTACCTTGAATGGGTATTTGGTGAGATCTGCAGGAGAGCGGCTCGAGTTACAGGTGTCAACATAACAATCTTGAAGCATAGCGCCAGTGCCACCAAGTTGGAGGATGATCCCCATGATGGCAGACAGACGCTTACGTTGAATACTGGGAAATACTTGGCTGGACTTTCTGCTGTTATTTTGGCCCAAGGCCATCTTCCAGCACGACTTGAAGATGAAGAAACATACCTTGCCAATTTTGCCACTGCCAATAAAGTCAGAGGACTGCGGTACATGCCACCCAACAACCCGGTTGACAGCCACCTTGATGACATTGCTCCTGGTGAAGCTGTGCTTCTGCGCGGCCTCGGCCTGGACTTTTTCGACTACTTGATTTTGTTGACCTCTCGAAGAGGTGGACGGTTTAAACCAGAAATTAGCGGTTTTACTTATTGTCCATCGGGTAACGAGCCCAAGATATACGCCGGCTCACGTCGTGGCATCCCCTATCACGCCCGCGGTGATAATAAGAAGGTTCAATCTACCCGTCATCAGCCCGAATTCCTAACTGAAAGCGTCATCGAGGATTTTAGAAACCGGGATCGCAATGATCTTCCGAAATTCAATGAAGAAATCTGGCCGCTCGTTTCCAGAGAGGTGAAAGCTGTCTACTACCGGACCCTCCTTACGTCCCGAGGCTTAATCGAAACGGAAAAGTTGACAGATTTTATTCGCAACAGCCTGAGCCATGAAGATGATAACCCAGAAGAGATTGAAAAACTCGAAGACCTTGGCGTGCGCCGGGACGATGTGTGGTCTTGGGAACGTCTCAAAAAGCCCCAAGGGGACCGCACCTTCAACACCTGGGAGGAATGGCACCAGTGGGTTCTCGGCTATTTGCAAAAGGACGTCGATTATGCAAAGGCTGGGAATGTTCAAGGGCCACTGAAGGCGGCTCTGGATGTTTTGCGGGATATCCGCAACGAAGTGCGCCTCATTGTGGATCATCATGGTGTGGATGGTTCGTCGTATAGAGATGACTTAGTCATGCGCTACACGCCCCTTAACTCGTTCTTCTCGGTCGGGCCCCCTCGTCGGCGCGTTGAGGAGATGATTGCTCTAATGAAAGCCGGAGTTTTGCAAGTCCTCGGCCCAGATCTCAAAGTGCGATGCCATGGCAACGACTGGTTTGCCGAGTCGGAAAACCCTAAGTGTTGTCAGAAGGTACAGACTGTTATAGAGGCCCGTCTTCCGTTGCCAAACCTCAGAAAGACAGAGGATCCGCTGCTGAAGAATCTGCTTCAAGCAGGGCAATGTCAACTGCACAAAATTGACGGTTACGAAACTGGTGCCATTGACATCACCAACAGGCCATATCACATCAAGGATGTCACTGGTAAAGGTCATCCAAGACGTTTCGCAATTGGCGTTCCTACTGAGGGTGTACACTGGGTTACCACCGCTGGGGTTCGGCCGTGCGTAAATTCTGTCAATCTTACGGATACCGATGCGGTTGCGCGGGCTGCTCTGAAGTGTGCTGATGCGGCTTCTACTGATACGGCTCCTGTTGATGCGGCTCCTGCTGTTGCGGCTCCTACTGATGCGGCTTCTACTAATGCGGCTCCTGCTGTTGCGACTCCTGCTGATGCGGCTTCTGTTGATGCGGCTTCTGCTGTTGCGGCTCCTGCTGTTGCGGCTCCTGCTGTTGCGGCTCCTGCTGTTGCGGCTCCTGCTGTTGCGGCTCCTGCTGTTGCGGCTTCTGTTGATGCGGCTTCTGTTGATGCGGCTTCTGCTGTTGCGGCTCCTGCTGATGCGGCTCCTGTTGATGCGGCTCCTGTTGATGTGGTTTCTGCTCTTGAGGCTTTTGTTGATGCGGTTTCTACTAATGCGGCTTCTACTGATACGGCTTCTGTTGATGCGGTTTCTGGTGTTGCATGACTCGAGCAACGCGAGCTAGCCAAGCCCGATCCATGCCAATTCAGGTTATTTAACATCCCCTTACTCATGTTAAGTTTATATCATAGTCTCCTCCGGGCATGGGTTTTTCCCACTGGGTTTTCCCATCCCCACGCGTGAATGCGGGAGGTACACCGATTCTATATTCATTATCCTCGATTCCTCAGCTGTATTTCCCTGAAGTTGCTTCCTTCATCCTTTGTCATCTTCAAAAGTACTTTATGATTATTGATAATCGCCGTGTCTGGGTTCGCTGTAAGGCATGTGGCTTGGGACCGGATGGGGTGTGCTATAACAGGCGAAAAGCATCTTTTCCTGCAGAGTTAGTTGTAGTCAATGAAAGGTGATCCCATAGTCTGTTGGCTCCTGATCCTTGCCCTGTCAGTGGGCCAGAGCTTTGTAAATTCCTCATAACCCTTCGGACATTCCACCGATTCGAGACCTCAACCAGGGTGGTTTATTGGGGATGGCTCCATTTTCAAACTTGGGCCGATTTAGTGGACACATCAGAGAGAATCTGTAGTTTTACAGCCTTGTGAATATATCCATAAACCAATAAGTACTAGATACTTGGTTTAAGGGCTGGTTTTCGGGCCAAGGAACCCCGCCAGTGGTTACATTGTATTCATGATATAAAATCCTACTTAATCCCAAGTGATAGGTCGCGCATCTCGCTCATTCCACACAACAAAACAATATACCGTCTGATTCTTCATATAGTGACATTCCAATACCTTGATACGATGAACACGACCTACCAATATGTTTTCTGTGGAGGAAGCACCGTGGGAAGCGTTCTCGCTAGTTTTCCCAGGCTGGACACAGCGTACTGGCCGTCGAGGCTGGTACCGAGGACTACAACGACAAGATCATGAGTCCTGTCGCTGCGCCGCATCTCCATAACACTCAATGGGAATACAACTTGATAACGACTAAGAAGCCCGGACTGGGCAACCCCGCTATTCCCAATTACGCGGGCAAACTGCTGTCGGGCTCTAGCGGCATCAACTACGGTCTGGTGACTCGGGGTCAATCCGTTGACTGCGACTTCTGGGCGAAGCCAATTGGAGACGAGCGGTGGAATTATGCGAATATGTTCAAGTTCTTCAAGATGGTGCAGACTCATCACGATCCGACCGGTAGCCCTGAACAGTACGGGTTCAATGGGCCGATTTCGACTACGGCTGCGGCTCGGATCTACTCGCTGTGAGAACCGGTGCGCAAGGCAATGCTTGCTGCGGGCCTGGAATACAATTCCCAAACCAACGGCGGCACTCCTCTTGCCTTTGGACCATTCACAGAGAACTGGAAGAATGCTCTCCGACAACGGCCAGCAAAGCCTACGATTATTCTAAAGCGACAGTGCTGACGAACTCCGTCATCGCCCGGGTGGATTTCGACGACTCCAAGACCGCTACAGGTGTCACGCTAACCGATGGGACCCAATACATGGCAACCAGAGAAGTACTCGTTACGTGCGGTGCTCTTTAAAACACCTCAGTTGCTGATGTTATCCGGCATTGGGCCCCATCAGCACCTCGCACAACAAAATATCCCCACCATCGTAGATCTACCGGTTGGAGAAAACTACCACGACAAGATCTCGGCGACCTTCTTCTGGAAGCTACGAAACCCGGAGAAGGGATACGCACTCGGCTCCCCACTCTTCAACAAGCCCGAGTTTCGGCACGGCAACCCTATCGAATGGATTGCAACAGTTCCGACCCCACACGCGCAGCTCATCAAGGCCGCTCAACAAGACCGAATGGACCTCGAAGACCCATACCTGCAGGAACCCCGCGGCAACGCCGAGGTGATGGTAGCCTACGCCCCAATCGCCGGCGGTGGTTCGGAATTCCGTGTCCCTATGGACGGAACCCACATCAGCAGCCCCGTGGCTCTTCTTCTTCCAACCAGCCGAGGCCGTATCACGCTCGCGAGCGCCGATCCCACCGCCGATCCAGTCCTGGACCCAAGATATCTCGACACCGAGACAGATCGTGCCGCGATCCGCGCGGGTATGCGAGTCGCCTTGCGCATTATGGAAACCGATTCTGCAAAGGAGGTGATCGATGGCGAGACACCGCCACCGGGCCAGGAGCCTCTCACTAGTGCATGCAGTGACGCGGAGCTAGACCGACGGGTGCAGACCGTGGGGAGTAGCTTTTTCCAGAATGGAGGGACGGCTGCGATGGGGACGGTAGTGGATACTCAGTGTCGGGTGAAGGGCGTTCGGAGCCTCCGAGTTTGCGATGCCAGTGTGCTCCCCATACCACTAGCATGTCATTACCAGGCTCCTATGTACGGTTTCGGAGAAGCAGTGGCTGATATGCTGCTTGCTCGGTAGGAAAATCGTCTGTGTCTTCCTTAATAAACCACTCTCTTTTTGGTCTAATGGGCTGGAGGATCATGGAACAATATAGAACGTACAGGTCGGCGTGGTTATAAGCCCTACTTGATGTAAGGAGATGATTGCGGCAGCGGCTTGGCCAGGCCGGCAACCCGCAGGAAAAACCACGCACCGTTTGTCTCACCAAAGTAGAAAGAAGAAAGCAAAAAAAACATACAACAGCCGGGATTCGCTGGTGGTCACCCACCCAACTACTAACCGGCCGGCGTGTGGCTTAAGTACGGCTGAGCGGACGGGAAGCCCTGTTCTCCACACCCTGTGGTCGTATGTGTCCGATTGGAGTACTTTATGGAATATAAAGGTTTCAAATATAGGGTTGTGAGCATTGAAAGCAAGAAAGCAGAGCGAATGTGTGCTATGCAGTATGAAATGTTTATAAGAGCCAACAATTTAGAGCGGCGACTATATTTAGAGAGAATGTAATGTATGGGTCTGTCGCCACGCTGTTCATCAGGACGTTGAAAAACCACAGCAAGATTCCAACTAGGTCTTGTACTAGAGATGTGCGCCTGATGATGTGCTATGGCTCGATGCGTGCTCGATGCGTACTACCCATCAAGAGTCAAGCCTGGACCGCACGAGGACGATTCGTCAGACCCATGCATGCATCTTCAAAACATCTCACCAATGAATACCGCACTTAAGCACAGACACACGAGATACAATGTATGGAAGGGCATCTATATAATAGGTTAGTGAGTATAAGTGCTTATCTACTCTCAATTATATAAATTCACCAACCTGATTCTCAAACACATTTAGTGTAGCGGTTTGATTGTCAGCACTTCAGAGCTAATTAGAATTAATTCATACTAAATATAATCGCATCAATCTAGTAGGTGGTGGAAATATTGTCAAGTTGAAGACTTCGAGTTTGGAGATATATATGGACAGAGAATCATTCAGTCATAAGGGTGAAAGCTTGCTCTACACTGACATAAATTGGATCCAGCGTCATTAGCCATGCAAACTCTTCTCTCTTCTATTATCTACTTCCAGACACAGAAAATGCTTTTTGGCTTTACCTGCTCCATCCCTTCGGCCCACGCCACGTGCCCTTGAGCATAGACTTGTAGTAGACCCAGGGAAAAAAATCCTTCTTCAAGTAGTAGAATGCACGCCTAGGCGTCCCCTGGTCAATTCCGAACCACCTGTTAAAAGTCTCATCCGGCTCCCCGCCATACTTGAATTCAGCAAGAAGTACCTTGCCGTATTCAGTCAGAAGTGGACACGAGGTATACCCATCATACACTGCATCCGGAACCTTGCCTTCCATAGCCTGCAGCATGTTCCGGACCAGAACCGGCGCCTGGGAAGTGACTGCCGCCATTGTCTTTGAGGTAGGCAGACTAGAAGCATCGCCCGCGGACCAGATGTTGGCATAGCGTTTGTGGCGAGTAGTAGCCTCGTCCACCTCGACGAAACCATCCTCATTCGATATCGTGCTTGTCTTGATAGTGTCATAGGGCCCCATCTTGGGCACCACGTGCAGCAGGTCGAACGACTTCGTAACCTTTTGTGGTTGACCCTGAACAGCAAATGTTGCCTGGTTACCCTCAATGGCAACAAGATCATGTTGAAAATAGCCGTCCACCCCTCTTTGTCTGCGCAGCTCGTCGAGTTTGGTGCTGTATTTTGGCACACCAAATAGACCGGGGAGATTGGTTGCGAAGTTGATATGGATCGGCGATTCTCCTGAAGAACTATATAGCCCAGCCTTTTTCCAATAGTCTAATGCAAGCCACATGATCTTTTGAGGAGCACCCGCGCATTTGACTGTGCCGGCTGGATGTGTGAAGAGGGCACTTCCTTTCCTGAATTTCCTTATCGTTTCATAGGTCTTGTCGCAATAGTCATATCCGTAGATAGTTGAGATGAGTGATGATGGGTCCGCCAGAGCCTCCGAAAGACCTTTGATGCTGCCGTATTTGACCTCAATGCCAGGTGCCACAACAAGATGCTCGTACGCAATTTTATGGCCATTATCGAGCGTGATTGAGTTGGCCTCTGGAGAAAAAGTGGTTGCTCTTCTGGGATAAAATTTCAGCTTTCGGTTGAGCAGGGCTTGCAGTGGGCGTCGTAAGCCCTGTTTATCCTTGAGGCCGCCACCGACTAGGGTCCAGCCTGGTTGGTAATGGTGCCAGGCAGCGGGATCGACAACGGCAATTTCGTCTTGGGTGAACTTTCCAGATCGTAGTAACTGATGACTGATGGCCAGGCCGGCGGTCCCGCCACCGACAACCACGACTCTATGACTATGGTCACCGAAGCTTCCAGGGGCGGGCGATATATGGGATGCATTTCGGACAAATGATGGCGTCTGTATTGGAAGAACGAAGCGCCCTGTGGCACGAGCGGCAAACATCGTCAAAGTCTGCGAACGTGAACAAAAGTAAAGGAAGAAAGCTAATGGCGTTCTCCTGCTTGAGGGATTCTACGAGAAGATATATCGGTACGGAAACGCCACCAATCCCGGTAATTCGGCGCACAAACGTCAGACAAGCTACGCGTGTCCTATGAGGCGACCTTGGAAATCAAGCCTGGTTTTTTATGCCTGTAGTGGGCCCATCGGAAGTAGAGCAAATACTACGTCCAGAATATGAGACGTCATATTGCCTGACAACGCGGACGTTCGCCGACCAGATCATGTCAATCGCCGATTGCTTGTCCAGGTCACCGTCATCGGCGATAGCTTTCTGGTTGATATGAAAACATGGTCAGTATCCTCTCAAGACGCAAACTAACATTTCTTCTTTGAGGCATCCGTACTTTGTGCTTGCCATATATCCCAACAGGCAGTCGTGGTAATCAGGAGCAGAGCAATTTGCGGGCTATGCCGCAGCAGACCAACCCGACTTCTGCAGCAGCACACCATAACCCTATCAAAACATACGCTTGCTGGCGTCTTAAACTCGCATCAGCCATTTTCACCCAGGCAACTTCGTTTGCAGCCATATATGCGCGCCATAAGGCATCATTCTACGGCGTCTAATCCAAGCACAGCCAACCAGGGTTCACCCAGGGCGATAGCGATGGCAGCCACCAGGCCAATAATCTACGATTTCTCGGAGAGCAGGGCTAGCACGTGGCAATACGTGGTCGCGGACCTAACAATATCTGAGGCTGCTATTATTGACGTGGTCTTGGGCTACGATCTTGTTATCCGGGAAATCAGCACTGCGAGCGATGACCCCCCTCTTATTATTCATTAGGCCCAAAAACCATCAGATGGCCGTAATTATAGAAACCCATGCCCATGTAGGTTATCTTATAGCAGCAACATATCTACAAGCTCGCCTTGCATAGGAGCAGGGTTTCCAACCAGTAATTTGGATTGGCGAGCGCATCGGGCAAGTCTAGTAGGTTTTTAGGGAACGGTACGGAACACCTGCGGACGAGTATCGCGATATATTTCTTACGCATAATTTGTTCAAAGATAATGAATCTTTAACTATTGGTAACCTAACAGCTACAGCCATGTATCTTGCGGGCCACTTCACCTTTAGTAGTAATCCCGTGTCAAGCTCCGAAAACTAACCGATCTTATTAATCTATAAGATTAGATATTTTACGGGAACTTTATCTCTTATATAGAACTAGGCACCGCACGCTGCGACTTTCCCGACAGAAGTATAGCTATGCGAAGAGCACGCGACGCGAAGTTGGTCACACCCAGTATCCTTCACCCAACGCTCCCAACCATTGATATTGACGGCTCCCCCAGCCTCCAGTTTTGCTTTCCCATCGCGTCTAAGTGGTTTGAATACCTACGCCTGCACGTCCTTGCGTTCGACAGGAAGAGAATTGAGGCTGGTTTCAAAGGGTCACTGCGCCGACCAGGACTGACGGTACCGTCCCCCGCATGCTTTTTGTTGCTGACACTGCTTCACAGAGTCGCTAGCGTGCCGAAATCGCCCAAGTCAGTGTTGCATGGTACTTTTCCTGTTTCGCCAGTCTCCCGCCGACCGATTTCCAATCACTCGGTCACTATTGACATGGTGGGCATGGGTAGTGACATGTACGTGATGTACCTGTTGCGTCACCCAATGGGAGACTCCGGATTTATATAGTTATTCGTCACGTCATAAAAATACAAGCCTGCTGCTGACAGTCCCACAAAAGCAAGCTATCGGCGGCCAGACGGTTGCCAGACACTTTGGTTTCCAGTGTCGGCCGTAATAATCTAATAGAATACTTGGGATTTATGAAAGGCCATGATAGACTAGCAAATGCAAGATAGAGTAGCACTTAAACAGCAATAAGACAACAAGGAACGGATCAATCTGTGGATAGCAACAAATCCTGGTGAAATTACACGAATTATATAGCTTTCTTAGAATACACATTCCCTTCTCTGTCTGGGGCCGACGACAAAAATCCTCTGGGAAGCCGGAAGGTAGTGAAACAGAGAGATCAAAGAGTACATCCCTTCCGACAAGTCCTCCAGGATCCAGGTGATGAAATGATACCATCACCCCTTGCGCAAAGAAAGCGCAAACCACCCGAACAGCCGATATACCGCGATGATCCCGATGAGGATGCCAACCCATTTCCCAGTTCTTCCCGTCGCATAACCGTACTCGTGTAAGACGCCCGTGCCGCGGACCATACACTGATCGGCCAAGTCGGTGATGTACGAGCATTGGCATCCCTCACCGCACGAGTAATTGCGATGCGCGAACTCGTTTACCATCATCCCCTGAAAGACATACGACTGTAGCGGTTTAGCATATTGATCATGGCTCACAAGGGGGGATTATCATACCTGATAGTCGATATAGTGAAACACGTATTTCCAAAAAGGATTCAGGATCTTTGGGGTGACTAGGAAACCGCCTACGCTCATCCATAGTCCGTTTGCAAAGGCAACCAGGGCCAGGGCAATGACAAAGTTTGGGAATATAGATGTCACAAAGACGACAAGGGATTCGGCCGCAACAAGATCAAGGAATATCCACATCACCCAAGTGAAAAAGGCATCGCCGGAGGGTCGGAAGTTGGAAAGCCAGTAGGAGACGATTGAGAACAACACCGAGATGAGGACTGCGCCAAGGTAGAGCTTTGTTAGTACCTGCTTCTTCAGAGAAGCGATGCTGCAAGGGCACGTGGACATACACAGGAATGGTAGGCCAATTATAAAGTTCGAGACGATGAACGGCGTCGCTCCATACAGACCGTTCGCCCGCTCTTTGGCGAAGTTCGCGCGGTCCTCGAGAAAGGCTGGAACATAAGCCACTGCCATGAATGACATAAAGGCCGAACCGAAGAACTGAAATGTAAGGCCCAGGTCAGCGGCTCTTCACACAGATACTTTCAGGTCAATACATACAATAGCGTTGATGAAAGGCTGAATATACTCCTGAGATGGATGAAGGCGCAACCACACTGTGCCCATCATGATTGCAAGACCTGGCTCAAGTCAATACTTGTCAAAGAGAACCCTGGAACGGAATACGCCTACCAAGATACATGATAATTCGAATGCCATAGGCGACAACATCCCGGTAACTCTTGATGAACGCCCGATGAAGCAGGACTGCAGTGATCCTCAATGGCCCCGGTCGCGCCACTTCCCCAGACGACATGTCTGTCCTGCCTTTACCAGATTCTTCCATGCGCTCAGACACTAAACGCATGACAGCCCTTGCCTCGTTGGATTCCGTCCAAGCTTTCTGGATCCGCTGAACCCGTTCGGGCGCACCACCGCTACCATCGTCAAAGTCGGAACTAACAATATCAAGAAGGAACTCGGCGGGGTTCATGCTTGTAGGGATTGAATGACCGATCTGGTTGAAGTAGTTGTCCACATTTTTAACAGGGCCAAAGTAGCATGTTCGTCCTGAAGAAAGGAGAAGAAGCTTGTCAAAAAGCTGGAAAGTTGTTGTTGACGGTTGGTGGATGCTTGTGATAATGATAATCTATAGCAAGCAAGGTTAGAGTTTCAAACACGTAGATGGAGGATTTATAGCTTACATTGTTCGCCTTTGCAATCTTCTTTGCAAAAGACATGACCTCAAAGCTGGCTGTCGAATCGAGACCACTTGTGGGCTCATCCAGGAACAGGATATTTGGGCGGGTGATCAGCTGGCTTGCGACACTGACGCGTCTCTTCTGTCCACCACTGATTCCCTTTCGAATGGGTGTCCCTACCAGGGTACTGGCCTGTTTCTGGATACCGAATGCTTCAAGGAGACTCTGGATGCGCGACATGCGCTCGCGCTTGGGAACAGCAGAACTATCCGAGTAGCGGAAGAAAATGTTAGCGTCCAAGAGCCAGTCGGGGTAATTGAGGGGCTGATGCAGGGATTTGGATAGCTTTATGGATAGATGGGAGGGAAAGCGGCTGTTCAAGGCGGGTATGTCTGGGAGCTTACGTTGAAAGCGACAAATCTGCTGCAAATTTGAGCGTCTCCCGTACAGTTAGAGACCCAATCAGCGCGTCTTCCTGCTCAACATACGATGTCATTTGCCGAAACGAAAGAGCGTTCACTTCGGCACCGTTCACATAGCTACCTCCTAGCACCTTGCTCCCAGGTGCAGCAGGCCGACGAGCCAGTAGATTGAGTAGTGTGGTCTTTCCACACCCAGATGGGCCCATTAGAGCCACGAGTTCACCTATTCAGCACCGATATTAGCTTGTTAGACCTCCAACGCGGCTCCAAGATTCCGGGCCTTCATCCTGGAAGGCTTGGGGCATCGAAGAGACCAAGAGTAGAAAAGGAAAGTGTCATCAACGGACCTGCTTGCACATCCCCGGTTATATCATTCAGGAGATCCCTCGCCTGTTTCGTCTGTCGGTCCTTGACGGTGACAGTTAGGCCACTCCAGGAGAAGTAATCCACCGTCTCATTCCGCAGAAAGTGTTGAGTGTCATTACGCTCCAGGTCCTGAGTCTGGGCATTCTGCAGAGGAATCCACGTAGCATCCTCGTTTGCCATGGTGACAAGGGTCTGAGTTGATTATGAGAGACGATCCCCTAGTTGACAATCTACATCATTCTTGTTCAGCAGCATTAGGATTATTTAAATATATTTTCGATTGCGACTATGGTTCGAACAGGGGACGGGTACCTCGACTCGCCGAATGCGGGTTGTAGAAGCCGTGCGGAGTGGCGGCGAGAGGCTTACCCTTTGACCCACGGTTCCCTTGCCTGAGAAAGCCGAACCCGAGGAAGATATCTAAGGTATGTCGAGCTTAGTTGATTTGATAATAGCAGATAGTTCAGCAAGAGTGGGGCTGGTCCCCGAAAACGCCGTCCCGATCAACGTTTATGGACGCCGTTCAGAAGTGGTTTGTAATCCGAGGTCTCGATTTGACTTCCATGTTGGATTTTTCCCACGGGTGTGACGCATTGACTATGAAGGACACAAAAGAAAAAAAAGCAAAGGAGGCTAGAGGCCGTTACATAATCTATGACACCAAATTGATTTCTGTTCTATGGGGGTCGTAGCTCATCGTGGTCAGAAACTGACTCAGGATTTGGCTTGGCATTTTTCTGACCACGCTGAGCTATGAGCCCTGTTCTATGTCAGTGTGTACAAGTTCATCCATAGTGGATTTAGTGCCCCAGTCTTCCTAGACGTGGAGCTATAGAATGTGCAATGCCGTTCCAATAACTTCTAGCCTATTAGATAGTCGCGTTTCTGAAATTCTCCAGACATATTAGCGCATTAATGGCGGAGCAAATACTATTAACGCGCCAATTACGGCGGGAAACAGAAGCAAGAATTGCAAGGTCATCGACGGCTCGGATTCTTTTGGATACATTTATTCCCCAGCAACGACACCGTCACCACAGACTTGCCGGCTGCACACCACACAAGTGCAAACGACGAATTAACTGCCCGCACAGCAAACGCACCAACAAAGCATCCCGCCGTTAGCATCACCAGGAACATCACCCGTCGATTACGCAGCCGGTTATGTAGCTTCAACAAGCCCGGATCCACCACCACATCAACATACGCCGCCGTCGCCATGGCCGTCGTGATCTCCGTGATCTTCAACGACCGACTCATCGCCACCTGAGCCCCCGACGAAAATGCCAGGCACGCAATTACCCCCAGCGCGGCGGGGCCCTCCGGCTTCCGCGGCACAGCGTATTGCACAATCATAGCGACGAGAACCAGGACGGTCTGGATAATGCTGCTCAGCAGCAGCCAGAGTCGTCGCCGGACCCCCAACCAATTTCCCAGCTGGCCCATGACCAGACCTCCTGAGACAAACATTCCCAGGCTCATGCCGATATTGGGGAAGCTGTAGGCGTTATTGGCAAGGCCGGCGACCCCGATTGCGAGGAAAAGGGTGTTCCCCGTTTGGTTGGAGGCGAAGCAGGCGTAGTCAGGCCATGCTGCAGCGTCTTGAATGCCGGTAGCGAAGGAGAGCAAAAGGAGTTGGCATTCGAGTAAGATGTCCTCGCGGATATCCTCGTTTAGGTAGAACCAGATTTCGGAGAGAGCAAGTTTCATGACAAGGGATAGAATATTGATGTCTCTCGAAACAGGGACAGCTGGGGTATGTCCGGTGTTTATGCTTGACTACTCTACAAGGTTATCGGCCGAGAGGCCGAGACCTTCGGAGATGCCATGAACGGCGAACAAGTGTGGAACTGCAATCGGGGATCGTGCAGAGAACTAAACTGAAGAAATATATTGTTCATAGAATACTCGACTTTGACCGTTTTGGATGATTCGGAGTTCTGCTAGGGGAGAAGGCCGCTCTTCTTGTCGCCACAGCGGGCCGTAGCCAACCCTATGCCGTCATTCCCCGACGTCTCAATAATTGACTCGGGGAAGTGAACAGCTTAAAAAAGCGTCCATCGTCCAAGAATACTGTGTTAATGGACTGCTGCATGCATCCATGTAATGCTTGGCGAATTACGTCCACACAATGGCTGATCTGCTGCGCTCAACAATCGCCGGGGCCCTCTTTGGAGCGGCGCTCACAGTCTCAGGTGTTTACCTGCCTACCACCATTACCTCGCAGATGCAATTGCAGGACTTTACCATGCTCAAGGTTTTTCTAACTGCCAGCTCTGCCAGCGCGTAAGTCAATCTCCCTTTAAAACTTAATAAACTTTCAACTAAGCCCGTCCAGTCTCGTCATCTCCCTGTATGAACGCCTCATGCAACGGCCCCTTAGTCGCCGTCCTCCATCATCCATCGGCTGGCTCGGGCCCTACGACGGCAACATCATCGGCGGCGCCATGGTTGGCGCAGGCATGACCTTGACCGGCGCCTGCCCCGGGACCGTACTGGTGCAGGTCGGTACAGGCATCTCGTCCGGCCGCTACGCCCTACTTGGCGGCATCATAGGGGGTGTTCTATACGCGACCGTCGCTCCGGCTTTGGGCCGCCACTCCGGCGCACCTTGTGCAGTGACAAGCGGCAAAGCCGACAACAGCCTGCCCGGAAAACTAGACATAAGTCCCGGTACTGCCACTCTGGCGTTCCAGGCAATGTGTGTCCCGCTCATTGTGGCATTCAGGTATCTTGCCCCGGGGCATGCCCACGCAGCCGTCGACCCGGTTGTCGGCGGGTTTTTAATAGGTCTTGCACAGCTCATTAGTCTTCTGATGACCAAGGCGCCTGTTGGCGTGTCGACGGGCTACGAGGATATTGGGCGGTGGGTTAGGGTCTTCATCAACGGGAGCGCGAATGCAGAGCGCTTGAGGTCGGGCGAACAGAAGCCTGCACTGCCGCTGACAAAGTCCGTTTGCTTTGGGTTTGGGATCCTCGCCAGTAGCTTTCTGGTTTCGCTCATGGTGCCCGATATTGTGAGGGTGGATGCGCTGCCAATTGCGCCGTTGAGGGGGTTGTTAGGGGGGCTGGTTATGGTGTTTGGCGCGCGTGTTGCCGGGGGTTGCACCAGTGGGCATGGCATCAGTGGGATGAGTATGCTAGGAACGAGCAGCATTATCACTGTGGCGTCGATGTTCGCAGCAGGAATTGGATTCGCCTTTGCGCTGAGGGCGTAATTAGGTTTCATCATCTATGGTCGTTGGTTTCATCAGCTTCCAAGAAGAAAATGTTATCCACGTAACCCTAACAACTCCTAGTCCCTAGCCTTTGAATATACACACCTCTATTTACTGCCTTCTATATAATATAATTCCTCGGCGGTCCAATCATTCTGAGCTATCCGATTAACTACCAGCAATTTACATACTTCATTGATGTTAAGTTAAAGTTCTTTCTAATACTATACTTCTTGTTATTTTTCATTAGACTAAGTTTCATGCAAATTAGGGTATTGATCAGTAAGCTTTAAAGGTTACTGGCTATTTATATCGCTGAATGATAATGGCCCGCTTCTTTATAATTCGAGTGAGGGACATCTTCTATCGCTTTAGAGTTCAAGCATGGACCAATAACTCAGGATTGCTGACGATAACGAGTATAACGGGAATATCTTTTGATTGGTGGGTTATATGTCCGTAAAAAAAGAGTAAAGTGTATACCTATGGCTATATATCTTATCACTTGATCCGCCGCCACGCCTCGGATTTATAAAGACTGATTATTGTTTATAGACTACAAGCGGACCTGACTGTAAGCCGTCGCAGGAAACGCTGCGGACGTCTCACGCGTTCAGCGACACAGAAAAAGAGAATTAGCAAAAACATACAACAGCCGGGATTCGCTGGTGGTCACCCACCCAACTACTAACCGGCCGGCGTGTGGCTTAAGTACGGCTGAGCGGACGGGAAGCCCTGTTCTCCACACCCTGTGGTCGTATGTACTGACTTGACCTAGATTATTGGATCTCTAGTAGTGAGAAATTCAACCCTGATATGTAGATTAATCATGGCACAAGAACCTTTGAAGAGCTGAGAGCAGTCAATGTTGAAGCAGACAGCTTCGAAGTGTGGATACAGCAGACTCCCAAATAGCCTAGGCATGTGGTGTATGTATCTATCCAGGGCGAAAAGAATAAAAGGTCAAAACACAACAGCGATCGTTCATATTTGCCCCAATAGTTACAAGTGGGGATCGACCTTGCTATTGGTTGTGCATAAATGGCGAGACCACTTTTGCTCTTCTCGGCTTGAAGTGCCATTGAAGGGGAAGACCTTTCATTAACTCAAAAGGTCACGTCACATGTATTAATCAAAGGGGAAGAGTCAAAATAGAGGCCGTTGATACCACAGAACATAAATTCCACCCTGATGGTTTCGAAGAGAGAGATGCCTGAGAATATTATTCGAGAATTCTTCCATGCGTGCGTTAGTCTTTCGTGTACGATAGGATTTAAAGGCTCTGTCTTGGGAGTCTCCATGTACAGGCGCCCCGACATGAAACGGGGAGGCATAAGGAGAAAGAAGAAATAAAACACCACTATATTGTAAAACCTATGGTAGCTAACACGAACAGTTGCTAATTGTAAGTAATTGTCATGGTACTATTTCCATTGTGTTTCCCCGAGACGTTCCCACCTTTCACCTCATTGATTTGCATGTTAATGATATCGCCCTAATACGTCAGTTGAGATTCTTAAAAGTACTCATATGGCAATGAAAGTCTCACCAGTGTAGGTGTATCCGGTACGGGCTTCTCCAAGGCATCGACCCAGCGTTTCAACACTTTGGAAACCCGCTCATATCCTGGTTCAGTCTTGCACGCAAACTTGCACATTTCAGAGTGATCTGCGGGGATCGATTGGGCCTCGTAAGACAAGATTGTTGCAGACTCTTTGGTGACAATCTGGCATTCGACCAGGTTAGCTAGACCAAGGCCAAGTTGATGATACCCTATGTGGACGTACCCTGCCGATGGGGGAATCGAATTCTTCGTAGAAACAAACGACCTCAATCTTTCCCGCCTTTGATTCGGCGCGAGAGCGGAGAATATGTCCGAACTTATCACGCAGATCATACAAACGACGAGAGCTGTCCTTGATGGCCTCCACGACGTCCTTGTTCTTCGCTTGTCCGACGAGACTCGCGAATTTATGGCCAATTTCGGCCCATTTCGTCTTTTTGGATCCCTCGAGAGGCGTCCCGAGAAAGATAATGCCCTTGGTACAGGCAGCGATCTGTTTGATATGCTCGTCGGCGCTAATCGTAGATTGAACCATGGCCTGTTTCCAGAGATTTGGTGCGTCAGTCTCGCGTTCTCACCACGCATAGGTAGCGGGATATTGTAAATAATGAATGCGATAGACTGACATTCTCGCACACTATTCCGCCTAGACTATGTACCACGAAGAGGATCGGACGATTGGGCTGGCACCTTTAGCTAATCCGCCCTGTGAATGTAGTATTGTGCATCATTCCTACCGCTTCCACTCGCACGCCTGCCAGATCACTACAGAGCTGACTTGAATGGTCCTTGAGTGCATTGTTCGAGTGCTTGTTCCAGAAGTGTAGCAGGTCTGCGTCATAACCCCACGACCAAATCCGCGCTTTCGGAACGTCCTCTGGCAGGATCCTCTGGGGCCAGAAGACGTTGTATTTGGTCCAGGTGTTTTCCCGGTGCCCGCCTAGTCCGTGAATGAAGACAATACTAATCGGGTAGTTAGCATGGGAATCCACTCTAGATGGATGCTTACGAGGTTGCACACATACTCAACAATAGCATCGTTGGGGTTGTAAAGAGGACTTGACAGGGCTAACCTTGCCCCACCAGCCTTTCGTTCCATTCTGGACAGGCGATGTCGAAGGTTGAGGGAACTCTAATGACGGGCCGCTGTGCTGAAATGACAGAAGGTGCGCTAGCGAGCGAGTTCTCGATGAGTCCAGACGGAATTGTGAACCTGCCGATTTGTACAAGCGAAGGAGGGACACGGAAGCATCTCTTGGGTGGAGAGCTGATATTTTGGGCAGCAGACGCTCCTCTTGGCAGCTACGTTAGGCAGAGTAAAGATGTATGCAGGCTATGAATCGGGTTGTCAAGACCCACCCCGCTTCTGGTCAGCTGCTTCTGTACCGCAGTGACCAAAGGCACATAAGTGGGCATTATGACGCGGCTTGCCGGGCATACATCCTGGGCCAACAGACTTGTTGGTGACCCTAATGCAACAGGTTGCATATCAGTCACTAGAGACTGTAGATCTGTGAGCTGAGCAGATTCACGAGAATACACAGCCAATCAAACCGCCATGCGACTCGTGAGGCTGTGAATCAATCCTACGGTCATATTTCCTCACCGGAACTAAGCCAGATTACAATTTTCGTACGTATCAAAAGCAATCGGAGTAGCTGACATTGTTATAGTATTAGTGGCATGAAACCTCCCTCCTCTTCTCTGCCTCATCGATATGTTCTCGGTATATGCAGCTCTGATAGGCTGGCATAATGATTCCCTCGAAAGGGAATATTCCATTGGAACAAAGCACGAGGTACTCTACCGTGACTTTAGTAGTGGGCCGTAACGACTCGTCGTAATGACATATTCAGACCATCAATACATACAAACATTGAAAAACTAAGGAAAATCGAATAAAGAATGCCAATCTCACCGGTAAAAGATTAAGACATCTCCGTTTCGAAACATCTGATATCGGCGAGACAACACGAGAACTATAATCACTGCGGTGGCTAAGATGGAAAGGACAACATGAATTACCATTCGTAGCATATTGTAGCCTTGGGTCCACTTGGGGTTCGACTCTTGCCAGATCCGTAGCACCATGTCGAGGTGTCTTTGGTTCAGCTTTTGGGATTCGCTTTTTGCAAGCGTGAGAGCAGAGCCAACAGTATTCGATATCTCCCGTCCATTCATCGGGTATTTTGCGAGTGAGTCTGGAAATCTTGCCATGTCGACTTCATTTTCATCTGGAGGTACTTCTTCAAGCCGTGACTTCCAGAGCTGTCGACGAGCTGTTTGATCGATCTCAGGATAATGGAGCATTAGGTGGACTCGCGATTTGATTGCCCCATCAAAGGATTCTGCCCGGTTGGAAGTCAGAAAGATTATCCCCTGGCAATATTCCAATCGCCGAAGGAAAACTAGGCGAGATATTAGCGAGTCTCATGGAAGTGAAACATAGTTTATTGGGGAACCTCAGAATACCTGCGACTAAAGCGTTTCTTTCTAGATTCGCCCGCGCACCGCTTTCTCTTTTTTCCAGGAAAACATCGGCTTCATCAATGAGTAAGACTGCTTTCCAACTGGTCGCGTATTCGACAATCTTTTTCACATTGTCTTCAACAGCCCAAAGTTCATATCCTAGCTCCCCGGCGGGGAACACAATAAGTGGCTTGTTGGTTTCTTCGGCAACAGCGGCTGCACGAGTGTTAGACCGATGTATATATGGATATAATCTGATCTTGCAAGCAAGTAATGCATCAGCAACCTACCGGCTGTAAGTGTTTTGCCTGTTCCTGGTGAACCATGAAGAACTACTACTAGCCCTTTCCCTTTCAGAATGATTTCATGACGGGCATTTGATCCGTATGAGTGATTAGACACCAAGGACCTCAAAAGCTGTTTCTGTGGTTCGGCTAATAATAGACGGTTGAACATGTTATTGTCCCATTTCACGTCACTCAGATTATTGAGAAAAAACCGGGACCATTTCCTCATATCCAGCGAGTACCCATATACATATGGTGGATATAGCAAATCGGTATCGGCTTCATCAATGCCTGTTTCAGAATTGCGTGAGTGAGGTATTTATTAAGAGCCTGCCCAATGACAAACGTACCTTCATCGTCATAGTCCCATGTTTGAAGAGTCGGCCGCATAGCCTCGTGCTCTTCAAAAAAGGGTTTGTTGTCTATGACCACTCGACCGGCTGTCTTGGGTACTTCAGTCAGCATACTCGACAATATATTGACTTCGTGGAAGCATACTGTACACGGGTAGGTTTTGGGATCCCATATCTTAGTGTTGTCGACAACCAGACACATACCCTCATAGTAATGAGGACGCCCATGCTGCAATCTCTGATATGTTTCTCCTCTGCTTTTAAGAGTTGATTTTAATGTCTCGGAATTGGAGTGTCGCTCCAGGGGAGATACCGAAAGCTTTCTAATTGTAGTAGGTGCACTCCCAGGAAACTCCTTATCACGGAATATTTCCAGGGTCTTCACTACCTTCCATTCTTTTTCCCCGTCATGAATAGAATGCGAACATTCGAGCGCCAGGTATTCGCCCTTTTGATAATGCTTTCGGTAGGCCGTGTTTTGTAACCACAAGAGCCACTCCTGGTCGTATACACGAGTGAGTACAAAAGTTCCCGGTTTGAAGACCGCCCAGAGAAGATCGAATGTAATGAGATCATTGTTCATCAACCTAGCTGCCGCATGACCTCGTTCATGTTCCAGATACTCAAAGAGCAAGTCCAAGTGCTTTCTGAGATTATCATCAGTCGTATATTCACGGAGTGCTCCGAGTTCTGAGCGATGGTGGAACAGCAATGCAAACGGAGATTCGACCTCGATTGAGGGTTTAAATCCAGATCGGTATGACGGATAACATTTGACCTCCTGCTTGAGCGCATCACATAAGAGGGAAGAATTGATGCAAAGCACTTTTTTTGTCAGGATATTCTTCTCGTCGAAGTACTCTGACGAGACCAGTGCGTGTTGCATGTAGGTGGGCTTCTCCCCTTCTACCTCGCTGCCTCTCTCCTTCAGACTGTCTCCCTCCTTCTTTCGTTGTTCGAGGTGCTTTACCTGTAGATCTAGACCGAGATCTGGCGAGACGAGCTCCGGACTGCTCGAGCTGGGCATTGTTTCGTTCATATTGGAGAGGCTGTTGGGAATGGGGAGGGTCGTAGTTGGGGTGGACAAGTTGCCAACTTCATCTTTGGGTCCAGCTTGTAATTTTAATTGCAAGTGAGCCGTGTTGTAATTTTTCGGTAAATTGGCTAAGGAAATAAAAAATTCAAAAGAAAACCTAATAATAGCGAGTCAGGTGGGGGGGGAGAGAAAGAGGACTCAGTATTCGTGTTGGGGGGGGGGTGGTGTTGTTTGCAATCTACGGTGTAGTCCATAATTCTGCGCCAGGTGGCTGTATTTCATTCTAGTCCCCCTATCAAAAGCCCAGCGAACACAAATATGCATGATTGCGGGGCTGTAAGAAATTAGAAAGCGACAGTCAGCGTAGAATAGAAAAAGCAATACTGAAGGTTCAGCTTTGATGTAACATGTCTACATTACAGGTCACTTCAGACATCCTCCAGTCAAGTGTACATATGTGAGTGTTTATTTTTGTAACTTTGGAATATTCACCTCTTCCCCTGCTTTAATCATGAAATGAGATCCCTTTAATCTTCCGGTGAGAGAGATTGATCAACTACCTAACAGAGCAGTCTGACTTCGGAGCGTATTAAAAATCCCGTTATAGAAGCGTGGTGGACACTAGTAAGTCATCCATGGCAACATATCATTCATACCTTTTCTTCTATTGAAGAACTTCCTATTTCATGAAATTCCCAGGTAGTATTCTGGGCTGACATCCTGTACACCGTGTATGTGCCGCGTAGCCGGGGTCATTCTACAGCCTGGGGGTTTCGGCGACTTGGCAAGTTGGCTGCGCTACTCCAGCGACAATTAAGCGCCTCAGTGCGACCGTGAGACACATACAGGATGTGATAGGAGATTCACTACCCATTTGATTAGCTCCGACACTCATTCATCATTAAAGAATAGTATTTTTACTAGCCCTGTTATCCGCCTTTACCAAATAATCACACAGTTAGCATCCAGAGGACCTGAAACATACTTTCTAGGTATTGTAGAGTCAAAGGATGCCCTTGGTAAGTTATCTTGTTGACATAACACCTCGACTTGTGATCATGCTCTAAAGCAATTCTTGAATCATGACTAGAATGGACCATTCGATATTTCGAATCCAGCATCTATTGCTGCAGACAGCCTTGTCAATTTGGAAGCTATAAAAGGGAAAAACTCGCTCATTACTGGTAAACATGAAGGACCTGTAAATATAACCTACAACCTCAGCCCCCACGGTATGCCACCTCCACCAGATCTTGCAGAGAGAAATACGCCTGGTTTCTAACGTGGAATGACTTGATCATTATCCAGTCCCGAAGACTACCCAGGACGATGTTTATGATAGTCTTATAAAAGCCCTTGCTGTTCATACGCCGCGCGAGCATTTGACAAAGATAAAACGTGTCAAACCCCATGCTCCCGGAACGTGCAAATGGCTGGTAAATTCTGCAGACTACCAGCAATGGCGAGACGGAGATTCTCCTCAGATTATGTGGTTGAATGGGGGTCCGGGAATGGGCAAGACCATACTCTCGACATATTTGATACAGGATCTTCAAGAATTGACGCCACCTGGCTACAAGGGAGAAGTGGCCGCGGAGGAGGAGAGGGATCCGAAGGCCCAGCGTGTGGCATTTTACTTTTGTGATTCTACGGACTCCAGAAGGAACAACATGGAAGGCATTTTGGGTGGCCTGTTACGGCAACTTCTCGAACACCAAAAACCCATCTTTTCAAGGGGCAGAGGTGTTCAGCTTGGGGAAATAGAAAGCATGTTTCGCAACAAGGACTACGATGGACTGTGGACATTCTTTAGAGATATTCTGAATGACATCTCTGACAAGATCTATCTTATCATCGATGGCCTTGATGAATGCAGTCCGGCACATACGAAGCGTTTTGTTGAACTGCTCGGGGCAGAGGTGCGGGGGAATGGAATTGGCACTCATGTGAAGATTTTAATATCGAGCCGGCCCGACGAATGTATTCAACAGCACATCGAAAGTCTTGCAATACGCCTAAAAGTCAGTCCGGGGAAGGTGGGGAATGATGTGACCAGAGCAATAGAGCATAAGCTCGACAAACTGAACCTCGATCAGACCGTAGGGTCAGACATACGCAAAAGGATTGAACATGCTCTCATCGAGAAATCTGAAGGAACATTTCTTTGGGTTGACTTGGTTGTTGAAAACCTCATACCAAACATTTCATCTGACCAGAAGCTGGAGGACATCTTGGAAGAACTTGGAAAGCTACCCCGAGGACTGGACGAAGTCTATGATAAGATCCTAGCTAGGATCTACATAAAGCAACCGAAGCAAGTTGACTTTGTTCTACCTTTCGTCGCAATAGCAAAGAGGCCACTTAGAGTGGATGATATCGACATGGCATTTGCATTGTGGAACGATCCCTCAACCCTCAACCCGATGCCCAAGGTTCGCATTCTCGATGTTCATAAATCATGTCTCCCGCTTGTCTTCCATGATGAAGGATCGAAAACTGTCAGTCTGATTCATTCTTCCGCAAAGGATTATCTGTTAAGCTATAGGCCGCAGAAATTGCTGGGAAGGTTGTATTATACATGCTGTTTCCTATTTACCCTTGCTGGCTTGGTCCATCAATACTTTCTCTTTCTTTCTATACTTTGCTTGGCTTACCAAGTTCGACGCATTCCTACTCGATCTATTCTATCAATGTCGGCCCTGGCCGATTCGATTTTACAGCTTGAGAACTGGAAAGCTCTTGTCGACGGGATTCGGGGCCATCCTTACCCATTTGCTACTGTTAGGAACCTTCGGATCGGTTCAGACCAAGCCAACTTTATTGCCTTGCGTGTCTGTCTGGCATGTTTAGGTAATGAAGAATTCGACCATGGAAGAAAGATTATTCAACGCGAGGATGGAAACAGGCTTATTCCCGTTTTCAAAACGCTGGGGCTATCCGAGTCCAATGGCTTTGTCGACTACGCGGCATGGTTCTGGCAGGACCATGTCTTAGAGATGGACCCGGCGGTCGCGGTTAAATACCTCAGGAAGGTTCCTGGCCTAGCTGCTTTTGGAACCTTACGGGACAGTCTCTTGCTGTCTGCTGGGAGGCACGGTCATGATGGCGTTTTGAGGTTTTTGGTCGATGAGGTGGGAGCTCGGCTCAACGTTGTTGATTCTCATGGAGATACAGCTCTACACCTGGCGGCACTCGGTGGGCATCTTCCGCTGTAAAGTTGCTCCTGAGATACGGTCTGGATCTACATACCAAGAACAACATTGGGGCCAAACCCATTCACTATGCAGCCCGATCCGGCCGCATGGAAACATTCCAGTACCTACTTACTCAGCGCCATCATGCAAATTATTACGGTGAGATGAGTAGCGTAATCACTCAATATCTTGTCCGCCCTCTCAGTTGGCTATCTACCCATCTGGGATCATCCACACCCACCCAAGTTGACTATGAAATGCCTGATAGCGATGGGGCGACATTGATTGCCTGGGCGATTGGAGGTGGCTCTAAGGAAATAGTGCGGTTTTTACTTCTTCACAACGTCAAAACAAATTATGTCTATCAGGTAAGTATTGCAAGAGATTTTACCTTGGAAAATGGTCTAGAGAGCCTGCTCGGAGAAGTCGGTGACCTGATTAGTCACATGGTAAGTCTGATTTGTTTGATCTTGTACAGTGCATTTATAACACTTTTATAAAGGCTGGCCACTAATATGGCCCACTTTACTAGCTAGAGATGACCCCATTATCCTTAGCTGCAAGCAAGGGAGATCAGTCTATAATCAAGCTGCTACTCGCAAACGGGACTGACCGGCATTTTGGAGATACAATCGGTTGCACCGCTGTTTTCTGGGCTGCTAAACGCGGCCATAGCTCATCACTTAAGCTATTGGCTACCGACAGCACAGATTGCAAAAAGCAGCTGCAAATTGCAATTATAAGAGGCGAAGAGCTGGCGGTAGCAAACCTGGTTGAATCGGGCATCGTCGATCTCAACATGCCAGGCCCTACGGGGGTAACGCCGCTTGGTGTAGCTGCTTACGGAGACAATGAAACTATAATGGACTCACTCCTTCGACTGAGCGTAATTCAGCCAGATCTGAAAGACCATTTTGGAATGACACCACTGGCAACTTCAGCGTTGTTTGGCAAACACAAAATGATCCGCCAGCTTCTCAATTCGGGGAGAGTGAACGTGAATTCGATCAATGATTTTGACCTTCCACCCGTTGCTCTGGCAGTGGCCCTCGGTCACCAGACTGCTGCAAGGACCATCCTTGAGTTTAAGCAGGTCGATATGCGTCAGAAGGATAGCTTGGGCAGAACCATCACGGCCTTAGCTGCCGTCGGCGGTAATAAAGCAATATTCGACATGCTGTCTCAATATGGCCAGCCTTATACTGTTGAGGACAAACTTGGAAGGACGCCCCTCTTCTATGCAATAAAAGGGGGTAACCATAGAATTGTCCAGTCCATCCTCTCTCACTCTAGAGTCTCTGTTGAAGTGAAAGATGCCTTTGGTGCACTACCTCTCTCCATGGCAGCCCGGTTTGGGGATACTGCATCCGCAGCACTACTTCTAAGAGAAAATGCGGCGGCTCAGCTGCGCAGCAGAGACATGTTTGGACGAAGCCCACTTGCATGGTGTGCGATTGAGGGTCATACTTCTACTAGAGACTTTCTGCTTCAGAAGTGTAGGGAACTTGGTATCCGCACTGGTGATGAGACTTTGCCTCCTGCGAATCGGCGGATGAGGCGCTTCAAATGGTATCATAACTATTGTGATATATGCTTTCTCTACCTAGGACACCGAGAGCCTTACTATACCTGTGGCAAGTGCTTCAATGGGTTATTTTCTATTTGCTGTGAGTGTCGTACCCGGTTGCGTCCACAGCCAGGATGTTTGCAGGATTTTCACAGAATTGTCCTTCGCAGCCCATCAAATGATTGAATCTCTGCCAGGGGTTAGATAATCTGGGTTTGACAGCTGGGGATTCGTGGGTCGTCATAGCTTCAGTAGTGGTTGCCACAACGATTGAACTCTTGGTTATAGTGTTTCACGCTACATTGTTAAGTCCGTCCACCCTAACTCTAGAGGCTCTTTTCAAGCGAAAGATACCTTTACCTGCCTTTGGACTCAGCAATCTACGATAGCGACATTTGGAGCATTGATGGACTCCAGAATCACCAGTTTATATTCCTTCTATGCCACCGCGAGATCTGTACCAATGTGCAATCTTCCTCACACGCATCGTTCAAAGGGGCAAACCATACTATGTCCTGGGGGGCCTTGCCTGTATCAATGCTCGAATGACTACTACAACCACGTAAGCCGTTAATCTCGCGGGTCCATATGCGTGAAGGAGATACGGAGTGCTTATCGAGACATATCTAGTGTTCTCTTCCAATATGCGTACTATTTTCACATTCCTTATTGATGTTGGTGGTATGATTGCCAGCCTCTTAGATGCAGCTGGAAGTCTTGTCAGGCCCAGAGGCTCTTCGATTGAAGGCTTGAGCACCTGGAACAGCATGACTCGCCGAATGAGTGCAAATGGATTTAGAGGCATGTTGGACATTTTTATCCATCGGTGAACCGGAAGATTCGAAGTAGGCAGAACATCCACTACAAGGCCCTTCAGCAAGGTATGGGCCAGGGTCTCAAAGAATGGGTCAAATAGCTTCATCCCCGGAAGAAGGGGTAGGCACTAGTTAGATCTAGATTATGTAATGAACCCTTGCTTGTGATCAGGTTCAAACATCCTAATTCACTTGAAATTACCCCTCATGCCCGAATTTGAGATTCTTATCTGATTCGTCTATTGTTCATAAACCCAACGCGACCCAAAGGACAGAAAATCATCCATTGACTAAGCTAAAAGAGTAGACCAAAGCATGATGATCACTCCATAAGGGATTATCCTCGGCGGGCCCACTGAGTTGTTTCGGCTCTAATGTCTTGATATCGTGAGATCGCAGCCCGAGAATACCAATCTTATCAAGCCGATTGGGAGGAAATGGTTGTTCTCCATCTAGTCCCCAAGTATAACCGGGTTCCTCGGGCCGAAGAGATGTCCAAGCATCCACTAAGCCGTTCATTTCTAGAAGACCATTGTCCTCATCAAGAACTGGATTGAAGTCACCTGCGACTAGCCCCTGACCTATGGTGCGAAGGAGGGATGCAACAATAGATAGCTGCTTGGGTCGATGGGAAGGCTTGATTGGCAAAGAATCTAGGTGAACATTTACTAGTCGGATTCGTGTTGGTGTAGGTCCCTTACGCGAAGGAACGAAGATATCACAGCAGAGGGCGTCCCTAGCAAAGTGACTAGGGAATTTGACCCTCCAGATTGGTCCTATGGTCGTGATTCTTGTCAAGCGCGCTTTAGACAGTAAGGTCATTGTCGCAAATGATTGGATGCCCCATGATGTGTCGTCACATTCGCTTGAAAGCCAATGTTCGCGAACACGGTCGTCTCTCAAGATTTGTTGGAGGGCTGTCCTTGACACTTCTTGGAGGAAAACAATATCTACCTCGGGATCTAACCCCATAATAGAGGTGATGATGTCTGTAACGCGTTTCTCAGTTTGGGGCGATGTTGCATCGATATTCCACGTCAGCAGGACAAGCGGTGTATCGCCATCCCCATCTGGCTCTGCTGGGCTATTTGGATTGATGTCTGAGCGAGTGGCAGTCGAACTTTGGACAGGGTCAAAATTATGCCAGGACTGGAATTTTGGGGAGGCGTATGCCCCAGATGGAAGTGGCGTTCCATGTTTCCAGGACAGGAATTCTGTTTGCGCACGCGTGAAGAGATCCATACGGTGGATGCAGTGGTGCTGGATGGCTACCGACGACGAGGAAGTTCAAGGCCGCTGGCTTCACCAGCGGCGGCTAATACAGCAGGCGATTGTGACCCCTTGCGCATTTGATGATTATATCAGCTCCCCATCCACAGTCAGCCAATCGCCTCAGTTCGGAGACAGCATGGGCATCAACTTTTTACCTTTATCTGATGTTACAATGTTACGGAAAACTGGTTTCCAATGCTAATTCAGTGCTGTCAAACCATCTCATATTAGGCCAATTCGAATGTTTTTAGAGTTACGATGGTGCTATATACTGTACATGTTTGAGCAGTCTATCTTGGGTTTTGCTTATTCTGGGACGATAGGGATCTGTACATAGGACTGATACTTTCCACCGGTGTGTATAATATGAGATCCAATGTTGTTGCCAGTAACCGTTGTACCAGACTGTGCCGAAATCACCAACCGGAGCTTCTGTCCGGCGTGGAAGAAGTATGAATTCGGGGTGAAAGCAACATCAATGGGAACAATCTCACCCTCGCTGAGCTTTTGCGGGGCCTTGAAACTCTGGACCGGGAAATAAGGCGTCGATAATTTCTTGTCGAGGGCCCGAAGAGATACGCGAAGGCGGGCTTGTGTCCCATTTGTAGCACCGGCGGCAGATTCACATCCCTTCTGAACATCCACAGTGCAAGCTGGTAGGGGTGCGAGGAGGTTTCCGTGCTGGTCAAGCTTCTCGAGTGTGAGGAATAAGTCCATATCGGCGAAGCCATCTGCTTCGACGAAGATGTGACCCGAGAAGTATCCGACGAGCTGGGTATCGTTGGTGAAGGTTGTAACAAAAGTTGCGTTACCGGTGGTGACATCGTAGGCTGCCTTGCTTTCAACGGATGAGGGTCGATGAAGGAGAGTCCTGTGACTAGCATCGAGATATAGCTTCTCATACTGAGTAGTTTCGATAGGCCAGTCGTTGTAGTACCCTCTGCGATTTGAGCCACCAGCATCGGTCATTGCGGCACGCACACGAGGCGTTAGATCCCAGCCATTGTTGATCCCCTTGAGGTAGTAATCTAGGAACTGAAGCGCATCCTCCTCCCACAAGGGATTGTACTCATCGTTCCACTCTTGGGTATCATCGATCCGAAGCCACTTCTCCTTTGAGCTTATCCGGCGGAAGCCTTCCAAGGCACCCTTGATGTGGAGTGGCATTATGTTATCCGAATCGACATAAGCCGGCACAGTGACTTTCTCCAAGTCCACGCTTTTGTCTTCCTAGTAGGCATTCATAAATGGATACACGCTGGTCATGAGGTCGGGTCGCTCTACTTTCCCGTTTCCTGGTAAATTCTCACCAACACTTTGCGACATTTGCACATCCGGAATTCCACCCCACATGACATTATCGCGATAGAAATCACTAAAGCCATCCCAGGGAACAATGGCTGTGAGATGAGGAGGGTTCAGTGCAGCAACGAACCACTGAGTGATTGCAAGCCAAGATGCCCCGATACTCGCGACCTTCCCAGTGCTCCACGTCTGTTCTGCAATCCACTCAATAACGTCGTATCCGTCGTGGGCGTCGACCGAGCCAAAGAAGTGAATGTTCCCTTCTGATTGATAGGCACCGCGGTTATCCGGGTTGACAACAGCATAGCCACGACACGCGTAGGTAGCGGCATCCGCCCCTTCAAATTTTGCGTAACCGGAAAACCAATTGGGGCTGACGCCACTGGGTACGCTGGAAGGAGTCGTTTTGCCGTAGGGACTGAAATTCACGAGAGTCGGGAAGGGGCCAGACTGATTGGCCGGCAGGAATATGTCGGTGTATATAACGGTGTTGTCACGCAGAGTGATGGGGACATCACGTTTTTGAATAAGGGCGCAAGGTAAGGGCTTCCTGGCAGGAGGTGCTGTCGTGTTTTTGGGAAGCAAAATGTCTTTACGACCGAAGTCGTAAGAGGGAACGGACGATGCGTTGGTGAAAATGACATGCCAGTCAGGGGGGTACTCTGCGACAGCCAGGCAAAGACTGGCGTATGAAGCCAAAAGAAGAAGAAAGCCCAACATTCCGAACCAAATTCAAGCCTAAAGGTAGGCAAAACTGCTTTTCCAACTTGATATTGCCAGACTATAGATTCGATACCTGGTCTCGGGGTGTCGAAGCAGTATTTATACGACACCCCAAGGCCCATCTGACTAAGGCAGGTGGCATCTCTCAATGTATACGGAACTAACGCAAATATTAAAACATCACTGCCTGGTAGAACATATTCTCTAGCGGCGCCATCGCAGTTCTTCCCCCGTTTCCAAGTTTTACTCATCTCGGTTACGGGTAGCGGCGCTCAGAGGGTATGCATTGACCAAGCTTTCTCATCAGGTACCAGGACTGAAGGCCCTGCTGCTCCATGCAATTGGTGCAGAATCTCCCTGCATTACGGAGCATAGGCAGAGGTGTATATGGAACCGAGCCCCTGTCCGGCTGAAGGCGAGGGCTCGGAATTAAGTGGGTCGGATTTATGTTGATCGGAATTATGTGGGTCTGGGGATTCGGCTGTGCAACTTTTGTAGCCGGTTTAGATCCCGGCATTTTCGCAATGGGTGCATACTACATGGCCTTCGGGCATTTGGATGTCTGGAAATACAGCAGCTTGAAACAATGTTGCTGCTATAATAGGAGGCGCTCATGGGTTTCAGGCAACCACGTTGTAAAAATATCCATCACCCCGTCCCACAACGGGTTAGACGAGAACGAGAGTAATGTATAAGACCGATAGCATGACTCCATCTTACCTTGACATACTCTAGACTTTCCCGCATTGATTCTCATTCTCTACGCCCAGGCCTTACGAGCAGAGTTATCGCGTATCTCAACTATGGCTTCAGTAAGGTATATGGGCTTGTATAATTATGAGCCATCATTTGCCGCAACTGTTGTTTTTGCTGTGCTATTCGCCTTGACTACAGTGGTACATGCAGCGCAATTATGGAGATCGCGAGCTTGGCTCTTGATACCGTTCTTGGGAGGTGGATTGTGTAAGTGCTCCTATTGAGAGTGAACAGACCAAGTACTAACAATATCCAGTTGAGATTATTGGTTACATTGCAGCAAGTTGACACGTTGAATACCCCTTGACTATCCAAAAACCCCAGATACATTGAATATACAGCGCTCAGTCTCGGCTCAACAAGCTCCGAATTATGCATCGGCTCCTGCAATCACGCAAACTCTTCTCATTCTGGTTGCACCCTCATTGCTTGCAGCCAGTATATACATGGTATTTGGAAGGATAATAACCTGGTCTGAAGGGGAAAGGTTTTCCATTGTTCGGCCCAACTGGGTTACAAAGGTGTTTCTCATCGGCGATATCGTATCATTCTTTGCCCAGGGTGCTGGTGTGTTTGCAGTTTACCCTCATCCTTTCACATTCCCTTCGCCAACCATTGCTATCAACGTGCTGACCCATTCAGGCGCGGCCACTCTCCAAAGTAGTTTTACAAACGGTCAACGGCTGATCAAAATCGGCTTAGTCGTGCAGGTCATCTTTTTTGGCTTGTTTCTGTTTTGCGCCGCATTCTTCCATTTCAGGATTCGAAGGCATATGAGGACCAATAAGGTCTCAAGCGCAAAACCGTGGGAATCGCAACTTGTGGTGTTATACATAGCCAGCGTCTTGGTTTTTCTTCGATCTGCATTTCGTTTAGCCGAGTTTGTGGGCGGTGAGGATGACGTTCTGCTGCAACACGAATATTATGTATACATCTTTGACGCTGTTCTGATGTTATTTACCATGTTGCTTTTCAATGTTTTCTATCCGTTGGCTGGTCAGGGTGGAGACTCGTCCCCGAGGAGTGTATTCTTACGGAATCTATCTCAGGATTGTCCGGAATAAGCTCTCCGGGAGAACGAGTCATCAAAAACATGTGAGAGATAGAGCCGCTAGGGAAGGGAGATTTCTCCCGGTCATTGCATCAGAACACATGCCTTGTCCCAACATAGTAAGCAGAACAATTGATAGCTGTAAATGTTACATGCTTCTTTGAGGGCGTACCCGTCGTCAATAGATCCGGCCCTACGAAGTCAGCTGCTCGAATTCGAGACTTTCCTCGATATGCCCATATATCACCAACTTCATGTTGACCGACGAAACTAGCAACAATTCTGATGTGGATTATTTCTGGAGGAAGGTTTCTGCAGATCACTCAACCGACATTAGTGGTTGATAGAGGGGGGTTCTCTGGCCGTGCCCGTTTGGAAGGCTTTCTATGAAAAACCTTAACATTACACCTCAGCTCCCCTTCCCAGAGATCCGGATCCAGTCTTTGAAGCAATGAGAGCTGTCTATGTTATCAGATGTCTGTTCCGTAAAATGGTGGCAAATAAGACTACTACTCGGTGTAGTGCTCCGGTCTCGGACGATTCCCGAGGGAGCGAAAAACCTCGGACTTCTTTTCCCATTTCAGTCTTGATTCTTGGCATCTTAGGCAACCTCCTGCTGAGTGGACATCAACGAACTTGATCCCTGTTTCTTTTTCTTCACCCAAACTTCGGGCCGTTCATCAAATCATGGAGGCATGCAAAACATCCTACGCCACTAAGGCTTGCGAATCATGCCGGAAGCGAAAAGTGAAATGCGACAGTGCGGATCCTTGCGGTCGGTGTAGACTTGAGAAACGGCCCTGCTCATATAGAGCTTATCTACGAAAACGACGAAGGGTTGACGGGGACTTGAGCGACTCGAAATGCCTGGAAATCTGGTGTCTATCTACCATTCGCCGCGTGCTTCAGCCCGTCGCCATCAGTCAGTCGACACCATATGGGCTAGCTCGCGCATCGTACGGCTCTACATCGGCAGTTGCCTTGCTGCACCACCTCTACAACGATCTTGCAACTAAATATGAGCTTGGGGATGCCAACGACTCGGTCTTGGATAGCAATGTCGCCATGCATTTCTTTCACTACTCCTCGGTGCTTTTCTCATCTCCCCAAAGCATTCCACCGACGCCATGCCTGACCTTGGGGGAATTGGCAGCTATCCCGACTGACCTATCGAGACTCTCTTTCCATTCTTACTCATCTACCCTCTGGCATTTACTTCCATTACAAGACCTTGACTTTCTGAGAAGCTGCCTCTGTGACGCCTATGGCTTGCCCGGGGGTGTCTGGCGGTTTACTCCCCTGGACCGTGCTAACATGTTTGCCGTTTTGGCCATTGGGTGCACATGTACCCTTTACCATGAGATAGGAGAATATTTCCACAACAGGTCACTTTATTACGCTAGCCGTGTTCCAGACTGTGCGACTATTGAAATGGTCCAACTAAATCTGCTACGGATAAGTTCTCTAGATAGCGTCTTGAAGTTCACCAATGCATCCTAACATATCAGCAGTTTCTACGCCATATATTTCATGCATACCAATCGTCATGAACAGGCGTATACTTCAATGGGGACATCAGTCCGTCACCTTCTTTCTGCTGGGCTTCACAATATAGTATCTGCGTCCAGCTGTCACTCAACGATATCCCGGAGCGAGCTGGAGATCAGGACTTGTCTGGGAGTTTGTGCTTTTGAGCGGTAGGTCTTAGCCCTCTGAACTAGATAAATGTTCTCCTCAAGTAGTACTGATTGCAAGTCAAAATAGGTATCTCTGTATCGTCCACGGCAAACGCCCTTCTCTTCCTACAGGTATCGGCGTGGGAGAATGCGCGTCCTTTCCTCTCCTTTCCGGTATATCGGAATTCTGCGAGGTTGCAGCCGAGATACAACAATGTCAGCAAGAGTCGTTCTCGTCCTTAGGGCTCACTGAAATATGGGAGTCCACCCGTAATTTCCATCTACGACTGGAAGCTATGTCAAAACGATTAACCGAAAGCTGTCACGCTCATTTTGTCGACTGCGAAGAGCGGGAGACAGTGTATCATATGACTGCCATATGTATGCTTCATCTGGCTGAACTCACGGACCTTATAACTGATATCATTATGGTTGAAATAGTGCCGCAATATGCAACATTGATCAATTATCGACCATTTCTCATCGTCCGCATGATTTACCTAAATTCCTTGATGCGTCCAGACACAACTCAATTTTCTTTCAGTAAGAATGGAACCTCACGCCCATCTCACAACCATGAAGGTGAACAGTGGCATTATATGCTACAACAAGGTTCCCACCATGCCGTCGCTGCTGCCAAGTCTATCCTTGAAATTCTCAATCGCATTTCCCAGAGTGTATCATCACCTGTGAAAAATCTCACACCGAATGCCTTTTTCATTGAAAGCGCCAGCTTCTGCCTTGTCATCGATAGCTACTATAGCAATGACCCCAACAAACATGTTGCAGATATCAATCACGGGCTACAGTCTTTGCAGGGCATCGCAAACCGTTCCCCTGTCTTGGCAAGAGGAGCTAGCATTGAAGCCGCCATGCGGGCTACGGGAATCGATGTTTTGACACCTATCTCCAATCATCCTATAACAGCTGCCCTTTCCAGTACTATGGTACAGCCTACTACCAACGCTGCACTCGGTATGGACTTGGACCTTGCCAGACTTTACCGGGAAGCGCAGTCATATGAATTAGCGGACCATGAGCCTACGGGATCCATTAGCTGGATAAATAACTACGAAATGTCGATGTCGATGCCACCGGCAGGCAGTCATGGTGTACCATTTCGACATCTGTAGCCCCGGTGATCATGAAATCGGAACTCAGTAGAGAACTTTCGTATATAGAAACCGTTGTTCAATGGCGCGACACTCAGGATGATCATTTCTCTCCACTAATTTAGCATCGTATTGGGCGGACACCTCGTGTGTGTACTTTCCAATGACGATAGCACAATTGATTTACGCAATTTCTAATGTGGTAACATGCACATAACTTCTCTGGGATTAATGCCGATGATGACTCAGCGCTTATGAAATGTTGGCCTTCCGCCGACGTGTCTCTGCATCTCCAACACCAACGTCCACCTAATCCTGTCATCTTAGCAACACGAGTGCTGATCATCAATGATTTGGTTTAATCTGATACATGCCATTACCTAGAAGCCAAGCAATGTATCGACCCGAATCGGATACTCCCCCTTCAAGCCATGAAGCTGGGGTCCGAAATTCTAGCGGCGCGATCAGCCCCAAACATGACGAGCATCCATCCAAAAGATTGAAAAGGGGCAGTTACGTTTCAAGGGCCTGGTGTGTAAAGCAGCCGGATGATTTAGAGAACGAGATGGCTCTCGCTAACAAAAGCTTGTTTCAAAAGCGCCCAGTGTCAGAGACGCAAGATAAAAGTGGGAAAGACAAAAAGCTAATCCACGCATAGGTAGCTAACCTGTTTGGCTTCTTCCACTAGTGCGATGGATCTATTCCCTGTCAGCCTTGTATGCTCAGATCCCGTGATTGTCGTGTGGTAAAAGTCGATATGCGTCGACAAAATGGGCCTAAACGTACACTGGCTTGCGACAATGATCGAGCTGAACTTATCGACGCTGAAGAGCGACAAGATGAGTGAGTCTCTTCCGTGTCTCTGTGAAACAATCCACTCGTCAAGCTTCTAAATGGATAAAGGCCAACAACAAAGGAGCTGGCCTCTCGATTGGATCGAATTGAGCGTCAATTAAGCGACGTACTTTCTGCAGTCTCTCAACAGTCGTCTGGCTCCACCGCTCCAGAAATGCCTTCTGATCAGATGTCCACAGCTCGTGGGAGTAATGAGCCCAACCCTGCTCACAAAAATGCGTCGAGAAGCTCAGTTCCTGGACACGGTCGGAAGGAAGGATTCCTTGGTGAAACTTCCATCAATCACGCGCTTGAAGAAATTGAGGGCTACTTGAGACATGTCCGAGAGCTTCACCCCCAGCTGGAGACGTCAGCGTCCCGCGAAGAGTCCATAGTAGTCCCATCGTCTCCCAGTAGTAATTCTCGGCGTCCAACTCCTTTGGAAATTCTCAGGTGTCGTGGTATCAGTGCAGATGTGCGACAATGGTCAATATTCCTTCAGATCTTCTGTGATGAGGTGCATGTTTTGTTCCCTTTTCTTCATCTACCAAGCTTATGGACCAAGAATACCACAATGTGGAATCATTATCTCCGCCTACTCTCTGCTAATGACTCGGAGTACACTGCGGACAGCCGATTCATGATTGCCCAAACATGGATCTGCGTTGCTATCGGAAAGTGTACAGCATCGCCTCGCAGTAGTACTCAAGATGGCAAGCATTCTTCCGGTTGGAGTCTATACAGGGCTTCCTTAGATCTCATCGGCGATCTTTTGCATGGTCCCCAAGACTGCTCAGACCAAATGACCGTTTTACAGACTTTTGCTTTGATGGTATGCATTCTCGTTAGTAACCTATGCGTCCAGAATCATGCTGAAGAGATTTTTACCCCACAGGTTGTTTATCTTTTTCGAGTCGATGCAAATGAAAGAGCTGAGAAGATCCTGGCCATTGCAATCTCCCACTCGCATCATTTGGGTCTTCATCGATCTAAGGTGCTTAGCACCATGTCGGCGTTCAACAGTGAGATGTTTAGGAGGCTCTGGTGGTGCCTCTACGTGTTAGACCGGAGATTGGCGATTGAGACCGGTCATCCCATTCTAGTCCAAGATGTTAATGTCGATGTCCCATATCCTCAAAATCTTGGCGATGGCTGGCTCGCCGCTCACCAAGATGATCACATGAGCTGCCTCGACCTGAGTGCCGACATTGATACCGAGGTCAATCGAGACATAGTCACTCCTATCCCGTATCTTGTCGCTACCATACATTACTCGAGGGTGGTGGGGAAAGTCTGGGAGGCCGTATATGGTGCCCGTGGAAGTAATATGGTCCCTAGTGCACCCCTGCTAAACCAATTGGAAAATACCATTTCACGAGCTCAGGCCGATGTCCGACCTGAATTCTCGACTTTGAATAAAGAGTGTCCGCAAGGTTATCACATTACTACCACCCTTCCATGGTGGCGGATCAAACAACAAATGGTTATGCGTATTGTGAGTTCCCCGGTGTATGGTTTTCCTCTTCTTTTCGAATGTTCCCCGGTTTGGAATGGTTTGGAATCCCGATGCATAGAATTAATACTTTGCTCACATGTGTCTAGCGATGGCTATGTCTCCGTCTCCTCATTCGCAAACCAGTATCACGCGGAACAAATCTTTCAGGTTCGCCGGAAAATGATACTACATGTATAAATATTGTACGCGACATACTACAAGAGTTCTCGCAAGTGCCAGAAGCGAAAGCCAAGTCGGCTTTCCCTTTCCTTCACTACCTTGCGGGGGCTACAATGATTTCTCTAAGCTTGATTGCCAGGAAGCCTGAATCCAAATCAACTCTAGGTTCACTTACTCTACAAGCGGCAAGCTCGTTAGAACGCTATTGTCAGAATACATGGGTATCTGGGAAAATGGTTCGGACGGTATGGAAACTGAACCAGATGGTGAAGGCTGTTACGCAAAGCTCCATTTCCCTACAGCCATCTGCGCCTACCGCCCAGCGGTCTTCTACCGGCTTTGCAAGTAACCAGCTCACGAGTGAAGGAACCGGTGTTCGGCATGTGCTTCAAAACACATATCGTGAAAGCAACCCCATTCAAAAACCATCATCGACAGCTCGCACAGCTGCAGGGTCGCCGGGAATTTCAAACCCGATGGATAACTGTGACCCCAGTGCTCCTATTGGCCATACCCAATATCCGCAGCAATCATGCCCGGGAGCAATTACAGATCTGCTGATGACTGATTTCGATTTCGAACAAACCACGCAGGACTTCCCAGTGGGGACCCACTTCTCAGGGAATCAGAGGTACTGGCCAAAGTAATGTTTGAACGTATTCTTTTGACTAACAAGCGGTTTACTGGTCAGATTCATCCCCGCGTTTCCACAGTATATAAGTCAGGACTGGTTGCCATGGCCATATTTCAATGGACAGCCGGTCCCGTCTGTGGACGCAGAGCAAAATTGGCTTCACGAATTGTTCGACGCCGATTTATTAACGCCGCCGACTTTGTAACACCCAACGCTTCGAATAAAAACTGATCCCCCGGTGAATTAATATATTCGATAATTGTTTATTTGATACTGTTCGGGCCAGAAAGACCTTGAACTTTCCTGACACCCTGGAGTAAACCACGCTGTCATAATCAAACTTTATGTCATTTGTCGAGACGTATATATACGAAAGTGAGACTAAGCTGCGCCTCGCTTCCTTCACTGTTCGCCTATGAGTGCAGCATGGCTAGGAAGGACACCGGCATTTTCAAAAGACCGGTAGGTCTCGATCCACGTATCGAACGTGTTATCCGTGCGGGTCCAGCCATATTTTCTTGCTTTGTTGATTGACGAGATTGTCAACCATGATTTTCCTATGGCCCAGTTAAAGAAACCCCAGGTACCCCAATCAAACGCTTCAGATTTTCCCCCGTACTTCTTGACGACCGCCTCCCAGACAGGGCGCTTGTCCTTGGCCCACTCCACCATGTCAATCTCATTGCTGAGGGTTTTGGCTTGGCCGGCTGCCTTTTCGAACTTTGGCTCGGGGACCTGTGCCTGTCAGTATGTAACAACCAGGTAGATGATTGGATGAAATACCTCAACACCAAAATACTTGGCGACATCCTGCCACAGGTACTTCCAAACAAAGACGTCTCCGTTGCAGTGATTGAACGCTTCGTCCTTGCAGTGGTCTTTCGTTGTCGCATACACCGTCAGGTCCGCTAGGCTGGGCGCGTATGAGTTATCATCAATCGAAGTCCAGAAATATTCGTTTCCAGGGAACTGGCCCGGCTGATTGAGCTCGCGGCAAATCAACAGATAGATTGCAATCGTAAGAGCCTCGGACATTCCGTTTGCTATTCCAAATGTGTTAGACAGCAAGAGGGGCTTGGAGACGCAGATTCTAGAGACCCACCGTGAGGAGCAAACCCGTTTATCGCGTTCGGCCGAATGATGTTGTACGACCACGTGTTGCGCCGCTTCTGGACTTCTCGCAGGTAGTCTTCCTGGAAGTAATAGAAGTTGTATCCTTGGTCATCGTATCGAGGGAAGTCTTCCTCCAGAGGGACTTTGACGGGCCCTAGGTGGACACCGTAATACTATTGACAATCAGACCGTGACTTGACGAAAGGGCCAAATGTGAATATGGTACCCACTTTTCCGCCCGTCTGAAGAGACACTCGTTCCAGTTTCGGGCACGCGGTATCCAGCGCATCTATGAAGTTGCGAAACAAGGGAACATTCTTGTCGCGAAGAACCTTGAAATCGTCATCGTGAACGTACGACGTGAAATAGGCATGCGTAACAGGGGCGCAGATGTTCTTCATCTTGCTGACAATGACGTCGATGGGTTCAAGGAAATCGAGTGCGACAAATTCAACCCGAGGGTCAATCCAGTGATTAGCCAAGGGCCGTCTCGAAGACACGATGATTTTGGACCTATATTTTGTTAGTTGCGGCTTGGACGCGACGTAGAATTAGGCTTACCATTCGCTCTTGGGCTGTCTGATCAAATGTTCGACGATTGCGTGGCCACTGATGCCGTTGGCACCAGTGACGAGGGCGACTTTTTCGGGAAGGGGAACCATCGTGATAGTTGTTTTGAAGGGTTGATGTTGAGGTCGAACACTGTTGAAATTCCAGTCTATGTTCGGGACAGTGTTATTCTCTCTGCAAGGCGCTCTACCTCCGGCTTTATATTCCCAGCATCAAACCGCCAGATCATCAGTCACGGAAGTTCGGCATGAGGGTCTCCCATAGAGCATACCCTGCTCTCCATCAAGTCCATTATCCAGCAGAGTGGCCCATATCTCCCGCCGCATCCGCGAGTAAAATCTCTCAAAGACAGACAGATATCGGCACTTCTGGCCGCGGCTTTCTCGGACTTCGAGCAGCACACAACTCATCGGAGTAAGTGATCTGCAACGCCAGGGAGATCGTCACTAGGCGGATGTCTGGGCTCAAAAAGTACCCGTTTCTTTCTGGCTCTTGGGATTGTGGTTGGCTAGAGGAAACAAGATTGTGGGTCATTCAGACGGAATTGCAATTCAAAATTCCGTTGATTTTCCGTGGTCGGGTGTGAGGCGGTAGATGGACGAACTGAACCCTGCTTAGGTTTAGGCGATATCTTGTCCTGGGCTTAGACCTAACATACTTCCCGGTTTGTCTGTTTCTTCTGATATGGTGCGTTTGCACCAGTTACAGCACGTCCTGATTGCCGACTTTGGGATACGATATAGAAATATATCCCCGAGGTCGGGAGAATTAATGGAAAATTGCCCTGTGATTATTTGACCACATGAATCAACTCACCTTAGCACCGACCACGTCTAGACTATCTATCCCTAGATGTCCAGAACACCTTTAAGGCGAGGTTATATTCCGCCTTCCTATCAGACCACTCGGGGCCCCGAAATGGTGCGGGGAAGCCCTGAGGGGGCCGGTCTGGATATGGAGGCCTCTTTTCAACCACCACCGATGCTATCCTACCTCTGTTTTTTATGCAACTATGAAGCATCTAATCTGCGGATCTGATATATGCATCAACCAACGTGGGACGCCATGTGATCTCTGCAAATGCCGACCCCGCAGTATCTGACAGGCTTGGCATGACAACGAGAACACAAATTACCAAAGTTACAATCCCCACAGCGTGCCCCTCCCTACCGTATTGTCACGAGGGGTACGACCCCGCATGGGAGTTGGAGAAGGACGAGGGAGGGGGTTATTTAAGAATGACATCGTTCCATTTCCATGCGCTGCTCTTCTTTGTGAAATATAATAAATTCTACCAATTCAATTCAAAGTCCCATAAGAGAGTATCCCTCCAAGCCTCCACAATGTCTTCGATCGCAACTCTCGACGTATGATCCCCAACTCCCTTCCCCATAACCAAACACCATTAACCCATCCAGACCACCCAACACCCCAATCTCCCGGCCTCATCCGCCACCCTCTTCAGCGCCAAAGCGACTAAGAAGCTCAGCTTCGAGCAAATCGCGTCGCACATCGGTCGCAATGAAGTCGCCACGGCTGCCATCTTCTACGGCCAAGCCAAAGCCTCTCCCGAGGACATCGAGAAGCTCGCCGGCCTGCTGGACATCGACCACGGCTCCTTGGAGGCTCAGCTAAGCGGCTTCCCGGATAGGGGCCGATCCGTGGAAATGCCTCCCAAAGAACCGCTCATTTACCGGTTGTATGAGATCGTGCAGAACTACGGATATGCGTATAAGGCGGTGCTGAACGAGAAGTTTGGAGATGGTATCATGAGTGCGATCTCGTTCTCTACTAAGGTGGAGAAGGAGACGGATCAGGATGGGAACAACTGGGCCGTGATTACGCTGCGGGGAAAGTGGTAAGTGTCCTTATCTGTAATGAATTGAGTCAATCTGGCTGAATGTGATGATGTACTGACAATGGCGTTTAGGCTGCCCTTTTCCAGGTTCTAAGGGGGTGTGGACTGGTGGTTGTTCAGGAAGACTGGGGAATACGGTTATAAGGCTGAAAGGCCAAGGATATGATAGGGGTTGTGTGAGACTTTCGTGTTGATAAATATAATGTCTTTGTTTCGATTGTCTGAGAGTTTACAATGTGAGGGTTTAACTTCGAGACAATTTCAAAATGATTGATGAATGACTGGCCTGAGGTTCTCCTTCCCCTTTTCATTCACTTTCTCCTTCCACCTCACTTTCTCCTCTCTCCCTCCCTTCTTTGCTCTCCTCCTTTCTCCTCTCGTTACACCTTTCCCTTCTCTCCAACTCTTCTTTAGCAAGTAGGAAAAGCTCACTACTTGAAAGGCTATCTATCTTGTTCTACATCTGTCAATCTTCAGCCTTTCAGTCTCCCCCGCATCCTCCAAACAACTGTCCAGAATTCGCAAATCACTTGCAAGTCTTTGCCCTTTTGCTTTTGCCACTTCATTATCTATTCTTCATCCTTCTAACGTCTGTAGCCTAGCAGACTACCTGGCATAATGGCTCCTACCACTCCCAGCAAGGTCCCCTGCACCTTCCCCGGCTGCAGTCTCATCTTCGACTCCCCGAACGAAATGATAAGACATAAGATCCTTGAACCCTACCACGAGTACTGCAAGCGCTGTTACGAAGACTTCCCAGATGAGGAGCGTCTGCTCATTCACAAGATGAGGAGCAGCAAGCACATTGTCTGTCCTATTTGTGGCTCCGAATATCGTTCTGAAGGCGGTCGCGACGCCCACATTCGCCAGGTGAGTCTTCCTCCTATAACATCTAACATTCCTTTCATCTGTCGTCAATTCCCTGTCTTGCTAACTGACACTGCTCTTTGTCCGCAGGAGCACCAGGCCAAGCAATCCATCACTTGCCGTGGCTGCAAGGAAAGATTCACCAGCGCCAGCGGCCTGATGCGCCACATCGAAGACGGCGAATGCCCTGTCATTAGCCAGTTCATGCTCCTGAAAGAAAGGTCCAAGAAGATGATGATCAAGGAGGCCCTCAATGCCGGCGAGGGTTCGCCGATGCCACTCATTCCGGACCCCGCTGAAGCCGACGACATCAATGGCGGCGTCAAGATCCAGTCCGCCGAGGAAAGAAACCGCGAGGCCATGATGAACCAGCCTTTCGTCGTCAGAGCCGGTGCTACTGGCTTTACCTCTGCCGCTCTGGCGACTGAACACTGGCCTGCCCTGAATGGAAGCATCAAGGTCTCCGACGAGGATTTGCCTTATGACGTGCTGAACCTCTCAGGCTTGGACATCTCGTCTCAGGAAAACAAGTCTCTTGTCTGGAAGGGCAAGGCTCGCGCCGCATCAACACTGAGCGGAGAGTCTGTGTTGGGCGATCGTCAGTTTGCTATCGCACCTCCTAATGCAGGCCAGACTCTTCGTCTGATGGATCAGCGCTGGGATGCCATCAACTTCCTCAACTCTTTCAGTGGCGAGTATGTGTGCCCCTGTGGCACTGCATTCAAGATTCGAGAGGATTTCGAAGAGCACGTGTTGAGCAAGAGCCGATCCAACCGCATGGCGCAGTATGTTGTACCCTATAGCCCGAGTTCACTTATAGAACTCCCTAACATATGAATATTCGTCATCTTAGGTGTCCTCGCTGCCGCCGCCGATTCAAAACCACTGCCGCCCTCATCGCTCATTGTGAGTCTGCAAGCACTCGCTGCGACATCAACGACGGGGAGAAGTACGGACAGGTCATCGACGAATTGACCGGAGGCGTGATTCAGGCTGTGGGAACCCTGACTGACGGAACAGTTAAGTACGAAGCGGGCAAATTGGACATTCCGAAGACCCATACTGTGGGTACTAACTTACGTCCCAACCCGCGCACCGTCAAGTGGTGACTGGGAACTTGTCTTTTTCGAATCATATTCCAAAATATTCCTGATGGGTCAGCGAGTGATTAGTTGACAGTTAGTTTTCCCCTTTTCAGAAGCAGAATGCAACAAGTGCTTCTTACTGAGTCATCTCGTAGAGACCGTGACGTTATAAATGCATAACATTGACTGAATCAAATAGATTGTATCATCTAAAGGGTATGAACACCGGCGCTCTACGCAACCCCATCGCACTTCATAGATTTCTTTATTTCGTCTTCATCCTTGGCTTTTGTATATCATGAACAGGTTGATGGAACTTAACAGCACTCCTCGCAACATTCGAAGCAGCAAAGACCGGCGCAGCTGGATTTTCGCAATCAGGTTAGCTACTCATACTGCATTCATGACAAGGAAAATAAAATAGAAATAGGGGAGAGAGAGAGAGAACATACACTCCACAGCAAACATCACCGCCTCCACCGCCGCGCAGCTTCATGTTCTGTTCCGAGTTCTGAAGGAAATCATCGATTAGTACTTGTTCAATTTAGGTGCTTGAGAAGGGAATATAGTATAGCTGTCCAGAGAAAGAGGGGAAGCGTACAGGTTGCTCGGTCACGACTCCCTCGGTGCTGGGCGCGGCAGGGCACGAGGGCTGCTGCATGGTCAGGGTGTTCGGGTCCCAGGTTGTTTGCTGGGGCTGTTGTTCTTGTTGTTGGGTGGAGGAGGACTTGAAGAGGTTAAAGAGGCCCATTTTGCGATTTGGATTTGTTGGTAATTGAGTGGGGATGTTTGAATGTTGATTCGTGGGTGTAGGTAGAAGAGGGTATGAGGAAGAAGGTGGAAAACGGGGAAACCGCGGACGAGCGAGCTATTTATGAGTCCTGGATCCAGACCAAGCAAAGCAATGACGTCTTAAGTGTTTGATTGGCTCATAGCCTGAAATAGAAAGGTACCTAAGCAACGATTCAGGTAAATTACGACGTCCGATCTACCCAGCAAGCCTGGTCTGGAATCAAGCAGACTAGCCATAGAAGGCAGGGATTCGACCATGCACCTGCCTCTGCGAGACTACATTCCCAATTTTCCAAGCGGCTGTGACCTGTGACCGTTCAACTGCAGCCGAATCAGACGCTGCTGACTGCCTGCGTTAAATTGGGGGTGGATTTGGGACTGTCCCTTGAGTCTCTCGTTGGTCGGTTACAGTCACCAGGTCCACGTCATGGCTCAGCCCTGTCTCGGGTGGAGATTACTGGGTCGTTTTGGAGCCGATACTCCCGAGCGATTGTGAACAATAACAGTCACAAGCCATGGACCGTGGCTGGTGGTTGGCATAGAATGATGCTTTCTATAGCACGTGGGCTGGCTCGGGGGAGCTTTTGGCTTGTCGGACATGATGTGATGGCCATGCACATTGCATTTCGAAGTTTTTCGGACATCCCAGTGTCGGTGTACCGTAGACAAAGGATGGAAGAGATGGAAGAGGGAAGATGTAGGCAGCATCGTTCTTGCTTTCGCTCCTTCGGCCGGCTAAGCTTTGGTCAAGCTTTTGTTGGCCAATCGCCGCGCCGTCTGCCGGGTGCCTGAGTGGGGCCTTGACGCCACATTTTTGAGGCCAGGAACAACTCGGTCATGGACTCCCTCCCAGCAATGAAGGAGCGGAAGTGAATAGAGGCATGCCTGGATAAATACCAATATAATAATTTGGTCGACAAGTAATCAGCTTTAAGAAACTTTTTTATAAAAGAAATTCCCCGCGCAATTGTGCGACCCAAATGCTCCTCCTAATCTATATTCCCGTACGGATATCCAATTCTGCTTTCCCAGCAAACTGCTTGCACAGCCAATAATGATGATCGATTCCCTTATCGTAACTCTCTCTCCCTCTCTGTCGGCACATACATTCATGCATGAATACATGCATTGATACGTCTAACATAAATAACCAAATCACTCAGGTGATTGGAGCCATGGGGGAATTGATATGTATGGTAGGACTCGCGGATCATTTGTATCACCTGTGTGGTGTCCGGGTTCGTCCTGAATGCCTTGTTAGAGCCTTTGTACATATACCTAACCAAAACTTACTTCGGTCTCTTCTCCTCAGTCCGTCTAACTCTGTCCCATACCAACATAGCTGGGCGGCCAAAATCCCTAGTTATCTGCTTGATTGGGAAACCTGCGCAGCACGCGTACACAAGGGATGACTCGTCGATCTCAAGCAGAGCACTCGGACTATCAAGGACCCTGATGCCCAATGTCTGTAGTGTGGCCTTGTCTCGGTCGGTATAATCAGGGTCTTGGGCATAGCATGTACTCGGGCCTTGCTGGTCTTCGAGCAGATCCAGTTCTGCCTTCAGCGCTAGCAGAAAGGCATTCTGATAGGCCTGCCGCTCGTCGTAGCCGGTATCATCGCAAATTGACCCACAAGCGAAACCAAGAAGCTTCGAGATCTGTTGAGGAATCCTGCATTGGGACAAGATGCCTTTCAAGCATTCCTGGGTAACGCTGTTCTGCCAGTCCGCCATTATGTCAAAGAAGTATTCGATCATATCATCCTGCTCCGGGAGATCGTACTCATCCAATCTTTGTTTGGTGTGTCTACTCCTCCTCACCAGGTCATGTTCGATTTGAATGGTGCAATATGCTTCATGAAAGTCAGGATCGTCACCTGTAAGAATCTCTTCAAATTTCGAAGGCATTATAAACGCTATATGTGGATTCTGGCTAGTTATACGTCAGAAACGCGCTGAAAATGCGTTGCGATGAATCCACAGATAAGGGTCCTTACAACAGTAACTCCTCGGCGTCATTGTCTCCCGGCCAAATATCTCCGGTCCTGATTTCGAAATTCACGGTAACTCCGTCTATCCCTTGAATGGGGATCATTTGACCTCTTCCCGGGCGTTGGTTCAAGAGATCACGGACCCTCCGAGTCTCGGCCTTGGTAAAGAGGGGGTTGCCTTCTGCGCACCAACTCCGGTATTTGGCCATCACCTCCGTCACGCTCTTAGGTGGTGCATCTCCTTGTTTACCGGCCCAATGTGAAGCTGCATGACCGGTGCCAGCCATATATGCGGTCATCTTCAAAGGTTCTGGTGGTGACAGTCCGAGATAGATGATTTTTCTTGGATCAGCGAGGGAATAACGTCACCAGCGACGTCCGGACTCTTGGGCTGTTAGTTTCAAATTCAAGGAGGCTCCAAGGGGGCGAGAATAAGATCAGCAAGCGTACTCATGGAGCGAATGATGGATGGGATCAATGGCAAAGCAATGGTTGGTCTCGGCGGAGGATGAGGGTAGGACGGAAAAGAGAAAGGAAAGAGCGTATCCGGACCAGGTGTGTGCCTAAGGCAGGCTATTGACCTCTACAACAGTATCTTTGATCGCCCAAGCTTGCACCTGCCTCTGTGCTACCAACTTTTGTAGGTATGGGAGTGCCAGCTTACACTCATCACTGCTTTGCTGAGATTAGTCCATCTAAATTGTTGGAGTATGCCCGTTTAATGTATGAATTAGGCGAACGTCGGAGATTATCAGTGGTATGTTAGAGCGGTATTATAGCCCCGTGTAAGCCCACACAGCTCCTTAATTACGTTGAGGTGTTCTATTAGTTTCCTGCAGTAGGTGATGTTCAAGCTAGAGTGGTTAGGGTTCTTCGGTCCTAGGTCACACTCATAATAACTATCATAATTTCTACAGTTTTTGCTTCAGATAATAAACTGCACCAAATACACTGCGCCCATTAGAGTCGCGATGATAATACTATGATTCGTTTTCGTCTCACTATAATGATCATTAGTCTCCTCTGTTTTTGCTTCATAATATACACTATTGTGTGTCAACTTGATATTACAGCAGCAACACCCACGAGTTTACTTGATTTCTACTCTAATTATCTAAATGTGTATACTATCCAGCGGTCCATGGGTTTATCTTTTCCATTTCCCTAGGCTTTTGCCATCAGGAGTCTGCCAACATGAAGCGTTTGCTGCCTCTCTATAGATTGATATCCGAAACCGGCATAGCGCAGAAACCGGGTCACATGACAGCCAAGACTGCCACCTTGGTCTCCCCCACGCGCCGTAAATTTTCACATTCTGGATAGCTTCAACGAACCCATCCAGTTTCTTACGCATCGCAAAGTAACTGACTACAACTCTACCTCCCGTCAACCAAACCAAACCCAAACCAACCGCTCAGACACACATATCCCTCCACACAAAATGACCGACCCCCAAACCCCCGACACGGACATGCAAGCCCGCCGCTCCGCAGACTACGAGCGCTTCAAGAACTACGCAGCGCTCACCTTCCTCGTGGCATCGCCTGTGCTGATCGCCCTCCCCCCGCGCAAACTAGACCACCTTACCGTCCTCCTCACGTCCGCTTTCTGCGTCTCCGCGAACCATCTCACGCGCGAGCGCACGGGCCGAAGCATCGTCGAACGCATCGAGGCGCGCATCTCCTCTACGTCGAAAGCCATGCCCATTCCGGCTGATTTGCCGAGTGAGAAGGCGCGGGAGATTCAGGCGCGGTTGCGGGCTGCGCGGGATGCGCAGATTAAGGAGGGGGGGTTGGTTGGGGAGGAGTTGGAGAGGTTGAGGGCAAGGCAGAGGCAGGAGAAGGGGGTGTTGGAACAGGTGTGGATGGGTGGGGAGGAGGCGGGGTGGAAGGAGAGGAGGCTGAGGGAGGAGCAGCAGGCGTTGGAGGAGGGGAAGGGGTATGGGGATTTGATTAAGGGGCATATTTGGGATGTTTGGACTTGGGGGGAGAAGGATGGTGAGGGGAGCGGGCAGGGGAAGGAGGATGAGAGTGGGAAGGGACGTTGAGGGTGGGGATTTGTGTCTGTATACTTATTGTGCTTTCTTATGTCTGGGTTTGTATATTACGGAGTGTCATGTGCATGTATATATGTGGCGTTCGGGAATCTCTGTCAGTCTTTGGTCGGATCAATCGCATTCAGTCTACCAATTACATCTTATAATAAGCAAGCAAATCTAAAGCTCTACAACAAAAAGTATGTGGAGTGAATTGAATCATCCATTGACAGGTTGTCACTAAATACAGGCTATCCCAAAATATGTTGATCGTGATGATGATGTTGATGTTATACAAAAATGCGGTCCCCCCATTTGGGTGTTGACGAAATCAAGGGAAACATCCTGGCCACATCCTTTAGACTTATGTGTGCGAGGTAAAGACCTTGACCGAGACGACAGAAACAAAATGATGCAGTTCGAAGTTGTCCGTTTGTTGGACTCGACGTCGAACTTTGACCTTGCTGAACTTGGTTTTGTCCAGTGACTCTTGACCTGCAGGTCTTGCCTGGGTCTGCTCCTCCATACAAATCAAAAACAAATGTGCCCGCAGGCATATGACAAACATGAGCTCCCCAATACAAAATGAGCCCGTAGGCTGATCCAAAGTTACTATCCTCCGCTTGAATTTCGAAAAAGTGAATGCAGCTCCAGACCTGGCCAGGGCCTTTGGCTAACACCCGAATGGTTTTCCAGTAAATTGTCGGACATGTGATTGTCCACAGAATGTCGATAAATTGAAGTCGATATAATCAGGTCGCTAAAATGGTGACGATGCAAGGATATAATGAATGAACGCTTGCAGTAGAGGAAAGATAGATGTTTCGTAGTGAGGTCGCTGAAAACGATGGCGATAAACCGATAACGATGAATGAACGCTTGCAATAACGGTAGGTCGATGTTCGAAATGAGGTCGAATGAGGGAAATGAGGGAAGTTTTAATACCATGACTGCTCGCCAGACTCAATCCCGTATTAAAACCGATAGCATGATTGAAATCGATGAATGGCAGAAAAGATGATGGGATAGACTCGGCCACACCTCGTTGGGTACCACAACGGGGGCGCCAGCAGCCTCTTTGCCAGGATCTACTTTGGTAGCTCACACGAAACGAAAAGTGAGTAAACATCGACCGACCCGTAAACAGGTCTTATAAGGGTGGAATGTAATAGGGATATGTTGTCTTCAGGCGTTCGCAGACTGGCTTTTAACGACTTTGCAAAACTTGAAAAAGAAAGTCGGGGGCCACCAAGGACGAGGTAGCTGCGTTAATACACATAATCCTCCCACATGTTGTTCGAGACATGTGGGTTCGAGATCACCTGGAATTGTCGCATGGTCGCCCCGTGGGGTTGACACCGAAAACTTCCCACTTGGCGGAGAGGGGGAGCGTCCCGCATGTCAGAGTCGCCGTCAGCATCCACCCTTCCATTTCTTTTGTTTCGATTTTTGGGGGTTTGTCGAGCGGCTGGTCTAGCCGGTGCTCTGATCAGGGAGGCGTGACGGGTCTCCAAGGTAAATACGTCGAGCATCTCAACGTCCCCATCGGGATCTACCCGAGGAAAGAGTCCGGGGCCATCTTTCATTACAACGTCGCCGTCTGCGTCTCGGAGGACAGTGGTGTTTCGAGGGCCACGAGGGCCGGTTTGATGCTTTGGCTTGGGGATAAACTGCACATGAATCAGTACAATCTGCGTGCATGCCATCCCGGGAAGAAGACTAGATACTCACCACGTTGTTGTTGAATTTCCTATTTCGATTGTTGCGAGGAGGGAAGCGGTTGTCAAGATTTGCTGCTCCATCGGGTTTTCTGATAGGATGTTCGGGCGCCTGTGACTGGTGGGTGTGCAGCTGAGTGTAATTACTCGCAGCAGGATTACCACACTGGTTGTTCGCAGGGAAGCCTTGGCCGAAGCCACCTTTTCCGTTCTTTTGATTCCTCCGAGGTCTCCTGCCAGGACCAGCTGAAAGGTGGTTGGGAAACCGGACAGAATGATCGAGACCTTGACCCGAGCAGGTGCTCCAGGGTCCTTCTCCGTTAAATGAAGCCATGCTGTAGCTTCACCACAGAGGCCAAACAATGTAAAAATCCACCGCACAAGATTAGAGACGTCCCTCGAGACTACCTGAGTAGCTTTGGAGGTGCGGATTACAGCAAAATAGAAGAAGGCCCCTAATTCTCGATAGTGGGTCCCTTTTGTATCTTAAGTGAAAAAGGTTTAAATACTTTGGTGCAACACACGGATTTATGAGCCAATCTTTTGTTGGGTCTGTATATTTGATGTTCTGGTCAGGTTTTTTTGAAAGCAACACTTCGATTTCGGGTGCCTGAGAAGGTGAGCGGTTGCCGTGGATGATATAGAGGTGTGGCGATAGAAGAACGCCCTCGTGGATAGCTGTTGAGACTCTTTTGTCTCTTGTGAAGCTGATAGATAATCGGTTGGTGGTTTCCCTTGTGGAAGAATCGAAATAGCAGAAGAGGGTCTCGCAGAGTGGAAGTCTCGGAGAGATGGAGAAGGAAAGAAAGGAAGGAGAGGGCGAGAGCTGGGAGATGGCCATTTAACGGGAGGGGAGGAGCTTGAGGAGTCATCGGCGTCGCCGTCGGCCGTCGAGTATTGTCAGGAGACACTCTTGGGCCACGGTACTGAGGTCCATTTCCAAGAGGAAACCTGCGAGAAGGTTACAATTCTGCTGCTGTAGCATCCGAAACTGAGATCCGAGAGTTTAATCCGGAGAGCAAATGTCGCAGCAACAGGCTACCTCAAAAGAAGGGACAAGACTGGCACTGGAAATTATTTGACATTGTTAGACTAGTTAGTATTAAAGTCTGACTTTTGCTTCTGCCTCTTCGTCCCGCGCAGAGCTGCCGTAGTCGCATCTGGATCTGAAATGCCATCGAAACGCCGTGTCCTGATGGTGCTGTTGCCTGCTGCACCCAAAGTTTCCTCATCACCAGCACGCCCTTTGGTAAGCTTGGCTTTCTTCTTAGGTTTGGAGGTACTCCCAGGAGACGAGGCGCTTCCATTCGACGCAAGACTGTCCCGTTTTCTTTTTTCCGGGTTCGCTTTCCGTTTCTTCTGTTCTTCCTTGATCTTCAAGCGTCGCTGCACCTCTTCGGAGATGTCTTCCGTCTCCATTGAGACGGGAGTCACATTCCTCACGCTTTCGTCATCCCCGGGTAAGGTCACATCGACCCTTTTACGCTTTTGCGAGCGTGACATTCCGGAAGGGTCGTCATTATGAACGGCGTTCACTTCATCATGTCCACGCCGCTTCTTTCTTTCTTTTGAGAGACTCGGGCGGGAAGAGGATACGTTACTCGAGTGACGTGATGATGTTGAAGTCGACAAAGGCGTGTCAGAACTAAAGGGGAAAGTTTCATCCTGAACTGCGCTGGATGCATTATGTTCTACAAGATAGTTAGCAATTTGTGAAGACAAGCACTAGGGTTGCGATATTGATGTTGTTTGCTTTTTGCCAGATAGATGGGTAGCATTGGACTTACTTTGCTTTTGCTGTGATTAGTTAGCGTATTGGCAAAGGTTATACTTGGGGGTGGAGGTAGAGGAAAAAGGAATTTCCTAGGGGAAAAATGAACAAAAACAAAGGAAAGCCAGAGCCCTAGGGTGGGCATACGGCTGCTGATATAGACGGAGAGGGGTGGCAACAAGAGGAAAGGTTAACTCACAAATTCCGACTTCATGACTTTGAATTGTGTCATGAGTTTATTTGTTTTTTCGGCCATGGACGCGACCATTCGAAACATGTCCGTGTCCGATGTAACGTTACTTTTTACGGAACACAACATAGCGAAGTGTGACGACAGAACTGACTCATGTCGGGCAAAGAGCTTCAGGAGACAGACCAATAAGCGAATGCTGCGCTAATTTATGTCGCGTTGTTGACGCCGGTACCAAGCTCACCTCTGGCCAAGAGAGCTGCTTTTCTTTTACAGCGTTATCACCAGAACTTGTGGGGTAACCCACTCCCTCATCGACATCCTCAACAGTGGGGTTTAGCGAAGGTTGAGTACGAGGCGGAGCCATGACTGCGATCCAGCACGGCTTCGAGAACTTGATGCAAAGTCGAGGTGAGGTTGGAAGCGGGAAGAGTGGAAGCGTTCCTGCAGAATGATCGGCAGACGGAATCGTGGAGACGGCGCCAAGCCTTGTCCGGTTAAGGCACCCGCCCGTCAATGGCCTAAGGCAAGCGTAAGGCAACAACAACAACTGCGGTCCTCGAGTATTATTCATCCATGTAACCTACAGAATATCTAGATAATGTCAAATCGTCAAACAGGATATCCCAGACCAACCCATTGCTACGTTTCCAAATGCGCCATTCTCAAAGCAGTGTCCCCAGCTGAACATTCAAACAGTGGTATGATTTTACAGCATCCCTCATTTCACCAAGCCCCCGCATCAAAATCAAATCGTGAAACTTCTTTCTGTGCATCTTCCACGTCCTTTTTGGCTTTCATGCGCATGTAGAAGATGGGACAATCCCGGGATGAGCAAATTACCTCACAGTGCAAACTACCCTGGCAGCGCTGGCATTGAGTCCATAGTCGTCCGAAACGAACCTCCAAATCAGATACTTTGGTCAACGAGCGGGTATATAGCTCACCCATGCGAGGGCGACAGTGTTCACAGACAGCTCCCGCCATTTCGTTCTTGCCGGACAACGGTTTCTTGCACCCCAGGCAAGTCTGGGTCTTCTTCGCGAACTTCATGAGTCCTCCCATCGTCGGTGCAGCCACAGAGATCGATCGAGTATGTTCACCGGTAAGAAGCTGGCTGGCTTTCTTCTCGCCTAGGATGGGTTCGAAAATACGACCGAGAGGGTTTGCTAGTTGGTTGTCAAGGTAGTATTTCGTGTCGATGGGGATGTTGTTTTCGAGCACATAGATCGGATCCTCGGATTTCTCGTAGTTCTTCGAACCTCCCGCACCTTTGACAATGACATACGCTACACGGTCACCGAGAGTGGGCGCAGAACCTGCATCACGCTTCCGCATTCGCTCAGCAAGCTCAACATGGGCTTGTTTGGCCGTGTAATCCGACTTGGAAAGGGCTTTCGTAATAACCAGCTTCGACATATCGACTTTGTTCTGCAACAGGTCGGAGATGGTATTTTTCACGTATCTAGTGGATGATGTCAGTGTACAAGACACACATATGAAAGTACTCTTGATACATACTCTTGGGCGCCATCAATATCCCGGTCGATCAGGATACGGTTCAAAACAGTTTCGATGACGTTCTGAACGAGCAAGCAGTTGTCTCGGCGCACAGTCTCGATGCCTTTGGTGTCCATCTTGTCGTGTTTCTTTGGGTTCGTCCAATACAGACCCGCATATCGCTTCTTGTTGATCAGAAGATAGGGGAAGTAGACCTTTTCGAATTCTAGTTTGATCGGCTTGATGAACTTTGAGGAAACATATTCCGAAGCCTCTTGGCCGAGTTTCATAGCTTCTTCGAGTTCGGTCACTCCGAATTTCACCATGACGGAGTCAGTGTCACCGTAAATGACCTTGGCGTCATGAGAATAACCGTTAGCGATAGTATATCTCGCCTCCACTTCTTGCTTTGTCTTTTCGATCATCTGACGTCCGTAACTAGTCGTGCTACTAGCGATGGGTAGACAGGGTAATTTGCCGACTGTGGCACCGGTGAGACCGTAGACACTGTTAGCGCTGACTTTCAGAGCAAGCTGTCTACCGTTCAAAACAGCCCTTTTGAAGGGATCGGTTTCGACCCCCAGCTCCTTCTTTGCCTTCTTTCTTGCCGTCAAGAGTTCCTCGAGAATTTGTGACAGTAGGCCCTTCCGTACTTTGGCCGTGCAGAACATATCGCCATTCGGTGTTACGATATAATCGTCGTCTTTTTTCAATCCGAGTTTTTCAACGCTGTTCTTGTTCAACAAGGTTGTGTAGCACAAATTATGCGCTTGGATGATGGAGGGGTACAGTGATGCGAAATCGAGGGTGGCGATCGGTACACCGTAATAGCCACGTACTGGCTCGATGACCGTCGCACCTTCATAGTCTTGCTCGTCGGTCGACTTGGTGTTCGGTATGACCAATTGCTGCTCCAAAGCCTTGCGAAATAATTGACTGATGAATTTCACTTGCTGCCCACGCGATAGCAGGAAGTTAAACGGGACTCCAGTAACCCTAGCCATCTCAGTGTAGTTAACAAGACACATGAGCTTATCCATAAGGCGTTGTGGAAGATAGGCGTCTTTCAAGCAGTACACGGCTAAACGTCTCCTCGAATCTGGCGTTCCATTGAACAACTCTGTGATCATGGTGTGGTGTACATCCTCCTTCTGCTCTCCCAGAAACTCGTAGGATACGGAGTTGAGGGTGTAGCTTCGCAGGTGGTGATCTCTTTGAACCAGCTGAAGAAGATCCAGTTGAATGCGTCCGTTAGTATTTGTGGTTTTTGTGTCTCGGTTGCCCATCTGCTTGCTGGAGAAGTTCGTCTCTTTGGCATGCGACTGAACCCCGTTCAACCTTGTCCAGTAAGGGAATGCGGAGCATTTCAAGTGCTTCGCTCGTTCCAAAAGGTATGGAAAATCGAAGTTGGCAATATTGTATCCAATAATCACGTCGGGGTCAACTTTTTCCACGAAGTCGCGCCATGCCATAAGCATTTTCTCCTCCTTCTCAAATTCAAGAACTTGCGTGTTCACAATCAGACTGCATGTATCCAGTACAAAAACGTTCCGAATGAAGGGCTTCGATTCTCCGTAGCGGGTGACGACATTGGCGATTTGGATAACAGGGTCTTGATTTGGCTCGGGGAATATACCCTTCCGTCCAGCGCACTCGATATCGAAAGACAAAACACGCAGCGGTGCCATCTTGGCCCACTCTCCATTAGGGGGATGAGAGATCAGATCACGATAGTCCACGCTTGCTTCGATTTGGCAATTCGACATCTTCTCGTGAGGAGCAAAGAGGCGGTATTTTCCTGCTTTCGCCTCGACCCACGCCATACCGGCGATATCCGTATCAATCATAAACCTGAGTAGGTATTGGATGTTGTCGAAAGTAAGGATACCGTTGTCCGAGTTGCTCCATAGGCCTTTATAGTTGAAGGTGGAAGCATTACTCTCCAGAGCGCTTCGAACCTTGGCGATGTACTTCGGATCCGTAACCGTGATTTTCAGGTACCAACTTTTCTGATTTCCCTGAAACCCGTATATATTTTCTCTCATTGTGATTTGAACAGATTGTATCGTTGGTTGGAACTGTCCGAGTTTGTTCTCCAGGAAGGTTCGGTAAGGTTCGCAATCTTCTTTCGTGAAATTCACCGGCGCGGCAATGTAGAGATAGTGTTGGAAACCTGTAACATGAAGCAGGACTGATTGGCCAGCCTGTTGCAGTCAGTGATCCATTGAGGTCTACCCAAGCGATGCAAAGAATGATACCTCGGTGACACCAAAAAGGCGGACGGCGGTCTTTCCTCCCGCTACAGTTCCCTCTTCCGCATCAATCTGCTGGAAGCAGACGTTTTCCTTAGTCGGGTCAAATTCACCCAGGGGCGGTCGTTCCCATTGTTGGTCCTTCTCTGAGTTGTTATCTTTTAGTCCACTAATGTCTTGAGTCAACTTTTCCAGGACCTCCTCTTCGAACTGGCTCTTCTGAGGCTGGCTTGACCCCACAACTTTCCGTTGTCCATTCTGCGACGAGTTGAATTTCATGGAGGAAGCAGCATCCAATTTCCGTTTCTTCATCGAGTTCGGAGACGTGAGGACGCTGCGGGCGTTATTCGTTGCGTCTCCCAAAACCCGCTTTTGGGGCATAGCGACAGCTTCGGGCATGGCGAGAGTTCATGCGATAATGCAACAGGAAACAGACAAGCGGAAAGACGAATGACAAAAAATAAATGAAAAGAAGAGCGGAAGAGATGTACAGGCCGTCCAGTTCTACCAGGGCGGGCTAGAAGGGGGTTATTGCTGGAAGATGGCAGCTGCGTCGCGGCCAGAGTACTTCATACCGGCAAGTTCGTGTCTCGTTCGCGACTTCCCGTGGCGCCTCTTTACGCGTTGGCCCGAGGTCACGTGCTGATAGCGCGCTGCCTCCACGCCCGATATCCTTCGCTACTTTGATTTACGAGACTTGGTTTCTTCATCCATAGCGATTTTCATGCGTGCTAAATTAAAAAAGGAGTACACTGTCAGAAAACCAAAAATGAGAATATAAGCCCCAGTGTTGTATTTCAAATTGGTAACTGTTGACGTCATCGCGTTGGTTCTACGCCATTGCTATTTGTGTTTCGAAAGGAATCCTCTCGTATGACAGCCTCTGTCCACCTTCTCTTCATACCATACAATATCCGTGAGCAGCGATACGTACGGGATAGTAGTATTTGATTGTTATTGCATTGACACATTCTGGAGTCCGTGACAAGCAAGGTAGCGCTAAACCCCAAACGGCAACTGACACGTTGTATACCGACTGACGCCCGACGCGTCAAACCCAAACGGGTAGTAAATTGATTCTTGTCTCCCCTCCTCTAATCTACGTCCTACGGAAGCCATCCTTTTGATGTAAAACCAGTCATTTCGTCAATATCTCTCCGTCATGGTCAAACTACATGATTTCCCCACCGAACTTCTCGCACACATTGTCTCCTACGTGGGAGTGGACGGTCCCCTCGATGGATCCCCGTACATCGGAGGCTTGAAGGATGACTGGGAATCTATCGGCCATGATGAGGAAGTTGAAATAGAGGCCTTGTGTAGTCTCTGCCTGGTCTCACGCAAATTCCGTGCCTTGGCACAGCCTGTCTTGTTCGAGCACTTCGTTGAGGAACATTGGTTTGGGGATTACCAGACTTTGGTCACTTTTACCAGAACCGTCACCCTTCGACCGGATTTGGGAGCATGCGTACGAACGATTGATACTAGGTCTACTGGGTCGGAACGACCCCCCATGGGCATGCCGGGCATGCCACACCCACTCAGTATCAAGTCCGAGGATCTAGAGGTGTTCAAGCAGGCCGTTCGGGACCTTCAGGTGAGCAGCGAAGAGCAAGCCAGATGGTTCAAGGCTGTCGAAAATCGCGATTTCAGCGTGTTCATGGCTCTGCTGCTTAGCAAAACTCCAAATATTCATACCCTCGTTCTTCCTGCGGGTGAATTCTTCGTGAAACCCGTATCCCATCTTTTTACCCAGATTCCGTCGTTTCTGTCAAAGCTCAAGTCCATCGTTCTTGCTGGTGACTCGCTATATTCCGGGTACGATATAGCCATCTATCGTGATTTCCTTTCTCTTCCTCTGCTGAAAGATGTGATTGTGGACTATGGCGATCTTGTCGAGGCCAAGTGCCCCTCCTTCGCGCCGGGATCACTTCCCATTCAGTCGCTTTTCTTCAAATTGTGCCACATAGATGCTGGCAGCATGCAGACACTCGTTAGAGGCTGCAAAGAGCTAACGTCGTTTGCGCTCACGAACTTCGCACGGAATCCACGACACGGAAGATACGATCATGGCGATATCAAACAATTCAACGCCGCCCAGCTTCACACAGAACTCCTGGCTCACAAAGACACCCTGAAGAAACTTCATTTCGAAGAGAACTACCCGGATTCCACAAAGATTGGCTCTCTCCGCGACTTCCCCGTTCTCGACCAGATCTCGATCCAGCACCAGTTGCTTCCTCCCAAGCCCCAATTCCCGCCGTCCTTGAAAACTCTTTTCATCACAGACTGCAATACTTCAATCCGAGACATGGCCCAGCATATCGCAGACGACTGCTGAAAGGGCCTGCTACCAGCTCTAAAGACACTGAAAGTGCTTTCACTCGACATCACGCAGCCCGTCAAACTCCCCGGGCAACGCATTCCCCCTGGTCAAAACCCGGAACAATGCTTCTTAAGCATCAAAAACAAATTCAAGGGCACTAACGTCGATTTCGATATCTGTCCATATGTCGTTGACGAAGATGATTCCGATGATGAAGACGATGAGGGCCTCGACCCTAATGACGACTCAGACGATGACTTGGGACCGATGGGGAAATCACGAATGGCCAACGCTCTGCTCCAAGCTTTGATGAGCCGAGGATCTGACATGCGACATATTCACGAGAACCCCCTCGATTAATCGCAGGAATTAATGATTGACATGGCATGAAACACCCTGGGATGCCATTTGAAGCGAAGTAATCTCGCTCCGGCGAGACTATGCGATGTTTGAACTCTGGGCAAGTCTGCCAGGGAGAATAGATTTTTAGCGCCTGGTTACCGTATCTAAGATTGGTAAATTCTTCATTATTTTGTCAATCTTGACATTATTTTAGCTATATGTCAGCTTATTACTTTCGGGCACCCTACCGACCTAACCGGTCAATCAACGAAATTACTTACTCATAACACCCATGCCTTCCGCATGTGCATCATCACCTCAATAATGCAAGAGGATTCTCTCCACTATGCAACACTTTGAATTTACAGCAATTCAACTGGTGAAAGGTCGTCCCCTGCCCGAATGCATCAACTTGTAAGTAGCGCTCGCCAAGATAATCTTGGAAGTAACGAAAGAATACTTCGATCCGGGTCGCATATCAGAATGTCAATCATCTTTCAACCTTTCTGGTTACATTCATCGGGTCATAAGGCAAATACATGGCTACTAAGCATATGGTCCGTGGCGATCAGGCCAATGGACAGGCCGGCCGACGCATCCGTCAGCACCTAAAGCGTATAACGATTGCGACAAGAAGCTGATGGCCTATCCCAATGAGCCCACTGTCGGTCGGTCAGCTCACAAATACATTATTGGCATCGACCACCTTTCGTTCACTCGACGATAACCCTGACAGAGAATATAGAGGCTGGTAGAAGGATTCTTGACCAATTTCTTTTTCTAGATCTCTGAATCCAACAGCGGGTAAAGCGAGGATTCACAGCTGGCGAAGACCGACAGCGTGCGCATAAGCCCATGTATGTCGATCCATCGATTTGATAGGCACGGAGACGTGTAAGTGTTAACAGTTAGCCGCCGGCCTTCTGAATTGGTTATAATGTTCCCCTCTTGCATATACGTCCGACACTACGCCTTATCGACCAGGGGGTTTCCCCGCGGCGCCAGCCTAAACAGATATTTCGCTCTCAGAATCCCTGCTGATGCAACCTTTTGTCGCTATTTCCACCAGTCATTATGGGCCACTACCAGGTTCATCTCCCACCTGTACCAACACATTGTCCAACCCCTCGTGGACCAAAAATAGTCTCGAGGCAAGCGCCCATGGGAAAATGCCAAAAGGATGCCCGGGGTATCATAACCATGCCTACCCCTTCATACCCTCGGTCTCTAGCCTCTGTCCCATCGTTAGTTCTGAGTATGCTACGAATTTGGTGACGCTCACAAATTCTACCCATATTGTGAGATGGCTAATGCTACAGACGTTCCGGTCCAAGGTTGGGTCTCATCGACTGATCAGAGGGGCAGTATTGACATCTTGTGGTCTTGCTGTATAACAATAATCTTATGTTGTTGGGTATCTGTCTATCCGAACGTGGGCTCTCCAAACGATAAATGGTATCATCCATTCATTGATAAGTTCAACCTATTTTTTATCAGTATTCTGGGCCCAGACTTTCTTTTCGGTATTGCCTTTGGCCAATTTTCCAGCGCAAGAAGGAGTATTAAGGTATGGCATCTCAAATTTGTCTCTTACCTTGCCATATCCAAACAAGGGCTCCTTGCATGATTAAGAATAAGCTAACCCATGTACAGCTTTTCAAGGAAGATGAACGGATTGAAAAAACTTTCGAATGGAATTACACCTACGCCTTCTTCGTCGATATGGGAGGCATACATCTAACAAGTCCGGACTTCCCGCAAGGGTTTCCGATCAATGCCCAGCAGTTGCACTACTTAATAGTCCACGGCTACATAGATCCACCAGATATGGAAAAGATGGATGTTACCGAGCGAAACTCCGCTGATACCCTCTCCCGGTATGTAGATATCTCTGAGTATCCTCGATCAAACATGGAACTAATTCTCCCAGTGTTATTACCATATTCCAAGCATTCTGGTTTTTCGTCGGGGAACTTGAAAGATTTGCCCAAGGTCTACCCATTACTACTTTGGAGTTAACCACCATCTCATTTACGCTCGTGATGTTCGCAACATCTGCGACCTGGTACTATAAACCCTCCATTGCACAGCCACGCTTCGTTCACACGAAGAATGATATAGCTGTGCAAGAAATACGGGAAAACATGGCGCGATATGTAAGTAGGGCGGAAGACGCTCAGAACCCCTCTTGTTTGCAGAAACTGATTCTGATTCTTTTCCAGACCCACCCGATGCTGCCAGCCCATTGGTATCAGACGCCCCTGGAATTCATTGGTCATGATCACTTTGGCATCAATATCCATTGGAGATACTACACGAGGCTCGCGCAAATACTCCACATCCGTCTGTTTTCCCGCCCCGTCACATCTCGGCCCTATGATCGGTTTCCATCTGACACCTGGCTGTGTCCTGATTTCGTTTTCACACCTCTTGCTACGTGCGTGCTGCTAGGCTTTAGTGGGCTTTTTCTAATTGCGTGGAATTTTCATTTTCCAACTTACGCGGAGAAGATTCTCTGGAGAATTTCTAGCGTCTACCATGCCGTCTTCTCGATATACGGCGGCTTTTACTTCGTCGTCGAGATGGTTAAAAGCAGGCGCCGACCGTTGGAGACTGATCGGGTCCTCAAGCGCAGTGGTCCTCTTACTCGGCACCATTCCTTTGAAGGCTTGATTACGGGATCTCCGAGCGCTTTCCGCGGGACGCTCTCAAGATGGAGGAACATCTCCGTGGATAATGATCCCGAAATGAGCGTTTCTATGAGGGTCCTTCTGCCAGTCAGTATTATGTGTATCCTCTATGTGTTTGCTCGGGTATACATCTATGTGGAGGACTTTGCTTCGCTACGATCGCAACCGTCGGGAGTGTATATCGACGTCAACAAATTCCTTCCCTTTTTAGGTTAATTATAAGTTTATAACAACAAGCTATGCAATATTGTCGGAGAATATGCCACCCGTATAATTCGTGCATAAAATTCGTTATTGGTATGTCCGAGTCGTTTTGACCCTCGTAAACTATTACACAATGCTCAGTCCCTGGTCATTCTCCGTCTTCACCTTACGATGCTTTCCGGTGCACAGACCGAGTGCGCGAGCGCCATTGTGCAACACAGAGGTCGCTACGTGGCAACCTGACAGTCCTATCAATCACTAAATCCCAACCGAAAGAAAAATAAGACAAAGAGATATATCTCTTGAGGGTTTCGCAAACTGGCGACCATAGGAATCTATACCGCCTAGATCCAGTTTGACGGGCTGTGGATTGCAAATCGAATTCCAATGACCTCAAAAGGGTATATTAGACAGTATATGATGGCGCAAGCTGGGCGAGTTGAGATATACAACATCTTCTGACAACCGGGGATGGTGTGTAGAGTAATTAACGATCTTTCGCTATCTCGGTAGGGGTTCCTGGCTTCGTTGCTGAGATGCCCAGGTATCGCCAATGCTTGCGGCCGCGATAGGACTGAACTCCCGCGATGGTATTGATGAAGTACGCCTCCAATCCAAAAAATGTGACCAGGATGTAGGGGATGTAGGCGAGCAGATAGAAGACTCGTGTCATCGGCTTGATATTGTCGGAATAATCACGAACCACCACGTTGGTGAACCCGGCATCTTCCAGCATCCGCTGAAAAACCCCCGGGTGCGACAAACTGTTCGTCGGCATGGCGGCGAATTCGTTAATCTTCTTCATAGACTTCGCCATCGCTTCTGGGGATTCCTCGACGAGCTGGTGGTCATACTCGAACAAGGAGAGATGACCTCCAGGGCGTAGAGCGCGGAAGAAATTTGCTAAAACTGCCTCCGGGTCCGTCGCATGCACGAATGTTTCCATGGTGTAGATCCCGTCGAATGTTTCGACACCAAGACTTTCCAGGTGGTGGTAGTCCATTCTTTGCACCGCAACCTGGTTTTCGGTAAGGCCCGCTCGAGCAACGTTTCGTCTCGCTTTGACAAGATGATGTTCGACAACGTCGATTCCTTGAACCTTGAATCCATGTTTTGTCGCTAGACGAATCGCAACGTGGCCGACGCCACACCCTGCGTCAAGAACGTGGGAGCCAGGAGAAAGATCCAAGGCTGCTGCGAGCTTGTCTTCCATCGCGCGGAGACCCTTGCTCAGAGGAAATGGCCACCAGGTGTCATTCTCATAGTAGCCAAAATGGCGCGTGCCGCCCAGAAGAAGTCGGTAGCCAATTCTGGATTCGAGGTTGTGATAGTAGGTCTGCAGTTGAGGGTTACTGTTGATCAGCGGTTCTCGGTCGGAGTCTGATGCCATGGTTCGTTCGAGCAACGGAGAATTGGGGTAGCTTGAACTTGGAAGGTAATCTTCAACGGTGAAATATATCAAGTGAACTGCGCGCGACAGAACAGCGGGGGTAATTGTTCAGGACAGCTTTCAGAGTCACGACATCGAGAGCAAACGAAGCAGTTTTCTCTAGCTGCTCCCCCATTGCGCTTATGCACTCACCACGTGATGCCGTCTCGACCTCGGCGAGCGAATCCCCTCTTCCCTGTCGATTATTGTCGACCGGCCGTCTGACATGCCAAGCGCCGTGGTGGGCCATCTTGCTGCATGCGCCTCGTAGATGTCACATCTCATCACAGGAGAGGGGGCGGGAGAAGCTATGATTGGACACAATATAGACGCCGACGAGGGGGAGATCCTCCAGCCAATACATTGCCAAATCTTTTTAGGTCTAGGATCTACGCGCCGGGGAAGTTATTATTATCAATTAGGGGCGTAAAGGCCACATCTTAGGCACACTGCGATAGACTACTCGTTACTACCATGGGAACTAAACCGTCGCCTGCCGTAACGGGTTAGTTCGCACGGCCCGAGCAACCAGCCATCGGCGCAGCATTTCTCCCCTTGTCTTATCTCTGGAGGCTTTTATCCAAAGCCACGATTTCTGTCAGAGGCCGCGTATGTACACCGATATATGCCATCACCAGGCCTGTACGAAGTAGTTTCGGTAGCATGGGATAGTACATAAAACGACTGTCTGTCTCGAACACGTTAGCCCAACAAAATATTGTCACTGCGCATCAACCTCTACGCATGCGTCATGATCCTTAATAGAAATTGACATGTGTGAGTGAATTAGTTAAAGGCACTTGTTTGTCACGGAAAAAGCCGGTGTAGGTTTCCATTGAATAAGACTATCTATACTTCCTTCCGTCGATCCCCTTATGTGGTCAGAAATAGGTATCTACGGCACCGCCAGAACATGCTTGTCCTTGCAAAAATCACATTCGCTTGAGCGCGTCACTCAGCCACGCAGGCTCGGCCATTCTATTGCTGCAAATTCTCCTGGGTCTTGTAGATACTGTTGTATCCATCCAGCGATTCCTGTCGCAACTGAACTATATCCTGTCCTCGAAATCTGTTTGGATCTAGCGCCGTCCTAATATTCTCGTCGACATTCTCTTCCTTCATGAGTTTAGCCAAGAACTTGGCCGAGCCGGCTGCATGCGTAACCCACACTGCCGCTGCCATATAAAGGCCCGTTGTTGAAGGAACACTTCCGACCAGTGGCATGTTGTCGGGTGTCATGGAGAAGATACCGTTGAACTTCTTGGCAGGAGCCAGTCCTGTTTTCTCCGGTATGAACTTCATCGCTTCATCCAAAGTTGGGTCAAATTGGTCAATCCAGCCTCCATGGGCACTATCTTTCGGCTCTTGAGAGATTGGCTGATGGTTATAGGAGCCCAGGCCGTAGAAGGTACCATGGTCGCGCGCATAGACATGGTATTCCGGCCATCTCACCCAAGGGGCCTTGTGTGGGCTCGGCTCATGGGATTCGCTATACATGTAAGGATGAGCGACCGGTACAATCGGGATCGGAATGTCGAGTTTGCAAAGTGCTGATGTCCAAATCCCAGTTGCGAGAACGACGGTCTTTGCACCAACAAAGCCGGAGGAAGTCATAACTCCCTGCACGCGGCCATCCAGAAGTATCTGCTTGAAGTAGTTGGACGCCATTTGCCTGGGCTTCCTTTTGGTAGAAGGCAGTAATCCCAATAGCATTTGCTGCTCCGTCTCCTGCGAAATGGAGCGCGGCCTCGTTGCCTCCCTTGACTAGATTCGGGGCCAGGTTGACTGCTTCTTCTGACGAAATCATTTTCGCAGCCAGGCCAGCCTCCCGAGCCTTCGCACATCTGGTTCTCAACCTATTCACGCCGTTTTGACTTGTGGCAATTTCGAGACCTCCCACAATATCGATGCCGCCAGGAATTTTGGTGTATTCGTTGACGGTGTCGATGGCAAGTTGGGTGAGGACGTTGGACTCGTTGTATTGGCCAACAAATCCGGGTGCATACCCCGTTGACCCTTTCAAGGGTCCGAAAGAGCGATCAATCAGAACCACCTTCTTGCCATCTTCCGAGGTGGATAGGAAGTAGGCTAGGGCCGAGCCAACGATACCCGCGCCAACGATGGCAACATCATAGGTTGGTTGAGGGACAGCCATGATGAGGTAGATTTCTGGCCAACGCGAATGCTGGACCTGCGGCAAACATGATGATTAAAAGACTCAACCCAAGAATTGTGTCCCTCCCAAGGCCGATGTCGCTGTCTCGTGTTGCGCCATGCGGATCTATATATAGTGCTGCCCACTAGCTAGTGGAGGATAGTAGCCGCGAGTAGCCGGGAATACGTCATTCTCCTAGATGAAAAGCTAACACTGTTGTCCAGATCATTTAAAAAGGGAATATGACACAGAATGGACCTGTTGACCGTCAGGATCTACTGATGCGGAGGAATGACTGCGTGTGAATCGTGACGTGGGGCCGTGGGTTCCTGCAGCCTCAGGCACCAATGTCACAGGGTCTGGCAGCTTCTTCTGCGTTCGTCGGCGGATCCAGAAAATCGCCGCGGCAACTCCGACTCGGCATCATTCATCAAATTTATTTGCGATGAACTCAGTGTTGTAACCCAATCACCCTGGGGCATGCAGGTATTTTGGCCGATTTGCAGTTGCCTACGTTCTCTTCGCACAACGACAGCCTAGATTCGTCCACCCGCCCTGTCAATGACATCTACCTGGCTTTAGAATCTCATAGAATCCCTTCCGGATTGACTCAGTTATGTTTACCGCTTCCCTCAACGGCCAGTAGAAACCGTGGCATTTTCCCCTTTTTTCTTTCGGACAAACTTCACACGACACAAAAGGCATTCTGAGTTGTTGGAGCTCCACCAGTGTTGCTCGGAAATTACCCCTCGATTGCGGATGACCAAGCCATTGCTCTTTTTAACGAGCTGTCAAAAACACTTTCCTGCACAGTACATGGTCGGCTTCTGCGATTTTTGAGATCTTGTACTTGGGACACCATATTGTTCATACGATCTTGTTGGATGACCGGCTACTAGATGGCCGAGTCATACTCTCTCATGTGGCTTTGATGTGGCCCTGGCTCTAAAATTTACGATCCTTTGCACATATTACACGGATTACCGCCAACATGTCAATGTTTCGATCCGCTGCGGACAGCAGTTCATGTTCGGATACAGAATCAAACCCGAGTGATCTAGAGCATGAAGCCGCCGAAGTTACAACTCGCTCCTCGGTGCAGAAGGCTCAGGCCAATGGCAAAGGCGCATCGACTCCGCCACTTTTGACGGGGGAGAATCAGACTCGAGACAAGATAGATGGGTCCGATACTAATATGGAAGGACATACCAACATCATGACAGCCGCATTGCTTGAGTTTTATTGCTTTAGTCGCGCCGCCGATATTCTCAATGCTCAGGCAGCTCCCCACAAGCAGTTCACGCGCGATTCTCCAGAAGCACAGATGCTGGGAAAGAGAATGTATGAGTACAAATCTCAGTTCCTGTCATCCCGCGGCGTTCTGGCAACCGGTGTTCACAAAGAAGAGCTGGGGTCCACTAGACAGTATTACCGGGACAACCTCGACTTTTTAGGCATCAGTGCCCTGGAGGATCTGAATTTAGGGGATGCTCCAGGGCAGGCACGGACGATGGACCCAGATAGAGCGCTTGTTTTAGCCTCGAGAGCCTCGAACATCATGCAGGCCCCTCCGAACCCTGAGTATGGTAGCTTGCCATCGCCAGATCTTCTCGGTCCACCTGGTATTCCCGGCATTGGCAGAGGTGCCGCGAAGAACTTCCGGCTTGACCTGAGTAGTCTGCCAGCTCGCCCATCACCACTTTCCGGAAGTTCGCCTGTGAGCTTCCCCATTTTCGACCAAAGCGCACAGACACCAACCGAGAGCATGTCTCGCTACGCTATGGAATTTTCAGAGATCAAAATTCTCGGCCGTGGATCTTTCGGGGAGGTGTATCACGTGAAAAATCATATAGATGGACAGAGTTATGCCGTGAAGAAGATTCCGATCAGTCAGAAACGTCTTGAGCAGTTGCAGTGTGGGGGTGAAAACCAGCTCGAAACAATCATGAAGGAGATCAGAACTCTTGCTCGGCTCGAACACAAGAATGTAGTGAGATACTACGGCGCGTGGGTGGAAAAGGTTCGCCTAGCAAATTATCTGCCCCGAGTTCCACCAGATCCAATGAAACTCGAGGCCGAAGATACCCAGACCGAGACCTTCAGTCACGATTCTCATGATGACCAAAGCTTTGGAATTGTGTTTGAGCATTCTGAAGCTTCAGCCGCAGACACCAGCTATGAACCGACAACAGAGAAAGAATCCCTGGTTTACAACCCATTTGAGCGCAGGGACAGCCGTGCCAGCCAGGCAAGCTATGCTACATTGGCATCACGCATTTCGAAGAAGAGCTCTGCACACAGTTGGGGTGAAGGAGACGAAGAGATCGAGTCTATTCCTCGCGATTTCACAGGACCATCACTATCGACATTTGGCGGCACTGACAACGACATCTTCACCGACGGTTTTAGCCACGATGCATCAAGACTGCAGGTGCAGCGAAGGCCTCGCGATGAGTCTCAAATTCCGGCCGTCGTCCTTCACATTCAAATGTCACTTCACCCCATCTCGCTTGGCTCGTATCTGAGCCCGGAGCCAGGCAAGGCGGCACTGGATCATCAAGAATCTCCCCGACGCCATTGCTTCCATCTTGTTCCTTCTCTTAAGATGATGCAACGCATTATCTCCGGCGTGGATTATCTTCATTCCAAGAACATTGTCCACCGGGACCTGAAACCAGCCAACATCTTCCTCTCCTCTCACGAAACCAAACGCTTGGATGGATGCCCTCCATGCGAGTCCGCGCACCAAACCCCTTCACGATACTGCCATCCCCGAATCGGTGACTTCGGTCTGGTAGCCGACATCTCACATCTGAATGAACAATCACCAACTACTCCTGTAACAGCCCTTCAAAGCGGCGCAAAGGTGCACCGTGCTGTCGGAACCGAATTCTATCGCCCGCCTTTGATTGATAATAATCCGGGAACCACAAACATAACCTCTTTCTACACCATTGACGAATCCCTCGACGTCTACGCACTGGGGGTGATCTTATTCGAACTTCTGTATCGCCTCAACACCAAGATGGAGCGTCAGCTAGTCCTGTCCGAATTGACACGTGCTCCGCAAGGACAGACCTCCACCGGCCCTTCATTCCCAGCTGACTTCAACCAGAAAATCGACATGGGTGATTTAGTGCTGGATAACGGTAACACAGTTGCCGATTCCCTGATGGCTTGCATTCGCGGAATGCTGGATCCTCTGCCTGCTCAGCGTTGGAACTGTACGGATGTTAAGAAGTATCTACAGGAGATCTTGGCTGTTGCGGAGAAGGCGTGTGCCGAGTCGTTTTCCCATGCAAATTAAAGATACATATGAGACTTGGAGATTGTGGAAAAGGTGGAATAATATGGGACAGTATATCTTAGATTTGTGTATGAGTAAATCTTGATGAACATTCGCCTCTTCGATAGCATATTAGAAATGATGATATTTATGAATTCAATGAGTTTCAAATCAAAGATTGTCTAGCTGAACTAGATCTAGGCCACTTTGCTGAGGTCCTACCTCCCACATATTGACGGAACCAACATACATAATCCACACGCTTGTATTATCATTCCAAATATAGGTCAATTGCCCAGCGGGTTGGGTAGTATTGAAAAGAAAACAAAGCACTAACCTCCAAAACGCCTCGCCGTTCGAACATTAATAGTTTCAATCATGCAATCATCCTCAATCCCGTCCATCTTCGGACGCTTTCGCCCTAATACCCTCTTTCATTTCCCCGCAGCAACATACTCAGTCCCGATCTCATTGACAGCCTGCAACTCGAGATTCTTCTTTTTTTGTCTTTTCATGATGAAGAACAAAGCCGCAATGACGATGGCTACGGCTGCGACTCCCCCCACGACACCACCAGCGATCGGCCCGGCCTTGCTGTCGGATTTCCCACCACTCGAACTATCAGAGGAACCGGTATCCTGAGGCATGGAGGCTGTGGTGCTTGCCGGCACTGAGGTTGATGATGAGGTGGGTTTGGTTATTCCGGTGACTTTTGGGGAGATGGCGTGTCAGCTGTTATGCATATACAGTATCTGGAGTAGGTTGATCCTCTTGTAAGTGAGGCGAGGCGAGACGTACTAGTCATGTCCAGGGTGGACTCATAATTCCGGAAGAGAACGGTGGGATCAGAATCGCCGACACACCAGTGAGCTGTTTTTGACCATCCTTTCGTCGAGTGCGGATATGACTCGTAGATCATGAGAGTCTTGCAGGTGAGGGCTCGGCTGTGCGGGTCAGCATCAGGAGACAGGCGATCGTGAGAGTTTCTGTTGGTGCTCACCATGGCCAGGTATGCGCCGTGCCGGAGACGGAGAAGTCGTAGACTTCCGCGTTATTGGAGCAGGCGGTTGGATATGCGCATGCGGTGCAGGGCTCGGGGAAGACACAGCCCGGGGCAGACGCACAACAGTCGACCACGTTGCCGCGGGCGATAAAGGTGGGGAGGTCATTCTGACAGGTCGTTGAAGTTAAACCTGGGGTTGAGTTGGTTCTACTTAGCGACGATGGGCCTTTTTTTTGCAAAGGGATCCCGGGTCGGATCAGATCAGATCAGGTCAGATCTCACCTCCGTCGGCATTCAGGTAGTAGCCCTTAAAGCTCACGTCGGGTTTGGCGGTATACGTCGTGGTGGAGGTGATCGTCGCCATATCGGCCGTCATCTTGGCTAGAGATCTGACAGGATGTGCTGCCTCAGCGTGGAATCGTGTCTAAGTGACGAAGAAATCTCTTGAACAGACGGTTTGACAGTCTGCAGGGCAGTTTTTAGCCCAGTCCACCCCCTGGGCGAGACTTGAGAGCACCGACTTAGTCGGCATGTGCGGCATGAAAATTCACGCTCTTGCCTAGACGGAGTAAGGCCATATCCTTAGAGCGCATTAGCATGGCGATCCAGTGCATTTTGGCCCCTTCGCTAGCACTCGTATATTTTCATGAACTGACGAGTGGGCCTTCATCTCGCCGATCCCACGCCATTGAGACTAGCGTATGTTCTTCGTCCAACTAGCGTGACTTTAGAGCTCCTTTGACGAGAGTCCACCGTTTATACTTGGCAATGTGGGTGATTCTGTCTCCTTCATCGGGTTGATTGGGAGCTGACCATAGAGGCAACGGGCAGGACGCGGTGGTCCTTTTTTAGGGAGTATAAGAGAAACCATCGAGTGGATGTACACCGTCGCACCGGCGGAGATATGAAAAGCAAAATAAGAGCAGCCACCCACTAGGCTACTATGTACGGAGTACGGAGTAAGTGAGTCTTGAATCTAAATGAGAAGATGACCCACTCTGCACCGGAAACCGAGCATTTTCCCGCTCTTTCTTGAGGGTCTTTGTGCTAGTGAAGTCGGGGGACTCGGAGTACTCGCCTACCGGCGATAGCTTCCATCCTTCCAATGCGGCTGAGTCCATTTGCACTGGCTATGCAAAACACGTCGCAGAATCGGATATGGAGTTTCCATCGCAGCGTGGGGCAAGCGAAGATGTGAAGTGCTAAATCCTCAATCTTTTCATGCTTCGTCTCTATTTATGCTAAATTAGCAGAAGGGACTTTCTTAAATGAATCCAAAGAAAAAGCGGTAAAGACGACAGAACAGAAAAGGAAGGGGGAAAGCAAAGCGATAGAGAACAAGGTACTGGCTAGAGGAAAGAGAGTTGTGTCAAGGAAGAGAAAGACATGTCCCATCACATGCCTGTATTTACCGCCCCCAAATGCGGCGACTCTGATCGCAGCCTTGGAGCCTTGGAGCCTTGGAGCCTTGTAGGCCTGAATCTTCTGTCCTTAATCCCTATCATTTGCCCTCCTCCGCCTCCGATCTCCCGCTCCCCGTAGCGTCGCAGCCATGGAACCCGACTGGACCCCAGACGTCGTGGTGGCCGTGGATTTTGGCATGACCTGCACAGGCAAGTTCTGTCTCATTGGTAGACACTTTCTACAAACAATTCGTTAATGTCTCCAAGGCATTGCCTATTCCTATGCCCCCAAATGGCCCGCCCCTAAGCCCCTCCAGCACTGGCCGGGCCTGATGGGCTCGGAACTGGCCAACAAACTCCCCAGCAGACTCCGATATGACCCCTCAACCGGTCAAGTGCAAAGTTGGGGCTTTCAGTGTGAGCGCGGTGGCGATGTGAAAGAGGTTTTCAAGCTCAATCTGGATCCGCATTTTGTGGATTCGCGGCCCAATCCCCCCAGCCGGATGGATGCGATGAAGTGGTTCACGGACTATATCCACTGCATTTACCGCTATGTAGTCTCGCATTTTACAAGCACTTTCCCCAGATTTTCGTCGCGGAATGTCGAGTTTATCTTCAGCATTCCTACCACGTGGAAAGATCCGCGCATGGTGGCAGAACTCAGGCAATCTATCCGACTCGATTCGACTTGTCATCGGGCGACTATCGGGTTGACTGAGGCAGAGGCTGCGGCTGTATATGCCAGTGGTCAGTTCTACCAGGTAGGCGCACCCTTTTTCTTTTTTACTTGCGTGTGTCGACCATAGTGGCTGATAGAATAACATGCTAGAAAGGTGATGTGATTCTGGTCTGTGATGCAGGCGGTGGCACGACCGATGTCAATGTGTTGAAACTAATGTCGAATCCTGGGGAATCAACATTATTTCAACCGTTGAGCTGTGTCGAAGGTAGTGCATCCCTTCAACTTGTAGAGACTGTCTGATGCACTAACCATGCCACAGGGAAAGCAGTGGGCTCGTCCCTCATTGATGCCGCAGCCTGTCAGCTTCTATCTGCAAGACTCGATTGTATCCGGGATCGTCTTTCAGAATCACCTCAGAATACTGCATGGGCACTTATCTCGCAGCAATTCCAACGCTTCAAGTGCAATTTTGGGTCTGAAATGATGGATGGCTCGTCGTTGCACATCGATATCCCGGGTCTCACTCGAGAATCTTCTTTTTCCGAGGCCGGGATTACCAATGGACAGACAACCATCACCCAGTGAGTCGGCCCGAAATCTATTTCCTTCATTTAGCACGACACTGATTTCGGGTACAGAGATGAACTTCAACACCTATTTGATGCGAGAATCGACGAGATGCACAGTTTGTTAGATGAACAGATCCTCTCACTCCAAGGGACCAATCCTCAGGAAAAGATAGTAAGTGCTGGTGCTGGTTTGATATTCGAGCTATATGTCAGTAGCTAACGCCTCAAAGTCATTTCTAGTATTATCCGGAGGGTTTGGAAGCTCACCCTACGTGAGAGAAAGACTAAAAGCTCGATACCAGAACCCGGCTTTCATGTCCAACCTTGTTGAAGTCCTGACAGTGGAGGAGCCGTATGTTGCCCACGATGTGCCAGATGTTCCCATGAAGTCTATTTCGCTAACGGTTCTCAACTATATTAGGCAGCTGGCTGTGGTCCAAGGTCAAATAATGAACCGTATCCAGCAGCTTAAGCAAGGTGCCTCGGCCTTTAATTCCCTGTATAGTCGAGTTAGCTATGGCGTAATATGTGATCAGCTCTACGACCCACACCGGCATTCTCGCGAGCCTGTTCGATTTGATGAAAGAGATGGGAAGAAATTTGCTATAGGCCAAATAGATTGGCTCATTCTCCAGGTACATCTTTTACCATCCCGCTCGGTAACGTTTTGATGTTCAGCCTATTAACCGCAATGCGCACACAGGGAGATGCAACCCCCCGCACTGGGGTATCAAAGGAATTTCGACGAAAGATTTACCCACAGCATATGGCCAAGCCATGGGTTGCACAGATTGTGATGTCGACTCTCCCACCGGCGCAAGTACCGCAGAGCATGTCGCATCCGGGAGCAAGTCTCATTTGCAACATAGAGGTAGATATGACCAGCGTGGACCGAAAACCCCAAAATCACCGCTGGTATCACCGGAATCCACCGCATTTCCTAGCCAGTTTTACGATCAAGATGGTCATTGGCCCCACTGACCTTGAGTTTGAACTGTGGAACAAGAGCGGAGGGAGAATACGCAGTCAGAATCGAGACCCCATCACCGTCACCTGGACCGCTCCGGCGCAGGAAATGATGAGTGAAACTGACCGTGAGATTCCAGAAATGGCCGACGATAAGAAGTACATGCCTTCCGAGCTGGCAACACCTTCTACTTCGCTGTCTAAGAGTAAGAAGCATGTAGAGCTCCCAGTTAGAGAGGTGCGATATGAGCTCCCTGGTGATTTGGGGGACTCTCTATCTTCTCGCTCTTGAGTAATGATACATCAGCTTGTGCATCTCATGCTATCACGGTTGAGCTCTGTGCAGTACATATCTCAAAGGTACCCTTAGTATCCAGCTAGCAATACCCAGTTCTTTCTTTCTTCCCTTCTAATTATTATTCTTATTATCATTTCCATTTCATCATCTGCCATTGAACGGAACCGGAACCTCTATAAACACTCACAGGTTTAGAGCTGGATTGATATCTTTGATCATCACATTAACTTTTCAAAGAAACAAACAAACTCGTATAGTGGCCATCTCTTTGCCCAATTGTAACTTTGGGATACGAAGTGATTCATGTGGAGGAAGTAACACCCGCGGGCCGAGGTCACATCTAGGGTTACCCCATCCCTTTGTGATAAGATGGGCAAGGCATTGTCCTTCAGACCACTGCAACGTCACTTGCATATACTTGAAATATTCTTCGCTTATAAGGGATGTCCCTCTTTTGTGCTGTGGAATATCTGCCAGATCATTTCATCTTATCAAAATGCCCCTCGAAACCAAATACCCAACAGCTCCCTACAGCGAACCCCTCCTCCCCCAACTCGACGTCGCAAACCCCTACTACACCGACCTCCATTACAACCTTCGCGCTTATGTCCGAGAATACGTCGACACACATATCGCACCATATGCTCAAGAATGGGAAGAAGCGGGTCAAGTCCCAGAGGCTGTCCGTCGACGTCACTGCGAGCTAGGATTCGGAATCGTGCACCCTTTAACGACACCGGAAGACGCAGCGGGCTTGTCACTTCCTGGGAACGTGCCTCGCGAGAAGTGGGATACATGGTGTAGTCTCATCGTGGCGGATGAGCTGACGCGCGTGGGTTCTGTCGGTGTTACGTGGGGATTGGGCGCAGGTAATGGTATTGGGTGTCCGCCGATTGCGAAATTCGGGACTCCGCAGCAAAGGCAAAGATGGCTTCCTCGGGTTGCGAAGGGGGAGATTCGGTTTTGCTTAGGGATTACGGAGCCGGATGGTGAGTTTGAGTTCAGACCCTGGCTTTGGGTGGGCTGACGATGAGATAGCTGGGTCGGATGTCGCGAATATTCAGACATCAGCGAAGAGAGACGGGGATTATTATGTTGTTAACGGAGCGAAGAAGTGGATCACGAACGGGATTTGGGCCGACTACTGCACGGCTGCTGTCAGGACTGGAGGATCGGGGAGGACAGGCATCAGTCTGCTTGTGGTTCCTTTGGCAGCTCCCGGAGTAACTCGACGACGAATGCACAATTCGGGTGTGAATGCAAGTGGTGAGATTCACCTATGCGGTACTTGAAATGAGATGAGATGCTAAATTACCAAAATTGTTAGGTTCGACATTTCTCGAGTTCGACGATGTCCGCGTCCCCGTTGACCATCTAATCGGGGAGGAAAACAAGGGGTTCCCTCTCATCATGTCGAGTATGTTCAAGCCAGCCACACCCTCTTATGCCCAACACTGACAGGATCAGACTTCAACCCCGAGCGCTTATCCCTTGCTTGCGCTTCCTTACGCCTGGCCCGGGTTTGCGCAGAGGATGCATTTCATTACGCCGTGCAGCGCAAAACCTTCGGATCGCCTTTGATCACCAGACAAGCCATTCAGGCTAAGATCTTCAATTTCGGCTTGATGATAGAGCCCGCATACGCTTTCATGGAACAGCTTGTTCACATCATCGAATTGACCAAGGACCGACCCAACGACGATGTCAGAATCGGAGGTATGACTGCCTTGCTCAAGGTGATGTCTACCAGAGCCCTCGAGAAGAGCGTTCGAGAGGCGCAACAGATACTGGGCGGGGCTGGATATAATAAAGCTGGAAAGGGAGCGCGAATTGAGCAAATTAGTCGCGATGCGAGAGTCCATGTTGTTGGCGGCGGAAGCGAGGAGATCATGATGGGTCTTGCGCTGCAGGAAGAGACCAAGGCTCTTCATACAAGAAGAAAGGCATTGGAGAAGAAATCCAGGTTGTGAATGGCAGTATGAGTGGACAGGGATCTTCGACAAACATAAATCGTTTATGGGAGGTGCTCAGGGCTATCGCCACTCCCTGACCGGACGTTAATCAATACTACTACTACTATTTCCAGGAAAACGGAAACAGCATATAACAGCCATTTCAATATATCAATTCTTGAATATGCGGGATGAAAACCTGGGGAGGATGTCAATCAAAGTACAAAAGATAAATCCAATTGGAAAGCAACATGGCTTGATGACAGTAGAAAGGATAATAATGGCCTGTACGTCTAAGAGCCAAAATACCATGTAATCCCCAAAACCCTCAAAGAAAATCCCAAGGATTATACAACGCCTGTTGGTTCTCCTTCATTTCAAGCTCGCTGATTCTTTTCCGCATCGCTTCTAGGTGAATCACCGTGTCCCTTTCTGCTTGTCTCAAGAGCGAAAGACTGTCAAAGGCTTCAGGGCCTAAAGGGAATGGTAGAAGATTGCCATCAAGTTTAGACTTGGTGGAAGGCGAGCTACCATTAGTGGTCATGCTTGTTTCTCCTGGATCCTTCTGGGCCACAGCAATTTGGAGCCCATCCAAAACCTGAGTCTCAACTGGGCTCCGTGAATGAAGAGCTTTTTCTGGTGGGTTGCCCGGCCGAATGTCGGGATCTAAATATGTTGGTAGTTCGGGGTCGTCCTCCATGTTTTGAGGCTTCAAAGGACTCTCTATCGATGTATCACGCAGCTCTGATATAGCACTACTCGCTTCACCGGGCTCCAATGTGCTGCTTGGTGCATAGGGAATCTTGTTCAAGTCTTTGTCTTCCTTTTCCCATTCGTATTCGGGATCTTCGATGTCTTCAATCTTGATAGCTCCTTGATTGCCCACACATTAGTTGATCGAAGCTAGAAGATATTAGAAAGAAGGATCACTCACGAAAAGAGCAGTCTTTTCTCCGACTGAATTGGCAATTCGCGCATGTACCGGCCAGTTTCGAATCGTCTTCTTTATTTGTAATGACAACGCACGTCTCCCACGGACCCAGACCTTTTTCGCAATTAGAGCACGGCGGATCAGTAATTTCGTGTCCTCTTGTCTGCGTTAATGCTGCAGCCAGCGATCTCTCGGTGGTCAATTTTCTTCTCTTGGGATACTCAGTACCAGCTACCTTGCGCCAATCAAGTTTTCTGAGCACCGGCATGTCTTTGTATTTGCTCAAGGAGATGAGGTTGCATAGTTTGCCGATCGGGAGATCGTCGCTGCCCACGCCAGGTACAACTATCGAACAAATCAGGTCTATGTTAGCTTGTCCTGTTCAAGATAGAACCGAAAGCTGTTGGCGTACTCTGCGGGGCTTGGACCTCTCTTCTCCGAGGTCTCCAAGGTTCATCCTCATCTTCAGGATATGATCGTTTTTCTCCCGACATGTTTCGCGTAGACCAAAATAGCCGTCGTAAGTGACAATAGAGAAAGAAGTGTATGTATCCAAAAGTGACACGCGAGCCCAGTACCATGAACTTCAAGGCGTCATGGGCTTTGTGTTTGGATGATCTTTCAGCTGACCCAATAAACCAATTGATTGATTATATCTGAGTTCACAAAAAGTGGACCAAATGAGAAGGCAGGGCCTGGGGGTAGCGTTGGCGGAGATGAAAGCTGCTTGGGTGACAAGGTAGATTTTGTATAGTGATGAGTGAAGAAACAGCTGAAGCTTTGTATCGGCGGTGATGAGCCCATGCCCTCAGCGAGACACCAACCATGATAGTGGGCTAAAAGGAACAGTAGGTAGGAATGGGAGAAAAAAGGATGGTCGTTCAGCGAGGCACTTGCGGTTGCTGAGTCGTTGGCTAAATCAAGTGACCATGACAGCCACTATACATATCGTGGCAGTTGCCAAGAGATGTTGGCATTTGATGCCTGAGACAATCTGCCAAACATTTCACTGTTTGCTTACCTTTCCAAAAGAGCCTTTTAGATAAGTAAATCCGTAGAACACTTTGGCTCTTCTTACATCAATCGATTAAACATTGATCAGAGCACCTTTCAATCCGTTCATCTTATCATTTTTGACCACTGCGGTTCACCCAGTCCCTGGAAATAGTGTTGCCAAAGCTGTTTGGCAGTGGCTAAAGACCTCTAAAGAATCAATGCAATTGAAATGGCTGTTCAACGCTGGATCTGTTTTCTTGGAGGTAAGAAGTCCTATATTACACCAACATATTCTACCATTCTTTATTCTCGTCATCACCAGGTGTAAGATGAGTGACGTCACATCCACGCTAAACCCTTTGGAGCAGTCACGGGAAACAAGTGTGGATGATGATTTCCTCACCACTTTCTCACTTTCTCCTCACTCTCTTCACCAGCCCAAACAAACCATGATGGGTTTTTGGCTAACTCCCTAAGATTTGCTGGCAGATCTCTATCTTCAACAGTGGGTGCTGGATTCGCCAGCTGTCTCACTGATGGAGAGCCTTGATGAGGTGTCCCGCCCGCGAGAGGCCGCGGAAGAGAGAGGTGTCTCGGTCGACAATTATCCCTCCAGGGCACCGTCGGTGGCCGAGACTGGCTCGCCAACCTCGATCCCAGAACTCAGCGCTGGAAACAAGGGCGGCTCATTTACGTCCAACTCTAGCTCGAAACTATTAGACGACCCTGCCGATTCGACTCCCCGACTATCCACCGATCAAGACGACGTCTCGATACCCCAGCGGATCCTGTCGCCCTTCGCTCCTGTCGCCTACAACCCACCGTCCGTCGGTTCAATGGGTGATGATGTTGGTGAGGAGGAAGATGAGGAGCCCCACGTTGCAACTTCCTTCGAGCGCGATTCCACACCTGCCTCCGCCCAAAAGCGTCGGTCGATGTATTTCGACACCGGTGAAGATGAGTTCAATCGCATGCATAAGTTTTCGCTTTACGAGACTGCGACCCGGTTTTACATGGTTGGCATGAATCTGTTAGATACCCGGTTTAGAATACTGAAGATCGATCGGACTTCCGAGACGGACCTGAGCGTTGCCGAAGACGACATCGTGTACACGAAGAGGGAAATGAGTCAATTGTTGGATGCCATTGATGATGGTAATAAGATATCCGGAGGACTGAAGCTCAGATGCAGTGCATGGGCATTGTTGGGTTTCATCAGACTGACTGGGGCATACTACATGCTGCTTGTTACCAAACGCAGCCAGGTGGCCATGCTTGGTGGTCATTATGTCTACAAGGTCGATGGGACTGAGCTGATCTCCTTGACTCCATCCAGCTCGTCTCGACTGAAGCCCGAGAAGAATCCGGAGGAGGCGAGGTATATTGCCATTCTCAACAATCTCGATCTCACTCGGTCTTTCTATTTCAGTTACTCCTACGACATCACACAAACATTGCAGCGGAACATATGTCGCGAACGCAAAGCTCACCAGGATGGACTCCCGAAGCCGTACCATCAAGACTTCAATACGATGTTCATTTGGAACCACCACCTTCTGAGTCCGGCTATTTCGGTCTTGAAGAACCCTTATCAATGGTGTTTGCCTATCATTCATGGATATGTCGAGCAAGCGAAAGTGAATATCTATGGTCGGCTGGTCTACATCACTCTCATCGCCCGCCGTTCTCGTTTCTTTGCCGGCGCTCGGTTCCTGAAGAGAGGTGCCAACGATCTGGGATACGTCGCCAATGACGTTGAGACTGAACAGATTGTATCGGAAATGTCAGCTACTTCGTTTCACGCCCCTGGCCCACATCTCTACGCCAATCCCCTGTACACTTCTTATGTCCAACACCGAGGCAGTATCCCTCTCTATTGGACACAGGAAAGCTCCGGGGTTTCCCCGAAGCCAGACATCGAACTCAACCTGGTTGACCCGTTTTACTCCGCGGCTGCCCTCCACTTCGACAATTTGTTCGAGAGATACGGAGCTCCAGTTTACGTCTTAAATCTGATAAAGTCTAGAGAACGAACACCACGAGAGTCAAAACTACTCAAAGAGTATACAAACGCGATTAATTACCTGAATCAATTCTTACCCGAAGATAAGAAGATCATCTACAAGCCTTGGGACATGAGTCGTGCAGCCAAGAGTCGGGATCAAGATGTGATTGGGACACTGGAGCAAATTGCGGGAGAAATAATCCCACAGACGGGTTTCTTCAAAAATGGCTACGATGCCGAGTCCGGTCTCCAGGTGCAAAATGGCATCGCGCGGACGAATTGCATCGACTGTCTGGATCGCACAAATGCTGCGCAGTTTGTGATTGGAAAACGGGCACTGGGACACCAGCTTCATGCTCTTGGCATCATTGATGGCACGACTGTGGAGTATGACACCGATACTGTCAACATTTTTACGGATTTGTGGCATGACCACGGTGACAACATTGCCGTACAATACGGAGGGTCTCACCTGGTGAACACAATGGCTACTTATCGAAAGATCAACCAATGGAGCAGTCATTCTCGAGATATGGTGGAAAGCTTCAAGAGATATTACAACAACTCATTCCTTGATGCTCAGCGTCAAGAGGCGTACAATCTCTTCCTTGGCAACTATATATTCTCACAAGGACAGCCCATGCTCTGGGACTTGTCCACCGATTACTATCTGCACCACGCCGATCCCAGGTCCTGGTCGAACAAGCGGAAGCCTAACTACATCCAATGGTATACGCCGGAAAACCTGAAGCCGAAGGAGATCCCACCTCCTCCTCTACCGCCTAAGGAACCTCTCTCACGCTATGATGATTATTGGCTGGAGTACTATAGGCCCTTGGCTCTTTCGACCTTCTCTAAGGTCTTCACATTAAAGAACCCTCTGACAACAATCCGCTACCTCTCGCTTCGACCTGCTTCTGCCCTTCCAAGTGATCTTAGTCCGTTTGTCACCAGAATTACGCATGACCACATGAACAGGGATCGTCCCCAGCGCACCGTGAAGATCCAAGAACCAGATAATACGTCAAACGATCTTTCTGAGAGGTCGCGCATCGAAGCTGGTCAACTACAAAGCAAGCAATATCCATCAGCTGGTATCATGAAGGAGCCAACCGCTAAATTCCCTCATCACAACAGTTCCTTCCAGTCTTTCCCGCAGCCCTCGGATTCCTCCACGCCTAGCAAAGCCCAGATCGCCCAGTGGACGTTGGGTCAACTAGTGACTGATTCCTTGAACCCATCAGTCACAGCTGCGGAGGCTGAGGAGTACGAACATTACATCAATCATCCCCTCAAGGTACCCCTGGTTGTTACATCAGAGAACGAGATCACCACCGCCTCAATTCGCGAGCATGACTCCAATCTCGACCTCCTCGAATATGCCAACAAAGTCAATGTTGAGGAATCCACGCTTCAGACCCGAGCCATGGAAAACTACGCCGACTACGCCGAATTTCTGAACGTCTCCGAGAGCGGCCTGACGGTGGTAGCGGAGGACTATGAGAAGAAGCGCTATAAACGGTATCGACAGTGGCTGAGAGGCAAGAGCTTGTTCAAGCAGCGTGTCGATACATAATTGCACGAAATGATGAAAACCTTCGTTTACGATGTTATGACCTTAGCCACGACGATATGACTTTGGCATGATACCCCTATCACTCGTTTTCGGTCCCTGATTTACGTTTTTATTTGTTTTTATCTGTTTCAGTAACTCAACCCATATTACCTATCTAAACTTTGTGATACTACAAGAAATTGGACCCCAATCTAATACAACAAACAACAAGAGTAAGCAAGTAAGCGTCTATATCCCAATAGATAATACAATCTCAATCAATCCACCCATTAAACCCGCACCCCGAAATACTCCGCATCCGTAGTATCAAAATCCATATCAAACAACCCCTCCAGGAGATGATCCGCCTCTACCAACTTCCTCAACTCCTTCTCAATACTTTCCTTCGCTTCCATCTGTCCGGCGTCGCGCGAACTTCCCCGATCCGGATTCTGCAACGCAAACTTCAGCAGATAGCTTACGCCCTTCAGTTCCTTTTTGAGCCGGACGACCTCCGCTGAGTCGGTTTCTTTCGCGATGGATGAGGACGGTGGGTGTGACTTTTGCGCTGGCTCTGCTACATCAACTTCCTCTTCAACCACGTGGAGCCAGCATGCGCATAGCGCGCCGAGGATCTCGCCGCGCCAGCGCCAGAGGCGCGGATGAGTGGTCAGGATCACGGCGCGGAGGAGACCCACGGCCGAAAGGAGGAGGGGCGGGTATGCGGGGCCGAACGGGTTCGAGAGCGTGCTGTGCACCAGGGGAATGATATCCTGGAGGTATTTGGAGGCGTGGATGCCGAGGTCCAAGAGGACCGGGTGCATGTGGTCCAGGAGGAGGGTGGAGAGGCGGGGGTGAGGGAAGGAGGCGAATGAGGAGGTGGCGGTGGAGGTGGAGTTGACGGAGCTGATGTGGTGGAAGGAGGGGATGAGGTTCTCGCGCAGGGTCTTGGTGATGGAGACGATGTAGGCTTCGGTGGCGATTTGGGGTGGGATGGGGAAGGAGTTCTGGGCGTTGGTTTTGAGTACGGATAGGAGCGCGGGATAGGCGGCGCTGAGGAGAGAGATGGAGTCATCTTCGGGCGTGATGGTAGGGAGAGAGAGGAGGCATGGGCGGATGGCGTCTTCGAAGACGGAGGAGAGGTTGGTGCGGCGCAGGATGTCGGATTTGCTGCCGCTGATGGGGATGAGGAGGTCCGTGGTGAGAAGGCAGCCGCGTGTTTTGAAGGGAAGGCTGTCATCGTCGATGAGGGTTAAGAGTGCCGGGACGAGAAGCGGGAAGTGCGCTTCAAGATAGTCACGGTCCGTGGCCTGTGTGTTTTGATGTTGGTTATCTTCGTCGGAGGCTAGTCTCGGGGTCTGTGGACGAACCTGATACTGCGCGATGATCCAAGAAAGAACGGTTGTAGCGTAGACATCTCGGATCTTCCATGGCTTCGTTTCTGGATCCAGGACGCTGGCATCAAACCGGGGCAAAGGCACAGGATGGAAGTTCTTGCGGCCAGAGGCTGTGATGGCTGGGTTCTTGGTCTTCGCGAACAGAGGCCGGATCTTTTGCTTTAGGATGTCTTCGATCGTATCCCAAAAGACTTTATTTGAAGCCATTTCCAAGCGCAGCGAAGTAAAATGTGTTGACAGCAGAACACTTGCGCGAGCGTGAGTCTCTGGTAACGTCCATGGTTCATGATCGGAGGTGAAGCTGGCCAGCGCAATAATGATGTCCGGTGCATTTTCTGCCTCGCAGATGGGAAGCAACCCAGCCAGCAATTCAATGACCGAGATCGCGATATTTGACCGGAGCTGATCTTCTACAATCAGGTCTTTCCTTTCTGTTTTGAGATTAGCAGATGGTAATAAAGAAAATTGCGCGAGACGCAGGTCCCGGTACAATCCCACCGTCTAGTTCGTATGTTCCTCCAAAAACCGGCGACGGAAGAGCAGCATCGCTTGCCCATTCATACACATTATTGACGACCTTCTTGTCTTGCTCCGATGGTCTCCTAGATCCCCAAACCTTGAGGAATGCCAGGGCAAAAAGGAGGTTTTCGCATATCTAGGATACTGTGAGTGGGGTATTTATGCAGCGGTATGGGGGGACAGGAATTCGGTCCACAAACCTCTGTACTGCTTGCATCGCTTTGAGATGATACATACTCTTGCAGAGGGCTGAGATCATCAGGAATTGAGACGCTGGCGAGCTTCGACTCTGGCAATACAAATGAAGCCGAATTCCGTTGCTGGAAAGCATCACGTGCCGCGTTGCGCAACTCCCCTAGGAAGTGGTCATCCATCGTGTAGGTTCAAAATGCAGCGAAACCACTGTATGTGCTGCCAGAATGATAAAAAGAGCGAAACATGGGCCGAGTGATGGTCCCAATACGAATTATCGATACGTCAGCGAGTAGATGCAGGTGTGAAGAATTCGGTTTGGATAGGCAAGCGGTAAGTAATGTACCTCTCAGGCCGCGATGCAACAAATAACTATGGAAGAAAATAAAGATAGAAACTCCGACAAGAGCTCACAACCACGGCATTAAGTCGTTCACGTTTCATGTAGAAGCACTCTATAACTCTCCCTTTCTAGCAGAGAGATTCTCCAGCGCTTTCTCTTTGTCTGTACATTCCGGATGAAGTAGCTGCCACTCCACGACCATTTCTACGGCTTTGGTCATCCACGGCCCCTTCGGCATTTTGAGGTGCTCGAAAATCTCTTTTCCGTTTACGATGGGCTTCATTTCCCAAACGTCCTGCAGATTTTGATCTACGATATATGTCAAGAACTTGTCATAACCTTGGATGACTGTTGGCAAGCGTATGTCAGTGTGTTGGCCCGGATCTGATCTCTGAAAGCTGTAGACCCACCTTGTGAAAACTCGCCTCCTCGCATGACCTCTTGCAGCAGAGATAAGACTATGCACAGCCGCCAGTCCTTTCTCCACGATCGAACATGCAATCCAATCTGTTGGCGGTTTTCTGCATCGGTGCCATTCATGCGGCCATGCACCAGTGACGACTTGACATCGATAATGGAGCGCCAATTGTGAGTCGCATCGCTGAGGATTGCCATCGTCTTGTTGTCAGACCGGAGACTGTCTCTGGCCACTTCGGCTGGTCGTGGAGGGATGGGTTTCGGCTTAGGGCCGGTTGGGACGCGTCCTGGAACGGCTGACCAGGGAGCGAATGTAGCGACTATCCATGCGTAATAGGCCTCGCTCGTGTCACGGATTAGCATGTTACGTACTTTGCCAACAGATGCCGAGGAATCTTGAGAAAATAGCAAGGTGGCCAGCGTGTTGTAAGATAGAGACCAGGTTGAGGTATCGGCGCACGCATCATCCTGGTGGTTTGCGAAGATTGTCGGGTAAAGTCCATAGCGATCAATCAGTTCCAAAGCTCCCCGCGGATCAGGTCCTACAGCTAGTGAGCAAAAATATTCAGGTGATTGATGGAAATTACCGACCTTGAAGCATGCCGTTGAGTTCTTTCCCGACGCGTTCCTTGCTAATTTTGAGCTTGAGGGCCTCGCTGATCTCACTGGTTTGCATCGCCCTTGCAGTGCTCTCATCGATACTATAACCCAGTCGACTAGCAAATCGGATGAGACGTAGTACGCGCAGGGGATCGTCCTTGAACGTTTGGTATGGTTCCAGGGGGGTCCGGATAATTTTCCTCTTCATATCATCGAGGCCGCTTCCAGTAAGATCCTCCACCTTGGACTCGTTCAAATTGTAGAAAAGCGCATTGATCGTCGCATCGCGGCGTACGGCATCCTCCTCGGCGGTGCCAAATTCCATCTGAGGGTTTCTGCTGTCGTCCGTGTACACCTCCTTCCGCAAGTTCACGAAGTCTATGTCTAAGCCGAATATTTTCGTCGTCACTGTTTCTAGGTGTTTGGACTTCTCTGGATTGGCGTCGATCTTATGAAGCTTGCCGATGTGGTTGGTCGTGCCGCTCTTCGCAAGTTTTTGCTTGTACTTGTCCAATCTCTTTGGCTTGTCCAGGTACTTCTTGAGTATCAAGCCAAACTGATAGCCGGTCATTGTATTGATTGCCACATCAATATCATGGCTGTCGACACCTAGAAGCTTGTCCCGCACCCAACCTCCAGTGAACCGAAGTACGGTTCGAGGAAGATCCGCGTCCTTTGCTCCATCTTGAATCGCCTTTTCCCGCGCATATTCTGCAACATCCAGAAGGAGGGTTTTCAAGGTATCCTCCAGGGGAGTGAGATTTATCACAGGCAGTGCGTGGTCCGTTGTTCCCGCCATACTGTTTCTGGTAGACTTGCGCGGGGTGGGACTGGAGATACGTCGCCTTTTGTTAGCGCGCTTAGGAGAAGTATTCGGAGATTCGCTCGAGGTCATGGAATAATTGCGCGACGATAGACGAAGGCCCGGGTCAAAGAACGGTGGGGTTGCTATCGGAGCAGAGGTTCTAGCATAAGCTGGAGATCTTGATCGGTTAGAAGCATGAGCGATGCGGGACGGATAGCATTTAGAGAAGGAACGAAGTGGGGTGGATCTGAACATTGACACCAGCCATGCCAGGGACCGAGATCGCGGGCACGAAGCTGTAGAATAAGTCGATTCCAGGGGAATTGCAAAGAGAGCGAGAGAGCGAGAGAGAGAGAAGAGAGATTGTGACGCAGCAAACAAAGCGTCAATCACACCGCCTTCCTTTCTTGGGTTACACCATATGATTACATCTATAGTCACGGAATTTGTGTACGGTTATATACGGATTTTTGAATAGGAGAATACTTTCCAACCATGTAAATATGTATACAAAAGAGTCATGGGTACGTGGAACAGCTGGACCTGCCAGGGCGCATCTGTCGGCGAATGAGGCACGTTCCGACGGACTGCACCACGTTGGTGATTCTGCCGTCCAACTAACCAACTTACTACTTCCAACTCATCATCGCTCATATTCCGCTGTCCACCTCGGTTGGCCTTCTTTCAATTCCTTCCCGCTTTCTTATATCTCTCCATCTTCCGAATTTGCACCTGGCCCCTTAACAGCTTCCCTTCTTTCACCCTTGTCGTTCAATACCTCCCGTTCATGGGCGCCCAAGCCATCTTAATCTTTGTTAGTCTTGCATCGGAACCCAATCGGTGTCCATGACATCGCCCGGAGATGCTGCTCCGGTCAGACCTCCGCCGTCTTTCTCGCCCGGCGTTCCCCGTGTCGCATCGAAATCGAGATACCCGGATCAGCGACGCGACTCGTCTCCGGCTCTAGATGCAGACCTGGTGGAGTCAAGAATCGGCGCATCCCCTCCCCCTCCGCTCGCGTCTACAACGGCGGAGCTGCCGATCCGGTCCGCATCGCCTCATGCTCGCTCGCTGAGGTCCTCCACGCCGCAATTGGCCCGATCGTCACTCGGGTCTCCTGTCGAGGGGCGAGGGGAGGTGGCGGAGGATATACGGTCTCTGATTCTACGGTCCTTCTCGCCGGTAGTCGGGGTTTACGCCTCCGTGGATACCGATGAGTTGGTGCAACAAAAGGGTTTCAAGGGAGGTTTCTGGGATCTCATACGACCATTCGGAGAAAATGTACCGGGAAAGCTCGTTATCCGAGATAGCATTGGGGCTAGCCGCGGCTGGGACGACTTTGGCGTGCGGTTTGTGGACTTGGGAAGCAGCGGTTGGACTACGGCCCCTGGGACGGAGCGAGTATCGCCTCTGACCCAGGTGGAGGAAGTTTTGGAAAAGCAATTGAACCCAGATGGGAGTCTGCTGGGCGGAACACTGGGCGCTAAGGACCTCCTCAACTTCTCCTCAACGTCCCCGTTATATAAAATGTTTCTGCGCCAAATTCTATCGGTAGCGACCGCGACGCCACACGAGACATTCCGCCATCCAGTCGCCAGCATTATCGTCATCAGTTCGCGCAATACGTCGCCTCTCGAGACCCTCAGGCGACTATATGCAGACACCAGTAATGGTGACCGAAGATTGCCCGGATGGATACATCCTGAGTATCTGCGATATTATGTCCTGGTGCACGATGAGGACAGGGATGATATCACGGAGTCAACCAAGCTTTACGACCAGATGAAGCGGCATTTCGGACTTCACTGCCATCTGCTGCGGTTACGAAGCAATCAGTGTGTCGTAACTGACGACGATAGCGTCCAAGTGCCTGAATGCGAATGGCTGTCGCCATCAGAACGTCTGTCAGACCAAGCGGGTAGGCTCACCCCATTTTCTTGATACCTCATCAAATCTAACGTTATGCAGCGCCTCTAGTGGATCTCGACACCGATGGCCTTCCTTACCTATTTGACTCCGATGTCATGGCCATCAAGGCTTTTGTCCGTGAATTGGTCGCGCAGTCTGTCGTACCATTTATGGAGAATCGAGTATCCGTGTGGAACGATCAGGTAGCTTCTCGCAGGCGGGGGTTCAGCGGCCGCTTCATGTCCATGTCGCGACGATGGGCAGGTTTTGGATCGGGGTCTCGATCCAGCTTTGTAGGGTCTGGCGGTGGAGCCAGCGGAAACTATGATTCCGCCCATGGCTTCTACAGACCCGACGTACCGGAAGCCACACTACGCAAGATGGCCGATTTCGCTTTCATGCTTCGGGACTGGAACTTGGCGGCATCGACCTATGAGCTGCTTCGCTCAGACTACGCAAACGACAAGGCATGGAGGTACCATGCAGGCGCGCATGAGATGTGCGCCGTCAGTACACTCCTAGGTCCCATTGCGGGACCGACGAGAGCCAAGCTCGAGGGAATCGATCAAATGCTTGAAACTGCTTGCTATTCTTATCTAACACGATGCTCTGATGCGCCCAACGCTTTGCGCTGCCTTTGTTTGGCAATGGAACTGTTGAAGTTTCGTGGGGGCTCTGCTGTTGAGAGCGCGGCTAAATGGGCCATGCGGGCCATGGACCTGGGTTTAGTCGGCTCTATTGGTCAAGGTCTCTTGAGTGAACGGATCTCAGCCTGCTACGCCGCTCGAAACCCCGTCCCGGGAGTCAAATGGGGTGCTCGCCGGAGGAAGGCTGGCATGTGGAGCGTTCTTGCTGCCGACCTGTGGCTTAAACTCGGAAGACCCTCATTGGCATCCGCGTGCTTGGAAGAAGCAGAACGTCTGTATTCTGATGTCTTAGACGGCGACGGCGCATTCCCCATGCCGGAGATCCAGAGTTTCATCGACAATTTACGACACGCCGTGAGGGTGGAATATCTCGAGACGAGGGGATTAGACACTCGGGACCAAACCATCCCGGCGGAACCCCTAGAAACGGAAGAAATGGGCGAGAAGCTAGACAGGCGCAAGAACCGGAGGTCACTGATGAACAATCCGCTGGACTCAGCCGGAGGGTTCAATCTAGAGCAAGGTATCCGGGATAATGACAACCCAGCCAATGACGATTTTGAACGAGCATAGGTACTAAGAGGTCTTATGGGCGTATGAGAGGATATTCGGTATTTAATAGACATTCGTGAGCAATGAACATTCTGTGATTGTACATTTATGAAGCTTTTCTCTGGTATCTGGTATTCCTTTCCAGTAAACATCGATCGATGGCGCGGGAGATCGATCCATGATGTCACGTGAGACCATCTTATCGATAAGTCGATGATCGCCGTCATGCCGAGCAACCAGCAGATGATCGTTTGTTGACACCAAGACGACGCCATCTCTCTGGCTGAAAGCCTCCAAGGCACAGCAGGACTTGAACCTTCTCTGCACATATCAGGCCCATATCTCATATTATCAAATTATCCTTAGCTCTTTCAAATCACCCTACACCAACCAACACCTCAGCCACCGACAATGAACGACCTCCTCACCTTCATCCTATCCCAGGATGAATTCAGAAAGTCAGTCACCCCTCCAACCCAGTCCAATCCCGCATACCATACAATCCAATCCTAACATCCTATCCCAGGAACCGTCTCCCCTCACTATACTCCGACTTCGCCATCCACCGCAAAACCAACCCAGACGGATACGCCGTCAACGTCGCCGCATGGGAACAAGTACTCCTGAAGGCCGCCCGCCACGGATATATCTCCACCAGCAGCATTTCGTCATCGACGTCTTCGCAGCCGGGGAGACGGAAGAATAATCATTTGATACTCAGAGCGGATGAGAGTTTGTTGCGCGCGCTGGAGACCTCCGAATGGGGACGGCCGATTGCGCTGGGGGCGGTTTTGGTATGTTCTGTTCTTATGGTTTGGTGTGGGTATGAATCGGGAGAGATGGGACGAGTGATGGAATCAGACTGGGTGTGGGTGTGGATTTGTGCTGACGTCGACTTGGGTTGCATAGGACGAGGCGGTTCAGAACCGCGTGATGGTGCCGCTGCAGATGTACCGGGCTAGCTCGACGAGCTTGAATAAACCGGGTTGGAACCTGATCGATCCTGCGATGCTGAGCCCGTGGAATGTGATGAGCTGGGGGCTGAAGCAGCTGAAAGGCGTTGTGGTTGGATCGGGGTCTGCGCCTCACTTGCAAGCTCAAGATCTGGTGCTAGTTGAGAACTTGAAGGTATGAAATCTGCTGTTGCTGTGATATTTACGGACGGACTGGCTGATGGACGTCCGTGCGTGCCCTAGGAAACTGCTGGGCTTGTGACCAAGCAGGCGACGGCCCAGAACCCGTCCAAGACCGACCTCATCTACTCTAAGGAACGCTTCGTGAACGAATTTGCAACGGTACTACATGAACAGAGCGAACTGTCTAATGACGATTTTGATGTTCTATTGTTGTATCTATCCCGCGATAGCGGAGCCATTGCTTATGATGGCGAGGTATGTACAATTTGCATTCTTCGTGAGATGCATTTCATTAATGTTGAATGTTATCCAGACGATCAAGTTTCGGTCTTCCAATGACACTTCCTCGGAGATCACCCAGCAGGACACGGCCATTGGCTCTATCAAAACGGCCATGTCAACAATGATAAAACAAGTGGAAAGCTTGGAGAGAAAAATCACAGAGCTGAATGCTACCGCGAAGACCGCTCTACACAACAAGAACCGGATTTCGGCGCTGGCCGCATTGCGCTCCAAGAAGCTTGCGGAGCATAATCTAAAGCAAAGACTAGACACCCTGACGCAATTGGAGGAGGTTTACTCCAAGATTGAACAGGCCACCGATCAGGTCCAGTTTGTCCAGGCGATGGAGGCAAGCACCGGTGTGCTTCGCGGGCTGAATACCCAGATCGGAGGCGCTACCAGGGTTGAGGACGTTGTCGACGAGCTGCGTGAAGAGATGTCTAAGGTGGACGAGGTTGGAACCATCATGAACGAGGCCGGTCCTCAAATCGACGAGACCGAGCTAGACGACGAGCTCGAGGAGCTGGAGAGCAAGGAGCGACAGGGTGAAGAAGAAAGAGAAGCAGAGGAAACTCGCCAGAAACTCGCCGAGCTCGACAATCTCGAGCAGCGGGCCAAAGAAGCCGCACGCACGGCCTCAGAAGGACAGAACGTGGATACTGAATTAGAGGATAGACTGTCCCGCATGTCCGTGGAGGAAGGCCACGGAACCACGTCATAATAGAGCAGGAAACACAACCACAGGAGACATCAGTCTCTGGGGTATGCAGTGCTCGCAATAGCAACAGCAAAGCACCAGTGCGAAAGGAAGACTACTGCGGAGCATCGATTACTGGGACATCACTGGGCTCTTGAGTTTCGCAGACTTCGTTTTCCGCGACCTTGGTGATACCCGCAGGGTCCGAGGTCTGCTCCTCCGGCTTTTGCGCCTCAACTTCTGCAGCGGGAGGCTCGGGCAGTTGCTCTGGGGCCGGTTCTCCTGGTGCACCTTCTGGTGCTGAAGATGTTTGTGGTATCGTTGTGCGAACTTGGGCCTCACTTCGTTTGCGAGCATTTGCAATCAACCGCTTGAAGTCACTGTCATGATCGGTGGACCACGCGGCTGAGTCAAAATCTTTTCGCATGACCGAATTCGTCATCTCCAGTTGCGAAGATGCATTGCCGCCTTGTGTCCGCTCCCAAATATCCAACTCGCTCAGCAATTCTCTTTTGGATTTAGGTGTTTTGGAGTCACAGTTGGCATTCCACAAATTCATCCACTCCGTGTGACGCCGTTGTATGAGGGGTCGCGGTCCCCAGTTCGGTATACCCAGGTCTTTGAGCTTTTTTCGCAGAACATTGTCTTTCAAGATAGAATAATGTATAATGGGAAGCCTTTCGGGTTGTTTGTTTGTCGATTGCTTGCGCGCCGGTGACATGGGCTGTAGAGATCTGAATTTTACTATTAGCTGAGAACCTAGTTAGAGCATGAGCCAATCTTACCCAAATGATACCTGTTTAGGAGGCGCCGGGTCTCCTGTGCAGCTGTCAAGGTGAGCGAATACTGCCTCATTCTTCATTCTCCGCCTGCAGATAGGGCACGCGACCAATCCATCTTCTAGTTCACATTAGACACCCGCCGTAATGCATTCGCCCAGTGCCGGGTTAAACATACCCGGAATATACTCCTCGTCCTGACTGTCTTCGATAACCTCTGTTGCAGCTGGCTCCGACGCACGGTCGCCTCTGCTTCGCGATCGGGTCTGTCTTCCCTCACTCGGAACCGCTTCAGGACCAGCCTGTTCGGCAACCTTCCGCTTCTTCGACGCAGGCTGATCTGTTTCCCCTTCTCCAGCATCACGATCTGCGGCCCTCCTCGCCAGTTCTAACACGCTCGGTCTTGCGTTCTGGAACGCCTCTACCAGCTCCTGCATCGCCCAATTCCGCCGCAACTTGAGCTCCTGGTCAGAGCTTCGGCATGCGGGGCATTTCCCTTCGGTGCTCAGACATCGCCGAATACATAGCGAACAGAACGTATGACTGCACGAGGTAATCACCGGGTTGTCGAAAAAGTCCTTGCAGACCTGGCAGCGGAGGGAGGATTCGAGAGGCGTAAGGAGCGACAGTGGCGTGTCGAGCCAGTCGGTGGAGTCAGGGAGATTGAATGACGGCTCCATGAGGTGAGGAGGATACCGGCGCAGCTGATGAATTCGAGCCCAGTCTATAGGTGAACCAACCGGCGTGACTGCGGGCAGGAATTGGAGGGCGTGTTGGGAGTTGACGGAGGTCGGGAAAAGATGTGCCAAGACCCGCGCTGACTGATACGCGTTAAGTGGTTTGGCACGCGTCGCCCGGCATACTCTCTTCTTCTCTTCCCTTGACAATCAATCGCTCTTAAGTCCGCGCAAGGCAAGATGGCTGTCGCTGATTACAAGAAGTATCTGGCGGAGAATGTTCTCAATGAGCGCCGGACGGTACGTTTTTTCTCATTGTCAATAGATGTGCGAAGCTCACTTCCATGTCTTTCACAGGTCACTTATCGCTCGTTGAGTAGAGCTCTCCGGGTCCACTGCACCTTGGCCAAGCAGTAGGTCGATCAATACTTCGTTACGAATCGCCATGTCTAATGAATGGAAGAATGCTATACGACTTTCACCACAGCGAAAACACCAAGAAACCGAACAGCGTCAATGCCACCTACCTTCTCACGGGCATCCAGAAACCACCCACTCCCCCCACTACGAACGGTGCACATGCCAATGGCGACGACAACGAAGACGATGTGATGGCTAGCAGCCCATACCTTCCCAGCTCCATGCCAAACCAAGATGCGATCACTGATGATGTCGCCACCGCCTCTGTTATCCTCGCCCGAGAGGAGGATCTCGAAGGTAGGTACCAATTGCGATGTCGGGCCGAACCCGGATTGTTAACACATTCGCACAGATGCCAAAGACACCTTTCAATCAATCACCTCGATATACGTTTACAGCTTGCAGCCTACAATTCTCCAGGATCTCAATGTCTTGACCGATGTCAGTCGGGAGATGATAAGCAGTCATGCGCATGAGGATCCGCTAGAGTTTGGGAAACAATGGGGCATGATCCAAAATAAGCACGTGAAGGTACTTTACTGCCATCTGTCCGACCTGGACATGATATTAATTATTCGCAGCGGAGAACGGGCGCGCGGCCGCCTGTGCCTGCACCGGCACCGGCACCAGCTTCAGCTCCCTCTTCATCCAAGCCTGTCGTGCCTTCGAAGCGATCAAATGAAGCATCGCAAGAAACGAAACCCGAGCCCAAGCAGGAAGATCCCTCAGAGTCTGCGCAACCATCGCAACGTAGCAATCCTCCGTCTTCCAAGCCTACGGAGAAGACAGCTCCGGTGAAGCGAGAAAAGAGCAACCTTTTCAGCTCCTTTGCGAAAGCGAAGCCTAAGCAAAAGAAAGAAGACTCGGTGACGCCCGCTGCCTCCGGAGCGGATTCGGTTCGTATAATACTTTCCTTCGCATATAGCGGAAAAAGAGGATGTTAACGATTTATCAGGCCGAACCCAGTGGTCCTGAAGATGGTGAGTTTATGCTTAAGCACTACATCCGTTTATCGATAGAAACTAATGATCTCAGTTGTCCTAGACGATGCGTCGGAAGAAGAAGCCGAAGAGCTTTTCCCTGACACCGGCAAGTCCTCGTCCGCTGGCCCACGAGTATCAAGGAAAGAGCGAGAGGCGAGGCTGAAGCAGATGATGGAGGATGAAGGTGAGCTTAGCGAGTCGCGTAGTATGCCATCTATTATACTAATCCGCTCTAGACGAAGAAGAAGACGAGGAGATGCCAGATGTCCCAGAACCCGCCGAAGAATCCAACCCCATCGACGAAGCACCGCCCAAGCCTCCTTCTCCCAAGGAGGAAGTTACTGTTGGGGGAGGACGTCGCAGAGGAAGGCGTCAAGTCATGCAAAAGAAGACTGTCAAGGATGACGAAGGATACCTTGGTATGTGGATCGGCACTCTGGAGTGCTATGGATGCACTGACAGTCTCTCTAGTAACGGTCGAGGAACCCTCCTGGGAGTCATTCTCCGAGGATGAGCCTGCACCGCCGCCCAAGAAGAAACCTGCCGTGAGCGCTCCAAAGGGCAAGGCAGGAGGTAAAGCAGGACAGGGTAGTATCATGTCGTTTTTCGGCAAAAAATAGACAGGCATTAGTGATCTCATGTTTTCTCAAGCGTGGAGTGATCCAAGGCTTGTAGCAGTCTCGAGTGCGGTTAAGGGACCGGAAGGTTCTCTAATGCATGCGAAGTTGTATATCCCATGGCTTCAACAACATTCCATATTGAAGCGAACATCTTAGCATTGACTGATCATCAAATGTCATATTCCTAATGTCAATCCCATTCTATCCACAGATGGCCTGAGGCACCCACGGACACTCGACCCCGCACAATTACATAAGCCCCTCGATGTCATCGAATTTCCGGCGTAACAAGAAAGCAAACAGCCTAAAGATCTCTGCGAATGATCGGCAGCTCACTACGACGGTGACAGCGTTATGGCGCATAGTGTCAAGGATGGGCCGGTCAAACCCCAACAATATAAAGTCGATCGCGACCCTTGGATCTACTGCGGTCCTTCCCCGGTTTGCGCTTCTCCGCATTCCACGCCTTGGCACAGACAACAAATAGTCCACTCTTCAATCCACCTCCATCTGTCCGGATTTGTTTCTACAGACTGGATTGGATCAGCTTTGCGACTGCAAAGCATATATGAAATTCTAGTTCATAGTTAAATTTCCAGTTACCCATCATGACGCGCTCGTTGGCAGCGCTGATCCTCAGCTTCACATTTGCCTTGGGCGCAAGGGGTTCTGCAGGATATCCTGATGAACCTGCGGTTCTTCGACGAGCATGTCCGGACTATGTATCGTATGCTTCAGTGCCACAGTAGGTCACTGCCCCTATTCTCCCTCGTGGGAGACGTTGGACTATCCCGTCTGACCTTCCCATCTAGTCCCCCATATAGCGACGGCCCACTCAAGCTCCCCTTCCAACGACCAGCAACCGAATGCCGTACCTTCAGCTCTCCTGCTGTCGAACAAGTCATTGATGACATTACCTCGCGCATGAAAGACAAAGACCTCGCTCAGCTGTTTCGGAACGCTTTCCCGAATACCCTGGACACAACTGTCCGATGGCATGTGGACGGCACCTCTTCAGTCGCATCGAAATCGCGAAGGGATGGGTCTCAATGGCAGGGTGCCCAGACCTTTATTGTCACTGGCGATATCAATGCGGAATGGCTGCGCGACTCGACGAACCAGTTGACAGGGTACCAGGCCCTCGCGAAGAAGGATAAGAAGCTATACAGTCTCATCCTAGGCGCAATCAACACGCAGGCCGAGTTTGTCATCCAATCCCCATACTGCAATGCGTTCCAGCCTCCGCCGCCTAGTGGACTGGAGCCGGCTACCAACGGGCAAGACGACCAGGTGCATCCGGCGTATGAGTCCTCCGTGGTGTTCGAATGCAAGTACGAGCTCGATTCGCTAGCCCATTTCCTTGCGCTGGGGACGGAATTCTACGAAAGCACCCAATCTACAGAGTTCCTGACCACCCGATGGTACTCTGCCCTGGACACCCTTCTCAGAGTCCTAGACGCTCAGTCACAGCCGACCTTCAACGACAAGGGCCAGCACGTCGTCAACCAGTACACCTTCCAGCGTAAAACCAACCTCGGCACCGAGACCCTCAGTCTGGCTGGTGTCGGAAACCCCTTGAACCACGGCACGGGGCTTATTCGCAGTGCGTTCCGTCCGAGCGACGACGCCACTATTCTCGGATTCTTCATTCCCCCGAACGCGCAGATGGCCGTGCAGCTCAAAAAGACGGCCAAGGTGCTCCGCGCAACCGGGGGCAAGGACGATCTGGCGAAAGAGCTGGAGGAGCGTGGAGATAAGCTCGACAAGGCGATCAAGGAGCACGGCATTGTCAATCATGCTAAATACGGCGATGTATATGCGTTCGAGGTCGACGGGTACGGCTCTCGGATCCTCATGGACGACGCCAATATCCCGTCCTTGCTTTCTTTGCCATACCTGGGCTATGTCAGCAAAGACGACAAGGTTTATCAGAATACACGCAAGATGCTTCTCGAGAAGGACGGTAATCCGTACTATCTCACTGGTTCGGACTTCCATGGCATTGGTGGTCCTCATAGTATGTCTTCCCCCCGACCCTTTCCCTAACTTAAAAACGCTTTCAGGTCTCCATCAAAAAGTCCAACCAGCTAACCTAGTAAAACAGTCGGTCTCCAAAACGCCTGGCCCATGTCCTTGCTCATCCAGGCCATGACCTCCGACTCAGACGCCGAAATCACCGAGTCTATCAATCTGGTCCGTAACTCGAGTCTCCTGGGCCTTGTGCATGAATCGATCAACGTCAACAATATTAAGGATTACTCGCGTCCGTGGTTCGCTTGGGCTAACTCGGTCTTTGCACAAACTATACTGAAGGTTGCTGCGGAGAGACCACATCTTCTTTTTGGGGAGGGCGCGGATCCGTATATAATCGAGTAGATATTATTAGTATGGTACAGTATAGGCATAATTAGGTAGCGGGGGTGATGGTATATCCATCCGACACAGACAAAGACAAGTCGATTCAAAGAACATGGTATTAGACATACTCGCTGGATAATTTAGTTATTCATGCTTCATTAACCATGCACACTATATACAAACATGACTGCTCTCCTCTCTAGGACGCAATCTAGATCAAAACACGTCTCAACCCCTCTGTTCCACCCAACACTCTTCTCCCCGTCACCGGACATCTCCCCTTCCCGCTCTCCCATTTCCCCTGGCGACTCTGGCCCGGTTTCCCGTCGGCTTGTTTCTCGGCGTCCTCGCCATCCCCCGCATCGTCTTCCCACGCGGCGCCTGCTCCATCCCCGTTCATGAAATCAATCTGCCGCTGATGCTCGCCATTCACCCAGTGGAAGATACACACGTAACAATACACGTACCCCGTCTGACAAGCCGTCGGATTAGCCAGCGGATTCAAACACACCGCGCACATCGACGCAACGTCCGAGTCCGCGGGCGGAAGAGGAACCGTGAAGATTGGAAGATACGACGTGGCAGAGACAGGGGGCTGAGCGCGACGACGGGACGATTTGAGAGCAGACTTAGGGGATTCCGGATCTTGTTGCTGCGTCTTCTTCTTCTCTTTCTCCTTGTTCTTCTCCTCGAGCGCTTTGCGCTTCTCCGAGGGGGATATCATTCCGTTGGAGACGGGTGCCGGGAGATCCAGCACCTCGGTGGCTTTACGGGCGAGTTGACGCGAGAAGTCGCTGGCGTGCCACCATTCGAGGAACTTCAGGGCGAATATGGACGCCGGGAGGAAGTAGCGGAGAGAGGTGAGGAGTTGCGGGTACAGGTTCTGCGGGCTCAACATGCCCAGGAGTCCCGAGCCGGGACGAGAGCGAGCGCCTGCGCCGCCGGCGGGCCCGGCTGCTGGTTTAGGCGGTTCCAGGACGGAGGCGATGGCTCTGTGGTCGGCGGCACCGAGACGGCGGATTCGAGTGCCGATGAGCCAGAGGAAGGGGGAGGAGTATTTGGTGTTGTCGAAGAGGTAGGCCAGGTTGAAGGCGAGGATGGAGAAGTAGTAGGCGGCGTTAACGGAGGGGTAAACGTTCCGAAGGAACCACTTATACAGGTGCAGGAGCCGTTGGCGGATCGTCGGGCTGGGAGGTAGGTCGTCGCTGGGGTTGTATCGGGGACCGCCGCTCATGATCAGGGATGCTTGCGGCGCGGCGTGCACGTCGTAGCCCTCGTCTAGCTTGCGTTTCAAGTAGGGGATGCCGACCATGACGAAGAGGTTCTTCCAGACGTCGGAGGAGCGCAGTTTCAGGGTTTCCCGGACGGGGCCGGCAGCGCCCAATTGGGCGCGAGGAACCTCGCCATTCTTGGTCAGGAGAACTCGTTCGCGCTTCAGGGAGTAGAAGTTCTCAGTGAAAGAGCCGCCAAAGGTGCGCAGGTAGTAGCGTTCCACTACGAGCGAGAGGAGGGCGTAGATCTCATCGTACGAGTTTAAGATCCGCAGCAAGTACCGAGGATGACGGTGAGTCGCGACGGCGAGGATGTATCGAATGGAAGGAGGGAGAAGGTCCGAGAGCTGCTGTTCGGCGAGTAGTTCTAGATAAGGCGAGGTCAGTTGAGGTTGGATCGGAATGGTAGATAGGGAATGCAATTACCGAACAGAGAGGGTTTGAGCTCATCGAACTCCTGCTGGAGACTGGGTAGATATTCCATTATGATGAAGAATGCCAGTCATCCCATCCCATCCCATGGAAAGCGATAAGTGGGAGATGCGGAGGGCGAGTGTTCGGCGCCGTCGAAGTCCAGTCGACTTGAGCCGAGGCAATTCGGCCGCTGAGTCAGGGCTGAGTCATCGACGTCTTATCGTGAGGCAGTTTATACCCTAAGAACAGGAGTGGTATCTTGCTTTACTCTCTACAGGAACATTTCAAGGTCCTCTGTACGAAGGTTGACTTTATTGCGGCTCCTTTGATGGCTTCATCCTGATCCTCACATTCACGAGATTCTGTTTCTCTTGCATTAAGATCGAAAAGGTGTCGCAGGTGAAGTCCTGGTCATCTTCTATCCCTTCGCAGGATACATCTTGTCAGTTCCTGGATTGACCAGATGCCCTTTGCAGTAATTTGCCGACTTTATCTCAGTACCGCTCTTGGGTTGTCTGCACTTTATGTTGGTACCTTGGTGCTCTTCGCATTGCCTGAACTCTCTTTCCTTCTTGCAGCCGCATGTGTAGGTTATGTACTCAATCGTGCACATCGCGATGACTAGATTGAATCGGATCAGGAAGCGGTTCGAACATGCAATGACTTTTGACGTACCTGGAACAGAATAGAGACTTGTTGGGTTAAACGAGGTAGGGGTCTTCTAAGACACGGTGAGCTGCTATTGTACATTTTTCGATCAGCTTCGGGTGTCGTGGCTGCACCATACTTTTTTCTGGCTAGTTACAGGGAAGGCGTACCGGCAGCCAAAGTGTGATTCAAAGTTCAAAGCAATGTAGTGCTAAGTTGGTGATGGTAGATTGTAACTAGTGATATGTTTATGGTGGTAGATGATATGGTTCTGTTCTGATGTTCTCCAGACAGAGACAGGGACAGAATAAGAAATGTAGGACATTCACTGCGCCCAGACCCTCCTCTTCACCGTATGCCGTCACATGACGAACGGTTATCCCTCACTTCCTGGAATCTCAATGTAAAGGTCTTCGAAGTAAGTAAAGAAAAGTCCCTTATCTTATCATCTACAACTGCAGGGGGGAGACTCCAGGGCAAGTAAAGGACTCACCAGCCAGAACAAAACAGGCAACTTGCGCAGGAAATCCTTTCCTCTAGTATAACTGACATCTAAACAGCGGATCTTTAGCGCAATCTCCCTATTCTGATCTACCTGTCTACGCCGTACGTATCTGACAACCTGAGCTCCATCGCCCAGCTTAGGGAGTCTGTCAGCGGTGACCCAGTTGTAGTTGCTCTGCCGCAGGCCTTCGTGTCAGAAAAGTATCTGTCTTACGCGATACGTTTTCGTGGGACGACGACAAGGGTGTCTATCTGCTCCAGGGGTTTCGCGGCCTGCACTGCCTTGATCAGCTCCGTCAGGACGTTATCTGTAACACGGATGATACACCGCGATATGTGGGCTTCCAGAGCCCCTCGCAATCGGGGACAGACCAGGTGCGATTGTGTAAGAACTGCGAGGAGATCGAGCAATGGGCGCTGCAGCGAACCGCATGCTTTAGGCATGAGGACTCGATGCCAGGGAGGATGATTGTTCTTTCCTGAGGGGTAGGTGTTCTGGTTCAACGAAGAGGATTCTGGCTGATATGTACTACTTTAAGAAAAGTGACTGATCCACGAAATGACATGACAATGACAAGTTGGCCATCTACAACCATGGCTACCTATATCACTCCCTTAAACCCAAAACCAATCTTCCACGCCCTGCTGGCAGCCATACTAACGAAGGAAACCAACAACAGTGCTCCACACCATGCAATAAGCCCAATCCAGCCGCCTCGTCCGTTCACAATCGCCCCTGCAATTGGATTACTCACTAGTACACCACATCCGACAACAGCTAACGTCATTCCCAGCCGGGCGCCGATCTTGCTCCTATCCGCCGATAGACTCACCACGCCCGCAGCCGGGAGTCCCATGAACGCACCGGCGCAAATCCCGTAGATAACGGAGTAGACGATGAGTCCGGGCGCGTTCTTGATTGCTATGAGGCAGAACGTGAGAACCGCGCCGATCAACGCGACCAGCGTTTGGACGTTGATCGAGCCGAATCGATCGGCGTAGAAGGGGAGGACCACGCGGCCGAAGAGGGAGCTCCCGTTGACGATGACGAGAAGATAGGTCCCTAAAATTGTCGATATGCTGCTTTCTTCGTGGGCGTAGAGCTCGATGTAGTAGAATACGATGTAGAAGCCCATGAATCCAAAAATCAGACCGAGATTGAACAGTAGGTAAAGTGCGTCCGTGAGCGTGGTCCGATCGAACAGGTTGTATCTCGTGGTCGGAGAAGATTTAGATTTCATCAAGCACAAGGGAAGGAGGGAGGTCCCCAAGACGATGAACGCGATGACTCGAGTGGCCCAGCCGAAGCCGATCCGGGGCTGGAGACGCGCGAAGATAATCGGGTATATCACGCCACCTAGATTAAGCCGTTAGAGATCAATAAAGGGTTACCTTGGGGACCTCTGCGCGCCATGCCAATCGCACTGCCCGCTGAGGATACGCCCATTGCAAGCGCAGTATTCCGGTGAAAGTACTGCGAGACAACCGCCGGGGCGGGCACGTAAAGGCAACCGAATCCGAGGCCCATTGTGAGGGCCTGTGCGAGAAAAACCTGCCAGTATTGAGAGCAGAGACTCGTCATGAACATTCCGAGAACCGCCAGTAGAGACCCGAGTATGAGTAAGGACCTTAGAAAGCCAGCGTCGACGATGGGTCCCACGAACGCGGACAGGATAAACATGAGAAACGCCTGAGTCGATCCAATCCAGGATATGTCGGAAGGAGATCTTGCATTGAGCAGATCGAGTTTGTAGAAGGTTTGAAACGCCCCAAAAGCATTCATGAGTCCCCTAACGATCAGGAACTTATTAGATATAGATGATGCTTTCCACTTCGATGGTGAGGATTTGAAGCCACTACCAAGTGTTGATATTCAAGCAAAAGGCTCCCAGGACCTGCAGCCAAGCGAAATAATCCTCGACAGGGCCAGATGTGGACGGAAGTTCGATATCGCCTTTTCGGATTCTTGTCTCATCTTTCTCCCCAGTGCTGCTAGGTTTGGTAGACACGGGCTGTGGTATTTCAGAATTGATTTGCTCCATTACCCAAAGTTGATATCACAATAACTGAAGGGATGGAAGGTTGCAGGGAAGAGGAAAAAAGGAGCAGACAGTCAGGAGAAAGCCGGTAGCCCAGTTTGATGGTGGCCCTTTGTTGTGCTTATGTTACACTACACCGGTTCTCACCTCCCTCAGACGAGGACTTACAACAACTTGAATCCTAATTAAACGTGTTGTGCTGCCCGTGCCTTTTTTTTCGATACGGCAAGTGGCAAAACAACAGTGATATTAATGATGATAAATCACTAATCGAACAAAGTGTCACTTTTATTCCCTCTTGTAGATGCAAAAGATTTGAAGTACCAGTATCATGTAGCTATAACTCGATTTTCAACGACTAAAAAGTCTCAGTTCTGACATTCTCTCAACAAGAACGGGGTGTGGAGTAAGCTTTCTGCTGACAGTCGTTCTTCGGGTCGTCTCTGTAGCATAAGAGAGATGAGCGACGCGAGGTTCTGCATATTTTCAGCACCGAAGTCACTAGGTAACCTATCGGTTAGATATCTAGTGAGTCCCTGGCCTTTCTGGCAATTAGAAGACAGTATCTGGTCTATAAGAGTTTCATGTTCTTCGTCAACTTCCTCCCGGGTCAGACCAAAGCTGTCCAGAGGAAACAATGGCTCATATGTTGCCAATTCGGATATCTTGTCGCGAAAGTTAGTGTGACTGGTCTTCAAGACAGAAATTCGAGCATACCAAGCAACCCATGGTCCATATATCAATGCTTGCATTCCAGGATTCACGGCGTATTAGCTCTGGTGCACGCAAGGCCATCGGTGTCACTGGCTGCTGATCACAATGTCGACTTCTTTGAGCTGAAAACATGTCAGTTGTTGTGGGTTCATAAGCCAGCAACAAGGATATATCACCTCCACCCAGATCCCCAATTCTAACCACGAGCGTGGAGAAAGGTGTATTGTCCAATTGGCCCCGGCGCCTCTGCGTAGGCATCAAGTATTTGGGAGCGCTGTCATCCTCTGTCACTCCATCCAGCCACTTGACAGGGCTGAAGTCCGGGGACTGTAGAATTCTCTCATGATGCGTAGTTTCAGCAACCGAAATCATACTATTTGCTGGTTGCAGGTCTAGGTTGGGTAAGCAGATGATTGCATAAATAATCGGTGGAGTGCTGACTTGCCGCAATGAACGATGCCTGACTTATGAAGAAAATCAAGACCCAGCAGAATTTGGCGAGAAACCGTTTTCACGTATCCTACTTGATGCGGGATTCCAGTTATTGTCATCCCTTCCCCATCGGATACCATAACCGGGAGAACAAGACACAGGTGATTCCCATTTGGCCCCTTATGATAGAAGTGATCAAGCAGTTCCATCACATGTGCTTTCCCAGGATGGCTCAAGTGAGAGTTGGACAGAGCAAGAAGCATTGAAAGCTCTTGGTTGTTTTCCGATGCGTCTGCCTTGAGTATCTTCAAAGCAGCTTGCTGATGTGCACTTGAAATGTAGGACTAGTCAGTATTTGATTCCGGTGCCAAAAGCCTCTGTCAGAGTAAAGATGCTTACAGTTTCGTGTCATTTGCAAGCCACACGGTTGAAAATTGGCCATATACTAGCTTTCCAATAATCTCGTATCGTTGATGAAACACATCATGAAGGTGTACTGGGTGATACCCTCCATGGCGATACTCTTCAACAGGCTCTACCACGTCATATATTCTTTCAAAGCGGCGCATTTTGCAACGAAACCTGTCGAGGTACCGGAAAGAAGGTCTTAAGGAGTAGAAGTAAATTCTCAAATTGGAATGTAATGGAAAGCATCTGGTGGTGGAGTGTAATGGAGTGCTCTGCCAGACAGAGAATAAGTGGGATTTGGTAGACCTCCCAATTCTTCAATCCTCCAGAAACAGTACTTGACGAGGGAAGGAGTCCACGGCGCCCAGATGCACGTATGCTGCCACATGACAGACGTTAGGCACAGTACTCTTCACTCCCTGAATTGCGTACATCTACAATAGAAAAAAAAGGAGATATACTTCCTTATATTGAATGACTTATTCCACTACTATTACTATTGTTTTACCACTTCCCGTGTCCGCTACTTATGAAGGCTGAGGACGTAGGCAGAATAACTAGCTTTTCAATGCATGCGTCTCAGGCGAAAGGAGCAATACCAATATCAGGCGCTTATCATACACGCAACACTTTAAGGAACATAGAGAACATATATACAAAGTCCATGTCCAGAATCTAGCATCCAACAAACAAACACAACCTATTCCCTCACCCCTTCAGTAGAAAAATTCTTGCTGAGCCTCACGTCTTTGATGGCACTCATTCCAAATGCGCACCATGGGCCTATTGAGCTGGTTCATAGAATTCTTTTTAACATCCGGGTCCGCCAGGAGGATGCACTCCAAGACAGATTCCCGAAGCTGCCCTTCCAGCTGAATAGGATACTTCTCTCGACTCATCATTGGGAACCACTCGGTTAGACATGATTCTGCGAGGACCGGGTCCCCGAGGCGCGCGTGCGCCTCGAACATCATCTCGTAGTCTTTTTGAGTGCGCGACTGATCATGGATCGGGAGCTGACGCCAGATCTTCCAGAAGCCGTCGTAGTCTTGTGCTTGGAAGCGGAGAGCCATGTGCAGGCGGGTTTCCGTGGCATCGAAAGGGAATTCAAAGGCGTCGATCATGCGGGAGACGCGGTATAGAGCGGAACTCGTGATTTTGTCTTGGTCAGAAAGCCTAGAGGTGGGTTCTTCTGCTTCCGCCTCTTTTTCAGTTTTCGTCTGCGGCTGGACCTGGTCGGGGATAATCATGGCGGCTTTGTAGATGATGTTGAACATCTTAAGGTTCATTAGGTTGGTGCCTTGCGTGCTCAGGTGTTCTAGCACATCCAAGGCCACTTCGATATCCTCGCGTGGTAACGTCATCTTGACTCCTCCTCCTTCGGCAGGCTCATCCGTGGGCTGACCGGCTAGCAGGGCCGACACAATCTCAAAACTGAGGTCGTCGGGGATGACACGGCCCAGGGCGGCATGGTACTCAAAGGTCTTGGCCAGGCCCAGCTTGCTGTATCCCGGGTGATGTCGGTAAATTGCGGTGCAGTACAGCTTTAATTTGGCAAATTCTTTTTCGTGCTCGAAGAACCGAGAGATATTACCATGAAACAATTGCAAGAAAGGTGTAGAGGAAGTATCGTCCGGACCCGTGCCCAGGTCTTTCTGGACTTGCTCGTCCGACAAGCCTGATAGATATTGAAGCAAAGCGTTTACAAGATCGCTCTCCTGAGAACTGGAATACCCGCGGACGGACGACCGAAAAGGTGAAAGAATGGGTGTGTTAGCGGTGCCCTGCATGGCCTGGCATGGGATCCGCGGACGGCCGCTGTGGATCTGTCTTCTCTGTCCGAACGGGGGCGTTACCGGGGTCCTGGTGGGATGTCCAAAATCGAGGTCAGAATGTGATGATGATGATGACGGTGATGGGTTTGTCGATGAGGAAGAACGAACCTCTTTAGGAGGAGAGGAGGGGTTGGCCTCGGCGTATTTCTTCTTCTCTCGCTCGGCTCGGTCCAAGGTCTTCTGCCACAGGCCTTCCAGATCGACTTCGGCTCTCTTCTCCTCGGTGAACATCTGGACCACGACGCGTGTGCCTCCCACGACGGTGCCGAATCCTTCGAAGTTCTGGGCTCCTGGTTCCGGGGCGGCGCTCTTCTCCACGACGCCGGCGTTGACGCAGATCCATCCCGTGGTGATGCCGTCGTCCTTCTCGTCGACCATGGTCCCCGATTGGCTTGCAATGCGGGCTCGACGGGCCTTCCGTCGTAGCTTGATCTTGAGTTCGTTTCGACCCAGCAGTCCGTCCGCGTATGGGGATAGCTTCCACTTGCTTCTCAGCCACCGGCAAAGGCGATCCGCCGAGACGTTCAAATGCTTCACGCTACGGGCGGTTCCGATAATCATAATGACATTGGCACCGAGGGGGGGAGGGGTCTCCAAAGGGCGCAGGTCTATCAGGTTCAAATTATCCAATCCAAGATCCTTGAAGACGTATTCCAGGAGGACGGGGAGGATTTCCGGGGATTGCTCTGGGAGATCCGGGAGTTGGTCTCGAGACGAAATCTGCGACTCGGAGACCGGTGATGCTTCCTGCAGATACCACGGGACATGCGGGGACGAACTGGTTGTCTCGTTTTCCAATGCCGCGTTGCTGGCTTCACTCAGTTCAGGAGTGGACGCAGGAGGGGTTTCAGGGGACTGTTTATTGTGCCAACGCGACACCGAGGCAAAATGCCGGCCATTGGCATTGTAGATCGATTGCGCAGGAAAAGCCCGGCGTGGTATAGAGGCGCCAGGAGTATATACTGAACGGAAAACCTCTGGGCGGCACCAGGGCCGTAAAACCACGCGATTCATGATACGATGAGTCTGGAGGACGAAGAAAGGTACTTGGGAAAAGAGGATTAATTCGCCTGCATCTTCGCCGCTTGGTTCTTCCACCAGTGACGTTTGACTGCAAATATTGCAAACTATGACTAAGCATGATCGGGCAAAAGAACAAACAGAGCAAACATGCTTGCTCTCTTAGTTACTCCGTAGCCATAACTAGCTCATACTTGATCCAAGTGATGTACATAATTGATTTGGTATATCCGTAACACACTGCGTAGAGCATAGAAAGACAAGGTCTAGAAAATCTGGCCCAGCACTTTCTTCGCGTCCTCCTCCAGCGGAACATTATTCTGTATCTTATCCCGGCCCAATTTAACCTCATTCTGCTTGAACAGCCTCCTGATTTTAGCATCCTCTCCCCGGCTCTTCTCACTCTCGACCCCCTCATCAGCCTGCTGCAGCATCCTCTTCTTCTTGTCCTCATTCTTCTTCTGCATCCCATCCAACACCTTGCCCTGCTCCACTCCTTCCAAGAACACCTGGTCCTCCTTGCGCGTCCGCGCATCCTCGATCCGCTGCCTGGCCTCCCTCTCCTTCCTCTCCCTCTGGATTTGATCCACCAGGTCATCCCACCGCAGCCCAGTGAGGTATTTCACGTTGAGGATATCATCATGGTACCAGCTGCCCTTGCGACCGCCGATAATCGACGCGTTCATTGTCTCCGCGCAGATCTTCGCCGTCTTCTTCGATGCAAACTCCACCCATCCGTCGGAGTAGGTTTTGCGCTTGTTGGAGCGGCGCCGCGGCGCAGACGCTGGTCTCACTTCGGGCGATAGGAATACTTTCGTGATGGGTCCGAAGCCGCGCGTCTCGAAGAGCGATTTCAGTGCGAATGGTTTCATGTACGGTGGGAGCGAGGAGAGGTAGACGACGCCCGGCTTCTTCTTCTTCTTTTCCTTCTTTTCTGGCTTGGTCTTGTCCGTGCTTGGTTTCTTGCTTTTCGATGCTTTGGTGCTCGTTTCGTCGTCGTCCGCTAACTCAAGATATTGATCACCGAGGTCGTCCTCTTCATTTTCCTCCTCGTCGTCATCATCTCCATCGCCGCGCTTCTTCGTCGTTGGCGTTTTCGTTGTTGTCTTCTTCTTTCCTTTCCCCTTCGTCTTCGCAGCGGACAATTTCTCGTCTTCATCTTCCGACGCCTCGTTTTCCGATCCGTCCGACTCGTCGTCTCCTAAGAGATCATGTGTCTGCTTCGTGCGTCTCCGTTTCGCATTCCCAATTTTGCTTTCCTCCGCGGCTTCGGAGTCATATCCGCGATCGTTGGCTTCGTCGTCGCTCGAGCCGCCGATGTCGAGGAATTCGTTGTATTTGCGGGTGGACATTTCCGGTGCCGAATGCGATGGAAGTGGCGATATGCCCTATTTTCAGGTGATTTTTTAGAGGCGTCTCTTTTCTGCGCCGAGACTGAGAATCAAATAAGGTGAGTAGGTAGTGAGGGATAGTGAGTTTGTTGGGGTTGGAAGTTAGATTCTCTCGGAGGTTTGTAAAAACGCCGCAACTTTTTTTTTCTGCGAGGTGGTCTGTGCGGGGTCCGTTTGCGCCAATCAGATGGACGGGATCTTACTATTGACGCAAAGATGGACAGTTTCCGGGTGCTAAGGATGTTGATGGATTTACAGGTTCAGCGAGAAGAGATGGTCTTTGAATGAGCTTAGTGTAGTATGATTCAATGCAGTATATCATTTCGTTTGACACGCAACAGACTTCAACTATGTACTTGTGTACCGCAATATCCTGGATCCCCTTAACACAGAGTAATATGGGTATGAACAATGTAAAAAACAAAAGGAAATTGTAAGACGCCAACGTCTTCAGAGCTCTATGTGAGATGAGCGAGGTGGGGGAGAAGGAGTACATAAAGGAACAGTAACCACGAGAGCAATCCCTGACAGCTTCCGCTTCAATGCAAAAAGGAATCGAGGTAGAGGTATGTATGGACCGAACAGATAGAAGATCAAATTCCAAGAGACCACTTCAGTCTCTCGTACACGAAAAATCCGGTCGCAGTCATCGGCATCACCTTAATGTAACCGATCGTCAGTCCAATGAAGAATCCACGGAATCCCCGCTCCAGGAAGATGGTGCGGGCGGTTTCGGCGATTCCGAGTCGATGGCCATCACCGACAACACCTCCGACTTGCATGCGCCTTCGGATCACCTCAAATGGATATGATGCGGTTTGCGAGAGCAGGCCGGCGATAGCTCCGGAGAATAGCTCGGCGGCAGCGGTCAATTGCGGCCGTCGTAAGGCTTTCTGTGTTTGCTGCTGAGCGGGAGAGAGGTCGGAATCGGGGATGGTGGTATAGTGAGAGACGGAGGGAAATCGGAGCCAGTCGCCGACGGTATCGTGCACGAGGAAGGAAATGCCGGCGTAGGGCAACATGCCCATCATAGTGGGTATGAATCCGCGGTAGAAGTTGGCGATACCCGAGCTGGGCACGACCTTATTCACGGACGAGGACACATTTTCGACCGTGGCTGCGGCGGTAGCGCCGGTCACTGACGACGCGGAGATTCCGCTCGACGTAGAGGGCGGCGAAACCCGTTCGCGGTAAATCTGACGGAAGACATCTCTCAAGGATGATCGCGAGGACTTTTTTGTCTCGAATGCTAATCGCACTCGGATGAGTTCTAAGGGGTATGTGAAAAACACCGATGTGATGCCTGCCAGACTGCCGGACAGGAGTCGGCGACCCGGAGTCTCTTTGTCGCGGGACGGAATGACCACCGCTCGAATCTGCTCATAGGCGAGGAATTTGATCGCTGCGTAGGGGAAAATGCGAAGAAGCGTGGCGGAATGGCCTTTATAGAGGCCTCGGCCGCCTTCGTGTCGTTTGATATCGCGAATTGCCGCCACCAGGCCCGTCCAGCTGCCGGTGTATTTGGCAAACTGCGGATTCGAGGCCTGAAAAAGAATCTTGACCCGGTCCAAGGGGGCCACCACCGTTTTGGCCTAACATATCCCAACCCGTCAGCATTTCGCCATGCCGAGACCACCGAAATGGTATAACAAATAATATTCAACTTACAGCACACCCCGCTAGACCCCCCGCTAACCCGCTCCTTGCGATGTATTCCAAGCTACGCTTGTTCGCCTGTCGACCATCCTGCTTGCTATGTGTGCTCTGAGCACGGTCGCCTTGAGTTGCTTGCGCTGTAGCCACCGCTGCATTCCTGTGGGTATCACTAGTCGTTGGCCCACGAACTGGTCCCGACTGTGCTACCTGTTCCATCTGAGCAGTCGGGTGCGGGACGGATTCCGCGGTCATATAATGGAAAGAATGGGAGCTGTGTGCGATCGAGCAAGACTCTTTATGCGCATAGTCTGAAAGGGTAGCAGACATAAAAGCAAGGCGAGGCAAAAAGCCTGGTTCGGTCACGCGGGCTACCGGAGATTCGGGGCCATGGATATTACCCCTACAGTTGCACGTTCAGACCACTCCGACTGTCTGTATCAAGCTGAAGTAAAAATGGGTTCAAGGCGCGAGATTGTGGGGAAATAATCGCGGGGAAAGTAGAGGGCAGAAACTGGAGCGAGTCGAAGAATCGGCAATATGGACGAGGAAAAAGGCGAGCGGCGATGATGGCATCGCAGAAGTCGGCGGAAGAACGGGCGGCAGGTTACCGTCCTGACATGCCGATACAAGCCGCCGACGCCAAGTGACCCGGGGACATACCGTCACGATACGGGCGCGGTATTCGGGTGGCGGGTCACGGGTGGCCAACGGCGCTCGGCAGTTTGGTCAGCAGTCACATGTTCTCGCTTTACATCGGATATGCATCTGCAGCCTGAGTATACAAAAACAACAAATATCCATTCGAACTCCCTCTATAACCAAAATGCCGGTTGCCAACTGTAAGATGTTGTATGTATAGGTGTGTGTATATATAGAGGGGCTGTATCGAATTCCAAACTTTCATGGTCTCATCGCTCATGCAACCCAAGAAAGACCCTTTTCTTTTCAAATATCAAGAACAAACAATAATTGCGACCACCTCCCAAGTGTTGCCCTTCCATCCCGGGATCACTGACATATACAAGGACCGTAGAACGCCAGTAAATTTGAATAGACAAACAGATGCGACAGACGCCGGCGCATCTAGAAATTGTACCGCGTGCCTTGCCTCGTGAGCGGCTTGCCTTGTCGATTCGTCGCCTTGATCTCCTTCGGTTCATCGGTGGTCCGCTTCGCTCGCTTGGCCGGCCGAGATGCATCCACATGGAGATGTCCATTTTCCGATAGCGCCGTCATGTTGTGCCATTTGAGGCAACGATGCTGGTTGTCGCCCGCGTATGTTTTGGTTCTCGTGGTCATCCGCTTGGCTGGCGCCTCCTCGGACTCGGCCCTCTCTGCGGTTTGCGCCAAATACTCCTTGCGGCGGTTCATAGACTTCGCGATGTGGTCCCGCTGCAGCAGCAGCTCCTTGCGCAATTTCACCTCGCGGTTTCCTCGCGTATCCAGCCAGTCGATGAGTTTCTCTAGCGCTTCCGGTTCGTCATAAAAGCCCCATTCGTCGGCATTTGCAAGTCGAGTAGAGCCTTCTTCGGCCTTCCTGCGCTCCGCGGGCGTGGTCTGGAAATCCTTCTGGTATTGCTTCTTCTGCTCATCGGTTACGTCGATGAAGCCCACGCGCTCCATCTCGTCAGGCCCTTGGACCCATAGGCGACCGTTGGCGTATGCGGCCTCGGCCGTTGAGCTGTTGGGCATTCCGCCATAAGGCATCGCATTTCGCTCAAACCACCAGTACCGATTGCAGAAGCGGTCCTTGCCGAGACATCTTGTACGTGGGCAGTCGGCTTCCCTCAGGTCGTTGTCAACCACATCGATCTTTTCTTCCAGCTTGGCGACTTGCGCTTTCTGGTCTTCGATCTTTTTAAGCACTCGCTGGTACTGCTTGGAGCCCTTTGGCTGCTTGGCCAATTGCTCCTTTCTCTCGCGTTCCTCTTCCTGCTTTCTCTTCCGTTCTAGAATTCTGTCCATGCCACCCCGCAATGACCGTTGTTTAGGTCCGTCGTCCTCGTCCGTATCCATGCCTTGGTCAGACTCTCCATCAACCCCAGTCATCTTGGAATCTTCCAATGCCTCCAATTCGGGTGCTGGGGTGGGTGACTTCTCGGGTTCGGGCTGGAGGGCTTTGCGTTCTTGGTGTAATCGACGAAGTTCTTCGAGACTATCGTGGGGTTAGCTAAATCAATAGGCAACATGCCATGACACTTACGCTGCTTTGCGAGACTTTTGGTACTCGATCTTCTCTTTGCGAAACTCTGTCATCTGGTTGCTGCACTCCTCCAAGTAGTTGCGAATGGCTCTGGTTTCCAGACTGAGCATGCAGATGATTTGAAGAGCCTGGATGCGCAGGTTGACGTCGAGGGTAGAGTACTGTTGCTGGACCGTCTCCTGGGTGGGCTCGACATCAAGGGGTGCCAGATGCTTGAGAATGTCGTTACAAACTTTTTCCATGCGAGGGCGCATGGACAGCCGGTGCAAAAGTCCCGCCATGACCAACTCCCATCCACCATTTCGGAAGTCGCGTTTGCGGAGACGGTCAATCCAAGAGTACTCTGCGAAAAGCTCGGCGGCACGGTGCACTTGAGCTTCTACCGAGTTTGACCGACTGCCGTTCGCTTGCGATTTCAGATTTAGCGCTTCAGCCTTGGCCAAGCTACTGCGAGTGGTCATCCTGGTAACAACCGGTTCAGGAGTGGCGTCCTCTTCTTCCTCATCTCCTTCTTCGTCCTCGGCGTCAGAGCCTTCCGAGTCTTCGTCGGGAAGATCGGGAAGGGAGATCTGCACGGCACCCTCGTCATCTTTCTCGGCGTTTACCAGCTTCTTCAGCACGGCACAATGCGTTTCGACGAACAGTTCGCAGTCCACGTCATCCGAAGTAAATCGCATTGCCTGGAAGAAATCATCAAAAGTAAAAGAATCCAGCTGGAAGACTTCGCAATACACGTTGAGCGTGTTCCAGGTCTCGAGAAGCAACCCCACCGACTTCATCTCGAGCTCGTCATACAGAAGATCGCCGTCATCCTCAACCTCGTCGGTTTCATCGATGTTAACAAACTCCAGGGGCGGCCGCTGCTTCTTCTTCTCGCGATCTGGTGCGATATCGAGATCCTCGATGGGGTACTTGATCGGCGGCGGAGACGGTGGTCTAGGGGACTCGGCTTTGACGACCACGGCGGTCGCAGCTTGTGGCTTCTTTTCGGCCTCCTGGGATTTCGACGAACGGGAGGCACCGGCGGGCTTGTTGCTGACGACGAAAGTTGGGTTGCCGTTGAGAGAGCGCTGGTATTCGAGGAACTGTGCTTCCTTTGAGCGGGCCATGTCGTTGGGCGAAGGCTTTGATTTTGGGGCCTTTACCGCTGGTTTCAATTCAGGCAGCTGCTGCGAGGCGAAGAATCCGAAAAATCCATCCTGATCTGCCTTCTTCATGGCCTTCTTCTCAGCGACCTTAGCTCCATACTGTAAGTGCTTCGGTACTTCGGTTGTTATTCTATATTCTTCGGCGATGGAGGATTTCACAAGCCAGGGAGCACCGCTCCAGGACTCCCGCGTCACGTTGTTCTTGATGAAGGCACGCAACATTTGCTTGGTAAAGGTTTTGCGGTCTCGGGTGATGTGCTCTTGGTCTAGAAGCGCCTCTTCGTTCGGACGGTCAAGGACCTTCACGAGGTATGTCGCGTACGCCGGAGTTTTAACCGTCCCATCGTTATTTAGCTGTTCCGCAAAATTTGCCTTGTCGCGGATGATGCCGTGGAGACGCGTATTATCGTCCAGCAGTATCAGAACGGGTTCTCCGGGGTAGAAATCTTGCTTGAATTCCTGCGCTTGTTCAGTTGCGTCCTAAAAGCCGATGACAGTGATTAATTAACGATGTTACTCACTTCGAAGACCTCGTCCACTGTGAAAATGAACGTTAGTCTCAGGTACCACTTTAAATCATTTGAAAAGTTTATACGCACCAAGATTATCGACCCGCGACACTGTGGAGAATTGTATTCTGCGCAGGATAGGCTCCTTCAGAGCATCGGGGAAAGCGCTGTTAACTTCCTTCGATTCCTCCGTCTGATGATTCCAGTATAAGCAAAAAATTGACCTGCGCGATTGAGGAAGTCTGGGTTGTCGCATACCTCGCTTCTGAGTGCCTCGAAGAAAGTCAATCCTGAATGACCAGTGATTTCGCATATGAATCGTCGTTGCTTGTAAAAGTCCATCCGCTGCAGGTAGGGTTCATAATTCGTGAAGACCTCGTTGGTCTCCGGAATGACCCAGACCTATACGACGCTTGGTCAGTAGGTTATCTTTGCCGTCGTCTTCGAACAAATTGTACGTGCCTCGGAGCTGTCATCTTCGATAACTGGTCGCGGAAGGTACTGGACGGGTTTCCGCTTGAACAACACCTAGGTCAAAGATGTCAGTTCCCGATTGCGCTTTTTGCCAGCAGGTGTTCCATAATGATTTCGTCCATGACTCTGGGTTTGATCCAGACGCTCATGAGAGTTTCAAAACGTACCATAGTCCTCCACGAAATGCAACACGCGCCTATTTAGTATAAACCAACCAAGATGTTCACCATGGATGATCTGTAGTCGCAGTGGATAGTCAGCACAAAGCCCATTGGTACAAAGAGGCGAATGGGCAGATCAAAGAAAAAACAAAGAAGTGAAACAAATTGAAGGTCAAAGAAAGACCGCATAGAACGGAGTCCGTTGCGGGATTGGGGAACGAGCAGATCGTGAGTGCGCAGGACGAAGCTCGGGACAACACGGGCACAAGAGCTTTCAGAAGGTATCCAACATCGGTGTCGTCCTGGAGCAGGGAAGACTGCGCGGCATAATGCATCGGGAGCTTCGGCGAGTCGACTTACGGGAGCAAACGCGTGTCTAATCGCGTGAGGTACCAACTGCGCGGGCAAAGGGTGGGCACGACACGAGAAGGCAGGTTCGGAGGAGCGTGTCGGACTCGAGAGGAGTGGAACCCGAGGTGCGGAAATGTATATCCCCAAAATCGGAGTAGCGTGCGGGGAGACGAAGTTGAGAGGGGATGGGGGAGAGGGGAGTGGGAGGAAGACGCGCGGGTATAGACGACGGAGGGAGGAAGGAATGGGAGAGAAGGAAAGAAAAAGCGAAGGGGAGGAAGCAGAAGAGAAAGGAGAAGCGGTCGCCGCACAAGACGACGGCAGAACCGGGTCCCATGAGGATCATTGCGGCAAGTGGTGGGAGGCCGCCGAGGCACCGCGTCGCCTGATTGGTCGCGACGAGGAGAACGACGTTCGGGCGGACTCTGGCTGCCGCTAAGCCCCATCGGGACGCTTCGCCCTCGACTAAACGTCCCGAAGCAACTCCCTCCTCCCCGTCTGCTTTCCCCCATCTTGCTGAGTCCGTCCCTTCTGCCCGTCCCCCACCCCGTCCCCCATGTATTTACCCTCGTTCGCTTCCTCGGACTTGCGCGATTCTTGTCACGGAGGACTCTCCTGACGTATCTTCGCTTTTTTCCTCTTCCTTGTCTAATATTCACATCTATACTCGGAATCGGCTAGTGGGGACTATCTCAATCGGAGTGAGCATGGACAATGTCGGCCACATGGACCTACCACAAGCAACACGATCGCAGTATCCTCCTTGAAACACCACCACGATTTCTTGTCGCCTTTTTTGTTATCACTCTAGCTCTGCAATGGGTAGGTAGATACTCATTGGCCAAGTATATCCGATCTAGATATCTCGGCAGTATGTATGCATGCCACTTGGGACTCATCAATGTATCTCACCTATGGTATACTTTGTTCACTCCCCAAGCACTATCTCATCTCTTCGGTCCTTTCTATGCGCGATCCTATCATTTCTTGTTATGCAAGCTATGTATTGTCCTTGACATCCCACCGTAGTACCTAGTTTTGGCATCTATCACTACTTCTATAGCTACCAGATCTATAGATCTTGTTTGACCGAACACGTTGATGTTATCTTTCTCATGGCTTTATATGGACTAAATAGTTTTATTACTATTCTTATATCCAGCATGACTACGTATAGTAGCAACAACACCGTTCGTAGGTAAGTTCAGAGAATAGGCCATACAACCAGACCTTCATACATCAAAGATTGAGTATCTATTAATTATCCGCATATATATGAGAACCTACAACTCACTGTCTGTAAAGCTATTTGTAATTATGTGTTTTCATTTGCAAGCTTGTTCTTTGTGTTCCAGGTGCGCTCCGGTGTCTTTATTCGCCTCCCATTCAGTCCTTCTATGGCTGATAAACTACGGTCGATAGACTTGCCATGGCAACTGTACATAGGAAGCTTGATCACCAAGGTACAACGTGAGAGATACCTTCAAGGTATTAGAGTAACAAAGTGTATACCAAGCTATCTCATGTCTGAGTAGGTTCATACGATTCTATAGGCATCTCGACGACACCTTATCAAACAGCTTTATAGTACAGGGTTTAGGCCTACTGATAATGATTAAAATCATATTTCCCCTTCTAAACCTGTTAATGTATCACATCTTACTCAAGTATCTCAACGTGTAGCTGACTACATTTGTAACTTACTCTCCATGCGCGCCGGGTTGGCGAAGCTAAGAAAATGTTTATGTTGTAGCGAGATTCGGAGAATGGACGCCGAAATGACAAAAAAAAAAAGAAAGAAAGAAAACAAAGTCATGATATAAATCAAGAAAATACTTATCGAGATTATATTTTCTCCAAAAACAAAACTGTCGAGATGGTTGAAACAAAATTTCTCCAGATTCTGCACTGCCTGACACTCCCCATCCGCTCCGCAAAATATACATCCGAACTCCAAACAAAGCCATTATATCAACAAACCCCTTCATGCGAACCAACCATCAACCCAACAATAAAATGAACGTGACAAAACCAAGCCAATTAATCCAAGCCTCCGCCACAACGACAACATCTCAGACATTTCACGGATGTCTAAGATCTGTGTCCGGGTTCCTTCTGCAGTGCGACACATCCATGGGAGAGATCATGTTTAAAGGTAGGCGGACTAGCCGCTTCGGGCCTGATGGCTGATAAACTTTGCAAAGTTGGCTGATCAAGTGGGTCGGGCTCCGGTGCACGTGGTTGGAGCAAACATGTCAAACGCCAAGAGTTTTCCGGCATTACATCATTTCCGCCCTCTACTGATACAACGGATTGGAAACTTGGAAGTGAGGAACGAACGAGAAAACTTTTGGTTTCTATATGATTCTATGCTGTGAAGTATACGACCATGAACCCAACCCAGCTTCCTACCACCCCGAGAGCCGAGTAACTGCTCATGAACATTAGGGGCAAGAATTCGAGTCGTCCCAGGCCGAAGATGAGCTGGTGGATGAGAGAGCAGTAAACGATCAGGGGAATGGCTACTGTAAGATAGAGCAGGGAGAAACGGTCGGCGAGGAAGATCCGCGGCCGTTCTGGGACGGGCGCGACCTGGTCAAACACGAAAAGGAACAGAACCAGCCAGAAAATGGTGTAGACAGTCTTGATGGGGAATTCTGCCGCCGTGAAGAGCAGCGGAAAGAGGGAGACATGGCCTGCCACGGCAAGAGGACGGAAAGCGCTGAAGTATCGGCGATCTTTAAGTGCGATCAAGCTGAACGGAATGATAATCAGGAGCACGGCCTTTTCATGGACATGCCAGCCGAACAGGAAAGAAGCATAGCCACAGAGGGTAATGGCCCCAACGAAGGTGTCCCAGTCAGGACGCAGCCAGAGCTTGGCCAGCGGAAGCTGCGCTTGAGTGAGTAACAGTCGAATATCGAACAGGAGAACGCGGGACGTACCAGCTGGAAGAGAAGGGTGAGGATGAACGTGTGTTCCTTGGTCACCTCAGGGAGGACGGCGAAAGAAGTGTCTCCGACAAGTCCGCGGGTGACGCTGGCCAGAGCCTCCTGGTTGACCGTAAGACCCAAGCGTGGAGCAACTAAGTTAATTAGCATAGTCGTACACGAAACAGAAGGCAATTGGCATACGTTGAATAAGAACACGATCGGTAAATGAGTACATTGCCCATATGTTCGGTGCCCAGTAGGCATGGCATAGGCCTCGTGAAAACGGGAACAGTCTGTCCTTCAATTGGAGCAGCTGGCCCATTTGGAAGAACGGACCAAAAGCCACCGCAAATATCCCGACGATACACACGCCGAGCTTGAAGATGTTCGCAAACTGGGGTCGGAAGACCGATTTAGGATCCAGGCAGTACGCTCTCAACAAGTACACGAAGTAGGCCAAAGCGAGATATAGGTATATGTGCTTCAAGCAAATCAGGATGGCAAAGGTGATGCCGCTGAGAAGGAGAGTCGACTGCTTTCGGGCCAAGACAATCGATAAGATCAAGATCCCATAGAGGAAGCCATTGTACTGGAAGTGGATGTGATCAATAATCAGGAGTCCGGGGGAGAGCAGAATGGATAGACTGGCGATATGCGCGAGATGTTTATTCGACGGGTGGACGGACTTGATGTACCTGGAACTTCATTAGCTCCGGCAATTAGCTGGAAGATCTTCGAGGAAATTGTACCGGCTCAATGCGTAAACGAGAACAAGCTCCGTGAGGATGACCGTCGCCCGCTGGAAGTAAACGGTCTGCCACGAATCGTAATTAAGATTGCTGACGACCAGCATCGCCGGATCCGCATAGCGCGCTGCTTGGGATAGCAACCACTCGAATATCGCGAAAAACGGAGGGTAGTCGAGAGTCCATTCCGAGGTTTTCTAGAGCGAGAGTCCGAATTAACACACAGGAGTCGCGAAACCAGTGATGCGGTCGAAGTACCTCGTAGTACCAATCCTTCACAGATAGAGAATGAGTAATTGCGAGCCAGTTTCGGTGAACTTCAAAGTCAGTTGATTTACTGCATTGGAAGAAGTTGATTAGAATTGGTTCCTGGGAATCCTTTTCCCCTCGATCTCCGTTTGGGGGTTTCGGGCTGGATGCGACGTACTAAGCAGGGAACAAGAGAATCTTGAAAGCTGTTGCGACAATGGCGCATTGCGCCAGGGAAGGGTACAACTCAGCCATTGGAGCCAGTGCGCATGATGCGCCGTCAACGAGAACGGTGGAGATAGAGGGACAAAGGAACAGAGGAGAAAGAGAAGAGGAATCCATGGAACGAAACGAAGCTCCGACGGCCGATCCGGGGAGGGGCGCACGTGACTGGGGCCATCTCCAGCAAAGGCCAGTGTGTCCCTTCGTCTTTCTTCAGCTCATGTCAGCATTAATGGACTTCGCTTCGGACGTAGGAGTCCGCCATTCTGTCGTTCTCTCCAATCTCAACATCCAGCACTCGGTCGACTTCTCCCCGGCGACGATTTCAATCGTTCGAGAGCTCCGCTTCTGTGTGATCGCCATTGTGGTAGGGTGGACCACCACACGCGTTGTCTCCGCGTTCTTGAATCGGAGCGCTTCTGATGATCGCCCTTCGGAATAGAATTGCTGTCGCTTTCTTACTGTGTTATACCATCTCTTGATTTCGTTCTTTTGGATCAACTCTAGGAGCTAGACTCTTTTGCATCAGTGTATACCCTGGTGTTTATCTTCCTTTGGTTTCGTTTTTGGCAGGCTCCCGAGATCGCAAGTGACGAAACCACGACTCTCCGATTGCATAGACATCATGAAGTTTCACGCCTCGCTTCCGTTGTTCGCAGCTGTTGCTGCGGCACAGTCATTGATCGAAAGCTCCAGCTTCGGCTGGGGTCAAACGTAATGGACAATTGCCCCGCGCATCATGCACGCCGGTGTTCTGACAGCTCTGTCTAGTATATCGCCGAGTCGGGACTCCATTCCCGGATGGCAGGTTGGAGGAGAAGGGCATACTCCCCAGATTGTACGTCCACACCTCATTGACCCCGCGAGCAGCATGGCTCATCTCAATGTACTGACTCCGCATACGATTAGCTTTCGAACAAAGTGATTCTGACACCGCCGTACCCCGGGAATACGAGAGGATACGCTTGGGCGCAGACTCCGTGAGTCCCCTACCGCTCATATAAATAAACCCTTAGTCTTAACCAACCAAAATCTGATGGCGAATACAGCGTGTCTCAGCAGGAGTGGGAAGCCGAATTCCAGTTCCGCGCCAGTGGTGTCGAGAGGGGAGGGGGCAACCTCCAGCTATGGTATGCGAAGGATGGACAAAGCAAGATCGGCACCTCTAGCATCTACACCGTGGGCCAATTCGACGGACTGGCTCTTGTCATTGACACCCATGGCGGCAGAGTGGGTATCCCTGTAATGACCTATCAAGCTTCTCCAGACTGACTTGGGATTCAGGGTGGTAGCGTTCGCGGATTCCTCAACGACGGCACGACAGACTACAAGAGCCACAAGAGTGTAGACAGCCTGGCTTTCGGTCACTGCGACTATCCTTACCGCAACCTAGGGCGTCCTTCCGTCCTCCGTGTCAAACATACCTCTTCCGTCCTTCAAGTCACCGTCGACGACAAGCTCTGTTTCGCAACCAACAAGGCAAGTGCCATATCACCCCAATGTGTCGCTCGAGGACCTTCGATTAACCAGAACCCCAGGTCGCGCTCCCAGCTGGTAACAACTTCGGTCTCACGGCCGCGACTCCTGAGAACCCCGACTCGTTCGAGGTCTTCAAATTCACCCTGCAGACCAGCTCCGGCGGATCCGCTCCTCCCCCAGTGCAGCAGCAAAACAACCAGAAGCCCATCGGCGTCGGCAAGCCTCAGCAACCACCTCCGCGTGCCCAAATCCCACCCACCAACCCCCCGCCCTCCTCGATCGACCAGCAGTTCGCGGATCTCGGATCTCGTCTCCAGTTGATCAACCACGCCACCGGCAACATCCTCCGCGAGCTCGGCAACCAAGCCAACCGAGCCGACAACCGCCAGACGGAGCTCTTCCAGCGCGTCGCCGGCAAAGACGAGGTCGCGCATCTGGACACCCGAATCCGGAGAATCGAGGACGCCTTGCAGAAGATCCAGAAGGACCTGGAGGGCCGCGACTACCGGGACCGCTTCAACCAGCTCCAGGACACGCTCCGATCCTCGCACCTTACCTTGACTGAGAGCTTGCAAGGCCATGTCTTCAACGGTACGTTCCCCTACGGACCCCATTCTTTCCAGTCTATCTATCTACCTATCCCAATCTTCATACCCATGCAACCATGCAACCTACAGAAAATCCACTAACCAAAGTAACCCACAGTGATCACCGCGTCCACTCCCCGCATGGGCTTCTTCATCTTCCTCATCATCGCCTTCCAGATCGTCCTCGCTGTCTCGTACATCATCTACAAGCGTCGTCGCGCCAACATGCCCAAGAAATTCCTCTAAACCTATTCCAATCGAGACCGCCCACCTACTATCTCTTCATCTATACCTTATCTAGAAACGGGAACAAATACACGTTCAATACACTCAACAACTACCCTTGCCTAACATAACCTACGGTACCTTACCTCAAGTATCAACTTTACTTCCTGCTATATTTCGATTGAAGTAGTGTATTGTATAGCTTAGCAAGTTGTTCTTGTTTAATTTTGCTTTTCCTTTTTTGCTTTTCTGGTTCACTTTTCGGAATTCACCTTTCTTTTTTGGGGCTCTAAACTATGTACATATATAGCTGAATCTGAATCTGAATCCTTCTCATAGGAAACAACAAATCAAACCAAACTAAACCGACCCAGCGATTCATTCAATTCAAAGATCGAGGCAGGGGACAAAAATAGAAACAGAACAGAAAAGGGAGAGAAAGAGTCCTGCTAGACGAATTTAAAGACAGATGGACATATAGGACCAACGTAAAAAAGAATGAATGTCAATATTCAGAGGTAAAAGATCTATAGAATAAAGCTGAAGCAAGATAGATAGACATCCACCCATGTAAACGTAGTAGGAATGTATGCTATGTCCAGTAACAGAGAAAGAAGCGAAAGATAAAGGCATGCAATGGTAACTAAGAATCCAATCCGGGGCCGAGATCAAAACCACAAACACGAGAACAAAGAAAGGGGGACAAAAAGGACCCATCTCCATGCTATAAACCCGGGGCATCATCAAGGAAACGCTTCAAATAGAAAATAAGAAACACGTAGAGGAGGAAATAATAAAATGCATCATGTCTTAGATGAATATGCTCTTTGTTCTCATTTGCGTGTTTGTGTGCACGCTCTCTCTGTGTATGTATTGCGGCAGAGTTGGGCGCTTTCTTTCCTTTCTTCTCTATTCCAGAAAAAAAGAAAGAAAAAGATAACATGAAAATTAGATAGAAACAAAAATGGTACATGCTCATGCAATAAGGCCCGATTCTAATACCCTGGTTCTTGGAATTTGCAGGACTCCCAAACGCCGTCATGGTGGTAACAAAACTGTGGAAAGACATTAGAAAAAGATTGGAGAAACATAAAAAAGTAATAACGACAAAAAGGAAAAGTATATAATGATATAAGGAACAGCTCCAGGAAGCCCGGTCAGGCCAGACGGGCCCGCGTTGACCCTCTAACTCTGCTGTCCTTTATTGAGCGATAGGATGCGCCGCTCAATCAATGACTGCAGAGAGCGCAGCGCCTCGATCTCCGATTCAACGGAGGGGAATTCGGGGGCGCTGGCCCTCAGGGCGTCGATTAGAAGGCCGATGCGGTTGCTGTCTGGGAGGCGGCCCTCCGGGTTGCTCTGGGCAAACTCGATCAGGTTGGCTGCCGCCTCCTGTTCGGCAGCGGTGCGCGGCGGCGTGTCGAACCCACTCGCAACCTCGGGGGGCACGGCAGGTGGGTTGGAAGCGAAAAAGGCCTGCGCACCGGCCGTGAGGGCGTCGAATCGGCGCGCCGCATACTCGGTGTAGGCGGCGGCGGCCGATTCGCGAGCTTCTCTTTGCTCGTTCTCCCTGGAGAGGAACGTCAGCTTTTGGTCTTGACTGTAGAATGATGGTGATGATATGTTTCTGTAGCTCTGAAATGGGGGGTTACATACCGCCTGATCCGGTTGATAAAATCTAATTTGATCCCATCTTCTTTCACGCGGAGTCGAATCCTCCCTTCGGGGTGTTGCTCCTCGAGCTGTTCCATCTCCTGCTCGTTGGGCAGGATCTCGACGTCAATTATACGCGCGTTCTTGGGACGGCGTATGCGGGCAGGACCGGCATTGAAGTCGTGCTGGATGTGGTTGGGACACATCCAGGTACCCTGTGGCCGGTCACCGTTACCAGGCTTTTGCATGGGCGGATTTGCCAGGGGTGGATCCAGGCAATCCAAATGGAATGCGCATGGACAGAAATCGCAGTGGATGATGGGGCGCACACCCCCACTGGTGCGCCCACATGACGTGCAAAAGATGTAGTCGCCTTTCGAATCCTTGACTTTCAGGAGGAAGGGGTCGTCGTAGCGCGCCTCTCGGCTGCCCTTGACCGTGCGAGGCTTGTATCTTGGCAACGCGATGACCTCTTGGTATCGTCCGGCTTCACCGGTTTCGACGCCTTCGTAATACTCACGAAGGTTCTGAGGCAACGCAAAGTCCCTTTGAGTAGTGGCGTGAGACGAGGAAAGCAGCGAGTCCATCCCTTTCGCCGCGGCGCACCGGGGGCAGTACCAGTCGCCTTCAGGGGGATTCGCCGGATCCAAGGGGGGGCTGAGACAAGAGAAGTGGAATGAATTCACACAGCCATCGCAACAGAGAAGCTGACCGCTGCCTCGGCACTCGCGACAGAAGTCGTTGTTATCCGCGCGTTCGTCGCCGCTGGATAAGGTGGGAGTTAGACGCCGGTTGCCTTCGGCATCGCTGCTAGACGGGCTTTCCGGTCGCGGCTTGCGAGCTCCGGCATCTTTGACAGGACTGCTCGCTCTGGGCGTTGATGCCTGGGAGTCAGGGATTGGGGGCAGGTCAGTGCGGTTCGGCACCGGGCGGACTCGACTTTCGACAGGAGTGATCGATGGGGGAAGGGGATTTCGTAGGCGAATTTTTTTGGTGGTCATGGCCTCTGGCGTAGACTCACCGCTTCGCTCGAACGCACGCTTGCGCTGGAGGGGTGCACTTCTTGGAGGGAAGGCCGAGTGGCGAATCGGAGGCTCGGCGACTCGCTGCGCGGCGTTGGCTGCTTTGGCGTGTCTGCCTTTGGCTCGGGTGGCCGCCATACCGGGCGCAAATGTTTCAACATCGAGAGATTTAGCGGAAGACAGTGAAGAATCACTGCTATGGGAATGTTTGCGTTTGCGAGGCAAAGCAGTAGCCCCCAGTTCCTCATCTTCCGCCCGTAGTTCCTTGCCAACAGCGCGCATCATGATGTTAAATGCACGTCTCTGATTTGGGTCATGTTCCTCTCTGCACATGGCCTCGAGGATGGACAGCGTAAAGGGGTCTGACTGGCTTTTTTCCCACATGCGAAGAAGGCCGCGGGCGACTATACTGTTGCCAGACTCGGATGCCACGTTGAGAGAGTCCCCAATCGCATCTCTCACCTTTTCCACGTCGATGAGGGTGGATGCGGAGACCGGAATGGCCATAAACGTTAAGAGGTGATTTTGAGGCTGGGCAGTCTCGGGCTCAGCTTCAGGATCGGGAACAGGCTCAGGTACAGGCTCAGGCGCAGTCTCAGGCGCAGTCTCAGTCTGAGATTCCGACACGGCCTGAGGTTCAGCTTCATGCATATTCTCAGGTTCAGGCTCAGTCTCAGTCTCGTTCGCGCCTGTCTTAGGGAGGTTGGCGTTGCCGGTCATGTCTTCGTTCACATCGTTCGCTCCATCCACTGCCGCGGTCATCTCGCCAGTATTGCTGTGGTAGGGGTCGTTAGGATCCGTGATCTTAGGCAGAAACCCTTGTTTGCGTAGTTCGGTTATAGAGGGCATCTCGCCCAGCGGACGCATAGAGCGAAGAACTGAGTTGGACTCTTTGTTGGTACCGGACCAAGTGGTTTCTTCCCAGGTGGTCTGCTGCACCCGCGTTGGTGGCTCCTTCCAATTGGAAGCTTCGCGAAGCACATGCGCTTCACTCGCAATGTCTGCGACCTCGGCCTCGGGAGGCCCCTGTCCCTCCGCAGGGTCGCTCGCTACATGGCTGTTCAATCCAGTGCGGCGCAGTTTCCGGGGTCTGGTGGAATCGGAGAATGAAGGAGTCGCGCTTGTAGGCGCAGGCGCAGGCGCATCGGCCGGAGTGGAGGGACGGGATTGACTCGCGCTGGCGTGGGAGGACGAGCGAAGCGAACGAAGATTAGGAGCCATTGCTGTTGAGGACAGGACTCGAGAAATGTGGTAAGGCCTGGCACCCGCACGGTTAGCTCAGTCTCCAATTGAAGCTGACGGGTGCACGTAATCCCCGATGGACGAAGAATTCTGTAAGCAGGAGAATCAAAGTGAGGACTTACAATTACACGGATTCCGGAGCAAAAGGCCCAGCGGCGCTGGTTGGAATCGTGGCCAGCCCGCGCAGTCTGCGGGTTGCTGGGGGAGAAGAAGATGAGCGCGGCTTGGACGCCGACGGGAGTTTTCCAGTCACGCCCTCTCGCTCTCTAGGGGGGTTTCGCCGCTCAGGCCGGAACACACCCCAAGTTTGGGAACACGTGAATGGATGGTTCACAGGGTGAGATCTTGCAAAATTAGTATATTACTTGATCCAGTAGAGCTTTGAATTCCAATAAGAAATTCGAGAAGTCCACTTACCTGCTGAGATGTGTCTTATCGTTAAGACGCGGAGCTTGTTGCGGAAAGGAGCTTCTGCGGAGGACCGCGTGATGGCCGTGACAGCGTGTAATGATGCACTGGATTTGGGCGGTTTGAGAAACCTACAGTTCTGTCTCTGACCGCTGGTCCAGTTGATGAATGATTTGTTTCTTTCTCGTCCGCTGCTACAAGAGACCTATCTCCCAAGACAAAGTATGCATAAGCAGGGAGATGAACAAGACTGTGAGTAAATCAGAAAGAGAGCCTCCTCAGCAGTGTTGGCTCTTGCTGGCAGATGGCTTCTTCAAAAGGGTTAGAGATATTTCCACCAGGAAGCAGAAATGATTTGCAAGCAACGAAGAGATGCGTGTGTGTGGCGGTTGAAGAAGTTGCGGGTGACGGAAGAGATGATTCAGAAGAGGAAGAGCCAGAGGCGATAGTCTTCGGGGGATAAGGTTCTGCACGCGTCACAAGAGCTTCCAGTAAATGAGAATCTTCACCAGTGCTGCAAGTGAGGCAGCGTTGAGGCAGAGTGCTGGAGAAGATGCAAAGACAGGTGAATGACAATAGGTCAGTTCAACGTCTGGTCCAGGGCAAGGGTCTGCATGGAGCAGAAAGATATGCGCGTGAAAGGTGAACACTTGAAAGAAAGAAACCAAAGCTACTGGAGTGAATGAATGGATTAGGAGAGTGGCTGGGGAGAAGAAGGCAGAAGTGTGTGAAGGGCAAGTGAATAATGGACGGTTTTCAGGCGTCGAGGCACTTCCGGGTGGACGGAGCACCCAGTCACGAGAAGCGTCAAGATCCGACTCCTGAAGATGAAGAGTCACGGCAGAACAGCCAGTCTGGAGATCAAGCAGTATGGTGATTCTTCACTTCACCGGGAGGCAGAGGTGGTACGATGAGGAATCGGAGAAGGAAGGAAGAAGAAGATTACTTTCGAGGCCAGGCCGAGAAGTCAGTTGGGCAAGGATTTGGCCCACTCCTACATCCACCTCTTCGCAGGTGCCACTCAGCACGATCAATGCTTTTTCTATCCAAGTCGCTTGGAGGCTGGCTCATTGTTCAAAGCTTCTTTAGGATTTTCTCGTTTGTCTGATTTCGGGCTCGACGGAGTACTTTCGCCCCTCCTTCCCGGTCTTGCCGACCTTTCCGGGGACTACAGGCTTCATGTCCAGTCTACTACAATTGTTGGGCGGGGAGAAAGTCTGGGTCTGATATTACTTTATTATAGAGGTGAATGGATAGTGAGTGTTGCTGAAAGGGAATATCCAGTGAGGGAGTCCCAACGAAGGTGGCTGGTCACCCTCAGGGGGGGTGTAATTTATAGCGTATCACAAGAGAGGATACAATTGCCTAGAGACCATGGATCAGAACAGAGAGCGTGTATTCACTAACAGCTTTCCCTCAGGAAGGATGGCACTGGTGGCCTCTGGGGTGGGAACGCTAGGAGTGGCGGAGATGAAGTCTTCGCAGCCGCCGTCGCTGTAGTTAGTAGGTAAGTTTGAGGCCGGAGGTGAAGGCAGAGGACAAGTGCGCAGAGGGAGGCGACAAGGGAGAATTGCATCGTGAAGGGTGCTGGGTGAAGATCTGAGTTGACGCGGTGGGTGGTTGTTGGGCAGCATTCTCCCTCAAGACAGCGGGACTCTTCATCACCGTCGCGGCCTTGTCCGAATGGATGTGCTCCAATATTTCCTCAAGTCTTCGAGGGCTTCAGCACGGGGGCCATGGTTGAAAAATGCAATCTACTATGTCATGTAGGTAAGCTTCATCGAGTCCGAGATCGCCTCCTTAATATGTCATTTATTGGCTGATAGATAACTTTCTCCTTTTTTTTTTCTGTTTGATTCAACTAGTAAATACGCGACAATATGTTTCAATCAAAGGTCGCCGTGGGAAAAAAGACAAGGCACTTATATGGTTCTTTCGAACACCATGGATTCGCGGAACTCAATTCTCCGTTCTGATTATCAAGGGTATTTGCAATTACACATCCCATCCGATTCATCGGGGCAATTCATGAACATGTTCCAACGATGGCCTGAGAAATTTGTCGCTTTTTCTTCACTATTCCAAGACTGCGGTGGACGCCGGTGAGTCCCTCTAGAGAGACATTTACTCCTCGCCGCCGGCCTTCTTGGCGGTCTTCTTCTTGTTGTTCTTGTTCTTCTTCGAGCCGGTCGACTTGGACAGGGGGCGCTCGAGAATCTTGAGGATCTCCTCGTCCTCGATCTTCTTGTCCGTCTGGTACTTGGACAGATCAATGGTGGGGGCAGTGAGCTTGGTGAGACCGTTCTTGGTGATGGCTGTGGCGCGTATTAGCAAGTGATATGATAAACAAAAAAAAAAAAAAAAAAAGCACCACGCATTCCTCGTCCCATGTCGAATTCAACGGGGAGTTGACGGAAAGAGGGCTGACGGAAGATCTGGGTCAAACATACCAACGGTGGTCAACAGACGGGAGACCGGAGCGTTGTCAGCATCACCGGCGGGCTCGTACTGGCGCAGGACACCGGTACGGACACACTCGACGACACCGACCTTGGCGGCCTTCTCGTCCTCCAGCTGGCGCAAGCTGAAGGGGAACTGGCCGAACTTCTTGACGACCTCGGACAGAGTCTGGCGAGAGCTGGGGCGCTTGAGGATGTAGGTGGTGGTGGTACGGCGGTGCAGGGTGGCACGCAGGGGCAGGTTCTTGACCTTGCCGGATCCGAGGGAGAGACCCATCTCAACACCCCAGACCTCGCCAACGTCGGGAACACCCTCGCCGCGGACACCGGAGCCGGGGGTGAGGATGATCTTCTTCTCGGCCTCGATCTCGTTACGCTCGAACTGCCAGCTGGTGGTGTTCTCGACGACGTTGCAGTCGTAGATCTTGGCGACCTTCTCGACGAGCTGGGAGATCTGGGCCTGGGTAGGGGCCCGCTCAGCGGCGGCCTTCTTCTTCTCCTCCTCGGAGCCACCGGCCAGGAGGCCGGCGGGGACCATAAGTCGCAGCAGAAGCTCGTTGGCGTAGTGAGTGGCATGGATCAGGTCGGCCTCGCGGCCGGTCACCACGTCGGAGGCACCGACGACGACCATGTCGCAAACGATGGTTCCGAAGCCATCGATCTGGGCACCGAGCTGGATCTTGACGATCTCGTTGGCCTTCAGGGTAGTCTCGGCCTCGGCCTCGGAGACGAGGGGGGTGTAGGGGGTGACATGAGAGCTAGGAGAGACCGTCGTGGGGTGAGAGATACCTATAACGTCATGTCAATATCCCACGCGCAAAACTCCCTCTCTAGTTGGAGGAACGGGAGACACGCACCCTTGGCGATCTTCTTGCCCTTGTAGACCTTGGCAATTTCCTCGTCGAGCAGCTCGTCACCCTTCTGGCAGATCTCGACAATCTTGCTTCCCTCCTTACACAGAGCTAGTGATGACGTTAGAGAATGCAGCTCCAGCATAAATCCAGCAGAAGACCGGAATCCGGAATTACGCACCAGCGACGGCGTCGAGGACCTTGTGAGAGATCTGCGCGGCAGTCTTGTACTTGGTCAACGTGTCGGGGTTGTTGAGGGTGTAGTCTAGAAATCGTCCATCGCATGATTAGCCGGCAGAACGAGAAGGATGACGTTGAAATCGGTGAACATCGGCGACCACATTGAGACCCTAGGTCGGAAGAAAGGCCAGAGAAAGACAAAAACAAGAGCACCCGCCAAAGAAAAAAAAAAATCGTCGGGGTCTCGATGCTTCTCCGGCGGTTCTCAAGCTCGGTGGTTGTCAAGGCTCCGCGACGCAGCCCACATCAAGCGGGCAGGGAAACCCACAAACGACGGAGCTTTTTCAAATTGGAGCAGAGCAACGAGGAGGGGTACGAGAGGCTTGACACTTACCGACCTCGGGGGCCTGGGTGGGAGTGGTCTCGGCCATGGTGAATAAGGATAGAGAGGGGGAGGGGGAGATGAAGAACGAGGAGAAGGTAGAATTGAGGTAAGAATCAGCGGGGGAGGAGGAGAAGAGGGAAAGAGGGAAAAGTTGTTTGTCGAGTTCTCGTGTGCTTTTGCTTTTCCTTTTACTTTACGACGGCATTACCGCTGGGTGGGGTTGCTTTACTCTCTGGGTAACTCTGGTAAGAATAAGAGCCCTACCATCCTTTCCTAGCAGGGTTCTTTCTGTCGGATCATAGCTCTCGAATCAGTCCTCTGGTTCTACATATCATGATCCAGGTCATTGACCATCAAGTACTTCGTCCATCCTGTCCCTCGTCGTCCATCTCCTCCCACAGCTGCGTTTTATGCCCGGCTGTGTGTGTGGCTTACGTAATGACAATCATGACATCACCCGTCCAGAGTAAACAAAGTATTCAGTAAGAAGTTAGAACAACTAAGGAGCCTGGACGTGGGGAACTTAGACTGCTGTATCTAATCTGTACTGTATGGGCTGCAGGCTATATTAGAGGTCTAGGGCTGCACCAGCTCATTTCCCCCGGATTCCGTCAATACGCATCATGCAGTCATGACGTCGACCTTTCCAGCTCAGCTAGAAAACTAACACATAGAACAGGCTGAGAGATGGCGTTTCAAGGTGGAATAGAATGCAGCTTGTGAAATATTCAGTGGTTGTTTGGAGCTGTTATGCAGCAACTAAGCACTACGCTCAATACTAATAGGGTTGATGGAGATATATAGTTTCAAGTGAAACACTGGTCTAAGGCCTGCATGAATTGCGATATATTGTTAGCTAGATACCCAAGACACAATCCCATGGCTCCTCGATAGCTAGAAGAAAATACAATACACACCAGGTCTCTCTGTAAGCCTCCCCAATTAGCCTCGGGATACTACCTCGTTCTCCTAGTCATGAACATCATTAGCTACTAAGTAAGTCACGTTCGAGGAGCAGCAATTGTCCTCCAATCAGGCGAATCGTGGGAGCTCAGCTTCTCCTCATTCCAGCTTCTGTCCAAGATTCACCCCGCCTTTTCTACCGTTGACCTACTTCGTACACTGAGTAAATTGAACCTGACCTACACCTGGAATTTAACCGCACCTCTCAAGACCTGTATATACTAGATTGATACCTACCTAAGCCTACGATAGCCACGATGAAAGCCGCCACCGAACTGCCTCTCCGCATCTTGACGCACAATATCCGATATGCCACCGGCTCTCCCTTCAGGGGCGAGCGCCCCTGGGAGGAGCGCAGGCAACCGCTGCTGAACGAGCTGCTGTTCAACACGCGCCACCAGGATGCCTTCATCTGCCTGCAGGAGGTGCTGCACCGGCAGATCGTCGACATCCACACCGGACTCAACGCCACTGCATCTAACACTGCCACCGAGGCCGACCCCACCTGGGCCTATATAGGGGTGGGTCGCGACGACGGCAAGCAGGCGGGCGAGTACTCGCCCATCTTCTACCGACCGGCGGTCTGGCAGCTGGAGCACTGGGAGACGACGTGGCTGTCCGAGACGCCCGACCAGCCGTCCAAGAGCTGGGACGCGGCGTCCATCCGCATCGTCACCGTCGGGGTGTTCAAGCACCGCAGCAGCCGACGCACCGTGCTGGCGCTGAATACGCACCTGGACGACCAGGGCGCGCGGTCGCGATACGAAGCGGCGCACATCATCCTGGGCAAGATCGCGGAGTATCGCGCGGGTCCGTACGGGGAGAGCATCGCGGGGGTCTTCCTGACGGGCGACTTCAACAGCGAGGAGGAGCAGGAGGCGTATCAAGTGCTGACGGGACCGGAGTCGGGACTGGCGGACGCCGGGAAGTTGGTGGACGCGGCGGAACACTACGGCAACACGATAACGTGGACGGGCTTTGGCTACGAGGGACAGCCGCCGACGCGCATCGACTACATCTTGTTGCAGACCGACTCGGCATCGTCCGAGTCAGACCGGAGAGGGCCATGGCAGGTCGAGGGGTACGCGGTGTTGGCCAACCGGTTCGACGACGGGATTTACAACTCGGACCATCGGGCGGTGGTGACTGACGTGCGGTTGTCTGGCTAGTGAGTGTAGAGTCTGTAGACAGATGTATGTATACTTACAGCCATATAACCATGATAATCTTGGGATACTCTAGTTCTACTTCTATCATGGCGCGGAATACGACGGCATCCCGTGATCTCCACCCCGTGACGGCCTGACCGTATCGGGCCTAGTGCATATCACGTGACATACTTAAACGGGGAAAGCGTCGCCACCAGGCAGCGATACGGTACCGAAACGGCGTGGTAATACAACAGCCATACGGTCACGGGGCAGTCGGGTGCCTCAGGATGCTCACAGAAGCCTCAGGATGCAAAAAAAGAATCCAAATGGCGTCGAAAAAGTTCCAAAGAAGACGTCTTCAAGCAGTCGACCTCAATATGGACAGACCCGTCGCGGCTTGCTTGCCCGCAAACCTCCCCAGCCAAGGGGGGCGAACGGGCAGGCACTTGTAACGGGTGCAGCCCGCCGCTGGGGGGTTTTTTCCTCTTTTTTCCTCTCTCTTTCGCTCTCCTCTTCTTCCCTCCTGGATACCTCTGGACGTTCAAAGCACCGTCGCAGCAAAGCAGACCCCCCCACACATTCAGGGGAATCGATCAGAACCACGTTTGATGACCCGTGAAAGGAAAGGGGAAGGGGAAACCAGGACCAAGTGATCAGTTCAACGGTAAGGAGACAAGGAACGACCTAAGGGTCTAGTCGTCAGCTGATCGGGTTTTCCCTTCAGTTCAGAGCTCGAGACAGACAGACCCAGACCGACCGCCCGACCCGTTCAAGCTGCTGTCGCTCTCTCTCGCTGGTGAGTAGGCTGCTTTTCGTCATTCGTCCCCTCGAATGCCCTTGGCTTTTCTTCTTTTTCCTTTCTTTTTATCCATCTCATCCTTCTAATTATATCATTCTATTATCCTTCCCATCTGCCCTCCGTTGGCGTTGGTGGTGTGTTTGCCTCCCCTCTTCCCCTTCCCCCCCAATCCATCTCTTCTCCCCCATCACCTTCCTTGTCACCTCATTCCCGTCCCTCCTGTATTTTCCTGGACCATGTGCTCCGCGCGACGAATGATGCGCGGATGGTGCGTTCGTGGCAGGATGGCGACTCCTCCCGCTTGCTTGCTCCCGCGATAGAGCGCGCGCTCCACCCGTTGCGCTGGCGCGTCTTTCGTGCGATGATGTCTTGCCCATGCAGCGTTGGCTGACCCGGATGTCTTGTGTCGCAGGTAGATTCCCCGCTAAGGATGCTGCCGTGATTTGACCATTAGCTTCTTTCTGGCTTGCAATTCTTGTCGATTGAGTGTCGCTGCGCGAATGCCCATCCCTTCCCGCAAGTGACACGTCCTCTTATCTCGCCTAGAAACAAGACCCCACCGTCCGCCGCCTGCCTCAATTAGCGATCATGCCGTCTCCTGAGGTCCCTCACATGGGACACCTCCCCGGCGACGTCCATCCCGATAGCCAATCCGGCGATGTCGCCACCGAGTTCTTGACGGACCCGTCGACGAACGGGCCGGATGCCATCTCCGAGGGGAAACAGAACGCAAAGGCGGTACTAGCAGCTTCCGGCGTGTCGTCGTCGGCCGAGGAGAGTCAGGACGCGTCGAATGGTGACTCCTCGGGGCATCCGGTCAACAATTCCAATGGTTTGGCATCGAGCAAAAAGCGGGCGCGAAACGGCTCTGTGACCCAGCCTGCCGAAGAATTACCGGTACGGGTGCGTGAAACGCCCGCAGACAAGATCCTCCTGGAGCAGTACGTCAACCGCGAGTTCCAACATTCAGCCTTGGTGGCCTGGCAGAACCCGAGCCAAGAGATCGCCCACCAGAAGCGCGCCGAGCGTGACTACTTCCTAACCATCCGACGCGAGAATCATATGAACCCGGCCGCTCTCTACGGCGTGGGATACGAAGGATTTGGAAACCCCCGAACAGATCTGCGGGGACAACATCCACAGCTGTTGTACCCATCCAACCGCCGTCGCCCAGGGAATCGAAGGACGCGCGAGTTGCGCATTTCAAGAAAAGATCTGAAGACGCAGAACGACCAAATAGAGAACCTGGTACCGATCCGATTAGATATCGATTGGGATAAAATTAAGATTCGAGACACCTTCACCTGGAACCTGCACGATCGTGTCGTCTCCCCCGATCTGTTCGCCGAAAAACTGGCCGAGGATCTGGGCCTGCCGCTCGAATCCTGCGGTCCACTCATCCGGATGATCTCGCAGAGCATCCAGGAGCAACTCTGCGATTACTACCCTCAGATCTATATGGAAGAGGAACCGCTCGACCCGCACCTTCCGTACAGTGCCTACAAAAACGATGAAATGCGCATCCTTGTCAAACTCAACATCACCATCGGTCAGCACACGCTGATTGACCAATTCGAATGGGATATCAACGACCCTCTGAACTCCCCGGAAGAATTTGCTGCTCGCATGACCGACGACCTTTCTCTCTCCGGTGAATTCACCACCGCGATCGCACACTCGATCCGCGAACAGTCGCAGCTGTTCACCAAATCGCTTTACATCCTCTCCCACCCATTCGACGGGCGTCCCATCGAAGATCCCGACCTCAAAACCGCTCTTTTACCTTCTCCTATGATCTCTCCTTTCCGGCCCTTCCAGGCGGCCAAGGAATATACGCCGTATCTCTACGAACTCAACGAAGCCGAGTTAGAACGCACCGAAGTGTCCATTTCGAGAGACCAACGAAGACAGAAGCGGTCTGTCAACCGACGCGGCGGACCGGCTCTGCCCGACCTCAAGGACCGCCAACGCACGATTCGGACAATGCTTGTCTCGTCGGTCATTCCCAATACGGCCGCGTCTATCGACGAGAGCAACGTGTTCAAGCGGTCTGGGTCAAGTCGGCACCGACGTGCCGCCGTCGGACTGCGCGACGGTGGCGACGACTCCGAAGACTCGGACAGCGACGAATCGTCGATAACGGCCTCTCCCGCAATCGGTCCGCATCTGGCCCAGGGCACGGCGCGCACCAGAGGCATGCGTGGGGCTGCCACCGCAGCTCATGCAGCTCTCCGAGCCAACCTTGGCCAATCCGCCACGCCGGAACCTCATCACGAAAGCAGGGTCTCGGCCCGACGACGCGACTATCGCGAAGAGAGCGTCGAAGAGACGGACCGGTTGATTGTCAAGCTGAAGATCAATCGTGAGAAGTTCCGCCAATATCTCACCCATGGCCCGCAGGCGGTCCCCGGCCTTTCGGCATCGACTCCCGGGGCCCAGCTGCCCTCGCAACGAAGCACGCCTGGAGCGCAGACTCCAGTTCAGAGTTCTATGGCGCCGCCCTCACATCCTCAGCCTCAAGTTCGCGTACAAAATGTCGGTACTCCCACGCAACGAAACACGCCCGCTCAACAAATCGGGGCCATAGATGCTGTTCAACCCCCTCAGCCGGGTGTCTCTGGGGTGAGTTACTAATGATATGTCTATAAAACCTCTTGTTGGGATCCGCGCACGGCGACACTAGATCATATCTGGCTGTCATCAGTGTGTCAAAGAATTCTCTTTTGTTAGAAGGAAAAAAAAAAAAGAAGCGAAAGGATCCAGGGGAAAAGAGAAGAGAAGAAGAAATAAACAAAACTTTCCTAATGGAAAGAATAAACCCCGAGCATGGTGCCTTGCTGACCTTACCCTGACTTAGCCTCCGCCTCCAAGTTGGCTTGCAGCGGGACTTGCGCGATTAAAACGCACGTATCCCAACGATTCCTTCGAAGGTGTCATGCGCTACACCGCGGTTGATACCGAAACGATGCTCCCGGTAGCAAGTTCGACCTCCCAACCAGGGCACAAGCTGAAATATCAATACCTCCCTCGCATCCGATGCCACGATTGTCCGGGGAAGCTGTACACGCCCGGACCCGCCACGACGGTCGACAATTTCGAAGTCCATCTTAGAAACCGACAGCATAAAGAACGGGTGGAAGAAAGACTCGCCCGAAGTGCCGGTGCCGGAGGCAATGCATCATAAGTCATGAGTCAATGATGAATCATTTCCTTTTTCTCTCTCTCTCTCTTCCTAACACCAATGTACACTTTTCTTTTTCTAATCCTCATTTCCATCTTGTCTTTCTATCATGGGGAAAGCCGACCCAACCTGGTTTGGATACTTGATTTTGTTGATTGTCATGTATATGATTTTGAGCGGCTTGAACGGTCTTGGAAATCCTACATTCTTCTCCTCCTTGGTCTCCCGATTGTTCACTGTGTTTGATATTTCTCATTCAGCCGAGGCTATGGTGTTTTGGCCTTACTGATCTGATCTTCCTACTATCACCATTACTACCACTGCCACCTACCTACCTACCTACCTACCTACCCTCTTAACTTACATCTGTGACATTCAGTCCATGGTCGGCGTAAATACAATTCCATTCTTCCTATCTTTTGTTCTGCATTGCCAAAAGAGTCTTTATTGTATGAACTATCTGCTTTGCAATGCACTTAGCTATACAATAAGTGCTGTCATTCTTCGTATGTCCCTAATTGTTAAAAGAAGATGGATAATTAATAGAATGACCTTGCATTAATTAATAACTTAGATGAGTTGAGATCAGAACAGATGAGACCCATAGTTTTGAGACAAGGGTGAAGAAGAGTAGAAAAAAAAAGGCAAGAAGTTAAATTGGGTATAAATTTCAATGTGAAAATAAACCTGACACTGACACTTGACACTGATACTCGGAATAACTTAACAGACAGAATACAAGTAAAGGAGGAGTTAGCAACAGCGACGACTACCACAGAGAAAGCAGTGCCAAATTCGATCAGTTACATCCATTGCGCTTTAATCGAATTCAATTGGAAAACTGAACAGATGGATAGATGGGCAGACAGACAGATGACAGATAAGAGACATGGAGTGAGCAACGAACAGGGAACAAACAGATATGAAAGAACGCTCCAGCAAAGAAAACACAAGGAGAAAGAGAGGTACAGCAAACATACATAGTTGATTTGTGGCCGGAATAAGGAATAAAGAAAGGTATCTCAGGTGGAGACATCACCTCGAATGGGCAGAAAGGAGGTGACAGCAAAGTCATTGATCTTTACACAGACAAGGGAAGGAAAGAAGCAGCCGCGCAGCTTAGCGGCCTTCAGGGAGATCTCTCCGAGTTTACTTAATTTATAATAAGCCTTATCCTCGTCGTGAGGATCGTCGCGTGGGTAGCGACGTTGTCGTCGGTTTCGCATTACGTTTTCCGCCAGCAGCCTTTTTGGCAGATGCTGGCGCTGGCGTCGGTGCTGGCGATGGTGAGGGCTCCTTGGCTTCTGTTTCTTCAGGTTCAATATCGAACTCGTCTTCATCGTCTGGGGGTTCCGACAGAGCGTCCGAGTCTGAAGATTCATCCATGACGTTGTTTTTGTCTTCTTTTGCTTCACTCTTTTCGTCGGCCTCATCCTCTTCGGGTTCGTCGGCCTGTTCTTGGTCTTGTTCCCATTCGTCCATTTCCACGTCATCTTCGTCGCTGTCCCGGTCTGCGTAGCTGATTCTCCGCGAGGCGTTGCCTCTGCTACTGCGTCTTCGGGCAGAGGCGGTTGCACCGCCACTCCGACCTTCGCCGTCGGAGGACCAGTCATCCTCGTTCTTCTTCTTTTTCTTTGGTGTCTTGGAGGCTGCGGCTGCGGATGGTTTCCGAGCACGGGGAGCCTTGTCCTTTTTGGCTTTCTTTGCGGAGCCAGTATCGCCACCTGGTTCATTCGAATCCGTCTTTCTCTTCTTCGCTGCTGCCTGGCCGTGGGACCCGCCTTTCATCCGCATCACGGATCTCACGAGGCGGTCGAGTAGGTCATCCGCGTCGTCGGGAAGGAAGTTCTTGTCGGCCACTTCTTGCGCTTCCTTGTGGCTACCCATCGCAGCGAAGATGGAACTTGGGATCCCCATCTTCCCGGGATATGTTTGTAGAATGTTCGTGCCGCCTGCAGCTCCCCCACCAAACTTGCGCTGTTGCGAGTAGATATCGGCGAATCGCCGGATAGTCGCTTGTGCCAGATCTGAAAGTGTATGAAGTCGGACGGTCATTTCATCCGATTTAGTTATACCATCACGTGCTTGCTTGACGCGCTGTGCGATGTGGAAGATCAGCGACAGGTTCTGCTCGTTGGCCACCGCAGAGAGATAGAAGAGGATGTAGCGGGCGAAGTCGGTCAGATCAGCCAACTGAGTGGCATCGTCTAGATCCGCGGGCGGATAGTCAGGGTGGTAAGCAAGAAGCGATAGCAGGCGGGAGAATATAGCCTCCATGGCGGTCTGCTCGGTCTTCTTACCGCTGCCCTGTTGAGAAAAGAACGCAGCTCGAGACCGCAGCCAAGTGAGAGTGCTGTCCTTCAGGCTAGGGTTCGGCTCGAACGCCAGCAGGAAGGGGATCGTATACCAGCGGTGGCTCAAGTGGGTAGTCTGCACCAGCTGTTTCTTGAGTTGATTGATGAACCCAACTCGTACAGCCGCGACCGGGTCTTGAGCGACCAGCGCAATGGCATTGAAGTCGCGGGGCGCAAAGATTCGGTCACAGAGACTGTGAGATGCACAGAGTTTGAGGATCGACTTGGCAGCTTGGAGGCGTAACCGAGATTTTTGCGTCCCCGGGGTATCCTTCTTCTTCGACAGCTCACCCTGATTAGCCACAAGCTTATTAAGGGTATCGTAGACCGGTTCCGCATGGGCGCGGAAGTCATCTTCGCCATCAGAGCCTCCCTTGGCACGTAGACGGTTGACAATGATCTTGAGAGCCCATTCCTTGGCGGCAGTCTCATCATCTACCGTATCCGACCAAGCGTAGCCTGAATCTGGCTGGGGGGTCCGATTCGTGAGTAGAATCTGGTTCACGGCGATCGAAATGATGGAGTCGCTCTCGCAGTCTGCTTCGTTGGGAGCGAGAAGGCTCAGCTGAGCCATAGTGGCCAGCTTGGTGAGGAACTTATCCGACCCAAAAGTCCATTTAGCAACGCACTTCTGGATAAGGTCCTTTGCATACATCTCTTTCTTGTCCGCGGTGGCCATAAGGATCGAAACGGCATGCTTGGCAGCTTGGGGAGATGGGCTGTGGAGGGCGTGGTCGACGAGGGACAGAAAGAATTTGCGCTCCTTGGGGAGCTTAGATCCCAGTTTCTTTGCGAATCCCGCGCAAGCTTTGAGGATCTCCTCGGTACCGGTGTCATTGGTAGTTGTGGCCTTCGGTGCCTGTGTTTCAATATCTTTGCACATCTCCTGGACCTGGGCTTCGAGCACCTCGGGGTTGCGAGAGGAGATTTCCCGCAACAGCTCATGTGCAGGGCCGGCCAGGCCGTTCTCGTTTGTCCTCGAAAGGCTGATGATCGCCGGAATGTGACTCCGATTGTACACAAGCGAGCTGCATCGGTAAAGGAGGGGGGTCAGAGTTTCGAGGACAGGGGTGTTGTTGGCGTTCTGCATTCTCTTCACAAGCTCTCTGATAGCCTTGACGACGGTGCGATAATCACTGACCGCGGCCATAGCAAAGCGAATGAGCTGGTAGCTTCGTCGGTCGTGCGCCTTGGCAAATTTCCACAGGTCGGCAGACGCGCGCGAGGAGTCAGGGAAGATCTTTGACAGACCGTCAATGACGCGGGTGATCTGGGTTTTGATCCGCTGCTCGTCTTTCTCCATGATGCCACCATTATAATCCTCACAGGCCTGAAGGTAAAGCGTGATCGCGGTCCTCATCTGGATTTGTCGGGCCTGCATAGCGAAGAATACCTTCTTCGCTTTGTCATCTAACCCCCTTGTCAGGGTGAGAATGCGACGAACGCGGACCTTGTCCACGTCGATTTCACCCTCGCCTTCCGTGGTCTGAGAGTCCTTTTGCTTTTGCGATTGGCTCGACCCACCCCGAGTCAGCTTGGGCTTAATCGGAGGATAGTTGAGCGGGAGGAGGATCTCGAAGAGAACACGATCGATCAACACGTGGATGTCGGGGTCATTCGTGTAATAGGCGTCCAGGATCTTGGACGGACCGTCTCCGAGAAGAGAAACGACTTGCTCGTTATCATGTTCAAGTTCACCGGCGGCAACAGCCCACATCCGGGCCAGGGTCCGCATTGCGCGCTCTCGCACATGCGGCTTCCGATCCTTGACACGCTCTGCTAGGATGTAAAGTATCGAGTCCGAGGATGAAAATCCACCGTCCGCACCAAGCTTCAGCACGACATGAGACAGACCGAAATTGCTCACCGCGTCGACTGCCGCCACGCGAACCCTCTCGTCGGCATCTCGCAACATCGATGCTAGGTGTTTGATGAGCGTTTGCTCCTCGCTATCACTCAGTCCAGAGCCACCGGCTGACGTCAGTAGGATCCGGCCCACGACGGTTGCCCACGCAGCTCTGACCGAGGCAGATCGATCCAGACGCCGACTCAAAAAGCCCTCGTAAGTAGATCCATGTGCCTGAGAGAAAGGTTTGGGAGAGAATGGCGTTAGAACGACGTTCGTCTGAGGAATTGTTTGGGGGTATTCCTCCAGTGTGACCGGAGGATAGACGGTGGGATCCATCGGAGGTGCCGGAGGTGGCCCGGAAACGCCAATTCCCGCAGTCAGATCGCCAATAGTCTGGGTTGCCAGGAGACGCAAGGAAACGGACTCGGCGGAGAGCTCGGCCTCGAGCTGAGGGACCACGTTCTGCAATACCTCCGGGCAGGCTTTCCACAGCTCACGAATCAGACGATGGGCTTTGTTCAACTCCTTGATGTCTTCTTCTTCCTCTTCTTCTTCGTCAAGGGTAACCCGGCGATTCGAATTCTTCGATGCGCCGTTCTTCGATGCGGAGACGTCGATAATGACATTGTTGAAATACTGACTGATATGGCTGGTCATCCGTTCCGGACACGCTTGACAGATCGCTTTCGACATGTTGTAGGCCGGAGGGTAATCTTTCAGAAGTAACGTGCCTTGCTTGGCATCGACCGGCGCATCGGCTTTCTTTCCTTTCCTGCCAGCGGGAAGCTCCAAGACACGGGGGTCAACCCGTAAGAATTGCGCGACGATCACGTCGACCACCTCGGGAGCGAGTACCGGCGATTCGTCAATAACGGTGACAAGCAATCTAGTCATGTCGAACTCGACGTTCTTCGCGATTTCCTCGCCGGTCGACGCTTTCGAGGAGCCGGAGACGATGTCGAAGCAGCTGATAAAGAGCGGAACAATCAAAGAATCGGGGTGGTCCAAATCAGTCATGAGGACAACACTTTTCACCTCCGCGAGGGAGTTGAGCACGTAGATGTGTTGAGAGTTATAGGGGTTCGCGGGATCCCCGAGAGCGGGTATAATCGAGGTGACAATGCAGGTAAACACATCCTAAATCGGGAGGGGAACATGGTCAGTATCCGCATCAGCGTCATAATGATCGGCGCCATCATGAGGCGGCAACATCGTATCTAGAGATGATAAATCAAAAGAAGGACAGAAGTCCAATGGAATATGAGCATGCATCCTCTGCCGGACGCAAGCATTAAAACGCACCTTGAGCTGATTAGCGGTAAACGGCGCGTCAGGCGCACAGAGCCGCAGCACGTCGACAATGCAACACGTCGCCCAAGCTCGTACACCCTTATCCTTGTGGCCAAGAAGCTGAGCGGTGGCCAGCTCCTGCGATACCTTCTTGAGCGAATCCTTCTCTACCTCCTCTTGTTCCAGCTTGCGAAGCTCCTGCGCGAGGGTCTGCAGGCGGTGGAGCAGGTCTGCGATGGGGATGGCGCCTCGACCGACACGCCACGATAGCGGTTCATTGAAGTGAAGACGACGGAGACCACCGGCGATCTCCTCGGGCTCTGCGACCTCCGTCGCGGCGGAGGGGCCATGACGGGTGCGCGCAGGCATTGTGGACGATTGCGCGGGGAAGCCGAGGGTGAAAGGAACGGGGGGAGAGGGAGGGAGGAGAAGGAGGGGGGAGAGAGAAAGAAGCTTCAAGGTACCATGCGCTGGGAGGGAAGGGTCTGAATATGATAGGATAGAAGAAATTAAACTGGGTGGGACAATGTCAAATGGGCGAGAAGCGGAGGAGGATAAGGAGACAATCGACAAAGAACTTCCGGAGCGAAACGAAGGACGAGAGGGGACGCCCTGACCGCCTTCGCCTGGGACGCGTCGCGTGTTTTCTTCCCTTTTCCTTTTTGCACTCCGATGTTTACCTGTGGTTACACTGATTTATGATGATTTACCCATCATATTTCTCTCCGTTATATTTCACACATGAAATTCTAAGAATTGCCTCGTCGTGGCCGAATGCCCATTTGCTACGTACCTGCGCCACGGGCTTTCTGCGGCACATGCTCTGCCATCTATGTTTATCATGACAGGTGCCAAATATCCTCAAGATAACATACGCAAAGAATATATCGATGCGTTGGAATCACCAATCCCAGATCAACTCTCATACTCGTCCAGAAAGCCGTCAGACTCGCACGGATCCCCTGCGGATCCCCTGGCGCATTATTGACATAAGAGAACTGGGCCCGACAGTGTTCCCCACGTAGTACAAGACAGCAGGCATGCATTGACCACAGCTTTCTTCGTCGCCCGCCTACTTAATCAGTCACTAGGGACAAGGCCAAGGTTCTATCAGCAAAGAAGGCCTCCCGAGCAAATATGAGGAACCATCTCGAGTGGACTGAGCGTGAGATTCAGCATGAGTAGCCTAACGTAGTTTACAATCCTGATCAAAGGCATCCTTAACCCTCCCATACAATGAATCATCAGTCAAAAGAGCCCATCCTGTCATTGCCATGGCCTTTGCAGCCTTGAGAATAACATCATGAGCCGCTGCTTCTCCCGCAGCCGTACAAAAATCACGAGTATGTGGAAACGCACCGCTCGAGACCGGGATCCCAATGTTAGCATGCAACCCCGGAAGAGCGTAACTGACATTTCCCTGGTCCGTTGACCCCGGTATAGGATCATCATGCACGGTCTGAACCTTTTCTCCCTGCTCTGCCATGCATTTGGCGAATTCGTCGCAGAGAGGCTCGTTGACTCGCAAGTCGGCGTAGAGTGGGGTTTCCTCGATATGAAGCTTACAGCCTGTTGCGAGAGCTCCGGCTTGCAAGCATGCACGCACGCGCTCTCCAAGGATGGCTGTATTCTTCATAGACGACGAGCGGACGGTGTACTTGGTGACTGTCTTTTCGGGTATGGCGTTGGTGATCTTAGGCGCTTCCATGATGGCTCCGTGGATTCTTTCTTCGGGCTTGATTTGCTGCCGCAGCATTGAGATGTTGTTGTATGCGCAGACGATGGCGTCCAGGGCGTTGACTCCATCCCAGGGGTTGGCGCTGGCGTGGGCGCTGACCCCCTCGTATATGCAGATGAGATCGAAGCAGGAGATGGATGTCTGGCCGGCTACTCCGGTGATTCCGTGTCCATGAAGGGGTTGATCTGAGGTTGGGTGTCTTCTATCGTTAGATCGTGGATGCTCTAAACCAAGAGTTGCATAGGGCTCACATCATCAACGATACATCAGCTTTGTCGTATGCGCCAGCCTTCAACAGATCGATCTTTCCGCCTCCATCTTCTTCCGCAGGCGTCCCGAGCAGCTGAGCCCGTCCAGATATCCCCGATCGTTCGATCAAATGTGATAAAGCCAGGAAGCCCGTCACACTCGCCGTTGCGATGAGATTGTGCCCGCAGGCATGTCCAATGCCGGGAAGAGCATCATACTCAGCATTGAAGTTGATGCATTTCCCGCCAGAGCCGCTGACGGCCTCGAATGCCGTGGCGAGACCGTATGCGCTCCGAGTCACAGGAATAGTAGTGCGCTTTTCTAGGAAATTACATATGGTTGCATGGGCATGTTGTTCCTGGTATGCAAGCTCAGGGTTGTCATGGATCTTTTCCACTATTAGTGTTGAATATGCCTGCGGATAATGCTATCTAACTCACGCTCTGGTTCAAATACCGCAAGCTGTCTCCTAAGCCTGAGATATATTCGTCTATTATGCGATTCGCATTGTCCCGATTGCATTCCATGGTGTTGTTGTTGTTGCCTGACAGGCGATGTAGGCAGATTGGTAATTCCACAAACGGTTATCTAAACCCGACCACAACGAACAGAAAAGAAGCTGCGGATTTCAAATTCCCCCGGGGATTATTGAAACAATGAGAGAACCACGTTGACCGTCCTGCGTGCGGGGAATGGAGATCCAAACGAGACAATGAAATGATAAGCTTCCCACTAGCTCGCTCAACGGCGCCAAAACATATGATTGGCCGCCAACTCCGAGTAGATGTGAAGCTATGGAGGAAGATATGTCTGTTGTAGTAAGTGATTGTAGAGAGAGTACAGAAGGGGTGTTCCTATCAACCAGATAAGGCACAGATTACTGGCAATATGTAAACATGTGGGGAAATATCTTTGAATCATGCAGACATATACAAAGACAGAAAACAATAGCAACAACAGCAACAACAACAGAATCCCAGTACTCTGCAGTAGGGACCACTACCGAAAGTTCCCGAAGAAAACCCGAATGGATGCCGACCGAACTCACCTGACCGCTTGGCGCCGAGGTCTGGTCCGGGCTGGCCTTCTCCAGGCCCCAAAGTCCCCCAGCCTTGGGGGCAGGTAGCCTGGAGCCCCGCAGGTAGCCTGGAGCCCCAACCGCCGGATAGCTGTGATGCCCCGGCACAAAGCAATACTCTTCCATCAATTCGGTGCCTTTTACAAAGCTTCAGCACTATTGTCGCTCATTCCTACTACGGCTTCCCTTCAAGAAAATTTGCGCCTAAAATCATTTTTCTGGCTGGTGGGTGCAATGGGCTTTTCCTAACCTCCTGGTATCAGTTTAGGGGATGTCAAGGGATGTGGGACCAGTGGAATGGCAGCCTTAGACCCCCAAACCAAGTATATCATCAAGTTCCCCCTCGGTGATGAGGACGAATGTGACCGCTGTGATCGGGAAAGGGAGATATACCAGCTTCTGGAGGGCTCACCACACCCACGGCCATCATCTCTCTTGAAATTCCACGGCAGCACGAGCCATGGCATTTTGTTGGAATATGCAGAGCTTGGGCCAGTGCGACAATATCTCGCTGGGTCGCAACATTCAATGACCCGTTCCACTTTGCTCCGTTGGGCGCAGCAAGCTGCTGAAGCATTGCGGTTTGTTCACGCCAATGGGATCTGTCATGGCGATGTTAGTTGTACAAATTTCTTCCTGGATCAATCTCTGGACTTGAAGGTTGGAGATTTTACTAGCTCATTCATCAACTTCTTCACTACACCGGAGGCTTTACAAGAGGACATATCAAATTTTGGCTCCACCCTGTATGAAATGGCAAGTGGCCATTTGCCCTATCACAATCTTTCCGAAGATGAAAGAGAGAAGAAATTCGAGAAGGCGTTTCAGGATCTGACAGATGTGGAATTGAAATCAATGATTCTTAGATGTTGGGATGGTCAATACACCAGTTTTACATGCATTCTGGAAGATATCAATGTCGGAGGTACGCGCCCTAGTATATTAATACATAAAAAAGCCATTGTCATGCTCTCCCTGAATAGGCCGGAACTTTTCCTATTTCGCTTGATCGCTCGCCTCTATACCTCTGAACGTCCCCAATCGCTAACGCACTCAATCAACGGACCTAGTCGATGCCACCCAAAGGCGCTAAATCATTTTATCAAACGGTCTCTGAAGCCATTCGTCTTCAATGATTTCATTTGCTGTCGCCCTTGCTTCCGGATCCCAGGCTAGCATCTTTCGTATAAACTTCAGAAACAGGTCTTTCTCTTCACCTGGGGGTATAGTTGTGACGAAGTCTTCGAAGGACGTTTTGGGAATCGATGCCTCAGATAGTATCCAGTTGCCTATCACATTGTTAGATGGATCTGATTTCTATCTCCCCTTTCCGCTATCGGACAGGCAAGGATGAGAGTAGCACATCACTAACCTTTCTCGTCGAAATAAGTCGAAAAGAGAGGGCTATTCTGGATCATGTGCAGTGGCGGCGGCCCAAAATAGCCGATATACTGAGCCAATGCCAATGGAAGAACATATTGATCATTGACGTGATCGATAGGATCAAAGAGGTTTTTGCCTTCTAGAAGTTCTAACGTCTATTGAACGGGTCAGAAACAGTACCAGGGATTTCTTTTCGGCACTCATCACTTACCATCACACCAACAGACCACATATCAACCTGAAAAGTCCAGGGAATCTGCAATAATACCTCCGGAGCTCGGTACAAATCAGGCATGATCCAGTCCTGATTTATACGGCCGTCATCGTCTCGTAAGTGGCCGAAATCTGTAAGAACCGGGATGCCGCCAAGTTCTAGAAAAGGCTCCCGGGACGGGTAGATAGGGACGCCAGAGTCACTAATGATCGGGATGCTAGGATCTTGCAATTCTTGATCTTCGATGTCCTTGAAACTACTATTATCCCCGACCTCAGTTAGGACATTTTGAGGGGAAATATCTATAAACCGATGAGTATGTGCACATCGTCTTCCTAGATCCTATTCAAACCTGTATGGATAAGATTGCAGGTTGCATGCAGCCAATTTATAGCGAAGAATAGCCGATGCACCAAAGACCGGACTACGAGTTTCGGCACCCTTGCGTTAGGAAAAGATGTTTGTAGCGTGCGCAGGCTATGGCCCTGGGCTTTGGACGCGATACAAAAATGCCTTCCGGAAGAAGTATGAAGCTCAAAGATGTCGGTAGCAAGGCGGGTAAAACACAAGCCAGGGTGACTGGCAGTTTCAGCGAATTGCTTCATCCGTTGTAGCATGTTGACTTCGTTTAGTATAGGGGATTGCTTGTCATCGTTCTGCTCGATGGATACCTTAAGCGAAGCATACTGCTTTTTCCTAGGTATTCAGATCAGTCGATGGACCCACTGATGCACTCATGCTCAAACCTCTCATCCCAGGCAAGCCAGACAGTGGAATAGCCACCATAACCAAGTTTTGCAAGGATCTGATATCGATCCTTGAGAGTATCCCCAATGCGAACTGGATAATATCGTTTCTGGTTGTAGAATGGTAATGTTTGCTCTTCGATCAGTGGACCACTCCTCGAATGGCTGGAATGGCGAGCAGCAGGCGAGCGCCGCCGTAAGAGCACCGAAAGTCGTGGATAAGTCATTTTCCACCGCATGTTGGGAGAGAAAGGTGTCTATATCTCATCCTTCCTCATTCCAGCTGCCAGCATAGTACTCCTGCACGCTTTTGGGTATCCCCTTTTGTTGCACCTGATCTGGAATACACTCTCCATCCAATGACTAGTAGGCAAAGAAACAACGAAAAAGGAAGACTCATGGAATAGTACTCCAACCCACTTCCGCCCCCTGTCAGTCGACTTTGATGACCTTAATTCAATGTAGAATGCCTGAATTCCAATGAAGGAGGATGACCGCCAAGATCCACTGCGGGTCACATGTGCCCTAAACTACATTGGGAGGCCAGCACAATAGAATTAAACTGTACAGCATCGTACTAGCTAACTTCTCGCCAAAACCCGCATCCACTGAACTTCCGGGTCTCAGAAATAGGTATCTCATCTTTACTTCAGACAGTTCATTCAACACCGAGAGGTGGAGTCCGTCCAAGACCAGCCAACTTCCTTGGACTCGGATACGATGATACGAAGGTACGCGAACACGAATACGAAAACGCGAAAGTGCGAAGATCTGAAGATCCACTTCTTTCCAAGGTTTACTCAGTGTAGGACTGTTGGTACATACTCCGTACAACTTCTTGACTTGATCTTCCTAGACCCTAATACCACGTTGGAACCTACGCTAGGCTCTTTGCTAGGCGCCCGTCTATCACGAGTTCAACTGAGCTTTCGTGCGGAATCAATTTCAATTGAGAGTACGTACCAGGCCATATATTCGCCACACTCACAGATGGTAGAGGTTGCAAGCTTCTCTCCTAGAAGTAATTCGGGGGCTTCTTAAGATAACTTGTGGTCTAGAGCAGAATACAAGGGTACGTGGATCAGACTGTGGACTGTGCCTCCAGCCTTCATATTGTTGCCTGAGTATCCATTATTAAATGACCGGAGCCATTGTTTCAAAGATCGATCTTTAAAGTGCCGAGCCTACTCCGTCGTTTCTGCGGGGAGTACGTCTAGAAAACGGTGGATGAACCGTTTTCGATCGTTGCCTCATGCTGCACACTAAACATTCATGGATGTGCCTTGCCGGCAGGACTCCATAAGGCAGTAAAGTTAGGGGTGGTGAGCTCCACTTAACTGATAGTTTAAATCATGTTTCTAGCAAAGAAGTTACTACGGAGTAGTAAGATTCTTATGTGTTTACGCAACGTCGCCTTGCCACGGTTGTCTCCTGTCGATCCATGGATTTCTCCTTCTCGGACCCGCATCTCCTTTCTGTGAAGTCACTGCTATTAATCTAATAGTACGACAGAGTGTAGCCTTGGTTCGTATAGTATCAATTCCTGAAAACGAAATGATGGCAGACAGATGTCTATTCATATATAACGCAGGGTGCTGCCGCTGAGCCATAATCCCATTCTCAAAACACTCATACTTTCTCGCATCCTATACATTCTTCGTCCAAGGGCCATTTGCTATGCGAATCATTCCCTCTTTCTTGGCTGGACAGCTCCTGGCCTGGCAGGCCCTAGCGAGCTACTCCTCCAAACTCACCTGGCCCTTGTCCTACACAGTGAATGGAAGTCATATTTCTGTCAATGAGAATACTACTCTGAAATTGTCTTCCGACGGCACCACGCCCTCGATCCTGATTCTGGACTATGGCAGTAACGTCGAAGGGCTCGCTTCCTTCGAGGTTATCCACCGTGCCGGAGACACGTCGGTTTTTGAGATGTCCTACAGTGAATCTAGAGCTGCCCTAGATTCGTACATGGTCAGTGGCAACCTTCAAGAAGGACACAGAAGTGGACGGATGATGCTGACACCGGCTCTTTTTCTAGTCTGACGGGCCTATCGAATTCTCTGCAGCGATGGACACCTATCGCGTCAACCGATACAACCTCAGCAGCGGCTCGGAATTCGTTCACACCAACCGCCTGATCCAAGGCGGTCTTCGATACCAAAAGCTCAACCTCTCCACCGCCGGCGAGCTAGAGCTGTCATCCATTGGTTTCCGTCCCACCGTCGACGATACTCCCATCAGTGAGCTTCCTGGCGCGTTTCGATGTTCCGATCCAGTCGTGACTCGCATCTGGGAAGCCGGGGCCCGTACCATTCAGCTGAACGAGTTCCCTGCCAACTCGCTGCCGGACTTCTGGGTCATCACCGAGGAGGGCGCCTTGGTCGAGAGTTTGAGCCCCCAACCTTTCTCGGCAGACTATGCTAGCACAATGACTGCCTTTGAGCTAGACTTTGCTGTCAAGCCCATCAAGAATGCTTTTGGCTTCACAGTTCTCAGTGATACCCTAGGCGCAGGAATCTACCTCTTTGTCAACATTGCCAACAACTCAATCTCAGCGCATGTGGGTGCAACCCAGCTCTCAGACCCCTTGGTCGTTGCTCCATTGCCGCCCTCCGTCTCTGTGGGTCGCTGGCATCAGGTTCACTCTAGTGTGAACAGCACGCAGATCAGTATCTCTATTGATGGGTCCACTGTCCTCAATTTCACGCAAAGCACGCGCTTTTTCGGCTCATTCGGTTTGGGTGCTTCGCTCCATCACGCCGCCATATTCACCAATGTCTCGTTGACTGCATTCGGCACCGAGATGTACAGCTCGCGCTTGACCAGCAAGTCGGACTTGCAGGACTTCCTCCTAGGTACCAACCCCTTGCCAGTTGAGGTGGATGGGTCTCGCAGGGATCGGATTGCCTATGCCGGTGATTTGGATATGACCACAGGCAGTGCGTTTGCCAGCACTCATGGCCGCGAATACATCAACGGCACGATCTCCTTATTAGGCTCCTTTCAACTTCCTCCCGGCTTCTTCGTTCCCAACGCCAAAGTTCAACAGCCCCCACGCTCTACGGACATTCCTGCCAACATCACAGGTCTCATTGGATACTCCTTCAGCATTGTGAGCGCCATGGCACAGTACTACGAGCAGACCGGGGATACGGAATTCCTCTCAGTCTGGGCGCCCAAGGCAGCGCGGATGCTCGACTGGGCACATTCTCAAGTGCTCCCCAATGGGATCCTGAATATATCCAACCAAGCATTTGCCGGAGACTGGAACCATTACGACCCGCAAGTAGGTGGCGGCGTCGCCAAGTTCAACCTGATCTATGCCTCTACCCTCAAGAAATGGATCCCTTTGATGGACGACGCTGGTCTCAACGCCACTCTTTACAAGCACCGCCTGGACGCCCTCCGCCCCGCCATCAATCGCCACTTCTGGAGCAGTTCCTTACACGCCTACTCCCACTCGGACACGCACCGCGATTTCTTCTCCCAGGAAGCAAACGCCCTCGCTATCCTCAGCGACACAGTCCCCGTCAACGGCACCGGCAACTTCACCGCCCACGCCCTCTTATCGACCATGGCCCGCGAGCTCGACGTCCCCGCGGGCCCGCTATCCTTCTCCCGCGCCAGCGCAGCCAGCGGCTGGGCGCAAAAGATCAGCCCCTACGCCTCAGGCTACCATCTCCAAGCAGCGTTCCACGCCCGGGACGGTCCCGCGGCCAAACACCTCCTCCATACGCTCTGGGGCCCCATGAGCGACCCCACCCACGCCAACTACACCGGCTGCTTCTGGGAAGTCCTAAACGAAGACGGCACCCCCGGCCTGGACGTCGGTACCTCCCTCTGTCATGCCTGGAGCGCTGGTCCCACGGCAGCTCTGAGCAGATATGTGCTCGGGGTCGCGCCGGCTAAGCCAGGCTTCACGGAGTGGACGATCACACCACAGACGCTGGATCTGAGGTGGGCGGAGGGTCGCTATCCCGTCCCGCAGGGCGCGTTCGAGGTGAAGTGGAGCTATGATAGTCGGGAGTTCCTGTATATGACTGTGACTCCGCCGCCTGGGACGAAGGGCACCGTGTACCTCCCAACGCCGCGCAGGGAGAAGAAGGTCAGGAGGTATGAAATGACCGGAGGTGTCGCTAACGGGGACGGGGGGTTCTCCGTGAGCGATGAGATATTTGTGTTTCGACAGACGGCGTAGATAGCGTGGTCGTGTTAGGTACGGTACATACTCGAGCTACCTACTTACATACATTACCGGAGGTCATGGTGCGACTCGAATACTACTTAGAGCTGAAGAAGACATGAGGTCGAGGAAGCAAGGGGTGAAAAGCCCGCGGCCTCAGGCATGCGCACGGTGTATCTATCGAATGGCTAGAAGGACGCCAGAAACGGCCATTTGCTAATCAAAATGTTGCTATAACTAGAGTTAATATTAAGATTATCTATAATGATCTATAAACAGTATATTGCTTTCAAAGAAAAAAACACCCTGCAAATGCTCGCTTTTTTTATGCATAACTCGTTGCACAACAGAAACACATTATCATGTAAAAACCAACCAACCCGGCTTTCACAGCTTCGGAGAGAACTTGCTCATCGCCCGGATCTTCTTACCATAGATGAAGAAGACCACGGGGATAGGGATCATCGCGACGGTGATGAAGCCAAGCAGACTGGAAGCCCAGTCGACGCCCAGCTTATGGTACATCTGCACGGAGAAGAGCGGGAAAGCGCCTCCGAGACTGCTCCGAACGAGCGTGTTCGCAGCGATGGCCGAGTTGGCAAACATGAGATAGACGTCGATGATGTAGTTGAGACCCTGCATGAAGATCACCAGGATACCCATGCCGATGGGCACGCCAGCAATGACCTGAGGCACCCAGGAGATGTTGCGGTCAGAGGTCCAGCCGAACCAGAAGAGTCCTGCGGGCAGCAGGACCGACGCGATCATCATGGGGACGAGACGCTCCTCCGGGACAACACGGCCGTGCTTCGCCAGTTTGCGCGCGAACCGGGTCTTCGTCTGCCAGATGATCAGGGCCACTCCGCAGAGTACTCCGATCATGATTCCGAGGAAGGGGAGTCCGGCAACGCCTCCGTTGGTCCATCCGCGAACCTCCTGGAAGGAGACGGGGTAGGCCTCGAAGAACAGGTACAGGATGCCGTAGATCAGGGCAAGGTAGATGGTGATCAAGAGGAGAATGGGCTCCAGGAACAGCATTTGGATCGGGCGCACCAGATACTTGGTGACGATTTCCGATGCAGTAGGGCGGCTCTCGTCCAGAGCTGAGTGCAGTGCCCAGTTTCCGGTCTCTCGGCGGAGGCGGGCAGCGCGCTTTTGCAAGATAACGGGTGCGTACGTCTCGGGGATGATGATAAGGGCGATCATGCCAAAGGTTGCCGAGGCGATCAAAGTGATCCAAGCCGTCCAGCGCCAGCCGAGATGCGAGTCTGTGATGAAACCACCAACGATGGGACCTACACTTGTAGGTTAGATAGGCAATTGCAAGGATGAAAACACACATCATCAGGGGAGCAAAACATACCGAGAACGGGTCCAACAAAAGTTGCAGCCGAGAACATTGCGATAGCCACAGCACGGTCGATAGGGTTCCAGAAGTCGGCCATAGCACCACCAACAACGGCCAGAGGAGAGCAGCCAAACACACCCATCAGGAAGCGACAAATCATGATGGTTTGAAGGTTCTGCGCGACAGCAACTGGGATCTGGAAGATCGCGAACACGGCGTAGCCAAAGAACAATGGCAGTCTGCGTCCGTACAATTCAGACAGAGGTGACCACATTAAAGGTCCCAGGGCGAATCCAAAGACAACCAAACTGGTTCCCAATGTCATAACTTCGGTCGAAACGTTGAATTCCTTGGCCGTCACCACAGTAGCGGTCGAAAAGACACTGCTTGCAAAGGTGATCCACATGGTCATTGAAGACAATGTCATCGTCAACACCCATTTCTTCCAGTATGGCATATTCTGCGGGTTCTCGGGGTCATCGGGTCCATCGAATTCTACCAAGTTCGGGTCTTTCTGGGGCGGCGTTGGCTTCTCGCCGCCAGGTAGTTGAGCAAGTGCTCCATCGTTTTCCAAGTCTTTTTCGTGGGAGCGCTCGAGTTCCTTCTCTGGGTCCCCCGCTGTCGAATGCGTTTCAGAGTTCAAGGTAACGTCCGACGATACTGGAAGCTCGTTCGTATGGTCAAAACGTGAAGCCATGCCGTTGATGTCGTTCGTCGTGCGCTGGTCTGGTCTTCGTGGCGCGTGTCAGGAACGGCGGATCTAAAACTTTTCCTCCTTGCTCAGCGTGGTCTTTCGCTTCAGGTGAATAGAGATATATTGCTGATGATCGAGAATTAGGAGTAAGGGCGAATTGTTAGAAAACTTGAATCTATATAGTGCGGAATGTAGTGAAACCTGCGGCCAAAATATGGGCCCCTTCGGAGATTATAAGTCATTGCAAAATATCAAGGAGTGGGCCTCCAACAATAAAAAATATACCCAAAGATCTATCAATTAGTAAATCAAAACCAGGCTAGAATCATCTCGGTCTGAAGCTGCCACACCGGAGTGTCCAGCGCGCGAACGTGCTCCACCGTCATAAAATCTTAAGTCCGAAATGCCCGGCACCGATACCCCGACATACTGATTCGTAATGGAGAAAGGAAGGCTAGGAGAAAAAAATTAAAGAAGGAAAATGAAGGGCGAAAAACGTGAGTGGCCCAAAAATTACGAATGGGCCAATGACCAGTCCGGTCCATGTGAGGATTGAATCATTTCTGGGCCTGAAAGCGTCAGTCGCAAACCGTTAACGCCGAGAGCGAAGATCTGGCATGCTAAAACTACCTTGATACGTGCCTCGCCCGGGTAATCGGCCCATAGGCCATATCCCAGGTATGTTGGTCTCATTATGATTGGAGACCAGGCACACACACATGAGTCAAAGCTTTCGAATCCAACTGTTAGAAGGGGATGGAAGTTGGAAACGTGGATTCGAGAAAACGCTGCTCGCGCTTTGCAGCGGTCCGAAGGCCGACCATGCTTGGATTCGCATAAGCTATTGGGTCAGGAGGGTCGGGAACCCACTCGAGCCGACGTCTTAGCCTCCCTCTATCTAGACATTTCTTGATCATTCAGCGGGTATCGGTAAATGCTCATATCGCTATTCCCGAGACCGAGTCAGGCTGGACTGTCCGCCTGAAGCAGTGAAAATGCAAGCTCCGGTCGATTCGTCAGGTCAGCGTGCATTGTCCGTTATGATATGTTCGCTGTTCGGAAATATGGCTCCGACAGTCCGGCCTTTTAAGGCTCTTATTCAAAGGCCACCCCATGCTATCAATCTCGGAGATATCAGACGAACACAGCGCGGTCAGTCCGATCCTGAAGTTTCTCTCTTATGCTGATCAGTCATCGCTCCTTTGTGATGCCGATTAGTCAGTCCATATTCCATGTGCAATCTCATCAGGATTCTCACTTTTATTGGTTTCGCCACCGCCATTAATAATATGATAGTCGCATGACACAATAATCGGGGTCCAGGGAACTTCCGATGTAGACCAATGTCGCAATCTATTGGTTCTTTTTGGTTGTACTGTAGATATCGCGTATGCAGGCACATGTCGAACAGAATCGTGGTCAAGACTCTGTATAAATCTCAGCTAATGCAGCCAGTAGGCAGAATAAAACCTGGGCATTCGGTTACCGGCTCGGAGACATTTTAGGCATCAACTGACAGGTCAGTTAGCCTTTGAAGATCGCGCAGTAGATTCTCCGATGTTGTCATTTTGGCATTTGCACATGCAAGTGGAGAGAATCGTGTGAAAGGGAAACGAAAAGCGCGGAGAGGAAAAGGCGGGGTGGTTACACGGGCCTGATCCCTAAGGCCTACAGAACACACCTACCTTGCTCCGTCTTGTTCAGGTACAGAGGAAAGGTTTGACCTTCAAATCAAGCACCTTATATCTAAAGAACACTTCTCTCATGGAAAAGAAATAGAAATAACACAAAATCGTCGCTGATGAGGCCGCCATCAAGACGGGCCCGTAAAATATATTATTCAGGAATATCTTCTCAGCCATAAAATATCCAGAAAATACAGCTACAAAAGTTGATGTGCGCTTCATGCCAATTCCCAAGCCAGTCACCCTAGACTCCAGAAGAAAAAAATAAATGATAAAAAATAGGTATCCGTGGTGCCCCTTCCGGCAGGTCATAGATAAACGCCCAAGAAGATGCTTTTCCCTTAATGGGATCAAGATAAATCGCTGCGTTAACGCCGGCACATGCCGTATAAAATTCAAATATCAAGCACTATCCTCATGACCGTTGATGCTCCTCTGCTTCTGCTTGAGAGAATCCACGGCTCCCGCCACTTCGTCCTTTGCCGTGCTTTCCAAATTTGCCTTCGTACCCGCCTCGAGGTTTCCAATGCCCCCGACACGCTCATATAGCATCCGAGATATATTTCGATTGATATCAGTGAACTCATCCTTCGAAATGATTTTTGAGCGGTAGTATGGTTTGAGTGCGGCTCCGACTATTTTTTGAATGTCAGATTTGACGGCCGAGGACGGTTTGGTTCGGGTTGGAGAACTCTCGTTAGACCGTGCACCCACTGATTGCAACCATGCCCTTGGCACACGACGCTGAGGCCGCCCGGCAGCAGGTTGTGGTGGTGTATCTTCCCTGGTGCCATTGACAGCGCCAGCCGGTGATACGTCTGGTGAAAACGGTGGAGACGACGGGTCTGCGGGGGACGCGAGTTGGATTGGAGAAATCGGCCTGCTCCGAAAATGCGGGGGTGGTGTTGAAGATGATAGTCGGGGAGAAGAGTGATTTGAGGGAGCAGGCGATATTGATGGGGATGAGGGCCCAGGGGATGGATGATCGGTTGGTGCTACTGACACTTGGGCCGAGGGGCCTTGCGAATTAGCACCGCGAGGAGTTGAGGAATCCTCTACTTCCTTAAGAAGGGATTGAAGGAAGCTCGGCTCGCCCGGACCCTCGGCATTGATTCGAGCAGAGGCTTGGGCGCTAGCAGCTCGGGAGGATTCTCCATTCTGCGTAGCCAGAGCCGCCAAATCCTGGGCTCTGCGGGTTCGCGGACGTTTCAACTTTCTTTCGGGCTCGCTAGGCTCCGGTGACGGCGACAAAGTGGGTTCCTTTCTCTTTCTCGCGGCATTTGGGTTGTTTTCGATCTCTCGAGCTCTCTCGAAAGCGTTCCATGCTCGCATTTCTTCAAGAGACTCGGGCTCCGGCGTAGGTTCCCGTGGGACACGAGGACGTGACGGCCGAGGAACTTCGAGGTCGAGGAGAGCAGCCGTGTCTCGGAATCGATTGCTACCGCCCTGCTGCTCGGCAACCTCGAACCGACGCTGCCAGACTCGAAACTCTCGCTGGTTTGCCTCTTCGCGTCGTTGTTGCTGACGGGCACGCTCTGCAGCCCTGTCATCATCAAAAGGAAAATCCAAATCAAGGTTGAGATGATCCCAGACGGACTGCCATACCCGTGCCCAGTGGAGAGAGTTCATCTGATTCCTGCTCTGCAGTCTCCGCTGCTGTGCCCTCGTGCGGCGACCGCGGCGGTCCGGAGTCCGGAGAGATCGCTCGGCCATCTCGGAGGAGGATCCCGACGTGCGTTGGATGAGGCAGCGCGAGCAGTACCAAGGCCCGGACGGCACGGTATCGAGCCCGACGCAATAGGTATGAGACGGGGCATCGCACGCATCGCAGAGAAGCAGGAGCTCATCATTATCTGCATCTCCACAAATGAGACACGGTTGGAATTCAGCCAGATCGTCATCTATATATTCTATTACCATGGAGGGATCAACGTCCGCCACTTGCGTTCTGTCTTGCACGGAGTAAGATGACGATACGGGACCTGCAGGGGGGGAGAGACCTCATCGTTAGCGAATGTCCATTATCTATCAATGCACGTAGTATGCATGAGTTGTGGTAAAGAAACGCATAAGGGGAAAGACATACCTCCGAGCCGCTCCCTCAGCTCCACCATGTTGAAGCTGCGGCGGCAAATGGGACAGCTGTTGGCCCGTTCGACCCATGGCTTCAGGCAATTATTGTGCAGGATATGGCCGCAAGGGAGTAACTGGGCGATCTGGCCAGCATCCTCATTGCCGTCCACGCCGTTCGCCTCGATAGGAGGGTCATTGGGCTTGCCATCTACTCGGAGATCAGGTCTTGGCGCGGCCTCGGCGGTGACGGCAAGAGGATCGCTGGCGCTTTCGCCAAGGTCTCCTAAACACACAATACAAGTGTCGGACATTAACAGTTGGGGTTGTGCCAGGATTGTCTGCAGGGAAGCTAAGAGAAGGCATGAAGAGCAGCTGGCCAAAAGGGATGGGAAGACAGAGGCGTGGGAAGAAGAAGGGAAAGGGAGAGAGAGGAAGCAAGACGAAGTGATGTGGGGAGAAAGCAGCCGGCCTTTTGAAGGTGGACCTGCAATCCGGTCTAACGCAAAGGAGTCTGGCCCGCAACGTGACCGGCCTGCCTCGAGCGCCAATGAGCGCCCGGAAAATGCGTGTGCGCAAGCCGCCCTCCTGATGGCCTCAGGTGTTCAGGTGTCGTCAGGTCCCTAGTCAGCCGGTGAAACCTGACGCTGGCCTCTACAACAGAGTAGATTTACGGAGTATGTGTTTTGAGACCAACAGGTGGTCCCCCAAGTAGTAACTAGTGACCTCCAAAGGCAACAACGAAAGTAAGATTACTGGCTCCGTACCTACTGTGTGCTGTCTTTCTGAGTCAGACGCGCGTCACAGATGAAATAAAAGCATGTCGGCCAGATAACACCTTTTCTGATAGAAGCACAAGTTCATCCATAGGGCTGCAATCCTGCAACGTCAGAGGACCCGATCACAACCACTGTTCCCAGCTATTCAAGGTTATAGAACGCCGTAGATGCCCCAGCGCAACGCACACTAAACGGACAGACTGCAGACGCGAGATATCTGCTACGAAGCGCTCTTAGAAAGATGGAAAGACTTGAGAGATCCGGGATCGCCGGTGGAATTGAAGTCTATTTGGATACGGCGAGAAACCGGCGATCCGCAAGGCACCGGGCGCTATTGACATCGGGGGAAAGTGGTAAGATCGTAGGAGGAGTTCACTCATTTAAGCTCTTCAGGTATTGAATTTCGCTATTTTTTTTATTTCAAACGTAAAGAAAAACCCATCATCACACTTAAACCTCCGCGATTTCTCTGAGACGACGGATGGTGGAGCGGGTGGCAGCGGCGGCGGGGGTACTGTAGGACGATCGCATCAATCAGTATTTGTGTTACTCGAATCATCTCCCCTTGTGCAGGGGTCCAGTCTGGCCGGTTCCCAAAATCGGAGGGTGGCGATGACGAAGAGAAAATTTATCAGGACAGGCGCTCGACTTACGAGACGGTGTAGGCACCACCGGCAACACACTTGTTGCAGCCCTTGCACTCCCAGATACCAACAGCCTTGCGCTTAACGGTGTTCTTTCCGCAGAAGGTACAGATGTAGCGGGCGTGCTGCGACACTTCCATCTTCTTCACCTGCTTACGCAGGGAGGCACCGTATCTGTTCAATCACGTCGTCAATACAACCGTTCTCTTTCGTCTAATCGAGGGCGAAGTCTTGAATCCGAATTCGTTTCATTTGGGGGGTGATCGCTCTCGGGCGAGGAGCGCCATCGAATTCAAGTCGGATTCCTAAATTGCAGGGCGAAGAGAAAACCGTACCTAGTACCATATTTACCGGTGATGCCGACCTCTGGAATTTTCAGTCAGTGATTAATTTCCTCGGGGTCGACATGAATCTGGCAGGCGATAATACTCACTCTTGGTGCGCTTCGTCATCTTGGCTGTGAGGCTGTTGAGTCGAAGATGGTAACAGTGCGGTAAGTCGAAATCGAGACTGAGGCTTTCTAGGTAGGCGGGAGTCGTTGTGGGCTCGCTTAGGGCTCGAACTCTTGGCGACGGTCACGTGGGGCTCGCGCCGCAGATGTGGTGTATGAACTTTCAACTAGTCCTACGGTGTAGATTGCGGTATGGCTATCTTATTCAGTAGCTTAATAAACTAAGACCATAAGACGATATTGATTTCCAGACTAGCTTATCGATTTTGCATTTTTGACGCTGTTATGTTTCCAATTTCCTCCCCCGCCCTTCAACGTCATCACCACAATATTGCTACTATTGCTACCATGAACCATACTGCGGAATCTCAGATGGGAACTTAGACTACTTGGCTTCATTTATCTCTCTGGTTCTTATTACTATTCTCATGCTATGGACATTGGTGGCAAACATGTGCGAACGAGGCCGGAGTGCAGTCACATGATTGGATGATGTCATCATGTCCCATCCATCCCATTCGGGCTAGCCTGAGGCCGCTCCTGAGACGGCAGTCTAGAATTCCCCCGGACCCCTGTCCCTATCTATATCTTTCCTTTCCATCGATACTTATATATTGTATATCTACACACGTATATATTTTGTATATACCACGTTCAACCTGTGATTTCTTTCCATCATATCCTCGTATCACCGTCCATCCTCAATTCCCTAAACTCCCCAAACCAACATGCAATCCGGCCGGGAATTCGACCTAGCCGTTCTCGGTCCAACAGGTTACACAGGACAGCTCTGTGCGGAACACATTGTCAAGAACCTGCCCACTAATCTGAAATGGGCGCTTGCGGGGCGCTCGGTCGAGAAGATTGAGAATGTAGCGCAGGATATCAAGGCGTTGAACCCAGACCGCACCCCGCCAGGTATGGCTCGCTTCCAAGGTCAATTGCCATTGTTAACGCTGTAGTAGAGGTCTTGGCTGTTCAGCTCAATCGCGAAGAACTTCATAGTCTGGCGCAGAGAACGAAGATTATCATTAATTGCGTCGGCCCGTACATCTTGTATTCGATTCCGGTGGTCGAAGCCTGCGCTACTAACGGGACGCATTATATCGATGCGTATGATCCCTTACCTCGGAGCTATATACAGAGTCCCTCTGACTGGATCTTAGAACTGGAGAGCCGCCATTCATCAAAAGCGTGGTCGAGAAATACCATGAAACTGCCAAGGCAAACGGGGCGATTGTGAGTACAATCCACTTTTCCCATCGATAGGTATACTGATCCGCGCCAGATCATTCCCTTCATGGGCGTTGAAAGTGCCCCAGCCGATATGCTGTCCTGGTCACTCGTCAAACGAGTTCGAGAAGAGCTATCCTGCGACACCAAGGAAATCACCTGTTCAATCGACGACCTCAAGTAAGCCAACAAACCACTCAACCCGTCATCTCACCACCTTTCAATCTAACCATTTCCAAAGGAGCTCCGGCGCAAGCGGCGGAACCCTCAGCACCATCCTCACGCTCTTCGACTCAATCTCCTTCACCGACCTCTCCAAATCCATGCACCCGTTCGCGCTGGCCGCGTCTCCACACCCAAAAAACCTTCCCCGCGAGTCCATCACCGAAAAGCTCTTCGGCGTCCGCTGCATCCCCGACATGGGCGTCCTGGCCACCTCCCCCACCGCCATCGCCGACATCATCATCGTGCACCGCAGCAGCACGCTAATGCCGGAATTCTACGGACCGAGGTTCCACTTCCGCCAGTTCGTGCGCGTCCGAAACGTCCTGGTCGGCGTGGCTCTGCACTTTGCTTTCCTCATTAGTCTCGCCCTCCTGGTCTTGCCGCCTGTGCGGATGCTCGTGAAGCAGTTCATCTATTTGCCCGGTAGCGGACCGCGGCTGGAGGATTCGACTGCCGATCGCGTTCAGTATCGCGCTGTGGCGACTGCGGATCAGGATGCGAAGGAGCCGAAACGGGCGCTGGGGACGTTGAAGTTCCAGGGCTCGTTGTATGCGTTGACGGGGTTGTTGATGGCGCAGGGCGCGATGGTGCTTTTGGAAAATGAGGAGAAGGTGAAGAGGGTTTCTAGAGGCGGGATCGTGACGCCGGCTACGTTGGGACAGGAATATGCGGATCGGTTGCAGGAGGCGGGGTGTTATATTGAGACGAAGGTGTTGGAGTTTTGATTTGGTGGTACTATATATACTGATATTGTGTTTGAGTGATTTTTGATATCTTGATGTATACCATACCAGTACTTACTAAATCGTATTTGATTCGATCTTACTATTGTTGAGTATAGTTCACACCATTGTAGTCCCTATATATAACTACCTCGAATCTCGCCAGCACAGTCTCCAAAACGAGCCCGCTCGTCTCGGCGACCACCTACTACCTACCTACCTACCCCATCCACAGTGCAGTACAGTATAACAGTACAATCTAATCCAACATCAGCCCAGCTGAGAGATAGATCACAACTTCACCACCCTCGGATCCGTAAACACCACCTCTTCCAACCACCACGCAATCATCTCATTCACTTCCGCCGGCTGCTCCCACAGCGCCCAGTGCGACGTGTTGACCTGCTTGAACGTCAAGTGCGGGATCGTCTTCGTCATGCCGCGGCCTAGATTCGGCGGGAGGGCTGCGTCGCGGAGAGCCTGGATGAAGAGGACGGGCGCGGTGATGCGGCGGTCGAGGATCGAGAGTTCTTCTTTGTAGTTGATTTCCCGCGTGCGGTACCAATTGACTTTATTGTGTTAGTATGTAGGTTTTTGGGTGGGAGAGGAATAGAAGGGGGGAGTAGACGTACATGGAGCGTGTAGTCCGTGGCGTGAGAATTCAGTGGCGTAGTATTCGAGTTCCTGCATCAATATCATCAGTATATCGCACCCATCGATACTGCATGCACAGAGAGAAGAACGAGACAGGACCAGCCCCTCTTCATCTCAGAATAAGCCAAAACAGCAAAGGAGAAAAACAAACCTCATCACTCAACAACCTCGACGGCAAAATCCTCTCCATCCGTTCCACCGAAATCCCCAACTCTGCATCCCACACAAACTCCTTCTCCGGCGTCCGCCCGCCATACAACGCCGACAGGAACTTCTTAATCCCGTCCTTCGACCGCGTCGGCTCCTCCAGCTCCCCGCTGCTAAACTGCACCTGATACGAGAAGTGCGGCGCCACTTTCTTCACCATCTCTTCGAGGGGGAAGAATTTCTTCTGCGGCGGCGCGTATGGCACGCACACGGTGAATAGGTGGGAGACCAGATCGGGATGCCATAGCGCGACTCGGTAGGCGAGGGCGGCGCCCCTGTTTGGTGTTAGATTCAGTGTTCAGTGTTGGGAATTCTAGAACCTAGAGTTCCTTTAAGGTCAATGATTCACGACGAAGACGTACCAATCATGTCCGCCGAGGATGATCTGCGATGCTCCGACGTGCGAGGCGAGTTCTTTGATGTCGTCGGCGCAGCTCTTATGTGAATATAAAGCTATGTTGTCTGGTGCGTCCTATCTGAATCTTAGCATATTTGCAATTCAGAAAGGTCGCAAATCTCACTGTTCGTCCGTATCCTAAACAATCCGGTGCGACGACCCGCAGACCCATCCGTCTTAACATGGGGATCTGGTACCGCCATCCCATCGACAAGTCAGGGAAGCCATGAATCTGGATGGATGAGTTAAGATCCTATCTTCAAAAAGCAGATTCCATTTGGAAAGAAGTAAACCTGAGCCAGGTGGGAGTCCACGCACAAGAAAAATAGTCGCTCTGTAATTGCCCGACTCGGGCTCGCTGTAGAGATAGCCTGCACAGACGATATATAATCAGTTCGACTACTCGGTTGCTAACGCGAATGCCAAGAACACAATTTCGTCATGTCGGTGGTTCTGCAAGAACTGGAACTTTCTAATCAATTAAGGTCACCTCCCGACATACCGTAATTCTTGCCATTCAAAGTCGCAAAACGTCGCTCGACTCGCGGATCGTCGGATACAGAGATCTTATCGACGGACATGACTGCAATGCAATATGCAGGAAGTCGACAGCGAGGGATAAAGACTGAAAAAGAGATAGAAAACCCCCCGATCTCTAGCCCGAGGAACAGGTAGAATCTACGGAGGAAATCCAAGAAAGTTGCATACCGACAATCATTTTATTTATAGAGCTCCTCTTTCCCCGCCAGCTGTTCATCACGTGCAGAACCCACGGAAATGGGAAAATGGAGAAAAATGAGGCTACGAAGCTACGAGATTGGGCACTAGTACGATCTATTTCCGTGGGTGCTGAATATGTGTAACCGGGCTTTGGGATGTTCGTTCTTGTTTCTATTTGATTTGTAGTGTAGTGTCGTCAGCGTCCTTTTGCTGGGTTCTTTTGGGTTCTGCCGAAGTGCCTCGGCTTCTCCGGATATTCCTCTACTCTTCAGGGAAGTGTGGTATGTCATCGCTATACTTCATCAATGCATGCACGTCCATCCTCGAGGTATGCGATTGCCAGATGACATACTGGATTAAAGAATTGATAGAAAGGAAATCGGAGAAGTAGAAAAAGAAATCGCCTATGCTAATAGATTACAGTATCCTCCTGGTCCTCAACCACCTCGCCGCCGTCGTCTTCATGGCCTCGGTGCACATCTGAATGCTCGCTGTTGACGGGAACATTGTTATCATTAGTGGGCGTAACGTCAGTCGGTGCGTTCTCGGTGCTCTTTTCATGCTGTGCATCGTCTGCCGGGTGTGAAGCTTCGTTCGTTGTTTCCTTCTCTTTTGTATCGGCCTCTGCTTCTGTCCCCTTCTCTGGCGCCGCAGCTGGCTCCGCGTTCGCTACCTGTGTAGGCTCGGACTGTTCCTGCTGCTCTGTCTGCTCCTGAGGTTCCTCCTGCTGAGGCGGGTAACGCGCCTCGAACTCTGCCACTTCGCGAGAGATCGTAGCCTCCGCATCCTCAATCTGGTCTCGTATGATCGTATGGTCGTCCGGACGAAGTTGCCACGGCTTGTAATACTGTAAACACATTAGCTTGAGATCGCCCATGCACGCGGATCACGAGAACCAAACATACCAATACCGGCTCAGCCCTCGTCTTCAAGAAATGAGCCATAGCCAGCAAGTTTGCGTGGCGCGTTCGCATCTACATTCCACCGTCAGCATCGTCACTCTCCCTTGCGCAACACCAGTCAAGAGCAAACTCACCGATTCCTCCTCATACAGCCTCTGCTCCTTCTTCCGAATCGCCGCCCTCTCCCCGCGTCTCTTCTTCTTCAGCTCGTCATACTCCTCATCCTGTAACTTCAGTTTATCCTTCTGTCTGCGCTCGATATCCGCGCGACGTCTCTGCGCCGCTGAGTTCGAGCTCTGCGATAACGTCCCTAGCAGCCCACCGAATAGCCTCTGTCCGCGCTTCCGTTCCTCGTCGCGTCCGCCGGCGGGCCGGGTGGGTTTCCGATCCGCTCTCCGCTCGGCGTCCGGGGAGTGTTGTTTGTGGTCTGTGATAGAGGGACGACGATCGTGGTGATCATGGTCATCTTGTGTGGTGCTGCTGAGTCGGCGTCGTTTGTTCTCTGCGTCGGGGTTCGAGATGGAGGATTGGCGCCGCTTGAACCCGGCGTCTGGCGATGTGATCACGTTTTCCTGTTCGGGCAATGCGACAGCAGAGGCGAGGGAGCTGGGAAGCAAGCAAGTAGGGAGGGATTGTCAGTTAGGAGATTCAATCAGATAGGTGTTGATGTTGGTACTGGACTCACCCTTCCGCCATATCGTACCGTTTACCTCGAGGGACTCGACACGAAGAAAAGAAAAACAACAGGTAAAACTGATGACAAGACTAAGACTGCTAACACGTGTCGATAAAAAATCAATCAAACTCCTCCTGTTAAGAACCAATCATTCACTCATTCTCGTTCACTCATCAACTGCGAAGGAATTGCAAGGTGCAACCGAATCCAATCCATCATCTGAACGGCGGCACTTCGACGAGTCCCCGCACGGACCATTTCCCGATCTGGCGCCAAGAGCCGTGGAATCTTCTTCTCTTCGGCGGCGTCCTTCCATCTCTTCCACTTTGCTAATCCAATCGCTACACCTACGACGCAGACAACGCCAGCGCTTACCAATCCTACTTACTCTATTCTTGCTTTTTGCCTTCCTGTCTGCTTGATTTCCACTATTAGAGAAGACACCGCGCAGTTCCCCTCGACGAGATCAAGACTCGAGCTCTCCCTCCCTGTTCGTCGCGCGCCACCACCTCTCCAAATCCAACAGTTCCTCCTCCCAGCCCCCTATATCTATTAAAGCAAGATGTCCCGCCATCACCCCGACCTCGTCATGTGCCGCAAGCAACCCGGCATCTCAATCGGCCGCCTGTGTGACAAATGTGACGGCAAATGTCCCGTCTGCGACTCATACGTGCGGCCCACGACCCTAGTCCGCATCTGCGACGAGTGCTCGTTCGGCAACTACCAGAACAAATGCATCGTGTGCGGCGGCGAGGGCATCAGTGATGCGTTCTATTGCTTCGAGTGTACGCGCCTCGAGAAGGATCGGGATGGGTGTCCGAAGATTATCAATTTGGGTAGTTCGAGGACGGATTTGTTTTATCAGAAAAAGAGTTTTCGGAATCATTGACCTTGACCCTACCCTTGGCTTTTGGCCTTGTTGGTGGGGTTGATTGGTTTTGGTTCTGCGATGCGGATGCGAGCTGGTCGTTTTTTTTGGGGGATTGGGGTTTCGGGAGCCTAAGACGACTGGCTTGCATTGCTTTCTACGATCCTGGTCGGATGTCTATGTCTGATGTCTGATCGAAGTCTTGGAATGGGGAAGCGAAACTACACAAAGAAGAGCTATGTATCATGCAGAAGAAAAGAGTTGTGCTGTCGCTGGGACACGGATTTACCGGCCGGGTCGTTTCGGTCTCGCGAATCCTCGCTGAGGCCCGTTATTCTGCGAGGGGTTGACCTCCTCGTGCAACCGTTCTCCCGAAACTTCATCCGCCGAAGACGCTTCGATCTACAATGATTCCTCGTTAATATGCGAAACTCTGCAATCAAATCTCTGCCCCGATCATGGAATTCCGTACCTTCTTGGAAATCTTCAGACCCTGGTCCTCGGCGAGTTGAAGGGCGTACAATCGAGAACTGGCGTACAACATGCGCTCCTTGATCGACGATCCGGACGGACAGGTATAGATGAAGACCACTGCTTCAGAGTCGGGATAGTGGTAGAAAGTATAGCGAGGTGACGAGGTCGAGATCTGTTCCTGGACGGCGTTGGGGTCAATGCCAGACCCCGCGCCACCCAGTCGGAAAGTCTCCTTGGGGATATCAATGACCTATGCGGGGGAATTCCATAGAAGTTAGCCATCTTAATCAAATAATCTTGAACCCGTCTGCCACCGTCTTTCTCTCCCAGGAAACCCACCAATTGCACCAGTCCACCCTGCTGCAGCGACCTCAACGCTTCCTTAGCATCCTCATCCACGGGCATCTGCAACGCGCGATTCCCACCCCCAAACGGACTGTTCCCACCACTACCCCTGGCAAACGAACCCCCGATACCAATATCCCTACTCGGCGTGCCATTCCGGGCCTCCTCTTCCGCTCTCCGCACCGCCTCCAACTCCCGCTCCTTCTCCCCCATCAGATCCTCGCGCTGAAAGCCCCCAGCGCCCGATCCGTTCTTCTCCGCATCTCGCTCCTTCCACGCACCCTCGCCCACGACCTCCTCTTCCTCCGTGGCGAAGATCGTCGACGCGAACTTCTCCGTGCCGAGCTCTCGGGCGAGAGTCGCCCGCGTCGAGGCGAAGAGGGTCTTGGCTCGCACGCCCGCGTTGGACGGGATGTAGGTGAGGGCGATGAGGGAGGAGGAGCCGGCTTCGGGACGGCGGAGGAGGAGGTAGATGGGGGTTTTGGGTTCCAGGACCGAGTTCAATTGACTGAGGGATGGGTAGAAGGCGTTCGGGGCGGAGAACGGGATAGGGGAGAGAGGGGCGAGGCTCTCGTTGGTGATTGTCACGGGGAGACAGAAGAGGGATGAGTCGGAGGTGAAGCGGTTGAAGGCATTATGGAGCTCCGGAGAGACTGGATTTTATTGTGTGTTAGTACAGGAAAGGGGACATTGTATGTATTATCGAGGATGGAGTGAGGTATGGGTATGGATATGGGGATCGGGAATGGCGCCGAATAGGAGAAGAGGGGAAGGTGTATTCAGTCGGTGTAGGAGGTTCCTGCAGAAAAAGCCATCATTAAACATACCGGAGATTCCTGACTGCATCTTGGAGTATGCACCTGCGGGAAGCCGGGTGCCTTGAAGAGAGTGACCTGTTCAAGTGGTTGTTGACTTGGTTGGGAACTGCGGAGGGGACGACGGGAAGCGGTGTGTTGTTTTAGCGGGGCTTGCAGGAGTGCGCGCCTCAGGCCACGGCTTACGATGTACACTCGGAATGTCCTCGGTTTCAATCTTCTTCTCTAGACATATGAAATATGAAACCTGGTATTCAAAACTATGACAAAAAGAAAGGGATATTTACAATCCACTCGCCAATGGATTCGTCCACTCGGCCTTTCAAAAACAGAAAGGCCTCCAAAATGACCAAACAATATGTACTAACGATGCAGAGATCGCAAGACGCAATCCAAGCGGAAACGCCACCATGCTCATGGTATCAAATGCTTTCGAGAGGCGCGCAGCGGCCCCACGAATGATGAGATGACCTCGGACAAATCTATTCCTCATATTTGCCGCCCACCAGACTCCACTTCGAGGCCTCCAGTTTCCCCTTCAGGAACTCGTACACAGTGAAGGTAACGGCCTGGCCGGGCGCCACTCTCATCACACGCGGCGTGATACCCTTGTAGAACGCGCGCGCCCCTTCCTGCTTGAACATGTCCTTGCCGATGACCATGATGCGCGAGACGGCGGACTGACCGGGTTCGGCGCGCGTCTTCTGCAGTCTCGTCTTGATCGTGTCAATGGGGGCGTTCGAGAAGGGCCCGACCGCACCGGAGATCAGTCCGATCAGGGTCGTCTGGTACGACGGGAGTTGGGTGTTGCTGTACTCGGGCTGGTACTTTTGCAGCGCCGCCTTCAGCTCGGTGTATGCGGTGAAGTTGGCCGCCTGGTTGGTTCCTTGTCGCAGCGCGGTTAGGGAGACGCCACGGTATAGAGTGCTGAATCCTTCCTCTTTGATGACGGTGAACAGGGCATGCGGGGCACTTCGGTACTTGGGCGTGTCGAGGGGGTCGGCCAAACTGTGATGTTGCGCTTGCAGACGAATCTTAACGACTTCCATGGGGTTCACCACGGCCACGGCTTCTGTCACACCAGCAGCAAGACCAGCTATTCAAGAAAATGTCTTGGTTAGCGTGGCTGGATGAGGTATGTGGACGGAGAAGTGCAACCTACCAAGGAAGGTGGCTTTGCTTGTGACTGCGCCGGTCTCCTTGTCTGAAAGAAGCTGCTTATATTGCTCGTAGGAAGTGAACCGGATGGCCATCTTCGGGATGATACCTCCCAGAACAGCTCCCAGACCCTTGTACAGTCCCAATGCGGTTTCTTTTTTCACGATTTCAACACCGGTGGTGACGAAGCCCCGGGGTTTCATCTATCGAGATTGGGTGTTAGCTGGAACTCACACTCATTCAAGGACGCCATGCATGCGAGACAACTTACTCCCGGAGCTCGCGCGCGTCGCGACAGCTGCATTCGGACTTTGATGGTATCTAGGGGATGGCACACGAGCGCCTCCATCATGCCGGCACCGCCACCGGCTGTTTGCGCATGTCAGTAAAGTGCGCATATTGTCATTCCGGCGAGATAGGACCTACCGATCAGATTTACCGCCGGCGAAGTTGTCTTCTTGCCATTGCCTCCTTTTGCAGACATGATGAAGGTATTGTGATTATTCCAGGGGAGAAGGTACGAGTCAATTGGCAGCAGAAATGGTACGATGACGATATGAAGCTATTGGTGCGATGGCACGTGCAACGGCGGTCCGGTACAAAGCGAAGGACAAGACAAGGAGTAGATCGAAAAGAGAGAAAGACGCCGGACAAAACAACTTCAAAGGAGCCCGGAAGAGGTCTTTTCTAAATTAGAGGGAAGCTCAGGGTGAGAGAGGACGATATCGGACCTTCACAGGCGTTCCAGAAGTCCGGGGAGATACGGAAGTATAAGAGCTATATGTCCCTCGGCTCGACTCCAGGCTATTTAAATCGGCAGAGGGAGGAGAGGGCTCAGGTCAGCCGGCGCCGGGGCAGCAAGAATTAAGGAAAATCATTTTAAAAGAAATAAAATTAATTCTCGGGAACGAGGATCATCGAATGAACGGCTCGGTCCAAGTGGCGGGTTTTGACTTTTACGGAGAGGGAGAGAGCGATGACGGGGAAGCGGAGGCTGCTGGACGAGCGGAAGCAGCACCGCCGTTTGCGATTCAACAACCGAACCTACGGAGATCTGGAGGACCAGATGTACGATCGAGAAGACTACAGGAGGAAAGACTGCTGGGTTGATTTTTTACCCCGCGCGTTAATCATTCATAATTATGCCTTGCTCTACAGCTGTACTGGCAGTCTATGAAATAGTGCTCCGTATACTGTCTTCTCCGCATTTTCTCCCCCATATACCTCGACCTACTATATAACTACATAACTTCCGAGGCATTGCACCTCAGCCACGGTGGTTCCCTCGACGGGCGTGACCTCATCGACTCTGCCGCTACCAAGGGACCTTCACATGCTCAGTCCTACGCTCGCCCAATTCTTGGAGGCGCACCGTCGTCATCAGGCAGCGACGGTGTGTCTGCTAGCCAAGGCTTGTGATGTGCTCTAGTACTCTGTACTAGAACTAGAACTAGAACTAGTCCTCTCTACTCCGTCGGGGCGTCTGCAGACTGCGGAGGCGGAAGTACAAAGTCCAGTAGTGAATGACTAACACGGGAGAAGCCGGGCCAAGAACTGGACTGCCTTCAACCGAGGCTTTTTTCTCCCCCCTTCTCTGCTTTCTGCCGTCGGTTATCCTCGTTCTTTCTGTTTCTTTGGTTTGGGTTTTCAGGAACCCATCCTCGTGATGCATGCTGTTGGTCTCGTGTCTGACTCATCTTCTTTTTTGTTGATTTGCACCTGGAGTTATCAATCTGCATGTGAATACATCCATGGATACACCGTAAGGAATAGTATACCTACGATCTACGCGCCCGACCTACGGTTTATAGTTTATCCACGCCTCTTGACCTTTTTTCCACCGCGTTGAGCTCGCGCTGAAGGCTTATCCGTCGAGGATCGGAGGATATATTGCTGTTATTGAAATAGCTAATCCGTTTATGTTCATCGTTCGAGATGGTAGAAATCTCTATTGGCTCCGGTCGGCTACCAGCACTGGCTTCAATATCTTAAGCGATGGAAGGAGTGGAAAACAGAGTATACAAGACTTCTTAAATTCATAGTATTTGGACATCTATACTCTCTTCGTCCTTTCTATCTGACCCATCTAGTTCCATTGGTATATACACACCTCTATCCAGTAATTCAAACCTAAGATCAGCCGAATGTACTTCACGAGGAGACCAAAATAACCTCAAGACCTTAGAGACCAAGTACATAGTACAAAATGACCAGAAGATAAATTAGCGAAAAAAGAAACAAGAAGAATAAAAACAAGCAGAGAACAATGCTAACATACCATCATTACTAACGCTCATAGGGGTGTCATAGGTCTGTGCCGGCCACATACTCCTGTCAGTACCGGCTGCATGATCCTTGTACTAAGCCGTCTTCCACCTTTATGCTCATCGCCCATACCTCAATAGGATAGGCTATCCTTGTCTGAGGTAAGGTTTAGGACCCTGGTTCTAAACCTAAATCAAAGTATGGGAAGAGCTGCTGTTCCGGGGAACATAGTAGAGTAGCGCCCTAGGGAGCAACGTGCCGCCTCGAGGGTATATTATACCGCATGTGCATGAGAGCTGAGGAAGAAGGACAGAGATAGATCTACTGGTATGCTGAGCTCTGCGGACAAGGCTTTGTGTGTCGGGGGTTCAAGCAAACTCCGATCGGGGGCTCGTTTTCTCGTTCTCGAGGGGAGAGAGATGAGAGATCTATAAGCAAAACCGATAATTAGATACTTTGGAGTTGCTTTGCATAGGGAGAGGATATATCAGCTGGTTATAAACACCGTCTGAGGATTTCAGCATCCAAGACCTGCCAAGACACGAGGGTTGATAGGACCTTTGTAGGACTCGATGAACCCATCGTTGTCCCTCTTCCATCTAAAAAAGTCACAACCCCCACCAGCACATGCGTAGAATTTCGCTCCCTGACTTGAGATGATAAGTCTACTCGTCACAGGCGTTCCATTCCCACAATAGCAGTGAGGGTTGCCATCATGCACCCCACGTGAGTCGGAGAAGCAAGCAAACTTGCCACATTCGCAGATGTAATAGGGCCTATCTGCATTCCCTTTCGTGTTTTCTTTCTTGCAAATTACCAGAATAGTCTGCTTGCCGCATCTGAGACAGCTCGGTGGTTGTCGTTCCGAAGTATGAAGGCGATCCATCTTGATCCGTGCGTTTGGTCTCAACAGTGGAGTGTCTCATCGGGGAGAAAGAAAAAACAACAACACTGTGCGGGGGAGGGGCAGAGAGCTGCTACGAGATAATAAGAGAAAACGGGATGCCGTCATGGTGTTACACTACATAGGACTCGAGCTCAGGTGACAGAACATTAGGTATGGACGAGGTAACAAGGTGGCTGCTTGCTGCCTTTCTGTGTATCTTCGAGTGCGTTGATTCGGTAGGTGTCACCAAGGGAGATAATCTTTCATCTATTGGTGGGGGCAACGAGCCACAGAAAAATACTCTTACAAGCTCCTACAAAATTCAGGAAGCATACGTAGATATGAGGCAAGCAGGGCAATCAGGGAAGTTAGGAATAAGACAAGGTGTGCTAAGAGATGTTAATGGTATTATACACCTACATAGCAGCGTTAATGTAGCATTTGAGACAGCTCATGTCGGTAGTAACATGGATGATTGGCAGCAATGAACGCTGATAAGCATTCTAACGGTAGAAGTTACAGGCCGAGTGACTGTACCGTCAACAGTAGTAGTGGCCAATCCCCAGGCCCAAAAAAAGAACCCTTTGAAGATCAGGACACCGGGAATGTCTATAAACTTCATTAGACATAGCGCCAGCCGCGCTTCTATAATGGAGACAAAAAAGAGGAGGTATCCGAACTATGACGACCCTTCAGATTAAATTCTGGAATCTGATGCTAGATGCTTTTTGTTAGCCCTAAGTTTCATCCTGCTACTCCAACCCGAGATCTTGGTAATGTGTTTCCCTGTATACTAAAGATTTATTCCGCTACCAACCCTGCGTAAGGCCCAATCACCGAGAATTGTTGGATGTCTCCGGAATATGCCATGCTCTACAACGGTATGCAAAGGAAATGTCCTGGCTTCATACATAAGGGTATAGGAAATCACAGACAAAGAGGGCGAGGGCATTGAACTGGAACTACTATCATGAACAATACGCAGTCTTGCCTAATAAACACACAAGACTTTGGATCATAGTCCTTGACTCGCTGACTTTGGTGGAAGGTGTCGATATTTGACCCATTCTTGCCGACTCTATAAGCCCGGACGAGGCAGCCAGGGCTTGAGCTTCCAGTCCAGGCTACAGCCCACTATCCTGCTCAGGGACTTCCTGCCTAAATGTCTTACCAATTGTACCAGCGAGACATTCAAACAGACTCCACGCCAATCACGGATGTCCGTGTGGTAGTACACACGACCGGTGCAGCAGGCCCGAACACCAGCGACAACCATTGGTCAATCTACCTGCTTCACAGTGATCGTAGTTCATCAACCCGGATCAACATGAGGGCTGATTTCGGAGATGTAACCGGAGTCCTGGAATGGACTCGACTGAACTACATTAGACCCACATCTGCTATATCGCATTGGGACTTTCCCCTTGGGAGAGGCATCACGGTATTATTCATTGCTCGCCTCATCTATAGCCTTCGGCGAGATCGGTATGAGATGTCGGGAGGAGGTTCCGGGTGTCGGTGGTGGGTGTAAGTTCGGAGACCCCCCTTGATGTTCTTGTGCTGATTTGTTAAACCAGGTATACGATTGTGTCAGATATCGCGCAAAGGCATTATATCCACCGTACTGCCCCCAATGTGCTGTGGCCTAACCTGCAATATCTGTATCACACGCGCCGGCCGCGAGCACCGATACGCATGGTTCGAGGGTCTTTCTATTAGTAAGACTGCATCAAATAAGGAAGAGCTTGTCATTGACCGAGAAGTCTTGATCGACAGAGCCATGACTGAAATGCACGGGTTGATGCTTGAAGTCAATATAGACCATGTAGTTCAGCGCCTACTTGAGAATCAGCTGAAGACCACAATGTTCTATGTGCTTGACTGATGGCAATTGGGCCTTTTCGATTATACTTATTCGGTTATCTTCACTTGGATCTTGTTCGTCTGAAGGCGCATGGGTGTTGAGTTTGGACCTGAAGGGTCCGCTTTCAGATCTATACATGAGGGTCATTAATGGTTGGTAACTTGGGATGTCTTGCTGAGATGTAGCGCAAATGCAGAAAGAAATAAAAGGAACGACTCAAACGAGAAGCTAGACCAAAGTGCGACTTCAAACTATAATTTATGGGGCAATTTGTAATACATATGGACCGCAAATATATGCGTAACGTGGACTATTAAGAGCAATTAACATAGAATGAAAACATCAAGGTTTCTCAGCAGAGCTCAATTATACCAATTTTATAAGGTGGTTGTCCAGCGAGAAAGCGACAGAGGACAGTGTGCCCAGCACACCGAAGATTCGATGACACTTGACATTTCACATGGGGGGATCCACCAGTTGTCAGTGGGGAACAGAATGGCCAGGCAAGAGTCAATTATTTGGGTCACGAATGATTAATCAAACTTTGTCACTCACCCTCGAGGTCAATGTAACGTTGAATCACGGGATTTTCATCCTTTCCAACTTGACAAACACTGGCCCTGTTCGACACACACAAGGATCCCGGTATCGAGTAAGAATCATAAATCAACCTCCTTCGCTGATCCTCTCAGCTGCAGTGCATAAGACATGGCAGGAGGCTTTCTTCCCTACCATGAGCCAAGCAGTACGGTGACGTCGTGCACCTGACGAGAGCAGACGTCGATGCTAATTTTTTTCAGTTGTCGAAATCCTTATAATCATATCTTTCTTCTTCTTCCTCTCCCTAGCAGAATGGGTGTCGGCCAAGATCATCAGGGCCGGTATCATCGGTCCAATTGTCATTGGGATGGTCTATGGAACGCCGCTTGCGGATATTTTGGACACAGAATGGCAGCGTACCTTTCTGGCGGTCGGATATGTCGGACTGATCTTGATTATCTTCGAGGGTATGGACGTGGCAAATGATATCATTGAAGCTAGTGATAGAGTGCTGACGGACGCCGTGTGATGGCGTTACAGGTGGACTTAGTGCTCGGCTTGATCTTCTCAAGCAGAATTTCTCCCCGAGCATGTTGGGCGCTGCGACGGGGGTGTGCTTCCCTATCGGCCTGTCGTATCTTTTGCTGTACCTGGGCTACGGCTATGGTATGCACTTATTTCTCGATGCCTCTGCGGTTCTTAGCTTTTCCAGGGCGTTGATCATCTGACTGATAAACCCAGGGGCCGTCGAAACATTTATCATCGGATCAAGTCTATCCGCTACCTCGTTGGGTAACTATTCTCGATGTGTGCCTCCTCTTCAGAATATTGATGTGATTGCTAGGGACTACTTTTGCCGTTATCGCTTCTGCTTCGAAAGCCGTCGACTTGTCCCAGACCCGGGTGGGTTCAATACTAGTCAGCGCCGCCGTCATCGACGATGTGGTAGGGCTGGTCCTGTCAAGGTGAGCTGCACAGACCGACACGCCATATCCCAACTAGCAACTTACTCCTCTAGTATCATTGGCGACCTTGGAAAGCTCTCCGGGGGCGACAACGTTAACCTGGGCTGGCTCATCGGTCGCCCCATCGTCGCATCCTTCGCCATGGCAATCGGGACTCCGGTGCTCACCAAATGGGTGTTCGCTCCGCTATTCCGCCGATACATTGAATACCACTTTGCCCGTTTAGACCATCTCTCGAATATCGTCTTGATGGTTCTCGTGCTGTCCGCCTTCATTAGTATTGCGGCCTATGCCGGTACTTCGATCCTCTTCGGCGCATTCCTGGCCGGCGTGTTCCTGACGTACATTCCGAGCAAGCATCCGGAGGGCCCGTTTGTGGTCTTGAGTCGCGAGGAGGGAGAACGAGAGGCCGACAAGAGTCCCACGTTCGTCCACACCTTTGAGCGATATCTCCTCGATGTGCAAAAGTATTTGATGGAGCCGTTGTTTTTTGCGAGTGTCGGATTCGCTATTCCGTTTGTACAGCTTTGGACGGGAAAACGCATCTGGCGAGGAATTCTCTATACTCTCTTGATGGCTTTCGCGAAGGTATGCATCCTTGATCCTGATAGTATGTGTGGGGATGACGACGTTAACATGGACTAGTTTGTCGTGGGGATATGGGTTCCACTCTGGGGCTGTATGAAACGCAAAACCCCCGAGGAAAAGGAACATTTGCATCAGATCAGGGAGACAGGCACGGACTCCGATGCCAAACCCAGTGCCACCTGGCAGGCGGCCTTGCTCCTTGGATCTGCCATGGTTGCCCGTGGTGAGATCGGCTTGCTGATCATTGAAATCGGCTACAATGAGTCGGGCTACGTCAGCAAGGAAGGCTTTATCACGGGAGTGTGGGCAATCCTGCTCAATACGATCATTGGACCGGTCGTGGTGGGAATTCTGGTGAAGCTGTACGGGAAACAGATTGGTGAGGGCGTATGGGGTATACAACCGTCGGATATCAACCGCAGTCAACGGCCGGAGGTACAGTCGCATGCACGATCATGACGCTTTATACGGTACTTCGCTGCCGAATCTGCGGATTGTCGCCATTCGCAAAGATGAGCGTTTTCAAGGATACGTTGAACATTGCGAAATGAGCAACAGACCGCTGTGAACGAGACCCTTCATGTCAGGTTATCCATAAGCTCTTATTCCACATTTTCACATCGCTAATTCAATCGGGCAGGTCCAGAGACAGCAAGTTGTATTGAAGATGTTGAACGCCGAGCCGATTCGCAGACGCGGAGCAGCTGAAATTTCGAGAGCATTTCGGATTGGAGCGACTGCATCTTCAAAACTGCTAATCAGACGATATCATTTAGGTCGAATAAGTACAACTAACGATTTGGACCTGGCTGTTGCCCTGCTTGGCCTTCTCTTTTGGGCTCTCAATTATCCAGATTGTGGCGAGGGTCGATCCAAAATCAATACCAAGGACCTAGTACAAGACCTACGTGGGCGTATAAAGACATTTCAAAAAGATGTGCTATGAGGATGAAGGCCAGAAACCAGCGTAAATACACGACTTGTAGAAAAATATAGTCCTGGAGCTCCTTAGGGTCTCTGGGGCCGGACCAAGACCTCCGTCCCTAACGAGTACCTTTTAAACAGGTTCATTATATACGCCTGGCAGAAAAAACAGCCTAATGGAATTTCCGTCCTTCAACCCTCGACCAATGGATTAAGAAGTCAATGATCATCCTCAAGATCGCTCAAGAACACTTATCGATCATTCGTCATATCAGCGGTCTATCAGAACATCGGATTTGATCCGATCTTTCTTTTTTCTTAAGTCCGTCGCTACGCTAGCATGGCGACTTTTGCTGTCGGTTTTTCATCCGCAGGGATGAATTCCTTGCCTGCAGTGCTCTCGAATCGCGAGAGACACCACCGCTTTCTCTACATGAAATGAATACATCCGCTGCCTCAAGTCGATTTCTCTCTCGCCACCAGTCAGCCGCCGTGAAGCGACACCATGGGCTCGAAAATCGCCCCGGATACCAACCCCCCAGACCAAACCACCATCGACAACCCAGATCGTACGACGACGACAGAACCACCGCCCAGCAAGCTCAAACAGCTCTCCAAATCCACCCTTCGCTTCATCCTCCACCAATGGCTTCTCATTGGCATGGGCGTCGCCTGCGTCCTGGCCTACTACTTCCCCAACGTCGCCAAACACGGCGGCGTGATCCGCTCCGAATACAGCATTCTGTATGGCGCCATGGCCCTCATCTTCTTGATCTCGGGCCTTAGCATTCCGCGCCAGAAACTCTTCCTGCACATGCTCAACTGGCGTCTGCATCTTCTCGTCCAGGCCTTTTCCTTCCTCTTCATCCCCGCCCTCATGCTCGCCGTCGTGCACGCCATCTTGGCCGGCGATCCGCACGCCCATATCGACCGGGCCTTGCTGGCCGGGTATATCTTCACCGCGTGCATCCCTACCACCATCGCCTCGAATGTAGTCATGACTCGCTCCGCGGGCGGAGACGAGGCCGCGGCCCTTGTCGAGGTGCTGTTGGCTAATCTCCTGGGTCCGTTCATCACCGCTGCCTGGACGGTCACGGTGCTGCCGGACCGCCCCGAGTTCGAGACCTGGAGGCACGGCGACGGCGATCTGCAGGATATGTATCGCGACGTGTTCAAGCAGTTGGGTCTCAGTGTCTTGTTGCCGCTAGTCGTGGGCCAGTTGGTGCGGTGGACTTGGCCGGATCCCACGGCGAGAGTGTTGCAGCGTTATCGCATCCCGAAGATCGGGACGGTTTGTATGTTGTTGTTGGTTTGGTATGCTCGGTTCCAATTCCTCTACCTACCGAGTCTAATCCCTCCCGACTCCATCTCATATCATATAAACTGACTGCCCCAAAAAACAGGACAACATTCTCCTCCTGCTTCGCCACCGGCGCCCTCCAGACTCTTTCCGCCCGAAGCATCATCTTCGTCGTCCTCTTCAACATCGCCCTTTACGTCTTCCTCACGGCTCTCTGCTTCATCCTGTGTCGTCCGCCTCGCGTCCTCTGCAATCTCGGACTCGGAGACAGCAAACGAGTCTCCATCTTCAAACGCATCTCGCCCGAGGAAACCATCGCTGTGTGCTTCTGTGGTCCCGCGAAGAGCACCGCGCTTGGTATTCCGTTGCTTTATGCGATGTGGACGCCTTTGGATCTGGTGGTTAAGGCGAAGACGTCTGTGCCTGTGTTGTTGTATACGACGGAGCAGATTTGCGTGGCGCATTTCTTTGTGCATGTGCTTGGGAGGTGGAGGGGGAGAGTGGGTGAGAAGGAGAAGGGGGATGAAGGTGAGAGTGAGGATCAGTGTGAGCATGAGGGGACTGGAGTGAGAGGTGGAGATGGGGTGGTTTGATCGCGCCGTGATTTGGGAGGGATCTAGAGTCTAGACGGTAATAGTCGTGTGTGTTATATGATGGGTGATGCGTTTATGATTTATGGATATATGTGGATGGATGAGAGATACCGTGGGCAGTCCTGCAGATGCTATTCTAAGAATTCTTCACATGCAAACATTGTACAGAGAATTTGTAAAATGAAAGGATACTCCTATGTAACATGTTGACCTGTGCATCCAGTCTAATAGCAATAAGTGTGATGATAACCATGGCCAAAATCCAGTCCGTAGTCTGAGTCCAAGAAAAGAATGGGAACAATGACAGAAAGAGAAGAGAAAAGAAAAGAGATACGTTAAATATAGCTCACTTTCACGCCCATCCCCACAGTCCCCTTGATCTTTTGCCATCCAGACCCTGTGATCCTCCGGATCCGCTCCCGCACGTTCTCTCGGCTTAGAGCCACAACCAAGCCGAGCATGAATAATAGCGTGCGAGCAAAAGACAGGGGATTCCCGGCGATAGACTTGGAGATGTATTGCAGAAGATTGCGCAGCACGTTCGTGAACGCCCGTGTCCGTTTGGCCCGGGACTCGGGCTTCTCGGGTCTTTTCACGTTCTTCGACCCGGGCGGCGAGAACGCAGTTCGTGACGAGCCACTGCCTTTGCTGCTTGTCTGCTTTCCCCGCGCCTTGGGGCTGCCATTCGGGTTGGGTTTCTCGATGCCATAGTCCACCTCGCTGTGATTGCGACCGTGATTCTTCTGTGCGCTTTCTGCCGCAGCGGCCTCCTCCGCTCTTTCGCGCTCGGCTTCGCGCATTTGTCGCTCCATCTCGGCATCTTTTTCCCGCTGGAGCGCCGCGGCGCGTAGCTCTCCTTGCTCCCGCTCCTCCTTGAGTCCGTCGAGAGTTTGTAGAAAGAGCTCCTTGCGTTCTTCGTCGAGGACCTCGCTCAGGTTGATGAACTCGCTCGCATAGTCCCATTCCTCGTTGCGGGGAAGCACGTGCAGCGTAAAGAGCTCGATGATCCTGACCCGAGCGGCGAGGTCTTTCGGGGTGTCGGTGCCGCCGTTCGGGCGTGCGCGGGACTTCTGCGAGCCATTGGGGGAGTTCTGCATGTGCTCGGCGATATCTAGGTTTGGCTGGCCATACGAGGAGAGGTAGGTTTCAAGTCGTTGCTGGTTCAGCGTTTGCGAGGGAGAGTGATTGAGTAATAACGTGGCTCTATCAAAAGCATCGCATTAGCACTACTCACAAAGTGTCAATAGGAACCTACTCACAGATTGTATACGACCTCCGCGTCGACCGACCCCTCTAGACCTTTGTAGCCCGTTTGGAGAACGGTCTCCCAAATTTCCCCCTCTCGGACCTTGGTCGAAATCGCCTTCCATTCTTTCTGACCAAATAATTGCTTCCCTTCCTCGGGTCCCAGATCAAGTATGGTGCTCAAGAGGGTAATGTATAGATTCCACACTTTAATCCTCCACGTGGCGGGGGCGGTCGCAATGGGTGCCGTTGAATCGTCGCCATTGGAATACTGCTGGTCCTCGGCCGATCGATTGGGCGTGATGACAGGCTCCAGGGCCGTCAGAGATTCTTGTAACCGACGCGTGAGATACAGCTGCGAGGCTTTCTTGTAGGTTTTGGAGCAGAGTTTCGAGGGCGAAAGAGACGATGTGGAGGAGGCGAGTTGCGACTGGGACGCTGACATATTGTCGGCCATTGTTTCACCGCCAGCGAGCGGAAAGAGGAATGTGATGAATCAATCCGGAGCGATGACCGAGACAGTGGAATGCTCGGGAGGGAAGATCAGTGTCGGTATCGGGATAAAGAAAAGCAGAAAGAGGAGCAATGCGAGTGCGGAGGGAGGTTGGAGGAGACAGCGTTGACACTAAAGTCGGGGTTCGTTTTCCCTCGGCTCGGCCGTTCTGGATCTAATCCGGGGGTCTGATGTCACGGGACAGTCGCTTCTCCGCTCAGGTTGGAACAACAACTTCCAACGATCCTGAGATTCATCTCACAAACACCAATCTTGGTGAAACTTCCACCTGACATCTAGCTTATTTTGGAAAAATCATCCGTACTTCGAAAGTGCTGTCTATTCAACTATGAACTCTTATTCAATCTCACGCAGACCGAATCAATCACCCGGACTAAGCTCTTCCATGCAGTCTTGACTTCATGAGTAGCAGACCTACATCGGATCGATCGCCTTTGGTTTCATCGCTTCGATTGAATTCATGACTTGACTGGCTCTGCTATTGCAAACCAACAGACAAAATGGACATCACCGCCGGAACATTTGCTTTCCACCTTCCCAGGCTCCTAGATGATCTAGCAACCTGTCACTTCGTGTCGATAGATTGCGAATTCTCAGGAATTCCTACCACCAATTCAGCACCGTCTAGTGGAGGTGGGAAACCCACTCTACAACAACGGTATGATGAGTACAGGAAGTGTACCGATAAATACAGGATCGTGCAAATCGGCCTCACTGTTGGCCATGAAGATATCAAGAAAGGTAGACTCTGTTATGCTGTACATATCCTGGGAATTGTGTTGATAGGTCTCCTAGCAACTTATACACTCCGACCTTATAATTTATACCTGAATCCGAACATCGATCAAAAGTTGGACGTAGAAAGGGATATCAGCTTCCAAAGTAGCGGTCTGTGTCTCGTGGTGTACGCTGAGGAGATGCAAGCTAATGTCTGAAACAGCCATGGAGTTCCTGCTTCAGAATCAGTTTTCTTTGAACTCGCTGTACAATGATGGTGTTCGATATCTGTCTCGGGAGGAAGAGGACATAGCCATGGCCAAAGCTTCGGCGAGATTCAACCGGACAAAATCTCACGCAGTTATGGAGGTTAAAGAGACAGAGCATGACTCTATTGAGTTCGTCCAGGCAGTTCGAAAGCTGGTCAAGGACTGGCTTGCTCTTGGTAAAGTAGGTGCATACCCCGGATTATTCATGACTGTCCTAACTATCTATAGGACCGTGAATCGTACCTCAACATCCCGCCGCCTAGTCGTGATACTATGGATGATGACACCAAGTTGATGCCGTCAACGTTGAACAACTACCGGAAAAGACTCGTGCATCAACTTATAGAAGTAGAATACCCATCACTGGTGACAATCAGCCACCCCACCTTCATTCAGATCATTGAATACGACGAAGCACGCGAGAAAGCGGTTCGTGAGCAACGAATGAAGCGAACCCGAGAACGAATATCACAAGAAACCGGGTTCAGATGGGTGGCGGAAGCGCTGGCAGGCGGCGATCTCTCGCGTCTTGATCCCTACTGTTTTCGAAGCACGATGTCCACATCTACAGCTGTGAACTCACAAGCCTCGCTCAAGATGTTTTCGGAGAAAATGAAACAGAAATTGCAAACACACCGGCCTGTACTGGTTGGCCACAATCTCTTCGTCGATTTGGTATACTTCTGCCGGTGTTTTTTTGGGCCGCTGCCGGAAAGCGTTCAGGACTTTCAGAGCATGGTCCATAAGATGTTTCCGGTGTTGGTCGACACGAAATACTTAGCTACGCATAACTGCGGGTCTATCATTCCTCGGTCCTCACTGAGTGAGATCAATGAGAAGCTGTTGCAAACTGCAACACCCAAAATCAGTCAGCCTACCTGCTCCCCCGATGCGATATGGACTAATGGTTGGGTTAGAAATACACCATCAGCATGCCAAATATAATGGCCGGAAAAACCAACATGAAGCAGGCTACGATAGTCTGCTCACGGCTCAGGTATTCATCAAGCTTTCTGCGCAGCTTCGTGACGGCGGCGTGTCCGAGACAGCCAAATCCACGAACCCACAAAGCCAGCCCAACAGACAGGGTTCGAAGCAGAAACGCAGTGCTAAGAAAACCGGGGACATTGATCTTCCCACAAGGTTTGATGTGCTGGGAATCGACGAGGTTGGAGACGCCGACCGCGATCTTGCCAGCGAGGATCAAAAGATTCGGCGGGACGAAGCAGCCGGGAAAGCTAGCAAAGGACATTTGATCCCTCGGAGCGGCGCTGAGTTCTGGACCGTTTACAGCAACAAGCTCCGCGTGTTTGGCACGGAGGAGAGTGTTTGCCATGTAGGGAACCCGTAGATATCTTTCATATCTAGCGAGCGGCGCCCTAGCAATAACCCAGTATTTTCTACGAAATCATACAACTAGCTAGTCCATACCGCAATGGCAGTAAGGAATGTATGCAGCATCTATCTAACAGTACACCTTGGACGTAAAGAAGGTACTGCTAGCGAAATAGCCGCCAAGTACTCACTCTGAGCACCGGTAAATGATCGACTGGTCGTGGGAGTAGCATAACGCAGTGATGATAAGGAAAAGGTGCCGTGAGAAGAAAGAGAAAGGAAAGATCGCGGCGGGAAATTTTTCGGGAAGAAAAAGGGACGCAGGAGTCACGTGTACCGCCAATCCCCCTTCGGACTAGCGCCTCCGACGGCTCAAGACAGGTGACCGCCAACTTTTCTTGCAATCAATTATCGGGAAAAGGTATCTGAACTGTTGACCAGCAACCCGCAACACGGTCCCTGTTCAACGGAGATGTCTTCAGGAGCCAATGGCGCCAGGCGCATAGCCTCAGTATTGAGTATGTTGATTAAACCATCCAATTGTACTTCCTTCCTGGGCAATTACTGACTTACACAACAACAGGGCCTTCCATCGCCGACCCCCGAGTGTGCAGAAGCTGTCAAGAAACCCTCGTTCGCCGCAGCTATGCCTCCTCCGCTGCTGCTCCCACCACCGAATCCACCTCTTCCTCGTCGGCCGCCTCCGTCCCCTTCCCCGTCCTGAAGCCCACCTACACCATCAACGCCGGCGTGGTCCTGTCCCGTCCGCCCCAGCTCACCCGCGACCTGACGCCGTTCGAGAAGGCGTATTACTTCTACCAGCGACGTCTCAACGAGCGTCTGGCCCTCCCCTTCACCAAATACTTCTACTTCAAGCGCGGCACCCCCGCCGACGAGGACTGGAAGCGCAAGATCCGGGACCGCCAGACCCCTGCGCGTGACGTCGGCAAGTACAACGCCTACTCCAAGGACGCGTGGAACGATGAGCTGCTCGTCGGCGCCGTCGAGTCCGAGCCGGAGCACCAGGTCGAGATGCTCGTCCAGGACGCCGAGGCCACCGCCAACGCTACCTCCCAGGACACTAGTAAGAAAGAGGAGATCCCGAGACCGTTCTCCCGAGTGACGGAGGCCGATGAGAAGGGGGATCAGACGAGTCTGAACCGTGCGTTGCAGCGCACGCTGTATCTGCTCGTGCAGTCGAAGGAGGGTTATTGGAAGCTTCCTAGCTCTCCGGTGGAGACGGACGAGACTCTTCGATTGGTGAGTTATACCTGGGTTTTCTTAGCCCCCCCCCTGGGGAACCTGTGAACTTTAGGAGTGGTGTGACTAACTTGAATTGAATAGGCCGCCGAACGTACCCTCGCCCAGACCGCCGGCGTGAACATGAACACCTGGATGGTGGGCTACCACCCCGTCGGCCACTACGTCTACAACAACCGCAAGCCGCACATCGACGAGGCCAACGGCATCGAACACCTCGGCGAGAAGACCTTCTACATGAAGGCGCGCATCATGGCCGGCCAGGCGGATCTGTCTGCCAACGTGCAGAACCTGCAGAGTTTCAAGTGGTTGACCAAGGAGGAGATTGCGAAGTACGTTCGGGCTCAGTACTACGCTAGCATTAAGAACATGCTGGCTGAGCGGTAAATACGTGAATATGAGGATTTGTTAGAGAGAGGCTTTAGTGGGGCAGTTGGATACGGTGAAATGTACCGATAGAACTGTTTAGCGATTTGGTTCAGCAGATGGGTCTGGTATACAGACCAGGTGGGTTGCATATACTTATAGGTATGGTCATGTATTGTATAACTAGCTTTATTTTGTTTTTGATATCATTTTTGGGTTTATCAGTACGAATTTATGTAGTGTAGACAGACTGAATAGACTAGAAAACGTAGTTCAAGTTGATTTATAGCACCCAACGCCCGCCATCCCAGACCCGAACAACCCACCATGTGGTCTTATAATTATCAACGTAGCATAAATAGTAACAGTAACAAACACAATACAATCGAATTACTTCAAATTAAACTTCTGCCCCTGCACAACAGGCTGATCTTTCGATGCCTTTGCAGCCAAACTCTTCCCACACATCGGGCACGCTAGACACATAATCAACTCTATTTCAACCTGGAAACCGCAACATCTTCCGACATAGAGAGACGGCAGAGCAGAAGAGAGGGAAGGAGGGAGGTGAAAGACTCACCATTCTTCTGATACGCACACCGCTGACAATACTTCTTCCCTTGCTCCGTCTTGGTCTTGCATAGCTCGCAGGACGACGCGTACGCCGCGTAGGGATTCTTGGCTTTGGAGCTGAGGAGTTTACTCTAATTAGTTGGTCAGCATGCTTACTACAACCATATATCTCCCAGCGGATTAAAGCTGAACGAGAAGAGGAAGACGAGCATGTAAATATGCATGCACGCTTATATGAATGGATATACAAACCTTCCCAACACCCGTATTCCCCAACGTAGGTTTCGACTTGCTAGAGCTGGCACCGGCACCGCCGCCTACCGAGGTCGATGGCGAGCCGTAGTACATTTCTGATTTGCGTTTTACGCCGGGCGTCGCTAGCTCGGTTGATTTGAGTTTCTTTTGGCATTTCGAGCAGACCATATTTGTTTTCTTTCTTTTTTTTTCTTTCTTTGGTGTTTGCTGATTTGGGTTGGTGGAGGGGTGGGGAGGTGAGAGTAGAAAGATGGATATGAAGGGGATAGGGTGTGTATAGGTGCTTGGTAGATGGTTGATGGATGATAGATGGTGGTGGTGCTCGATTTGGTTAGTTTGGTTGGTGGGATCTGCCACCGCTTTCGAGGATTCGGTTGCGTCATTTGTCTTTTTCTTCTACCCTTTCTATTTATTCTAGTTTCAGAGGAAATGTGATTTTATATTATTCTATCTTTTGGATACTCTGTAATATACTTGGATTTTCTTATGATCCGAGAGAGAAGCAAGTCGAATGATTGAGTACTTCTAGAATTGGATCATTCTATATATGCGTCTATATACTAGTTAGCCAACTAAAAAGTAGAGGGTCCTCACATACATTATCTGAATCTGTCAGCTTGTTTATTGAAGAACTGTCCTAGAATCACACTTTTGTTGTTGTTATCTGTCTGCGATCGCTATCATTATCGTGTGGACACTTCATTCTCAGGCTTCGAAATATTGAGAAAATGCCATCAAATAAGGTATATCACATAACGAACAGAATAACCTCTCCGTATCACATAACGCACGGCTCTCCAATACCTACCGAGAAGTGCAACCAGTAAGTAAATGTTTACTATATACCTCCCGACATATACGCCTCCTCCGAACTCCCCTTCCACGTCCCATCAGTCCCTCCGACCTTGTTCGAATAACCCGGCCCACTCAAGACCTCTCCGATGGAAGGCCGATAGGTGATGTAGGGCTTTCTTTCTGAGGAGTGTCGACTACGCAAACGATTACGTATTGAGATAGCTTCCTCGTCTCTCTCGATTTGAATCCAGTAAATAGTAAGACCGGTGTAGATGCCGACTATGCTGAAGAATTCGACCAGTGCGCAGGCGGCATTGACGTATCCGGGCTCTGGGACGTGGAGGTACACGTAGCGAATGGTTCCGATTGCCGAAGTGAGAGTGAGAATGAGGTAGGAGAGAGCAGAGGTGACGAGAGAGATGGATCGGGCCTAGGGAAGATTAGGACTCCATGCTATCTCATTGCGAGCGCGGGGAGGGGGGAGCAGGTAAAGGGCCAGATACTTGACTGTCCAGCAATTCGGAGCTAGAGGACGATGTGAAGATGTAAAAGACCACCCAGAGCAATACCTCCAAAGAGATGATCATGAAGAGGATGACCCGTGATGTAGTCAGTCGGTTGTCATGGGCCACTATACCGGCATCGGTGCCCTCCACTGCCCTGCCAACCGACACGATCCGCAGGGCAAAATTCGCAGTAATAACTATGGAAAGCACACCAAGAACTCCCAGGTGGCCTCTTTTAACGAGGGTGAAAAGCCCCGCCGGAAAGGAAACGCGCTCGAGGGCTTCGAGAATAACCTGGTACAATGCGTAGTATAGCAGCAGCAGCGCAAGGAGCCGAAATATCATCTGCAAGATTCCCGCGATCACGTAGCTTTGCTTTACAGTAGCTTCAAGAAAGTAAACAAGCAGGAGAATGACGGAGAGGATCTGCGAGCTGGGTGATTGTTTAGCACGATGTACGAGTAGGTAGCTGCGTTGACACAATAGTACAATAGATTCTGGCATGTTCGCAGCCACTTACAGGATGTAGGAAACGAGAGACCCGATCACCGCCAGGGACGGAAACAGCGCCGTTGCACCGCATGAAGACTGTTTGATCGTGCAAGCCCCCGGAAAGAAAACGAGCAAGGCTACGAGGATCAGAAACTCCGAGACCAGCCAGACGGTGGTGTATGGCAGCGGGCCTAGATCCGACCTGAGCAGGTGGATATCCGCAACCCATGAATTGTGATTGTAGCTATCCGGGGAAAACAGTAGACTCTCGCTGAAGGCTGTTGATCTGCGCCACGGAGCCATGATGGCGGTTGACAAGGAAGCCAAGGAAAGAAAGAGATGGAGTGAGACATCTGGGGGAAGACAGGATCGCACCATCCAAGCGTGAAAGGTCGTTTGCGTTAGCCGTGACCCGTGGGGTTTCAAATATGGGAATGGAAGGATCGACACGGGCAGCATAATTGTTGATAGTTCAGAGTTCTTGCGCGAACCGGACTCCAAAGCTTAATGGGGAGACGGATGACCCATCGATCGCATAATCGGCCAGAGAGGAAACTTAATACTCTGTAGTGTATCATTTAGCCTTACTTATCGCAGTGAATACAGTGATGTTGTGATGCACGCCATGGAAACCCATGGGAACTGCGTGCAAAGATTGGGGATCGGCCGGATGCCCCCGCCCATGGCTCGAGGGATTTCCACATTGCAGTACGTGGATGTCGATCTCTATTTGTGATGCCAACGGTGCTGGTCGCCATGTGATTTGTGGAGTTCTGCGTCTGCGATGGTTGACAGCGTACTCCACCAAAGTCGGAGCAGGCCGGTTACTATCAACGGCATCATCCTGCACAAAGTACTCTCCGGACCAAAGACCAGGCACAGAAAAAGCAAAAGGCCGATAGTACATATGAGCCTGGTCTAGACAAGTTGAATTGCCAGCAGGGTAGGATTGGCCAAGCAGACATCCGCCGCAGGATTGGCCACGAACGAAGGATACTCGACAGTAGCTAACCGACGGATGCACGATGTGGGTGTCCCTGCTAGCTCATGGTCGCTGTCCGTGTGGACGGTACCTGTGGGATCCGGAGATCCGACATGCTAGGATGCAAGACGTGGTTAGGCTCTCGGATCGCGAGAACGTCATGCCTGTCATCAGTCATGGTTTTACGGAGGGATACGGGGCCGTTGCAATTGCGTCCAGCTAGGATTCTTCAGCTGCAGGTTCATCGCGTCCTAAATCCCGGCCTAGACGGCGGATTGGAGGGGACAGAAGGCCTCCACACGATCGAGATTGACATGCATGCGACTGGTTGGACTGGTCACAAAGGCGATGAAATTCGTCAGGCTGACTAGGGGAGTCCAAGCCATCGCTTTTCACATGGATGTGAGAGACGCAGCCTAAGACTGGCGAGGTCAAAATCTGGCGCCATCTCACTAACACCCGACCAGGAGGGAGACCGACGAGTCAGACCATGCGAACAGAGGGTAAGCTGATAAACCGGAGCACTGCCCACGAGTTCCGTAGCAGCGACCAAGCATCGCGGAGTGGCAAACGGAACAAGAATCCATCCTCCATCCACGTTCTGGAGAGCGACGGTCTTCATCAGCTTCAGCTGACAGAGTCTGGGACTTTTCGCCATCTGTTTCAGCTGCCCTGGTTGAAGGTCCTCCACCGTGTTTGTTGTCTCTCCCAAGCTGCAGGATGGGACCCGCCACTCCTGAACTGGCCTGCATTCGCTGCAGAAGCAGCCCTGAACAACAAATCATCGCTGCCAATGCCACGCCTCCAGGAATCGACCGTAGCGAACGCACATTCTTGGGCAAAATGAAAAAAGAAAAGAAAAGGACATTACAGAGAAGAAATTCTAAATCCCTTGAAAAGAAAAGCAATAAAAAAGATGAAAACATGAATACAAAGAAATTATAGAAAAAGAGAAATGAGACACAGACAAAGACATGAAAAGAGAAGATGAAAAAAGTCTACGTGAGATAAGAAGAAGAAATTCCAGCGCGTTGGTTCGGGTGGACATCGTCGACTCCTGACTTTTGTGCCCAGATCAGGGGCCACCCATCGTGACTGCACTTCGCTTGACTATAAGTGTGCTCGGTAGGGCGAAACCTGTCGGCCTCATTTTATTTCCTGACGATTCCTCTGCGCATACCCTCGCTCTCTCACTCTCCCACACTCCTTTCTTGATGTTTGACAAACCCTCGGATTGACTGACGTACGCTCCTCGCGGTGATTGCCGAATATCATCACATCACATCCCAGAGGCCTGACCATAATTCTTCCCCCAATCGACTTGTGCTTCGTCTCTCCGATCCCGACCTGATCGTTTTGACCTTCCCCGATCTGGGGCCGTGTTACTCCCTTCATGAGTGAATCCAGAAAGGAAGTACTGAATTCCAGTTGAAGCCGGTCCTTGATAAGGTGAACGCCCTTGCTTCGAAGGGCTTAGAGGAAAGAGTCAACCATCCTCCGCCCACTTGTCGGTCACCTTCCTTTTACCCCTTAATTTGTTTCTCTTCTGGACATCAATCGGGGTTCGTTTTACGACCGAGGTGATTCGGATGTTTGCATTTGCGCCGGTCTAGGGTTTTAAAAGCACGACTGCAGACCCAAATACGGGGGAGAACCATCGGCACTGATTCAGTGGTGATCCTAACCTGTCAGTTCTCGGAAGAGCTTGGTTTTACTTCAAACGAAAGCTTCCTTTAGTTCGCCTTTTGCTTTTGGTATCCCTAGCTTCTATCGCGCTGTTGGAAACCCGTGGTGAGAATCTGCCGGATCAGATTACGCTGCTCAGCCAGTTATCAATCGGTCAAAATGCCTCCGGACGGCTCATCATTCACGGCGTTGAACCTGCCGTCGTCCTTTTCTCTGCCTCGATGTATGGAATACTTCACCCTCACCGCCGGTCCCAACACTGACCTCTGGCGCAAACCCCCCAATGGCGACACTTCGACGGCGCCCATTGTGTTTACGTCGCTTCGGAACCCATTTGTGGTGGCCGAAGTCACCGTCAGTGCGGACTGGGAGATGGAATGGGACCAGGGAGGGCTGGTCATTTTTGCCGGCGCTGCCCCCCAGTCATTTTCGTCGGAAAGCGTCCCGTTGGCGCCAGAGACTCGGTCCAGCCACGGCGGTCCCTTGTCCCCAGCGCGCCCCTGCAAATGGGTCAAGGCGGGGATGGAATTCTCGTCGGGGACGGTGAACGCCTCGTCGGTCAGCGCCACGGCTGACGGGGCTGATTGGTGCCTGTCCCCCCTGAACCTGTCGGAGGCGGCACCGGCATCGACTCAGCATTCGCTGCGCATCAAACTGGAGCGCATCGGCCACGCGCTCTGGATCTGGTATCAGGTCCCGTCGGCGTCGCCTTATGCCCGCACGCCGAGTGCCGTCAGCAGCACGTGGAAGAAGCTGCGCGAGGTGACCTGGTTCTTCTACGGGGTTGAGGACAAGTTCATCCACGTGGGGGTGTATGCCAGTCGTCCGAATAGTCTCACTCGCAGCGACACGATGTGGGAGATGATGAACGGACCGACAATGGACAGCCCCGACACGGCTGACGGCTTGGTGGTGGAGTTTGAAGATCTGGAGATCTTCTGATGCGTTTCCACTGAAACTTTGTGTGATTCCCTCTCATTCAATTCGGTCTGTTTTGCATATGGCCTTTGCATTTTGTTTTATTTTCTAGCATCCCTTGCGCGATCCATACGAGCGACATGGCATGGTTTACGAGTTCACGGCCTCTGTTACGTCACGTTTCATTCTACACGGGATTTATTGGATTGCCGAGAAATTGGAGTCGAGCTATAGGGGCATTCATCATTCATCCGGGCATTTGCTTTTGTTTCTTAATATTTTCTTTCCCGAGATTGCGTGAATTAGCGAGGCGATATATGGGCCTGTGTTTTCCAATTCCTCCTTACCTACCATACTGATGTCCGACAGATTAATTTTCTAGTATTGAAACCTCTTGACCTTGTGCAGAAGAATGCCGCGGCTTAGTCTGGATTCAGGCAGGCGATCGACGATGAGTTGGCAACTGCAGCCAGTCGAACCGGCGGGCCAGACAAGCCTCACGCACAGAAAGAAGTACAGATGCAAGTAGATGCAAATAAAGTTCGTCGGGCAGACCTCGTTCTTCCTTCAGATGATTGTTATGAAAGTGCAGTTCCTGGGAATTACCGAGGGCAACGTCCGTTGGATCCATGGTTCTGCCAGATCCACCGACACAATTCCATTGCGCAGAAGAAATTGAATAGAAATTATGCTTAACGAGGCGAGTGACTCACTTCCCGCGGTTCATGCAATTCATGCCCGATGATCTCACCGTTAGGGTTTGGAATATGCGATCGAAATTGTACTCCGGTGTAGTCTTTACTGATTCGCGATACTACTGTCTATTCATTCATAGAATCCTAGTCAATAATAATGAATCCGATCAAATCCATCGCAAATAAACAATCAAGAATCAAAAGGGAACATGACCGTCGTCATAACTGGCACCGATCCACCGTTAAATGGTGCCACCAGCGCCCTAAACCGCCCTAAAAGCTCCCTCGACCCTCATCTGTAGGTCGGTCCACTTTTCGACTTCCATCCTCATCCGTTGATCAGATTTTTTTCTGTTCTGGTCTGGTTATCAGCCGACACTGGAGTATGGCCAGGCTAACAAGTTCCTCGCCCATCCCTAACTTCAATAGGGAAGACTAGTGGCCGACATGGCGGTGATTGGTGATTGCACGATGGCGCCAACTCACCGCATTTTCGCAGAATCGGAAAATCTTGGAGGAGAAGAGTTAGTCATATCTTGGAGGATGCTGTACGTGCTCTGCAGTCCTGCGATCGGGGGGTTCTGGTGCCCCTGAATAGCGGGTATCATATGTGAGTGACTCCGTCGACTATCGATCCGGAGTATAGGGGGAACTTCTATAGTGAATTATTTACGGAGGGAGGATTCCACATAAGGAGAGATGTCTTTCAAAAGAATAAAATGATAAAACGATAATTTAAAACGGGCGACTTTTGTAGTCACTGGGACAACGACTGCCCCGCCTGGGTTAGTGTTACTTCTACAGTCTTAGTAGAGTCGTTGCTTCTCCTACGACTGGTCTAACTTCCTACAGCAGTGGAACCCTACCGGAGCTCCATCTTTTTTTTTTTTTTTTTTTTTTTCTGTAGTCCTACACGGAAGAGCCTGTCGACTTCCTTCTGCCTCCTCCCTTTTTGCTACTCTTTCCCTACGGACCAATCTCCTCGTCATCCTTATCAATTCCTTCGTCTACCCCTCATCCTCTTCTCTGCCTCTTCCTCTTCCATCTACTCCTACTTCCTACCACATACAACTACCCTCTCCATCTCCTTCCCCTCTTCTACTTGGGAGGTTCTCTTCTTCTTTAGTTGCCCTCCCAATACCCCCGCCACCTCCTGTACATTATTATCTTTTGTCAATTTTCCGCTTGCTCGTTTGTTGACGCTTCTTTGTCTTTGTTTACTTTTTGCAGACTTGACCCAGAAATCAAGTCTCGTGAGATCTTCCTCCCCCTCATCTCATTGATTGCGTCTGCCTTTCACATAACGACTGTTACGACTTTTGTTTCCATTGTTTCTTGAATTCCCCCCTCACATCCTCATCATGGCTGAATCCATCAGCCAGAATGTCACCCTCTCCGTGCGCCGTCCCTCAGATTCTCCCATCATCTTCGTCGCGGGTTCCTTTTCCGATCCGAAATGGGAGCCGCTTGAATTGGCCGTGAAGACCGTTGAGTTCAAGGATGACGAGGGTCTCACGTCCACTGAGTACCTGTTCTATCGCGACGTGCAGGTCCCCGTCGGGAAATATCAGTATCGCTTCCGAGAGGGTCCCGAGGGCTCGTGGTTTCATGATGAGACGGCCAAGAGTGGTATGTTTGATCCTGGCTCTTTTGTGTTGCTTCGAATGCTCTGAGCTAATTTTACTTGCTTTACGCTACAGCCCCCGGTGACGATGGTCTCGTGAACAACATCCTCCTCGTCGAGTCCCCCGCCGCCGCTGCTTCGGAGGAGAAGCCCGTTGAAAACGGTACCGCTGATAAGGCGGAGGAGCCCGCCAAGGAGTCCGCGGACCTGTCCGCTCACATCGAGACCAACGGCACGGCGGAGAAGGAAGCTGCGGTCGAGGAGCCCACTGCTGAAGAACAGAAGCCCGAGCCGGTTATTGAGTCGAAACCTGAGGAGCCGGTCTCGAATGGCGACGCAGCCCCTGCGGTCAATGACGTCGAGCCTGCTACGCAAGATCCCACGACGGAACCTGTGAACGGAACGGCGGAGACGGTGGAGGCGGAGAAACCGACTGAGTCCCAGCCCGAACTGGTGGAAGAGGTCGTCGAAAAGGCGGAGGAAGTCCCCGCTGTTGTCGAGAAGAAGGCGGTTGAGAAGGGTGAGCACAAGCCCGAACCCGAGGAGCCTTCGACAGAGAGCAGCGGTCCGGTCATCGCCGAGGACAAGCCGGTTGACGAACCTAAGCCGGAAGAGCCGGTTGCCGAGAAGGAGTTGCCGGAACCAGTCAAGGAGGAAGCTCCCGTCGAGCAGCCATCGACCGAAGCGCCGGCTGTCGAGGAGACGCCTGCTCCCGCCACTGAAGCTCCCAAGGAGCCCGAACCTGTCGCCGAAGAACCCGCCAAGGAGTCTGTCGATGAGCAGCCATCTGTGGAGGCCGCGGTTGCTGCGGAGCCCGTGAAGGAGGAGGCCGAAGAGAAGCCGATTGAGGAAGCTCCTGCGGTTGAAGAGCTCAAGGAGGCTGCCGTTGAAGAAAAGGCCGAGGAACCCGTTTCCGAGACTGTCCACGGACCCGTTACAGCCGAGCCTGCCGTCGAGGAGCCTGTCAAGGAGGTGAACGGTGTTGCCGAGGAGCCAGCTACCGAGAAGCCTTCGACCGAGACTCCCGCGGAGGACCCCGCCACCGAAACCGCAAAGGAGGAACCCTCCACGGAAGAGACGGTCGCGAAGGAATCAACTGAGGCCCCGGGCGCCGAAGAGCCGGTGAAGGAGTCTGTGCCCGAAACCCCCGCCGCCGCCGAAGCTACCGAGAAGTCAACGGAAGAGGCGACCGAGGAGCTCGCTAAGCCAGCTGTCGAGGAAGAGAAGCCAGTGGCTGAGGAGCCTACTGAGAAACCCTCTGCTGAAGAGGTGAAGGAGGCCGAGCCGGCTCAGGCTGCTTCCGAGGAGCCGACTGTTCAGCAACCCACGGAGGAGGAGATTCCCGTGGAAGCTCCCAAGGAGTCTGCCGAAGAGAAGGTAGAGGAGAAGGTCACCGAGGAGCCTGCTAAGGAGGAGCCAGTGTCCGAGGAAACTCCAAAGGAGTCGACTACCGAGGAGGCTGCTGTTCCCGAGCCTGTGCAGGAATCTACTCCCGAGGCTGCACCCGTGCAGGAGTCCGAGCCCGTTACAGAGGAACCTGTCGTTGAAGAGCCTGCCGCCGAAGCTTCCACTGTCGAGGAGCCCGCCAAGGAATCCAAGGTAGAGGAGACCGCCCAAGAACAGGTCTCCGAAACCCCCGCTGCCGAGCCCGAAGCCTCCAAGGAGGTGGTCGAGGAACCTACCGTCGAGGAGGCTGTTCCTGAGACGTCTTCCGAAGAGAAGGCCACCGAAGAAAAGGTGCCCGAGGTATCGACCGATGCCGCTGTCGCCGCGGAGACCGCTGAGGAGCCCAAGGAGCCCGTCGTTGAAGAAACTGTCCAGCCTACCATTGAAGAATCGACCCTTGAAAAGTCTGTGGAGGAGGAACCTGTCAAGGAGACTGAGGCCGAGGCCCCTGCTGTTGAGGAACCTGTCAAAGACGAGCCTGCCGTCGAGGAGCCTGTCAAGGACGAGCCTGCCGTCGAGGAGCCCGTCAAGGAGGAGCCCGTCAAGGAGGAGCCCGTCAAGGAGGAGCCCGTCAAGGAGGAGCCCGTCAAGGAGGAGCCCGTCAAGGAGGAGCCCGTCAAGGAGGAGCCCGTCAAGGAGGAGCCCGTCAAGGAGGAGCCCGTCAAGGAGGAGCCCGTCAAGGAGGAGCCCGTCAAGGAGGAGCCCGTCAAGGAGGAGCCCGTCAAGGAGGAGCCCGTCAAGGAGGAGCCCGTCAAGGAGGAGCCCGTCAAGGAGGAGCCCGTCAAGGAGGAGCCCGTCAAGGAGGAACCGGCCAAGGAAGAGGCTGCTCCTGTTGATCAGACCACCGAGGAATCGGCCGTGAAGGACGAGCCGAAGGAGGTTTCCGTTGAAGAGCCCGCTACCAAGGAGGTTCCTGCTGAGTCGGAGCCTACTAAGGAGGCTGATCTTGTTGCGGAGGAAACCAAGGTCGAGGAGCCTGCTTCTGAAGAGCCCCAGGCTGAGGAGGCCAAGGCTGAGGAGACTACCGAAGTGGCTAAGACCGAGGTTGAGGAGCCTCAGGTTGAACAAGCTACGCTGGAAGAGCCCAAGACTGAGGAGGCCAAGGTCGAGGAGCCTACGCCTGAAGAGCCCGAAGTCAAGGAGCCCGAAGTCAAGGAGCCTGAGGTTGAGGAGACCAAGGCCGGCGAACCTGAACTCCACGAAGTCAAGACCGAAGATGTCAAGATTGAGGAACCCGAGGTTAAGCTGCCTGAAGCTCAGGAAGCCAAGGTTGAGGAGACTGTCGAAGAACCCAAGGCCGAGGAAGTCACTGCTGAGGGGCCGGTTACGGAAGAGCCCAAGGCTGAGGAGCCTAAGGTCGAGGAGCCTAAGATCGAGGAGTCCCAGGTTGAAGAATCTAAGGTTGAACAGCCCGAGGTTGAAGAAGCCAAGGTTGAGGAGGTTAAGGTCGAGGAACCCAAGGTTGAGGAACCTGCCGAACCTAAGATCGAAGAGCCTCAGGTTGAAGAAGCCAAGGTCGAGGAGCCTGTCGCCACCGAACAGGAAGAGCAGCCAGCCGAAGAAGCCCCCAAACCCGCCGAGGAGCCCAAAGCCGAGGAGCCAATTGCTGAAGATTCTACCGCCAAGGTCGAAACCGAAGAAGTGGTTACTGAGACACCCAAGGAAGTTGCTGAGGAGCCAGTCACCGCGGAAGACGAGGCTCCCATTACCGATGTCTCTGACAAGAAGGAAGATATCATCGAGGAGCCCGCTACCCAGGAGCTTGCTGTTGAGACTCCCGCGGCCGTGCCTGCAGCCGAGCTTGTGACGGAGACGGAAGAGCCTGCCAAGCCTGTCGCTGTTGAGGAGCCTCAGGAGGAATCGACCACCCAGAACAACACGGAAGCCGAAGTTGCTGAGGTGACTGAAGCTCCTAAGGTGACGCCAGCTGTGCCCGAGCCAGTGGCTGAGCCTGCCACCGAAGCGGTTACCGAGCAGGCCCCGGAAACTCAGGCTGCGGAAGAGACCAAGCCCACCGAAGAATCGACTCCTGCTCAAGAGACTCAAGAGGCAGAGCCTGTCCCTGCTGCTACCACCGAGACTCCCGCTCAGGAGGAGGTACCCGTTGCTGAGCCCACCCCCGAAACGGATTCCACCGAGCCTGTGAAGGAGGACGCCGCTGAGGAGCCTGCTGAATCAAAGGACAGCGTCCTGACTCCTGAAGTGATTGCTGCTGGTGCTGCCGCTGCTGTCGGTGTTGGCGCCGTTGCCGCTGGAGCCGCTGTTGCTTCCGCTGACAAGAAGTCCGAGACTGAAGACAAGGACCAGAAAAAGGGTAAGCCAGAGACCAAGGGTAAGAGAATTCTTACACCATCTGACCGACATGTGGATGAAGCTGACTCTATTCAAACAGTCCCTGCCGCGGATGGCACCTCTGACGAGCCTACTGGAACCCAGCAACCTGCAGTGAAGGAACCGGAACAGCAAGCTCAGGCACCGACCTCGAACGACCCTGTTGCTCCTACCGAACCTGCTGCTACTGAACCCACTACTTCTGCCGAGCCTGCGGCTTCCATTGAGGCTGATGGGGACAAGCAGGTGGCCAAGCAGGACGGTGACAAGTCTCGCTCCCAGAGCCAGAACCGCTCTGTCCAGGCTTACACCTTGAACAACCAGGCTGATGGCTGGTTGAAGACGATTCTGCGTGCCGTCTTCGTCAACTTTTTCGGTGCCATTTTCTCGCCTTTCCGTCGTCGTGGAAGATCCGACCAGTAAACGACCTTCCCTATCTTAATCCCTGTCCCTGTCTCCACCCGGGGTTCCAGAATGTCTATTATTCCTGTTACTGCCAAGAAAAGAAACCGAGTCTTTATTATACCTGGTGAATACTGCTACCTTTTTACTAGCATTGTTTGCTTGGCATGCATATACCCGACAAAGTTGTGATAAAACTTCTGTCCTCTTCACCTGTCACTCCTTTTGTTTGAAATAGTTTGATTTGATTCCCCTGTATTTGATATTTCTGTTCGTCATCAATTCAGGTTACTTGCTTTGCTTTTTCTTCACATGCTCTCCTCTCCAGACTGGATTGCTCACCCATCTCGATTTGCAATTTCTGTCTACTCATTGCTTTTGTCTGTCCCCGCATGTTTCTTGAGATTTGATTCATGGGTGGTTTTGAGTGATTGATTGACTAATTGATACATGGATGGATGGATGCATTTGTGGCCAGATATCAGCGAACTGTCTGATGGTTGGTGTCTGGTTACCTGCCTTGTTACATGGGATGTAATGATTTGATGTTCATGATGATTTATGATAATGAGAATTTCTTTACCTTTATTTTTTACTGTATCTTTGTAGTCCATGACTCTTTGATCGTAGGCTCCATGACTTCCGTATTCAGATGTCGAATCCTTCGCTGCCAGACATGAAGGTTTACCCATCCCTTATACCCTAGGTCGTTAATGCATGTATCTAAAAATGTCAGCGTGTTGTATGTCCCATGGAGCAGTAGAATGAAGAACTTTCTTGTATGGTTCGTTGATTCTTGGGTGCTAGGGCGGGATAGTTCGTTGTAGAATTGATAAGAACGTACCACCACCTTCTTCTTCTTCTTCTTCTCCTCCTCCTTCTGCTACTACATATCAATTCGCATAATGCCTATTATGCTCAAGGGTGGAGAAAACTCATACATGTAGGGTATGTCACTAATCATCGGAACTTGGAACAAGATCGAGCATTTAGCTCTCTGCATTCCCTATTGGAGGGTAATAGGATATTCTGGGCTCTTTACTGTCTGATATCAAACCATCTAAGGTACCCATAGGTAGTTGTTATTATTTTTTTCATGTGAATGAGTTCAGTATGTTTTTTGTTTTTTTTTTTTCCTATTTGTCATGAGGCTTTCTGCGTTTGCTTTCTTGGGATAGAAATGTGTTTCTATTATTCGTAGAAAAGATGGGGATGGTTCAAGATAGGAAACTGATATCCGTTGAAATAATCGACTTGCCTATTTCCCGTACCTCTAGTGCACAGTATCACAAATCGATACAGAAAGAAAGACAAACAGAGTACCCACTGAGCGTGTACACCAGCAAGCATCCAAATTCACGTCCATCCGGGGAAATTCACCGTGCAGCTGCCATGAACAAGGCCCAGATGGGATTAGCGTCTCCTGGTGTGCGAATGATAGTGACGCGCCAATAGAGTCGCTGTGAAGATGTAGATGGAGATGAAGAAGGTACTTGGGGCTATGCCTTACCTACTTTCATCTTTAACCGGGTATGCCAGTGGTAAAGCAAGAGGAAGTGATAGAGTAGGATGTTTTATCTTGTCGGACACCTTCTGTAGTGGGCTTTTTTCTTCTGCTTCATGTTACAGTCTCCTTCGCTTGTTGATCGCACTATCCCACGCAACCTCATCCTTCTTTTCTGTTTTCCTTTCAGGTTTCTGGATAGTGTATTGGCAATTGGGAAATCGTCTTTCACGTCAGCGTGTCTTCAGACGTTCGTTCTTTTTCTTTTTCTTCAGCTCCTTTCTTCTCTGTTGAGCCTTGCTTCATCCTCATTATCTGCATCGTTCTCTTCTCAGGTACCCGTTGTTGAGTGCATTTCTTCACGTCATTTTGCCATCACCGCTCTTGTTGTTATTGTTGACAGTCTAAGCTGTTGTCTTCTCAAAAGAGAGCTTGCCCTCCACCTTCAGCTTCAGATTTTTTGTGCTGGATTGGGCTTCGCTCATAGACTTATTGTTGATCTTCTTCACGTCACGTCACGTTGCCACTGTTGCGCTTGAGCTGTTGCGACGCTACTTGATATCTTCTTATCGCCCTCCTCCTGCCTTTCACGCATAGGTCATCATCCAGACTCACAGTTGACCGTTCTTACCACGCCACATCTTCACTCTGCCAGCTAGGTCGCCGTATCCGCTCTCTAGCAAGACAGCCTGATACCCATCCTTCTCACTTGTCGATACCTCATATCCTCAGCATCGATCAATTGCCATCCTTCGACAAAACCCTTAACCTATCCTCCAGCAATCTGGACCGTCCATAACCCCTAACAACCCCCCAACGGACAGAGGAGACGATCCTTATGTCTCCCCAAGAAAACAAACAGACCCGAGACCGCGACCCTCCTGATCTCTTCGCATCACCGAGTCCCCGAGTCATCTTGCCCCAAATGTCTTATATCCAGGGCAACGCGTTCGCGCAGATGAAGGCGAAGGAGAGAGAGAGGCAGAGGCAGTTGGGTGAGAGTGGCAGTCCTAGTCAGGGTAAGTCTTGATTGTTCTTTTGTGGCCGGTCTGAGGCTGGCATTGTCTTTTGTTTAAGTGGTTTGGTTCTGTTGGTGGATCTCAGTTCGTCTCTGTGCTTCCTCTTTTTCTTCTGTTGCCGAGGAATATCTTTCTTTTTTTGAGATGTGGTTTTTCTGCTGTTTTGCTTCTCTATTTCAGCGAAGGACGAAGGGGAATAAATGAGAAAGACGAAGCAAAGCCATACACTAACAAACAGTCATATCACAGAACAAACCCCCCGACCAAGCACTAGCAGCGGCCGACGATCCAACGGCCTGGACTACTACCAGGAACTCGCCCTCCCAATGCCCAAGCCGCGCCATCTACCGCCAACAGAGGCCGAGCTGGCGGAGGTAGAATCCCAGAGACGGTCAACGTCCACGCACCGATCGAGACTGACGAAGAAGCGCTCGGGGGATCTGGCAGCGGACAGCCCGACCGACTCGGGAAAGAAGTCTAAGGTCGCTTCGCTGCGGTCTAAGTTCAGCTTGAAGGACCTGGCCAGGGAGTTTCGTCGGGAGAACTCGTCCCCTCCGCCGGCAGTGCCTTCGTTGCGGAAGTCTAGTAGCAGCGGTATCATCCTGGCGGAAGGGAGTCTGGGGACACCACGGTCGGCGCAGTCGCCTCCCTCTTTCGACAAGGAGGGACTGTACGTGCCCAAGGCACGCGGCCTGGATACAAAACAGCCATCGTCGGCGCCGCCGGGGAAGTCGAGCTTCCAGGAGTCGCTGGGCACGGATAGGGCTTCGCAAAGCAGCATGTACTCGTCTCCCCCAACCATAGCGAAAGGCGACAAGAAGAACGAGAAGTTCCGGCATGCCTTCATCCACGAAGAGCACGGTGATAGCCTCACGATGAGGCAGACACAGACTGGTACAATGCTAGAGACGTTGCTGCTCGATGGATCTTCTCCTCCGGCCCATACGGGCGAACTGCGAAACGCCGGCCATCCGGAGGTCATGTCGGGGCAAAGGATTTGCAGCATGAAAGCAGAACAAGGACCGACCACCCCGGTCAAAGCAACGGGGGCCACCATGCCCGCTGCAGAGATCGTCCGTGAGTACTCGCCATCCATCTACGATGACGAGACGCTAGAGGCCACGAGCGCACCAAAAGCCGTCACCGTGGAGCAGAACAAGCCAGCGACAGACAACAGACAGCAGCGGCAGCAGCACCCCATGATCGTTTCCTCCGATCAAAACCGGAAGAAGAAGGCCCCGCGAGCGGCACCGAGCCGGTCTGCCTTCGTGCCGTCGGGGCCCAGGCAGTATGGATCAGGGCAACAGCACGCACCCTTTGCTCATCAGCTCGATCCACATCAGCTCAATTCGCAAATGTCTGTGGATGAGGCGAGGTTCTTTACCGGCATAACCAGCCACGGAGGCTTCGCGCCTCCTCCCCCTCATCCCGGCTACCAGAACACGACGACCGTGGAGCAGCATGTCACGTCCCATGCCAACTCGATTCACCACCATCTGGACACTGCGCTGGGAAAGCTGACCCGCAACACAGAGAGCAACATCAACTGGTCCACGGACCAGTTGATCCGGCAGGTGGAATCGGTGACCGATATGGCTCGGACGCTGAACACGCGCACCGTCAACCAGGCCGACACGATCAGGGAGATACAGCAGTCGATCGAGTATCTGCGGATGCAGGTTAGTGAGCTACAGCACCAGTCGTTTCGGATGGAGAACAAACTCGTAGAATGCATCCACACAGAGATAGCGCAGGTGAGGGCCGACATCAGAAATCTGCCTGTCACTGCCACCACTAGCAAAGCCCCCCACAACACCGCCGTCGGATGGAGCTCCTCGCATGGCGAGTCGCAGGGGGGAGGACAATACCTGGCAAAGGGAACCAAGGAATATGAGAAGCGGCAGAACAGTAAGAAGAAGGCTCGTGCGGCTATGGTCCCAAAGAGCGAAGAGATGGTGAAAAGACCGGAAGAAAATAAAAGAGCCACAAAACATAACAAGCAAAGTGAATTTGTTGTGACAACTAGTGCTGGCAATGTGATCGAGGCAGGCAAACGCGCCGAGAAGCAAGAACAGACGTGTGCAGCTGGTGACCGTGGTGACCTGAGTGAACGTGATGACAATAACAACCTTCACTCTCACCCTTCTGTCCCTCCTCCCACCATCTTCCACACTCCTCCCCTCCACAAAACCGAAGAATCCAGTTCTGCGATTGATCGTGAGATCAGACGAGCCATCAAGGATCCCCGGCAGGAGTCTTCTGGCAGTCCTACACAAAAGGGATCCAGGCCAGGCAGCTCTACCCACAATCCACTACTCTCACCTGAAGACATAACTGACGCCAACAAGATGGTGTTTGGATTCGGTCGGTCCGACAAGGACAAGAAGGCTAAGAAAACCGACAAGAAGTCCACCAACAAGGGCAGCAAGTCTTCTCTGAAGGAACCGGGGCTCGAGCCAAAGGAGGCCCAGCATCTTCCGGAAGAGACCGTGTCGAAGGCCCAGGACGTCACTCTTGAGACTGAAGGCGAGCATTCCAAGGCTGAAGGCGAGCAGCCCAAAATTGAAGGCGAGCAGCCCAAGTGTGAAGGCGAGCAGCCCAAGATTGAAGGCGAGCTCAGCACCGAACAGGCCAACTCTGACGCGAAGTCCGAGAACAACGAGGCCAAGACTGAGACCAAGAGTCTGAAGGCTGACATCAAGGACGTCAAGTCCACCCCTAACAAGAAACACAAAAAGGGTATGTTCAGCAGCTTCAAGCGCAACCGCGATGGCAACAACCAATCCTCGTCCAGCGGTTTCCTCAGAACTCCTCAGCGCCACAAGGAGAACAAGGCCACTGACATCAGCGCACCCATCGAGCCAGTGATCTCTCAGCCTATCCCTATTCCTCACTATGACCTCCACTCCACCGAGGGAGATCCCGCCTTCGTGCATCCTGCACTGCGCACCCCACGCCAGAAGGCCATCATGGCTGAACGCGAACGTCTCGGAGGCCTCGCTCGTCAGCAGTCCACTGAACAGATCCAGCAGCAGCCATCTGGCCAGACCCCATCTCTGGATCAGCACTTGCCCTTCGGCCCTAACCCACTATTTCCTCACCATATCCCTGGCACCCCATACAGAGGCCCTCCCCATGTCGGTCACCCTCCCGTGACGTTCCGTCCGAGCTTGCCCGGCCGCCAGCAGCAGCCTGCACCATTCACCCACCCTCACCCCCATCCGCCTTCATTCGGCCAGGCCCCCCAGGCAATCGTGTCTCACTATTACGGACCACATGGCGCCAACAATAGCTTGGCTACCAGTTCTCTGACCGGTGCTCCGAACGTCATGATGCCGCCTCGCTACCAGCCCGGCATGCCGTTCACCAGTGAGGGCATCGATATGCGTCGCTGGTACCAGGAGACTCGCGGCCACGCGTCCCCGGAGACCGGAGAGGGCCAGGGCAATGCGTCTGCCAAGGGCAACAATTAATTCATCGCTTCGTCTGCTCGTCGATCATTCATCGTTCATCGTTCATCAATCACTTGGTTCAGTCAGGGGCTCTTTTTTGACAACCATTTTATTTCACTCGGTCGAGTTGGTCGGTCTTGAGATGTTCGGTACATAATGGCATAATGGGTTTGTTTGTATCGATTGTTTCTTGAGATGCATATGGTCATGAAGGATTCCATTCTTGAGATATCATAATGAGGATTTGGTGATTGATTAGCCGGACATGAACTTGACTTGGCTTGGGGATCATTGATCAGATTGAGTGAGTGGAAGTGAAAGTGACGAGGTGACTGTGATTGTCATTGATTGGTGAGACGTTGATCGAATGGGGATCACGTGGTTTCTGTTTGTCCTTTGTTTTTGTTTTCTACAGACTTTCGATCCTGCCGGGCCATTAAATGATTTTAAAATCTCACCAAAAAAAAAAAAGGCCGATGACGAATAATGAATCATGCATAGTTATGAATATGAGAAACGGTTGCAATACTGCAAAGAATGAGGAAGTAATGATATGGCTGGCCATGACGGGGTATGAAATGATAGCTACTTATCCAGCGTTCGGTAGTTACAGGAAGGAACAGCATTATTTTTTCGAAATCATCTTCTCCATGTCCACCACTGCGTCGCGCACCTGCGGACAGTAGTGATGTCGCAGGAGCTCTCCTTCCCATACCGTTCCGGCAAATACGTTTGTGGCCTCAACTTCCTGCGCGTAGGGGTTGAAGACGCCGTCGCCCTTGCGTTCTTCGCTGTGCCAGAGCGGCGAGATCCGGCGCGCGTGATGCTTGGCGACCTGGTTTAGGAGCGCCAAGGTCGCGATGGCGGACTTCTCGGGGACTTGGAGAGACGTGGTCATGAGGCGTTTAGTAAAGCTGCCGAGTCGGACGGAGGGCGGGATGCCGTGGGCGCGAGAAAGTAAGGTGGAGGAGATGCAGCGGAGGAGGAGGACGGTGGGAGTCTGGAAGTTGACTTTGTTGCGGGACCGGCGGTTCGAGTAGTCGGGCATGTTGGGGTCGGGAAGGCGGAGGGATTTGTTGGGGTTGAATTCGATGTCGGGGTTGACGGAGAGAGAGTAGAGACAGCGGTAGAGCTGCTTGATGAAGAAACTCAGGTCCAGATGCAGCGTGGCAGCGGCCTTGCTGGCTTCCTGCCCTTCCAGGAGCGCAAAGGCTGTGACGGTGCAGAGAAGGGCTTCTCGCTGGGCGTCTCGCGTTGTCGTCTCATCCTCTGCGTCGTCGACATCGGCGTCTTCGTCCTCTCCTTCCATTTCGCTCTTATCCGCGTGTCCGATGAGTTCCTTCAGGGCTTCGAGCAAGTCGCCAAAGAAGTCTTGGTTGATCAGGTGGGCGTATTTGGCGAGACCTTCAAGAACCGGGCCCATCAGGTTAGGGATACGGAGCTTCAAAATCCGGAAGTATATTCCGAACACCAATTTCAAGGTCTCGGCCTGGTTCTTGTCCCTCTCCTCATGAGAAACCAACGCATCCGCCTGCTTCATATCCTTCTCCACGGCCTTCCGCTCCTTTTCTAGCTTGCGATCGCGCTTGGTGCGGAATTCCTTCTTCTGCTTGGGCTTCTTGCCGCGGAAGTTGTTCTCTTCGTCCTCGCCGCGGTCGACTCTGTCTCGGGACGCCTTGGAGGAGAACTCGCCTAGCAAGCGCAGGTGGAGGAATGTGTCCAGAACGCTTTCTTGAATGTTGTAGTCCCTAGCTTTCATCATCTTCGACAGCATGCGCACGGTTTCGAGGGAAACGATTCCGTCGTCGTCTCGGTGGAATACATCTTCGAGTGTCTCGCGGCACTTGATGAAGTCGTCGTCGACCTTCTTCCGGGCAAGGCGGTTGATCAGAATCTTCAATAGCTCAGTCCGGAAGTTGAAATGCGGCACGGAAAGTATCAGGTTGCATGCGCAGTTGATGGCAATACTTTTGAGGCCGGGATCCACCTCGGCCTGGCCTCTTTTAACGGGCTTGGTGAGATCCAACAGCGTGTGCACGTAGTGCTTGTACCCCGACACAAGGGTCTGCTCGAAGTTGCGGAGTTTGCGCACGTCCTTGGAGATCTTGCCGGACATCTCTTCTTCGCTGAGAGGGCGGATACGGTACCCGGGGATGATATCCTTATAGATGGCGGCCTGTGCGGCCAGAGCCAATTTCTTGATCGCGACGTGCGAACCCTTCTCCACCATTTCCGACATTGTTTTGAACGAGTTGAGATGCTCCTCGGGGTCCTCGTTGATAAGCGTGGCAGCCTTTGCGATTTCTTCCTTCGCTTGGATAATCTGTAGTTTCAAGGGAATCTTGGGCTTCTCCTCCTGGGGTTCTTCTTCCTCAATCCCTTCGTCGGCATCCGGTAGCTCGTCGTCGTCGTCATCGGTCCCCAGGAAGCTGTCAGACTCTTCAGCAGGCTCGGGCTCTGCCTCCTCGACATTCTGGAAACCTTCAGCCGTTTTGATCGGTAACCGCGTTCGCTCCTTGTCCTTTTTGCCCATCTTGCGCGGACGGCGCTCATAATCCTGTTCGAGGTCCCATTCTGCGGCGCTGCTGTAGAAGTCTTTCTTGGCTTGCGAGCCGCTGCCCTCATCGGCAGGAGGACTGACGCGTCTTCTCTTCGTTGTGCGACTCGGGGCCATCTTGAATTTGATTCTCCGGAAATTGACGAATTCGAGATGGTTGGGACGAGGTGATTCTTCCTGGCGGTCCGAAACTTTTTTTTTTCTGCGCGGGTGCCAAGACCTGCCGGCGCTAAAGCATCTCCACTCCGTCTAGAGTTTTTGTCCGCGGAGCTTTTTTCTCTCATCAGAGAAAAAAAAAGTTATCCTGTCAATCACGACTTGAATAGCACACCTCACCGCTATCAAAATGCGTCAATTAACAGAGGAAGAGTTGAAGACCATGCTGGGCAAGCTGGCCATCTACACCGGTCGCTCATTGAACAACCTCATCACCTCCGAAGACGAGGGCGATCGATACGTTTTCCGACTGCACGGCAACCGCGTCTATTATATGAGACTGTCGCTGGCCAACCTGGCGACGTCGATTCCTCGCGCGAACCTCTTGACCGTCGGAACCTGCATGGGCAAATTCACCAAGACGGGCAAATTCCGCGTCCACCTCACGGCCCTCGATATCATTGCGCCGCACGCCCGCTACAAGGTCTGGATCCGCGACAACGGCCAGATGCCCTTCCTGTACGGCTCGAGTGTGCTCGGTGCGCACGTTGGACGATGGAGCGAGGATATTCCGGAGCATCAGGGTGTGGTGGTCTACAACATGGACGATACTCCTTTGGTAAGATCTTGGGTTCCGGGCGGTTGGACTGCCCAGTGCTAACGGTCCCAGGGCTTTGGAGTCACCGCGCGATCCACGGCAGAGTTGAAGAAACTGGCCCCTACATCGATTGCTGTGCATCGGCAATCTGACCTGGGCGAGTATCTCAGAGAGGTAAGACGATCATTTCGGCGCTGCGGCGGCTCATGAATTGGCTTTGATACTGACAAGCTTCTAGGAAGATACCCTGTTCACGACATAGGAGGAATGAGGTGGATTGGCAAGACAGAGCATGGGGTTCGGAGGCTAGATACCTGGGGATTCTGTCGGAGTTTTGGAGTCGTCTATCTGTTCAGCTAAAAGTGTCTCTTGTCTGGATTTGAAATTGAGTCTCTAGATTAAGGATTCCTATTAGATATGGAACCATCAATATTTGTTTGAATGCCTGGATACTATATCTCACCTGTGCTTCCAGCTTACTTCCGGTGGATTGCTGTTTATCAGGATACTGGAGGAAAGATTCCGGATATACCATGAGGCACGTGACACTGCCAGACCCCCAATCAATCCAGCATACATAATGGTGCAGCATGTGCATGGCTGGTAGCAATGAATTAAATAGAACCCTCTTCTTAATTGTGTGATATTCCTGTAAAACAGCCACGGCACCTACCAGTCTATACACGACGGCATAACCGCCCAACACTAAACGGCAACTGCGGGGCACGTGCAGGGACGATCAGTCAGCGGCCAGGCCCAACTTTGCCTCAAATCAAATCAGATCAGATATACTGGACTCTCCAGTCTTGACGACCTACTTTCGTTTCAGAAACCTTTGTTCCCGGACTAAATCACCGGTCCATCTATCCATCCTCTCATTCCTTGAATTCAGTCCCATCCCCCAGCTTCACCTTTTCCCATCATCCGCAGCGTATCGCAGGCGCCGGCCTGTTTCTCTCACCCCGCCATGCCTCCATACTCCAGCGCGCAGAAGCAACAGATCGCGCAGTTCATGGGCTTCACACAGGCCAAGGATACAGTAGCTGCCAAGGTCAGTGATTTCCCGTGTTTTCTTCTCCCACAGATCTTGTAATCCTATTTTCTCGCCCGGTTTATCATCATGTCACGTGAACCAGGCACATCCAATATCACTCACTGACGTCTGATGTTTGGCTAGTTCCTGAAATCGGCAAGATGGAATGTCGAAGAAGCAATTGATGCGTGAGTAGATACTTTCTTTGACTGTCTCGCTTTCGCTGTCTATCTTTATGTCTTGGCACTGGGTTCGGACCATCCTCTCTCAGTTGGTGGCTATTGCTTTTCGCAATATGTAGAGTTCAAGGATTCATTCCCTCTTGGACAATTGAATTTGGAATCCTCGTTTCGATATTGTCGAGGCTGGTTGATCGCCATGCGTCAGCCATGTGGCTGTGGTCTGTTGATATGATGGCGGCTCTGCTCCGCCTCTCCCATTAGACAAGAGCCGAAGTGACTGTTGCCTTCTGCATACTTGCTGTCCAACTGTGGTTATGGCAAGACATGATCCTTTGCTTCAGACGTGGAGCCTGTGCGACTCGCCGTGAAGGTGATCATTGCAACGCCGAAGCTATCAAGTGATGGCTAATTCCGGCTACGATCAGATTGGATAAGTAGCATCCTGGAGTATGAATCATACTCCAGATGCCATCTTTCATCCACCGAACCAGGATTCTTTGCGGCCTTGCCTAGTCTCTAATGGGATGGAATATCTCCTATGCCATATATACACATTTTCTAAGATCTACCAGCCGAGATGAGGGAGACATAGATATCCCTGATCCATCACTATTCATGATGGCCCCACAGCATCAAACTCTTATCTTGCCTTTCTCTCCCTATCAACGACGTTAAACACACTTCGCATCAATTCTCCAAATCATACCAGCTAACGCAAGACCAGATACTTCCAGAGCCCCCAAGGAGGTGGTGCCAGCACCTCTGCTATTAACAAAATCTTCGACAGCTACCGAGGCAAGTCCAGTTGGAACCCCCTATCATCGCTCAACTCAACCAGCAAAGAAGACTAACAGCCCACAGACGAACCGGCCGAAAGCCCTGACACCATCGGCATCGATGGCGCGATGAAGTTCTTCGGTGATATCCAGGTGCAGCTGGACGAGGTGACTTGTCTGGGGATCGCCGAGCTCCTTAAATCGCCTTCTATGGGAGAGTTTACTCGAGAGGGCTTCTTGAATGGATGGAGAGCTGTCGGGTATGTATACTCTCCTTCTACGTACCCTCCTCAGATGTTATATTTTGTTCTATACTATCTTATCCAACAACCCTTCCAACCAAACTAACGCACCTTTAGCTGCGACACGCTCGACAAAATGACCACCCACGCATCCGACATCCGCGCCCGCATCCCCACCCAACCGGACCTCTTCCGACGGGTATACCGCTACACGTTCCCGCTCTGCCGCATGCAAGGCCAACGCAACCTACCATTCGAAATCGCCGCCGAGCAATGGAGCCTGTTCTTCACGCCGTCGAACGGCGGCATCGAATGGAACACGGCGACCACGCCGTGGCTAGACTGGTGGGTTGAGTTCCTGGAAGAGCGCGGCAAGAAGCCCGTCAACAAGGACCTGTGGGAGCAAGTGGAGGTGTTTATGCGGAAGACGCGTGAGGATGAGGCCTTTGGGTGGTGGCGCGAGGATGGGGCGTGGCCTGGCGCGTTGGATGAGTTTGTGGCGTGGGTGGGGAAGAAGAGGGACGGGGGGATGGAGGTTGAGTAATTCGGTTTCTCTGTCTTCGAGCTCTCTCCCTAGCGAATCAATCTGTTACCTACTACCTAGTTGGGTGAGTGGGTATCTTTGACGGGAGGGAGTAGTCAGTTGAGTCAATTATCATACTAGCTGGCTACCTGCTATGTGTGCATGTAGTCGGGTGGGATGGTTGAGATCACAAGAGCCGAGTATGGTTAACCACGAGGGATTGGGAAATGCATCAGGATGAATAGATGATATGTGTTCCATTCACTTTCTAAAACTTTCCAGCATAAGCCTGATAGTAAGATTCCCTCGTAATGCCCTACAAACTCTACTATTACTACAAGACAACTTCCACCAAGCAGTCCCAAATCTCGATCACTGTACGCTACCACTAGTAAATCCGATACAAAGATCTGAATATTTGGCATTTCGACAATATAAAAGGCGACATTATAAACAATCGATTCTCAGGTATGTATATCGCCAAGATAGATAAATCCTCAGACAAAGGAGGCAAAAGGGTAGAATAGGATAAGAAAAAGCATACATCATAACAGTGAAACATCTCTTCATCTGAACAATCAGATACGGAAAGGAGACGAGATAGAGAAGAGGGGAAGGGGGAAGAGTGAAGATCTCCGGGCCGGATTAGGGTAGGGTAACAGGAAGGGAAAGGAAAAAAGAAACGAGATCAACACGGCGAGATGGTTTGTTCCAATGGCAGTCTAATTCTATGAGGTTTCGGACATCATAGGATTTAGACTGCTTTCTTCCGACAATTACTTTGAATTCGGTTTGGAAGATTGGACCGATCTACTAGCTGCTAGTTAAGTAGCAGCAGGTAGTTACACATCCACCTTATTTACCGGTATTCCTTGTCGTATTCGCTGCCGGGTCCGCCGGGCGCGCGGCGTTGGTCGTAGCGCTGATTCATCACACGTTAGCTATATGTTGTACGTCGAAAAGAAATCAACCTACCCGTCGCAGAGCCTCCAAGCGCTTCTTCTTCGTGTGGGTGTTGACGTAGGTTCCGATGATGAACCCGATGATGTTGAAGAACGGCACCCAGGTGTGCTCGGGCAGGAACTTTTGCGCGAAAGCCAGCGCAATGGGCGATGTCACCCAGCTGACCTTCATGACGGGCATGAAACCCGCGCGGACGGTAGCGCGGACCTGGTGCAGCGTGCGCGCGCCGGCAATGACGGCCATCGAGGTAAGGTAGACGGCATTTTGAATGGGGGAGACCTAGACTTATTAGTTTATCGCAGTTGACTCCAATCCAGACAGGGCAAGCATACCACCAGGTTGCTGACGAGAATCTGCAGCACCTTGGCCTTCAGGCTCGTCCGGCCGGCAAAGATCTTCTGAAGAATGCCAACGAGGAAGTGACCCAGCGGGGCACTGATGAACATTCCGTAGAGAAGCATCTTCGGCACGCGGGCGCTGAAGTAGTGTCCATGCTTGCTGACATCATGCGCGATCCACGAGGCCAGGATTTCTTGCAGACCCGAGAGAACACCCGATGTCAACATCTTGGTGCGCAGCGGGTTCGACTGCAATTGCCGGAGATAGAGCTGCAGCGAGGTCCAATCCCCAAGTCAGCGACACGGTCCGCGCCGGGCGGCAAGGTTGGGAATCATGATAGGTAAACATACAGCCAGATAGCCGGCCTCCGACTTCCCTCCGGTCAAGCGCTCGCCGACTTTATGCGCCAACTCCTTGGTGTCCTTGCGGAGCGATCGCGAGGCCTCATCTTCGAATTTGACGGACATGGTTGCGAATGATGGGAGGATGAAAGGATGAAAAGGAAGGGAGGATCTCGGAAGCGCGCGATAAGGTCAATTCAATTCGGGTACGAGTGGATCACGGCGAAACCCAGCAGCGAGCCTAGCTTTTATGCAAAAAGTAGGGGTTAGCGAGCGACTCGGCGTCGAAGAGTAAGAACAAGAATTCAGTGACCGACCAAGGGAGAGCCAAGTGTGGAGGGCGGCAATGATGGGTTGACGGGGAACAATGAATGGAATGGGGCACGACGGGGTTGGGTGAAGAGGTTAAGGTTGGAAAAGAGTCCCGCGAAGAAGGGAACAGGAGAAACAGGGGGGGGTCCGAAGTGGAGATGGTTTGTTTACCAAAGAGAGGAGGCTGGAAAGCGGATGGCAGAGGAAGAAGCTTACCGAGGTAGGATGACGGATGGGATGGGATGGGAATTGGGAATTAGGATGATGGATGAGGGGGGAAGGGGATTGTGGAGGAAGTGGGTGGATTAAATGAAAGAATGGAGAGACGCTTGGATTCCCAAAAGATCCGATGGAGAAGGGAGAGAGGATTAATATAGGACTAAAATTATGCAAGCAATGGATGGGAATTCCCAAGTGGAGGAGCTGAGATGAAAGAGAGAAAGAGAGAGGCAAAGTCCGACCGGCCACGACAGCCGGCACTTTCCCATGGGCGCTTCGTCCCGCGGCCTGCGCGTCCCGGCTTCGGTCACCTCCGATGCTTTCTCTGGGGGAGCAAATATCATGAATACTGATATTCTACCTGTGAAAGGATATCGATTTCAGATATACTCTATTGTTCATAGAATGGATTCGTCGTATCTAAACATTTCCCTTGAACCAATAACTAACAAGCATCACAGGCCAAAACAGTTGATGCAGGAGAGAGAAATGGGATTCAAGTACCTGGCTGCTGAGTCTTCTCTCATTTGCAATATCAAATATCAAATACCTATGTTGAAACCTCCTTGCATCAACATGGTTTTTGAAAAACAGTGTCCATGTTTATTCACCTCATTCCTATCGTCGAGGCGACTGACGACATAAGCGACCTCAGACAGAAAGTGTGAGGCAGATGCAAGTGAAAGTGAATGTATTCACTCTGTTATTTACCATCCTACAATGCATTGCTCTTTCAGCACTCTTTCCCTCATTACTCAGTTCATCTTTCCCCTCCCAACATCAGTAGCCCATTATGGTAGACGGCGAAGATGAAGCCAAACTGGCTGATGCCCCAAACCCTCCGATCTGGAGTCAACAATCGTCGGACTATTTTATCCCACAGCCTCACCTACAAGGCCTACCTGTCAGTCACCTCCCCTCTGCTCAGGAAAGTCCTTCCAGCCAGAATCCTAGCAAACCTCTTCCGCCGATTCCACCTCGCCAGCCATTCATCCGTCTACCGCTCTGCACGCACAGCGTGGTGGAACGACAGCATTGCGTAAACCCCTATGAGCAGTGTGAGTCTTGCGGCAGGATTCCTTTTCTCGGATGGTTCTTCGTCTGCGTCGAAGACACCTCGGGCTTCTCTGACCCGTTGGATCCTATCCGGGGCCCGTTTCTCAGTCCCTGGATCTTGAAAGCGATCGAAACCGGACAATACACGGAGGAAGAGCGAGAGGTGTTGATTCAGCAAAAGTTGCGCGTCCTGACAATGGCCGACCTAGAACGAGCCCCGAGTCCTTCGATCTCCATGCTGGAGGCCGAGTACGGGGCTGAAGAGCCTGCCATGCAGCAGACCGCATCTTCTCCTGCAAGCCCAGGCGCATCAATGACCGACTTGTTCCCGCATCCGCTCCCACCGCTGCCGTGCATTCTTAGAGCCTGTCGTCACTGCGAGCGTCGGTTTGCCAATCTGGAAGAGCGCTCCTGGGGCAGCATCAACGAAATTTGCAACGATCCCGCCATCGGGCCTCCAGCTGCGTTCGAGCTGGCAGGTAGACCGGTCTCTGATGCCAGTATCGTTCGGAACTTGGGTTGGCGTTCGGCTGCGGTTCCTGTCCCCACGGCCGAGACATCTGAAGACTGCGCGGAGGACAGCGGACAGGAAGGCCTGGGCAGTGTATTTGATTTTCAGATCGATCTCACCGGAGACGACTTGTCTAGTCTCGTCGACCAAGCATTGGATATTGTGGGAAAGGGTGGCATCAAACAGGATGAATCTGCCGACATTGACGCCGACGAATCGATTTCAAATATCCTTTTCGGAGTGGAAATCGACGATGAATCAGAACTTGGTGGCGATAAAGAAGCCTATGGAGGAGTGCCACTGCGGTAATTCCCTTTGTTCATCAGGGCAACGTTTAGTGACGCAACTCTAGATTGGACTAGAAGGTGGCCAGAAGATGAACGAGAGAAACCCCCTTCTTAGAACAGGGTTATACAAGAAGGCAGGTTGCAGGCTGTTCCTACCCACCCGCCAATTTACAGGGCTTGAATAGATGGATCTAGGCCTCCTTTTGTGTCACCATCCAGGCATTGTTGGTTCCGTCCTCTGTTGGTGCATGGATGGACAGATATCATAGCGTACACACGACTTCTGGTTTGATTCTCGTCGTCCGTCCCGTGAATTGTACAATTAGCATGCTTTCAATTAATTGCAACCATGAATGAGACTTATGCGATCTTTTGACAGCCTGATTTCGTATAGTATAGCACCTAGGCTCCTTCCAAGACCGTCGTCAAACTCGTGGCTTGGAACGCGCCAGGGATTGAGCGACGTTTGTCGGACAATGAAACAAAGGCCTACTTGATGAAAAGGTCGAGTATGCTCCGTCAAAGTGAGTCCACAAAATGGTGAGTATCTCCCAGCGGAGCATGAAGGAAAGGAAAGATAGATCAAATCCCAGTATGTATAATACTAAAGTCTGTTGGCGTTATTCGGCAAGATCGGGGATATATATTTCGAACCTCCCTTCGCAATTTAGGACCGCCATCCATGCAAGTGGAGTGAAATGCTCAACATTTCGGAGCAAGCCAAACCCGTGCGTGGATTGATCAACATCGGCAGGCAGCTTCTTACGTGAAAGAAAAGAAACTGGAGCCCTAAAGTGCCAACCGGTGACGCTCGCTCCGGTGCGATTGTCGGCGGCCTCGTGGCTTCCTCCCCCACCAGAGCGATTTCGACCTATCCGACGGCGAGACAGGCCTACTCGGTGTAGATTGATAATATGCCGATTCATTGTGTACCTGACCGCACCTGTCAGACGTTGTACAGTAACCACACCTCAGTCGTGGCGGGCCAGTCGGGCAGGTGGAATTCCGAACCTCGGCATCTGAACTGCTCTGAACCACGCGCAAATGCGCCAACCCGCCGATCAAATGCGCCGCATGATCTCTCCTTAAATACTCCGTAGGCGCTCGTACGCTTTTACCACCACGCCTTTTGCGGTTTGTTGGAACCCGCTCGCAAGACTGTCACCGCACACTCGCCATGGCCGACTCTCAGCCCGACGTGGGGAAGTCGGACAGCCCCGCGACATCACCATCACCACCACCTTCGTCTTCGGTTGCTCGACGTCAGCTGCTGGCAGCTCTCAGGACCGCAGACCTCCTTGTTGGTCGTTTAGACCGGTAGGCTATCACTTCATAGCGATCGTGGGATCACAAACTAATGCTCTCTCGTCTTTAAGGCTCGCGTCCACAGCCGACGGTCAGGAACGAATTTTCGCCGTAACCGGCTACCTCACCCATGTCCTCCATCACCTCCTCTCCTCGGCGCCATGGATCGCTGCACAGACACGCTTGAGTCTCCTCGCCCGGCTACGACCCGGGGCTAAACCTGCCCCTCCGAAGTCTCCCTCGTCCGAGTCGCGCCTGCTCGCCCTCTCCTCGCTGATGTCCGAGACCCGCTATACCATCCGACTCCTGGGTCTCATTCCCCTCTGGACCTGGGGTTCCGCAACGATCAAATCGCCTCCTTCAGATCGCACAATCTACACCCTGACCCTGTTACAAGTATTCGTGAATGTGATCTACCAAGCCCTCGAGAACGGCGCCTACCTGGCGAACAAGGGCATCATTTCGAAGCGGTTCGTCGACCGATGGGGCGGACCCGCCAAATGGGATCTATGGAGCATCCGCGCCTGGTTCGGACACATCTTCCTCCAGTTCTTCGTGCTGTGGCGGAAGCGCGTCTTGCTGAAGAAGAAGGCCGCGGATCCGTCGGCGCAGACTAAGGAGGGCCGCGACGCCGTGAGCGCCGAGACGCGAGCCTGGAAGAAGAGTCTGCTGAACAACATATGCTGGGCCCCCGTGTGTCTTCACTGGTGCTTTGAAAAGGGCATCGGCTTCCCGGACAATCTGACCGGCCTGGTGAGCTTCATGGCAGGGGCTTGGGGCGTGTCGGACATGTGGGCGGCGACGGCATAAATCTTGATATGTACGTGGGAGCAGAGAGCATGGGTCGGGGCGTGTATATAGAACATCACGGTAATCTGAAATGGTTTGTTCATCTATTCAAGTGGATTGGACTTTGCGTTGTATTTGCTCTAGACATTGTGCGGAAGGGGGTTTGATTCTGATACCAGGGAATACTCTGGGTCACATCCTAGCCTGAGGATAAAATCGCTGTGTTTTTTCTTCGCCTTTCGTTCCACCATTGCGACGTGCTCTGTCACAGTCGCCCATTCTGCATCAACTTAAAGAGCCCGGACCTTGTCATCCATCATCAAACGCCATCGGAAACCGTCGATGGCTGGTCCCTGCTGCCCAAAGCCTGTCTACGCTGCGACGCCACAATCTGTTCATAAAACGGCTCTTTCAAAAAGCCATTCACTGCCCATCTCGAGCTCTCTACGGGGATCAACCCATCCGCGGACCCCGTCCACGCAAACGCACCCGCATCCACGGTCCTGACGCTCCGAACCTCATGCCCCTCGAGCTTCTCAATCATTTGAATTCGCACCTGCAAGCTCACCAAATCCATCAACCCGCCCTCGACTTCGTAAATCGCGTTGCGCTGCTTCTCGTCCAGCCCGAGCACCAGCATCCCCTCTACGACCGAGCCAGGTTCGCCGCACGGCCGCAGAACTGGGGTGCTGGTGCTCGAAAATTGATACAGCTTGTACCCCGGGACCGTGGCGCGTGTCATGCGCTCGTGGATCCTGACGGCCTGGCTCTCGTTGATGAAATACTTCAGCACGGTGGGCAGCATGAGGGCCCCGTAGACGAAGCGTGGCGCGCAGCCGGGTCGTTCGAGGAGTCGGGTGAGTTCGTCCTCGCTGAAGGTGTTGGTGACGGCGTCTTGGTAGTCTTGTGGGTGCCATTCCTGGGAAGTCATCTCTGGGGTGGATTGCTCAGATGGTTGGTCTGGATATCGCAACTTTCGGGTGGGTTGGCGTGCTTGAGATCGTGGAGATGGGGTCGTTATATGTCTGGGCTTGGGGTTAATGATGTTGTTTGATATGAAAGCACGATTTGAAGGCGATGGAGGGATAGCTTTCGAATATCAAGCTCTTGTACTTGCCTCTTGCTTCTCCCCAACCGGCAGTAGGTGTATGTCAGCTCAGGGACACACGGCACCGGGCAACTGGGTAGATAGACGTGAGACCACATGCGGTTGAGATTCTGTTCTGTTTATAGGTAACCGCTTTCTGATCACGGAGAAGGTGATGGATGTGACAATCTGCCTCGGGAGGCTAAAGATGCTATACAGTAAGTTACTTAAGACTTCCCTCTGTCGTCAGAATGACCCCCAGATGACTACGGCGCAGTTTACATCCCCCCACTGGCTAAAGTGTGGATGGCTAATGAAAGCGTTTGATATGCGCAGCCTCATTCACCTTTTTGTTGAGAGGGTGATTTGAGGCTGTAGCCTAATAGGCCTTTCTCTGCCTGGGTTTTTCACCCTGTATGGACCGGGCGCTTACATGATTGCACTTATCTTTTCGTTTGCTTTTATTGATAGATGTAACTGGTATTAAAGTGTTTGCTGCGAGCCACGGGCTCAGTCTGATAATGAAAAACTGGCCATTTCCGTCTCCTTTCCGAACAATGGGCACAAATGAATCCCCAACGCGGTGGCATAATTTACGGATTCCACGTTGCAAGAGGCAGTATACGTAGTAGCTCAACCGGGTCTGGATGACAACATTGATTGGCCGTCGATCATGTTCTCACCATGTGCTTTTCTCTAATTGGCTTTGATATGCATGTGAACTGGGGAGCATCCACTTTGTGCCTAGCTTGTCACGGTGGTGACGATTATGGGATACTGCAGAACAGAAGGATGAAAGACGAATATCTCAAATGAAGTTCTTTTTGTATAAATGAGATCATCTCTCATCCGTACCGGTGAAAGTTAGTCCGTAGCATCAGCGTAAAAGCACGGTGGATAGGTGGAGTAACTAGAGCCCCCAGAAAGGGCAATCTGATACCCCTTCGAGAAGCCGATTAAATCAGAGACAGAGACTAAGTTTCAAGTCTCCACTCTGGAAAGCATTGAGCCTTGGACGCCAAACAGGATGAGCTGGTCCTGGGTTCCAGGACTGTCCGGTGGAATGTTGATGCCTCAGGCAGCCAGGTATTGGCCAAGGTCGCGGTGCCTGAACTCACGCAAGCAGCAGTCTAGTGCGGAGTGAGGTCAGCAAGGGGTCTGATCGGAAGACAGTAAGATAAGGAAGATGCAGTATGTCTCGTGGAAAGCATTGCGATGAGAAAGCGACGAGGTGATGATCTGGTGGATACGACCGGCTTCCATGCGCTTCTCTCCGCCCAAGCGGTGGCGGCAACCGGACAAATCCAGTGTGACGGAGGATCCTCAGGCATGGCAGCTTAAGTCATCAGCCCCGGCAGGCACTGGCTCTATCGTCACCTCTTAACGGAAGCTGTTTCTCGTCACCCTCCGATCTCACTTCCATCTCCCTCTCTCTCTACTTTACCTTCCCCCCCTCCCCTCCCCTCATCTTAACCAATTTACCTCGTCCACCCAGACCTTCATCGCGTCTGCTGGATTCTTACTTCCCTTTCAACTTTCATCCATCTCCTTTGATTCTCCCACATCCCTGTCGCCGGGTTCGTCAACTCCATCCCAGCGACGTCCGTTAAGCCTACGTTGCTTCAAGAGCTTACCAGATTCGTCTTCCATCTCTTCCAGACTTCAAAATGAGCACGGAGCCGGATCACACCCACGACAAGAAGAGGGTCAACCTCAAGTATGTTTGAAGGATCCTGTTTTAGGCGGCGAGAAGACAAGCTAACCGTTCACCCAGCGACGCCTCTGGCGCCGAGAAGAAAGAGGTAAATATCTCATCGGGATAGATACGGCTCTCCAAGGTCAAATATACTGATCTATTCTTTCTATCACAGGAACTCGACACCTCGACAGCTATCCTCAAGAAGAAGAAGAAGCCCAACTCGTTGATGTAGGTGGCCACCGTGATGAAAGTGGGCCTTTTGTTCGATTTCCTCATACTGACCTGGCAACCCATTTAGTGTGACCGATGCCGTCAACGATGACAACTCCGTCATTGCCCTCTCCAACAACACCATGGATACCCTTCAGCTCTTCCGAGGTGACACAGTCTTGGTCAAGGGCAAGAAGCGGAAAGACACCGTTCTGATTGTGCTGGCGGACGATGATCTCGATGACGGAAGTGCTCGTATCAACCGTGTCGTTCGTCACAACCTCCGCGTCAAGCATGGCGATATCATCACCGTTCACCCTTGCCCTGATATCAAATATGTAAGTTTCTCCCCCACCAAGGTCCTCGTTTGTGTCCCCACTCGAGCTTGTTATTAATACTCGCTCTCTGCGATCTAGGCCAAGCGGATTGCTGTTCTCCCCATCGCAGACACCGTTGAGGGTCTCACCGGATCTCTCTTCGATGTTTACCTCGCCCCCTACTTCCGCGAAGCCTACCGACCCGTGAGACAGGGAGACTTGTTCACGGTACGAGGTGGTATGAGACAGGTGGAATTCAAGGTCGTCGAGGTGGATCCCCCAGAGTACGGTATTGTTGCGCAGGACACCATCATCCACTGCGAGGGTGAGCCCATCCAGCGAGAGGACGAGGAGGGTAACCTCAACGAGGTTGGTTACGATGACATTGGTGGTTGCCGCAAGCAGATGGCTCAGATCCGTGAGTTGGTCGAGCTGCCCCTGCGTCATCCCCAGCTTTTCAAGTCTATCGGTATCAAGCCCCCTCGTGGTATCCTCATGTACGGTCCTCCTGGTACCGGTAAGACTCTGATGGCTCGTGCCGTGGCCAACGAGACCGGTGCCTTCTTCTTCTTGATCAACGGTCCCGAGATCATGTCCAAGATGGCCGGTGAATCCGAGTCCAACCTGCGCAAGGCTTTCGAGGAGGCTGAGAAGAACTCCCCCGCCATCATCTTCATCGACGAAATCGATTCCATCGCCCCCAAGCGTGAGAAGACCAACGGAGAGGTCGAGCGCCGTGTCGTCTCCCAGCTCCTGACTCTCATGGACGGCATGAAGGCTCGCTCCAACGTGGTCGTCATGGCTGCCACCAACCGGCCCAACTCGATTGACCCCGCCCTGCGTCGTTTCGGCCGTTTCGATCGTGAAGTCGATATCGGTATCCCTGACCCCACCGGTCGTCTCGAGATCATGCAGATCCACACCAAGAACATGAAGCTCGGAGAGGATGTGGACCTGGAGACCATCGCTGCCGATACCCACGGTTACGTCGGTTCTGATCTTGCCTCTCTCTGCTCCGAAGCCGCCATGCAGCAGATCCGTGAGAAGATGGATCTGATCGATCTTGACGAGGACACCATCGAGGCTGAGGTGCTCGACTCGCTGGGTGTTACCATGGAGAACTTCCGCTACGCTCTTGGTGTCTCCAACCCCTCCGCTCTGCGCGAGGTTGCCGTCGTCGAGGTTCCCAACGTTCGCTGGGAGGACATTGGTGGTCTGGAGGAGGTCAAGCGCGAGCTCATCGAGAGCGTCCAGTACCCCGTGGACCACCCCGAAAAGTTCCAGAAGTTCGGTCTTTCGCCCTCTCGAGGTGTGCTGTTCTATGGTCCCCCCGGTACTGGTAAGACCATGCTTGCCAAGGCCGTCGCCAACGAGTGCGCTGCCAACTTCATCTCCGTCAAGGGTCCCGAGCTGCTCAGTATGTGGTTCGGTGAGTCTGAGAGCAACATTCGGGACATCTTCGACAAGGCTCGTGCCGCCGCTCCTTGCGTCGTTTTCCTTGACGAGTTGGACTCGATTGCCAAGTCCCGTGGTGGATCTGTCGGCGATGCTGGTGGTGCTTCGGACCGTGTTGTCAACCAGCTCCTGACCGGTACGTTTTCAATTATCCCCTTTGCATCATTTCTACCATGCTAACGTCTTTGTCTCTTAGAAATGGATGGTATGACCTCGAAGAAGAACGTCTTCGTTATTGGTGCCACGAATCGACCTGAGCAGCTGGATGCCGCTCTTGTTCGTCCTGGTCGTCTTGACACCCTGGTCTACGTTCCTCTGCCCGACCAGGCTTCCCGTGAGGGTATCCTCAAGGCTCAGCTCCGTAAGACCCCCGTCGCCGGCGATATCGACATGTCCTTCATCGCCAGCAAGACGCACGGTTTCTCCGGTGCCGATCTTGGCTTCGTTACCCAGCGGGCGGTCAAGCTTGCCATCAAGCAGTCGATCTCTGCCGATATCGAACGCCAGAAGCAGCGTGAGGCCAACGGCGAGGATGTCAAGATGGATGAGGACGAGGATCTGGACGAGGAGGACCCCGTGCCCGAGCTGACCCGCGCTCACTTCGAGGAGGCCATGAAGTCGGCTCGCCGGTCCGTCAGCGACGTGGAGATCCGCCGGTACGAGGCTTTCGCGCAGAGCCTGAAGAACTCGGGAGGCAGCAGCTTCTTCCGCTTCCCGTCTGCCGGTGAAGTCGAGGACAACAACACGTTCGGTGAAGCCGGCAATGACGACAGCCTCTACGATTAAATTTAGTGTTTCTATTTGTCTCTGAATCAATTTCACTTTTTCATGTCCTTTAATGTGTCCATAGTTTGCTACCTATCTATCTACCGGCACTAGTTAGATCTAGCGAGATGGCCTGACAGGTGTTTGATGAAGACTACGGGAATGTTCCTTGGTTCTGGTCTCTCCATTCTCTTTCATTCTGGATGGGATTGATTATATCGTATGTTTTTATTACCTACACTTGTGTTATGTTATAAGAGGTCATTGCCTTGATAATCAATCAACCTTGTATCTTGTCTACTGTATGTCCAAAGTAGCAAATAGGTATATGTATTCAAACGTAGTAGGTTTTCTTTGAAATTATTAGAAGTACTCTTTCTACCTGGGTCATGTCCTAAGGTAGGTAGATAGATTAACTATGTATGAAGGTGCCGGTCCAGTCTTCCACATCGATGGGATATTCTGTTGTACAGCAAGGAATAAGGACATGATTCATAGAATGGATGAAATATGACAGGACAGGCAAGATAGCAAGAAGAGAGTAAATGGCAGTGAAATGAAGACAGAAGGAAACAAACAGCACGGTGAACAACGGTTTAAGGTATCAAGAACTGGTAAGCAGGCATACAATGGATGCATAAGGGAAGAAAGAACCGAGAAACGCCTCTGAAGATATCCATAAATCAATGACGGGGAGCATCAGGAGAAAGGAAAAAATGAGAAAGGGAGGAAAGTGCGCAGAAGAGGAAAAAAGACCGAATAACTGAAAGAAGAGAAGAAAAGGTCCTACTTCCCCTTCCCGGGTTTCGGCTTCTTCTCCGTCTTCTTAACGGGACTTGTATCACCGTTCTTGAGCCCATCTTGTCCGGCCTTGGTCGAGACCTTGGACGACGACTTCTCCGTCGCACCACTGTGTTTTCCTTTCTCCTTCTCCTTGGCATCCTTACTACTGTCCTTGTCCTTCTCAGTGCCGTTGCTCTGCTGCCTCTGCCCCATCCCCTCCCCAGAATCATTCTCCTCCTCCAAAACCACCACCTCTCTCAGAACCTCCTTGATCGCACGAACCCCCTGCTCCACCACCTCCGAGGGAATGCGCACATCCAGATTCCTCAGCGCCGCCGTCTCCCCGCCGTCGATGCCCCCCTCGTCGGCCTCGAGATTCGAGTTCGTGTGAGCGTCCTCCCCCCACAGCGCATGACCCCGTCCCTCGGCGGACGCGACCACCGCTTCCACGACCTCGTCGAACCGATCGCAGCGTCCGGCGCGCAGTAGCTCGAGCGACAGTTTGCGGATCTTTTCGGTCCAGCCCATTCGTTGGAGGGAGCAGAGGAGTGTCGAGTGGAGGTCTTCGAGAGCTGTGCTGGAGGCGAGGTGTGCGAGGAGGTCCGATTCGAGGGTTTCTGGGGTGATGGTTGAGATGGAGGGTGAGGAGGGGCTGGTTGATGAGGAGGGCATTTTTTGATTTGAGGTGTCGGTTTTTTGGGGGGCGGTTCTGGTATGGGTTTGGAGGGTGTGGTTTTCGAAGAGCGATTGCTGATTCAAGGTTATTTTGATTACGTAGAGAGGAGGAGAGGAGACAAGGAGAGGTGAGTGCTGGTGTTGGTTGGGTTAGTCGGTTGGTTGGTCGCGTCGGCGGCCGGAGATCTAGATTTTGTTCGTCGTCGTCCGGGGTTTTCCGATCGACTTGGGTTCGAGTAAGGGATTTGGTCGTTATTAGGGAAGAGGGCTCGGTAATGAGTGTATGCGACGCGCTTTAAATGCACAGTATGATCGAGTACGAAGAGAAGGAGGGGTGGCGTCGAACAGTCGAGGACCGCAAATGGATGGGTATAGTAAAGCGTAAGAATTGCGATCTGGTCGCGATCGATGGCGATTAGCTTGGTTCACGAAAGGGGGTGACGATGGAGCGTAGAGTTTCTCGTGGTTAGCTCGCAGAGGGATAAAAGACTTACCTGACAGGAGTTGGAGTTGAAGTGCGAATTGCGCAGGTCAGATGTGAGGAGAAAGAAGAGAGTTGAGTTGCTCGAGGAGAGCCAAGAGAGAGGGAGTGAGGGACCGCGGAGAAACAGAAATGGCCCGACCAGTTGTTGGAGGCACCAGATCGAGACGAGCGAACCACAAGAGAACTAACTGTGACATTCAATAGATGATTGTTCACCCAAGAAAATGAATGTGATGTGGTGAAGGGAAAATAGACAAAGTCATTGACAATCAATTATTCCTGGTGAAGTAATTCCCAATGCGGCGTCATCAATTGGGACGGACGACTTGATGAATTCGGTTTGAGGTTGCAATTATTGAGTCAATTGTTCAATTAAAATAGAGTAAGCTCGATCTAAGTAGAAATGGTACAATGATGCTATGAGAAGATTCTATTCTTTGGACAATGTAGAAATACCAAGCCGATACTATCTATATAGATGTAGTTGTGCCGCACAATCCATCTTTTGCCAAAACTAATAAATCGATTACAATAAAGGCGACATGCTATCAAAAATCGAGTCACCCTTTCACTGGCAGGTCACCTACTTTCTTCAACTGTGACTATGATTCCTTACTCGGTGTCGGTCTTGAAGAGCCATACTCCCCAGACACCACCAGCGTATTGACAAATCAGCGAGTCAATAATATTAATGCAAACGAGCAATTCGCAGAGGTGAGCACTATCCTGAAGGTTCTAGAGATTAGCCTCTCCCGACTAACCTCTTCTGGTCCCTCGAGGGCCCTGAAATCCGGGGATAGCCTTGTGTCACCGGAGACCTTGACGAGCGACGACCTTGCAGCCGGGATGCATCGAGGGGTCAGAGCTACGGGAAGTGAGACAATATTGACCACCAGGATTCTGAGTTGGCAGGATGAAAATAGCAACGCCAGTGCGAGATGGCCAACGCGCCCGTTGAGGCGGCGACTCCGAGCGAAGGGACGAACGTGCACGAGGGGCACAGACTACCAGACAGCCACATGCTAGCGCAACGGTCGTGACGAACAGGCAAGGACTTGCTTCGGAGGCAAGATGCGGCCGAAAATAGATCGTCCGGAGGGGATTGTCTGATGGTGGGGGTGAGTAAGGGATAGTCGGAGGAGTGGAACTACGGCAGAAGATGGAAAAATAACAAAAAAGCAATAAAGAAGAAAGAAGAAAAGAAGGATCAAGAAAAAGAGGAATAAGAAGAAAGGGGAAAGGATCAAAGGAAGACCGATAGAAGGCAACGACTCCGGGCCAAGACAAACAGGTGTGCGAGTCGTATAAGAATGAGAAGAAATATTGGCACGATGACGGCGGAGCATTTCCACACCCCGCCCAAAGAGTTAAAGGCTCCGGCGCTATTGGAAAGCTGACAGCGTTGTCCTTCAGAATGCTCTGCAGCGGAGATGATCGAGGCTAGCGGTTCAATAGTCCGGTTGACTATCTGGCTGCTAGTTCCCCCCCTGAGCTGATTCATGACATGGAGGATCCGATCGATTGGACGGATTAGTTCTGATGATTCTGATGAATTCTTCTAGTCCGAGGGACCTAGTGAACGACTCCGTACCTGTAGTTTTCTATAGTTGCCGTCCCTTACGAATCCTGCCAGGCTGGGGAGATGCAAGGCATTGGTGGCCGGTGACAATTCGGAGGGCGTCAATATTCCATAGTGGATCGTGAATAATACATAATGCCGGGAGGTCTCTTTCTGATGAAGAAGAAAAGAAGAACGAAGAAGATTGATGGTTGAAAAGTTGATAAAAGTTGATACCAGAAAAGCCAATCGAGTCCAGACCGGCGTCACGTGCGACGATCCGAACGAAGCGCCTCCATCTCCAGTCTCCATCCTCTTCTCTCTTTCCCTCCCTCCTCCTCGCCTTTCGCTCTCTTTTTCCCATCTCCATCTCGGTTGATATCTTGTCTGCAACGTCCATATCGCCTTCTTCGCGGTCGATTGTGTTTGCCTCGTCTCCGTCGGCCGCCCTCCCATCTCGCCCGGCCAGAATCCACGTCTGCCTGGAATCGCCCAGAACAGCTTCCCCGCTCTCCGGCCCGGTCGATTCGTTCCTCTCGGCCTTGTCTTTCTCGATCCGCGCCTTGTCTTGTTTATCCTCGCCTTCTTTTCGTCCTCTCGCCTCGTTCTATCGAATCTCGCAAAGTTGCAACCCCCCTCTCTATCCCAACCCTCGATTCGGTGCCTTCTCCGCATTCCTAGCGATCTCGGCTTCTCGTCCTTCAGGCGCCCGTCTTGCCTTGTCCCATGCGGCACGATTGCTTGGCTGAGAATCACTTTGTCGGCCTAAATCCAACTGGGTGTTCGCCGTTATAGATGGGATAATCTACAACCCACCGTTCTCCGTCTCTCGTTCTTAACATCTCGTCTCCTTCTCTCCCGTCCTTTGGACCCTGAACGCTCGAGCCGCGCCGACTGACCTCCACTGGACCGGGCCTCCACTCCATAACAATCTCCCTCTCCTCTCCTCTCTCTCTCCCCTCGTTTTCGAGTAAATCCTCCTCCCTATCACACATCCACCATGTCTCTTCACACCTCCTACCATGCCGATTCCGACGCGGACGACGAGTACGAGCGCAGCGTGATCACCTCCCCCCATTTGGCCACGGACTCGGAGGCCTCTCCGTCGGAGTCCGACTTCCCCTCTGCGGAGCATACGCCGACTTCCTACGCAAATGTCGAACACAACCCGCAATCTCCTCGGACGATCATCACCGAATGGACTGCCGAAGAGTGCGCCAGCTTCCTCGTCACTCTCGGACTTCGTCAATACTGCCCGGCGTTTCTAGGTGAGTTATCTTGGTCACCGGAAATAACTGTTTCAATCGCTTGACGGTCGCTGATAAATTGCATCGAATTGGTAGAAAATGAAATTGTGGGAGAAGCGCTGATCGCGTTGAAACATGATGAATTGAAGGAGATGGGTATCATCAGCGTGGGCCATCGCTTGACCATTCTGAAGAGTGTTTACGAGACCAAAGTCAAACAAGACATCCCGCTTGACGCAGATCATTATATTCCCCTCTGTAAGTCACCCCAAATAGCACCCACTTTCGTTCTCCTACTTACTCTGTCTTGCAGCGGCGGATCAAAGCATGAACGAGAATGCCTCTCAAGACGACGTTGCTCGTCTGATTCAATCCATTCGTCTACGAGATGAGCGGATCACGACCGTCGAATCCGAGATGCGACGCATTGCGGAGGAATACCGACGACTACGAGAAGAGCTTCTGCCTGTGTTTAAGATGGCTAAAGATCGGTCGCAGCCCCTGCCCCCTCCGTCCGCTATCCCCAGCTCCGGACCCGAAGGGCATCATGATAACCAACCGATCAGCTCCCCCTCCGGCATCACGCTGCTGGAACGGTCCGTGTCCGGCATTTCTCGCACCTTCTCCAAGCGGTTACACAACGGCGGCACCACGCCGAAAAACAACTCTCCTACCCACATCCCACCCTCGATTCACGAAAACCGGCCGTACAATGACCACGGCGCCTTGGACCCTTCGATGGCCGCCGTTTCCTCGTCGCACCTGAGCACGATGAACGGCAAATCCCAACTCTCCCCCGGCATTCCGTCTCCCACGTCGCCCGGTGGTCATTACGGCAATACACAAACGCTGGCCTCGCGGTCGTACACCCAGCCGAATACGACCAGCCGCAGTAACTTCGATCACTACGAAGAGAGCATGCCTACGCAGTCTCGACCCGATCGCTTGAATCCGACACCGACCCAAGCCACGCGCCCAGAGATCCCGACACGCTCCGACTCCCGAGCCGGTGGGGACCCTCCCAGCGTGGAGATCTTCAAGTCGTTCCGCGTTTCCATGGATGATCCCTGCCACAAAGTTCTACCGGCTGCCCTGAAAAAGTACAATATCAGCGCGGATTGGAGGCAGTATGCCCTATACATTGTATATGGTGACCAAGAACGGTGTCTCGCGCTGGACGAACGACCTCTCATTCTCTTCAAGCAGCTAGAAAGGGAAGGGCGCAAGCCGATGTTCATGTTACGCAAGCACCTACAACCTTTTGAGAACACCATGTACGCCGCGACGGGAGGAGCCTCAGCAGGCTCAGCGCCCAACAGCGCAGGGTTCGAAGGACGACAGGCCCAGATCAACCTTCCCGGTGGAGTTCTCTGAAGGCCGTTGGACTTTGCTATTGTTGTTGTTTAAAGAAAAGATACCCTTTTTACTCCATGCTTTTCTTTCATTTGCATTCTTCTCATTCAAGCAAGCCCTTGCTTCCTACCTGGTTTATTAACTATATTGATTATTATATAAGTGGGGGTGTTTGGTTACGGTGTTGGGAATTATAACGGACTGGAAAAGCAAAAATTCAGCGTCTGATTCTTTGGTTTCTCTTCATTTCGCTTCCTACCTTTTCTGTCTCTTTGGAATCATCTTCTACCCTGTTTATATTACTACCACTTTTGCCTTTCTCTTCTCTTCTCTTCAGGTTATTTTCCCATTCTATCTATCTTTCTATTTGATTTATTTATTATCTGTCTTTTCTCTTTTAGCGTCCTTGATCAGCATAATGAACATGACTGCATGCGTGGATTGAATGGAACTTATTGACTGGCATTTCTGCATTTGAATCACCTTGAACAACCTCTAGCTCTACCTAGTCAATGTGTCCTTGGGCATCCATTTACCACCTTTGAACCATCTATGCGATATTCGAAACCATCCAAAGCAGGCAGGTCGATCTAAACTAAGCAAGTATGTAGAAGAAAAGGAACCGACATCCTAATATTACAACCGCCCCTCCCACAACCACATCCCATGTCCCCTACCCAAGAAGAAAACATCAAACTCACACCACAGGATCATCCAACCTCTGAGCCTCACACATCTTCGCATACATCCCACCCCTGGCAACCAACTCATCATGCCCTCCTACTTCGACGACCTCGCCCGCATAGAACACAAAAATGCAATCCGCGTCTCGGACCGTCGACAACCGATGCGCCACCGTGATCGTGATCCTGTCTCTTGAGGACCCGGTCTCCATCAACGCCTTCTGTACCCGCTTCTCGGACTCCGTGTCTAGCGCACTCGTCGCCTCATCGAGTAGAAGGACCCGAGGTTGACGGATCAGGGCTCGCGCGATTGCGATTCGTTGTCTCTGTCCTCCGGATAGGAGATGGTTGCCGCCGCATGGTGTGTCTAGGCCTTCGGGGAGAGAGGTGATGAAGTCCCATAAGTTGGCGGAGAGGCAGGCTTCTTTTAGTTTCCTCTCTTCTTCACTTTCGCCTTTTCGGAATGAAGAAGACGACGACATTCCCCCACCGGTATCAAGATCCGGAACCCCCAGCAATATATTCTCACGAATCGTACCAGGAAAGAGCGTCGGTTCTTGTTGAACGAGGGATACCTGTCTGCGATAAAGGAGTGGGTTTAGCGATGACAATGGGCCTGAGGAGTCGATGGTGATGCTGCCGGTTGTCGGGTCGTAGAACCGCTCGAGGAGCGAGATCATGCTGCTTTTACCGCATCCTGAGGCGCCGACGAAGGCGATGAAGGTGCCGTGACGGATCTGTGGGTTTGGTTGGAGTGTGTTAGTTCCTTTTGTCTTTCCTAGGGGTAGGGTAGGAGGAAGAGGGTAGAAGGGGTAGGTATAGCGAAGAAGAGGTGAAGGAGGTGGCACTGACTGATAGAGACACGCCCTTGAGGACCTGCGTGTTTGGCGCCAGGGGGTACGAGAAATGCACGTCTTGGAAATCGTAGGAGCGACATCCGTAAGCTGGCCCTTCTTTGCGATTACCGTCTGTCTCACGAATGGTGCCCTCTAAGTCATCGAGCCAGAAATAGTAGTTAGCGGCTTGGTTTGCCTTGGTGAAGCCTGGAAATTTGGGAAGAAGCTGTCAGTATAAATATTTTCCTAGGCGTGCTTGAGCCTCTAGGAGCCCTGTACTCACTGCTGGCGAAGCTGAAAGCCAATGCGGTGGCTTGGCCGGAGAAGTAAACGCCCATGAACGATACGATGAACTGATAGAAGCTAATTTCTCCGTCGTTGATCAGCTTCGATCCCCACCTGTTTTTGTTCGAATCAGGTCAGTCAGTCGAGTCGATCGCTTATAGGAAAGTCTCGCAGAGAGTAGGAAACAAGAGGAAACTCACCAGAACCCCAAAGCCAGGACAAAGTACTCTACGGACTGGGTGAGCGAGAACCAGATCATCATGTGGAACATGGGCCAGCTGGTCTGGGAGATCGCGAGGTCGAGCTCGTCGACATATTTCCTCAGTACGGTATTCTCGATAGCGAGCGATGAGACGGTCCGGATGGCCATAATCGACTCCGATGCCACCGAGGCACTCGCCGACAGCCTCTGGCCCATTTCGTCGTCCATCTTGGTCTCGAGCTTGACGCGTGCGTAGCCGCCTAGGAGCATGGGCGGCAAGCCGGCGAAAACGCCCACTAGTCCGAGTTTCCAGGACACGGCGATCGCGAGGATGCTCGATGCGATGATGTTGATGGCGGACATGAGGATGATGGCGACCATGAATCCCATTAACTCTAGGATGGCCTGCGGATAGGAATCCAGCCGGCTGATGAGCGCGCCTACTGTGTTTTCGGGCCGGTCGAAGAACTGGAGGTCCTGTCTAAGGAAGGAGTCTAGGATTTCTCGTCGCATCTTCCTGCTGAGGGTCTAGGTTATGAGGCACTGAGGTCAGTATCGTATTACTGATCCTAGATTAGAGTTCTAGTTCCATGGAAGCTCTCACCTGTGCGATAGTATTCGTCGACCAGCCCATAATGAAGTATATAACCAGAATACCAAGCGACATGACGAAGAAGATTAACGCGATGAAGTTGCCGCGAGCGACCATGTCAGAAGAAGCAAAGACACTCAGGATATTGCCCAGCAAGAGGGCTTGCCCAGGGTTAACGGCAGCTGCAAGTGACAAGTGTGAGCAAGCGTAACGGCAGTGCCAGCCTCCACAGCGAGAGTTGGGGAGCCTTTCAAGATCACTTACCTCCTCCGATGCACGTGGCCACTGTGACCCCAAACCAAAGCCAAATCTCGGGCGTCGCTCTTAGAAGCTTCCAGATATTGCGAATAATGCCCGTCTTCTCGTAGAAGTCGTGGTCTTCCCGGTCTTTTCGTGCAGCCAGTCGGTTCGCCTCGGCCGTGCGGATCTTGACAAGAGGCTGAAGATCGTCTTCCTTTTCTGAAGTCTCGTCGTCCATGCTTGTGTCCTGCGAGCCATGGTTCTTCTCGACATTAATAGGTGCAAGGTTCTGGGCTTCGACGAGAGTGGCGTAAATGCCATTCCTAGACACCAGCTCTTCGTGACGTCCCTGTTCCATGATTTTACCCTTGGACATGACCACGATGTTATCTGCGTTACGAATGGTTGCGAGCTTGTGGGCGATGACGATGGTTGTTCGATTCGCGGAGGCGCTGTCGAGGGCCTTCTGGACAATGGCCTCGGCGTGTGGGTCAAGCGCGCTGGTCGCTTCGTCGAGGAGCAAGACCTTGGGCTCTGAGATGACGCTGCGAGCAATGGCAATTCGCTGCTTCTGTCCGCCCGATAGCAAGCTACCTCGTTCGCCGATGCGTGTGTCATATCCTTGGGGTAGGTTCTGGATAAAGTCGTGCGCGAAGGCGAGCTTGGCCGCCTCTTGGACGCGTTGCATTTGGTCTTCTTGCAACGCTGACTCCCATTTGGTGCCGACGAGGCCGTTGGCTATGTTTTCAAATACACTGCCATTGAAAAGTACCGGTCCCTGGACTTGTTAGGGATGTGTCATGCAAATCTGTGGTACGCATTTACCTGTTGAACAAGGCGGACGTTCGTCCGCAGCCATTGGAGGTTGATCTGACTGATATCTTTGCCATCTAAAAAGATGCTGCCTGCATTGGGGTTGTACCAACGTTCGAGCAGGCCGATTATGGTGCTTTTGCCTGAACCGGATGGGCCCTTTCTTTCGTTAGAGGCTTCTACAACAGAGACGATGGGACACTACTCACCACTAACGCCGTGACCTTGCCCGCCGGGATAGTTAGGGTAAAGTCCTCCAAGACGGTGACATCTTGACGCGTGGGATAGCTGAAGTTGATACCATGCAGATCGATGACGCCGGCCGTTTCGTCAGGTTTGTCTCCTGATTCGTCGAAGGGGTTGATCTCGGAATCTCTATCAATGAGCGCGAAGAGCTCCGAAGCTGCGGTGGCTGCGCGACTAAAGGTTGCCATATGTGGTGTTACTTGCATGATAGTATTGGCAGCCATGATAACAGAGAAGAGAACACTAGAATTTTGGTGAGTTTGCAGATCTTCGAAATAAAATGATAGCCTGTACTAACGTGAAGACGGTTCCTAGATCAGAGATCTCGCCGCGGTCGAGCATGGCAATGCCCTGCCAGAAGGCCAGGCCCATACCCGCGTAGACAACGAAATATTGTCCTCCGAACACGATACCATAGAGTTTATTCTTTTTCATTCCCTTAGTATACGCATCCTGTAGATAAGTGTCGTACTTGGTCATCACCCTTGGTAGAAGACTAAAGGCCTGAAGGGTTCGAACGCCTGCGAGGACGTTCTCGGCGTAGCTGCTGGCTTGGGCGTAGACCTGCAAGATCGTGGTCTCAATCTTAGCATCGATGCCACCAGCTGTGCCGAGTACAATGAGCAGAAGTGGCACCATAAAGATAAGGATTAGGGTTAGCTTCCATTGAGAGACGAACGCGATCACGAAGGCCGCCACGAAGGTGGAGATGGCTTGGACGACGATGCCGAGTTTTTCTGCGATTCCGGATTGAATGAGCTTGCCGTTCGTGGTCGCCTGCTGCGAGATGGAGCCGGAGGCGTCCCGGTCATAGTAGGCAATTTCCTGGCTGAAGGCAGCCCGTAGATAGCTCTGTCGGACATTGCGGGTCAAGTGGTACGCCACGTAGGTGAAGAGGGAGGCGTAGATATAGGTAGCCACGAGACGGGCAATACCTATGTAAACGAACTGGAGTCTTTAGTCTCATTAGCATCTGACCCTGCCATCGACTAGAATGCTCTTACGCAGAGTTCCGCACGGCGGGCATGAAATTTTCAGGGATTGAGTCCGCGTCGGAGAAACTGAAGTCGCTGAGCAGTGTCAAGAAGTTCCCCATCACCAGGTTGACCAGGGCGAGAGCAACGCCGGACACAATAGCAGCACCGAAAGCAATCCATTCGAGGACGTGAAGTTTAGTGTCGCCGAAGGAGAAAACTCTCTATAAGTGCGATCATTGCAGCTCGTCAGCCAGGATGCAAATATTAACTCTTTCGATAGACTTACCAGAAACCCATTCTGGCCTTTCTTCTCGACGGACCCGTCATGTTTCTTCTCAGATTGAATTGTAATGTGAGCATCATTGGCTTCTCCGGCCGCTTTCTCGGCCTCTTGAGGGCGCAAAGGGGGTGTCATTTGAGGAAAAGTAGTTAAATGAATGGACAATTGACGCAAGATTACAAGCTTGCTCAATCTTATAAAAGAGAGTGAATAGAAAACGGATGGGAACGAATATATAGAGAGCGAGAAAGGGGAGCAACTCACTGGTTATTAGGCTTCTACAATGACAGACAACTCCCAAGCTTTGCCATCATGACAGAACACGCGTTTCAACATTGTTCCCTCACGCCTCGGGGGCTTGGAGGCTACATCGCCCCGTCCCCAACCCCTGGGGATCATGATATTCAGGATGTTGGCGCTGCATCAGAGCGTATTACACTTGGAAAGGGCGTCAGGGCGGAGAGCGGAGCCTCCGAGAGGCCGAGACTTTCGGAAGGCCGCGTCCACCGAGGCTCCTTTTCTTCGCACCCCAACGTCCCATCGAGGCTCCGATGTATTCAACAAAGGTGATTGATTCTGAACGTCTAGTTTCCTCGTGAGATGGAAGAAGAACCAGATCCTTCTTTCTCGCAAGTGGAGGAAAATGAAGAACGAAATGCTGCTGCGACTGAGAAGTTGGCTGTGAGTCTCCGATATACCTATGTTATGTGACATCATATGTTGTGGCTAACCAGTTTCGAAAATAGTGTCATCGATGTCGCCAACGCAAGGTAAAATGCGACCGGGGGAGTCCGTGCTCTCACTGCGTCAAAGCTGGGGCGCGATGCTCGTACGCAACCGGCCCTAAGCCTAGAGAAAGGCGTCAGAGGGTGATGGTCTCGACCACGTAGTTAGTCCCTCCTGTCGAGCCCTAAGAAGGCGGGATTCCATGCTGAAGTTCATCAAGCGACTCTAAGTTAGATGCGATATCGAGGAAGATAGACGATATCAGCCGGAGGATGAGCCTGTTGAGTCACGAGCCGACCAAGAATATCAAAGCCAACCAGCAAGACCGTTACTCGTCCTCGTTCGGACCAACGCCAACTGCTTCCTCGCTCAGCTCTACACCAAATCCAGGGCCCGTGTCTTATAACCCCGTCGGCGATGGAACCCGTGAAGTGCACGGCAGCCCGTCCAAAGCGCAGTACGAAGGAGAGTCGTCGCTGTTCGCTCACGCCGTCTTCGCCAGCCGGTTTCTGCAGGATGCCGTGGACAACGCGACAAACGCCGAAGTCGCGCACGAGATGGAAACCGTCCTGGGCAGCCTCAGGGCTGCCGTTCAGTCTGGGAAGCAACATTCAGATACACTCGATAGCCTGTACCCTCATGCCACAACGATCCCACCCGGCTCGACGACGCGCAACCTCCCTTTGCCGCCCACCGACAAAGTGTTCATGTGCCTGCGGATGGCCAGGGAATGTCCGCAAGTGGCTACGCTCTGGTTGGGCGACTTTATCAGGCCTACTCAGTTCAATGACTACTTTATCAAAGTCGCATCATCGGGCCCGGCAACCGAAGCTGACTTGATCATCGTCCATTGCGGTCTGTTCTGGCTGTTCTGTGAATGCTCGAAAGCTGTCGCGGACGAGGAAACGAAGCAGGACTATAACGCGCAGGCCTTCCATTGCGAAGGAAACCTCCAAACGGTCCTTGCAAACCTTCGCTTTCATCAGCCAACAAGTATGGACTTGGTATATGCGATGGGCATGGCGGTAAGTCGCTTGGGAAAATCAACAGATAACTACAGATCCATTCCGACTGACTTACATAACTACCGCTTACTAGGCGCTATATTGCCTTCAGAAGAGCAAGCCATCTGCCGCGTGGAATTTCATCAACTCAGCCTCACATATAACTCAGGCTCTTGGCCTACAACATAACACACCTACAGGCATAGAAGGAGCGGAAGGAAAGGCCCAGAAGAAGGACCTGTTCTGGACCATATACATGACCGAGAAGATGCTGTCGCTCCGCCTAGGCCGTTCATCGACTTTCCGCGATCAGGACATTACCTTGAGTCGCTCTGGTATGCAGCGTCCCGGCAGCACGTTCTTGGCTGAATTGGCCCCCGGCTGGATCAACGTGGCGAGTATCCAGGGCCGGATATATGACGAGATTTACAGTCCAGGGGCCCTCATGCAACCGCCGCACATCCGGACATTCCGTGCCCAGGCTCTTGCGGAAGAGTTGAAATCTGTCATGCAACATGCGCAAGACATACATGTTAGTTTGCCCGCATAATCAACTAGTTCCATCCGGTTGTCTCTCCGAGACAATGCCAACGGCTCCGACTGACCGACCACAGGATCATTACACAGCGGCAAAAGGACAAGTACTAGGACTAGACTTCCACGAAATAGCCAGATTGTCCGACCGAGTCATCGGCCTTTCCATGCTGACGCTCATCTACCGGAGCATCGCTCCAGAGAACCCCTCCACGTCGGCATTCTGTCACGAATGCATCGACGCCGCTAGAGATACGCTCCGAGAACACGACAGATGCGTGACCGTCATCACCAAAGCGCAAGGGAAGACCGTGTTCCTGGAAGCATACATCAACTGGTCCGTTGTCGATTGTTTCATCTCCCCTCCCCCCGGCCTAGGTTTTGTTCCTCAAATAAGATCGGATAAAGCTAACCTGAAGTGCATATAACAGGACAATCATCCAGTCTCCCTTCATCCCCTTCATCATTCTTTTCTGCCATATCATCGAGACCAGCGACGCCTCGGACCTAGAGCACATGATCGGGCTTGTCCAGACGCTGGAATCGACATCGAGCGAGAGCGCATATCGCATGTGCAGCAGACAACGAAGTCTCTTTAGGGCGTTATACGACGTCGCGGCCAAGTACGTCGAGGTTAAATCGTGCGCGCACGGTGCGCAACCCGGAATGTCGTGGTCGATGGAGAGTATTGGGCTGCAGGCAATAAACTCGGCAGGGAATGTAGGATACCCGGGGACGACGAATACTGTGTATGTTCCTACAAGTCACATGTCGTCGCGAGATGAGGCGGTCGGGGAGGGGATAGGGGTTGTGGATGGGCTGGTTGGGCCTTGGGCGTTGCAGAATCTGGCAGGTGGGGATGTGGATATGGAGATGGATCTCTCGGGGGCTCAACTTTGGGATTGGTTCAACAAGAACCAGTCTATGATGAGGATGCTTGAGGATGCATAGACAAGGTGGTGGGTTAGTAGATTGCACTGACATGATTGCGGAAGTCGCGGCAATATTGTCTCAATATTAAGTGAGAATATATTGTTCCTCATGAGGGATAAGGTTACTGACCTGAATATGTATATAGGTAATTCGTGTGGGCGTACAAAACTAGGAATGATATAGTTTGTGATTGAAGTAACTGGATTCAACTACTCGAGATGCTCAAGAAGATACTTGAGCAGATGATTAGAGGTCTTCCCAGATGTTGTATAGGAGGCATGCTTGGCAGATTGCCTCAGGCTTCCAACACCAACGCATAACGGTCTGCCTGAGGCAGATAACATAGATAATGTGATATTTACAAGGCCAACAGCACCTTTACCTTAGTGATATCGACAGAGAACATTCAATTGAGTATTTGATTAATCGTTCCTCGAGAAATAGCTATATATTTAAGGAAGGGAATAGAAAAAATAGTCTATATTAAACAGAACCCAACGTCTGCTTCGATCTAACAGTTAATGGATAATGGGACATACCACAGGACACAAAAGAAAGAAAGAATAGAAAAAACAGAAAAAAAGAAAATAGAGACGGAGCCAAATCTAATTACAAGAAACAGTTCGATCTTGGTCCAGAATTCAGGCAGCAGGATTCTGAGTGGTCCGAGGCAACCAAATAGAGAGAACCGACAAAAGGTAAAAGAAGCTTGCAAAAAATTCTATACATAACAAACACTCATGCAATGGGAGTCGCTCGGCAACACAAGAGAGTCAAGGGTCCAGCAAATCGGGCAGTATGAAGTAGCAGCTGAACAAAATCTATATGAAAATTCGCCATGCTGTGCCCATCCTATGACACATAAGAGGGTGTATTTTTCCTTGGTTTTCTTGGTTCTTCTCTCACCGCAAGTGCCAACTAAGCTCACCGCCTCTCCTGGCCGTTTAATTGATCATAGTAAAGTGTTGTTTTTTTTCTTTTTTCATCGCTTTCTTTTGGTTCAAATCTTCAGGTCTCTCGACCCTTCTCGCCGCCCCAGGAAATTCGAGGCCGGTGTCCTCGGTTCGACGACCCAGATCCGTTACCCTCGCTCGAACTTCCTTCATCGGTTCGGGTTCGCGCAGGCTTGGTACCATCCGCAAATGATATCTTGCCGGGCACCTGACGGAACTCGCCGTCATCCTCGCTGTCGGACTCCTCAACGGCCTCGTCCGAGTCATCTTCACCGAGGGCGGCTAGACGACGGCGCCGTTCAGCCGGAGTCTCGCCGGTATCGTCCAAATCGGCTTCCTGGGGAGGGCGTGTGAGACCAGCCGCCTCTCGCAACTTCGAGGGCGGTACACGCGCCGTGCCGTCGTCCTCAGAATCTCTGCGCGGCCGAGGACTAGCTGAGGCATCCAGAGCGCTGGTGCGGCGTTCGTCGGCGGCAGTCCCGCGAGTAAAGCGAGCCAAGGAAGCGGCGACATTACCACCCGGCGCCCCTCGGTCAGATCCCTCATCGGTCATGTCGCTACTGTCAGTAGTGAATTCGTCGTCATCGTCAGCTGCTGGGGCAGCTTGCTGTTGTTGAGTGTCTCCGGCGGGTGCCTGAGCAGGCACCCCGGCAGAGGAACGGCGGCGCTCCTCCTTGACGGCTTCCTTCTCTTCGCCGCGGGCGACATCCTTGACTCGCTCCGGAGCGTCGGTTTCCTCGACCAGCTCACGACGGGCTTTGGGCCCGAGACCGCGAAGCTGGTTGACAAATTCGTGCTTGTTCATCCGCTGTCCTTTATGACCAACCCCCCTCTTTCCGATGCTGTCGTCTTCCGCCACCGTGAAACGAAGTCCGTCATCAGCCAGCCAATCGTCATCGGCCGCCTTCTTGCTCTTGGCGGCTTGAGATGATTCGGCTTCTCCCTGACCGAACCAGGTTCCCATGCGCGTGATACCGCGGCGCACGGGTGCAGCGGCACCAGCATCAGGCTTCTTGTCGGGCGTGGAGGCGGCGCCAGCGGCGCCGGCGGCCGAAGAGGAACCAGCCGAGGGAATGGAGTATTTCTTGATAACCTCCCCATCCTCGTCCTCGACGATGATCGTATTGCCAAACTGGTACGCGTGCGCCGAGCGAGCCTTTGGCTTCGAAGGCTTGCCAGATGCGGCAGCTGTATCAGTCTTCTCGGAAGGCTGACCGGGCTGAGAGTCGGCCTCGGTAGCGCGGCCCTTGCCGAAGCCCATCCAGTCGCCGAACCGTTTGCGGGCCTTTTCGAAAGCGGTCTTATCCTCTGCCACGGGCTGCACACCATCGCCACTATCGGGCTTGCCGTTGGGTTGACTGTGCGATTTGGCGAGCTGTTCCGACCTCGCCCTTTGCACCTTCTGGCGCTCTTCTTCGACGTGCTGCTGCTGTTCGCTGGGGGATTTGTGACTGATGTTCTCCGTTCTCAGAACGTTACCTTCCTCATCTTCAATGATAAGGTTATGTCCTTCCAAATACACTTCAAGACCCGCCTCGCGTCCGAAACGATCGCGTTCCTTGGACGGCGGGGAGCCTTCGCGCTCAATTCTTTCACGTTCAGACCGTTCCTCTTCATCTTCGAGCTTCTCGTCTTCTGTTTCTGGCTGTCGTTGAGGTGCGATTGCAGATTGACTGATAGGGCCGCCGGCCCCGGCATCACCACGACGGCGACGGCGACGAGGTCGTTGGCTACGCGGCCGCCCGGGAGGTGAGTCGGCATCTTCATCCCGCTGTCGGCGCAGGAAGTTACCAGGAACGCCGATGGGAGGAAGGGTACCCGGGGGATATTCCGGTTCGTTTGACGATTCTTCCAACTCATCCGCTTTCCGGAAGGACATAGAGCCCTTGGCAATGGACTGCACACGCGGCAGACGGTTCATCCAGGACGGGCCCTCTTCATTGGCCTGTGTGTAGGACAGCGTGATGGTCAAGGTGTTGATGCGCTTTCCGAGCGTAAAAACGGCAATTGACGAGCCATGCACCAAAATCGACGAGATGACCATGAACGTTGTGATCGGCCATATCAGCCGAACGACGTAGTAGTCCGGCGACCCGGCCTGTGGTAGTTCATTAGTTGGATCCGGTTGAGTGTTGCCGTTCTCTAGCTCGGCTCTCGCCAGAATACACGCGAAAATGGCACCGACTCCGATGGGTCCAAAATGACCGGCGAACAGGGCTTCTCGCCATGTTTTCACGTCCGGTATAATAGGCTTCAAAATTAACATGATGGGGATGCGGCGGAAGAAGATGACGAGGAGGGCAATCACGACCAGTCGCCACGGAGTCAGACCGATGTCGGGGTTGTTGTAATCCTCCCAGGGAATGATAGATCCAAAATAGACGAAGTAGGCCAGGTTCAGCAGTAGATCGATGACGTTGGACACGTGCGACTCCTCCGTCTTCTCCGTAAACCAACCATCATTACTGAATCCGACACCGCAGGCGAATCCGATCAAGAGATCATCCATGCCCAGCAAACTGCCGGAACCCGCACAGAAGACCGCAAGTACGAAATAGAACACCAAGAAACTTTCACGATCGATCAGCTGCTTGCGTTCCGCAAACTTGATGGCATGACGCGCGAAGTATCCAATCAGAAAGCCGAAGATCGCCCCGACGATACATTCGTAGAGGATAGTGACACAGAACCAGTTCAGGGACACCTTGCCGGCATCGGGACGGTAGTGCAGAATGTAAAAAGATAGGTAGATGAATGGAAACGCCATGCCGTCATTGCAGCCGGACTCGGCGGACAGCAGATCTCGCAAATGCTTGGGCACCCGCTTGGCGAATTTACCCTTACCTACGACGGACGAGGCCAACACAGGATCGGTGGCCGTCACACATGCCGCACACACTAGCGCTTCGAGCCAGGAGAGAGGCGCCATCCACCAGATGAACAGACTTGTAATCAACCAACCCCAGGTCATGACCGGCACCAGCAACAGAAAGACCGATTTCCAGTGACGTTCCATGTAGGCCTTCGGCAGTTCGACGCCGACGGCAAAACATTGTACCACCAGGACAATGCGAGAGCATTCCAAGGTGATCTTGTCGACATTTCCCCATTCCATGGGATTGAAGAGATTCGCCGCATGGGGCCCGAAGATGATCCCGCACAGGGTCGCGACCGTCGCCTCACCAATGTACAGTTTCTCCTTGACGAACAGGGAACACAGCATGAACAGGCCGGTGAACCCGCCCAGGATCATGTACGCCAGGTGAGGCTTATCGATATCCAAATGTTCCCAGGCCATGATTGGACTGGAGGGACCAAGTGGACCTCGTCGGGAGCCTTGTTATCTAGAGCCCGGAGCGTCCCTCCGCGTACAACAGCGCTTGCCAGGGTCCTTACGCTCGTTTTGTCTTTATCGCACAATTATTGTTATCCCTGGAGACAGAAGTCCTTTTTATCGCCTTATGCTAGGGGTTGCACACCCCGAAAATCGGTCGATCAATCGGAGAACGGAAGAATCAGGTCCGACGTGGATCTCGGCATGCCTCGGAGGAAAGGCAAGATAAGTCCGAACGATGACGCGCGAGGCGTTCTGGGCGAGGGAAGAGGTCAAAGGTTTCCGCGAGCTCGTTCTGGGGCTGGATGAGGGATCCTCTCGTTCTCTCTGCAAGGGGGACGACATTGCTTAGCGGCAGCACTCGTGGGAGAAAGTCGACCGACAGGAACCGGAACATAAGAAAGTATAAATGTGGAAGGGGCACTCCCCCACGACAAAAAGGACAGGATACGGGGGCAGGGAGCGAAAACCGGTTTTGCGATTGGAGACCCCGGAGGACTTACCTGGAGATAGATCGATCCGTCGCAGCTTGCCGGGCGGAGAGGGCAATCGACAGAAGCAAGCCGGGGAGACCCCGAAAGTTACGAAAAATCAAACAGCAGAGGGTCGACAAGAAAGGACAAGAAAAAGTCAAGAGAGGACAAGAGAGAACAAGAAGCGACCAGAGAAGGACAAGAGTCTGGGCAGCAGAGAAAAGAGGGAGAGGGGGAGAAAGAGGGCGAGGGCTCCCGGGTAAGAGGCCGCGAAAAATCAGGAAGCGAAGACCAAGAAATCCAAGAGTCGGGCCAAGACCGACATACTGACTCTGATGACGATGGAGGGAAGGTCTGGGGAAGGAATCAGAATCAGATGCGACGCCCAGAGGCGGCAGGAGGAGACCCGGCGGGGATTTGCCAGGCGAGCGCCAGTCTCACTCGCGGAAGGGCTGCGCACTCGCGGCTTGGCGGAGCGGACCCTCTGGCTAGTCGGCGTTAGTTTGTTTAGTGGTTGGGCTCGAGCCACTGGATGACGATAGAAGTGGCACACGAGAGACGAGAAGAGATCAGATGCGTGCCTGGTGCACTGGGTGGCAATCGAGCGATTACTTCACGGAGCCCTGGCGTACATCGAACCCTGTCTGTCAGGTCCGGAGAGAGAGAAGAAAGAAGGATGGAAGAAAAGAACAGAAAAGCAAAGACGAGGAAGACGAGCGCTGACTCAGCCATACCGCGTACGGTCACCGTATGGTAAGCGCGCCCAGCCCTGCAGGGCGGCCAAGACTCCCGTGACGCCCACCCATTGGCCGCCCACTCGTCCGCCCCCACCGGTCGGATGGGACTTGCCGATGCTCTCAGGTACCGATACCTGCTGGGTGCGCCTGCCGTGTGAGGCGTCCCTCGTCACCGGTACTTCACCTACTACGGAGTAGACCCTCCCTCGTAGCCCTAAGGCGAGATAGCGAAAACATCCATGGATGGGTCACAGCAAGAAGCAGCCTGGAGTAACCTGGTGTTTGGCTGCTTCAGAAACTCAAAGTCACATTTAGATCACAGTCTCCAAAATGATATCGCACTCGACAATATATCCGGCTAAGGTGTCACACAGAAAAGCAACGACGGGCTCCGTCAAACGCAGAAACAACCTAAAGACGAAAGCAAGACCAGAAAGGAAAGAAAAATATGACCCGTCAGATGACAAAACAGAAATTCTCGAATCAGGAAGTGATCAATCAATCAATCAGTCCCCCAACGGCATCCCCTCCACTTGATCACTCAATGACCGCCAGTTGTCAGCCTGCAGTTCGGCGTACTTGACCCGCTCCTGGCTCCAGTCCTGGTGCAAGCGGCTGATGTGATATTGGCTCTGTTGGAAATACACCAGCTCGTCGCGGATGCATTCCGTGATGAACACCCCGCGTGCGTGCTGCTGTACAATCGATTCCTTGTCCTGCCATCCACGTGCCCCCGTCAGCATCGGTCTCCACTTCGTGCGAGCGTTTCGCATTTTCTTGAGGGCTACGGCGCCTTACCTTGAAAATCGACTCCTCCACCTTCTCAATCTCGCCCGGCTTGACGGTGCCCTGGGGCCGAGTCCGCAGGTCTTGCAGCTTCCGCTCGTTGGTCTCGATGCGTCGCTCCAACTGTGGAATATTGCTGCGCGCATATCGGTCGCGTCGGTCGAACATCTCTCGCACGCTCACCAGGCAGTCTCGCTGACGCTTGAGGTCCTCCAGTATCCCCGTCTCCCAGGCCCGTGCCTCGTCCTCGAGCAAGCTCTGGCTTGCGGACAGATGACTGGCGGTAGCTTTGATGCCTTCGTTAAGCAGAGGGACGTCGTTGGTGTCGATGGCGTAGGTGTCACGAGTCACTTCCGTGAGGGATTGCAGTCCAAGGGAAAACCGCAGATGGTCCGCGGCAAGCCCTTCGTTGCGCTTAGCCAGGCGGTCAAGCAGCGTGCAGAGATTGATATAGACCTCTGCAGACCGTTTGACACCGCCTCGGACCGTTTCGAACGTATCCGTCAAATTGGCCGGCAGCGAGTCCTCCAGGTCTGGAGGAAGAGCCTTGCCGGTGAATTCATCCTGAACCGAGATCGTAGCTTGTTTTCGCCAGACAGAAAGCTCCTGACATCATGTTAGCCAAACCCCGTCAAAACCCCCAACGATACGTACCGTAGGCACGGTCAAAAACATGATGACCAGCTGTTCCTGGCTGAGAACCGGATGACGAACGAGGGCGTTGGTGAACCGAACGAGTCCGCGACGACGTTTTTCGAGAAATGATGTAGAGTCCGCTGCAAGGTGAGTGCCATTGACTTTAATCGAAAAGAGGTGAGTAAGCTTTTGTAAGCAAGCCTTGCCATTTACGTACCTGCGAGCCTCTTCGGGGGAAGAAGGGGCAATTGTCGGAAGGGGTATCGTTTGTGAAGACAGTCCAGTAGCCAGACGAAATCGCTATAGCGACGGATGACGGTGCTTCCTCTCCGAGCGGATTTCACCTCGTAGTTGCGATGCTGGAACATAAACATGCCCTCTTTCTCCGGTAGCAGGGTGACGGTGATCAACTCCTCCAGATGCGGACTGGCCACACGGCCAATGCCAAGGGACCGGCGACGAGAATTCGACCCCCCCTGGTCACTATTCGAAGGACCGAAGCTACCAAGTCCAGCTTGGACAGGCCCGCCTCCAAGCCCACCCCCAACGGACGGATTGCCGAAGCTTTCGCCCCAGCCAAACCCTGCGCTGCTCGCAGCAGACCCCGTATCCGGTTGCCCATTCGCGCGATGACTCGAGGTAACATCACTGCGGCCGCTTTCCTCACCAGGGCGATTGGCCCAAGCGTTCGTCGTCGATCGCACACTCCCGTAGCCGTTCAACACGGGGTTGTTAGAGTCAGTTTGCGCATGCGCATGGTCGCGGTGTAGCTGAGGACTACCCCAAGGGTCTGATTCTAGGCCACCCAATGTTTCTCGACCAGATCTGCGGGAATGTGCGGAGTTCGGCTCTTGGATTTGCGTTGAGCGGGGAGGGGGTGTGGCAGGTCGTTCGGCGGGTTGGTCGGAGGTGGCAGATTCCTGTCTCGCCTGCAGCTTATCCAGATATGAGCTCCGAGGAGTCGGAAGCTCTTGGATGAAGTTAACAAGACATCCATATGATCGCTAAAGCGGAGAAGCTCTTACTCTTTCGTCGATCATCGACCGCGTCAAATGTCAAATCCTCGCCCTCCTGCGCAAGACCCACAAGCGCCAACAGCACATTGAACTCGCTACGACCGAGGCCATTGGCGTCGTCGCCGTCGCCTGAAACAACAAGATTGAGAATCTTCGCCTGGTCGGTGGCGCTTAGCCCGCTGCCTGACAGGATCTCCCGAACGGACGTCAAGCCCACCCGGGCGCCGACGCGATCTCCACCCGACAGCACTAGGTCGTAGGCGTCAATATAGCTGTCGGGAACATCGGACTCGGGTAGTAAAGTTTTCACGATCTCATGGCGGGCGGTTCGTTTGCTTGTATTGTTGTTCCAGGGGGAGCTCGTACCATCGTCGTCAGCGAAGAGCGAGGACGAGCCCAGGGCGGAATTACCACCACCGAAGGGTTCGTCGGCGAAGAGGGAGGACTTGGATTTCTGGGCGGATTGAACCTCCGGAGAGTCCTCCGGAGATGTGCCGAATAACGACATGAGGAGTGGTGTTTATGTTCAAACAAGCGACGCAGCGAAGAGCCGGGTCCAACGGGTCTCCTGTTACTCAACGAGCGGAGTTCGGGGACAGTAATGGGGGGATGGGACGGATCAACGCGAACAGCACCAAGGATGGGGAGCTATTCAAACAGCACCCAGAGGAGGACAGCACACGATTGATTAGATATCGATTGGCAACTCGAGCAGATCCGATGAATGAAGCACAAGAGGGAAAAGGACCGGCTCTTCCCAGTACGTGAGTGAGGGAGGCAGTGATAAGGACGAGCGAGCAACGGACGACTTCCTTGGGGGCGGGCGGTGGACCACGCTAGACTACTATTGGACAGCTATGACGATATCGTGTTTACCAGCCCATGTGATTGCTGAAGTATAGGTACAGAGGGATTCCTATTAACACGCAGTGTATCTTTCAAATCACATGGTATACATTTCATTCATATTGCAAGAACTCCAAACCCAGCCCGGACGGGGGTATCTATACATCTAGTTTACATTATATGCCTCCTTCGCTCGAGCTCTCGACAGCGGGCTCGCTTGCCTCTTGACGGACATCCTCGACGGATGTTATAGTGAAATATCCATTCTGGACAAGGAGATCCTGCCACTGTGGTTTACCGGTGGCGAGAATGAGAGCAGGATTGGTGTCCGTAGGAAACCACCGTTCCTTTCGAGTTTCGGATTTGCTACCCCCTTCGAGGGCCGCCCGACTCGCCCTCGTCTTTCGCACTCTCTTCGTTCCTTGTCTCTGTTGAGAGAGTAGCCCGCTTAACTGCAATCGGTACTGTTCGAGTCTGAGATCAAAAGCCATGATGGCTCTGATGTAGGGCCCTAAATCCTCCGCGATCGGGCCGATTCCGTTCTCGAATGACGGGGATAATCGCCCCGTCGGAATAGGGAATACGTAGTCAGCTCGCATGACGGGCTCGAAGGCCCTGAGAAAGTCAGCGGGCGTGGGACCTGGCGTTTTAGGTCTGGTAATATTTGCCAATACTTTGGTGGATTGCGAAGCCTCGATATTAGTTTGATGGTTTGGTCGGGAGACTTTGTCCAGAAGAACTCCGAAGGTGCTCCCAATGGCTTTTGAAAGTGAGGAGTAATCGGGAGCGAGATCGGCAGTTAGCAGTTGGTGGCCTTCTATGTAGTTTGTCCTCTGTTTCTCAGAAAGCTGAGGCACAAAGGTATCAACAGGATCCTGAGAGAATTTAGCATTGACTGTTGCTTCGGACAAGGGAACATCCTAACTTACCAGGCGGTGATCAAGAGAACAACCAGAGCCTAGGATATCGAGGTCACTTCTCCAGTCGAAGAGGTCGTCTTGATGTCGCAGTTGATTAAGTCGTTCCTGGTTGGATTGAGAGGGAGCAGACTGAGGCGAGTGCTTGCCCAAGCCTGATAGCCACTCACTATCCTGAAGGCTCAGTTGCCACCAATCCAGGGACTCCTGTTGTGGCTCAACCATATGGTCTGAGCTGGTGCTCATTAACATGTCCCGACTAAACCAACCCATGAATTGTTCATATGTGTTTAAACTGAGCACCCGCACTGGATCACCATCTTCGTCGAGATCCACCCCTGGAGGCCACCTGTCGACTAACCAGTCCAGGCCAGACTTTTCGCTGCCTACCGCCATTTGACACCAGAAATCAAGCTCCATGATCGACCGACGAAGATCTTTGCCTGCAACAGTGTAGAGGTTATCGATAGCTTCTCGCTTTATCATGTGGCCTTCGTTGGCAGCCATCAGTAGTAGATAGTCTACAACGATGTGTTGGGGAGGAGCTCGGTATCGGAGGATGGCGTGGAAGGAGATGTCGTCGACAGGAATAAGCTTTTCATCATTGCAGGTTATGATGATTGGGCGTCTTGATTGCTGAATGAGGGAGACCACACCAGACCAGAATTGCCTGTCCTCGTCGAACAGAATGTCTGCTTCCTCCAGAAGAATCAAAGACTGCTTCTGATGACGAGGAGACTTCTGGCTAGATTCTCTTTCAGACTCCTTTTCTGGAGACTTTGCCTTTTTCTTCGGAGCTTTGGCTGGAACTGACTTGAAGAAGCCTACTAGTTTGTTCTGTTTAGTATCTTCCGGCCCTAGATCTGGAGGCTCACTTTCAGGAGGTTGACTATTTGAGCGCTGTTCACCAGAGTTGGCGTGTTGCACAAGATGATTTCGTGTCATGTCACCAACGCGGTCCAGGATGTCTTTAGCGCTGCGCCGGTTGCCCGGCGTTATCTCAAAGACCTCGAAGTCAAGCTCCTTAGCCACCGCATAGACAGATGCAGTCTTTCCACACCCAGAAGGACCACTGAGCAGGATTGCATTCGAAACTCGTGGTTTATCAACCTTGGATTTGGAAGAACCACCAGCCAAGTCTGCCGACCTTACTAGAGACTTTTTAGATGAAACGGTCACATCACCGGCAAGTTCATCGTCAGAGCCACTGATCTCACCCAGTTCAAAGGCCTCATCTTCGCTTGAAACAATGAACCCGTCTAGCTTATCTGACTTGCGCTTCTTCCGTTTTTTCTCGTCCAACTTTTGTTTGGCTTTTTCGGCATCTTTAGAAGGTTTACCAGTATCGACAGCTGAAACCATGAGGTACTTCAACCAATCGCGTAGCGTAGATGCTTCACGAGCAGGCTGAAGAACATCGTCCGCCGTGTTGGGGGCATATTTGTGAGCCCATAGAAGCGTATCGTATTGCCCACGGTCAAAGGCTGTCATCGAGGACCTAAGGGAGGAATGCAACTTTCGGATGGCAGGATGGCAGTTGTTGCTTAGAGAGTCTTTGTTCGGTCCGGACAGGCATGGCGGAGAAAGCTCTCTGGTCACTGCCTTTTGCAGAGTAGTTCCACTGGCGACGGCTCTGCCTGGGGTTCGTAGTACTGATGCAGTGTCATGGTGATAGCCTTGGACTTCAGGTGAAAGGACATTTTCCTTGTCATGGATAGAAATAGCTGCCATTTTCGCTTTCTTCAAGTGTATGTTCAAGGAAGGCTTCGGGGTCCGCACAGCCTTTGTATCGATACCGCGGATATGCGTGAAATCTCGTGGAGGCCATACTGGCTGAATAGCTTCGGGAAATTTAGGCTTGGGTTTGAAGCTGGCGAATGATGTCGGTTTAATGCCTGGCCTATTCCTATCTGGAATCGAAGCCGAGTGTTCACTTGGTGTTGTATCACCCTGTTCCGAGCTATGGCCAGACAATGAAGTTGGCATTGTATCTGATTGAGTAGACTTTTTCATAAAGAACGGATGCGTCGGTTTCGATGGCATCTTTTTCTTTGGAGCCGGTACTCGGGCAGGGACCACGCTTGGAGCGCCGTGTCTTTTCCGGCCACTGATGATATCGTCGACCAAGACGCCAAGGCGTTTCCTATTTTCATCATCATTACCATACCTTATGACAAGCAACCCTTTCTTCCCGCCATCTTTCTGGTCATTCGTCTTGCCCCGCTTGCTGGGCTTTTTCTTCCTGGGCGTCTCGTCGATTGTTTCAGGCCCCGGAGAACTCAGCAGCTTTCCATTCGGAAATAACTTGACTGTTTTTTGTCTTGTAGATCTTCGTTGCGTCGATTCATTTGTAGGCGTAGAGTCGGCCGAATGCGTAGTAGATAAGCTTGGGTATTGTTCTGGTTGTCCGTATCGACTGGAGTTGTCCTGGGCGTTTAGAGTAGATTCGTCCGCGGCGGAAGCAACCTGAGATTCAGATGCTGGAGTTGGTTGTGTTTTCTCTTGTGCAGGAATTCTATCCACCAGATTGTTCTCATTTTCGAAAGCGCCGTCTGTTTGCTTGCATCCCATAAAGCTCGCGATCGATCCATTTTGCCCACCCTTATTGTTTGACTTGTCCGTTTTGCGCCTCTTCCTCCTATCTAAATTGGGGTCGTGCTCAAGCATGGGCGATGCGTTTTGGGAATCGGTCAATTGAGGATTCATCGTCTGAGAAACATGATTGCCGGCGGAGGATTGGGGTTTCACGGATGGTTCACTTTCATATATCGAGGCATTGTGGGAGAGGTTATGCGGAGGTAGATTTGTAGGTATATCTGTTGAGGATGAGTATTGAATGACTGGAAGTAAAGGAGATTGTGACCTTTTCGAAAAAATGGGTGGATATTGCGTTGCTCGCTTTGCTCCATGGCCATAGATCCCGGCAATATAGCCATTGGATGAGCCAATGCTCATCGCTCGAATAACAGTCGGCCAGAGGCGGAGAGTGACAGAGACTCAAAATAATAATCAGGAGGTGGATATGATTGTTCAGAAGTAACCGTAAACTGGAGAATAGAGGAGGTGGGACGACAATGGTGAAAGGGGTGTCGTCGCTGAGAAAGGCATCATTGAGGGAGCGACACGGCCGGCGACGCACCAAAAGACGCGCAGAAGCGCGTCTTCCGCGGGGGCCACTTTGATGACGGGGTTGCTGCCTGAAGGACCTGGCAGAGAACTCTGCCGGAGGGACTGATGAGTCAGCTATTCGCATCAAATGTACAGAGGGAGCGCTAACCATAGCAGGTATAGCGTCGGCATCGGAAGAATCGAAGATCCAGAAATTTTTCGGGATAGCATCGAATTGGATTTCTTCGTGCAGTTACTTTGATCCAGCTTTTAGCGGCACCCGTCGCGCAATTTGATATTCTACAGCTCAAGCTCCGCTGTGATGGATTTGCAACCGCCCTCGGTGTTGGCTCAACTGCCTCGCCCTTTGCAAGCTTCTACTGGAAAAATCCGCATCGGTGAAGTGCATGGGTTGGCCGACTCAAAGAAGCGCAAGAGATATGAAGTGGCCGTTGCGGTTGATGGAGAGGCTGTGAACATTTATAATGTATGCACTGGAATTGCGCTGAGCCTTTAGGTCACCATTGCTAAGATCTCGACTTTCTAGGTTCAAACGCCGAAGCTCGTTACCTCCTATGCCGTTCCGCCGCAGTCCTCGTTTTCGTGCCAGCCATGCTCGGTGCGCAGAAAGCTTTCGAACAAGCCGGTTGTCAAGCGCCAGACGTACGTCGCAGTGAATCCTCAGCGCGAGATCAAGTCGTTTGTTGAGGAAAGTGGTGGCAATGGATCAACCGCGCCTGTGATTTCTTCCTCGTCTTTCTCGGTCAAGGATTCTGATAGCCCGGCCATCTTTGTCGGCCTGGTCCCGACTGCCTCTGGTGCTGTCGAAAACGACGATACGTTCGATGTGTTGGCGGTCCACGAAGACGGTCGCGTGCGCCGGCTGGCCGCTGATCTGCAGACTCAGCGATGGAGTATCCGACCTAGCGAGCTGACGCAGGGCTCGAGCGATGCCGTGCGTGCATGCTTCCTTGTCGAATATGAGGACGCGAAGAAAGCGCTGCTCAAGAAACGCCAAGATCTTGCGACTTTGGCTCTGGGAAGCCTCACAGACTCCGGTGTGGATGAGCCATCCATATTGTTGGTCGTTTCGCACCCTACTGGATCCCAGCAAATCAAACTGAGCGACGTGAAAATCTCCATGTTTTCGGTCCCCGGCAACGTGCAGCCGCAGGCACACCTGGATGACACTCAAAAATTGAAACACCTCATCACAGTCAGCATTCCGGATATCGATGCCCAGGAGACCTTCGAGAGCCATGGATTGGCCTGGGATTTTCACGCCGGATCCGCAGGGCTGAGTCTCTCTTGCCGGAAGGGATTCATCAACTTCGATCTGTCGCAATACAAGCCAACGGCGACTTCTAAGTTCATTCTCGAGGACGAAGAGTTCTCCTCGGTCATGCGAATTTCGCCGCAGACGGTAATCGGAGCTGGCAAGTCGATCATCGGGTTGTTCGACACCCAATACAAATCCATCCAACGCAGTATCGCGTTCGAGGATGTGCCTAGTATCTCGTCGAGCCCTAAGGCGCCAACGATCTTTATCAGCTACTTTGCTAAGCTCGGTATTGCCGTCGCAGCAAAAGGCAACATCCTGTACGGATTTGACCTGAGCTCGTCGCACGCGACGCTGGCTTCTTCCGTCAAGCGACCCAGGGATGGTCTTCTCATCGACGCTATCGGACGCGGCATTGGCTCCTCCGCCTCGCATTGGGACGCCGCTTCCAAGAAGCCTCGCGTTGACCAAGTGACCTCGCTCGGTCTCACCTCACAGGAACAGATCGATCGGTGGAACAAAATGGCCGACAACCTCCGCGAATCCGCCAAGTCCAAGAATGCCGACGCCTTCGACCGGGCAGTCCAGGCCTACTTCGACGTGAACGACTCGTCGAAACTGCCCACCCGTGGTCAATACGTCAACATCGAGATTACCCTGTTCCTGTTAACGTTCATCTTCTCCGTCCAAGATGCCGGCAGCAGCCAGGACAAGCTTTCCGCCTCGTCGACCCTGCGCCTATCCATCGACTTCTGGCCGTCTAAGACCTGCGCATGGCTCATCCAGCTCGGCCACCTCTCGGCAGACAACGTCGAGATCGCCCTACGCCGGTCCCTCAAGCCACGCATTCTGCCATCCCTGCCCGTCGGCTCCTTCGTCCAGGCGCTCATCGACTCGGACGCTACGCTCCAGCGTCTACTCAGCGTCCTCCAAGGCCCCACGATCTTCAACCCAGACGAACTCGCCTACGCGCTCAAGACCTTCCTCAACACGGCCCACGCGCGCTCGCTCGCCCTGGAAGAAGAGACGGCCAAGACGCTGGCCATCACTGCCGGCGGCGATGAACTCGACGAACAACCCACGCCCACGCCGACCGCCACTACTAACACCATCCAAGACGCGCTCAAGGGCATCTTCCTAGGCCTGAACACTACCATCCAGAAAATCCACGCCCACCCCGCCCCCGCCCTCACCCGCTCTATCCGCTCCGCCCTCTCGCGCACCGACATCCTCTCGCTCGTCCACCACCTGCGCCTCTCCCTCGCCGTCGGCGGCCACACCACCCGCTTCACCGAGAACCCTCCCACGCCCATCTCGCCGCACCAGACCACCCCCACCCTCTCCCTGGACACCATTGCCACGCTGCTAAACGCCTCCGTCGACGCCATCGGCCCCTCCGGCTGGATCTCCGCCTCCGACCTCACCGACGCCCCGACCCGCGAGATGGACCTGATCGCCGACATGAAATCCGAAGTCTCGGCCGCGCTCGCCGGCGTCGAAGAAGCAGCCTACCTCACCGGTATCCTGCGCGAATACATCCGCTACACAGACTCCCTCCACAGCCTCCCCTCCAACACGGGCTCCAAATCCTCCAAGACCCCCTCCTCCAAGTCCAAATCCAGCAAGGACCTCATCCCCTCTACCTCTGGCCAGGGTGAAACTGAAACGACCGACCACGCTCCCCTCGTCCGTTACGAGAAACTCAACGGCGCAGACCTGATGGTCTACGGCGCCCCTGACGGCGACGATGCCCTTGACTGTGACGCCGGCGGCAAGCTCCTGCCCTTGTCGTTGAAGGCAGTGGCTCCTCATGACGTTTCCGCGACAAAGGTCAATAAAACTACCGGGGAGGTTAAGTCCAGGAGTAGTCGTGAAATCGGATATTTGAAACGGAAGGCCGTGGGCAAGTATTCGTTTGAGAGGCTTGTTGTATAAACTTTTCTTCTTTTGTTGAATTCCATTCTTTTCTTGTTGTTGATGCGTCTTGTTATTTACTTCTTGTTGAAATGGATGGATGGTTGTTTTTTTTTTTTCATGTGATGTGGGTGTTTTATCCCCTTTCAGGTTTCTTTCTCGGGCTGTGTGGGCCTGTATCTATCTGTCTAGTTAGACTTGTTAGAACAAAAATGGAGTTCGTCCTTTTGGGATAGGTTTTCTTTCCTTTTGTCTAGGTGTCTAGGTGTCTTTCTGGCTGTTCTTGATATAAAATGACATGGCCTAGTCTAACCATGCAATTATACAATACAAAGGCATAGACAAGATCCGACTGAAGCATGGCGAGTTACGTCCTTTAGAAGTTCTGGCATCGGCATCTACAATCTATAGTCTACATCTACTTCTACTTCTACAGTCAGGAAAATCTCAAAAACCAACAGATAAATCGCAACATTTATATACACTAATAGATTCGTCTCACTATATGCACAAAGACAGCCATATCAAATCATATCATATCGTATCAATCCCCACATACACACACCACTGCAGGTAAACAAATACCTAGCACGGGAAGCATGTCGCATACATGCGTATGCATTCCAACCCGACAAATCAGCCACCTGAAGACGGATTCATCTGATGTGTGTGCGTGGATCAAATCGTTGATGTTTCATTTCGTCTTCATATTGCGAACTAATCAAAACAAGGCAGGAAGGGGAAATGGGTAGGGTCCAGTCCGGGGTATTGAAACATCCTTCGGCGAATAGGATAGGTGAATGATCCCTTGGGCGTTTGGGGCCTGCTGATCCCTCGTATCAATCAGAAAGTAGAGTGCGATGCATGCAAATCGAACGAGAGTGAAAGAAGTAATCATGACAGACAGACAGAAAAAACAAAAACCATAAAGCGTACAGTGATTTCAAACAGAAACACAAAACATCGCTTGCAATGAAAAACAAGGGTTACAGACGGGAGGCAGACAAAATGGGGCGTGTCGCTGTCTCTTTTCTGAGGAGTCATGTCGAAAGCGTGTATGACTCGGAGAGTAGACAGAGGTCGTACAGTTCGACTGGAAAGTCCCCGATATTGCCAACGGAAAGTATGAACAAGGTTCGTGAAAATGCAAAATGATAAATATAAAAAGACATCCACCCCATATAGAAACTCCGGCATTGCTTGTCGTCTCAAAGTTGAACAAGGATAACGAAATAAAAAACACTCTTTGACACAGAATGCTTCCACAGAAACTCTTGCATAACCCCTCGGAATAGACCGCAGTGAAAAGTTGAAAATAGTGTAACAGGTCGAAATCATCGAACGTCGGACAATCACATAAACTTTGTCTAGGCAAGCATCATTGAATTAGCTGGCCAGAAGTGGGCGCAGCTCCATTGGTAGGAAGAACAGCGAGAAAGAAGAACAGCCCAGTCATGACACGTAACAATAACGCAGAGTATTGTGAAACGTCAAAACCATAAACGGCGGGGAAAGGAAAGACGGTGTCATCTCACGTCTTGTTCAGTTGGAGCCTATGGTCGAGTTTTCGGAACGCTCCTTGAGACGCATAGCTTGCGCTTCAAGCGATCGGGCCATCAACTTGATCACTACAACGTAGGTTAGATCAATCGCCCAGTCTAATAGTAAATAAAGAGAAGACGGAACTAACCTGGCCAGACAGCAGCCCGGTCGAGAAGGCTTGCTGTAGCAATGAGGATCTTGCAGCCATATCCTCCCTCCACAACGCTGGGAAGCCGCTGTAAGACGCTTAGAGCTGACACGGTCGCACTGCTCTGTACCTCTCTTTGCATCTTGCTTTCAACACTTGTGAGAATCTCTTTGATTTTGTCTAACAGTTTACAGTCTTCCTCCTCCAGTAGCATGGCGTTAGAGGCCTGTACCAGATCGATGTCGTCTCGGCCTAGAACCCCTAGGTAGGGTCCGACGCGCTCCTGCACCGTTGTGATCCATTCCGCAAGGACCTGGGCACAGTCAAAGGCGCACATGGCACATTGGATTGGCAGCTCTCTACACGTGAATTCGGCGAAAGTGTTCCCAAGTCGGTCAGACATGGATATGGAGTCCGCGGCGTAGAATGCAGCTTTCCGTAGATGGCGCTCTCTTTTGGACTGGCCCGGCCGATATAACCCCATCAGGCCCTCTGTGGGATGGTCTTGGGTCGGGGTTCTTGAAATGGTGAGATCTGCGACCCCTAAATCCGCTACCGAATCACGGCGGTTGCCCGGTGGTTGAGTGACATCGACCATGGAAGGATCCAATACATCACAAGGCATGTCATCGGCCTGGTGTACGATTTCCGTGTCTCGTGCAAGCTCATCGGACATCGCATTCCAGTCCCTCTGCCAAAAGGCCTCTTTGCACCGGCCAAGGTTCACAAACAACCGCACGTAGGCAAGGTCTAGCAGAGGAATGCTGTCGGCCGAAAGCGGGCCCGCCCCAAAGGGATTGGGTCGCTCTAGGCTGTGGAGAGGGTTGTTGGCCCATGCTGTCTGCCATGCCCTCAAGGCAGGCTCAATGTGCCCTTGCATGGCATCGGTCTCTCTTGCGGTCCACTGTCGACCCATATGGCGCTGGCGAGTCTCCCAGATGTAGTTATGGAGTGCGTAGATAAGGACCAGGCAACCGAAGGTGCTCAGGTTCAGGTCATTATTTACAGTTTCATCACCAGAGGTGGGGTTCCCTGGCGAGCTGGACTGGGTCTGCTCTCGATGACTGGCGGTCAGGAGGGTCGTCAGTGCCGCGGAGAAGGAAGTGGTGTTCTTCGGTGCAAGATGGCCGCCCATTTGCTTCCATGCTTGCGGGGATTCGGCGGCCCAGACATCCTCTTCACATGGCAAATCCAGGCGGATTTCGGAGTTGGTGAGAGCAGGTGCATGGTTGTACGCGGACACAAGGAAGCACGAGAGTGAGAAAATGGCATAGAGAGTACGTTTGCGTTCTTCCACAACCTTCCAGTCCAACCAGCCCTTTCGTTCGTGGGGTGGCCCAAAGGGTGACGGGTTCCATCCTTCGGGCTCCGTTGTCCCAGACCCGCCGCCGACGGCGGTATTCAGATAATCTTGCGGGAGATCCTTGGGATCGAGGTGATGGGTCAGGTCGGCCGCACGGGCGAGACTTACCAACGCCGCGCAGTGCGTACTGGCGATGTCAGCCGAGGTCTTGTCCCCGCAGGTGTGACCGTAAATGACGTTGAGGAGCATCGCCTGCACCAACCAGAGAGGCGTGTTGTGCACGGAGTTGTCTCGCCCGGCGTGACCTCGGCCAAGAGCGGCGGACATGTCGGCTTTGCGGCGTTCCTCCAGGTACAGTTGGATCATCTTTTTGGCGGCCTCGAAAAGGTCCTTGGAGGCAGCCGTGTCGAATTCGTAGAGGGCCCCGATGGCTGCCATGGAGAGAATCAAGCAGCCGCCACCCCCGGCGACCCCCGTGGAGCTTAAGTTGAGGTGGCCACTGGGGGTGCGGAGATTGTTCGTATATTCGGGAGCCTGGAAGTTGAGGGTTGGAATGTGGAGAAACGGCATGTGAGGGTGGAAGTAGGTGATGTAGGCCGAGATGTAACGCTGCATATCGGAGGTGCTGGGTAATTGAGCGGAAGAGTTGTTGAAACTAGAGCGGGCAAAGAGCTCGCGGCAATGGATCATGCCGCTGGCGGGCTGGGAGTACTTGCGGTGACTAAAAGCGGAGGGGGTGGCCATGCTGGCTAATAGAGCCTGTCGTGTGGAGTCTGTAAAGGTATCCGTGGAGGTTGCGGAATGGAGAGTTCGTAAGGCACTATTCGCGAAAGGCAGGTTGAGAGGATTAGGAGATTCTCCGCTTGTTGCCATAGAGGATGATAACATACTCTGCGAATGTCCACCCAAAATGGGCTGGCCCACCGACGTCATGGATGGAGGGGTGGCATAGGTCTCCGTAAAAGGGTTTTGCGCCATCAAGGACTTGGGAGACACGGTTTCCGGTGGAATTCCTAGATCGTTAAAAGCGGGGGAGGTATAATCAACGGAGAATTGGTTGGGCGGCCCCGCATGCGCTGGGAAAGGGTTGTGCCAGCTGGCCGTGGAGGCAGAGAATCGATTCGATCCGTCCATCATCGCCTCGCTGATTCCGCTCTGGCTGCCCGTGCTCATGGCCGAGGGGGAGGATCCGTCCAGGGCCGATTCATTACCTTTGCCCATCGGCACCGAGGGGTCGAATCCGTTCATCCACTCAAAGGCAAAGTCGTCCTCCATCATCGGGTCGGCGTTCGGCGGCATGATATGAGCCGCGTGCGCGTACGGAGACGACGGGGAGTCGTTTCCGTAGGCCTGCGGAGAACCGCCAAAGTGAAGCTGAGCGGGATTAATAGTAGTGCCATGACCATGGCCCATAAACATTTCGCCGAAGTTGACGTCGAAATGCCCCACGGGAGCGGTGCGAAGACCGCCGGAGAGATCCATGGGCAGCCCGTGCGTGTCCAGCTTCGTCAGGCCGTTCACCGGTGCATGGCTGCTGCTGAATCCGCGATAATCCAAGCTGGATCCTAGGGGCGCTGACCCCAGGCTGGGATGGTAGGCATGGCCGGGGGCCGACGGGGGTGGGTTAGTGGCATTGGTAATGCCTAGTGAAGCAACGTCTATATGGCTAATGGTATTGGCACGCGGCCGCATTGTGCTTGCGGCGTTGTTGCTGACAATGGAGTTCTTGCGAACGCGGTTGGTTCCCGTCCCTGCGCCGCCGGTGCTTTCTCTACGAGCATTTCTAGGGCGCGACGACGGGGTTGTAGTCATATGCAGCTTTTGCTGATGTCTCAGCAGTAGATCGCGGCGAGCGAAACAGCGAGCGCAATCCGGGCACTCAAAGGGCTTCTCTTTGGTATGTGACCGTTCATGACGTTTCAGATGCTCAAGCCGAGCGAAGGACCGACCGCATGTCGTGCAACCATGCGGGCGTGGCTTATCGGTTTTGGGAGGCGGGATGTTGGCGTTGGCATTGGCCTGACCGTTGGCGCTATCGGCTTTCTTCGCAGCATCTTTAGAAGCTAGAATTTTCACATTGTGTCAGTAATGCGCGCCGTGGTAAATAAAACCGCCACAACTCACTCGACATATCCGCGGGGACCTCACTTATACTTGCAAGATCCTCAACTTTGGGGCTACTGCCCAATTCCTGACCCACCATCGAGTCCACTAGCATACTAGTTGCCGTTTATATACCGGAAAATCCAGGTCCTCGGCGCTGGCTTATCAGAGGAAAGGCCGTGCCGAAAGGTCTGGGGATCGTATTCCACTTGCGAAAAACCAAGCTGACGGTTTTTCACAGGAATCTATCGAAATAATGATGATCAGGGCCTAGCATCGACTGTTTATTCTGCGTGCCATGAATCCAGTAAGCAAATCATGACCAGTATAACGCGTGGTAGAAATAAAGATCCAGCGATATCCGCACGGTGGTACGATGGCGTAGATTATGATGCTAATGACGATAGGAATCATATAATACTGCCGTCATTGGCGTTCCCGCGGAATGAAGCAGAGAGAAAGACGGGAAACTCGAGGGAAAAACCAACCAGTCAATCCGAGGCGCAGGAGACGAAAGCAAAAAGGAGAAAAACAACGGATTCCGGGAAGCCTCGAGGAGCTGACCAGGCGAGCGATCGGAATGGGCCTGATTATGTGGGAATGACCTGATGGAGGAAGAGGTCTGTTAAAAAGGAGCACGGGCGGCGCAACTGGATTGTGGCAACGCGGTTCCTGGGGAGCTCGATCTTTGGGAACATTCGAAAGCCGAAGCAATCAGCAGGGGTTAAAGTTTGGAGGATCCAGGGGAATGACCACGGATGTCAACTTACCGAGAAACGTGCACAAGAATGGAGCTAGAAAGTATCCATCCACGAGATCCGATTCAAGGGAGAGAAGGTGAAGGACGCAAGCGGACGTTGAAGAGCGATGACTGGAATGCGTTGTCTCAACGGGCCGTGGTGTGAGGCGGATGGGAGAGGTAAGCCGGAGATAGCCGAATGGGGGAATGGAGGGCGGAATTGATACGTGCGGCAAGGAAGGGGGGCAAAGGGAAGTGGGTAGCGCCGTCAATTGATAAGGGAGGGGCGGAGAGGGATGGATGGTGGGGAATGGGAGAAGAGAGAGAGGATAAGGATGGATGGACGGAGAGGTGGAAGAGGGAGAGAGAGGAAGGTTGAGAAGGAGAAGTAGTAAGAAAGAAAGAGAGAAAGTCAAGTTCAGTAAGGTAAGTTAAAAAAGGTCGCGAGAGGTAAGGAAGGTCTCTCTTCTCTCGTTTCTTTCTACAGAAGGTCCGAATGGCACTACTTCTGTTTAGCTCAATTAATGAAAAGGAACTAAATCTCGCACGGGCAATCTTAAGGGAGAATTCAGAATTGCCTCGTACAATTTCTTTTTTTTTATTATTATTATTATTATTTTGACCGGATGAATAATAATTCGAATAATAATAATAAAAAGAATAATATTGATTATGATTATTTTTAATTCTCGCCATCCGTTTTGATTGCTTACCACGGGGCTAACCACCTTTGAACGAATGTACGACCCAAGCCCAGTCTCTACCCCGGCGACTGTCGCGGGAGTCGCCCTTACTAACGGCTCAACTCCAATCAGGGAGACCCGCCGGGAGCCGGGGTGGGGGCCGCTAGCGTTGGTGCGCCGACAGTTGCAGGGGAAGCATGGGCCATGACAGGCCCAGAGCCAAGGCCCGCCCCACCTCCCAGTCACGGGGGTCACATCGGCCCTCGGGTACGTCCAGTGCGTCTTGTAAGACGGGAAGCCCATAATTACCTGCCTAGGAGGGTAAGGTCTCTACGCTCGAGAGCTCGACCAGATTTTGCAGGATGAAATATCCACAATTGGATTTAAATGAACTGGACTCAGAAGTATGGTGTCCCTTCGTAGAATTTACCTCGACAACCTCCCTAAGACTAGCCCTCTAGAGGAAGGACTCTTCATGAGAATAAACTGCTGGGGAAACCGGGTTGGAAGCATGCCGGAGGGCAATGCCGCGCGTGGAAATTGATCCTTAATTTCAGATTAACTTCCTCCAGAATAATAGGTAATCACAGATTACGACCCCATTTGCTTTGTTTGGCAGGCTGGACCCGATCCGCGGGTGCCGTTAGGAAGCTCTCTCCTGTACGGTGTAAGGAGTACCTAAGGTAAATATGGATACGGTTTCTGGCCAGCACCAACGATTCGGAGAGCTTCCGATATAAGACTATCATAGTGATGAAGCTGCGGTCGCACGGGGAAGGGCAGATAGGCAGGAATCAGCAGCTGAAAGCCACCGTGCCCAAAGAGAAGGATGGGAGATAGCTGTCAGCCACCAGATAAGATACGCCTTGCCCGTGTATTGACTTACCTAATATTACCGATCCAGAGTGACCAGCCCCTTGGCTGCGGCTGCTGCTGCCCGTTGGTCCTGACTCTGCTGGATCAGTTGCCTGGTATGCCGTCTGTTTTGGCACAGTCTGCCGGATCCTACAGGACTATGTATGAACATGACTGAGTCTTTGACTGAGACCATGACCATACTCAGTGTACACTGTGTATATTCATTCATGCACGACAGTTACCGGTGAGAGCGCAGGGCAGGAGGCAAGGTCCGGCGAGTCCACCGATCCAGGGCAGGCAAAGAGTACCGTCACGTAACGCGCCCGTGGATCGTCGAACATGGAATTCAACCCCAGACCTCGTGACGCCTTCATCGCCCTTGCCGGTCAGATCGGACATTCCGGAACGAATCATTGCCCATTCTTAGAAACAGTTCAGAGGGGTCATGGATCATTCTTGGAATGGACGTCAAGAATGAAGAAGCGAGACAGAACAGACGAAAAATAAATTTAAAACCAAAATGAGAGACGGTGGCTGCTGATGGGGTGGCGGTTGGCGCCGCATCGTTTGCCTTCAAACGAGACCGGTCTCAGCAATTCGATCGTAAGTATGTACGCTGTACTCCGTACTGTCAGTGTATTAATAGGACTTTTCAAGCAGGAACGAAACGGAACCTAAGACCACGGCCTCTCTACGGAGTAGGCCCTTGCCTATGCTCAAGGAGGTAAGCCCGCCTGCCTGCAGCAAGAAAACGACCTGCTTTTGCGCCATTTTGTGGGGAGAGCAAATGAGCAACGGGGCGAGGTTTGTGTGGGGGATTTCCCAGGTTCCAGCCGCGTCGAAGCCAATGACCACCCCCCGATCCGGTGTGGTTGGTGGGCCCCTGAGGTCATCGCGGGTCAATCACCGTCGCTGGTCTCCCCCCGGGGCGTGCGTGCATTAACTTCAATCGGGATTCGGCTTCCTGCTCTCGGGCCCAATCGTTTCGGATCCATTCTCACCTTCTACCAATTGATCGATCGTGGTCGTTTCCTCGGTGGAGCACCTTCCCTGTCAGAATTCCCCCCAACAACCCTCAAAAATCGAAAATCGAAAAGATGTCTGAAAAAAGGATAGTCCACCACCTTCCTCCACCAGCGACTGAAGACTTGGCGCCCCCATCAGCACGACGAGAGACGATGCTTGCGCTACTCCAGATCGTCTGGTCGGTGTGATTGGCCACTTGTCCCGACGATGGCTGATCATTGCCTGGGACCTTCCCCATCCATGCGTCTCTCCCCTGGAGCCGAGCCGGTTCCCAGGGCACTGAGGTCACGGCTCGATTTTCTAGAACTTAGCGAAGGCCAACGGGGTGTGGTCGTCCTGCTGATCTTTGCCTTTCTTTTCTCCCTTTTTCTTTTCTTTCTTTCTTTTTCTTTGTTTTTTCCGCGACTGACAGGCGAAAGAGGATAAACTTCGGACGGCTGGGCATCGACAATTTGGATGCGACGAACAAAGAAGTCCTCGCAGTCCTAGTGGCAAGTCCGCCGAACAAAGTAACTTGGTAATCGCAAACAAAGCGAACCTAACGATGGCCACGGCTTTGCCCGGCTCGAAATACGCTTCGATTCCGTCCTCGTCGCCGTGGACGCGGAATTGCGGGTCGTCTCATCGAAAAGTGTTTAGGTGTACACGGTAGAGAGAGCACAGCTCCCGCCGACAAAGTTTGCATGTCCATGGCGAGGCGCACGTCTAGAAGTCCCCAATCTGAACGGCTCCGTATGATTTGCGAAGGATGAATTTATTTCCAGTCGATCTCACTGGCCCCGTCAACCAGACGAGGACGATTATCCGAAACGGGTGAACGACGCCGCAGGGAGTCTGCACGAGGGCCGTGAGACAAGTCTAGGATTAGCCGCCGTCGTTTGCATGTTGGGGCAACGTTCCATCCCACGCTATGACGTTGTTAATCTCCGGTGCATGAGACGCGGCAGGGTGAATCTAGATCGGATGCTCTTTGTTGCTCTTTGTTCTATGATTTGCCTTCTTTCTCGTTGCCCCCAATCCCGATTCCCTGGTCATTTTCTGATACGAAGTTAGGCGACAAGAAGGGTAATACCTTGCATCTCATCGATACGAAACGAAAGAAACAGTCGAGAGACAGCGTTGATTCCAAGACTCGTGCTGTGTATGCAACAAGTTGCCTGGGGTGGCCACGTCTGTAGTCTGTACTCCGTAAGTCGCACGGTCCTCCGCGGGTGGTCTCGGACCCTCGACACCTCAGGCCAGGGCCGAGCACCTGACGAGTTGAGTTTAGCTACGGCCGAGTCAGGTGGTCCATCGAGATTCCTGTCCACATCGTACTCCGTCCTACGGCGTACATGGCTACGTGCTAACGATGCTCCAAAACGTGTTCACCTTTGATCTGCGAGCATTCAAGTCGAGTCTCCTTCATTGTTGCCACCCCTACGCCGTGCCGACCTTGTTCTATTTATTTCATGATCCCATACCCGTCATGCTATACCTCATACGACGTTCAACGTCGTCAACTACATGATGATCTGCCTCTCGCGTCTCCCAAGCGCTCCAGGGAATATTCTTATTGGCCGCGATCAGCCGTCACTCTCGGCGAATTCAATGCCCCCTTGAGCGTTAACACCCACCACCGTGTCACCTCATTTTTGGGTTCAGATTTGGGCTCAGACTAGAACCCACTTCAGCCCCCTGTCCGTTATCAAACATATTTGGATCAAAAACGTCAATGGCCACGGAAGACATTCATCGGGGACACAGCATTTGACACAAGGGATGATAAGGGGCCAAGGAAAGGACGGTTACACC